AGGAGGGGACATCACGGAGTATGCCGAGGTAAGATTATGTATCGGGGACCACGTGGAGCGGATCGAACTAGCCGTAGTCGATCTGGGTTCTACCCCGCTTTTCCTCGGGCATGATTGGCTACAACGTCACAATCCCTTAATTGACTGGAACACCAGGGCGGTCACCCTAGCTCGATGCACGTGTCGCAAAATCCCGTTTTCCTTGCCAGATACTGACCCTTAGGCGAGGTGGGAGGAGTACGAGGAAGGGGACACCATCTTGGTTGTCGACTTCGAAGAAGCCTTCCACATACGAGCTATGGGAACTAAGGCCAATGAACTGGCGGCCCGAGCTCACGCGAAGAAAACCGCCAAGTCTTTCGAGGAGATCGTTCCAGAAGAATACCAGGAATTCAAAGACATCTTCGACAAGGAGAGTTTTGATGAACTACCACCGTGGAAACCCTGGGACCATGCTATCGAACTCATCCCCAACGCCAACGCTAATCTGGACTGTAAAGTCTATCCACTTAACCCAGCCGAACAGGAGGAGCTCGACAAATTCCTCGACGAAAACTTGTCTACCGGTCGCATCCAGGCCTCGAAGTCTCCCATGGCTTTGCCCTTCTTCTTCGTAAAGAAAAAGGACAGGAAGCTACGCCCGGTACAAGATTACCGTAAACTGAATGAGATGACGATCAAGAACCGTTATCCATTACCGTTGATCGGGGAGTTAATGGACCGACTAAAGAAGGCCAAGTACTTCACCAAACTGGACGTGCGGTGGGGTTACAACAATGTGCGGATCAAACAGGGGGATGAATGGAAGGCAGCGTTCCGAACAAACCAAGGACTCTATGAGCCCCTAGTAATGTTCTTTGGGCTCACCAACTCACCCGCCACCTTCCAATGGATGATGAATGATATTTTCAAGGATCTGATAGCGGCCGGGGAAGTATCGGTTTACCTGGATGACATCCTCATCGCCTCCAAGACCAAAACCGAACACAAGAGGATCGTACGAAAAGTACTCCAAATCCTTCGAGAAAACAAGCTGTTTCTCAAGGCGGAGAAGTGCGAGTTCGAGGTGGAAGAAATGGAGTATTTGGGAGTCATTATCAGCGAAGGAAAGATTCGTATGGATCCCATTAAAATTGCGGGCCTCCTAGATTGGCCGGTACCCCGAAGGAAGCAAGAGCTGCAGTCCTTCCTCGGATTCTGTAACTTTTATCGACGATTCATCTGGGACTACAGCAAGCACGTCAAACCACTCACTTTGCTTACCGGGAAACAGGAGTGGAGGTGGGGGGAAGCCCAGCAAGAGGCGTTCGAAAAGCTCAAGAAACTGTTTCGTGAAGATGTAGTGTTGGCCATTCCACTCGATGAAGGGCGCTTCCGAGTAGAGGCGGACTCCAGTGAGGGAGCAGTGGGAGCAGTACTTTCGCAGTATCAAGACGAGAAGTGGCGACCAGTGGCCTTCCTTTCTAAGGCCTTATCCGTTACCGAGCGGAACTACGAAATTTACGACAAAGAACTCCTTGCTATTATGATTGCACTTGAGGAGTGGCGCCAATATCTCATGGGTGCACGGGCCGATTTCGAGATCTGGACAGACCATTCAAATCTCCAGTACTTCCGCAAACCTCAAAAACTCAACCGACGACAAGCCCGGTGGGTAACGGAGCTAGCGGAATACCAGTTTACCCTGCACCACAAACTGGGTGCACAGAATCGCAAGGCGGACTTGTTGTCTCGAAGGGCGGATCATGATCAGGGAAAGGAGGACAATCGTGACGTAGTAGTCCTCAAAGCGGAAAACTTCAGGGCCCTAATTATGCCCACCGCCGAGGACCTACACGAAAAGATCAAGGTAGCTACGCACGACCCTCGTCATTGGGATCGGGGCATTTCGGATTCCCTGAACCATGAAAAGGGGATTTCTCGCGAGCAGGATCTGCTCTGGTACGACGGATGCATTTATGTACCTGCAGACAACGAGCTCCAAGGACAGATCATTGCCCTCAAGCACGATCACGTCATGGCCGGACACCCTGGCATTGAGAAGACTAAAGAGCTAGTGCTTCGCGATTACTGGTGGCCGCGCATGCGGAAGGATGTAGAGGCCTATGTGAAAGGCTGCGAGGTCTGTCAACGAACCAAAGCGGACCGCCACCCTAGGAAGGCCCTGCTCCATCCAAATGAAGTACCGGTACGACCCTGGACCCATATCTCGGTCGACATGATCACCAAACTCCCGAACTCCAAAGGGTTCGATTCAATCCTCGTCATAGTAGACCGCTTCTCGAAAGCCATCATCCCCATCGCCTGCACGGAAGAACTTACCTCCCTCGGCTTTGCCAAAATCTTGAGGGACTACGTCTACGTACCCTACGGCGTTATGCCCGAGAAAGTAATTTCCGACCGGGGGTCGGTATTTGTTTCCAAGTTCATGAAGGAATTTTATCGACTCCTTCACGTCAAAGGGAATCCCTCCACCGCGTACCATCCTCAGATGGACGGGCAAACCGAGAGGGTCAATCAAGAGATTGAAAAGTACCTCAAAATGTTCATCAATGGAAGGCAGGACGACTGGAGCGAATGGCTCCCGCTGGCCGCTTTCATGCATAATAATCGTCAACACTCGTCAACTGGATATTCTCCGTACAAGGTCATCTTCGGAAGGGACGGGGAGGTCATCAAAAAGCCCCAACAAACGACCGCGGTGCCAGCACCAGGACGAATGGTAGAAGAGATCGAAAAAGCCCAAGACGAGGCAAAGAAGTCATTGGAGAAAGCGGCGGAGTCGATGAAGAAAGCCTATGACAAACACAAGGCGGTCACAATTCAATACCAGGTTGGAGACAAAGTATGGCTCGATGCAACCAATCTTCATCTCCCGTGCCCGACAAAGAAACTGGGAGATCGACGAGTCGGTCCCTTCGCTATTATAGCTAAAAAGGGAGCCTCTGCATACGAATTGAAGCTGCCGACGGGCTGGAAAATCCATAACCGCTTCAACGAGTCTCTTCTGACCCCTTACGTCGCCCCCTCATTTCCAAACCAACCACGTCCCGAAAGGCCACCACCAGAACTAATCGAGGACAAGGAGGAGTATGAGATCGAGGAAATAGTAGAACAAAGGGACAAAACAGTCGGGCGTGGACGCAATCGGCGAACCATAACCGAATACCTCGTAAAGTGGAAAGGCTATCCCATAGAAGAGAACTCATGGGTAAAACGTTCCAACATGGCTAACGCCAAGGCTCTGGTAAATGAGTATGAAGCTCGCATCCGACGAATCCAATGGGAAATCAACAAGCACGGAAAGACAGTTGGGGTGGACAACCAAATCCCCCCGGATGCCATAACTGCATACCATGAGCCCGACACCCCTTGCGTAACAGACGTCGAAACCGTCTTTTCCTCCGAGTGCACAAATCCACAACACTCCGATGCCCAATCGTCGATCGCGATACGAGAAGTTACCGAGGCAGAAGCAAACGGAATCCCAATCGTGGAGACACCAGACGATGACGACTCAAAACTCGACCTCGAAAACCTACAACGGGTCTACGAAGACTGGGACTTCGACTCCAAAGAGGATGACAACGATGATGACGACATTCTATCCTACTACAGCCAGTCCGCACAGAGTGGAGAGGAGAGCGATGACTCCTTCGGGATGAACGAGTCTTAAGAGGGGGGTAATGTTACGGTTTATTCACTTTATTCATTCTTTTTTCTTTTCTTTTCTTTTCTTACTCATCCTCGCGTACGCTCACCTGCGATCCTGATCGGACATTCTCACAGTACTATTTTTAGTTTACTCAACGTGTATTTAAGTAGAGCCTCAGCTGGGCTAAAACCCAGCTTCGGCTAAGGTTTATTCTACCTAACATCGAACTCCGTCCTTCGTGACTATCTAAGTTCGTGACTGGCTCCCTTCATCGCCTTTGACCTCTAAGTGTATTGTCCACCGAAGTGCGAGTGGCGATCCTTGGTTGATCTAAGTCGATAAGAGTTAGTGGCTAACATTTGGCTATATTGAACCTTTACTCACCTCTTCATAGGAAGCGGTATTGGGAGAGCGACTGCTCTTGCATTGGCCTGGGCAGGGGCATCGGGTCTGCATCTAGCCGACCTAAACCGCGGACGCCTGGAAGAAACGATGAAGGACGTCACAGCCGAAGCTACAAACCCCCAGTTTAAAGTTTATATGTCTGAAGTGGATCTGAGCAAGGAGGACCAGGTTATCCGAACAGTTCAGGATGCTGCTAACAACTTTGGGAGAATCGACTACGCTGCCAACATCGCCGGGGTAAGCACATCCTTATGATAGAGTTCTGACTCATGAGATGTACGATAGATATCCGAAAACATTCTTGCGCCGACGGCAGATACATCTGTGGCTACTTATGACCAAGTCAACAACATCAATGCTAGGGGAGTTTTCCTCTGTATGCGCGAGCAGCTGAAGGTAATGCAAGACCAGGAGTCTGTTGCTCACATACCTGGTAGGCCAGGTGTGCATGGTTCCATCATAAACATGAGCAGCGTGTACAGATGTCTCGGCACGAACGGGTTCACAAGCTACGTTACGTCCAAGCACGCAGTTATAGGTCTGACGAAAGCTGCTGGTTCGTTTTGTTTTAACATGATTCTGCAGGTGTGTAACACAGACAATAGCTATCAGTCACAGCGTTGACGGTATTCGCGTCAACGCGGTGTGTCCTGGATTTATCGATACGCCAATGGTAGAGAACGTAAGCCAATATTTTGATTTCCCAACCTTGCTGGAGATGGCTGTTCCGATGAAGGTAAGTTGAGTTCTTGTACAACCTCCATCGTATTGATGATCATCTTTAGCGGTTTGGTATGGCTGAGGAAATTGCAGATGTGATCGTCTTCTTGCTGAGCGAGCGTGCAAGCTTTGTAACAGGACATTCATTCATTGCAGATGGAGGATCTTCCATCTTGTGAATTTCGTTCTGGTTCATTGCGGATATTTCGAAAAGTGTTACATGCTCTTTATTACTAGCATCATTCGCTGATGTTCTATTTGGGTGCTCTAATTACTCTCTCTTCCACCACGCCCAACTTGGTCTGAAAGAATCTTCATTAGCAGGGCCCGCAGCAACTGGAGGAAAGTCTTCGTTGGTATCTGCCACCCAACACTCGGCAGCTTCCAGTTGTCGCTCCGGCGCGTAGGATTGTAGCTTTGTCTTAAGCCTCGAATAGCTCCGTATGACACCCTGTATGTGTGCATCCAGCATTCTCAAGTCGAACGAGATTTGGGCAAGCTCGTCCGAGGTAGCCAAGGCCTGCTGTGCCGCAAAGTCCAGCGCTTTCGCTTTTTGATCCGTAACGTCAAAACGCCTTTATGAATGAATCTTTGAGATGATGGACCAGGTACTGATAAGGAACGTACTGTGTGATGACCGACGAGCAGAACTGGAGTGCCTCCGTGTCCTCCATGTACACTGCAAAGTGGAAGCGTTCGTGGATTATGTATAAGCCGAGTCTGAGGGAAATCGATTGAATTTCCTAAGAAAACCAATGAGATTCACCATGATTTGGAAGGGATAAAACGTACTTCGAGCTTTGCCTTCTTTGCGGTGTCCTCTTTCAACCATTGTGAGAAATGGTGGACAGCATAGACAGCGATGATATAGGCAACAAGTCCAAAAGGGAGCCATTGAGAGCTCAGAGACGCGTTGAATACGAGAAAAGTAAAAGTGGTGATAGGGTTTTTGTCTATAATCTGGTTTGCGATGGCATCAGAAAGTACAGACGACCGTCCGGACATTGGCGACTTACGAGGACGGCTGGGTAGATGTATTTCATGAACGCCTTATTTACAATATTAGGCATTTCTGGGGTATCTCAGGAAAGATAGCCTCGAAAAGAGCGGGCAAGGAGTTGAACTTGAACGTTGAGACGGGAACTTCAACTAAGTTCCAAGTGACGTCATCAACGGGCTGGTTTTTCCATTATCACGTGAACTTGAGGGCAGGGCTTTTAAAAGGTATTCCGTTTCTCATCGAATAGCATTACATACTACTTCCCGATTACTTCCCTTCCCGTCTGAGGCTAGCAAGTATTTCCACATCAGGAGAACCGCAAACCTCGACGAGATAACTAATCGTTCTCCAAGACTGCGTTTTTTATCTACAGTTTCAACCAAATCCCAATTCCCTACGCAGGAGTCTGCATATCAAGATGCAATCGGTCGTACATGTAAGCGAAATGCGGTTCACATGTTCGAGGGTTCTCGTGGTTCAGAGAGTCCCCCATTTTCAAGGTAACTTTTACAAGTCACCGTAACGACACCTGTAGTGACAAAACCCGGGACCCAATTGAAAATTTAAGTTGGGACTTTTCGGCGGCTCATTCACCAGGGTTGGTTCGTTGCGACCAACATATGAATCAGTAAGTGGAAGGGTTAAGATATGTTCTTACTCTTCCCTGCAAAGGCTCATGTCATATTTTTCTTTTATCCCAGCGATACCAGACTGTAGCAGACTGTTCGAGTGGAATCTTTTAATTTTAATTATTTATCTAATTAATATTTATCAATATTATTCAGATCGTAATCATGCGGAATGACAGTTGTTCATGTTCGAATCCTCCCTATTTCTCGACGCTGTGTTCCGTGCTATATCCGGCCATGTATAAACTATTGAAGAAACTTTTATCAAATATCTGCGTCCAATCATCCTTGTAAGTCGTCGCAAGTACATCTAAAATGCAGTTTTACTTCCTGTCACAACAGATTATCACAAAATACTATCCATGGTGGATCTATTTTGTTCTAGTCCTCCTTTTACTGCGTTTCAGTCGAGAAACGAAAGACATAGTTTTTGGATCCCTTGGTGGTTTTATGTTCCCAGGCCTCTGGACTACATTGAAGTATGACGCTATCGCCAGAGATATCGCGCTTAAGGTACACCTCCATCATGTAAAGCGCAAAGAATTACTGATGGTGATGGTTTTCGCAGAAATTATACTGAAATACGTCAAAATGCATGCATATATAGAGGATCAGCGTGTCGCGATTCAAACAAGCACCGTGGAGGCGGACTCATTTCGGCTTTGCTCATCAACCGTCACTCAGTACGTACATCAGTACCATTCATTACATCAGAGTCTAAGAGGCATGTATTTAGGCAATGCCTTGTATCGAAACAGAAGGCAGAAGCATTGTATTCTGCAGCACGGACCTTGGTTACGCGGATCGACTCTTCTGTTGTGGATCTCCACCCAATCTCACTCGACTTGGATGCACAGGCACTTAGGATACAAGCCATCGTAGAGAACTATTTCGCGTTTAGGGTATCGCTAGCCGCTACTGCACCGCAAGATCAACTGCAAGCCGCTCAGCAATGGGTGGATTTAGTTAACACAGTGTATCCGCCCGTTGCCGCAGACCCGGTTAATGAACATTTTTTGTGCTTGGACGAGGAAGCGACTACAGTACCCAGTTAGAATAGCAGAAGAACGATACACGATGAGAATATGTAACACTCCTATACTTATGAATTTGGAACGGATTTTGATTTATTGGCGTGTCGCTCCTGATTCAATAAACGGACCTGACCAGAACATGAAGCATTCGGGACTGAAGAAATATGCGTAGTAATATTTGTCCTGTTTTCTAAGGTACAGTGGCATATGTAGATTTCTATGCTCTTTGACTACAAGACATTGATGGAGCGGGAAGAACACAGTCTTTACGCTCAAATGTGTAACAATTCCTGGTTCTGACGGAGCTAAAAGCAAAGCGAAAACGCTATTATCTCTGCATGGAAAGTGACAATATTGACTTGAGCGGCGTACCGTACTGTACTGTTGCGGTCTTGAAATCGTTCAGAGCGGGGAGGATTGCGCCTAACTTCGGTAGGACCGGATACAAGCCCAGGTTCCTGGTACGATGCCAGAAAGCAGTGCTTGTACCCTTAAGCTTGTAACACTGGTGCTGATGTACAGAAGCTATCTTCATCAGTTTTTATCAAGTTTTTATTGGCCAGTTTGGAATCCTATAATGCACAGTCTGAATTGGGGAGAGTTCTAGAGGACATAAGATAGGTGCGGGCTAATGTTCAGCCTTTACGGCGCTTCTTTTGTCATTTGATACTTGTAAATCGCTGTAGAAGATGTACTTAAACGTATAGATTCTGATTGGATACCGGGTATCGGACCGTTCACCACGTGATCCCTGCGCACACGTGAAAGGATCGCGGCCGTTTCGCCGATCTTCCTTCTTGCATTTCTACCACATTCTCCCATCAAGGGGGCTGCCTTTTCGCGTCCACGCGGCGAAACTGAAAGAAACTTGATACGGCAAAGATTTATCTGCAAGATACCATGCCTGGAGCCCACCGTTTTGTGCCAAGGATCATTAAGGACCCTATCCATGACCTCAGTACGCCATTACCCTCTCATTCAGCGTCCTAGGATCTGATACCGTCCTTAGTCGAAGTCAGCCCTCGACTCTCCGTCTTTCTGGATACGTGCGTGGCATTCATATGGGTCGGATAGGCAATGACTCTTGATACTAACTACAAAATAGACGCCAATTCCAACGCCTACGCTACATCAAACAACTGGGAACTTCGTACTTTGTCTGGCCCGGAGCATCACATAATAGATACGAGCATTGCCTAGGTGCGCTATCCGGATTCCGAGTTCGCGGTCTTTGACAATAGAGATGAAAGGTGTTGCCCATCTTGCCAGGACTTTGGCGACGAACCTACAGACGAAGCAACCAGATCTCGGGATCACTGATAGGGACATTGAATGTGTAGAACTTTCTGGCTTATGCCATGACCTCGGACACGGACCATGGAGTCATGTTTGGGATTCAATGTTTGTTCCGACGGCACTGTACGTTCTCCTTTCGGTGCGTTCTGACCGGTAGTGATTTTCTTCATCAGACCAGACTTGAAAACCCCATGGAAACACGAGCAAGGCTCTGAGATGATGTTCGATTATCTTGTAGCCTGCAACAATATCGAAATTGAGGAGGCAGACACGAAATTCGTCAAAGCCCTTATCGCAGGGGATCCGGCGAAATGTGATCCGTATGTGCATTGTTTCTCCATTCATGCATGCTCTTAGTCATTCTGATAGGTCCGAAAAGGGGTTTCTCTTTGATATCGTAGCCAACAAGAGAAATGGCTTGGATGTGGACAAGTAGGTGCTCGTTCTACCCCTCGTTCATATATCTGATGGCACTTACGATAGGTTTGATTATTTCGTCCGCGACTCCCATATGATTGGCGAGCCTATCAAGATCAATCTTACACGGTATGCAGAGGACATGTTCTGCTCTACCACATTACTAAAATACAGCATTAGCCTACTCAAATCTGCCCGGGTGATAGACGGGCAAATTTGTTACGACATCAAAGATGCCAACAATATCTACGAGGTGTACAACACTCGATTCCGCTTGCACAAGCACATCTATAACCACAAGACAGGTGAGTCTATCTTCAACGCCTCTGAGAGCCAATGGTTGACTATTTCATCGCAGCCAAGGCCATCGAGCACATGATCATTGACGCTCTCCTCTTGGCAGAACCGCATCTGAAAATAGCTTCAAGAGTGTTTGATCCCGAAAAATTCACCTACTTGACCGACGATATCATGACCCAGATTGAGTATGATGCATTAAGCAATGCAGTGAGTATCCGTTCTTTTGACTTGAGCATAATATCTCATTCATCTGCAAGGATTTGGCTCCTGCCGCCGCAATTTTTGACCGTATCCGGGTCCGCGACTTGTACAAGAGCGTCGATTATAAAACGGTTGATTGGGCTGATCATAAGTTCTTCAAGGCGGAGGTAACGCCAGCCAAGATTGTGAGGGAAGCGCACAATGATATGACCGAGCCTTCTGGCCTTACTCCGGATGATGTCATCGTGTCCCTTGCACCCATGCATTACGGATTTGCTTGATGAGAACCCGTTGCAGCCACGTTAAGTTCTACTCCAAGGCTCGACCTGACGGTGTGCATCCTCCTACCTACTCTTATTTGATCTGAATGATCCATTATCTAGTGTGTGCTATTGCTCAACCGGGCGACTATTCGAGCCTCGTGCCGTCAGTCTTTGGAGAAGTACTTCTTCGCGTATATACGAAAAAAGCAGAGCAAGTCACTGGCTCTCATTGCAAGAGCGTTTTACTTAATATTTTGCAGGTACTACTACGATGTACAGGCTGGGTACCGCGCTCTCCTTTCCAAGATTACTGGCAGACCAGCTGTCACTGTGCCCACGCCACCTGCCACTGAGGCTCCTTCTACTCCTAGATCGTCTCGCAACAGCAGCTTAGCTGCACTCGATGGTTCCCCCGGTGGGAGCAAATATGGCGAGAATCAATTTACTACCGTTGAGCGGGGCTATATCCCAGCAAGTCCTGCCAAACAACTGAAACGCAAAACTAGGACTATAGAGGCGGAAGGATCTTCGAAGAAGAAGAGGACGCCATGAGCTCTTGTTGTGATTAGATAGCTTATTTCTCGGATGGGTTCCATATTCTCTTTCCATGTAGATATCCGTAGACTTTACTCGTATACCGCCTGTAATTTAGAAGTACTCGATGCCTTTTTACTTGTGTATAACATTTGAGGCTATTCTGCCTGTAATGAGTCTATAATAGGATCGTCATCAATGATCAAGCTCCCATTATGCCCGCCAATGCCGCCTACATGATACACGGGCGGAGGCACCATATGGACCTTCGCTGCTCGGTTGGGTTGCCTTCCCTTACACGGTCCTTACAAACTCCCCTCACAGCCCCGCCTCTTCATCTCTCCTCGCCTCAAACTCTTCCTTCACCTGCTTACCTGAACTTTCCACAGGGCCCGATGCCCGTAGACTGTACGCTCCACATAGCGGATCCCAATAACTTGCACAAGTGCTGCCTTTTGGGCGAGAGAGGCGAGGGGGTCCATGGCTCTGGAGCCAGCAGAAATTTGGGAGACGGTGTAGTCGTAGTACTAACGCTAGAGTAGGGTGGTGTGGTAGGGTAGGGATAGCTGTGGGTGACTGGATTGGAGTGGATGTAGATCGGGGCTGTTGGAGGTATCTTGTTGCCGGTATTGAAGGATTGGTGTTTGGGCATAATGTGGATTTGGAAGTATCTACTGGAATAGTAGTACTGGTACCTAGGGTAGGACGTTTCCCAGAGAGAGCAGATGTAAGCTCCGCAGCGGAGCTTATATCTGCTCTCTCTCCGCTGTGCCAACAGACGGTAGTTCTGATCCAGAGAACTGCGACTGTGTAGTGGCCTCTTCGTTTAGATAGACGCATTCGTCATTACTGAAGACCTCCAGTAGAGTTTGACGAATACGATGGAGTAATATCTGACGGGTGCGAATGACCCGGACACTGGTCATGGTGTGTTCCCATTTACGAGACTGAGGGCTGAAGGCATCCAAAGACGAAAATGGGGCTAGGTCTAAATTCGTGCACCAGAGTTGGAAACCATGAAAGCTAGAACAGCGGGAAAGTGAGAATCATGTGCAGCAGACGGATCGCCTCGAAGTGGGCCTATGAATAGAAGGCCGGGGGCACAATCAGCGTCCAGTGAAAGTGTTCAGGTGCACAGGGAGTTCACAGTGGCCGGAGCTGGAGGATGGCAATACACCTATTTCCTGTGATTACTTACTTTATAGCAGAACACCAAAGTGATGGTGTGCTGTAGTTCTTCCAGCTGCTTCTTCATTTCCGAGTTATGATCGGCATTCCAGAGGAGGGAGGATCTACAGCTATCACTGAGTCATTTTGACTAAGATGTTTTAGCCAGTATACGCATCTACTAGTAGTGGCGCAGCGGTATTCGGTCCTGAAAGTGATACTTGAGTGATACAGTAGGCGCTGTCATGAAAATCCGCTTGATTCTGTCCAGTAAACGTGGTAGATACAACGTGAAATTCCTGATGCAGAAATCTGTGTTGTAGAACGGTATACATTGGTATCAAGTTAATAAAAACGAGTGTCCACAAACTCACCGCAGAGTTAATTAATTTATGCAGACTCAAGTCCGCGGACAAAGAGGAAGGAAGACCAAAACCGATCGTAACTCATCACATGACCGTGACTGAGGCGCAGTAGCGTCACGCGCGAACGGAATCAGTTTGTTCTCCTCTTTCCTTCTTCCGTCACACTGTGCAGGTCACTTCGACGTGTTATATCACATTTGGATGGCATAGCTGTTCGGTTGTATGCCCTTCCTTTATAACTGCGGCAACCCTGAACCAGAACTGTCGTTCTAACCGCTAGGTTGTATTAGCGTCATTCCGCTAATTTTCCCACTAATTCCTGGTCAGAACTGCCGTAGAATTCGTATAAATGGAACAACAGCGGATTCCTTTCCCTAGATCACGCGCAGCCTCAGAAGTCACACCTCGTATGTCATCACAACTATTTTTTTTGTGTACACCCATAGCTCACAGCGTCATTGGCACCTTTTTAAGCTCGCAATGTCGATGGTAACTCCATGTTTCTAAATCTTATTGCACCTTCTGAAGACAGCCTGTTAGAGTCCGTCATCAACGAGACTTTTCATTCTGCTGGTAAGCTTTTACTCTTGGATAATTCGATTTTACATTTAACGACCTCCTAGTGGAACCGAACGAAGGAGGTATAGCTCTTACAAACATTGGGTTTTCATATTCCTCACCAAAACTTTTCAGAATCGAACATCAAACCTTCTGAGACCAATAGCTCGACGACAGGTAAGTAGATACTGAATTTAATCCAACGACTTATCTAATGTATGATGCAGACTCTTTCGCCACATCTTACTCTAAGCTGACCTTGTCTGATAAATTGTCTGCCCTCCCGCCCCCCGGTAGTCCTAACTTAAACAGGACTCGATCCCCAAACCCCAGTGCTAGCCGAGGTTTTAGGCGTAGTTTTGAAGCGTCTGGTTCTCTTCCCTCGGTGAGGAGTACAGGAGATATAGATCTCATACAGTCCGCGTGGAACAGCCCTCGACAGAGTAGCCATCTAGTCACTCGGTCGAATGCCTCAGATGGTTCCGTGGGCCTTGACACGCCAAGGAATAGAGCCTCGTTAGATTCCGACCGCATCTCTTTACCTGCATTTCACAGTGTTAGAAACGGTATGATCACTCGTTATCTCCTTAATATCAAGCTTATCTTGGCCCCAGCCTTTTCCCGCAGAAACAGGGGAAGCGATCCTACTCTTCCAGCTCAGCGTACCGAACAACTGAGAGGAGAAACAGTCGGATCACGTTCCCGTTCCCCCTCTCGTGCAGCATCTCCTCTACGTCTATTACAACAATGGTCTCAGGGTCTTCATCGTTCTCATAATCACCCAACAGAAGAACCATTTATTCCCGTCGATCCTTTCCGCGCAAAGTCCCACTTCCGTTTCCCAGGCATACCCTGCTTTTGCGTCAGCGAACCTAGCGATGACCCAGACGCGGGAAGGGATCATGATTGCGACCAGATTAAGCAACGTGCTGAAAGCATCTCCGCTTTTGTCACCGAGACGCTACCACGAGTATTCTATTTATACTCGCTTCTGCGTTTGCCAGCTCTTTATTTCTCTAGGGTCGCGCGGATTTTCGAGGACGCCGAGGTTAGCCGGCCGGACGTGCAGCGCATGATTGATGCGTGCTCCCGCCCGGGTTATACTATACCACTGTCCTCCCATGTGAATGTCAATTCGAACGCGTATCGTACGTCGGCTGCTGGAGTATCCGGACACGTCGGTGCTGCAGCGCTAGTTGCTGACCTGGATATTCTTCCAGAGGACTGGGCAGCACCGTTCGTCTCTCCAGCGCTTGTACGATTCAAGCATTCATGGGAGGCGTTTATTGATACCCTTATGAGAGAGTGGAAAACTCTCAATGTCGTTTCTGCTTTATTGTTAACGTATGTTTTCCTTGCCCGCTTCCTCTGTGACTTCATCGCTGATGATATCAGAGCTATTTTAACCATGTTCCAGATACCGAACGCTGCATCGGACCCTATCACCCGAACGGCGGCGTTGTTGTCATTAATATGTGCTTTAATGAGCGTGTCTTATGGATGTATGTACATCGTCAGGTAAGAATCACATGCGCCTCTGGTTTATCAAATTTCTAATCCCTTGTAGATTTGGAACCATGAGGACTATGTATCGTGCTTCGCGATGGGCCGAGGTAAGAAAGGGAAATTGTATCGATGGAGTATGTACTGAATTAGTCGTAGGAGGCTCGTAAGACCAACACCGTAATTTGGTGGAACGTCTGGGTTATGCTCGCGATGCCAGCCGTATGGCTGTCCTGGTACGTCTCGACGTTGATTGGACCGACTCATAGCATTGACCACCTCATTGATATAGGTCTATGGTATACTTTGTCATTTCCATCCTATCCTTCGTATGGCGTACGGGATCGTATGTAGACCCAGACGAGCGCGAGGGACTGAGTCCCACTGGTGCTCTGGGTCCACGAATTGCGATTACGGGAGTTTTCCTGATTGGGATGGTGTATCTCGTGCTCATTATAAAGACCCTTAAGAGCTACGGTACACATTGGGTGCTGAAATCTGGGGGACAGGTGCCAGAGCAGGAGGAGGAGCGACGGGGTAGGGAGAGGGTGCGGGGCACGAGTAGCCAGGCGAGCAGGAGGCGGAGTGAGCGGTATGACCATGTACCCGAGGCTACAGCGAGGGAGACCCCGGATCTTCGCAAGGACAAGGTAGTCGAAGAGGTTACGGAAACCGAGGTGAAGGAGAACGGGCGGCTTAGAACTCTATTAGGGTTCGGGGTGAGCCGGAATTCTGATTTGGAGAAGGGGATGCGAGCGGAGAAGGATTCACTTAGACGTGCTCATTCATCGGGCTGAATTATGATATCTGTATGATTACTTATGTACTGATTTGCTATGGACCGCTGTACGAACCGTTATTGTAGAAGATTGCATCGTTGTTATAGATATGAATGTCACCGGAGTACTTGATAAACTGGGAATTCTTCCGTTAAATTATTACGTTTATCGCGCTTCATGAAATGGCATCAAACGATGGTCGTGTATATGGTACTCACAGTAAACTAGACCACGGCTCGGATGCGGTGGCGAGATACTATGTAGTCGTCAGGATTACAGGTCCATGCTCCTTATGTTTCAGTTGCAGAGGCGAAGCGCATTAATCGTCTGCAGATGACAAGCAGAGTAGACACTAGGTAGTGCCGCTATTCGAGGAGAGAAGGTATGTCCGCTCAAAAGTCCGGACTAGTGTAAGAGTAAGATACAACTAGCCACTGCGTGGAAAGTTGAACTGAGAGTACAAGTCATCCTATAAGATCTTTCTTCTCAGTAAAGCGCTTTCAGTGGTAAATAGATGATAGGACGGTCCGGCGTGTCCTGGAGTTTATCGCCTTGTCTGACACTGTTATGAGGCAAGGAATTTTCTGCCATCCTTTCTATGTGGTCTTCGAGCTGCCGATTCAGTTGCTGATATAAACTTTCGCTGGTGATCTTTGCTATGATAGCTGTGTATTCAGTTTGTTCGGTCAGACGGAGCCAGTTTCAACTTTCGCATTGGTTGAACTTTCAACAACTTCAAGCGCATCTATGGCTATTTTGAGATAAGCGCGAATTTAATGGCAATCGTGCATCAAACAAAATTATAGATCAATAATTGGACAAGGTCCCACTAAGCATCTCTCACTCCTGGCAGGTGACTAACTTGCACCGGTCAAAATGCGACGGACACGATTGGAATATAAATGAAAATTCGACTGACTCTGTAGACCTCAGCAAATATGTCGGCTTTACCATTGAAGGAAATCCCGACTCATTTTGCTTTGGTGAAAGCCTGGGTCGAAATGTCGTATATTATCCACCCATTCTTGCCACTTTTTGACTGTCCGAACATAACTCCTCATTTCGTTATTGAAATTGTGCCCCGACTATATCAAATCTATATTCCTGAAACTTTGTACTGGCGTAACATGCATGTAACGACTGTGCTAGTACGTACAAAATGTAATTTTAAAACATGTTTTCCTATGCATATCTGTACCATAGAGTTCAGCATGATTTTCCAGAAAGATTTTCTAAATCGCATGACCAACGGCGTCTGAAGACGATGCTTGCCTTTCTCCCAAGACCTGCCGGAGCAAAAGCTCAACTCGTTCACGGTCCTCACTGATACGATGCATCTCCTCTACCCATCTCGCCTCCCGTTGCTCATAAATACCTCCCAACGTATTCAGACTCTGCAATGCAGCGCCCAAAGCCCGCTTCAAATCCTCCTCCCTCGACTCGCTTCCATCAGACCCACTTCCAGACATGCTCGACGGTGTCAAGAACCTATCTGCCAAAGAGGACCTATGCGAACGGCTCTGCCGGCGCTGGATCGCCAATTGTCGGAATCCTGATCTCATACTTTGCATCATGGGCGACCGAGATAAAGTCGATGACTGCCTCCTAATTGAACGCGAAGTCATCATGTGAAGCTTGGTCGAGTGGGACGGAGCTGCCATCAGGACCATCGTAGCGTCTGTCTGGCGATCAACTGCCTGGAACTGCCAGACGATAGGGTCAGAATTGCCTATCTCGTCGACTAGAGGAAAACTTACTGCTTGAGCAAGCGCATCCCAGCGCGTCTCCCATCGACGACGTCGTTTTTCGACACTGCTGACAAAGGAAGGATGGTATTCTAGTTCTAACAAATCTTCATCATCTTGATCTTCATCCTCGTCCACCCAGTCATCATCGTCATCGTCGACATGACCTCTGTTCACCCAGGCTCCTTCCTCTACGATGGCGAAACGAGTATCCTCTCCGGCGGTTTCCTCGCCAGATGTAGACGGTTCAGGACTCGTATCTCGCGGTTGAGTACTTTCCACACGAGGGGGAGGCTTTCTCCCGGTAGCTTGTGTACGTAAATCAGTAGAGTTGCGTTTCTTCTTTAAGCCTACGTTTGCAGGGCGTGGGAGTGGAATAGGTTCATGGCTAGGACTTGACCTAATGCTTATCGGATCTGGATATCGGCCTCCCAGGACCCTCTGAGTGTGCCAGTACGCCCAAGGGTTGAAAGATGATGTAGGGAAAGGAGTCGATGACGGAGATAAAGTAGAATCAGTGATCTGACCATGATTGTTGTTCTGAGCAAACATAGACCACTGCTTAGCGAACTGCTCCTGGATAACAGCTGGGTTATTTAGGTCGTAGTTTACTGGCATTTGGGAACGATTGGAATGTCCAGAATACGCCTGGGATCTCCGTACATGAGAGAACGGATATGGATAAGGAGATCCCGCTGGAGCGACAGGGCTGAATGGGGGAAGATCCTTGGCATCGTATCCACCAGATATCAGCGGCGAGGGAGAAGGCGGCGAGGTCTGGCTATGCGGGGTAGGGGGAATAGGTGCATCTGGACGTGGAGAGCGTGCCAAATAGGCTTGAATATAAGCTGATGTCGGATGATCCAACAGACTAGCAAAGTCGTCGGAATGTACCTGTGGCGTATAGGCACGAGTGCGTGGATCGGAATACTGCTGCTCCACTCGTTTCCTGGGTTCGACATACTGGGGTGGGACGTCGCGAGGGACACTATGCGGCTCAAACAGCGCTTGGTCGAATCCCCTCAGTCCCAGCTGGTCTGTCACCCCATTACGCGCCCTCCCCCGACCGGGTTTGACGAATTGGTTCTGCTGATATCGATCCTGGGGGATGTCTGCTGGCAGACCTGAAGAGGGAGAACGAGGAGTATACTGGCCATCTTCGTCATCCCGCTGATCTGGCTCGATGAGAGTTTCGTCATCGTCGTCGCGATGACCGGCACGACTACTTCTCCCGTCAAAGGAGCGATTGGGATCGTAACGAGAGGAATTTCCCTCTGGATGGAGGTCGGAAGACGGTGCGGGAGACGTCTGATGGTGCTCGACATCAGCACCCGCCCATTTCTCCCGATCTCTGATATCCCCATTGTTCGATAGTAAGTGGGTGAGCTCCTCCTCGGGCTCTTCCTGCACTGGAAGGGACCTATCAGGACTGCGAGTGTGTATTGCTTGCAGAGGAGGCGTCTGCGTGGAGAGGGACAATGCAGGTCGGCCGTCAGCACCGCTGGGAGCCGAAGTTCGTTTAGGTATCGGTGACGCATCGTATTGATATGAAGCGTAGTTCTGCAGGGTAGGTGGGTGTTCTCCGGGGCTTCCCATCGGTGTATGGTAAGCGGGCGACTGACGAAGCTCTGGGGCTTGGATCTGTGCTGAAGGAGATGAGGGTTGGCGATCACGAACCTTTGGACTTTCTCTCTGAGCCTGTTGCCTGCGACCATCAACGTCTTTGGGACTAGATTTCTCCGTTGCCCGAATGCGTTCGACGGCAGGATCTCTGGAGGGAGAATCTGCTTGTATGTAACCCATGGGATATGAATTCGGAGGCTGAGCGCTATTCTGCGACTGCTGCAGATCGGCGCGCTCGATATCGGCCAAGAGCTCCTCAGTCATTTGCCAGTTCTCGTCATGTTGGAATTTCGTGAGAAATTGTTGAGGGGGGACGCGGTTAATGGGGCGGGGGTAGTGGGTATTGACGTTGGGCTGGGAATGTGATGGTTGGGAAGGTTGAGGACTCATGCGGTGCTCTGCGGTTTCGGGGGGACTAGGATGTGGTGGCGTAGGTAAGAGCCTTTGTACCTGAGGATTTGGGGGTGATCGCCTAGAATTAGTGGGCGCTGTCGGGCTTGGCTGGGCGGGTTGGTGGGCAGAGGTGAATATCTGTGAAGCCGATGGCACAGACTGCGCCTTGATCGTCCGCGTACGAAATGAAGAAGGCGACGGTGACTTCTCCCTGGGCGGCATTTGGCCTGTGCATGACGATAATTAGCATCCGATTAATACAGTAGCGACAAAGACAAAGATTTGAATGAAAGGAAGGCGTGGCGCCCAACTATTACATAGCATTCTTCTCAGTAGGGCGCAGATGGATCGATTTGAAACCGATTTTTCACGTTAATGAAAGAGTAGCACGAGACGTACCTTGAGAAGCTGGATGAATTTGTGATTTACGAGGACGCTGAGGTGACTGGTTGGACATTGCACACAAATTAAAGAAAAAACAATGCTCCAGGTGGGGCCAGGATGAGATGGGAACAAAGGATTTAGGATCGACCACACAACAAAGGTCCGGTCTTTAGGCGAGCAGTTGTGCTACGCGCGTTTCCCTCGTGTCTAAGACAGGATGACGCCTCCAGAAGGCAACGAGGTCGGCAACCACGAATGGCAGTCAGCCTCGAGGTGTTCTTAGGCCATATCTGGGAACAAAACAACCGCCTGATCCGGTGTTTTGATATGTAGTTGATTTCCGCATATCTCAAGGTTCCTTGCTTCAATAATGGCAGCAGAGTTTCTGTAGAACATAAGGAACTTGGAGAATATGGTTACCAGGGGAAAGGGGTGGAATGAAGTGGACAAAAACAGAACAAGATGCAGAACACAAGGCTTGGAAAAGGAAAGAAACATATTAAAAGCTCCTTCCCCCGCGTAACGATCACGTGATAAAAATAATAATTTATTTCTTAAATTGGACATAAGGTATGCCGTCACCGCCAAAGGGTTGCCCTTCGACTTGATTTTTATTACACTCATTGTACATGTCTGCCACGCTACCTAGCTCAAGGTATACTGCTGCTGCTGCCGTTGCCCGCTTTTTTATGTAGCTCACTGCCTACGCCTACCAGATTCATCCAGATATACGATTCGTTGCCACCAGAGTCTCAAAGGAAACTCGTCAAAGCAAATCTCGAGTACATTCTCGACTCTGCACCTAAGAGGAAGGCCAGACGAGGTACGCTCGTGGCGTTCTGGAGAGCTGAAATTGCCTCAATTACATCCAGTCGTGTGCTATGCCTCGAGGTATCGGAAACTGGCACTCCTTGATTCCACTTTTGGATCTGCGGGGAAAGAAGAAAGAGATCAATGGCCTGCTTGCCGACCTCGCACGCGATGCCAAGTGTTCCTTCGTGAAAGACAGGTCGAACCGCGACGAACTACTCACAGAAATCATCGACAGCATTTCGGCGTGGCTCTCTACGATATGGCTCGTCATCTACGAGCATCAAGTTCACTTTCGTGAAGCTCACCAATGTCTGCTGTTTATCTCCCATGTACTGGAGAAGCTCGACGATGGGTCCAGGGTTGGAGGGTACGTGTTGTCTTGTGCTGTATGGTAGCTACTTGACGCGTCCGCATAGATGCCAGTGCTCCATCAACACGTACGAGGTCGATATATGCATCAAACGGACGAACGGCAGAACTGTGAAACATTTTCTGTTCCACGGACCGCATAAAATCAGTTTGGTACTGCTGTGGATGTGGAGAGAATTGTTTGTTACCCTCTCTGCTTCCGGTGGGCATCGAGCTAGAGCACAACTTCTACCCGAGATGTTGTTGGATATCGAAGAAGAGATGGGGTGGAAGTCATTGGCGCGGCTGCTGTATGGAGGCAGAAAAGGTAAGTTGAGCCACGCTATCAAAGGATTTCATTTCTACGTTCTACAACCTTAGAAGATGAAGATGAGGAAAATGAAGAATGGGAAGACTACAATAGTGACAATGATGAAGACGATAAATCGGACTACGTCCCTGACACTGATGGCGTCCAGTGTTCTTGTCATCTTCACGCCCACCACTGGTCCGCGAAAATCGACCGACAGCGACTATATTTGCGAGCATATGTCCAAGAGCGACTACAAAGCATATTTGAGATTGGGCCTTCCCGGGATCTGTTCACCACTCTCGAAGCTCTAGGTGTTGACGACCCAATCGAGACACGCAAAAACTTATTTGACATTCTGTCCCAAGTCGCCGGGTACAGCTCTGACACGTTGGCCGCGGCCCTAGAAATCTACGCGACCGAGAACGAGACCCTTGCAGTTCTCAATCTCCTTGATTCTCATTCGTCGCTCCTCCGCCCACGCGACACTCAATTCCTGCAACTCGCCCTCCTCATGCTCTCCAAGTCACCCTCATTTCGAACCCGTGCTCTCCAAATGATTGAAAAAGAAATAATAGACCTGCTAGGCGCAGTCCATTCCGCCATCCGTTCAAATTTCTGCCGTATCGAAGTTTCTGTACATAGGGACGAGCTCCAGCGGATACTCAAGCTACCTTCTTCCTCGCCACAGCGGAGCGACCGACTCGAACAATGGGTAGACGATGTCATCACACCCTCCTCCGCGCCCCTCCACGCCGTCGCGTTCGCCGCTATGATTGTAGGTATCCCCGCGCCCGGGATCGAAGAGGGTGAAGATCCGGATTTCTTGGGACACTTGGACCTGGATCCATCCGACCCTGATTTGGAGGACCTCAGGCAGGAACTGAGGCCGCCGCTAGGGGAGCGGTTCGATGTCTGGATCGAGATCACCAGGCGCAATCAAGGGTGGGGCGTCCGTCTTGTCCAGGGTATATGCGAAAGCGACGGAACTCATGCCCTTTCTTGCGTGCGCATGATGTGGCCGAGGCTATGCAGGCAAGGTCGGGAATAAGTCAACTAATACTGATATCGTTAGCGTTGATTGACATGCCCTCGTAGGATCTCGGATCGACCGAGCAAGAGGCATGTGAGCGATGCCCTGAGTACGCTCTCGTCCTTTGCGAAGATTCAACGAAAGAAGATGGCTCTGAGGGCTGATAAGAAACGACAAAAACAGCAGCAGGAGCAACAGCCAGCTTCTTCAACACAGTCTTTCCAACTCAGTGCTGGCAGATTTGCATTTAACTTTTCACCGAGCCCTGCTGCACCTCCCGGCCATGCGTCTTTTGGTGGTATTGATGATCTTGATTAACGTATACCTGTATCATGCACTTAATAACTATTATTATGACAGATAACTTAGCCCCGCGCAGATAAGTGCATTGTCCATGTCCTTTGGCAACCTGCAAGACAACACATTTCCGCATACACATGGAGGCTGCGCTCAAAGGACCCTTCAGTTCACTACACACACATGTCGGTCATCTGTGACGTTCAAGTCATATCTTACGCTTGCATATCGAAGGCAAAAACACGCCCAGCGGCGTCTGGAAAACGTGTTTTTAGGCTTCGCAGCACGCTGCTCATTGCGAATATCGGTGTATCGTCACATATGATGGACTTTGTGAGCCTTTTGCCGTATATTTGAGGTAACGTTAGGGCTTGTCATTGGCCGTTGAAACGTTGATTGCCTGCGTGGGAAACTGTTATACTTAGCCGTGCGAACACGATCAGTGTGGGCCGCTATATGAGAATCAATGGAGTAAGTATCTATAGCAAGCACAAAGGAAGGTATTAAATAAATAAATAAACTGGTCCATCGAGAACCGAACATCTCCTCGGACACCATAACATATGGCGGAAGATGGTGAGTTTTTGACTAATTTAAGTAGATAAATTACTATCATCCAGGAAGGACGAAGATGGTTAGCAGTCGATCCACAACACGCACCGCGCGTTCGCAGAGATAACGCCAACCCAAGACGCTTTCAAAATGCTCTTACCACGGATTCTACGATCCACGCCAAGCAGAAGAAGGGAAAGTCCTTCCTTCCTTGCACCAGCACATCACGAAACAGAACATGAAGTAGGTGGGTATCTCGGTCAACAATCATCCGTGGAACATTATTCTTCCATTAAATCAAACAGCATACTTGACGGGGGGGAATTAACATTACATCTCGAATACATTTTCTTCTATTTTCCCTTCATTTTGCGACCACTTAGAGACGACCTGGGTAACAATGAGCCAACATCGTGGGAGACATGAACCGGTTACGCACCAACGTTGCCGAGGTCTTCACAGGCTTCCTTGACACGAACAACAAGCGTCTTCTCACCCTCACGCACCCAGACACGAGGATCGTAGAACTGCGCATTCATTTTAACATTCCAGCGAGAACAATACTTCAATGAAGGCACATACCTTCTTGTTGGGCTTGTCAGAGCCCTCAGGATTACCAACTTGGGTCTGGAGGTAGCCCTTCTTGTTCTGGACAAAGTCCCGGATACCGGCAAGATAAGCGAACTGGGTATCTGTGTCGACGTTCATCTTGACGACACCGTTGCTCACGGCAGTTTTGATTTCCTCCTTGGTGGACCCAGAACCGCCGTGGAAAACGAGGAACAACGGCTTCTCGGCCCCGCCGCCTAGTTTCTTACTCGCGAATGCTTGATGCTGTCCGAGCAGTCCAGGCTGGAGACGGACGTTTCCAGGCTTGTAGACACCGTGGACATTACCAAAGGCAGCGGCGATACTGAAGTTAGGGGAGATCTGGCTGAGGGCGCTGTAAACATCCCAAATGTCCTCTGGCTGCGTGTAGAGGCTGGCATTGTCAACGCCAGTGTTGTCGACACCATCTTCCTCACCGCCTGTGATACCGATTTCCATTTCAAGCCACAAACCGAGGGGCGCCATGCGTTTGAAGTACTTGACGCAAGTCGCGATGTTTTCCTCTTTTGGTTCCTCGGAAAGGTCGAGCATGTGAGAAGAGAAAAGGGGTTCCTGATGTTCCTTGAAATAGGCTTCATCGGCCTCGAGCATACCGTCGAACCAGGGCAAGAGTTTATGGGCGCAGTGGTCACTGTGGAGAATGACCGGGCTAAGATGGCGTGTTAAGATTGAGAATACCAAGTCTTAATGAATAAACCTACACTCCGTAAGCCTTGCTTACAGTTCGGACGTGGTGCGCGGCAGCTGTTGCGCCAGCAATAGAAGCCTGCTGCTTGTCGTTGGCCAGACCCTTGCCAGCGAAGTAGGCACTGCCGCCTTGGGAGACCTGGATGATGATGGGCGATTTGATGTCCCTACGGTAGCGATGAGCAAATCGCCGTTGGATACGGTCATGACGAGGCTTACCTGGCAGCCTCAAGTACAGCATTTGCAGTCGAGGATGAGGTTACATTCTACCGAACGCGAATGTGAGTATTATGAAATCAGATATGACAGGTCCGCTCACGATAGCCTATACGGTGAATACCGGTGATGAGTACAGATATCGCCCGGCAGCTGCAGAAAACTCACAGGAATAGCAAACTACACGAAAAATCAACATATATACGTCAAATCAAGCTCTATCCAGCGTACCTTGTTCTCCTTTGCGTACTCGAAGACTTTGCGGACATTATCGCCAGTCAAAACGCCAGCCTACCGTCACTGTTATCATCGGTTCCCAGCATCAGCTGGCTGCGACACTTACCGGAACGATGTCGAGGATGCCCATGATATTGCTTCGGGAAAAAGAGGAAGATTGTGAACGGAATTCCGATGGTGGTGGTCAGTACTTAGGAGCGATCGGATTCGAGTTTCCCCAATTTATGCGGAGCACGTGGTGGATCGGACCGGCTATTGCCGGGAGTACTTTCTATTGCGATCATCATGGCGTTCTCACCAATACCTGAGGCAACCTAGGGCAACCTGAGGCAGCGGTGGAGAATAAATAGTACATAGAACCGGTATTGCAGCCACGGGTATATTTGCGTATCGGGTTCTCAAACCCACTTCATTTCCGACTGGGTATCGAACAGACCAGGCAGGCAGCTTATCCGCGTCCTTCGTATCGCACACCACTCAATCAAGAGCCCTCTTCGCAGCTGGCTACACTGAAGAATCAGGCTTGGAAGTTATAAAGTATGGTGTATCGGGTGTGTTGGCGTTGGTATACTCGACGGATACAGAAAAGAGGGTCGAGTCAGGAATGGAAAGTCCAAGTTAGGATGTAAGCAGTCTCAAAAACTTTAGTCGGTAAGAATAAGAATAGGAAGGAAGGAAGTTATATAGGGGAATTCAAACCTTCTGAATTCGCATCGATTTCACGCTGATTTCACGTTCATGAGTTTGACTCTGATTTCGCGATTTTTTGAGTGCGAAATCCGGGTGAAATCCGATTTTGCTTTGACAACCCCCGAGTTCACGCTGATTTCGCACTGATTTGTAAGTCGTGCCGGCCTGCTCGTCCTGTCCGTGCATTTGCCGAACTCAATAATGAAAATCGCAGCGAAATCCGATTTCACTGACGGCTTTTTTATCTCATTTTATTTATTGGACATCAGACATCGAAATCGATGCGAAATCAATAGGTTTTATTTCCCCAATTAAATGATATAATTGCCGTGTGTAATGTGCTCAAGCCAGTATTTTACCTCAAATGCACTGTGAAGGAGAGGTACGACAGCTATTTCGACAAGACTGAGGACAAACTAGGGATCGTCAAGAAAGGCAGAGACGGCTACGATAAGGAAGATACAAAGAGGCAGTTGTTATCCAGATGCCCTCCGCAGGTGAGCAATCTTTACTAGACATGGGATTCAAAGGTGAAATACAACTAAACAAACACCTTGTTAGTCACGTAGTCATACAAGGGGTCCCCAACGAACCTGATACAGGAAGCGACACTGCAAAAGAGATTCAGAGCTTGCGATGTACTGACACTTCGCCCAAGATAGTCTTCCAGCACGAATAGATGGACCCAGGAGGGATGAGTGCCCCCGTTGTATCCTCGAATATTTCACCGATCAGGGCCCACAAACCTTCGAAGAAGTGAGAAATCACAAGAAAAAAATAACAGAAGAATACCTCACCTGGAGGTTTTTGGGTAACCTTGCGAAAGTAATAATTGATGCGCCAGAAAACAGAGTTGGAAGTTACAAGGTATGGTAGATCATGCTGTCATTGGGTATTGATGTCTTGATGTTGGTATACTCGACGGATACAGAAAAGAGGATCGAGTGAGAAGTGGAAAGTCCAAGTTGTGATGTAAGCAGTCTCAAAAAACTTTCAGTCGGTAAGAATGAGAATGATAACAATACAGTGCGTGTGTAATGTGTTCAAGCCAGTATTTTATCTACAATGCACAGTGAAGGAGGGGCGCAACGGTTATCTCGACAAGACCGAGGATATACTAGGGATCGTCAAGAAAGGCAGGGACGGTTACGATAACTTGTAGATTGGTGAACGTCTGTCTAGCCACCCTAGTCGTTGCAAGCAAGAAAGTGAGGATAAGGAGGAGACAAAGAGACGGTTGTTAACAGTTGAATGAGGCAGACGTCCGGATGCCTTTCACAGGCGAGCAATCTTTGCTAACCGTGGGATTCACGGGCGGAATACAGCTAAACAAACACCTTGTTAGTCACGTAGCCATATAAGGGGTCCACAACTAACCTGATGCAGGAAGCGACACCGTGAAAGAAACTCAGAGCTTGCGTTGTACCGACACTTCACCCAAGATAGTCTTCCAGCACGAATAGACGGACCCAGGAGGGATGAGGGCTCCCGTTGTGTCCTCGAATATTTCACCGATCAGGGTCCACAAACCTTCAAAGAAGTGAGAAATCAGAAAAATAAATAACGGAAAAATGCCTCACCTGGAGGTTTTGGGGCTGCCTTGCGGAAGTAATAATTGATGCGCCGTGCATCACCCATTTTTTCGACAAGCAGGGCGCGACCTCGGAAATGGAGGAGACCGTCTACATAGGAAGAGTTCAAAACCGTTTCCTTGAACGGTTCCTTCCTGATACAACACAGCATTCCTGGGGCAATCGCCAGAGTAGCCTCCCTCAAGAAGATGTCCCAGTGGACATCATCAACGACACCACGAATGTGGTCGACCTCTGGCTTCTCCGCGATGATGTGCCAATCGACGGGTAAGACACTGAGCTTGGTCGCCACCTTGTCGAGCGCTATGGATATTCGAGTCCGGATGAGCTGTTCGTTACAGAGTATGGACTCATGCCATCCACCTCGGATGCGGTAATTGACTTCGAAGTTGATTCGCTGAATATTTTTAAAGCACCTGCGAAAGCCGGAGTGATTTGGCAAGCTGGCCAGTACCGAGTAGGGTTCCATGGCGGCGTCTTTGGTAGTTTCAGTGAGGTCGACATGACAGGTAATAGAACGGACGGAATGAGGAAGGCCAGAGCAGTAGATTGCGGAGCTGTTGGTGCGAATGATAGTGCTGAGATAGACGAGGTATGCGACCGTTGGAATGTAGACGTCGCGAGAAGAAATTCGTGCAAAGACCTCTTTCCAGAGATTGTTGATGAGAGGGCAAGCTTTCATGAAGGTGATACGATCTTTCGAAGAATGCTCCGAGTACCAGAATTCTAAAACAACGACCTCAAGGAGCTCCGTAGGAAGCTCGAAACTGGTCATGGTGGTAAGAGAGAAGGATGTGGCAGGCTTTCAAGTTCGCGAGATCGAAGGTGTCGGCTTTCCGGGCCGTGTGTGTAGTATTGAAAATTTTTTCAGAAATTCAATCCTCCTTTATATAACCTCGACAAGCTATGTACGCGTTTTTCCTCTGTCAGGATTTCTCTGTACAACAGATTTCTCTTGTCAATATCCCCTTTTTTTGTTCCGTCCTGCGTTTTGAACATAACGAACGCTTCTTCACCGCTCCATCGAAGAAATAGGTTGCAATTATTATCACGCCACGATTCTTCAGTACCTGGAGACCCCCAATTTTGGTAACGATGTTAACTTGGTTCTTCTCTGATTGGTAAATACCAACCCCTTGCCTTCGCTGAACCAGTAGCTGACATACGACTCAAATTCGAAAGTATTGCAAGTGTTACATATTTCTATTGCGTGTCGTTCTGCTAGTATTCTAACTGCTTATTCTACCGTTCATCTCGTCCCAAATCAATCACAAGAAAGATTCATCAACTGGGTCTGCGGCAATTGGAGGATACGCCGCGTTGACCTGAGCCACCCACTGCTGGGCGGCGTCCAATTGATCATGCGGTGCTGTGAATGGCAGCGTGCTCCTAAATGCTAAGTAGTTCTCTACGATTGCTTGTACTCTTCTTTCCTGGGTGCCCAGACCAGTTGTGATTCTATCGAGATCAGTCCAACGAGGGGAGACGCGTGCAGCCAAGGCCCGTTCGGCAGAGTACAGAGCTTCTGCTATTTGTTTCGACACTAGGCATTGCCTTGATGGACGCTTCTTAGACGATGACAAATTAAATGTAACTGGTGTACGTACTGAGTCACTGTCAACGAGCAAAGCTGATATGCATCCGATTCCCTGGTGTCCACTTGACAGGAGGCGCGCTGATTGTCTATATATGTGTTGAATTCAATGAACTGCTGTTCAACCTTCTGTAAAAACCATGAGTAATTATTTATGCTTAGCGTTGTGCAAGTATACTTTGAGTGCAGCAGCCCTTTTGTTGTCTTGATCCTCTTGCATCGTTATTATAGTCCAGCTTCCTGGGAATACGGCGCCAACAAAGCATCCCAAAGCGATCTGTTCTATATTTCGACTCCAAAGCGAAAACGAGAGCACAAAAACAACATAAATATGCCATGGGTACTTTCCGATAATCTGGATTTCAAAGCGTATCAGAAACATGAAGAACAGATGGATATTTAGTACTATATTTGCTATGACTTACAAGGGCGATTGGGTACAAAAATTTGATGAACATCTTCTTGAATATTCCGGGCATGTTTGGGTATCGTAAGGAACAAAGCATCGAGAAATAGAACTGAAGAATGATTAATGGTCGAACTTATATTTCGACGTGACGTCACATTTTCACGTGATCGTGATCTGCACTCTGAAATTTTAAATTATTAAATATGTAGTTTTCGATTATTTTGACATCACAGTCACCTTGTGGACACTCAAACTTCAACCACTCGAACGTCCGACATATTCTTCGTGCATTTCTTAATTTCGTCTGTCGCAAGCGATTCGTACAAAAGGTTTTGCTTTTTAATGAAATTTCCACGCCATTTTACCTGAAATATAACGGTTCTAGAAAACATGGATTCAAGTTCATCTTCCCAGCAGCAGCAGCAGCCGTCTTTTTCTCCAAACCCCCTTGTACCTCAGGCAATCCTCCTGTTAGCCCTTTTCAATGAGCCCATTTCCTCACGCATCCTGCAAGCAAATGCATTCATGAAGATATTCTACAGTCTCTTCCTTTTATGCCACAGAATCTTCACAATCTCGCTCCTGTTATATGCATCGACCAAGCTCTTCGTGTACGTGGTGTCATCCCTCGCATTCGCTGCAGGATACGACGCAAAACATCGTGATGGACGTCAACCAGATCGTTGGACAGCGCGCGAGATGGCCGCCAGCCTTCACTGGATGATTGCATTCGCTTTGTCCTCAGCTGCATGGTCTCGTCCGAGCGGCTCAAGCTCCATATGGGGAACCTTGGAGGAGATAATCGCAGTGCTACCATTCGCTCTCTGTGCGCCTCCAGTGACTATTCAAATGCTGTCAATATTGGCCTACGCCGTCCGTACATATCTCTGGTCTCGAGATCGTGCTAAACAGAACAACATTTCCCGTCCATTGCCTTTCCCAACCTTCGAATACGTTCTGACGACTGTGTTGTCGATTGTCGCGATCATAATGGCCGTCGCCGTAGCTCGCATGGACTCCGTGTATAATCGAGAAGGACCAGGTTACTTTCGAAACCTCTGCGCCATACTTTCCGTCATACTGAAGGTTTTCGCCTGGTCTCATTTTGATCGCACAATCGTCTGTCTGCTTTTTCCTTATTCTCGGCTGGGCTCGTGGGCTGAAGGCGGGAGTTCGACGGGAACCAAGTGCTACAGCGATCAATTCGTCCGAGACGTCAGCACATTAAAGAAATATCTTATGTTTGTTGAACTCTCCCGATGTTCTGTGTTGCATCGTACTCATTTCCTTCTCACAGCTGCACAAAGCGTCACGGTTTTCCTTTCTTTCAACCAAAGCAATACATGACAAGCATACTTTTCTTGATGGCAACCAGACTTCATTATACGCCTTTAGCTTAAACGGCGCGCCCTTGCCACCTGTCAGCATTTCCAAGTCCAAAGATATAGACTCCCTAGCTTCAATTTGATCGCACAATCGTCTGTCTTCATTTTCATTATTCTCGGCTGGGCTCGTGGGCTGAAGGCGGGAATTCGACGGGAACCAAGCACTACAGCAATCACCACGTCCGAGACGCTAGCACATTAAAGACATATCTTACGTTAGTTGAACTCTCCCGATGTTCTGTGTTGCACCATACTTATTTCTTTCTCACAGTTGCACAAAACGGCGCGGTTTCACTTTCTTCCAGCCGAAGCAATACGTGACAAGCATACTTTTCTTGATAACAACCCGACTTCGTTACATGCCTCGAGCGCGCTCTTACCACCCTGTCAACATTTCCAAGTCCAAAGATATAGAATTTCCTCGCCGCTGTACGATCTGTAGAAATAGGGATTTTGCGCCAGCGATGTTACGGCCCGGCCGAGTTGCCTGGGAAGGGCCGGCCCGGAAGTACTGCTCCAGTAAACCTGTTTAACCTGCATCGACGTTTTTTCTTTGCCTTAGGGTACTGGCCACTAGTGACTATCGTTATGTTCGAATCTGTACTATGTTTCTGGTCGTCGTCCTGCCTTGGACAGCAATGCATTATGTGACGAATCCCTCCGAAAACCGAAGCTCTCAGAACTAGTAGTCGCGTACTCCCAGCTCCCGCATTACAACGATCGTCTGGAAATAGTCTTTCGATTTAAATTATTATTTTAGGCCCAACTGTGCTGACGTCACTTTCAATTGCTTAAATCGAAGCTCCCGTCAGTGACACTTTGCTTCTTTCCTCTTCCGAATGACGACTCTGGCCTTCACTTTTTTCGCATTCATGCTCTCAACCGTAAAGAAAATGTTCACTAGATATCTGAACCCAATCGCCCTTGTAAGTCGTCGCGAAAGTAGTATATCTGTATTTTCTAACGCAGTTGAAATCCAAAGTATCCGTGGCGCAGCTATTTCGTTTTCATCATCATCTTATTGCTTTGGACTCGGAATAAGGGATTCATCGCATTTGGAGCTATTGCTGGTGCCGTGTACCCCGTCAGCCGTACTATAATAGCAGAGCAAGAGCACCACAAGAAGATAATGTCCGAGATGTTCAAAGTACGCTTCCATCACGCCAAGTATGAATAATTACTCATGGTTGGTACAGAATGTCGGACTGCAGTTCAACGAACTCAGCGCATATCTCGACGATCAGCGCAACACCTTTCAAGTGAATGACGAAGAATCGGACGCATTGCAGCTTTGTTCGTCGACCATAACTCAGTACGTACACCAATAGCAGTCACTTTTCACCCTCTAAGACGCATACATCCAGGCAATGTCTTTTGTCGAAACAGAGAGCCGATGACCTGTACTCTGCGGCCCAAACCTTTATTGCTGGTGCTTTCCCTCGTTGGTCCGATTTTGCCCAGATCGTGATCGCTCTACGCAAGGAGGACGAGAAGATACGGGCCATCGTAGAGAGCTATTCGGCCTATAAAGTCACTCTGTCAGCCATCCCGCCGCATGATCAACTGGAAGCTGCTCAGCAGTGGACGGATGAGATCAACGCAGCGTATCCTCCAATTACCACAGACCCAGTTAATGGAAATTCCCTGTAACCAACATTGACGAGATGCAGAGTAGAGCACTCGGTTAGAATAATTACAGTAGAGCAACACGCAATGAGAACATGTACTTGATTTGTTTATCATGTCATGTCTACACGGACTGGTGAGGACGCGTCAAAATGCCCGTTCACGTCTGGTTCCACGAAATTGGTAGCGAAGCGAAGATAACGTAAAGTCGAAGGAAAATTGAGCCGCTGCTAGGGTCGAGTTCCTAGATTTTTACATTGGAAGAAAATTTGTTCATAGGGTCAGTTAATTTCTCGCAGAAGCCTTCAAGAAGAACACGTTCTCTTCAGGACATGACTTTGGCCAAAGTATACCTGTCCTCGTATATGTCTATGCATCTAACAGGAATGCTTGGATGTACTGGAGTCGTAGCAAGTAACCACTACGTATTTGTGTATTATACCACAATAGGACGGGTCTTTGTTCCCTTCGGAAGATAAATCAGCTCTTCAATAGTAGACTCGTCGTCCGAATCAATCATATTGAGGGACTCGTTGTGCTTTCGTTTTGACCCCATGCCCGGCGTTCCTTGATTCTTGGCCGGCTTAGGAGGAGGCAGAACCCAGTCCGCCGACCTCTCAACAAGCTCGCGTTGGAAACCAACATCATACCCCACACACTTCATTTTCCATACAGTCAATAACTGAATTAACATGTGAGAAGAGGACTTAGAAGTGAAAGGATCAGTCGACGCCTTATCAACCAACCCTGACGCAATGCGTGAGCCATCTGTTCCTTCGTGACATTCTTGTACCGGTTTCCACCTTGGAGAGCCTGGTCGATTTCTGCCTTTGCTGGTTTGCGACCAAGTTGGTGGCGCAGATGAACGATAGCTCTGCACCGAGTACCATACCCTGCCTTGGATATCTTATGTGCCCAAGTCGAAACAACCTTCAGAGCGTGTTAGGAATCATGACTCGACCTAATACGGCTATACATATTGCTCACAATGTTCTCCTGCTTCTCCCATTCTTCTACGGTCAGAGGCGCAGCTCTCTCCATCGAATACTGACCCATATATTGCCATTTCCCACTATCAATCCGGGAGAAAACTCTTTGAGTTTTTGGCCACTCGCTTTTGTTTCGAGAAGAGAAGAACAACCCTGGTGCCCCTGGTATTTGCGGAGCGTGAGGATTCATGTTCAAATTGAGGTACATGAAGTCATCCATGTGGTGTATGTCGAGGAATTTTTGAGCCGATATTCGGAAAGGTTTCTTGGGTGTTCCCGCCCCAAAACTTGCGACATGAAGCGACGATCTACAGTGACATCCCGGATTTCGGGGTCAAGATCCACATTGTAGACACGGAGGCCCCTGATACGATTCTGAACAGTATCCAGGGTTAGTTCTAGGTTTTTATTTTTCTTTATATCGGGCTGCAGAATCATATTATCGCAAAGTCGCTGGTTGTACCAGTGAAATATCACTTACGTTGACAAGTATTTGTATTGCCTGGTTGTCGTCATCGTCCTCGCCAATTCCAGGCGGAAATTTGTCTAGGACGGAGCGTAAGGTGGGAACAACCACCTCTACCTTGACCACCCGACGCCTTTTGCGAGGGGAGAAGAGGGAACCGGATCTCGAGTCAGTACTGGAAGATAGTCGGCTATCGGGAGTAGATGATTGGAGAGCTAGGTCTTCAAGGTGTACTTCTGGCTGGAATTCCTCGCCCAAAGGTAAGTCATGTAGGATGAAAGGGGGAGGAAAATCGACAAGTGCGCGGTGTTCCGAATCTGTCTCGACTTTCACAACGGAGACTTCAGTTCTAGTATAGAGTAATCGTCGACTTCTTCCCTCTTGAGTTCTTTCTCTATTGATTCTTGTACCATGCCGACCTCAAAGCCAGAATTCTATGAATTCGAGGTGTTGGTCAAAGAGTAAACGAAAAGGAAATGCATATTTGAAATTTCACGTTGAACTTAGTTTGCCATGCCGGCGGCACATAGTATGTATTCACTACGTCGTGCCGCAATGCCGCACCGCCAAGGGGATCATGCCGGCTCGGGCCGCATCCTCAGTTTCCAACCACCATTTCAACTTTCTCATTCGTAGCTTCTACGCCACAGAAAGGGAGACACTTTTCTCGTGGATTCTATAGCATACAGGTCGGCTGACTTACGCACTGATCTCATCTCATCTCAGTCGATACTAAATTTATGGGTTCATCTCGCACAAGTTCATCAGCTTATTGGTTTCGCTACAGCCGTAATTCCGACGCCTGACTTGCCTTCTAGTGTGGCAAGTTGACCGTTACGCGAAAAGCATGAGTTTTGCGTCAGCTGACGGGCTTTCTGAGCTGGCAACGCTCTGAAATTATCCGAGCAGTGGGACTACACTGGAGCGAAAACAGTATGGTCCTTGACCACGAGCGACAGCGCGAAGCAGTACTTGAGACTGCCCTGGGCGGCCCGCGACGAGATTCTGCTCAGAACATGACATTTTTATATAGCGTGGCGGCGATCGATTGACCGCCAGGAACTCGTCAGGAGCTGATGGAGAATCGCGTCAATGCCCTGCAATAACACGTTCTCTGGATTCGCCGAAGTGACTACTAGAGCTATTACTTGCTATTCTGCAGGTCAAGACAATTTCATCGAGCTCGTCTACTAATAAAATGGATTTACTTATACAGACGGCCGCCGAGATTAATGCTTCGTTGGTGATCGGAACAGAGACTCTCTCCCTCGTCTCGGAATTACTCGGCATAAATCCGGCTAAAGTGAAGTTTCAAGACATCGTGCATTCACAAACCAGCGTTCTCTGCTACTGCCCGTAGGGCCCGTTCGTTCCGTCGGTCCGCGGTGCAAAAATGAGAGCACTGTTTTTAGAGCAAGAACAAATGGTAAACCTGGTATAAAAGCTCTAGTTTTTGCGAGGAGTCTCTTCAGAACTGGTTCTTGTCTACCATGAAGTGGATCTACTCTCTCCTGATTTTCGTCGCGGTCAACGCTGTCTCTGTATGTACGCCGCCACTCGAAACGGCGTCACATTCTGATATTCTGACCAGGCCACTCCGCTTGAGAATAAAATTTTCAAGCGCGCATCTGTTTCCGATGTTGCTACCGTCGGTTATGCGACTCTCAACGGGGGGTAAGGTCTGTCCCCGGAATATATACGCCTGAACTGATGAACATCACAAGCACTACTGGTGGACGTGGTGGACCTACGACTACGGTCACGACGCTCGACGCTTTGACGAGCGCTGTTACTGGTAACAGTCCCAAGATCGTTATTATCTCAGGTAAACATACCTTCCCAAGTACTGAAAGGACGAACTCACATACGACTCTTGCGCCAGGCACTTTGACCGGCAATACTGTCGTCAAAGTTGGTTCGAACACGTCGGTTCTTGGTGCTCCCGGGGCAAGTAAGTGTTGCAATAAAAATGATGAAGAGTTACGTTCGTTTCTTATCCTTTTTCAGCGCTCAATGGCATCGGTCTTCGTGTGTTGTCGGAATCAAATGTGATCATTCGTAACATCAAAATATCCAAGGTTTTGGCGTCAGCTGGAGATGCCCTCGGCGTTCAGTCCGCCAGCCAAGTCTGGCTTGATCACCTGGATCTTTCCAGCGACAGAGACCATGACAAGGTATGTACCTACCGTTTATTTCTATTTTCCTGCAAGCCCTTATTCTTCTCCAGGACTTGTAAGTGCCTCATGTACTGAGCGGTGGAGTTAAGACTAACGAACGTTAGCTATGATGGTCTTCTCGATATTACTCACGGCTGCACCGGTGTGACCGTTACAAACAGCAAATTGTATACACACTGGAAGGCTTCTCTCGTCGGCCATTCCGATAGCAATGGGGCCGAGGACAGTCGCTATCACTGTTACCTTTGCTAACAACTGGTGGTTCGATCTGAACTCGCGTACTCCGTCATTCCGGTATGCTGGTCGTAATTTTTTCTCGAGCGACCTTCTGACAATCCGACAGATTCGGACATGGCCACATCTTCAACAACGTATGAATCTCTCTATATATTCAATGTGTACGTTCACCTTTTTCCATCTTTAGGTCTTCGATGACAACAACGATGGCATAAACACCCGTGATGGTGAGTATTTCGATTACTCATATAGTAAACGTTGTCTTAGTGCCAACTTCTAGGTGCTCAACTCCTCGTCGAAAATAATGTCTGGACTGGTAGGACCACTCTCCTTTTGTTCTATCAACACTGACACTGAAATTGTTCTAGGCACTGACAAGCCTCTTTACGCCACCGATGAAGGCTTTGCTGTATCTCGAGGCAATGGTATGTAGGCTCCCTTCACTTCCTACCCACTCCCTTCTCATACAGTTAATATCAGACTTCGGGCCTGATGGGGCAGACAGTGCGTAGCCCCCCTGGATCTCGATCGTTTACAAGTTTCTCATGATCTTACAGCCGCCCCCGTTGGAAACTTCAACACTGCGCCCTATTCTTACACACTGTTGCCAACTGCCAACGTCAGGGCCTCCGTTACAGCAAGCGCTGGGCAAACCTTGACTTTCTAATGAAGTCATCTTTAGTATGTACTAGGATTTCAAATTATAGGAAATTGACGTGCTGCCAAAAGTTTGAGGAGTCGAGTGCCAAGCTAGGTTCAATGAAGACTGTTTTGAAATATAACGATGCTTTCCCTTTCCCCATTATTCACAAGGACTTAGAGAACCTCAATGTCTTCACCGCATTATTATTGCTCGAACTTCTATTAAGAACGGCACTCCTGCGGCATGACGCCCTGTGATATATGATACCTTACAATAGTGCTGCTACAGAGTCCGACGCATCGGTATCAAGCGGAATCAGCGGCATCTTCCTCAGGTGACAGCCAACATGTTGACAAAAGCGGCTGTGTTGTTTTCATCTGCATCCAGCGCTTGCTTCTCAAAATAATATAAAGTAAGGGCTAGCTATTACGTTCAAGGACTCGAGCTGATAATGCACTCAGAAGCGATAATTGTACCTCCCCACGATGGCTACCCCCTGTTCTTGACTGCTAAAAGATACTGGTCATCCTCCCCTGCATCTCAAGGTTCGGATGCATTGACGCTGCTGTGCCTCCATGGAACGAGCTTTCACAAAGAGAGCTGGGAGCCAACTTTGGAAAAGATTTTCGATCTTGCTTCTTTTGGCGGTTCAGTGCGGATCCGGGAGGCGTGGACGCTGGATTGTCCCAATCATGGTGCATCAGCAGTGCTGAACGAGGGGGTGTTGCAGACACCAGAATTCTATCTGAAATGTGCGTTCGTCACATTCGACGACGATAAACATTAACAATAATTCGATCCAGTCAGCTGCGAGAAATACGCCCAGGCGGCGCATCGCTTCTTATTATCTAAATCTGCGCATGGCATCGACTTTAGAACGCGCAACCTTGTGGGTGTAGGGCATTCACTTGGAGGGGTGGCAATGTACGTGGCTTTGACCCACTGGCATTTCAACCGGTATTGACGGGATCTTTCGAACAGGACAATGCTGCAGTATATGTCACCTACGATCCCTTTCTTGTCGATAATACTTGTCGAACCGCTTTTGAGTCCAGCGGGTGCTGATCATCTAAAAAAGTTACGCTCCATTCTTATCAAGGGCGCATACGAACGTCGGGACGTATGGCCAGACCTCACGACGGCCATGGTCTCCCTCAAGAGGCGTGATCGGACGAAGAAGTGGGATCCGAGGATCCAACAGCTGTTTATTGTACGTTAACCTTTCGACGTCTACGGCGTTAAGTTAACATACGGCTGACGCCTATCCCGCTAGCAACATGCCATCCGACCGCATCCGGGTTCTTATCATGTTGAAAACCCTTACACGGGCTTTTCACTTGCTTGTACGAGGGATCAAGAAGCGGTACGTCGCACTTGATATCCAGGAGAAAAAGTCGAAACACGGTCTCATGAAACCTTAGGCCATGTATCGAGATCCAGAAGGTGCTACTAAGCCTATAGGCGACTTGAATAGAGCTTGCGCGAGTCGGCCAGTGCATCTAGTGTTGGGTGGTATCCATGATTTCTTGTAAGTCTAGGCGCTACCTACCAGTTTTCCTTCTCCTTGATTGTCGACACAGACCGAAACGAGTGCATGAGGCAATTGTTGATCCTAGTTCCGGACGACCCTTCGCTTCTATCACTACAATTCCAGAGTCTGGCCATCTGGTGAGTGTTTAATATGACTGAACAGAATTGCGTCGGTCTAAAAGTGATGCAAGGTACCGCAAGAGCAACCCGATAAACTAGGAGAAATAATATTTAATGCGCTGGTTTCAAACGGAACGCCACCAGGACGATCGAAGTTGTAAGTTTTGACCCGTGATTTACACATCGGAACACAAGAATGTACAATAATACATAATGATACAAATGGAGGGATAGCGAATGCTAAGTAAGACTTCTAATGACTTCCGCTCTAGCCCATTCAGCTACACCGGTGTTGTTCACTGCATCCAGCTGTGCCCGCCATATCAATAACCGGCTGGACAACAGATCCCAAGCCGGTTCTTTATCTGAGAACGTCATTGATACGCGCCAGAGCGACTCGACTGCCTGACCCCATTCCCTTACAGGGTCATCCGACACGTTGTCGAACAAATGGAGCTTGGTGTGAAGCGAAGACAGTGGCGTGGGTGCGCTCCTGCTCATACCTAACGGTTTCCACTCTATCTGCTTTTCTGTCTCTTCAAGACAGTACACGGTCCGATTGAGTAATGAAGTCGAGCTCGGAATCAAAGGACCGGGTAGCAAAGCGAGGCGCAGCAGCACGCGGGCCACCAATGATAACACAGAAAGCTTGACTAGAGGACGATTTTAGCATCAATCGATTATGCAGGAATCGGGTTGACCTACCTGATGACGAGTCATTGAGGAGAAGTGACATGCAACGGCCTATTATCCATCGCCACTGGCCGCTTGTAGCTGTCTCTAATTTTTTTGCGTCACTACAACATATGATGTTCTCGATGATCTTCAACCACGCAATGCTCTCGTCTTCAACGAGATTGAGCAATTGCATTTCAATCCAGCAATGAAGCCCCGACTTCAAAACAAGAGACGTTGTTGCTTGGGGAATGCAAGTCAAGTTCGCCAACACCTAAGAAAGGATGATTGTTGAACGGAATCAGATATTATTGTTTGGACTAACCTCCAGAATGCCTTTACGCAAAGCAACGTCATTGGACGCTTGGAAAATACTTGCAAGAAGGTCCCACGTATGCCGACGCTTGAAAACTCGCCAGTCATCGGTACCGACCAGTCCGTCAGAAAGAAGTCTGATCATCCATGCCCTCTCTTGTTTCCAGTTGTCGGAGCTACTGTATAGCAACCCGAATAGCATCGGCACATCGCTGATGTCCAGCTCCGGACGTTGCAGTAAGAACCGCGCGGTCAACGGGTACGCGAAATGAGAGGGATAGAAAACACCTCTCAACGCATGTAGTAATATTAAGGTGGAGTACGTCGGCAAACGTTTGGGGCATTCTCCGGCTGATGGTTGTGGTATGGTATCTCGGAGTAGCCCGAGTATGTAAAGAACGGAGGGCTTCTCTTGCATTTCGACGGTCTATAAACACCGTACCATTAGCTGCTGCGCAAACATGATACAGATGATCGTACTGACTTCTAGTTGTTTCCACAGAGCTGATATGCAGTATATCGCGAGCTCGCGGATGTGGCCACCTTTTGCCGAAAGAGATCGGATAACAAGGCCGACGACGTTCGTCCGAAAGAATTCGATCCAAGGGAAAGTACCCTGGGGTGGATCTTCTGCTAAGGTATGCGCGAACAGAAGGATGACGAAGAGAGGATCATAAGTAGGCACTGGATGCTTGACTTGGTCAACCTGATCATCAACACGCCGCCAATTGGGATAGTGGAGGCAAGTTTGGAGAAGGAGTGTTGGATCCAGGCTCTGGATGGCCTCCAAGGCACCGTTCGACATCGTCTCATGTGATGCATTCCACTGATTGAACAGAATCCCGATCGAGGTCTTTCGTTGTGCCTCAAAAAGACGGAAGATTGAAAGCAGCTTCCGGTCAGATATTGATGCAGTTCCATGATACACGGCCATTAGCGGTACAATATGTGTGATTTGGCAAGTGTTGGAAGGATGGAGATGGAACAAGACGTGGAGAAGATTGACAATAGCGTCTCTCAAAGGTGATGAAGAAGCGCCCGTCACTGAACATATCTTAGCGAAGCGGTGGTGCTGTATGACGTTTTGAAGAACACGATTCACTATCAAAGGCTAAAGAAATATATGAGCATTGAGATAGATCCTCTTGTTGTATAGCCGCGTACCTTGAAGGGAACATGGCTCAGAACTGCGGTCAATAATTCCACTGCTGCTGTATTCCACAATTGGAACTGTGTTACAGCAGTGAGAAGGGGCTCAACAATATGTGACTTCAAAGACACCGTCTTGACCACGTCGGCTGCAGAATATCAATATCTCGGATGGCAGCTGGTACGAATGCTACTCACTTAAATATTTGACACATCGAGAAGACATGTCATCAATGGGATTTTCGTCAGTAAAATGACGCACAGCCCATTGCACTCCATGCTCCGCTAACGCGCTCGTCAACGCAGATGCCTTGCCTCCGATATTGAGGCCAACAAGTAGCATGCCCGGTGTAAGCGATTTGACGGACAGCTTACTCAGGTCATTCAGAATCAAATCCTCGAGCTGAGAACGATGGAAAGGGAGTAACTGGAATAGCAAGGTGACACATGCCGAAGCTGTATGACGGAGACTTGGAGACGACGATTCATCGGTGGACCATTTGAACATTCGCCGACCATGCCGAACCCACGACTCAGCTTCAGCCTCGGAAATGGCTATGCCACGGCACTTGGCAACGTCCAAATAAGAATACAGGACAGAAACCAATTCAAGAGGATCTCTCTCTAGGCATTGGTTGGTTCCCAGCCATGATGAAAAAGCGCCATAAGGACATGGGCGTTTATAAATCAGAGAGCGGAGAATCTCTGCTGTTGCCGAGGTCCAATATTCCTGTTGCAGAAGTGTAACAAACTGGAGTTCCGTAGGTAGAGGTTCTAGTCGATGGCTCCATCGCGCTATTGAGCGGTCAAAGCGGGTCTCGGCATCTTCTGTATTCTGTATAGGATGGAGTAGACCTTCAACGTGTAATGGCAAAGGAAGAGCGTAGTGCTATCGCAAGGAGTTCTTCGAGGACCGCAGAGTTGGAGAGATGTGAGCGAAGATTGATCAACTGTATCGTCCTTGCACGTAGTAGGTACTCTGCTTGAGCGTCCCGCATCGCAAAGTCTCGAACTGCGCTGATAACGGTGTCCAGCAGGTCGAGAATGGGGGCTTGTTCACGGTCTTTTGCCAGGCCTTGGCTCAATGAGTCCAACAGATCGAGCAAGTTATCCAAGGGAAGATATACCACCCATATCGATGCTAAATGGAAGCTGCCGTCTGTCAGCACATTGAATGAATGTGGCATAAGCAAGACTTACTGAGATGCTTGCATTACTGCCTAAGCCGACCCGAACCTCATTTAGCCAGTGGAAGGCTATATCCGAAGCAAAGCCTTTTTCGGTGGGCGAGCTGGTATCCAAAGTGTCTTTCACCAATGCACTGAGAGCTACAGCATCAGCGAAAGAGCATCAGTACGTGCAGCCATCAACTTCATATGTAGTTTCTTTACCTTCTCGAACAGGTTCAGACAGAGCCGAAGACGTACACAGTTTCTGGACAGACTCCAAAGCGAATACAAATCCTTTTAGTTCGGCACAATCGGCCTTGGGCAATACAGAAGCCGAGCGGGTAATCAAAGAGTTCAAGAGCTGCAGCAATCCACGCAGCAGGCTTGCTCTTTCAGCAGCGACAGTTATGCAATGGCTGATTTGGCACATCACCCTCTTCAAATCCGAAAGCGACGGCAGGTGCGCAAAGACTGCGTTCACGAGGATTTCCCGCCCATCTTGCTCTTGTATTTGTTCCTCGTCGGCAGACACAAACAACCAATCGAACTTGGCGCTAGCGTTACCGTTAATGGAGTGTGCGGAAAATGGAATTTGTATACTTACTATGGCAATAGTTCATTCGACACTAGTTTGACGCCGTTCCAGAGTAGACGATGTGCAGGGTTAGCAGCTTGTGACAGTGCCTCAAGGGCAGGCGGAAAGAACCGATGAACGATTGTCACTAGGCGTTCCATGTCCACCGGTCGTAGCTGCTGTTCCAGCAGTCGAAGCCAGTCGACCAACTCGTAAGCTGCCACAATTCGTGCAGACTCAATTGGAGCTACAGTTTAGAGTCAGGCATAGGTTGCGCGGAAAAAGGAACATAAGCGTACGTATCGGCAATCCTTCAACGGCGCGAAGAAAGCTCTTGACATCTTTGCCGATGCTAGTAGGCGTCGGGGGCTTAGGAATTCTAAGATGGCCCAGACAGTATTTGAGAATCTCCACTTCTCTACGAATGGCGGTGGTAACGATCGGATATTCGGGAAAGAGTTTTTGGGGCTCGAGTATGCCATCAATCTTATCCGTGAAGGAAAGCAGAGCCCTCCCTTGAGAGAAGCTATTCTGAAGTTGAAAGACGAGGCTCCTGATGAACGTCGCGAGCGCAAGTACGTCTGAAGCGGATAGCAGCTTAGCAGTAAGTTTAGCCGAAAGCTGCTCGCTTAGCGTAATTAATAGCGGGCTTGGCAGCTGAGATTCAGCACGATCCTCGATGGACTCCAAGGCCTGTATCTCCTCGATGTAACGATAAGGCGTCTTAGCACACCTCTGTATGCAGTCGTCAAGGAAAGTGAGAACACTTTCTGGTTCATCCGTGAGCTTGGCACCATCCGGCGATTCGCCCCCAGATGGTGGCCGGCGTCCCATGGGCAAAGAAATTAGCCACAAATGTACCTCGTCCGGATTATGTTGAAACATGATACTGTTGCCCAATAAATGCTCCAGAAGATGGACAAGTGTCGAATGTATGGCAAGGACATTGGAAGACGTAAGCGCCTGCAAAAGAATATGCAGGTAGGAAGATTTTGATGAACCTATCCGATGGGTACTTTAGTAAAGAAATGGAAAGGGTCCGAATTGATGAAAGTCTGACCAGGTTTAGAAGCCCATGAAAACTGATCGCTGGACTGAAGAAGCCTCAGAACGTGTAATTGCCGAACAAGATGCAGTTTGCGTGCAGCTGGCGACATGTTCTCGTTGTTCCCCTCTCCCTCGACAGTTTCTGTACTCGAGAAGTTGATTAACATCTTTCCGATGTCAAATCGGGCTTCCGAGACTGAATCCGGTAAACAGTCATGATAGAGCCACAGTAACCGCTGGGCACTCTCCGCTAGTAGAGCGGCTTGGGTTTGGCGTTGAGATTCCGTGAGCTGGGAAGCCAGTTGTCCAGTCGTCCGTTGCGAGTACCCGACAATGACCTGAAATTCGGGCACTCTCTTACGAGCCTCTTTCTCTAAGTCACGACAGCGCTTGGACCACTGTCCATCGGCTTCCCCTTCCTCTAGTGCATCCGCGATCATTCGGAAATGCTTCGTAACATCGCGATACTTCATCAGGCATTTTGACAGCGCGAGAGCGGTACAGTGCTGTACCAAACTGCGGCTAGCCTGTTGTAGTCCCTTGGTGAAATGGACCTTGGTATTAACCAAAGGAAAGACGTTTTCGAGGACGATAGACAAGGGAGGGGGGGACGGCTGATAGAGAACCCCGTCAGTGTTCTCTGAAAGAATGAAACAAGAGACTGGAATTGGGAGGGATATGATAGACCCAAACAGAGCTATGTTTGTGATCCACCGAGATGATAGCCGGGGTTCCAACGTTAGGCTTGCCGCAGACCAATACCTAAATAACGATCAGTCAATGAAAAAGTAATCAATATGCTTTACTTACCCCGCTACAAGCTCAGGACAAGAAGACATTATTTTCAAACTGAGTTCCTGCTGCCGCATATCTTCGTTGACTTTGAGTGATCGCAAGACGTTTGCTAACATCTTGTTATACAGCTTTCCTCCTCGGCTTTTAGGGACCTCTTCGTCGTCTTGCGCGTCTTCGACGTCACGAGGATACCATCCATTGTCCTTGAAACAAATCCCGGTACCGGGCCGCGTACATATTGCTAGGAGAAAGTGGTGGACAATATTTGCAGGGACATGCTCCGGATCTTCGTCCTCGGAATCTACACGATCATACACTTTCGCTAGCTTTGATGAGTATTAGTTTCTGATAGCATTTGTCGAAGAAATGAACTTACTTGCGCTATGGTTGTCTCATTGAACACTCCAATCTTAAGCGTTCGCTTCAGTTTAGGTTCCGACCATATCCCGGCCCAAGAAACCTCCAAGACTTTACGAATGACAGGATAATGGTCCTGAGATAGGCCTTTGAACATAGAAACAAAGGCGTCACGATGCTGCTCCAAAAACACGACTTTGACTGGCACAGGAGTGTTGGTATCCACAAACGATAGCAGGAAAAGAATGTACAGTGTCCGGATATCTTATAATGTTGATTTAAAAAAGAAGTCCGAGGTGCGGCCAAAACTCACCAGGCTTGGCCAACGGGTCGAGGGATTCGTCAGTCTTGGATTTTCGTCTTAGATTCATTAATTTTGGAAGACTCTAAGATGGATTGATTTTAGAGATATGTAACCACGAAAAATGAGTCCGTACCTTGGTCTCCCAAGCAAAGGCCTCTAGTACGCCCTTCCGTTCACGACCCCGAGCAAAGCCAGAAAGGCTGTTATACAACTTTAATGTAGATAGAATCAGGTCGTTGCTAGATCCGCTGATATACGAATTGAGTTTCCGCGTCCATTGAGGTGAGAGCAACTGCTTGACAATCGGATGCCCCAACGAATGGTACGTGTAGTGGCTTGATACTAACGACAGGGTCACAGCAAGAACAGAGAGCAGTAAGGATATCGATGCTGTTTGTCGCTACAAAAAACAGTTGGGCGTGTTCATAGGAATCTTCAGCGAACATACTCACCTGTTCCGCTCCCGCCCAGAGAGTGAAGATATCCTCGGCACCAGGCGATCCATTTAACCATTGTTGGGCAAGGATCAAACGACTGTCCTGTGGGGATATGTTTTCATCCGGTTTCACCGTAAATTGGTTCCGAATGGACGTAAGTCCTGCAGAAAACGTCGTATAATATGCAGGGAAAAAATAAATATCGTACCTCGAGTTAGAATATCGACATCCTGTGACCGTAGTAACGCCCTAATTTCTTCTCCTGAAGATAGTTTTTGTACCGAGCTATCTACTTTGGCGGGCTTCGAGGGTCGATTCATTCGAAAGATATAAAAATTTCCACCCAAGTGGAGGTGAATGCCGAAAATGGAATTACCAATTCCGCAAAGAGAAATGTGAAATGGCCTCGGCTATTACCGGGCCGAGGGGAAGAAGGATACCGGTGGAATCCTCAACATGTCACTACTTGCATGTCAACAAGATGCAAAGCACGCTCCGTTCAGCTGCTGCGAAAAGCAAGAGGTCTATTTACTCCCTTCAAATATTTCGACAGGCTCAAAGACGTACAGTTACTAATGTTCGTTCTTTCCTACCGATACTAATTTCCTCCGACTTAAACTTATTACACATTAATCCAGCTAGGCCCCTGCGACACTCCCGGTATTAGCCCTTGGAGAGTTTCGACGATTTTTCTGATTTATTTATTTTTTTACCTCCATTAGAGCAATACCAGGAAGCCAAGGCAGACGCGTACAAGGCACTCACCCTAGCAGGCTACAATCCTAAGTACTTTTGGGAACAGCCAATTGTATGGGGCGACCATGATACGTTCCAGTGAGCTACAGCAATGTGAAATCCTATTATTGGTCTCGGCTGAATATTTCATGTAGACATGTAAACAATGTCAGCTATGGTGAGCCTGATCGCCGTCAGCTTGGTTTCTGACTGATACCAGCGATGTCTATCAGTCCGATTCTTTGAATCAGTGCGTATTTCTATATTTCTCTGCAATATCTGGAATTCAAGGATTAAACCAGAGTCGTGTCCATTGGATGAGGCATCTTGGTCATCAACTCGGTGGACCATCTGCCGCTGACTCTCTGATTCGGGGGGAAGGCGTCTCACTCATTCTCAAATCCATTGATGTGCGATATCGACGTCCTGTTACCTACCCCGACACTGTAAGCTTTCCTTTTCATTTCTTCTGTGACGTGCTCAACATCAACACACTCAGCTCCTAATAGCTCACCGACCTGTTCAACCAACTGATGGGCAAAGACCGGACCCGTCGGCTTTGAATTTAGAGGCTTCAGCTTATTCCCTCGGTCAACGCGCGATAGTGACTCTTACTAAGGAGGTCGTGGTTTGGTATGACTACGACACACTAAAGAAGTGTATTCCAGAGGACAGGTACCTCCAAGCAGTCTGGCATACTGGGGTGGCTAGCTCCAGTTAGAGATGTATTGTCTTCGAAGGTTTTAATTGCTGTCATACTACTCATGAATCACTCTTGTAACAATACTAGCCCTATGTTCCAAGTGGTATACTGCTTGCGACGCATATCTCGCTCTGAACTGCAGTAGCATCTTTATCGTAAATTGCGATGCAAATCTCGACGGTAACCTTTTTGCTGACGCTGTGCAAGGTTACCAGCTAAATTATATTGCTGAATTTATCTTCTGGGTACAGTACTAGACAACGACTGGCACTACTGTCCCCCAATTGTTTCCACGCGGAGGAAATCAGACAGAAACGGTTCGCCGAACTGAAAAGATTTCCTCAGATAGATTTCCGTCGGCTGGAAATCAGTTTTTGGCGGGGAGAATCCAGTTTCTGACTTGATGGAAACTGTATATGGAAACTTAGGCATGACGGGAGTGTGGAAGAAGTTTTGAAGAACTTCCTTACCACTCGCCGGCACATCGGCCCGGGACTTGACTTGTAATTACGCGATCGATGTTCTAATCGTAGACTGCCACGACCATGCCGATTAGAGGATCTGTGGTCCTGGAGAACTCTCCAGGGTATTTGATCCAGTATTTCAAATCTCTCGAAGAGCTCGATGCATACACGGACAAACCGACAAAGAAACTGACTTCTCCCTTGAAATATTATCCACGCAAGCTAAGCGCCGAGTCAAGTTTTAAGGGAAACCTTCTGGTGAAGCCTCAGTCAGTCTACGTGGACCGTAGCTTATTTTTCCGTAAAGGTATGTCATGATTACAAGGTACGGACTACTACTTGTTTTGGGATACACGAACAGAACTGATTTTTTTTACAGGGAGGATACACTGAGAGCCCGTTCGATCTTTCGTACACCTTCAATTATTGGTCGGCTTGTAATAGCTTTATCTAGTAAGTATCTTTAAATAACACTAAAACGCGTCCCGCAAGTAACGATCAGTTTCTCACACCATCGCGTTACCATCCCCCCACACGGTTGGATAACCGCTGCACACCGACAAGGAGTCAAAATGCTGGGCACTCTGTAGGCATTTCCCCTTATTTGACTCGCTGCGAACCGACAAATTTTTATTAGCATCTTCGAAGGAGGCGCAGAAGCAGACTGTCTCCGGCTCCTCGTAGGACAGCTCCCAAAATCAAGTACAGGTCCTGCAAACCATGTCGCAAGTTCTTCTTCCATGCCAGGTGTCACCCCACTATGCACGGGTACTTGCAGAGCTCGCCGCAGAAAGAGGTTTTGAAGGATATTTGCTCAATTTTGAGTGTCCTTTGCAAGGCAGCTTTGAACAAACTAGAGCGCTTTCTCTCTGGATCACGATGTTGCAATCTGAAATGTGCAACACAGTAGGACCTCATGCGGAAGTTATCTGGTTTGCAGTCCTTCTATTTCGAATGTGTATCTTTCGCTTACATCTTTTATGAAGGTATGACAGTGTCATCGTATCGGGACAGCTCGCTTGGCAAGACAGACTCAATAGCCTGAACCTGCCTTTCTTTTTATCCTCGCAATCTTTCTTCAGCAACTACACAGTACGTCCTCAGGTGACCTCTTGATTGATTCTTCTCATCCTCTATAGTGGCGGAATGACTATCCGAATCTTACAGCACAGTATTTTCTCAGCTTAGATCCTGCTCTCACAGAGAGTCAGATGCATTTCGCGAATAAGTCCCTTCAGGATATCTATATGGGTAATCAAATTTGTTTGTTGTGCGCCACACCCCTCATTAAACATTTTTATCTATGTAGGTGTTGACGTCTGGGGTCGAGGCAGCCACGGCGGCGGGGGCTTCGGTTCCTACAAAGCCATTACCCACATATCCCCTGACTCCCTTGGACTGAGCGTTGCCCTCTTCGGCCAAGCCTGGACCTGGGAATCTGAACAAGACAAACCTGGCTGGACCTGGCAACAGTGGTGGGATTACGAGCGTACGCTCTGGGTTGGAACGACCAACAACGATGAGGTGTCAGTGCCCGAAGTCTCTAAGCGTAAGGGCGAGCCTGACTGCACCCATGGTCCTTTCCTCCCGATCGCATCGTTCTTCACCCATCGTGCGCCCCCGGATCCTAAGCACCTCCCTCTCCATACGACGTTCTCTCCCGGCGTAGGCCACGCTTGGTGGGTCAACGGCGTCAAAGTCTTCGAGAGCGAGAAAGGGTGGACAGACGTGGACAAACAGACGAGCGTTGGGGACCTCGTCTGGCCCCGGCCCGCGATTTCGTGGGAAGGTGAAGACGAGGAAATGTTCGATGGGAAAATAGAGGCGGAGCCGTCTATTTGCATGGACGACGCTTGGAACGGTGGAAGCTCCCTTCGGGTATCGCTCACTGATCAGGGAGAGCGCTCAGTGTACCGCTGCGTATGGCTACCAGTACAATCACTTTCGCTCTCCGCGCAGACTACCTACGAAGCTATCGCCATCTACAAGCTTGACGCGGCTGCTGACCTAGATGTCAGTCTCTCCGTCAAGTCTCCTAGTACAGAAGGCAGCGTTACTATCATGCCCCAAACTGAAAATGACACCGCACTTGCACATGGATGGGTAAAGGTCTCCATACAAATTTCCGTTCCATCTTCTTCATCCTCTGCATCCATCGGCTTAGTTATAGCCATCGTTACGGAAGATCCATCAGAGCCTCTCGCTGCTTCCCTCCTCTTAGGCCAACTAAATGTGTACCGAACGCCCTCACCTTCGTCGTCATTCTCTCCAATGTTACTCTGGGCAGACTATTCCCCCAAGGATGGGAAGCTTACCTGGGAAGTCGCCACGTCTCTTCCAGCTATCACCCTACATCCGCTTACTTCCCCCGAGGACCCTGTGCCATTGTGGGACATACAGCCATATAGAGTCCCGTCCTTCGTGTACTACAATATATACGCTAGTCCCTTCTCGTCGACGACGTATGCTAGGGGTCCGGAAGATGCGACGTGGATTGGCACATCCGGGTACTCGGGATATTCTAAGACGTTCTTTGTGGAGAATCCAAACAAGACAAAAACAAGGTTCTATGTTCAGGGCGTGACCGAGCATGGTGAGGTTTTACCTTGGGAAAGATGCGTCTTTGTGGATAGTCCTGTAGATGAGGGGACGTAGACCGGAATTTTGTTTTTGTTTCGTGTAAAATATAGGATCCAGTAGTACTCTGTTAACTACATCCGTATTATATCTACTGATGGAGGCAATGAAAGCAATGAGGAAGGTTCATTTTAGTTGTACAAAGTACAGTAGACGAAAAAGATAAGTAAAGAAAAAAAGTAAGAACTATACACATCGTCCGAAAAGACCACCGACGGGACAGTTCAAAAATATTTTGAAAGTGAGCCCGTTCACCGTGCATAGGGGTGATAATTGTGCTGGCCCCGTTGCGCCGCTCTCTGGGGACCAACTCCAGGACCACCAGGACCTCCACGGGGACCCCTTGGAATATTCGGGTTCATGTTGGTCGCACCGGTGCCCTGCATCATACCTCCCCTGCCCATACCCATTCCTCCAGTACCCATACCCATGCCCATAGCGCCCATATTACCCATCCCCCTCATGTTTCCAGGTCCTCCAAAGCCCGTGTTGGCCATACCAGCCATCATCGGGTTCATACCAGCCATCATCGGATTCATTGCGCCACCTCCAGTCATCTGGAACATGCGTGTGTATAGCTGAGCTAAAGCTTGGGGGTCGAAAGGCGTATTTCCAGCTCCGGTGGCAGCCATAGGGTTACTGAAGTTACCCTGTGTGGCGACGGCACCAGCGCCTCGACCAACGGCAGCCGCGGTATAGTCTCCACCGGCTTGGTTATCTTCGCTGTAGTTATCTCGCTGGTACCTCGGTTGAGCGAGCTTTACGTCGATCTGCAGCAAGTCAATTTAGACTTACGACGATAGCTAGAAGATACTTACCAATTTACCATCAATCTCGAGGTTACCGAAACCCAGGAATGGCTGGACGTTGGTATCTTCAAAGGAGATGAAGCCAAACCCTTTGCTTCTGCCTGTCTCCCGGTCCAACATGACCGTCGAATCAATGACTTTTCCAAACTGTGAAAAAAATTCGCGCATGGACTCAGAGGTCACACTGCCTGCAAGACCACCTATGAAGAGCTTCGTGGCACGCTGGTGCTCTTGCCGAGGGATAGCTCGCTTAGGGTCAATCTGTGGTCCAAGTTAACTCGATATTCATTTTTGATAAGTAAATCGACGTACTGCTTTGCCGTCAAGGAAATGCTCCTTGACCATAACGGCGTTCACACTCGCAGGATCTTCAAAGGTAAGGAAGGCAAAACATCTCGACCTTCCGCCCGCATCGCGCATAATTGTGCAAGCGTCGACTTTTCCGAACTGCGAAAAGTAATTACGGAGAGATTCTACGGCAAAACAGTAAGTACTACGCATTAACGTGATGCTTTGTATATCTACCATCTGTTGTATCCCAATTGAGACCACCGATGAACATCTTGCTATAGAGTCGAAGTGTGCGAGCAAAGATAGAAGCGACATTGACGAAGATACGGGGAAGACATGCAGAAAAAAAACAGAGAAATTGCTATTAGTATCAGTAGGCTAGGACAGAATTGTCACAACGAGGATGATAAAATAGAGACGCTACTGTTTGTGCATAGCCTAGCCTAGTCGTAGACAACGCAGATACGCTAGGTGCTGGTGTAGATGACAGACGGACCGACTACGCGACAGTCATCTAAAGATGCTGGATTACAGTAGACGCGATGCCACAGCACCCTGAAACAAATGATAATGGATATCTTACCCCTCGTCCTTCATTTCTGAGGGCCGTATGGTCCGCTCAGCGACTGAGATATTCTGGTAACCTCCATCAGCCCGCGAGGAGTCTCCATAGTCATCCTGCGGCTGCTCGTACGTCGGAATTTGCTGTGTTGGCGGCAATATCGTAGGCGCTATTGGCGTTTGGACTGCCGGTGTCGAGTAAGAGGGTGTTCTAACATCAATTGAAGGTGGTGAAGGTTTCGCTGGGGCACTTTCTTGCGGTTTCGAGGCCGGCGTCGGTGTTGGCTCTGGTTGCGCTTGTTCCGGGGCTGCCGTCGTTTTTTCGTCCGACGGCTGATCAGCAAAATCGGTATCGTAAAGATCTAAAAAGTACGTTAATAAATATCTCTTTGAAGGAATACGAAGGCTAACGAACCGCCGTAGAGGTCAGCGTCGAGGTCGGACATGGTGGTGGTAAAAGAGAAAGAAAAGTGGCGGCGCCGACAGACGGTCACAAAATGTTCCGACATTTGTCACGTAACGCTTACCCGAGTCACCGATTATGTAAATTGTGTAAATTGGAAAATTCGGAAAATTTGTTTCATGTCACGATGTCACAGAGTCACGACGGCCTCAGCGGTCCGGCCGTTGGCGCTGGGAATTCTATTAACTTTTTATTTTCAATCTTTCAGGATGCATTCTGAGCACAACTGTGTTTTGCTGTTCTTCCGGCAGAACAGGAAAAGTATTTCTATAGTATTGGTGGAATCCGATCGCGACATCGACAAAAGGGCAAAAGACAAGCCCCGGAGCGCCGTCGACCCGCTCTCTGACTCATCGCCATGGCTGTCCAAGTAACGATTGGCATTCTTGGTGAGGGAGTCCAATAATTCAACCATAGCGACCCATTAATGTTAAAATCTTTACTGCAGCTTTGCAGGGAGCCTTCGCGGAGCATCAGGCGGTCGTACACAGACTATCTCTGCCCGTTCGCCCAGTAGTCGTGCTAGTCCGGACCCCCGAAGAATTGGCCGTCTGCGATGGTCTCATTATCCCCGGCGGAGGTCAGCCTTCCTTCGTACAAAAAAAGCCGACTTCATTGCTGAAAGTATCTGTTAGAATCTACTACTATTGCACTTCTAGCACGCCTATCAGGTCTTCTAGATCCGTTGAGGGAATTCGTGAAAACCAAACCTGTCTGGGGGACCTGTGCTGGCGCCATTCTCCTCGCACAATCAGTCGTTGGCGCGAAAAAGGGGGGACAGGAGCTGCTGCAAGGAATATCGATATCGATTGCTCGAAATGGCTGGGGGTCGCAAGTACGAGGATTCGTCTGCTCTTGTATAATTATTGACGCCGAATATTATAGGTGGAGTCCTTCGAAGTGCCGTTAAGTGTCGAGGGAATGAAAAATTCAGAAACTCCGTTTATTGGTGTTTTTATACGAGCTCCGGTACGTGGTATGATGTCGATTCAAGTCAGAGGAGCCGATTTCGAGGCAGTCTGTCTTCGCACATTCTGCAGGACTAGAGTGTTGCTGGTGTGCATCACACGAAGATATCCATCACCAGAACTGTAGTCTGCAACGCTTCTCGTTGTGTGATCGTCTCCTCCGAAATTGACTTCAGAATTCTTCGGAATTCCCCCCTCCTCTATTGTTTCTCGGCATTGTATTCATTTGTTTTGTACAGGTCGTCCTCGAACTTTCATGTTCTCCTGAAGACAAGCCAATACAAGTCCTCGCTCGATTACCCGCAGAACTTTTACCCCCAGCTCTTTCAGGTCTGGACGACTCAGATCCGAAGACCATCGTGGCCCTTCGACAAGGCCGCCATTTGCTCACAACCTTCCATCCTGAACTGACCCCCGACGACCGTTTCCATGACTACTTTGTCAGGCATTGCGTGTTAGGCACCATTTGAGTGGGTGCTCGTCGATGTGTTACATTACTACAGCTTAGACTCTTTAGATTTAGAGCATGCGGGATAGCTTATCAGTAATAATCATACAGCCCTTCACTGCATGTGCTTCAGGGACGACCCCTCACGCCTGAGGGCCTAAATATAGCGTCAACCAGTACTTATCTGCATGGTAAGCCACCCACGGTTGGACATAATAAGAGTCAGCAATGCTTCTCGCGCTACGCCCCGGTTACCCGGTGACGGTATATAGTGCGGTGCTCTCCACGCAAATTCAATTCCTCACCTACGGTCATGTTCCTACGCTTGGTGACGATTCTCCTCGGCCTAGTCGCCCCCGCACACGGCGCGCGTCAAATTCACAAGAGCGAAATTCAGGCTCGACAGCTCGAGGCAGCAAAACGATGGCGCTCCATACCACAACCCAACGTCGCTTTCGACCTTGAGCGGCGTGCGGGAGTACAGAACATCACGTTCTCTAATCCCAAGGCATCTGGTGCGCTATTATTACCCATCTGATTGCGGCATTTGGCTCACCGGCAGCGTCGATAGAGTTCTTTGTCGATGGAGCAAACATTCCTGAGGTCGACTTTGACGTAGGACCCAGTTGGTCGGGATTGATGCCTATCTCTTCGAATCCCAATGAGACGCGAAAGGTCAGTCCGCCCGGCGTAATATTAATCAGTGTAATCAACACGCGTTTCATGTTCAGCTGTTCTTCTGGTTCTTCCCTCCCGGCCCGCAAGGCAGCATGGATGACCTCATTTTCTGGTAAGGGTCATGTTGATTGATATTTGCACTAGTCGTGATTTACGCTCTCTCAGGACGAATGGTGGTCCTGGATGTTCTTCCCTGGAAGGCTTTTTGCAAGAGAATGGGGTAGGTTATATCTTCGAGTCTTTATCGTTGTTGCTCACCATTCCATAGCCATTTCAATGGGGAGTCGGAACGGCCAAGCCCATCGTCAATGATATGAGCTGGACCAACCTTTCGAGTGTCCTATGGGTTGAGCAACCAGTTGGAACCGGCTTCTCTCAAGGAACCCCAACGATACGGGTATGTTCCACCTTTTATGTCGCTACATAGGCCAATGATTGTCATCCAATAGAATGAAGATGATTTAGCGGAACAACTCGTCGGTTTCTTCCAACAATTCTTGGAGGTCTTCTCGGAACTGAAGGGGAAGAAGCTGTATGTCACGGGTGAAAGTGTAGGTGGAATTCCTCTATCATGTCAGTTTGGTGATTGCTGATGAATGAGTCCAGTACGCAGGAATGTATGTTCCTTGTGAGTACAATCGGCGGCCGTCAGTTTATCCGATGTTGATATGCTAGACATCGCCAATTACATCTACGAACATCCTGGTGACCTGGATTTGGAGCTGAAAGGCATATGGATCGCTGATCGTACGTACCTCGACCATGATTCTTTCTATTTCACACGCCCATCATTTACATAGCCGTCCTCGGATGGGATGTCGTCCAAGAACAAATTCCTGCTGTCGACTTTGTCCATAAATACGAAGGAGTCTTTGCTTTCACGTTAGTATTAACGCCATGCATACAAATACTTTTGTTGAACGTGGGGATTAGGAAAGAGTTCCTCTCCGAACTTGACGACAAAGCTGCCGCCTGCAACTACTCCGGATATACAAAGACCTTTGCGACGTATCCTCCCAAAGGACTCCTTCCGCTTCCCGGACGGTCAACTGAAGCCGACAGGGGATGCGATCTATGGGACACCATATTCAATGCGGCTTTTGCCATTAACCCCGCATTCAACATCTACCGTATCTTCGATACTTTCCCGGTTCTCTGGGATGTCCTTGGGTTCCCGTAAGCGTCAGAGTTCCCAAGGGCAACCTATCACTGATTTGATTCTAGAGGATCTTTCGAAGACATTCAGTTGTCTCCGCTATACTTTGATCGTCAAGATGTTAAGGAAGCTATTCATGCTCCTGTTGACGTGGACTGGACCGAGTGCTCTAATATTAATGTATTCCCTCAGGGGGATTCTAGCCTTCCCTCTTCGTTTACCGTCTTGCCGAATGTTATTGAGAAGAGTAATCGCACGGTCGTCGCGCATGGCCTCGCTGACTTCATTCTGATTGCTGAAGGGTATGTATTTTAGCATCATCAATTTACTTCGCTCCTGTTAACAGTTATTCATTCAGGGCGAGAATTGTGATCCAAAAGTGAGCATAAAAATTTCGCGGTAGCACTGACTGAGTGTATACAATATCTGCTTTTTCAGTATGACATGTACGTGAATATCGCTGTTCGTGTTCGATGATGGCCAAATGGACTGACTGAATGTTTGATGATCCATCAGGGAATGGATTACAAGGTTTCCAAACACCCATTGAAGATGACAGCCTCATCGTTGATGGTGTCGGGGTTCTCGGTACATCGCACACTGAGCGAGGATTGACTTTCATAGAGGTAGCGCTCAGTGGACATATGTAAGTTCTTTGATACGGAAGACAGTCTCTCAACTGATCGCTGCTACTTTGCAGGATCCCGCAATACTCTCCTGTGGTACGTGATATGGCAGAAGAGCAGATAGTTCCAGAAACTGATCATTTTATCTTGTACTTAGGCCGCATTCCAGAGCATGCAATATCTGATGGGCTTCCGGGACACTCCATGATACTATTGCTGCAAAAAGGATGGGGCAAAGAGTACACCTGGACCTGAATATTGGGTAGGATAAATTGTTGCTGCATATTTTGCGGTCATTTTACATATATTCCAAATCGTCTTTCACTGGCACCGTAACTGAAAGCTGACCCTGAAAGTTATGTAACAATAAGCGGTCTCCGGACCGGAACTCCGGATTGACCTTGACTGCAACGTTGACCAATCACTGAGCTCTACCCCGCGCCAAGTATGCAGAATACCCAGATGCCGGGATCTCCGACACGCTATGCTCTAGATCTTGATGATGTTATTGCATTTCCCGATATCGCTCACGTACCTGTGCTCCCCCCTCAAGAGAAAGAGAGCTGGTACATTCTTACCGAGGTTAGCTGCTACCTGTACCTGTCTATCGACGTACTGTTGATGTCGGACATGCACCCAGATTGTATCAAACGAATCCGTCTTCCGGCCTGTATTTCGAGTAGAGGATAAGCTTTCGGGAAATTATTGGGTAGTTGCTTTCTACACGGACAATCCAGTCGCAGATGCCAAAGATTGCGAGGTGGGACACATGATTTGTATTAAGAATGGTATGCCCAAGCAGTTTGCGGACGGACAACATGGGTATAGGATTGAAGATCCCTCCAACATCGTGGTTCGTCAAACCTGAGTGTGGGAGCTGATCTGGTTGATACTGCTACTAATGAAATAACTGTTTGCAGATTCTCCCGTGCGGTCTTGCAAAGCTCCGACAGCTGAACGCAGAACTTCATAAGCGCTCGGATGACGGGCTGCTTTCATCATGCGTAGTTTGCAACTCCCGGGTAAGAAAGGGATGTGGAAAGTGCAAAACAAGATATTGCTCGAAGGTTGGTGTTGTATCTGCTGCCTGGATTCAAAATCTCACTTGTACTTTCTACTCAGGAGTGTCAGAAAGCTAATTGGCCGAGGCACAAGCCGATATGCAAGGTGTTGAAGACACTGCATGAATGGAACCGTACGGACTGGGGTTGACCAGGTGCCAACGCTCTCCGAGCCCTTTGAGCTTCTAAAAATACTTTACCGTTCGTTTTCATATGTGCCAATTGTTATGTATTTATGCGTTTTGGGGGATATACAGCAACCGTCTACCGCCACCAATAGAAGTCTTTTGCACCCGGAAAAGCGTGTGAAAGCCAACCTTACGGTGCCGTGTCATTCTCCGCAGATCGTCTGGTGCTTATTTGTTCTTCACCAATTTTGTCCCTGAACCCCGATTAACGGACCATTGAAATTCATAAGTAATGGCACCGGCAGCTACTTCACCTAGTGTGTCGTCATGTTCGGTGATGCGGACAACTTCCAACCGCTTCCGTGCTGGACTTCGATTGCAAGGCGAGTGAGCTGCTCTGATCTGGAAAACAATTCATTTGAGCTGAAGTGTATTGCCGGCAGCTGTTCAGATACGGCGCCATATCTGTGGGCTTTGACAGGCTTCCAATCGCTGCCGTGCTGGACTTCAGAATGCAACGGGTACATTGGTGTGATCTACCTGGATGATTTATTTGAGCCAAATTATATTCCAGAGCCCCCTATTCCAGAGCCTCTACATCGGGATGCGAAATTAAGCAACGTCCTTTGGAATCTCAGTCGGTCTTCTCGTTCTTCTCATCCTGGCCGGTCTGATTTAAATCGCTATGTCAACTCGAGGCTATACGCTGGTTCCGCATGGCATACATTTCGAACGTCAATGAAGCTGTTTTCGACACGGAAGTGGCTGGCACGAACTGTGATGCCAACTATAAGTAGCTTGGACCATCTTGAAACCCGCCATTCCACTTTCCCCTAGACCTGGTGTCGCCCTTTCAGCTTTCCCTACGCTTTCAACACTTCTTCGTCTTCTTCACTTATCCTTCAACAATGGCTCGTTTCCTTATCGCCCTTTTGTCTGTAGCCTTGATGGCTTTCTTCTTCCAAGTTGAAGCTGGTAGATGGAGTGTTTCGAAAATTTGATAGATGTTTTACTGATGATACTTTTAGTTCCTCTTCATAGCCGCCAGATCGGTGATGTCCAATGCAACGCCGCGCGTCTCAAGACAGTTGCCAGTCTTGCAGCCACGAAAAAGGCGGTCAGTAACATTGATACCAGGTAACACGCTTTTAGACTCGATAAATGCATGGAACGCATATTGATTGATGCCTTAGCAATTCCACTGCTACAGGAACTGCAGTCACTGACGCGCAGACGGGATTAGACTCCGCGAGCGCCGGTATCAAGACCATTGCTGCAGCCCTCTTGACAGGGAAGACTGCTCCTGCTGATGCTCGCGACCAAGTCAAGAACGGGTTGCTTTCTGCTCAGACGGCACTGAATGGAATTACTACGCAAGTTATTTCTCTTCGAACCTTGCACATGTTCTTACCAGCCGTTGTGACTTTCGGCCAACAGGGGAGACGCGACGACTGCAGAGGCCCAATCCAAGCTCAATGATACTATCTCTGCCGGCAGCGACGTCGTTGCTAACTGTAACTAAAACAGGGGTCGTTGGGTAAGGAAGAACTTTCGGTTAAAGGACTTGGACTCGCTGTACTTTGGTGCCCTCTTTTTGCCTAGTAGTGTTCCCCGCGTTGTGATGTAGTCAGTCAAACTAGGCATAGAATGAATTTCTTTGAATAGGGTACATGTCTCGACCAGCTGATGCAAACCGGTCCAGCTGACTGGTCCCAGTACTACTGGGCATCCGGCTGCCAGATAGCCTTTCCGTCTATATTTTCAAGGTAACCATCTTGTGTGAACAGCAGACCTTCTTCTTTGAGCAAGGCCAATTTACGATTGACCTGTGTGCCTGTCTTAGCCTCTGGTCCCCATTCACCAAAAAAGCCCCCGACAAAGAGGTTATTGGCAATCACTCGATGACAGGGAACGTATGGGGCAAATGGGTTGCTTCTCAGGGCTCCCCCGACTGTCCAGAAAATTAAGCTCTAGATGTTTCAACCCGGAGGGATAACGATCGCGAAACGCACCTGAACGCGGTGATCCTCCGATGGCTGAACTGACAGCCTTGTACGTAGTTACATTACCGCAGGGGATTTTTCGCGTAAAATCATAGACTTCCCATTGGTACGGTGTGACTTTCTGGAGTCAAATGGGTAGATTCTCAGATGATTCTGTCATTAGAGGTGGCCAGCTGATTCGTACCTTACCGTCCTTGGTGCGATATGAAGCTCTTTCGGATGGTTGAATGGGGTAGAAAGTATCGCCTAGGTCACCATGAATTCAGTCCCGCTGACGGTTTCTCCAGACAGACCGCAACTTACATGGTAGCTCCCGACTTTTCGCCACTTTGCCTCGAAGCTCCGAACCGAGTGATGGGCCGGGTTCGAGGATTGTAGATGAAGGAATAGGATTCACAGAAGTTCTTATAGCTGGCATCTGTAGATGATAGTAGGAAGAACGAAGATGAATGAGCTACTTAGTCAGAAGTAGTGAGAGTCGGAAGCGAACCCTAAATTAGAGCAATGACTCGGCGCGTCTGTCACGCCACGTCAGATCACATGACCGTGACATGCATTCCCGTTTTGGACTGTTTCAACTTGTTCTTTGAACTTCGAATCCGTTTGGTGGCTATTTTCTCCTCCAGCTACGCTAAAACTATCTGGTAAGATGGAAATGGTGGATCAACTGTAAGTATATCTCTCAGGCTGATAAGAACCAGAGTTACTAATAACCGGCGCAGATCTACAACTTCAATACGGCAACAGAAGGCTTCCCTGCCAAGCCGAGGTTCTTGTTTGTTCTAGAGTGCCTAGTCGGAAATATCAAGTGCGCTCTATGCAAAGCTAGGTCACAGTAGAAGGCCTTAAAAGTCACTGCACTTCTAAGAAGGCCAAGACTCTACTGTACAGTGGCGTTTCCTCATCACAGGAGGAACTTACCTTCTGACGGATTTCTCTGGCAAATATTCTTCACTCTCAAAACTCCGCCCACCGGCTCACATCTTCCACGATCTTAGGCGATTTTGCTTTGCCGGCATTCCGCAAACAACGACTTTCTGCACTCGGAGCCTTGATAGAGGACTTTCGGGGCACTCACTGCATGTATGCTTGATAGATTAACTGCGGCCCGCTGAAAATGCCAAGTTCGAAGTGATGTCGGACAATCTTCAAGCCCACGTCGAGTCCGATTCCCCTGCTCCAGGGTCGCCAGCGCTTCCATGGGACGCTTAAGCTCTGAATACGACTAATACATGACTATCAAGAGTTTCTTGGTCCTTCAGGATGATCCTAACAGTTACCTTCGATGCTTCGTGACTACTGTCTGAGATTCACCGCCAAGTCCATGTCGTGCACCTGTGACTTCTCTTCGACCGGGTCGTGGTGGTTTGTTCCTTGATACTGTCACATCGGTAGTACATCTTTTTTTCCGTTTGTCTGATTGTTCATCTATCGTCCTTGGCTAATAGAACATTCTCAGGTGTGTGCCTTTCGAGCAGCGGGTAGGTGGAGCGAACCACACTGCGCCCCGCTAGGACTACGCTCGAACAAAGTCCTATCAAAGTCCGATGGCATGCCAAGACACGAGTCGACACTCAGAATTGTTACTTTTGCAACGACTTTACTATTCCCGATCTAATACCGATCGCCAAGATATTCTATAGACACAAACTCGCGTGTCTGTACATGATCCTCGTATGTCCAAGGGGAGATCCGACGACCTGGCTCATCAGGATCCTGCTTTATCGGCCCGGCTATCTAGCCCCGTAATGGCAGCACGAACATTTCGTAGACCTGTATAAAAAGACCAGAAAAATATTCTCGGTTTCCCATCCCCAGCGATTCCAATCTTCTATCGGTTCCAGAGATACTCACAAGCCCCTTGTATCCATCGACATGCCCGCTCCCAGCTACTCCGTTGCCCTCGAGACCCCCGCCTCCGAGCCTGCGGCTCCTGCTCTCGTTGCCGTTGAAGAACCGTCACGAGAGTCAGGCGTCTACTATAATGCTCGTCTTGACCCCAAGAACTACTTGGAGGGACCGCTGTCTGAGAACCCTGCTACTCGCCTTCGTCAAATGCTTGCTCGCCCAGGTATTGTCGTAAGTCGGGTGATTACCATTCAACGAATGAGAATGTGCTAAAGAAATAATGAAAGGTCGCTCCTGGCATCTGTGACGGAATTAGCGCACGGTGTGCTTTAGAGGCTGGTTTCGATTGCCTTTATCAAAGGTGGTTTTCATTTCTATACGCGTTCGTGAACCATAGACTCATCAATGGATTTTTTCAGTGGCGCCGCCACTACCGCTTCGCGTATGGGTCAACCCGACTTGGCCATTGCTACTCTCAACGACTTTGTCGGTGTAAGTGATTCTTTCCTTTGTTAATTCTCGTGAAATTTATTAACATCATTCTCAAGGCTGGACAAATGGTTTCAAGTTTGAACCCATCGGTGCCAGTCATCGCCGACGCAGACACAGGGTAAGTGTACTAACTCTATCTTTTTCTGCCAACCTAATGACTTTCTTTCAGTTTCGGCGGACCTGCCATGGTCGCGCGCACTGTCCGTCAATATGCCAGAGCAGGAATAGCTGCCTGCCATATTGAGGATCAGGTGCAGACCAAGCGGTGTGGTCACCTTATGGGCAAGCAGGTCGTTTCACGAGAGGAATTCATTACTCGCATCCGCGCTGCAGTTATCGCTCGTGATAGTATTCCGGGGGGTTCGGACTTTGTAAGTCTTGCTTTACCAACAACTTTCCAGAGTGCGATATTGACGGTTCGGACAGGTTATCATTGGGCGAACGGACTCCGCTCAAGTGTTGGGCATGGATGAAGCTATCGCTCGCCTCAAGCTGGCAGCAGCAGCTGGCGCTGATGTCTGCTTCATTGAGGGTGTGAAGACTAAGGACTTGCTCGAATCCACCGTCGCTGCTTTGGCTCCTACTCCTGTATGTCTTCGGCTTTCATTTGGCCTTCTTGTTCTCACATATTACTAGGTCCTCGTGAACGTCATCTCCGGCGGTTTGACTCCGTCCTTCACATACTTTGAAGCTGAGCAAATGGGAGCTAAGATCATCAGTGAGTTTCTTCCGCCTCCTTCGGCCGGGTGAACAAAGTTTAATTATTACATAGTCTTTTCTTTGGTGTCCTGTGTTGCTATGGTACATGCCTGTCGCGCTGCGATGAAGTCTTTGAAGAAGACGGGCACAGACTTTATCTCTGCCCAGGGGATGGATCCTAAGAAATTCTTCGAGGTCATGGGTAAGTCCTAGCTTATATTAATGCTAACGCGTGGCTCTAATTTCCTGCTTTCTCAAGGTTTGAACGAGATTATAGAACTCGATGCCGCAGCAGGTGGATCTGCTTTCCAGCTTGTTTAATTTTTCCCCCCTACATGCATGCCCACAGTACATACCACTAAACTCTAAATAAATATTTAATCAATTCAGGGTATTAGTAGTAACTGGGTGTAATACATAACGGATTTCTGACCTTATACGACGCTCTTTTTCTTTTTCTTGATGAAACCATCTTCACAGTAAGTACATCCGCATCAAAGCCGAAAATAGAAATCACCTCTTGAGTCTTTACCATCGCCACATTATTTTCCGAACCGGCAGCGACAATTTTCTTGGCTTCGGTAGCTGGTATGGCCGTATTCTATGCATATAAAGGGCGACTCAAATAATTTCTAGGCGTCCTTGCATGGATTCAGGCAGTACTCCTCCCTTGAGCCCCCCCTTGCAAAATTCATCGTCTCTGCGAGACCAAGAACCGGATGATATCGAGAATCTGTTGAAATGGGCGGAAGCTCGCAGGGCACGGAAGCTTAGAGGAGAGTACGAATCAGCTGTGCTGCATCTATCAGAGCTGGTGCGTTTGCCCTCAATTTTCCTGGGCGAAAGCTGAAGTGGACCAGATAAACAACAACCTCTTAACGCCGTTGCGCATACATTCAGTACGCGTTGAAGGGGCTGAAAACACTAGAAATTCGTTCATAGGATTTTTGGTGAAGCCCTTGGTACCGACGGCGGAGGGTAGCAATGTCGAAGAGGTTCTCCACGCAACGCGCCGAATTTCGGATGTCCTGCAGCGGGCAGATATCTTTGAGTCAGTAGATACACGACTTGAGCGTGCGAGAGACGTATTAGCGAGTCCAAGGGACGTCGACGTAGTCATCAAAGCGAAGGAAAAAGGCCGTTTTTTCGTAAAGTCCGCTACGGTGTTTGGGAACAACGAAGGCAGCGCGGTGTGTTGCTTTTCTCTTCCTCTGATTTGTTCTCATATCCTGCTAGAGCATCACTGCGCGTGTTCGGAATGTTTTTGGAGGCGCGGAAATGTTTGAAGCGAATGTTTCTACTGGAACGACAACGAGGCAGTCTTACCATGGAACATTGTCAGCGCCAATAACGCCAGATTTGGATACACGAGCAGAGCTTGCTGTATTTGCGATGCAGCGTGATAATACAAGTTTCGCTAGTTGCTGGGAGTCTCTTCAGGGCCTCAAAGCTATTCTCAGGGTGAGCTAGGTCAGCCGCCTGTTTTGTGTTTACGCCTATGGTTTTCATCGTCGGTTCTGCTTAGAATGGGACTCCAACTACGGGGATACATGAATTAGCATATGAAGGAGTGTTAAGGAATATCGGAGGGCTGACGCCGACCGCGTCCATGAGGTAAATTCCATCATTGTCACTGTTGTATCTCTGTTGACGATACGTAGTATCCGGCAAGCTGCAGGTGCAACATCCAAGTCGTCTGTGTCTTACGCGTACACGCTGGATACCCGAGACGATAGGATTAGTGCTTCACGAGGTCTATACGCGAAGCTTTACCAGGAAGTGGCAGGCTTGGGTGGCGACGCGTCATTCTACAAGGCGGAAGCAGAGACACAAGTTTCTCGCTCGCTTCTGTCAGGAGTGGTGGGTGTGATTTATTTCGGTGCTTGTTTTTTCTAATCCTGCAGCCAAGTCCGCCTCTTTGGCCCTCCGCTCGGGGTTGATGTTTGGTATTTCGCGGCCAACTTTGTTCTCTGACCGGTTCCAACTTGGGGGACCGATGTCTGTTCGCGCCTTTAAGCCCAATGGTCTTGGTCCGAGAGATGGTCGTAAGTAAAACCCCCTGGCTCTTTGTATGCTCTTTAAATGACACCCATTCGCAGAAGATTCGTTGGGAGGCGACATGTATTGGTCTGCCGGAGTCAGCGTTGTATCAAATTTACCTTTGAAGCCAGATTGGCCACTCAAAACGCACGCATGGATAAATGCTGGGCGATTAGACAACATGGATAGATGTAAGACTACAAGCTGTTTCAACTGTTTCACCATACTCATTGAGCTACAGCTCGCTCGGTGATTGAGAACGTGAAAGACGTGATAACGCGACCATCTGTCTCAGCGGGGGCTGGACTCATTTATCGGTTTGATCCCGTAAGGGTGGAGGTCAATTTTGGACTACCTCTGGTGGCAAATAAAAGTGATGGCCTCAGGAGAGGTATCCAGGTTGGGATTGGACTTGAATTTTTATAGGTTAAATTTATGATGATACATTTTGACCATTTCCGACGACATCGTCGAGTTTTCGCTCCCGCCATTGCCGATCTCAACTGTCAGCATCAAGTTTCGCCACATATATACCTTGGCGCCACTTACGATAATCCGATGGAATTTTTCGCTCTTTAGTATTGACGTGGGTAACGCTAAGTACATATGTTCTCCGGTCCCGTTCGAGCTGCTCAGGGTTGAATAATGAATGGAACGTAACCGAGTGGAGGGGATGTCAGTGTCTTCTTACAAACGCTCCTGTATTGAAGATGTGAGTATCACCGTCACTGTAGCTTCATTGGCACCGACACGCGCTTCCAAGTTGTTACATGGTCTCGCCGTAGAGCCATGTCCAATGTCTACAATCTCTTCGACTTGTATGTTTTGCTCGTATATGACTGTTAACTTACCGATACTCATCGTGTATCTGTAGGCTTACACAAAAGCAGAAATTTTCACTTAAACTGAGGTGTCATAATTTACACTTCCGTTCAGTACCCATCGGTATCATGGACTACCGATTGTCGAAAAAGGTTGAAATTGAAGGTACTCAGTCAAATGCAGCGCTCGCGCACAATTTTTCCCGGTCCGGCGATAGTGTAGCCACGGCTCGACTCGGCTCGGCTCGCATTCTGAATGACTCCGGAGCTGTAGATGTAAAGGTATGTCATATCCACACACTCCTAAGGCTGTTTGTTATGGAAAGATACCACGGACCGCTGGTTGAGGGAATCGTAAAGCTGCAAAAGCTGAAACAGTGCGGGAAAAATGCGACGACTTAAAGCATCACTTTCCTACCTTACCCACAGGCTTCTCATTCGCCATTGATAATGCACCCTTGATCGTGCGCAATGTGACTGTACCCCATTCTGCTCCAGTAAACTAATTGAACAACAGCTACGTGTTGTGGTATCATTTTCCCTCCATTGAGCTGTATACATGGTCTCATTTTGAGCCCTTCAGGGCCTATGTGTACAAATTTTGTGACTACGTAATGCTGCTTGGAATAAGCTAAATTTGTGGTATCTACTGTGCAGAATAACGGGTTGCTATCTGTTGGGATTTGGCAATCCGGCATCATGCCGAAGTTGCTTATTAAGGAAGAAGTCTGAGGAAAAGCGTGGAAAGTTCTAGTAAAAGTACATTTAGTATAAAAGTAGGTACTGTAGCGTAGATCCTCATGCGTTTGCAGAGCTCAGCCAAGCGCAATACTATTGGCTTGCTACCGCGCATGTGATACTGGGAACGAACCGATACCCCGTTTTCCAACACTATCTACTGGAGGATAACCAGTGGGCTGAGTATGGTATACCTTATGAGTAGGAAGAACGCGAGAAATTAGGTTGTGTAAAGAATAACATTATATCATATGCATGGTGAGATGGCCGAGCGGTTAAGGCGCCAGACTAAGGACCCAATCATATGGTGATTACGCAATATCTGGTCCGAAAGGGCGTGGGTTCGAATCCCACTCTCATCAAGTCTTTTACTTTTGAAGCCTTGAAATTCGTAAATTTATAGATTATATTCCAATTCCATTGTCCAACTTTCGAAGCTTGAATCCTTGTTCAATTCTGCACCTTAGGATCTTCTTTTTTCCTGGTATAATAGCAGGGAATACACGGGAAAAGTATACTACTTAGACGTATTTGAAGGCACAAAGAATTGGTCATAATTTATATAATATAGGAGCACACTCACGTGTTTTGAGCGCGTTGTTTGACTTGAATAAATAGCTCCTGAAATCACGGAGCACTCGAAGCATCCCACAAAGTTTGATCTTTCAACACTGACCGACTGAGCAACATGTTGTGGCCCTTGCTTAGGCATGTCACTATGGTCTCGATTCTCTAACCAAACCGTAACGGAATTATAGGCCATACCATGTAACCATCAGATACACTCGATCAAATAGTTTTCTTGAATTAATATAGATTGGTATTCGTTGTCTCAATGCCTAGAAATACAAACGATGCAAGTTACTAGTGATATAGCTCTATATGACTCTATCGTGCAGGCACGTTCCATTTGGTATATTCCAAATCGTTCCAAGTTCTTGCCATTTGGCACGCCGTTCCCTTTTCGTAGCGCAAAGACAGCAGCGAAAGCTGATTAAAAGTAGTGGGAGGTGCTGAGCGTTTTTTATGGGCTCGCCGCATAGGCCGAGCGCTTCCTCAAGACATGTCCCCATTTCCACAGTGACTGTAACAAAAGGGTCAGCTTGTAAAAATAGTATGGACTTGAATGCGACGTACCCAAAACACCGGCATAAGCAGGAAGGAGATACCAGCGAGGAGGGCAGATCCCGGGCCCAGACCGAGGTTGACAAAGAACGCACGTCCAAAGAGTGGAAAGACGCTGGCGATGGCGGAGCGGAAGAGGTCGTTACCAGCGAGGACCGATGCGGCGTAAGTAGGGTATGCTGAAGTTATATATGTCAGGATGCTTTGGAAGGTGAGGTAGATGCCCGGGAGGTAGAGCGCGGAGCCGATGATGGGAACAATCCAGTGAATGCTCTCCTTCGAGGTGAATCCAAATATGAGAACGCTAGTCGGGATGAAGATGCTTGCAATTAAACCGATCTCTAAGCGAATCTCTGGTGCAATGTCGACGCCTGCAGCTGCAGCTTTGGCGAACCTAGGTGCAATGTGATATTTCTGATAGAAAACGTATGCAGTGTACTAGAGAACAAAAGGGTTAGTACCGGGATTTGACGAAAATAAAAGTACCTACAGTGATGGCGCCGGATACAACAAATCCAAGGAAAGGCAGGCCACTGACGCCCAAGTTGAAATTGTAGATGTCGGTAAAAACAAGCGGGAAAGCTTCGAACCACAGGTAAAAGATAGCGTCTGAAAGAAATACCGTCAATTAGGAATTCTACCCAAACAGCGTGGGGGTACTCACAGACAAATCCAAGATAGACGTTTGCGAACATCAAAACTGGCTCCTTGGCAAGAATGAAGGGACGGATCAGTGCCTCCTGCATCACCTCTCCGAAAGACTCGCCCTCTTTGTCCTTCTCGCTTTGTGACCTCAACTCCTGATTTCCTGTGAGCTTCCTAAGTCGCTGTGCGCGCTTCAACAGGATGGTTGGCTCGTAGGTCTCAGGCAGAAGCAGCAGAAGGAAGATAAGCGCAAATCCGGCGATCCAGATGAGTTCGTACTGAGGCCACCTCCATCCGTTAGCCTGGGCTGCGAATCCTCCGATAACTGGACCGGTAATGGGACCAGCAACAGCTCCGAGCGCCCAGATGCCCAGAACGTATGGGAATTGATGCATAGGATAGATGTCCGCCATGGATGCACCTCCCGTAGCGAGGGCAGGGCTGCCGACAAACCCGGTGAGGAATCGGAACGCCAGAACCGTGCTCATGTTTCTGGCGACAGCGACGGGTATCTGGAAGATGACGAATAGGAACAGTGTAGCCATGTACACCGGGTTACGGCCTATCCCCGGAAGTTCTTGAAGAGGCGCCAAAAACATGGGTCCGATACCGTACGCTGATTAAGTGTGTCAGGGTGACGGAGTTGAGTTAAACATGGAAGAGCTTACCAAGAACATACAGCGTGAGACCGAGAGTGGCGGTGGTCTGAGTGACATTAAAGTCTTCCATCAAGCCGGGAATCGACGGTGTGTAGATGGCTGAGCCGATATACACGCTGAAGGTCAAAAAACTGATGCTGAACGCGACAAAGGCGCGTTTCGCAGGAGACCAGTTTCTATGAATAGAATTGAGAAAATATATCGATCCAGGGAAGAGATGAAGCAAACCTTGGATTATCCTGATCGTCGTCGCCGTACCACCCTACTATGTATGGATCTGAGCTGAGAGCAACATCGATCTGCTTTTGCTTCTCTGAATCAAGATCTACAGACAGAGTGGACTCCCTCGTGAGTTGTACTCCTGGTGTTGATGGACCTCTAGATTTTTCTAGGTCACCGCACAGCGTTGTCGCGTCGGATTCTGGGGACACAATTGTCGACGGTCTTTGAGATGATGGAAGGAGGAAATGCGAAGAGACTTTGAAGTCTGGTCGCTGATCAGCGTAGGGAAAGATACGGCCATTTGAGATGTAGTTGATGGCCTGGCCAATGGTCGAGTCGCGGAAAATGTCTTGGACCATGGCGATACAATTCTAGGGGGTGAGGGAAAGGAGAGCTTGGGGGAGGTTGATGCCTTCTCATCATCGTCGGCCGCCTTTATACATGCGAAAAAAATTTCAGGCCCTGACAATAATTTAACCGCGGAAAACAGATTATTCATCATCTTCGAGGATGGTTAGTGAGCAAAAGGTCGGTAATCCCCCTTTCAGCTAGATAACATTTGTCATGATTTTCGGCAGTTTCCGTGTGAGTCAAACAATACTCGAGTCTGTCACCAAGAGACAACGTAGTAAGCAAAGACAAAGATTATGCATTTGAGTCATTATCATGATTAGAAAGACATAACACCGAGCTCGGGAGTGTCGACCCCAGTTCTTAGAGCAGCCAGCGACCGAGCACCGAAGTCATCGCAACGTGGGTGATGCCAAACTTGAGGAAGCTGGTAGAAGTGTAAGGAGAAGAGAAATCCTGGCATGCCCATAACTTTCACCGACTAAAACACGTGCACTCGAGGACGAGACGCGCACTCGGAACAGAAGTGGGTCAAAAAGATACAGAGTCATGGTTGGAGATACCGCCATATGGCATGGGTTCGAATCCCACCATCATCGAAATCTTGTCTGCAAAATTCGACTTCACTATGTGGTAGGTTTTCTGAGGGGGGTATCGGTGGACAATGTGAAGAGATATTTCTACTGAACCTTGTCAATCAGATAAACATTCAAATTCTAGGCAACTCTCTCACTAGTATCTGCCAAAACGTAGTGCACAGGAGTAATTGATTCCCTCAAAGTCCTGAAGGTATATAAGCTAAGGAAAACACGTACGTCGCCGAGGCATTTTATGGTTTTCTTACCTCTGTGCTGTCACTATGCTTGACCGTTGTGACAGTGGAGGAACGTCGCTGTTAGGCTTCAAGAGCATTTGTCATCAACACGTTATTTGGCGATTGCCGAGAGTTGCCGAGACGCGTTGTTTGCACACTGCTGTGGCTGTGCACAAAATTTCCTTCAGCCACCACCACTTCCTCGTCGCGTCCAGGCTGGGAATTTACCGTTCTGCATGACCGCTTTTCATGATTAGAGGAGGCCTATATGCGGGACGATGGGCGCGGCAATTATTCCCTTCTCGCACCTTTACCTCGACCATCGCACAATGGCAACGCGAAAGAGACTCAGGGAACCACCAGAGGCTCCTCAATTCCCTGAACCAACTTTCTGCGCTACTCACGTCTCCTGTGCGCCGCGGCGGTAATGTTCGAGCCTTTGTGCAGAAGAAACTCAACCATCGCGACGCATATACCTCATCTCGGGATATTGTCTTCCAAAAGATCCTGACGTTGCTCGTTCGGCACCGGTCTTGGGATGTGGGGATATCTGTGTATGAAAGGATGGAGGCGGAGGGACTGCGGATTCCTGACCGTCTCAAAGCTTGCTTCAAGGTGGCACAGTGGCTGAGGTCGCCGCCAGAACAGAAAGGGTGGTCGAGGGTTGGTCTTCGTCGGTTATTTGCGACGCCCTCTTTCAAAGAAAGGCAGCTATTGACTCTCATGAATGCATTTGACTGGTCGTCGGATGCTACCGCGGGGGCAGAACTCATTGGGATGTTTATCAAGAGCAAAGGATCTAGGGGAAAGCGTTATGTCCCATCTATCGCAGTTGTTAACAAGCTCGTCAGCTTGCAGACACAGGCAGGTGACTTGGATGGAGCATTCGAATCTTTGCGGAAGCTGAGACCCGGTAATGAAGAGGAGATTCTTCGGCCGTTCGTATCCGTCATTGCGCGGATGTCCGACACTGGTATAAAAGACAAGACCTCTCTCAAGCGGGTCATGAATCTCATGAAGGAACACGACATCGGTGCCGATACCTCTGTCTTTAACGTCCTCATTTCTCGGGAAATCAAACTCGGTTCATTCTGGATCTACCCACGCGTTCTATCATACTATGAAGTCCTTCGAAACTTGCACGCTGCCACAGGTATCGGTCCCGATGCGTACACCTTCCAGCATCTCTGCTCCGCTATGGGACATTATTACAAGCCTAGACGCAAGCACTGGGTACAGGGAAAGGACCAGTTTACCCCCCGTCATCTCTATCGTGACATGGTTGCCATTCATTTCAATACCGAAGAGTCCAAAACCTCATCCGTTGACATGGGTGAACTCTACAGAGACCAAAAACTGCTCAACTCGATGCTTCTCATGTTTCTCACCCTCAGCGATTACGTCGGCGCCCTCGTCTGCCTTCGTGGTTTCACAAAGTTTGGAATTCCCGTAAATGCCAAGACGTTTAAGCACGTCGTCGAGCATCTCGCTCGGCAGATTCACCACGATAAAAAACATTGGATGTCGGCGTTTCTAGGCGAATCGGAGCTGGATAAAAATATGAAGTTGATGGATCCCCGGTTGTTGACCCTTCTTCTTGCCTCGATGAAGAGGGATAAGCGCCCTGGCGGCCTTGGACGCTATGTCGTTCCAACGCTTGACATGATCAACGGGGAGAGGGAAGTTCCATTGAGCGCACGGCTCGACTTGATCCCCCTTGAGGAAGCATTGTTCCAGGCTCTTTATACCGCAAAGGGGAGACGAGCGGGGGATGCGGATGAGACTATTGAGCAGGAGATATCGGACGCAGAAACTCTCATGTTCCCGAAGGTCCCCACGAAAAACTACGAATGTGGACCTAGACGTCTTCGCAGGAAGTGATTTGCCTGTGCTCGCAATTATCGGTCGCTTGCTTGTGGGCCTTTTGGCCCCGCTTAATCCCTTGGGAGGATGAGGTGGGTCTCCTATCATCGCGTTGTAGCTATCTTACTGACCGCTGTGTATGATACAGCGTTGTGGCTTGTATTTTTAGTAGTCGGTACCTGGCTGCAACTCCCTATCTTTGCAACAACCCATCTACGAGAATAGTAATATTAACTCACCACATATACGCATACTTGTAAAACTGAAGACGTGCTACTATCATCTCTCTGACTCAGGACTATGCCTGCCGAAGGCGATTGAGAACCTCCTTCACCGTACTGGCTTAGGGTTGGTCTTTTATGGTCAAACGGTACGGTTTCTTACGTGCCGTCTCAGGAAATATTGATCATGTCCGCCAGGCAGATTCACGCAGGTTCCACCGACGAGCGACCACTCCTTCCCTCTTCTACCATGCTATAGCCTTTACCAGGCTGTTAATATAAGTACGACGACTCGACTTACTCGAACCACGCCAGCCTGAGACGGGTACAACTGCCCACCCAATATTGGCCATTTTCAAGCTCCGATCGAATTTTACAGACAGCACATCCTCGAGACAGTTAACCAGAATCTCACAATTCTGAGCAAACCGATGGTGAACAAAAGCATTGGCTAGCACTCCCACGCCCTGGGTACCAGGCTTTATATATAGATACGAGTGCATGTGTATATGATAAAGCGGCTTGCCAGGCTACTCCTATGCAGGCTCTAAAAATCTGATCACACTATGCTCGGAAGGTCTGATACAGCAAAGTTCTCAGGAATCTCCGAATTGTACAGGAATATGTATTTCTCCTGGGATACAGTAGTACAAGTGGAGAGAAAACAGAGGCGCGGAGACTGAGTGGAGCAAGCCTAAATGCCCCGTATCCTGGCGCATTTTTACAGTACGGCTTTCACCTGTTTACCGCATGGCGAGGTGCTCATTGCAGTTATAGACAGTCCGTCCACTTCTTTCGCCATCCTCATCATGGTCGCTCCTACTATTGCCGTTTTACCACCTGAAGTACTCCATCGAACCGAAGTTGAAACTGCTGAAGCGGGATCACTGCAGGAAGTGGACGTTGGAGACGCCTCTGTACCAAAGTTTGTTCCGGTGTACATTGACAGGTCCAAACCACAGTTTAGGAGGATATTTGGCTTTAAGAAAGTTCGCAACCAACCCGGGCAAGGTACGTGGCAGCGGAACGTTCTGTTGGTTCAGGTCCATTTTAACGAAGGCGCAGACGTATTTGAAGATCCTCTGGATGAAACCACAAGATACCCTCTCGATAAGATAGGAGAAGAACTTGGACCCAATGCTCGATTCTACAGGGCATATAACAGCGAAGCACTTGCTTCTGACGTCAAAAGTGTAGAAGAATATCGGGATGCGATTGATGTTCTCCTTGTTTTTGTGAGTCTTCGCTCAATTCTGTACCACATCCTTGCCTAATCCTTGATAGGCCGGTCTCTTTTCTGCTGTCGTTACAACCTTTGTTGTTCAGACATCCGAGAACCTCCAGCCTGATTACACCCAGCTCACCACCACCCTCCTCGCGGAACTCATTGCCGTCCAGCGCGCGTCAGCCAACGGGTCGTCCCCAGATAGCGTACCATCCTCTGTTACCAATACATTCGTCCCAGACAATCTCGATGTCTGGATCAACACCTTATGGTACATTAGCTTGCTACTCAGTCTCACCACCGCTCTCATAGCTGTGTTGGCAAAGCAATGGTTGCACCATTACACTTCTGTGACTTCCGGAACCGCCAAGGAGCGCGCGCGCGTGAGGCAGTTTCGTTATATCGGCCTCCAACAGTGGCAAGTCCCAACCATCATCGGTTTGCTTCCCGTAATGCTTCATCTATCACTGGCCATCTTCGTCGTTGGCATCATCCTGTTTCTGCATTCACTGAAACTTGCCATCACGTACGCATTGGGGACTTTCGCCGCTGTAGTGTATGTCGTGTATCTGTGTGCCAATTGGCTTCCGGTAGTGTTCCCTCAGTGTCCGTACAAACACCGTTCAGCACCTACAGCCACTTCATATACCATCTAACGCGACCTTATTGGTCTGGCGTGAAGCACCGGTTATCTTATTGTTGGTTCAGGTGCAGTTATGGTATCTTTTCTCCCCTTCACGTCTGGTGGTGGCGCGTGAGGATGTGGCTAGTCGTTCCATGGCTCAAGGGATGGGGGTCCGCGGATGACAATTCAGAGACGAAGCGACCTTATTTTTCCTTGAAGGATGCAGAACGCGAGGCTGTGATGGATGCAGCAGACGATCTTGACGCCGATTGTATAAATTGGCTATATACAATCTCTTCCAACCCTGCAATGAAACAAATTGCCATCCAATCCATCGGTGGTTACAGAGCAGGCTATCCTCGACCAAGTTCCGAAGGGCGCTTTGACTTGGACAAGATCTCCAAAGACCTGGAAACGGAAATCAATACCCTGCATCCACGGTCAGGTAGTAAGAAGGTTGCACCTGGTCGGGAGCGCAAGCTTGAAATACTTCTGCGCTCGGCATTGCAGTTGAAGAACATCAATCAGGATCTTTTCAGATTCTTGAATGAGTATTCCCCGCTTCCAATACCCCTTGATGATGGGCAGTACGGTCCTCCCATAGCCACATTCAACCAACTCAGCTCACTTCAGACCTCCTACCTGCAGCTTGCCGCTACCTCCCTCTGTGTATCAAGAGACATTGAGGAGGCGTCAACGTTTCTAAATAGATGCTTGTTAGGTTCATCCTTGGAGCTTCCGCCTTCGATCTGGACTGGCCTCTTACGCAAGGCATGCCACTCTCATTTCTGGGAGACAATGACGCCCCTTACGCCAGCCGAGAACATTCTAACCATATTGCTCAATAATCAATGTTTCAGTCATGACACGGTCCTTCCAAAGTTTCTTTATACCACCGAAATATCCATTGTTGATGCTGAAATGGCGTCGGCAATGTTCGACTGGTTATGGGTATCCTTCAGTGCGCACTTGATATCTAAAGGGGAAGAAGCCCTGTGGAGGTTTTCCCTACCGCTTTGTCTCCTCCTACGCCTCTTCATCTTTGATCATGTTTACTATAAATTAGAAACTATTCCGCCAAATCGACCCCGTGAACTCACTCTGAAAGTTTGGAACAGCACGTCTGACTTTCGCAGTGCGTACATGAGATGCCTCTCCCAATATGCCGCGCGATATTCCAAGATCCCAGTATGCCAGCTGAATTCTCGGGAAAACGTCAGAGAGATGAAAATGGTACGAGATAGTACGAGATACACTGATCGCGTTCACGGAGTCGGCTTTGTTCTCCGAGATAGAGTCTTTACAACTGGGATATGATTTGTGTGTGGACTTGTTCAACGTGTTCGCCAGGCTCAACGCATCCTTCGGGGCACCTAGTAATGCCATTTCGGGACACGCCGCCTCTACCGAGGATGCTAGCGGCATTGAATGGGAACATTCTTTCATCCCCAGCATCACGTTTGCCAGGAATGCCATCCGGGGGCTGCTCTTCATCTCACGACAACCACCTCCTAATGATCATGCTACAACGTCTCTTCATGGAAGCAATCTGATATTGTCCACTTGGCTGTCCCCACTATATCGCTCAGTCCATTTCTATCAAGCGTTCAGGCAGGAGGATGTCCTCTCAAAAATCCATCAGCTCTGCTGCGAACAGTATGATGGTTCTATGTGGTACAACGCCCTCACTCGATATCTTTCTACCATTATAACGTTAAAAGAATTTCTGGATGACGAGGAGCGAGAAGAACAACTGAGGTATATTCATACCCCAGAGAATCTTCTTCCCGTTTGTATGACAGTATTCTCCTGCCAAAAATCTGATCAGGACGATCTTGTTCTACCTCTATCCGAGCTTTGTTTTCAAACGTTATGATTCAGAGTGGAAAGTCTGCGTCAAAGGGTTGCTGCGTTGGTCGTCATCCCTGCCTTTCCCTCCCGATACTTGGTATGACAGGGCCGCTGATTGTATCCAGAAGTTGCAGGTCAAGTTTCAAGTTCCTGACCTTGAGACAGATGACAGCCATCATGGTACACCAAGCGCTTCTCCGGACGCACACTCTACTTAACGAAATTACATTTTACCAGCTGATATCTTTGTAATATAAATTTCATCGTTCACATTCTCTGATGGCCAGTATATTGTAGTCATGTTTTCTTTCCCCTGGTCGCGACTGTACTCCCCCGACGACCCTATAGCAACTTGTCAACCATCTGAAAACCGCCTGCCATAGACCCGGCTTTACGAGCACGCCCCTTGGGCCCGCTTTTTTTTTTTTTTTGGTTAGATGACAACGCTAGTGTACACCTTGATCGTTTATCCTTCGCATCCTCTCTTTATATTCAAGAATTTAGGTGTAATCAATGTAAAAGTTACTTTATCATCATGCGTTACAAAAGAAACAATTTAGATCATGTTGAGCCCTGAATTTCTGACACAAAAAATTCACATTCTAACATTACACTAAGGAAGAACCCAGGGATTTCATCGTGTAGCTGTCGTTCACGGTTCTCAGTGTGGTGGGGATAAGATATGTTAGCTCGCTTTCTCACCCCAGCTGGCTCGAAAAAAAACCGTATCTCTCTAGTTTTTCCGGAGTACTCAGTGTAGCCGGTGTGAGAGAAGACTGTGAGAGAAAGGCGGAACGGAAGCCCGCCGTGGTAAATTAGGGGAAAACATAATACAGGTTGGTGAGTAAAGGATATCATTGTTCGACGGAAGTTGCCTTGCTCTGCGCTCGTAACTGGGAACCATATCTATAGAATATAAAAGGCGCCGGGCAGCCAATGACCAAGCAAATCAAAGCCAGGATGGAGTTACCCCAGCCTAGAGAATATGAGACTGACGTTCATTGGTTCGGCCGGGAAAGTTACATACCGTCACCAAGTTTCTCGTACATTTTGTCAGCGAAGAGAGGAAATCCAAACCCAGCGAAGGCTCTGAACGACGAGACTCCTGAGATCGCACTGGCAGCGTGGAGTGCATAGTTATCCACCTGCGAAAGCAATGTAAGTTTTTGTCCCTCAAAGTATTTTCACTACTCACAAGATAGGTCTGTATGCACGTCCAGTTGCCGCCTAATGCATTGTGTTGACTTAGTGGCTCGCTGATACATTGCAAGAAGCGCACCGATCCCGATAGAATATATAAATACGCCTATGTCTATCAGCGAGCCTCAGTTGAACTCTAAGTACTGCAAGGGAAAACCATACCAGGAAGAATCCAAAAGATACGTGCGTTGGCGGTCCACCCGTATATCAACAATCCAATCGGAAGTGTCGTCGCAGAAACCATCAAAAGTGGTAATCTGAATGATGGATCAACCTCAAACTTTTCACGAGATTCGTCATGAGACCGGGACGCTACCTCATTTCAGGGGTGCCAATCCCGCCATTTTTGACTTTCAGTCGCGCGTAAATCTTATTCAAGACGCGTGCACCAACTTGTCCTCCGACTGGTGACATCAGATCAATCCGGAGTCTATAAAAGAACTGAATGATCTCACCCGTGGATCCCAAGGCGATTGCGAGGTAGTGCAACCCCGCAATTCCTGTGTTTTCGTAATATTGATCAGTGTATACCTTGACGAAAGCTGTTTGAATGGTCAAAAGGTAATATTCAAAAAAGACAAGAGGAGCACCGACACGAGAGACTGAGATACAACACGCCATATAGGACAGCCATATACAGGGCAAAGACCTGTACAATAGGTTCCGTGGCCAGAAACTTGAGCGGCTTAATCATTCCTTGGGTCATAACACTCGTCCAATGTCGGTTAGGCTGCTCGAACCGCGAACGAATCATGACATTGCCGGTCGACTTCCTGAGAGCGCGAGCCCTGCGCTTCTGCAGCTCTGGAACATAGGTCTCTTCTAGGAAGATCTTATTATGAAGATGGTGAGTGAGTTAACATTCATGAAAAGAAAACTACTCACGAAGCCCGCGATTTGTAGAATAGCGTCAGCGATGCTGACGCTCCAAAAGACCCACTCCCACCGGACCCGTGAGGCTATCCATCCACCAACTAAAGGGCCGGTGGAAGGTCCGACTAATGGAGCAAGGGAGTAAAGACTCATCGCCATTCCCCTCTCCTCTGGGGACCAAAGATCACCCACAACACCACCACCGACGGACTGGGGAGCAGCACCACCGAAACCGGCGAGGAATCTGAAAATTAACATTTGTGTAGGTGTCTTGGCGATAGAGCACATGGTATTGAACACTGCAGGTAGCGAATCAACTCGTCAGCCAAGGCAACAAAATGCAATTAAAGGGAAAAACACCTAGGAACCAGATATTAGATACCTGTAGAACTATGAGACGACCACATAATTCGGACATCGGTCCCCATATTAAAGGCTTGCCAAGCTTTAATGCTGTGTAATAGTATCAAAAGGGAGTGGGTCTTACTCCAAGTGCATATGCTAGGACAAAAATGGAGAGTGACATATTTTGCAAAATCGAGTCGTGAGGGATATCGAGCGCATCAGAGATAATAGGCAATGCAGGGGATGATATAGATGAAGCCACTGGGCTTTTATACGACAGAGTTCGTTAGCGTTAGCGTTACCGCCGCGTTGGACGTGGGAATACATGCCTTATGAACGTAAAAAGACTGACAACCAATGTAACGGTCCAACGTCTTCGGTTGCTCCAGTTACGAGGATTGCCTGGATCATTGGGTCCATCCCATTCCAGTTCCTTGGTACTTGTATTTTCCGGATACTGACAAGTAGCAACAACCGACGGCGATGCCGTCAAACTTGAGTGAGAATCGGATTCTAGTACGAGGTCAAAGGATTCGTTATACAAGGACAATCCGATAGATTTAAGGAGAAGCAAAGTACCGCGGACTTCAGACAGCGACATGTGTATCCACAGTAAAGTGCAGATGGGTGACTTCGTATGAAACAAGGTGCACGTAGAAACGCTGATAATTCCAGAGGCTTTAAGCGTGAGCAATAGCCGAAGCAAAGGAGACTATTAAGTAGCCTGCATAGTACACTTTGCCCCAATTTTCCTTGTAGAGGGAGCCAAGCCATTGCCCAATGTCATCCTTGGATGACCCAGAGCACCGGTTATGAGAAATAAACTTCAGTTTAGCTAGCATCTCTGTGGAAAGAAGTTAAATTCAGCTGACGGCTCCCAAAAGCATCAATATCCATGTGAAATTTAGCGTTGTACTTTCCGGATTCCTCACCGGTTATTCCTCGGCTAAAAAAATTTCCTAGTGAGCAGGACATAAGAAGAAACGTCTTTCCCACAACCTTTCCGACGCAATGGGCGAAGTCAACATGATCGCGTCGTTCTGGCAGCGTGGGAAATATTGCAAACCTTTTACGGCAGTGGCCACCTTTTTAGATGCCTTGTCCTGACACTCTAACAAGACTAACACCGCAAGCTGCAGATAAACCGCAATGTCTGGCTGCATCTTGGATTTGATATGTACATATGGAAATTCCCCCCAGCTACTACTAACTGGGTACTTTCCCTCGTATTTTCTTGCTTACCTTTAACAGAACTTTTTTCATGGTTCGATTAGACCTGAACCAGCGACCCGAGAGAACCCTTCTTATCGGAATGCTTCCAATGAATTCAATCGATACTTTATCGTCACCCAATCCAGCATCGTCTTTGCAGCCTATTCCTGCGTTATTCCGACACCGTCGCATTCCACATGTAATTCGTTCCACTTCTTATCGTCATCGTCAGTGAATATCCCACCATCCCTAGCACCCTTCATCGATTTAGGAAGTACGGTCTCAGCTTAATACATTAAACAGTCATTGCGTCCGAGACTGCGAAAAGAAGTGGTTGACGTCAATTCTGCCCTTCTAATGACGCTTAACTTTTACTTTTCTGTGTTACTACAATTGAAGGTGTGTTGTCGTTCCAGCTCGATCTTTTTCAAAGTGAATTTTCCGGCAGTTTAATGCGAACTGCGTCCCGACGTAATTACGCTAACAGGAATATTTATAGCCGGTCCTTCAATTAGAATCACAGACAAAAATACAGGCGCCTCGGTTTCTTTTGTCAAAGCCAAGAATGACCATAAATGTGTATTCTCCTGGGTTTAGAAATAACTCTGAGATCTGCTGCTCATCGGCGACTTCGGTCTTGGCATCAGCTCTGATAACGTACCCAGATTTGTCCAAAACGAAGGTGAGAACGCCCTTCGCTGAGAAATGTCCATTCAATCCCAGCTCAGATCCCACGAGTTTCAGGCATGGAGCACATCTGCATAACATCCGAACTCAATGCGCCAAGGGGTACCATCTGCAATAGTCCATTGCAGACGGGAATTGTTTGCACTGCATAGCCTTATTGACAACAGAGAGTTGACTTTTTCGCATGAAGATGGAGCTCAGAAACTGCATTGGCCAATACCAGCAGATACGTACTCCCAAGCCAAGACAAAACCATTTTCGTACTATCGATTGCTGTTAAACTATTTAATCCTCGTATTCAGAGGGGACGCGTATCCTCAGCTTGCTTTCCGTTTTTCTACTCCTCATTGTAAAGCCCGTTTCCAATGCCTATGTTGTACGTTCACATAGTAACTAGTACTCCATGCTTCCCACTGACTTCTTTGGCCAGGCCCAATCCTGCCGAGAAATACTTACCGTATCTTGCGGTCAAATTTCCCCCCGATTATGCTCGCCAATGGCCAACCAGAAGAACCACCATCTCTCCAACATGGCTCTCAACAGATTTACGTGACGGGAACCAAGCATTGGTCAATCCTATGACCAATAAGACGAAACTCGAACTCTTCCGGTCAGTTTTTCTCTTTCCCGTAGTATCAACTTGCTTGACTTCTGTTCGCTAGATTGCTGGTCGATATAGGCTTCAAAGAGATCGAAGTCGCATACCCATCTGCTGCAGACCTAGAGTATCAATTCGTCAGATCTCTTATCGAAAATGCCGAAATCCCGAACGACGTTGCTATTCAAGTAGGTTTTGTTTCTCTGGATATGGCCTCACCGTAACTCCCGGTTCCTTGCAGATCATCACTCCCGCTCGCTCGGATCTGATAATGAAGTCTATCTCATCCTTATCTGGCGCAAAGCATGCGATCATTCACCTCTACAATGCAGTGTCTCCCGTCTTCCGCGAAGTCGTATTCAGGAACACCAAAGAACAGACAATCGAGTTAACCTTAAACGCTGTTCGTTTGGTCAGACGGTTGACTGAAGAGGAGACCGCTCGTTCTGGTACGTAGATATATATGATATAAAGTGTTGACTAGCCATCTAACATTCTCATTGATTAGGCACACGGTTCACGCTGAATTATTGTTTCGAGACGTTTTCCCAGACCGAACCCGAATTTACCATTGAACTCGGCAATAGAGTTCTGGAGGAATGGGGGAAAGCTAGCCCGGAAGATAAGGTTATTTTTAACTTGGCCGCTACAGTCGAGTGCGCACCAAGCAATCATTACGCCGATATGGTAAGAGGCGCTATATTTTGGTCTTCTCTGACGACTCGCTGATCCGTTTTACCAGGTCGAGTACTTTTCCAACCACATCAATCAACGAGACAGCGTTATTCTCAGCATCCATCCTCATAATGATAGAGGTAGGCTATTAGACCGGTCCAGCTAAAATTCCTAACCTTCTTCAATCCAGGAACCGCTGTTGCTGCAACAGAACTAGGTCTTCTCGCCGGGGGCACCCGCGTTGAAGGCTGCCTTCTTGGGAATGGCGAGCGTACCGGAAACGTAGACTTAATCTCCCTCGCTTTGAACCTCTACTCTCAAGGCATCGCTCCTCGCCTCGACTTCTCTAACCTCCCAAAAATCGTCGAGACTGTCTGTCGTTGCAACGAGATGGCTGTCCCCGTTCGTTACCCCTACGCCGGGAACCTCGTATTCTCCGCTTTCGCTGGGACGCACCAAGACGCCATTAAAAAAGGTCTTGACTTTCAAGCGAAGCGATGGACAGAGGTCGATCGTACTGGGACGGGTATCAAGTTCTGGGCTATGCCGTATATCCCCCTAGATCCTAAGGACATCGGGTATGGCTACGAGAACCTTATCAGGGTCAGCAGCCAGAGTGGAAAAGCCGGAACTGCCTACGTTATCAAACAGAAGTTGCAGCTCGACCTACCTCGTCGGATGCAAGTATCGTTTTACGGTGTCGTCCAGAAGGAAAGTGAACGCACTGGGAAAGAAATGACGGCTACCCTGATTACAGACGCCTTCAAACGAACATACTCTATCCATCATCGACCTATTAATCGACTTCACCTTCAGTCCTACCGTCTCTTGCCATTATCGCCATCGTCCAAGGAGCCGTCCTCGCCTGTATCAGACTATTCCGATAACCTCTTCACCTTATCTTCCGCTGCAGACGACGAGTCCCACTTTAGGTTCGAAGGCCACATCGTCATCGACGGTACTTTGCGTACTATTCAGGGCGACGGCAGCAATACCGTCCAGGCAGTCCTGAACGCCATGCACGCGTACCTCGACTTGGAACTCACTACGGGTGAGTACGCTGCACAGACGATCGACACCGACAACGACTCCAAAGCAGCGACATTCCTCGAGCTGCGTGGACCAGACGGCGAAGGTGCATGGGGGGTTGGGATTTCTGGCGATGTGACGACCTCCAAATACCGTGCCGTCATCAGCGCCGCCAACGGACTTATTGGCGATCGAACCATCCCCCGAAAGATGATATTCACTCCTCGACCTCTCCCCGCTCAGAGTCAGCTATCAGACAACTGGCTTCTAGACGTCAAACTGAGGACAGGGCATGCCCTCTTGCCTACACCTGAGCAGGAGAGGGCAGAGTTTATTAAGAGAGAGACATCGGTTTGAGGGGCCTGAGGTAGAAGGGTATCCTTAGACTTTTCTGGGAGTATCTATCAGAAGCGATATCTTGTATTTTATGTATGTATATCATGTAACAGGTATAAATTTTTTTACTCGCAAGCATATCAAAGTGGTGATTGATTACGATCATTATTAGTACCTTCTTCCTCCTCTCGATCCTCCACCCGGTCCTTGGTATGGGCTATAATCTGGTGGCGGACGACCTCCTAGAAATCTTCGTCAGCATTTCATACATAGTTGGCATCATGAACTAAGTTTACCTCCTCGAGGAGGGACAGGCGGCGGAGGCGGAGATCTTGCCCTAGACGAACTCGAGCTTGGAATAACAGCGTTACGGAAAAGATTCATCAAGTCCTCAGTACGGAAAACTGGTCCATCAAACTCGGAAGCAGAGGGAAGTGAGCCTAGGAAGTACGATATTACTGGGGGAAGAGTGACTGGTTTATCTTCCTCTTTGTCCTTTTCTTTGTCTTGCCTTCGTGGTGGTGGCAGAGGCGGACGATCGCGATCTTTGCTCGAAGGCGGCGCCGGGCTATATCGTCGTCCTCTTGAGGACGAAGGACCATCTCGAGAACTTTCCCATCGATCTCTTTCTGACCGTAATGGCGGTGAATTCGGACGAGCGCGCTTGTGCGAAGGACCATAGTCGCTGCCTCTATCATCGCGAGATTTTCGGTGCTCGGGCGATGGTGGTCTCTTGGTGCCACTTGTCACTGGAGTGGGAGGCGGAGCGAGCAGACTCTGAATCGTATCGGTTCGGCCCAGAGCCGACGTGCTCTTTTTAGCTATAGCCACTCCTAGGTCTCGGGCAGCGATAGCATCGACGCCCAGGTAGACGTGCCGTTGGGCAAACCTCTTCAGTGGAGGATCTACAGAGAGTCAGAAAGGTATGACATTATCAACGGACGACGTACCGTTGGGATAAACGTCAGCCATCCTTTTCTCAAGTTTAAGTGCAGCTTCGAGGTCAGCGTACTGGTACTCATATCGAGCCCAGCGTTCCCAGAGCGGTCGGGCCTTTTCAGGAGGGAAAGTACCAATGACGCGCTCAAACAATGCTCGTGCGTCTATCACGAGTTAATATGACATACCGTAGAAGGACGGCCACTTACTGTTCTCATCATTTATCGAGATAAGAAACGCCAGATAACGTATGACGAACTCAATCTCGGTGCCAAAGGTGCTGAGACCTTTTTCAAAGATCCGACTCGCGATACTCTTGTCATTGGTGCAATGATACTCCATAAGCGCTACAGAACGGCCTTAGTAATGAGAAAGCAATTACAACAGTAGTCTCACCTGCTGCTTCGTATACTTCCCAAGGTATCCAGCGATCCTTCCTCGCCGCCGAAAACACAAGCCGAGACTTATGCACACCTTCCGAACGTCGCGAAAACCGCATGTAACAAATATACACTAAGCCGTACTCTGCCCGCTTCTCGGCAAGTTCACTCGATTTTGGAGGCGTCTCATCAGACGACTGGCTATTGAAGGAATAATTATTTGATTGACTTCCTGTTTCGTTGGCCGGAGGCTGTACACCAGGAATATCTCCGTTGGCGCTACTGAAGGATGAATTGGCGGATTTGACTTGCTGCTCAACTGCTTCAAGATCCGTTCTCAAGTTCGCGAGGAAGGTATCAAAGGTAGCCTTGACTTCATCATATTTTTTGTTGGCTTCGAGTGCTTCTGCGTAGGCAAACGTGAGGAGAAAGCTATAGCAACGGTGAGCACGTGTTTGATGAGAGCGGACGACGAGATAGATAACCTCAGTGGATTCGCTTCGCGCCCGTTCTTGAGAATGGATATTGCTTCTTCATTCTTGCCGATGCTCTTGGTCCACGTATATGCCATGTACCTACCCAAATCCCAAGTCAAACGCCGACGCACGTACACAGCTCGATCGTCACAAACCAAATTTCAGGAAAGTATCGCATTCTAATGACTGCCTTCCGATACACAGTCTGTACGCGTAGGATCAATAGAGCCTTGTCCTTGTCTTCGATTTCAAGAGGATTGCTTTCTTCCCATTTCAAGTACGCTTTCCACTTGCCGACTGTAGAGCGTTCTGCGGGATCGAACGAGGGCAATGAGGGCAAAAAGAGTTCTGGCCGGCCAGTTGAAGGAGGGTACAAGGTCGATACATAGTTATTCAACTGCCGATACACTGTTCGCGCTTGCATATGTGCCGGTGAAAGGTCGGCCATGAACTTCTTTGCAGTGATCTTGTTCAGTTTCATTTCGAATGCTTCCAAGTCTTGCCAAAGCTTCTCTACGTTGTCGAGTGGTATTTGAACAGCACGGTGATAGACCTTGCGTAGCGCATCCATGTTTTGCTGTTGATCCCAGGTAGTTGTCGCCGTAGCCTGCCAGGTTTCAGCCGTTGCCACAGATGACGGCGATAAGAACCTACCTCGCTCTCACTCAAAAACTGGATATAATCGTGCCAGATATCACCTGCGTCCTTGTCCTGGCCGACGCCATGGGGCGGATTCAATGCAAATTCGTACGCCTTCCTGACGACTTCTCGTTTGGCGGGATCTCGTTTGGTGGGATCAGAATGTACGCGTCTGTCGGCAATGTTAGACAGTACATAGGTGATGCCACGATGAAATGACTCGCCTGACATAGGTTAGATAAAATCGAAATAGGTCCACGGAAGGAGAATGCTTCAAGAAAGTCGTGAACAGCGCCTCAGCTTCGCCAAAAGTCTTGGGATTGTCAAGGTAGTGGCTAATGTACGAAATTTGGGCCGCAGACTGCGAAAAATAAGAAAAAGGTGTGCAAACTCGACAATGGTAATTCACGCACTGTGTTTGGATATTGCTTTAGCAACGAATCGAAAGCGATTTTTATCTTCTCCGTTTCTCCACTTTGCTCAGCAATCTCAACAAGTCTCTTCCAGAGAGCAGGACTGTGTGGTTTCTCCGCTAATTGGGCACGCAAGGAATCGAATTCGGACAACGGTGGCAGGCTCTGTGACGACGGCTCGGTCTTGACTGGACTGTTCAGAGCCGCGATAATCTCTTCGCTCGGTTGGGTCTTGTCACCAGCATATTCATCTTGAGACATACAGAAGAAACTTCAGCTGTGCACTGCAAAGAAAAAAAAGCAGATGATGAGGGCAAAAGGCAAGATCGGTTGACCGTAACCTTAACCCTAATATCAACACCGGACGTTTCCGGTGGCTGTGCTGTCCCTGCAGAACAAAGACCGCGAGGTTGCCACCCGCGTTTTTCAAGTACTTATATTAGCATAAGAATGCCCTTTCCTCTTTCTCGCTTCCAGAGCACCAAGAATGCGTCTCTTTATCTTTCATTCTCTCGCCACTTGCTTTCAATTTGGTCCTGGGAACTTCCTAGACCTTGCTATCAGGAATTTCATATCCAAAATTTGGGCTATATTGTGGAATATATGGAGAGCCACACTAGGATCTATTCTGCGCAAAAGATCACATAGAACGTATGCGAATGAGGGGGAGGAGCAGGCAGTACTGGGAATCAGCAATACGATCGCATTTGTACCTGCAGACATCTGGTGCCATGAAAAACTGGTCATTCCCTGTCATAACATCGTATGCACCCGCCCCCCCCAGTAATGGCATCTCATGAAAAGGAAACCGAAGCAACGGAATACTATCTTCCGTCAAAAGCATTCTGCAAGTGGCATCGAATGGTTTTTCCCGAAAGTCCAGTACGTCGCATCGAGTCTGCACTCCTGGTTATCTCTGACTCGATAACTTAGAATCACCCTACGCTTAGTCAAGCCAGAACGCTCAAGAAATACTTCAGTAGCCTTGATCGTCGAGAGATGCATCGAATTTCGCGGTTGTTATCTGATGAAGAAGTGTTTGGCACCTACAAACGTTGGAGCTCGGAATACAGGACAATGTGGAAGTTGTGGATCGAGAGGAAGGGCACTGACTTGGCCATCGTCTTTGTAAACAAAAGCCAATGAACAGATATGTACTCCATAAAAGATAGTTCTATATCTACATTACATTGATAGTTAGCGATCGTATCATCGTAATAAACGAACTTCGTACCTCACATCTGTCCTTTCCTCATCAAGTTCCTTCTAACTCTCCTCTTCTCAGCACCGAGCCCCTCTCTCTTCCCCCACTGCAAGAACTGGCACCTTACTCTTCTCCACACCCGCAACCTCATCATTATCAGTCCGAAAGTCCAAGAAACCCCAAATCGGAAGCTCCATCTCGCCTTTTACAAGTACCCGAGTCTTATGTAGGGAAGGTGGAGGGGTAGGTGTCAGCACATGCAGTACAGTAGGCGATAATGATCGAATAAGAGCGACCCCGTAGCACGATGATGATTGCGGAGCAGGAGGGAGGGCGCCCTGGGTATACGGTATACCACCAGGAAGTACCTCCACGCTCCCCGGCTCACAACTCACGAGCCCCACCAATGCACCGTTAAGTACGCACTGTATCTCCGAAGACCGAACGTCCTCCGCACCCGCCCCAGTGAGAATGACTTGATCCACAGCAGCAGAGATATCCACCTCGTACGGCCGCTTAGCACACAGGGGGAGGGAGGTGTTCCACGTCGTGGCGGTGATCTGACGGAAGGAATCGGGGTTTATAGCTGAGGGAAACACGGCGTGAAAGTAGGACATTATCGATAGCGTCCGCGTGTCTACGGCGGAGTACAGGTTCGATGAGGGTATGGGTTTGATCAGACGATGTGCTGGAGTTCGAGTTCGAGTAGACCAGGCATTATCAGTTATCGGGGCCTCAAACTCGAATATCTGCGTGGGCTCGACCATGGCATGAATCTTTTGGAGGAGATCTGCACCTAGACCTTTCGTCCAACCCATTGTATTGACAACGAGCGGGATACGATCGCAGGCGCGGTCATCGTCGCCTTCAATACCCATGTCAGTAGGTATTTGGATATCGAGACGATAGATCTGGACTAGAGACTGAATGGCCGATAAATAATGGGACGGGTACGACTTGGGTGTTGTTGCGCCAATATAATGGGCGTGAATAGGAAGTGTTGGATGAGTGAACGGCGGGCCTACAACTTTGCAATGAGTATAAATACGTGAATGCAGTGGTTCGTTGTCTTACCAAAAATCGGGGACTCTATTATGTTTAGGGCAACCATACCTCCAGGAGTAAATTCGGATTGACCTATGTCACATTCTAAATACGCGACCCGTTGGTATCTGAGGTATTTCCGTCAGCGTTGTGAATGATGAAGTAACTTATCTAATCACCTAGTCAAAAGCTGGTTCACTAAGGTCCTAGCAAAAGTACTTTTGCCCGTCTTCTTTGGTCCTTCCACAACGTACATTTCGGAAGCATCCGCCTCTACTGAAGAAGCCGAGGATAGGGCAGAAGACCACGACGGTGGCAGGTAAAACGGTTCATAGTGCTTAGTTCTCCGACTGACCTAGCCAGTTACATGAGTTGTACGTTACTGAAGAAAGATGTTAATACTCACCAAATGGACACCTGGTATACGGAAATCAAATACATCCTCATCCCTTCGCCGGTAAGGACCGAACACTCCATCAAACGTTTTGCATACAACTTCAAGGCCAGAAACGTTTGTCTGCAGCTCTTGAATGATGATTAAAGCATCAGCAGTCCCCAGTAAAAGTTGGAAACGTGCGGCGAGAGACGCCGTTTTTGATGGTCCCCCTACACTCTCATGTTCTACTGCGATAACAGGTAGAGGGGAAGAACGTGGGGCGAACACATGGTGCGCGCGAACTGATGAATGAAGAGTTGTACCACAAATCGTGATTGACCCGTGGAGAACATATAATTTGTATGCCCCCAAGAAACAAATTGTGTCGGACTTGCTAAGAGCAATGAGAACAGCCGCGGCTTCACCCAGTCCAAAGGAGCACAGCTCGTCGGGGGTCAAAGTAAAGGTGGTTTTGGTCGCGTATGGGGTGGAATGTCGACAGCGTATCGTTTTCCTCCGGAGTAACAGGCGGTGGTGGTGGCTGCGGCTGAGAAATTGGCACCGGCGGCGGCCCTTCATCCTCTTCCTCAGAAGAATCGTTTAGTGGTGCACTAGGAGACCATCCCCGCAAGACACGCTCAGGCTGTTCGATATCCCCTTCATTGGACATATCTGAATCAATGGAAATGATGTTCTCTTGCATCTGGAACGGGTCAGGCTCCTCAAAGTACCGTGAAGGCTCTGGTCGCCTGTCATGATTTTTCTTCTTCTTCTTTCGGGAGGTAGGGGCATTCTGCGACGATGGTTTCCGTTTCGAGACAGACTGTGGACGGGGTGGTTCTACTAGGACCGGTGCTGATTCTTCCAGAACCACGGGAGGAGTTGGCTCTGGCTTTTTCTTTGCAGCTTGCGCTGCTTTACGAGCGGCGACAGCGCTCAGCATCTTTACGCTCGTGAGATGAGAGAGGGAAAACAAAAAAAAAGGTAATTTCCAAATAAAGACATGAACGTTAGAATCGGGCCGTACTGCCGATCGCCTCTTGTGGCCTCCCCAAAACCTTTTGCTAACGTATTCAATCGAGGTCTCGAATATCCATGCGGTTATTTCTTCAGAGTTATCCTCGACTTATCTTATGTAGTGGAGAGCGCAACTCTTTCCCTTTTCATATTGCTCACTTTACCTGATGTCCACCACCAGGCTGAATGGATAATTATCTGAACCCAAGAAGCGAGAAGCGAGATATATATTTAGGTCTCACCTCCAATATGCGATACGAGGATGTTCCTTGGAGCTCAGTGAAGGGGGGGGAGGCGAAGAGTCTAGTTCAGCGACTATATTCCTTAGCAACTTCACTCCCGCCAAACATGTCAAATGCCCTCATATGTGAAAGATGCTCGATTAGCCACTTATATTTGAGCTGATGGATACTGTGATATCACGTAGCAACTCATTCTTATCCCCGATATCGATGGATGCTCGAATTATGTCTTTATGTTCCCACTATCACACATCAAGATCGTGAACCTTATGTCTTCCGTCCTACCTCTAACACGCTCAGACAGCTACGCCTCCTTCGTTACAGCAATCATGGACGATCTGAAGCCTGGTATATATGGGATTCAACTCGCAGATCCTAACCTGGAAAAAGGCAATACCCATGTCGATCTCTCAGGACAGGACTTGAGAACTATCATTGGTACCAGCATGCATTCATCTTGCTTGTGCGATTATCTCACCGCAGCCCACAGGATTCTCTGGTCACGATGGCGATAATCAACGGGTATGACAGAGCCATCCCTTACGAGTTTACCATCTAATTGTTAGTGGGAATTTGCGACGTTGGGTGCGGGGTACTCCATTCGGAGTGTCTATAACGGAACATACTTGTCCATCGATTTCAAAGCTCTGAATGAGCGTCGACCACACATTGTGGCTTCGTCGTTTCCCGTCAGCTGGGACGTAAAGCTATATGATGCAGACAATGGACTATACAGGTTTGGATCCATTCCTCTGTCGTACAACAAATCTTGATTCCTGCGATCGATAGAATCAGATGGCCTAATAGCGAATTTGTGTTTAGCATGGACATCAACGCCGGCGGTCTCCCTCCCGTACGTCACCTTAACGAGCAGCCAAGCTTTGCACTCAGCATTTCAGCAGGTCTTCCTTTCAAAACAGCGTTAAAACGCTGATTCCTCGCAGCTGTGGTACCTCCGTGAACGTGAAGGAGTTCCATTATCATCACCGGCTCAACCGACAGCGAATACGGTGGTGGACTTTGGTGAAGGCACTGAAGGAAATATTGTCATTATGACAACCACCACAACGATGACGAAGGTCAGGAGAGTTGTCGGTTGATTTACTTCTCTACAATATTAGTAATAGGGAACATTTATCTCAACTTTCGGGTAAATTTCACACCGTTAATCAGTTGATGACTCTGGTAACTATTCCGGTGTAAGTATATCAATTACCACAAACAGCAGATACCTTGAAGATTTAAGATTACTCGTCTTCACTCTCAGATTCCGTCTCTTCCGAATCCTCTTGTTCGTCAAGGGCTCCTGTCCAGTCCAATATTTCAAGTCTCTCGTTCTTCACCGATTCTGGAAGCGAAGAAGCAAAGTGTCAACAAAGATCAGCACAAGGATGACGAGGAACCTACCTCCAGCGTTGACCTCATACCCGGCTTGCGTAACACACCGTGAAAGCTCAGCCTTGGCGCCAACTTTTGTATTCTTTCCGAGGATACATCCGTCTAACCTGGCCCCATCTGCAATAACACAGTGGTCCAAGAGCACACATCCAACAATTTTGGCCATCTTGCCGATGACACAATGACTCCCAATCACAGACTTTTTCACCGATGTTCGCTCGCCTATCTTTGTCGATGGTCCGACCATACTGTCCGCGGATATCTGTGCTTTCTGGTCAATGAGCGACCTGTCTGTGGGAACACTGGGAGTGATGAGGCGGCGGTTCATCTCAAAGTAGGCATGAAGAGTGTTAAGCCGAGCAGCAGGCTCTTTGTCGCGATGAAAGATGATGCCCACACGTAAACTGGATGTAGTAGGCGATCCGCTACCCTCGTCGCTGGCAGAGTCCTTGGAATTTGAGGATGGAATTGGTGGCTCGTCGTACAGAGTGGAATGAAGGAGCGCTGTGCTCTGGGTGGGGGCATTGGTGATGGGATTGAGTACATGACTGTACTTTTCCCTTCGTGATCGTTTGTATGGTACTTTGCATAGCCAAGGAATAAATTCTTCTCGAAATGAGTCAATGTGTGGTTTTTCTTGTAGCAGGTCTAGGACAGTGCGCCGGCAGACATAAATGTGTGAGTCACGGTATTTTGTTGACACCTTGGTTCGTGGATATCTGAGTAAAGAGTTGTCAAGTAGCAGCAACGAGAACGCGTAGTACTTACAAGGTAAGAAGAGACATCCTAAGCTCCAGTTCTTCACCGTTCAACTCCCTGTCATCTGCAGTGTCGACATGAAGCAAAGTGCCGCTTTTATCATCCCACACTATGGCAACTGGAGGAAAAGCAGGACTCCAGTCATCCGGCTCACTTGCTTTCTCCGTCTCATTCGATGCAAACCAACATGTGGTTGCGATGGCGCCGTCAGATATTCGGTCAGATCTAAATTTGTTCAAGATGGTGGTAAGGGAAAGAGAGGGTGGAGGTAGGAAATCGCAAGGCAAGACGACAAAATCTGACTGTATGCGGTGGGCAAAGTGCCGCAACAAAGAGCAGGTCCCGACACTGGCGTCCATGATCTCATCGTACGTCTGCAAGTCAATGCGTAACGACACGTTGGTTTCCGAGTGAATATGGTTGGAGATTGCATGCCGATGGACCGTCGGGCAAATGAGCACAACGTCTACCATAATGGAAAATCAGCCCTGAAGGCGGTCAACGGTGCAAGCGACGCACCCTTGATGCCTGAGAGCTCCAGCCAAGCAAAAACATAGTCTATCATGGGACTATTCACGACCGGTAGAAGAGCCTTTGGACATGGTTCATCGCCGTAGTCGCTCGTCAGAGGTATTAGCCTGCAACGGACTAAATACTGGAAAAATACTATCAGAATGTTGTACGTACTCGGCACCAAAGCCAGCGAGGACGACGGCAGTAAATTCGCGAGTGACGAGCGGCGATATTGAGACGTCGAGGTCCATGGTGGTGGTGCAGAAGCAAGGCTCAAAGTCGAGTCACAGGGCGAGCGCGACTTTGCTTCGAACGTCCATGTGCGCGGATGTCGCAGCCGTCTGTCCTCACCCTCTACAAGCGTCTCGAGACCATCGGCAGAGGAGCCTACGGTTCTGTCTCTAAGGGCATTCATATACCTACCGGGAACGTCGTCGCTCTCAAAATCATCGACCTCGACACTGCCGACGATGACGTCGGTGACATCCAACGCGAGGTGGCATTGCTCTCGCAGCTGCGAGATGCTCCTAACATTACCAAGTATTTCGGCTGCTACATGGACGGACCTAGGGTGTGGATCGCAATGGAGTACGCCGACGGAGGCAGCGTGCTTTCCCTGATGAAAGCATCGCGGGGTGGCTGTTTGGAAGAAAAATTCATGGCGGTCATCGTCCGCGAGGTGCTCATTGGGTTGAGCTACCTCCACAAGGTTCCTGTCATTCACAGGGACCTCAAGGCCGCCAACGTTCTCGTCAGCGCGACGTGCAAGGTCATGATATGCGATTTCGGTGTGTCGGCGCTGCTGGCAACAACGTCGAGCAAACGGAACACGATGACGGGGACGCTTCACTTCATGGCGCCAGAGGTACTGCATACGAACCCGGCATACGACGCAAAAATCGACATATGGAGCCTGGGTATTATGATATACGAGATGGCGAAGGGTTCCCCTCCCCACTCCAACCTTGCAAGTGCAGAAGCAATTGTCGATACTATTTCGAAGATGAAACCCCCTCGACTGCAGGATAGTGAAGCTGGAAAGGACATGAGGGACTTCATGGCAATGTGTCTCCGAGAGCTGCCCAGCGAGGTGTGTAACCCATGTTTCTTTCTGTTCAGTTCTGATCTTACGAACCGAGCAGCGTTCATCGGCGGACGAACTGTACAAAGCGAAGTGGATGAAATCCAATGCGAAGGTTCCCAATTCCATTCTACAAGAAGCGGTTCGTCGTCTACACCAAGCTGGACCAAGGGCGAGTCTCGCAGGACCTCTAGCTTGGGAAATCGACGAGTACGTTGCGTCAAGTATTCACATAGGCATCACCACTAACATTCTATGTAGACTTGACGAGAACAGTGACGACGAGCGACCTTGGGAATTCGATACCGTTCGCGGGCGCCCATTCGCCACAATTGAAGACGACTTTATTTCACTTGATGCTGTTGATGAAGAAATGCCGCCTCCTCCACCACCTGCCGTGCGCCCTACACTTCCTTCTTCCCTTCGCGGTCTATTCGAAGATGAATCGGCCCCAGATTCCTTTAGTCACCAATTATCTCTACCCCAACGAGATACTCCCAGCCCACCTGCACCGAAATCAACACCTAGTCATGACCGCACCATAAAGGCGCCTATCTCGCCCCTTGGGGGCTTCATCCAAGGTCTCACTCACGACGTCGCTGAGACCGCACGAAATTTCGTATTCCCCAAGTCAGCTCGTTCAAGGTCTGGGTTATCCAGCATATCGGGTTCTGATGATGAACGGTCGCAGCCGCCAGTTCCATTCCCGTCACGAGGGGAGATTATACCTTCCCAAGAGCTGAATACGCCTTTAACCATCGACATCGACAGAGCCGTAGAAGCAGCGCAGAACTCTGCGTCGTCTGCCCGGTCTGCCCAATCATATCGCGACATTCGGTCTACGCGGGGACTTGCTGATATTGAGATACCCCCTCTTTCCCAAGATACCAAGCCTATTGAACTCTCAACGACACCCAATGCTGCCCCAACATCCGATGCCCCGAGTTCGACACTTACAACAAGAACCCATACACCTCTAAAACGCTCTCCCATGCTGACAGACAGCGAGCCTCAAAGGGGCCGACGCCAGGTTGACCTGGCATCCCCCACTGCGTTCCAATTCCCCCCTTCCTCATCAAATTCTGCATTATCTGTTATACAATCCACGTTACCCTTACAACCACAGAGGGCACGCAAAGATACGCCCCTGAGGAGGAATCTGAGTCCCTCTCAGTCATCCCATCAGTCGACTTATTCTCTAGACATATCAGGGAACGTACGGCATGCACCATCCTCTTCTAGCCCTCGATCTTCTCCACCGATAACCCGAACTCGGTCTGCGACCGCACTTCCAGAGACAGCCGTGTATAAGGCAACGCCTCCTCCTCCACAAAGCCCATCTCCGCCTCTAATGCCTCCCGTCAAACCTTTTGCGGGGCGTCGCGATCGCAGCGGCAGCGATTCAAGTGGGTCCTATAGAACAAACGGTTTGGGCACACCAGGGCTGAAGGATGTCTTGAAGGTTTGTTATTCACTCTTCCTGTGCACAAAACTACGCTTATGATTTACCCGGTAGATCCCTTCTCTCACTTCCGAACACCAACTTGGTCTGTCCGACCTGCTTCCCCCTTCACCATCAGCAGCAGGTACATCTACGCGAAATTTCTCACCGACGCCTAGCCATCTCAACCCTTCGACCACGTACACCCCCTACCCATTCTCAGCCCAGAACTCAACCTTCAAAGATGCCGCCACTTCGTCGTCGTTCATACTGGGTCTCCCTCGAACCAGTTCTCCGCCGCCTTTGGATATGCGGCCAGAACCCCCTACTTCGAGACACTCTCGGTCGGAGTCGCATTTAGTCAATCTCCCGACATCTCTGTCTTCGCCCATCTTGCCGTCTCTACGGCCTCTTGATTATTCCGCCTTGGTTGGAGCGGACCAGACGCGTGCAGAGTTAGCCAGGACCATTGAAGATCTCAGTCGCTGTCTTGCTGTAGTCGAGGTCGGACTCAACGGCATGCTCGATAGTGTCCGGGGAGACGCCATCGAGGAAGAGCAAGAGGACTCTTTCGTCGACGGTAGCTATGCAGATACATTGGCAGACTACTCACACGCCAATGGTGTAACATCACGGTAACGCTCATTGATGACCATCACGAAAAGAGGGATACATTTATATTTAGAGGGGAACATCTCATGTTAATCTATGTCTGCTTCGGCTTGCCTTCGCTGCTCCTCGTCGGAGTCCGACTCTGACGCTTCCGCCGCGTTATTTCTACCCCAGAAACTTCCTACCCAATTGCTGAACATCCGGAAGGGCTGCATAGGACGGACAATACAATCAGGATAGAACAGAGATGGAACACATTATTGCTCACCCCAGTCATCGGAGCAATATCTTCCTCGCTATCTTCATCTTCATCCTCATCGTTGTCACTTTCAGCTACTGCCGGTTCAGGTTCGGGTTCAGGTTCCTGATCTGCCCATTCGACTTCAATCTCCCCGGGCATTCCCCCAGGCATCCCCATACCTGCTTCATTCTGGACCATGATGTCCTGAAGGTTATCTAGTAGATCCTGAGGGAGATCCTGGAATGCCTGCAGGAACTGCACGACACCACCGGGAAACATCGCGGCGACTTGAGGTGCAGCCATTAGAGCCTGGAGTAGTCCATGGCATGAATATTTTGTAGAATATGGACAGGAATGTAATACGTACCTCTATTTGTGCTCTAGTATTCGCGTCGGGAACGATTTGTGCTAGTCTTCTCTCCTGTGCTTGACGTCGGCGTCTAGTCAGAGGTTCGTGCATATTGATGTCAACGCCTTCAAAGAATGCCTCGTCGTAGTTTGTTACAGCTGTTGGGGGAGGCAGGGGATCACAGTCCAAAGACTTCCGGGCGAGGATCTCCCTGGGAATGTACCTGAACAGGTTGCGGTATTCTAGCACCATAACATGCCTATAAGCTGTATACTGCAGGTTCGTGTGGCTGAACAGTTCTGAGAATATCTTGCGCTCGTTTGTAATGGGAAGAGAAGATGGGAGGGGCGTCTTGGAAAAATACGTGGTTACGGTCTCGTTGAACCACTCGGCATGATCTTTCCATACTGGCAATGACCGCTGAACATACAGGTGAGACAACAGGTGAAGAATTGCAACCGGTTCTTTCAACGAGCTAAAAGAACTGAGATTAAAGACTGGCCTGCAACAAAAGTTGATGTACGCACCTTCCATCGGTTTCGATTCTGAAGTCACGATGGCCACGTATAGATGCGGACAACGAGACTTCGAGTTTGTCCGCTAGAACAGGAACAACGGAGGGAAAAGATTTGACAGCCTCAATCAATGCCTCTGCGCTCAATTCCCGTTGCTAAAGAGGAATAGTCAGAGACAGACGCACAAATATCAAGCGAGCAGGGTACCTTGGCGTCACGGCTTACTCTCAGTGCTAAAGCTCGCGCATACATCCATCCAGGTAGTATACTTGGATTGATACGAACCCCCTTCTCCTGACGCTTCTGTTTGAAGAGATCGAACATTTCCAATAGCCATCCAGTCATATTACCCTTGAAAGCAAGATAATCAAGATGATAAAGAGCCCCATGGGGATCGTTCCACGGGTCAAGCGAGTACATTAGTCGCGCAAACTCAAAGGCCGTGCGTAGACATCCTCGACGCTGAAGGTCCCTGATCATGCTACGTCAGAAAGAGGAAGAAAAACGCAATCATGACAATGCTCACGCTGCTTGGCGATGTAGAGCCAAAAAGAAGGGACGATTCTCGACAAAGTCGAACGCGAGGCGATTCAGACCACTTGTGAACGTGAACGCTCCAATGAAGGAACGCTCGTAGGCAAACAATGCTCTGTCGATAAAGTCGACGGCTTGAGAATGTTCCTCACGATGTCTGAATACTTGGGCCATCTGTAATAAGGTATCGGCATGCCAAGGCATACTCCTGCACATATCGAATAGACCCTGAGGATCTGAGAAGAGAATGAGGAGAGCCCATCACATGAATATGTAGACGTACCACCAGCTTGTACGGTCTGTATGAACACCTTCGTCATACTTTTGTATTTTTTACTATATCCGACAGTCCACCATTTCTCGCCTGGAACGAAATCGACTGCTTGGTGCTTCAACTCGCCATCAGTAAGAGGCCGAATTGATAAGCCTTCACGCGTCCGTGCTTGGGCCCAGGCTGGCTGCGGACGGGTCAGATGGGAGCGCAGTGCGGTAGGCTGCCTCCGAGAAGATGATGTCGCTCCTGGGGTATCTGCTTTACTCGCTTGGACGACCTTGGAGCCAAAGAACTTGCGCATCTCGGCTTCACTGTCGAGGTGGGATAATGACACGGATAACAAAGAGGCCAGTGCGTCCACAGAAGCTTGAGTGGCAGTGCCGGAAGATGAAGGTGCATTGGAGTACCTGACTCGCTGTGAGATAACGCGAATTACGGACAGGTGGATACGCACTTTAATGAGAGTTCTGCAAGCACCTCGTCAAGTTCATCCTTGTCCGCTTTCCGAGCCTTTGCTTTGGCCTTTTTTGCCGCCTTTTTCTCATTCCTCACCGTCGGTGTGCTGGAACGAGATACTTTAGGCGGAGCATCAATGGTGGCGGCAGCTGCTGCTGGAGCCTTTTTCTTCTTCTTGGACTACGAATATTGTCAGCGACGTACAGCGTACTGACTCGAAAACAAACCTTCTTCGATTTTGTTGAAGGCGCTACCAAGTCATCACCATCATCTTCATCGTCTGCAGGGTCAAATAACTGTGTATCAGTTCAGTGAGCTGCAAAGGGGCGGAAAATATCGACGCACTGCTGCAAAGCCAGCGACAGTAGGCTTCGCTGTCTCTTCCTCTTCGCTATATTCAAAGTTGTCAGTTTTTGAGGATCCTCCCAGCGCTTCGAGCTCTTCCAATTCCCGTTGCTGTCGCTTGCTTAGTCTTGGAGGCATTCCGGATATCGCAGATCGAAGTAAGGAGTCAAGATATATGAGTGTGGCTGTGCTGTTCCGAGTGAATCCCTTTTTGGCACTCACCGCCACAAATACGAGCTTTACGCCGAGCTTTAGGTGATGGATGAGATTTTCACCATAAATGCGCATCGACAATTTACCAACAACCATCAGATGGTGCTACTTTAGATACTACATCATTTCTGCCCCATGCATGTGTCGCAATACCACGTTGACGTCCTCTCTAGTAATCAATGTTTAGCTGCATTCCTTGATTCGGCCTGCAACCACAGCCAAAAGAATTTTACGGGAGCCTAAACGGACGGAACCGAGAACACGGTTAACGTTACCCTACTTACTCTTGTGAATGATAACGGTGGAAATTTGGCTGTCTCGGGCGACGTCAAGACAAGATTTGAACTTTGATATTGATGTTCAAACTCAAGTTCCTCGAATTATCTTTCATGTATCATGTTAGAGTAATGACAAATACTACATAAGCATAGGTTTGTACGACTGAGCACTGAATATAAATGTCTAAAGCCCAACCTTTTACACCTGATACCAAACGCGCTCATTTTTATGGCCCCCAGTAACGACTGGAGTCTGGAAATACGACTGATCCAGAAGCTCGTTGAGCTCGACATACGTTATCTTCTTCTTCCATGCACCTGATTTCAGAACACGGACAAGTGTCTTCGTAAACACCCCGCCGTATACCTTCTTTCCCGGCATCTCCTTCGCAACCTGACCCTCTTGACACGCTGTCAGTGTTACATGAGAACTCATATCTGGCCGCCAATCATCCGATAATATAGATCGATAGCGAGGTAGATGGTCCAGCCTTTCATGTCCTGCACGTAACATATCATTGACATCGGAATGATAAGTGGGCCATACGCTGCGCTTTAAAGAACCGTCATACTCGATGCAGCGGCAAAAATTGCGGGCGTAATAGCAGTCTGCGATAAACGTGATCTTGTGCCCCTTGACACGAGATATTTCTGCGAAAATAGCGTCCAACTCTCGGTCGCTGATATCGGGAACCCATTTTCCGTCGTGGTCCTGGGTATCGCGATCGAGGGGACACAGTGCTTTGGTGAGACAGAAATTGCCAATGCTATCACATGTAGATTTATAAAAATGGTCATCGCGGCAGTAGCAAGAGCCATATCCAGCATAGTAGATGAAAATATTGTCTCCCGGGTCAATTTCACGCCTGTTAATGAGACTGTAGAGTACTTCCACAATATTGGCGCGGTACGGCGTGAAGGGATCACTAGGAATCGAATTTTGGCAGCCGAGGAGACACTGGATACGTTCTTCTGGTACGCCAAGGGTGTTGATTAGGAAACTTTTTACTAATAATGCATCCGATACGCAACCGCGCAGAGGAGTGCGCTCATACGCATTGATGCCGATGAGAACAGCCCAAAATCGAGACGCGTCGATGCGGTGCCGAGCCTATAGCAGCTGATATGAGTACAGATCCCTGTAAATATTATATATGCTTACGCCTCGGTTCATGGAAAGCGATTCGCGAAGGGAACAAGGTTTATGCGAGCCTTCGACATTGTCTCTTTTTGATGTCTCACTTCGAAAAATACGGTGGATAGCGTTACCGAAACGCCCCCGTGGTGGCATATGCTTTTTTTCCTCTTGTAATACCTCTACAGGGTCGAGGCGTATGCCTCTGCGAGAGGCCTTGCCATATTCCTGCGCAGGCCGAGGTTCCAACCCCTTGGCTGGTGGTACCGTCGTCTAGAATGTAAGGAACTGAATAACAGACGGAAAGAACACATACAGTCTGAACGAGTAAACAGGGTGGATTTCTGATGAATGGTGTCTTGTAATGGCAGAGTATTCTCGGACTGAGATATTGATGGTGAGCGTTAGTCTGGGATTTGATCGAAGGGGGATGAGAGGTACTTATGGCCGGAACCCGGCATCGTGGCCCATGCGTCCAAATTGGGAATTCGCTCAAGTATTTCGTTTGGAGGTACTTGATTGAGCCCATAGCAGTGATCCGACTGGAAAAACCAGTAGTTAAAAGACACGAAGCTGGTAAAGGCAAGACGCCAGGGAAGGGGCCATAAAATGTCTCTCGGTTGCTGAAATATCCAACTTGATGGCCTAAGTACATATGATTTCAAAATCAAAAAAGTTCAGACTCTAATACCTTTCCTTGTCATACTGTATAACGTCAATTTGACTGAGGGATCCGGAGAAAATCTGGAGATAACATCAACAGAACTACTATTGAAAAATGGTCAAAAAGAAGTGATGAGAGTGGGATTCGAACCCACGCCCTTTCGGACCAGATATTGCATAATCACCATGTGATTGGGTCCTTAGTCTGGCGCCTTAACCGCTCGGCCATCTCACCAGATGACCATGTAGACATTAATTTATATATGTAAAGATAAAATAAGATCATCGGTTTCGAGATATAGCTAATACTTGCGACTACTCATTTGCCACAAATTGTTGTCCGATAGCGTCTGTGATCATGTAATTGTGAAAGGCGTTTTTCGGCGCTAGGTCGAAGTGTTGTTCGCCCGTTGCCTTGTCCAGCCGTAGCCGTTCGAGATATGCACCCAATACGCTCACGTTCAGTATTCTTTTCAAGCTATGTAAATGTACAAATTTGTCTGCTTTTACAGTCAAAAGTCCTGAGGAGAGTCATTTTCTTGACCCTTACGTATAAGGAATTATTCCGGAAGCTACACACAAAACCTATTTCAAGTTCAGTCGATATTAAACCGTTCAACGACTCCATTCTCACAGTATCAACCAAAAGGTTCGTACAGGCCGCATTGACGTTCCTGTTGTTGACCAGAAGAATTGAGAGGTCGATGTCATTCGCTTGGGCGATACTACTACAAGTATCGCCAGACATCACGACAACGGTCTCGTTACAATCTTGACCAATGATCCCCAGGCAAAGCACCTTGTTAGAATCAATGACTAGGCACGGACGTAAAGGAAACCGGAGATATGCACGTACCTGACCAACTTGCAGATTGTCGCACGCAGCGTCAATGACTGTATTCACATGAGCGAGCTGGAAGCTACGGGCGACTGTAAGCCCGATTAAAACAGGTAATGGGAGAAATAAAACCATACGTAGAAACATTCTGCGCGGTAGAAATGCCATTACAAGTGTCTCCAGTGACGACTGTGTATTCACGAGCACAGTTGTCCTGGGCAGCGCCAAGATTGAGAATGGTAGTGATGAAGAGAGCAAAGATGAGGGCGAACAACATTGCTTTGGAACTGACGAAAGACAATGCAGAAGCGTCCGCCCTTTTATACGTAGAAAGTGAGCCAACGTGGTCAGACAATGTGCCGGAGGCAGGCTCATGAGCCCGTCGGGTGACTGTATTACGGGATGTCATTGCGCGCACATTGCAACTTTTCAAGGTCACGATTTCGAGAAGAGCTCCAGCTGTCCAGTACGAAGATAGCTATTCTGAGCTCAACAGACACGCCCATTAACATAGATTCATTTTTCGCACATGTTCGCCGCTCGGTTCTTCTACCTATTCTGCACTCCCTTCCTGTGTGAGCATTCTGAAGTATCCCAGTCATGAAAGCTCAGGGCCCGCAGCACGAGTTCTGGATGTGTTGATGGATGCATTGTTTTAGACCGGTTCATGAGAGCAAGAGTCGGAGCATATCCACAGATGCACTGAGCATCTTTCCTTCGAAGTACAGCAGCTGAGGCTGCGCGAATACCCATGCCAGGAACAAGTAACTCCGTGTAGCATTAGTCACCCAGTGCCCACGAAATGAAACAAAAGGCGGCCGGTCTGATTCTAAGAAGAGGGCAGACCAGAGACGAATTTGAATCTGTGGATGTTCCTGTAGTAATTGAACGTAGTTACGATTTATCCAATTGGTCGTGCTGTGAGATGGAAAAGTCATCAGAGTCGGTGACGGAGATTGGCACCAAATTTGGCCGAAATGGGTTTACATGCGTTACGTAAATGTTAGGAAAATTACGAACGCCACTCGCCGACTGCCAATGCGCTGCGAAATTGACAACCGACCGACTTAAAGTTATTCGAGGGGCCTCCTAACATGAATTGCTGTGTTATCTCCCACGATAATAACAACAATCTCGCAGCAGGAACAAAGTAACACGAATCCGACACGAGGTTTGGTACAGCATCCAGGCGCCTCTTGATGTCGTCCTGATATTTCTCTCCACTGCTCCACAACTTGTTGAAACCGACTGCTAACTTCTCTAGCTTATAATGTCTAGCAGAAATTATTCTTCCCCTTGTACACAAGACAGCTCTGGCTCTGAAGATGCCCCACTCGTAAAGCCTTCTCGTAATCGCGCCTCGTGGACCGTCCAAGAGACATTTCTCTCTAGAACAATCGTAGAATTGTTTCTTTGGAGTACGTCAATGACCCTAAACCAATATTTCCTACATTGCTGACATCGAATGCGATAGCGGATTCGTGGCTACATGTGAACGATAAGATGGAGGGTCATGATAAATTCGCCTTCTCTCTCCGACAGGCTATCATCGTCCCGATATCTGTGGCTTGGATGGACTTTATCTCCGTGGTTCCTATGCAATACATCCCTCAACTAAAGAACTCGCCAAAAAATTGGAAAAAGATGAAGAGTGGTATGTGGCGTGATTCAGTGATAATCGCAGAACAGTACTGAGAAACTTTTATTCTTTAGTTCTAGAGGAACTGAGGCGCACGTTTAATACTCATGGGATATTGCAAGAAGAAAGACCATAAACTGGGGTGTCGGAATGATATTAGAATACGGACGTTTTCACGATATATGCGAATGTGGAGTCTGAAACAGAAGAAGAGGGACGCTAATGACAGGATGCCTCCACAACATATGACCCAGCTCTTCCTTCCGAGATGTAGCACCGTGCCAAGACACGAGCCTCGAATCTGACTTTATGGACAATCGGAGTGACCGACAGAACGGCGAAAACGAAGGTGCGTTTCTGTCCCGTCGTATTCTCTCAGTGTCAAACTAAACTTACCCAGAACCGAGCCACAAGTCAAGAACATTGATCAGTATTCTTTTCTGATTCAGCAACGCCTCCCCGTTATCATCGGGACCATGGGTAGCTCTCTCGACACTGCAGCTATGACTTGGTTTAGAACCAGGCTGGATATAAATGCTGGAGACGTGACGCTACAGATATGACCTGCGTTTTTCAAGCACATATAACTAGTTCAGAAATCTCTCTCAGATCTTCTGGTGCATACTTGCTTTCAGCCTTCCTTTGTTTGAAGCTTAAGCGCCCTCGTTCGTGCTTCTAGTATCAGAAAACTTCGTCTTTGGCGCTGTATACATTCTGTGACAAGTATTCTGACAGGCTGATTACACCTTTCGCATTGATTCTCGGATGATATCCAAAAATCCGGTATAGCTCTTGTAGGCTCGATTCCGCCTGGGATACATCAAGATATCGTCCACTGACAGACAGCCCGAACACACCTAATTCTTCCATGCCTTAACATCCTGTTATAAAGAGGCTTCTGCTACGAACGAACAATACCCCACATCGGTCAACATGTACTTCAGTTCCAAATCCGCTGTTGCCTTCATCCTCTCCAGCCTCACCCTCGTCTATGCAGCAGTAAGTGACTGCCCCGTCTAGATGATCTCCCCTCATCCCAAATTCCAGCCTGCTGGCGTATACTTCTGCGTCGAACCTAGTTTTAAAGGATCGTGCGCCTACGTCTCTGCCGATGCAGGCACCTGCATCTCCTTCGCAGCCGGAGACTCCTGGAACAAGGTCATTTCCGCTGTCCTCCCAGATGCCGCGACCGTGTGCACATTCTACACGTACGTCCACGACCCGTACCAGTAAGAGCTTGAGACTAAGCTCATTCTAAGTGGCTTCAATTGCACCGGGACGACCTTCCAGGTTACTAAAGAATACGCTACCCTTGTAGGGACGGGATTCAACGAACAAGCCAGTTCTTTCGCGTGCTCCTAGGTATGTGAGTCAGTCTCTGTCCGCCATCTTCCTTTGATTGACTGAGGCAGTTTCGGTCCCGTCAACGACTGTGCTCGGATGGTGAAACTGCTGGAAAATTCATCTGTAGCTCATCAGTTTTCTATGTGTCAATGAATATATGGCATGAAACCGTACTCGCATGCAGCATACCTTCTCCAGTCTTCATGCTTATGAACACGGAGCATCTGAAACATGTTGGATGTCGCTGGCAATGCTTCCAGGACATTTTGGCGCTTGTTCCTGGAAAGACTCGTCTTGACTCGTGTGGGTCGCAAAATCCTTCGCACCAAATTAAATGCGGGATCAATGCCCTAAAATAGACACAATATGCTTTTGTCAGGGCCATTGACTGACAATCATCTCTCGGCAGCCTGGAACCTGCATTCGCGTTTGACGGTGACCCCGCAGAATCGCTGGCAGCAGGGCGTTCGTTATCCTAACTATCACGAGTCCCTCCCGTTTCTGATCAGAAATTCTAACGCGTAAATTTTTGCGTCGTTCGGGAACGGCGGTTACTCCTTGTACCTCGCCATGAGAATTTTTCGATTTTGTGACTCGATAAAGTTGGTTTGGCGACTCGGTAGATCACCGGGGCAGATGGTAAGGCCCAGTTTCTCTGATTAACGAGTCATCCAGGTGCAAAGCGCGATCCGTTCATTGGGAGAACGTTATGTTTTTTCGTCATTGAACTCGGCACCGTCTGATGCACACGCGTCTCCCGCCAACGAATTCCGTAAAGCGGTCACACTATCCCGCTGAGTGTTTTCCCACCACATAGCGAGTCAGACCTTTGGGGTATAAAAGAAGGGACGCGTCGCCATCTTTCACCAGGTTCTCCTCCAGTTCCTACTACCTTTCTTCATCAGCATGTTCTTCCTCACTGGTCTCGCTCTCCTCTTCACCGCAGGATTCCATTTTGGTGCTGCCCAAGTGGATAATTGTGCTCGCAATTACACTGTCCATCTTGGTGACACCTGCGATGCGATATCGGCTGCACAGAACTCTTCTACGTAAGTATCTCTCATCAATTATTCTTACCCACAGATTATCATGACTCCTTCGCTGCAGCTATCAGCTCGCCTCGGTGAACACCAACATTAACGTCGGATGTACCAACTTGGCTTTGGGCGAAGTACGTTTCCCGTAATATCATCGCGGCCGTGAACTGAGTTTTGCGTTATTAAAGGTCCTCTGCCTAGGCATTACCGGCCAAGATTGCACGGACACCTACGTGATTGTTTCAGGGGATAACTGCGTTGCTATTGCCGCTGCCGAGGGCACCACCTACGACATTCTTTTGGCTAACAACCCCAACGTGGATGCGACTTGTGCTAATATCTATCCAGGAGAGGTGAGTCTAGGTCATGGCAAGATATTGTTGCAGAGCTAACCTTGTGTAGGTCCTGTGCGTCGCGCCTGAAGAGGTGTACGCGTAAGAGCGACTCGGAGATTCGAAAGAATAATTCCGAGCTGTCTTGAGAGGGCCGTAATTTTTTCTTACCTCTATACCAAACTTGAATGAATACTGCTGTCGTTACTATTTTGAGCGTGGAAAGCAAGCGAAGCTAAGCTAAGTAACAGACGATTTTCATGTCTTCTTCAGTTCCTCTAGGACTGACGAACTCTGTAGCGTTATATTTCCGTGTCAACAAATGAAGTTACACACTTATCCTCATATTTTTATTACATTTCTCGGCAGTCTTCGGCCGAGAAGCGCACAGCTTGAGACCACGGAGAAGGACCGCCTCTGTAAGCAGCGTAAGTTGTAATATTAACGGTGGACATCGTATATATAATTCCACATGGTTCTCTCCGGCACGGTCCAGGTAGCCCAGGTATGAGAAGCCTTTACGACTGTGGTGGTGAACCTAAGCTCTAACGTAGCTGGGAGATATCCATGAACACTTTACATCTGAACTCCTAAATTTCATAACAACCCTCGGTTGGAATTCCACAGAAAACTGCGTTGAACTGGCAATGCCCACCAAGTTGGCAATTGATTGGCCACTAGCGTTGATCGCTCTATATACCACAAAGTATCAGAAACACCACAGCAAGAATGCCGCGAGCAAGCTACGAGAGGAGATGATGAGAGCACACATGCGGGTGATGGTCTCTGCTCCAGCCCATGGGGAGTATACGACCTCCGGATATCCTTCGGAGGCAATCCTGGCGGAAGCAGCTGCCATTTCGATTCATGAGGAACGACTCGACATGGTGGAGGTCGTTCATCGCCTTCTTGAAGACAAGCTTGGGATGCGGCAATACATAGACATGAAACGTCCCACGATGCACAACTCTGACAGGCCGTTTATTCAAGACCTATCTTCCTAATCGAGCTCTTGACTGCCCTTCTCCCGGAAGAGTATCTGTCCAAGCTTTTACAGAACACTCTTGATAATCGCGTCGGAGGAGTGACTTTTGCTGAAGCGTTCGAGCGCGCATACATGCACCTACCCGTTTCGGACGTGCCGCTCCTTCTAGCGCTATTGATTCTGGCTCTGGGTTCGCCACGTTTATCCGTGGCATGGCTTATCAATGCTCGCTTGCGCATTCCCTCGTCGATATTCCTCTTCTCATCGTTCCCAAAGCGCAGGCGATTTCTATGTCGACCGACTACCACTTGATGAGTTCCAACGCTCGGATATCATGATATCTGTCGAGGACAAGCATAATATCTATGGTAGGAATGATATCAATGCAGAAGCGTTTGGATTCTGGCTTGACGAGAATACGGGCATCAGGGTGCCTTACGCCGTCATCTCGATGCAGCTTGCTGGGAGTCAAAGTCCGTTAGTATCATCGTCTTCCCAAGGTTCACCCACGATACTGCCTGCTCCTTCAAGTGTGGCTGGCACACCATTGGATACTGAAACGGAACTTCCATGGCAGCCTGACAAGAAGGAACATCCTTGCTATTAGTAAATATTTCTTGTTGTCCAACCACCTTCCGTCTACAAGGTCATCGACGCAAATATTCTCTTCATGTTGATCGGGCCCACGGCAGGCCAGATGTTCGCGTCGTTACGGATAGGCAGTCTGTGCCTGAATAGAGCGGTGACTATCGAAGAAGACGAAGACGATTCGGATGTTCGGGTGAACGAGGAGGTGAACATCATCTCGGGCCTATTGCTATTCCTCTATGCGGGTGCTCTGGCACCAACTTGAAAGCGACGCTGATCTTATCTAGCCAAAATTCCAGGAAGGATGCTTTGATTTATGCCCAACAAGATTGCTTTGACTTGCGAGACATTAGGGAGAACGCAAAGGAGATGTCTGCTGAACCGGCGCGAACGCCGAACAGCGGCATGTGTAATCACGTGCCCAAGTCATGAAGTCAGCTTGTTTCTTTTTGACTCTGCATTTCATTAAGTACACTAACTACTAAGACGCGGCGGAGGTAAAGGCCCCCTCAGTCACTCTCTTTCCCTCTTGTTCAAGTCCTTCCGCTCATTCCTCTGCTTTCTCCTGGTGATTCGACGTCTGATGTGAAGGTGGCCAGGTTGATGTCTTACGCAACAATTCACCTTCAACAGCGATGCATCATTGAGCTCGTACGCTGCTAGACTGTTAATTAGCGCTTTAGCGCTAACACGTCAAGAGCTTCACATCAATTTCAAACGTATTGGAACCTGACCGATGACATTGTCTTCAATACATCAGTGACTGGATGGAGCCCCTTGTTTAACAACTTGAATCCGTAAGGCTATTTGTATCTTCGCTGCCTCAGCTGATGTGCTTTGGAAGAACGAAGTGACCTCTTTTAACCGTATCCTGGCTGTGGAATAACAACTCCATCTACATCTCCGAGTCTAGTGCGGGTAGTGTGCCCACTTCTTCGGCTTTCATGCTCGCGGAGAAGTTGTACATTGAATGCAATTATTGAGTTCAAAATCGTCTTGCCGCGCCTCCCGGGTACCGTGGTCCTGTCTTGGGTGCAACTGACCCGCTGTATATGCTGGCGTCCCGCAAGGCGGTCATTCCATGGCTCCATGAGCTGCTTCCGGGTTCATTATTAGCTGCCTGGACTAGTCTTTTCTCGTATAAAAGGACAACCATATCAGGGTCTTTCATCAGTTCCAAAGACATGCTCTTCACTTCCACTTTCGCTCTCCTTCTCACCATACTCAACCTCAGCGCAGCTCAAGAGGACTGCAGCCGCTCTTACGTCATTGCCACCGGAGACACCTGCAATAGTATTTGCCAAGCGCAGGGTGTTTCCAAGTGCGTCGTTCCTCTTTTTCGCTATTTCCATGAGTCTCACATCGATCTATAGCTACCAGCTCGGGCTTGTGAATCCCTTGATCGATGCAAACTGTGACAATTTGATCCCGGGTCAGGTAACAGTGTTTATAGAGCACGCTTAGGCTTCTTGACTGACGGTCCGTTTTATAAAGGTGATTTGTCTGGGGTTCTTTGGTCACGACTGTACCGAGACCCATACTGTTGTTGCTGGAGATAGCTGCAACAGCGTTGTCGCTGCGGCGGGCATTGACGATGCTGTTTTTATGTGCAACAACAAGAATATCAACGAAAACTGCAGTAATCTCGATATTGGCTATGTAAGTTATAAGCTTTTGAATCGTTTCAGTGCTGAAAGTACTGAATTTAAACAGGTTGTGTGTGTTTCTGCTGGGCTTATGGGTTATCCAGGCCCATGCCCCTCGAATGAACCAGCATTGTTTGTACAATAATTGTCTCGATGACTTTACCAAGAATGAAACATAACATGATCGACTCGGAGTACCTCTATCAATTGTCCTGGGATGCAAGTACTTGTGCTTTAGGTATACTGACAGTTCTTCGCGACATCGCCGTCACTATTCGAAGTGCGCCCGCATGTGCAATAGATTCTTTTGGCAAGAACCATAGGGATAACTCTCGTATGTATCATCTACGCGTCACGAAGGATCTAAAAGTAAATATAACACATCCAGAATTCTCTCTCCTTCCCTCCTTGTGCCATCCTTCATTGTCAGCCTAAGACTCCCACGCATCTCCCGCCAACGAATTCCGTAAAGCGGTCACACTATCCCGCTGAGTGTGTTTTTCCCACCGAATAGCGAGTCAGACCTTTGGGGTATAAAAGGAGGGACGCGTCGCCATCTTTCACCAGGTTCTCCTCCAGTTCCTACTACCTTTCTTCATCAACATGTTCTTCCTCACTGGTCTCGCTCTCCTCTTCACCGCAGGATTCCACTTTGGTGCTGCCCAAGTGGATAATTGTGCTCGCAATTACACTGTCCATCTTGGTGACACCTGCGATGCGATTTCGGCTGCACAGAACTCTTCTATGTAAGTATTTCTCATCAATTATTCTTACCCACTGATTACCATGACTCCTTCGTTGCAGCTATCAGCTCGCCTCGGTGAACACTAACATCAACGCTGGATGTACTAACTTGGCTTTGGGCGAAGTACGTTTCCTGTAATACTTTCGCGATCCTGAACTGAGTTTTCCGTTATCAAAGATCCTCTGCCTAGGCATTACCGGCCAAGATTGCATGGACACCTACGTGATTGTTTCAGGGGATAACTGCGTTGCTATTGCCGCTGCCGAGGGCACCACCTACGACATTCTTTTGGCTAACAACCCCAACGTGGATGCGACTTGTGCTAATATCTATCTAGGAGAGGTGAGCTTAAGTTATTGTGGGATATTCATATTGAGCTAACCTTGTCTAGGTCCTGTGCGTTGCGTCCGAAGAGGTGTATGTGTAAGATCAGCGACTCGGAGATTCGAAAGAATAATTCCGAGCTGTCTAGAGAGGACCGTAATTTTTTCTTAGTTATATACCAACCTTGAATGAATACTGCTGTCGTTACTATGTTGAACGTGGAAAACAAGCGAAGCTAAGCTAGGTAAAAGACGATTTTCACGTGGTTAGGTAGGTATTACACGGCGCGGTCCAACGGGGAACGTCGGGCGTAGATAATACATGTCTTCTTTCGTTCCTCTAGGACTGACAAGAACTCCGTAGCGCTATATTTCTATGTCGACAAATGAAGTTACACAACTGTCCTCATATTTTTACAGTTCTCGGCAGTCTTCGGCCGAGAAGCATACAGCTTGAGACTACGGAGAGGAGAGAGAAATGATCGCCGCTGTAAGCAGTTTAAGTTATAACGGTGGACATCGTATACATAATTCCACGTAGTTCTCTCTGGTACGGTCCAAGTAGCCCGAGAACCGTTTACGATTGTGGTGGTTAGCCTAAAGTAAGCTATAATGTAGCTAGGGGATATCCGGGAACACTTTAAGTATACCTGAACTCCTAAAATTGCATAACCCTTGGTTGGAATTCCACAGAGAACTACATTGAACTAGCTCGGATGTCCACCAAGTCGGCAATTGATCAATCCGTTACTGACGTTGACCACTACATCCCACAAAGTAGCAGCAATCCCGGCGTCCGCAGCAAGGACGACACAAGCAAGCTACGAGGCTTGGTAGAGTAACTCGGCCCTCTGGCTATGTCTCTCTGCGGGCACTCCTGCACCAACTTGAAAGCGACGCTGATATTATCGGGCCAAAATTCCAGGAAGAATGCTTTGATTCATGCTGGTAAGATCACTTTGACTTGCTGGGGGGAATGCGACAACCTGTCTGCCGAAACGGCACGAAAAGCGGCATAGGTAGTCACGTGTTGCGAAGTCAAATTACGTAACAATTTCACTTTCAACAGCGATGCATCCGACATGAACTCGTATACTGCTAGACTGTTAACACGCCAAGGGCTTCGAATTATTTCCGGGTATATTGGAACCTGACAAGTGACCTTGTCTTCAATACATCGGTGACTGGATGGAGCCTCTTGTTTAGCAACTTGAATCCGTGTTTGTATCTTCGCTGCCTCAGCTGATGTGCTTTGGAAGAACGAAGTGACCTGGAATAACAACTCCATCGACATCTCCGAGTCTCGTGGTTGTTATATTCCCGCTTCTCCGGCTTTTATGACTCGCGGAGAAGTTGTACATTGAATGCAATTATTGAGTCCAAAATCGTCTTGCCTCACCTTGCGGGTACCGTGGTCCTGTCTTGGGTGCAACTGACCATCTGCATATGCTGGCGTCCTGTAATTCGGTCATTCCATGGCTCCATGAGCTGCTTCCGGGTTCATTTTTAGCTGCCTGGACTTGTCTTCTCGTATATAAGGACAGCCGTATTGTGGTCTTTCATCAGTTCCAAAGACATGCTCTTCACTTCCACTTTCGCTCTCCTTCTCACCGCCATAATCAACCTCAGCGCAGCCCAGGAGGACTGCAGTCGCAACTACACCATTGTCGCCGGAGACACCTGTGATAGAATTTGCCAATCGCAGGGTGTTTCCAAGTACGGCGTCGTTCCTCTCTTTCGTTGTTTCCATGAGTCTCACGTCGATCTGTAGCTACCAGCTCGGACGTGTGAATCCCCAGATCGATGCAAACTGTGACAATTTGGTCCCGGGTCAGGTAACAGTGTTTATAGAGCACGCTTAGGCTTCTTGACTGACGGTTGGTTCCATAAAGGTCATCTGTTTGGGGATCATTGGCCAAGACTGTACTGAAACCCATACTGTCACTGGTGGAGAGACTTGCATTAGCATTACCGGCGACGCGGGCATTGGACTTGATGTTTTTATGTGCAACAACCCGAACATTGACGCCAACTGCGATAATCTTGATATTGACAATGTGAGTTATAAGCTATTGAATTATTTTGGTGTTGAAAGTCCTGAATTTGAATAGGTTGTGTGTGTTGCTGCTGATACCATTTATCCTGACACATGCCCCTCGGATGAACCAGCATTGTTTGTACAATAATTGTCTCGATGTCTTTACCAAGAATGAAACAGAACGTGATTGACTCGGAGTACCTCTATTAATTATCATGGGTGTGCTTTATGTATACTGACAGTTCTCCACGACATCGCCGTCACTACTTATTCGAAGTGCGCCCGCATGTGCATGCAGCATCAGATGTATTTGGCAAGAACCATAGGGCTAACTCTCATATGTATTTATCATCCCAGCATAGTCGCTGTAGGAACTGATGTCGTTGCGACATATGCTGCTTTTTAAGGTAGGGCTCAGGTGGAAGCGACTACATCACGTGAATTGTGACATTGAGTGACAACCTCATTTATGACGTGTCCGGCTGCATGCTCTACGTGTTTCTGGAGGCCTTGGGGATCCCTTTCATCATAAACGCAGATTATATAGGGTACATCATCCTTACAAACGATTTTAGATACTTCAGATAACATATTGAAACTTGTCTTAATTTGGATACGTCAGAAAGAAAATCTATCAACCCAGTACAAGGTCCAAAAAAAATTCAAACAGCTCCGAGGGAAGCTTCAAAATTTACTTTTCGAGCTTTGCTCGGAGCCAGATTTCCCAAAAGTAGGTGTATCCTGTCTCTGATAGAGATATACGGAGTTTGTCACAGATATCACGTGAATCTCATGTGATGTGGTCGTTTCCACCTGAGCCCTACCTTATCTCGGGCTCTTGCTAGGGCTCCAACCGTTTCCGTATGAAACAGTTTATACACTGTTTAAACCGTTTAGTTTACCGTTTAAGTTTAGGTCGAGAGGCATACAGTAAACAAACAGTAAACTAAACGGTAAATGGTTACCTAATCATCCAATTAGGCAGTGCATCAATTATCCACTTCGTTGACTTTGTGCAATGCTACAACCACCACTGACCAATATTATCTCATTCCCCAATTATTCAAGGACAATGTCTGCCTCTCGACTAGTGTGTCATTGTGTATTTTCACAAGTATTTCTTCAATATAAAGGCCGTCTTCACCATGTCCAACTGCACCCTCAGGCTTCCAAGAACCATGACACCCTCAGTCTCTTCGGTCTGCCCTTGTGCAGCAGTTTGCATGCCTTTGCAGTAACCTCCCTCCAGCCGCAGTGAAAGAGGCTTTATCCGATGATCCCATCTACCATGTCATGACCAATGTCTATAGAGAGGATGCGTTCTCGACATTCAATCTAGAATGCTGTAGATACACGTATTAATAAGAGAATTAATGCACATTTGCCGCTATTCTAAAGTGTCATGTGATCTACCCTGTACAATCATTTATACACTGTTTATAAATGGTTTCGCAACCATTTCCGTTTAGTTTGGACCTGAGCATAAACGAAAACTAAACGGTTGGAGCCCTAGCTCTTGCACTCACCAAACGCGTCACAAGGAGCGTGGCATTGATCACGTGGGGACGACTGGCTTCTCACTTGCACCTGTCTCTAGCGCCGGCCCGGACGAGGCTGTGGTCTCCAAGAAACAACGAAGACGGCCGGTATATTTTTAGGTTCGAAAAAGCGGTCCTAAAAATGTTGCGACTTTCCGTGCAATCTTTCGACAGGAAATTTGAAAAGGAACGTCCTAAAACAAGATGAAAAAGGGCGCTTCACGGAAAACAGATCAAAAAAGGGGTTTCCATTGTTCGCTTTTTCTTTGTTCAAAACTCGCTCTTTTTGGTGCGTAAAAACATCACACAAACAAGGCTTTTTTGTTATGTTTTCTAGATCATGCTTTGCGAGTGCAAGAAGATGATTAACGACCACGGCTTTTTTAGGATACTTTTTTAGGTCCAAAAAAGCAACCGACCCCAGCAGTGTGATGACCACCATCCCCTTTCCTTCGATGCGACACGTCTAGATCTCAAGGAGGTGCCCTTGTTCTTCTCTATGGCCTCTTCCTTTATCGTGGGTCTTCGCCCCACCACGTTGCATAGCAAGCCACTCATGGATTCTTGTTATTCGTTCTTTTGTTTCAGCATCGGCCTCCAGCTATTGTACTACCTAAGCGCTGGGACGCAATAAAACTAGACACTGCTTCTAATGGACCCAAATTATCTACGTCTCATCCCTCACTGCGGTGATGAGAACATAAGACTAGTGCGGTCTCCTGGCGTATACCTTGAGCATATCATGATTGACCAATCAGCGTTAAGCTTCAAGATATGCTCCAGAAAAACTCCGGGTAGCCCCAGGGCGTCTATGTAGCCATCGCCGCAGTGCCTAGGATCTACTCTCGTTCTGTGGCGAATTAAATACCGTCCGACACCAGACAGATATCTTCATCAACGATGGCTCAACACGCCAACTTCGGAGGGCATTCGGGCATGTGCCGTCACAGAGAACGTAGACGTACCCGTATATATGAGATGCCACCACATGGGGCCATATCCGATACCTCATCACAATCTTCTAGGTCAAGCTCTCGGTCAAGTCATAGTAGTGACTCTAGTAGCGACTGGAGCGACATTGGCTATGGCTCGGCCTCTTCTTCTCTAGCTGCTCCGTATTGTCGGGATAGTCATCATCACTGGCATGTTCATCGTCGTGATAGTCAAGGACTTAGTCTCCCAGAACTACTACCCTATACACCCTCATCAGACACCGGAACTCCGGTGATCCCCGATTCTTCGGCGTCTTCCATCGCATCACCTGTGATTCCACATGTCGGGCTCCAACATCCAGGCTCGTTTTTACTTCAAGGCGGACGTCACCCTATATATCATGGACATACTATTCCAGCGAGTGCCTATCGAACGCCAGAACATAATACTCCCTTTCGAGACGAAGTAGTCCATGCATTTCACCCAAATCTGCAGCAGTATTACCACCCTAATCCTACGGATACCAGCGGATTCATCCACACACCCTCTCTGCAGTGGGACATCATCTATCCACCCTCCAGGACACGATACTTACCGGGATATTGCATTATACAGCATCCTCAGTATATGGAAGCTGCATGTGCACCCCCAACCGTACGTCGGATCCACTTCACGTCAACTCATGAATGCCTTGGTTTCTGGATGTCGCCTGACCGCTGGGGTCCCATCATAATAGACGACCCCAACCTGCCCACTGTTCACAGGATACTAGAAAAGATACATGATTATCTTCGACAGCCGCTTAGCCAAAAGGATATTGCTACGATCCTTTCGACGCCTATCAATCGAAGCCGACTTGGTGAAGCGCGGCGTTCCAGGCTACACTACACCGCGGGTATGCAGCCATATGGAGGATACGTGAGGTCGGACGTATTGGGCGGTCACAGACGATTCTTCGGCTGCAGAATGTCAATCCGAGATGGCATTTGGAGAGCTTCAGTGGATTTCATCCCTGGTCCCGTCTTAAGACTGGTGATTTAGACTGGATCGTATTTATTTTATTCGTTAAACGTCGCAGATGATTCATATTAGACCTCAAGTTAATACATGAAATTGCAAGGCCTCCCTGGCTAAAGCTAGACGGCCTGGTACATACATACAACAATGCATGATTCGTGAGAAATAACCCTAGAATTCACCGACACCCTGAAGACCATGATTAGTATTAGTAGATCTTTCATAACGCTGAGTCACTCACAGGCCCAAAGTGCTCCCCCTCCGCAAGGGTGTAATACGTACATCCGTCAGAATCACAGCCAGCATAAGGGATCGTGTTTGGACCCTACACGAAATTTAAGAACCAAAATGAAAAGCCGTTGTAGGAAGCCTCACCCAATTAATCTCTGCACCAACATACTGTACGGCAAAGAACTGGATAACAGCCGAAAGGGCAATCGCGCTGTGACGAAGTTTCAATATATTGAAAGTGTTCGCCAATGCACATTATTCACCATGTAAATGCTGATGCCAAGATACTACAAGCAAACTTGATGTCAGATATATACCAACAACATAAAGATGTAGACATACTAATTATATTTCGACCACCACGAGAGGAACCGTTTCTTGATGAAAACGTTGAAGAGATAGGCAATGGGAACCGCCGGCCAGGTATTCGACAAGTTGTAAGGTGCCCTAGAACGACCCGTGAGCATCAGATCCTTCCTAACATTGAATACAGCTTACCAGATGAGCGTTCCGATCAAAAAGACCGGGAGGTGGAAGTACTTGAAAATTGGTATCCTGGGCGTCAAGAAGTACACGATGATGGGCAAGACAAAGCCGATCAAGAAGCACCAAATCAGAGGGTTATAGATAGCCCCTGATCCGAACATCCTGGAAGGTCCAAGAGTTCCCCAGAGAACCGACGCAGTGAAGAACGTATTGGCGCCTGGACAAGTGAACCTGTCTTTCTGTGTAGACGAACAGACATCGGGAATTTGGGTCATCTGGAAGTTTAAGATTCCAACACAGACGAAGGTCGACGCCAAGGTTGCTATCATTTGCACCCAGAAAGTGACCTTGGGCGGAATGTGGGTGTAATGTGCAAGCTTCAGATCCTGAGCAAATGCCAAGGTGTGTGCGGTAGTGACGTATCCGTAAGACTTGAAGAAGTTCATGGCGTTCGCATTCCCGGGGAACCATAGACCACCGAAGAATTCAGCCAGGACGTTGAGCGTCACCTGGGCATTCGTGATCGAAGCGATGATACCAATGGGAATGCAAAATATGACCTGCCATTTACTCGGTTAGACGATCCATATGCTAGGCACAATTACACACACCGCGAGGAGGATGCCGTAGAGAACAACAGCCGGTGTCGTTGAGGTCGGGTACGCAGCTACGCCGGCAGCACCGAGGCCGATAGAAACTACTAAAACACTGAAGATAGTAAAAAGTAAATAGGAATGTTCAACTGACATGAAAAAGATACGAACCATAGATACTGCCACTCGGGAACTTCAGCGTAGGCCCCCATTAGCTTGCTGTGTATATCGAATTTGTCGTCTTTCAAGGGCTTTCTCTTCCAAAGACTTCGGAATCCCATAGCGATTTCCCTCCGGTGGTAAAGGAATGTGTGGGAGATAGTTGCTGCATATGTCGCAACTGCCCAGAGATTATAAGTTGCGACGACTTGGAAGGAGGTGCGCAGAACAACATACAGAAGAAACCGTACAACAAGATATTACCGGCAGCAAGGTAAGCAGGGGAGTACGCTTTATACGATGCCTCGTCGAAGAGAGAATGCTCGTCCACAGCCATCGAGACGTTATACCGAGCGCCTGTGTTATCGAATACACCATTGGAATTGATCGGCAGGTCTATGCGGCTTGTCAGCGAGAGAAAAGCGAAAAGCTGAGGACAGGCATACATCCAGTGTACCAAACGTTGTTCACCCAAAGTGCGATTATCTGCCAACGGAGTACATTAGTCAGAAGAGATGGTAGGAACATCAGGAGTTTTTAAAACACACAATCGGGAGTGTGACGATGGCACCAAGGAAGTAGTTGGCAATCGTGAAGAACGGGTTAATGAGAGGGTCACCACCGACGGAGAGAACATTATAATCGAACGTCGGGATCGGATTTAAACCAAGGCCTCCGATACTACCTAAGTGGGTTTGTCAGCACATCACATTAGGTTTGCTTGAAGCCGACCAACCCGTGACTGCGCCGAGTAGGACGTTATCTGGAGCAATCCAGGACATCCAATTGAAATACGACAGAGCTTGAAAGATGTAACTGATAGATATCACATTCAATGTCATGAATTCATCAGCAAAAGGGGTGAATACATACTTTGGGAACCCTGGAATGGTCATGCGCTAGTCAGCTACCTACTCGATACTGGAAGATTAAAAAACGTACAGAAATACACGAACATCCCCCCGAAAGCGTACAGAAAGAATCTCATCTGAAAGTGTCCTGTGAATGATATTTCTTGTTGTACCTGTATTCATACTTACTCGAGAGACTTTCCAGCCATTAGCGGTCTGATTTGTTTCCGAGTGGAAAGCACGCTAATGATACCGTAAATTTAGAACATGAGTAGACGGACTAGAATCCCGCGTACATTCAAAGCGATAGTGGCTAGATTGGTGGGCCATATTGCATACGATGGGTAGACAAGGAAGCGTCGTGTCATTCCAGCCAGACCATAACCTTCGATTTCAGGTTAGAACATATTGTCACTCTAGGACTATTTTAGGCTCACCGATAAAGTTCGTAGACAAGGAGACTAAGAGGACGTCAGCGAGATAATCATTGTTCGGCATTAGCGAAAGAACGTACTAAGGATCTGGTATCCGAAGTTTGTGGCCCAAGACTGCCAATTGTGGGTGAGTCAATCTGACACGATACATATCATCATTAAAAGGCAAACCTCGTTGAAGAACCGTTCAGCAAACTGTACCCATATCACGTATGCTGTGTATCTGACAATGAATACGTCGGAGGACGGGATATTGAAGAGACACTAGAAATACTCACGGTGTGTTAAAACCAACGTTAGCCATGATGGTGGCAACCATGTGTTCTTTCATGTTGAAAGGACCACTAGAACTGTGTTAGAGTCTTCGCTCCAAGATTGCAACTGAACTGACGGATTAAATGACCACTCATAACCAAATGTACTGTATTTCGTGGTAGGTAGCACCTGCTCGAAGAATTTTCCTGCAGGGAACGCCCTAATAAGAAGTGCCAATGGAGTTAAATTTCGTTCAGTTGAAGGAAGCACTTACAATAACTGTGCAACATTTGAAGAGATTGTAATTCCCGGCTGACGGATTGAGAAGAACTGGTTGAGGAATGCACCGATAACGACATAGACTAGCCCAATGACACCAGCTCGGAAGGTCAAGGCCGGCAAATTAGGATCATCGTGGTTATCAACAACCGCGCGGACTTCGGCGTAAGGAGAATTCTATGTTTCTTTTGGTGACTTGCACATAGTAAGAGCCCGATACAACGCACAACTATGACCATAGCGGCTTCAATCTTGACCTCATCGTAAAGCTTCTGAAAAGCAACGGGATCGTCCCTAATGTCCTCGTCGAAGAGATATTGCCCGGAACATTCTGAATATAAGGCAACGTCTGACTTCCTCGCCCGTACTTATGCTTACCGGCTGAGCTCCAGCGCCCGAGTTGGAAAGTTCTACAGTCAATCAGTCAGATGGATACAACTACAGAGGAAACGGGACTTACGGGATCCTTGCCATGCTATAGGCGGGTATTAATTGACGTTAACTGCACCTAAATCCCTCAGGTACTTACCACATCAATTATGTGCCTCAAGCATTCCTCAACTTCCTCGGTCGACATATTGTCAGCGGCAGCGGCAGCTTCCTCCACGTCACTACTGAGAGCTTGGATATCTAAACCGACGACATCCTGTCGGTGTCGCGTTAGTATTGAGTACTTCGAAACCAGCGGAACTGGACATACGATGTCCGGAACGATGGCCTTCTCGTTGAAGGAGCCATCGGACTCCTTCTCGACGGCGTCAGCGTAGTCTTTCCTCTTCTCATCAGCAGACATAGAGGGCAATCGACGAAGAGACGGATCCCTAAGAACAAGCAGGCGAAGCACCGCTCCTAATATACGGACCACTTATCTACATAGAAACACCTTAAACGGAAGTATACACATGGCGAGTGACTGGATCCCAGTCGAATCAAGGTCGAATGGCACCACGAGTGCGGTCGCATTGGTGCAATACCTACAGTAGAATGGCCATTGATGCAAAGAGATAAGGCACGCCAAGTCTCTGAGATAGTAGATCGGGGTGAAGCATGTGGGTACTATCTGAATCCCGGAATTGTTCCTTTTAGGCCTTTGATATCCACGCCGTAATATCCCTCCAGGCGACTCCCGTCCATGCCTTCTCTGTGCGCATGCTCGTTGCCAAGTCCACCGAGAAAGCCGGCTGAGCATGACTCGTGAGAGTGGACGAGAAAGACATCAGGTGCCAATGTGATGCGTATTGACATCGCTGTCCTCGCTACGCCCATTATTCCTGGCTGTAAATGGCATCCAGAAAGATAGGCGCATGGATAGTCTAGCAGGAACATCATCGAGACCAAAAAAATCCGTCGATGGAGACACATCCACAGCGACAACATACACGTCCAGTATCGTGTCAGAAGACGAAATAGAATACGGCGACCCTTCGTTAGGAACCAACCACTCAATTTTGGCTCGCTGCAGATCTTCTTCGCCGCAGAGGATATTAGAAGTCACAAGGGGAAAAGTGCACTTAGGAATTAGGATCCAGAGCCTAGAAAAGCCGTAAGTTCAAGTTGACCCTTGTACCAATTGAGACTACCGGCGAATGATACGCTTGGGAAAGGTGATAACACAATTGACGGTGGGCGCCACATAGCCCTGAAGAAAGACCGCGTGAGACGAAAACTGCGAGTGAAAGGTCGCGGCAGGGGGAGTTGACCCACATGCTTTGGACTGATCGCAAGCTCACTTTGATATCTTCGGGAACTTAATCGAGCCTTGGCCAAAAATTTACTAGTGAGCATTAATATAGACGATAAGAAAAAGGGCCCTACCTTGACGATGTGATTCTCATACTAATCACGCCAACCATCGTAACGCATGATATGGGCACAGGTATCCTGGGCGAAACATCGTGCGATACCTGAAAAGACATTCATAAGATGGCGCCTTTCATGTCTCCGACCGTCGTCTGAAAAATGGCGATAAGGACGTACATACAGTAGCATGAGACTCGGCTCCATGTGAACAGGCTGGGTGAAAGCCTCCGACCGTTCACCGCCATCATTTGTCAGTGTACGTTCTCAATAGCCGATAAGATATACATTATTACGATCTAATTTCAAGTGATCCACCCTGTGCGAAAATCGACTCCCAAAGGTTCTGGGGTAAGCACTTGACAGAGAAATGAGTGGTCGGACCATAATAGATGAAATATAACTTACAAAGACACGCGATCGACTGTTGGAAATGAAAACGTTTTCTCGAGATACAGAGGGCTTCAGTGATTGCTGGTATCATCCATATGGAATTGGGTAAGATATCAGTAGCACCGCCAGACAGTCAACGTCACTATACATTCATCTTGCCAAACGGCATTTTGAAGACTTTAGGGCGTTCATCGAATTGGTCTCGGCCACCGAGGATTGTTTATCGCCATTACTGCGGCTTAACGCATGGCTGAGATCAAGCTGTTGGCTGAAATTAGAACAGTGTTAAATTTGGTGCCCAAGTGACGGCGAACTCGCTAAGACGCAAGCACTTACTTAAGTGACGATCATACTTCGGTTCACATGAGACATCTGGCGACATGTTTGCCATCTTGGAATAGAGTTGAGGATAATACATTGAATCCGAAGTCATGCGCTCTTTGAATGGGCGACTGTGAGAGGACGTGTCGATTTCAAAAACGGAGAAAGCCAGAAGGTGAGCACCATTTTGGGACAAGGTCGGCATTTAATGATTCATCCGCCCTCGGCTTTGGGGCAATGTCTATTGCTTTCCTCTGTCTGCCTTCGCTGAGAGACAGCAAGATAGCGGGAAAAAAATCTCACCAACGGAGAACTCCGCAAGCACCAGTCGAAGTAAATGATCCTCTGATGACTAGCACGACCACTAAGCCAATAGTTCGTTCAGGTCGGCATAACTACCTTGAGAAAACAGACTGCGATCAGGGAAGGTCCGCTCAGCGGAACAATTCCATCTTGACTATGGAAAGTAATTGAATGATAGAAAATTATATCACTGAAAGGAAGATAAAAATGAGATCTGAGCATTGCATGCACACGACAAGGTGCACCGGAGCGCAGGGCAGTAACTTACTTCGCAGTACCAATCGTTTATCGATATCGATCTCTTTATCATAGAAGATATTTCACATCCCATCTACAACAAGACAAAGTCAATTTCAAGTTGACAAAATAAGGGGTGGATACTCGCATGGCCGCAAGACTGAAGGCGCTTGTCACTGTGTGCGGATCGTCCACACTTCGACTGTCTCGTGATGATGACACTAACTCCTAAATTCTAATCAGGATTCGGGCATTGTGCCATATTTTGAGAAAGACCCGTGACCTTTAAGCATACGACGTCTCCCCAGATTTTGGCAATGCTGGCAGCTGCACGCTCTTCGAGTTCGGGAACGTCCTCGAATGTCTAGATTATGAACTTTCGTAAACACACAGCAACTCCGCGGCTAGGTACGTTTTTCATCATTCTGGAAAATTAATCCGCGTGTGGGCTTCTTTCATTTGATCTACAACAGCTATGTAGCGCACCATCTTTACCCAAGCGTGCAGGACTTGAAAAGCAAACTTTTTTCTCGCTAGTGCCCAGTTTTGAAATTACGAACACGGACCAGAAAGAAAATTCTGACCTCTGGGTATAAAAGACTGGAGATAAAATTCTTCCAGGCTTGTGTCATATTTCAAGTTTACGAAGATGAACACGGAGATGACACACACTACCCTGAAAGTGCCATTTTCCACATTGGAATGTACGTGTGGACCTTATGGTTCCCCTCGGTACAAGGCTAGCGTTAGGTAACAGCTGGATCAGTTCAAGAAAGTTCCGGAAGAGACCTTGATTTACCTGAATTAAGGCTTCTTCTGGCTCTTGCGGTTGCCCGGTGATTCCTTCAGCAGCAAATGGATCCCAACGTCCTGCCCAGTGGTCCTTAGAATCAGCAAATAGTCATGATAGAAGACACGGCGAATGTACCCGAAAGAATGAAGATCGGCGACGCAAATCCCAATCATAAGTAAACGATCACTGATGGACCCTGCAGACATGTGGCTCTGTATCACCACTCATTGGCATCGCACCATCGTTCTCTGCATCACGCCACACGGAGGTGTGCTGTCATCCTTAGGAACTTGATTCCGTTTCAATGGAGCAGTGTGGATTTGAAAGCCATCATGATTCATTAAGGCTTGTGTAACCTTGCCCATCTTCGAAGCTTACATGAATAAATGACTAACAAGGATGCGTATGCGTGCACTTACCCGTTGCCCGCTTCATTACACTGACACAGTGGATCATAAGGTCGCGGCATCAGCCGAAATATGTATTCTGCTTGAAGTCTTAAAGAAATTTGTAGTGAGCGAGAAATTCTGAGTAAGCCAAGGTGTATCCAGGTATCAGACGATCGTAAAATCTAAAGCATCTATATTCAAAACATAGTAAATCTGCGGTGTCTATTCCTTCTCTATAGCAGTGGTATCAGCACAATTTAGGAACCAAGGTACATCAATCTTACCATCTCAGTTCACTTGTTCGCCGCTAAAGTACTCAGGGAGGACGTAAGCCAGCTTCTTGCGATGCTCGGGATTCTGTTTCTCCGACCGCGGCATAATTGAGAAGCTCATGGATCCGACTTGTTCCAAGAGGAAATTTTCCCCACTAGCGCTAATAGCAGCATGTAGTTCATCCAACACGGTTGCAGCCACGAGCCGCGACGTCTCTGCATTGGCTTTGAGTGTCTTGAACACCTCAGCTGCAGTCACCGCATCCTGAGTGAGGACGCCATGCATCGTAGTCGGTAGCTGTAGCAATCAATGCGTAGCTGCAAAGCCTTGGCATAAGCGAAAAATCTCACACGGTGACAGAACACGAACCTAAGCTCTGCCTCGCGAGCTAACTTGGCTTCAGGAAGCACGCTCATATTGATCAAGTCTCCACCCCATTGACGGTACATGATACTCTCTGCACGAGTGGAGAATTGTGGTCCTTCCATGCAGACGATACATTTGTCGGTGAACAGTTTCACGCCTCGCCCCTCCTGATCTAAGGCTTTGCGTACTCTTTCCTCCAGCCAAGATACCAGCTTTCCGCTGAATGGGTCACCGAAGCTGGCATGGGCGACGATAGAGGTACCTTCGAAAAAGGATGCCGGGCGTACACCCTTGGTTCGGTCAATGATTTGAGTAGGCAAAGCGAAAGATCCGGGAGATATATCCTCCCGAAGGGATCCAACGGCAGAGAAGGCGACGATGGCGCGAACTCCCAGAGATTTTAGAGCAGCAATGTTGGCTCGTGCAGGAACTGCAGATGGAGAAATGGTATGTCCTGTTCCGTGTCGTGCAAGGAAAGCAACTTGGATTCCAGAGGGAAGTGAACAGATCGAGATGGGTGATGAAGGAAAGCCCCAAGGCTAAAAAAACGCATTTTAGGAAAGGTGCAATTTACTAATCTCGAACGTACAGTTTCGGGATTCGCATGTTTTCTGCACATCTAGTGAGAATCTGATGTCAAAGAAAGAACGATATAGCGCACACAAAGGTCAGATTATCCAAATGGTAGAGCCCGCTCCCTCCGATGATTCCGATTAGTACTGCTCAGGAATTATTGATATTCTTCCAGGGTAGAAACGACAGAGACGTGCCATTTTCTGTCATTTTACTAGTATGTGTCCTCAGAAGCTTGACCAGTCGCGCCCTGGAAGCCAGAGAGAAAATAAAGGGGATGGGATATGACGGTGAGCAAGACGTCTTTTCATTTTGCGGAAAGATGAGAAAATCATTCGCAAGACGCACGTGGGTACGCAATCTTATCAACAATCTCATCTTAGTCACGTGCCATGAATCAAAAGTTCTCACTCTTTAAGTTGCTGCTAGGTTAAATCGTCGCTGCTACTTACCGTGAGGCAGATCAAGGCGTTTCTAGGACTTGCGGTGTTGACGAAAAGAAAAGAGATTAAGCTCAGCTCAGCACCATAACGTTCCGTCTAACGCTTTTACTACTTGACGGATTGTGAATAGTTTGGATTTAGCAAGTGTAGATTGTGCGGATTGTGCAACAGTATGGAACCCTTCATGACATAAGGCCCTAAGGAATCGAAACCGCAATAAGATCCATCGTGCACACAAGCAGCCAAACAGCCAGCGTACCTGTGGTTACAAGCTCCTCGTGTACGATCCCCGTGGTATCCTCATTAACAGCGAATACCTGGAGTCATCGACACTTCAAAGACGACATTTCCCCCATGGTGGATGTCTTCCCATCGAATAATAGGACTTCCCACCATACAGGTCCACCTCCTCCCCGTTCACAGCAACCGACTTCACATATATTGCGTCAGGGTCACCATGCTTTTCCACCGTCAGCGTATATGTTTGTTTTTGTGCATCATAGAATGGTGACGCATCAGGCTCCGAAGAAGGTAGATGAAGCGTGAGTTTATCAAAGAATGGTCTGAATAATCAGGTAGAGACATAGCAGGAGGGGAAAGAAACATACGAGCCGATGACAAATTCCTTCGAGACCGGATTGACAGGATAGAACCCCAAGGCCCCAAAAATATACCAGGCGCTCATCTGCCCGCAATCTTCATTCTGCCTCAACTTCAATATCTATCTCAAAAGATCATCAAGACAAAGCATCACGTACCCCACTCAGTCCTTCCGGTGTATCATTATAATTGGCGCGCGCAATCTCCCGGACCCGATGCTGTGTCAAATCGGGGCGCCCGGCCAGAGCGTATAGGTATGGAATATGATGAGATGGCTTCCACGGATATGAGCTTGATCCTATGTCAACCGGGTCAACCTCACCTCATTACCAAACCAGTCCCAGCCACCATCATAGTATTCGTTCAGACTCTGGACAAACGCCTTGTTTCCGCCCCGCTTCTCTATCAGACCAGGTATGTCATGGACGATGTCGAACGAGTACGCCCATTTGTCACCCTCCGTAAAGCCAGACGTTGGATCTTAATAACAGGTCAGTCCATAGCACCACCAGGTGAGATGAGAAACAAACCTGCCCAGCTGCCGTCAACATTTCTGCCCTGGACGAATCCTTTGGTCATCCCGTTGAACCTAATTTTATCTTCCTCATTCGTATAGTCATCAACAGAGGTGGCATCGCTATTCCAAACAAGCCAAGGCGCATTCATTGACCGCTCGTGTAAGAGCGAGGTGATGGATGGAGATTTGTTGAGATGTGCGGATAACAGCGACAGAGCATGATCATCATCTGACACGAACTGAGTCAGATACCAATCATACTCATGGAAATAATTGGCATACATGCATAGTCCAACGTCCTGCTAACGCTTTCCGAGTGGATGTCGTCATCAACCCACCCTTTCTTTGGGTCCGCATACGACGAAGAAAGACCAGCCCTGACCTCGTAGTCAACACCCTAACGTGAAAAGAAGTGATGAGTGCCATTCCCTCAAACAGTTGACTAATCTCACTTCTTCTCTGTCTTCGTATTTGACCTCCCAATCCTTCTCCGGAGGAACGGTAGCGTCCTTCCACACAGCCTCCCAGACCAGATCGATGTCAAACCCAGATTCAAAACCTTTCAGAATAGCTTCTGTGATCAGAGAATCTGCGTGAGTCGCAATCATGATATTGGTTTCTATAAGTAATCGTCAGTACGAGATGATTGATGCCATCGAGACCCTGTTGTACCAAGGATGTTCTTCCACATAGGTAGCCAACCACCCTCTTTGTAATCTTGCAGCATGCTCTGTATCATTCCAGGTATACGCTCAGGTGCAAAGAGGAGCAAGAAGCCCCATTCGGCTCGATACGTGTCCTGTTATACTTTCGATGAGATAATGCCAAACGCCAAATGCAGAATCTATTGCGTACCCAGATGGAGTAGCCGCTGTATGATTCCCCGTCATGGACCTCATCATCGTATGCAGAATAATACTTGCCGTACTCATGTTGTTCGTATGGGTACTGTATCACCTTGAGCACGAGCGGCAAGAGATGCAAATAGACACACTTGAAGGGCATGGAAGACACTCGTCATCAAGACCCGTCTGTCCTCGAACTTGCCACCTTCCACCTCTACGAGGTCCAATTTCTCCTCCCACGCTGCTCTCGTTTTCCGTTCTGTCACCTCCAAAGGTGTTCCCTGGGGGACTTCTTTTTCAAGATTGGCAAGGGCTTGTTCCATCGAGATGAACGAAACCGCTATCCGTACGTCAACAACCAGCTCCTCCTGGTCACTCGGATACTCAAATCGAGCGTAGGCACCAACTTCCTCTCCAAGCCCTTCAAGCGCTTTCTCTCTCTGCTCCGAGCCCTGCGTTACCCCGTAGCCGTCAAATGCTCGATCGAAGGCGGCGCAGAACCAACCCTTGAATCCACCGTGTCCTTTCCCCTCTCTCTGCTTGTTTTGGACATTTTGCATACTGGATATCGGAGCAATAACCCAGTCCTGCATCTCTGAGTTGTATCCGCAAATCCTATTTTCTTCAGGGAATATACGCGCCCAGCCTTCCGGATACGAGATATTGAAATGAGATGCCGTCGGAGTAGAATGAAAGAGCTCAGAGGGACGCGAAGACTGTAGAAAGATATACGGATGCCACGCAGAGCCCGTTTTGAACGTGAAACGTAGATGACCCACCCTAGATGCTACCAAAACATTAGTCGAGACTGAGAAAACAGGAAAATAACTTACTCGCCGTCATCGCAACGCCAATGCTGCCATTGTCGTCGTCGGTCTCCAATTCAACTTCATACAGACTGACACCAATCCTCTCACTGTCCAATCTTCTCGGCAATCCTCGCTCCTCGAAACGTGCCTTCACCTTCCCATCTGCACTAGAACTCAGTCCTGGTACGATACCAATCATCCCGCTCTCTCCCATCCAAATGGCAGGCTGATGTGTTCCAATGAAACCATGGATGACATCTGAATCGCTGTAGTTATACGGTAGCCTTGAGACGTAATTCTGGTGCGTCTGGGCCACCCAGCGCGTCATACCAAATGGTGGTGCGACCGAAGGTATCATTCCTCCAGCATAATTTGGTTCCGGACCAGTATTTCCGATAAGAGGGTTGACGAGGTCAATATTTGAGCTGGATGCGGTCCATATCAATGACAAAATCGTCGCTGGAAGGAAACCTTTCATCGCTACGGTGGTGGTGGTGGTCACTGGTGTCAGGGTCCCTCTATACGCCCGTCGATCGGTAGTCACGTGACTACTTGTGTCATGCGCGCGACGCGACGCGTTTCTCGGATCTCCTTTCGACACCCACCCCACAGCAAACTAGAAGCCTGGGCACTTCGAATCTCATCCTCTACACTCAACTTGATAAATCAATGCCAACCAGGCGGTGACACAGTCCGTCATAAAGTCGGTACCCGCGAAAGCTACAGATATAATAGATGGAAAAGCGGCTGCGTAGGACCCTGATGACATAGTGACATAGTGATATAGTGCGTATAGCTCATATCTATGCTATTCTAAGCTCACTATATACTTCTAGATAGTCGGACCCTCCCAATCTGAGTATTTTGACTCTGTCGCCTATATAGTCCTATATAGCGAGGGTCATTTTTCCTGATGTAGTATGATTTCATTTCCTAGAGTTGATTATTCTCGCACAGACTAAATGACGTATCACAGGGAGAAGTGCCTTTGCAGGAGCAATACTTACAATGTAAACGGTTGCTGTGCCTGCCAACTACTTCTATGCGTGAACGGGATCTTCAATGCTGATTATATGCGTCCTCAAAGCTGCCAGTGATCTGCGCTCATTCAGCTGTTATCAAATACCTTATAATGCCGAGGAATAGACTGCAGAAGGCACCGAAGATGATGCACCTCATCGACGCCCATTTGCGACCATCATTAAGCGAAGTTCACAAACGTTCATCGATGGTAGATGAAGTCATAGTTCAATGGTAGATGGCCAATGCGCAGCGGTATACATCGACGACGAGATGTAGCGAATCCTAGGTAAGCCGCCGTTTTTCTCTGAAACGGATCCACCTACTGACAGCTGTCCTATTGATTAAAAGTCCTAGAGCTTATCGGTGAACAACAGGTCACTTCGCCAGATAATGGCCTGGGCCATGAGCATATTATAATTTTTCACATTAATTCCTTACCCACGAAGTAAGTCCGATTGAATAGCACGCTTTCTTCAATAATCAATTCTATCAACCAGTTTCTAGATGTAAGCCGCACTCAGGGCTTAAAGAACACCGACGAGGTTACAAAGTGGATACTGGATTGTGAGCAGCTGAATAATACGATTCTTGCATCGCGGCACAACTTTGATCTTCTCAATTGTAGAAGCTCATACAAAATGCATCCAAGGCCGATTTGGGTCGGGAAACGGCATTTTAGGGTTGCTCTGTATCAGCCATTACCGTCAATACCCGAACGGTGGTTTCGGTCTGTATCTCTTTCGCTACAAGGGACGGACGAAGCATAAAGACCTACATCCATCGCCGGTGGAGCCGGATGCACTCGTGAACGACAAAGACCTTACACTGAGCCCCAAATTCAAGTTTCGTCATGCCTGCAATATACTAAGCATAGCTTCTTGAAGAAGACGAGCGGGAAGTTCAGAGGCAACGTTGAATTCTCTTCTCCCATTCTCGTCCGTGACGTTTCAATCTATAGGTCAAGTGTTTCATCGCATCGCCAACACTTGGACAGACTGAGCGTTTACCGAAAAGGCTATAGAGAACTCCGCGGGTTTGACTTATTTTTGCATGGGTGATGACCCATGCATCATGCAATAGCCGTTCTATTTCAACAGCGTCGATCCGATGCTTGTTTATATCCACAAACTCCCGATATCGACCTGAACCCCGATGGCTATGGTCATTATCCCCCTACGGCTTTCATGCCTAATGCATTCTGGATGGCCTATTCAAACGAAATAGCGGAGCGCTGGGACTATTATAATCAGAAGGCCAAAGCAATAGGTACCGAATGCAAACGTGACACTATCAAGTGTCGGGACGAAGACGGAAGCCCAACGACGGACAGACAGAGAGCATCTCTTCTAATGCGCCTCATTACATCTAGAAGCGATGCTCATCCAACTCCCATCTTCAGAGTAAGTTCATGGCGATGTTGAGATTTCTAGCTTAATTGACTTCTTCCGAATCTCGGACACCGAGAGCAAGTTCCGATGTTGAAATCAAGTCTGAAGGAAGACGGGTCCCGTGTCCTGATATACCTGAAACTAGGGTGAAACACTTTGCCCCGCTCTTGAGTGCTCTCACAGCACAGGTTCAAGTCAATATCGCAGCCGTGACCCATCTCGCGAGCAAGCAAAACTGCGCGTTCAAGGTTTAAACAGACCTGCTATTGCGCGCTAGATTTTTTTTTTCATTGCTGACCAGTACCGGTAACAACTTACCCGGTCAGGAAACCTTTCAACAAGTGACGGCATTTTCCGAACAACGTGTTCCTTATCCTCAAGCTTCCAGGCTGGGTCGAAAACGGACAGAAAAGGTTAGTGCCCCGTCTTGGTGATTAATGTACGGTGATTGGTCATTCGGTATGTACCTTTAGTCTGCCTATATCTGGCGGGTCAAGCGGAATCTGACACCGCCTGCGTTGTTTCTGACAGATGGGTAAATCTCCATACAGGAACATACGGCCCTGAACCTCCTTTTCTCACCTGGAAATCTCGACGATCTCTATTCTTTCGCCATTTTCCAGCGATTCTCTGTCCATTTTGCTACTGAACGACGGGATGAGAACGATCCGAGATAGTATTAACCGGTCCAATGAAAGCCGGAACCTTCTCTACTTTATTCAGCGCCAATCATGACATAGATCGCTGGTATTTTAGGCCCGGCGATTGAATATCGCGCGCGTATCGCTTTTGTATAAAGACGGGTGCATTCGCTAGTATTTTTCCAATATCCCTCTCCCCTCATCGCCCCACCTAATTATGTCTGATACCAAATCCTATCCCCTCGAGAAGTGCCCAGTCACTGGCCACGAGTATCGTCCACCCCAGCCTGGTGATTCTCGTTCAGTGTGTCCTGCACTCAATACCATGGCGAACCATGGATACATGTCGGTCTCCTATGTTTTGTGTCCATTGATTAGTTTGCTCACCACCTCTGTACAGACCGCGTGACGGAAAAAATCTTACTATTCCAACAATCGTATCCGGCCTTAAAGCATGCTACGGACTCTCTACGGGACTCGCTGCTTTCCTCACCATCGGCGGTTTCCTTTGGATTAGCAAGTTATTCTCTATCGACCTCTTTGACATCGGTCGGCACGGACGGGTCGAACACAACGCGTCGCTTGTCCATGCAGATACTCCCGAAGGAGAAATATACGCTCCTACCAAGATACACGAAGACTGGGTGGAAGAAGTTGTCGGTGATATACAACCCTGTGCTCTAGAATGCCGGGAAGGTGTCACGGGTCGATGCGGAGGATGTAGCAAGGATGCGTGTTAGGCGGGAGAAAACTTCACCCGTCATGGACGCGCTACATGCCGAAGTGGCCAGGGGAGAGATGGCACTTATACTTGGAATATGGGAGCAGAAGGGTGAGGCCAAGACAGGCGTTCCTCTTCCATGGCTTCTGGATTGGCTGGGCAATGAGAGGCTCCCAGAGAGATGGACGCCTGACCATAAGCAGACTCTGTCCGATACCGTGGCGCGGAGTAAAGGAATTCGGTTATGGATGGAGAAGATCAGGGGATAAGGTGCAATGGTGAGACCGACTCGTTATCGTTCTCTCATGGAGACTCATTGCACCCTACAGATCGAATTAAAAACTTTTTATTCTTAAGGCAGTTGTTCAATATTGTATACTATCAATCCACAATTAGTTCGAACCAATAATTCCACTTCAAGTTGATGATTAAGGCCCCTACGATGCGCAGCGCTGTCACCAAGCTGACACCGCGTACCTGGCGAGACTTTGCAAACTCATCCCACCGACGGCGGCCCTCATAGCCCGTCCTCGCGGACTGTACGGCCATCTTTGCCGTTCCAGAGCTCTCGTTACCAGTGCCGCTATCTTTTAATACGGACATACCTCGGACTCCCACTGCACCGTCTCTCGTCATAATTACTTATGCACGATGAGAAAAGTACGAAGACGTGGGCGTAACGCGCGATGCACTTAACTGTGCATCGGCAGGCGTTTAGTCAGTATTTACCGGCTTACATCCGTCGAGGCGATCCGAGATCCTCCCGATTCACGGCGGTCACCACTCAAATGGCTTAGCCTTCTGTTACAGTCACTTGCAGCGTTCGCTCGATGGGAAACATCAGAATTCAATATATGTAGTAAGCCCTGCTGACAATTAAATTGCCTACTAGCGCTCAACGTTCAATTATTAGTTCTTCATTTAACCTGTCACTGATAGTTGGCATATATGGCTTGGCCCTGTCAGAATGTGTATCCTGTGGTATGAAGTCCCATGAAGTCAATAGAAATGCTATGACCCGGTGCCGGTGCTCTGATCTAGTGCCTTGATGTGACAGATCTTCCGCTCCTCCTTGGTCAGTGGCTGGCAAACCACCCTCAGTCTGGTATGTTCTAATTCTAAGTTCTTCGCTAGTGAATAATGATCAGCGGAGTTTGAAGCCAGTCTTACTCTATTGTTCCATGTCGCCGATAAGTCATAACTGTTCCAGCATGGCCTCACGATGGAACAAGGAGCGTTATGCATATCGTGATGGGCCAGTCCAAGATGCCTTGGACTCTTTCGTACACACGGTTTATTGATGCCCGGGCATGATCACGACCGCATGGATATTGTCGAAGATACACCGCCCAAGCTTGAAACTTCTGTGCGAACAGAATTATAGGGTTTGATCCTGATGAATGCGGTTCTTGTCCTAATCAAGTCATGCCCTACAGGCTCTGTGGTATTGATTATCCACTGTTGCTTTGATGACGATATGCACCATTAAGCTGTGTTGAATGGACTCGGATTCGAAACTCGAGTACAAGTATTTCGTCGAAACCAGCTGCATCGAAGTGGCGGTGGTGACTTGTTGCCACCCGTACATTCTTGATGACATTTGCAAGGACAGCGTGAGATTGAATCAGTGCTGTTCAACTTGTCTTTTCATCTAACGGGCAGTTCCTACCCTTTCTCTCTTCACAGATCGGATCAACGTGCTCTCACCCTTGAAATTTCCTCTTTTTGTGAAGGTAGATGAACTGGAGATCATTTTGTTGCATGGAGATCAGGAGATCGGGCCGTAAGTCCCCCAGTAACCAAGCGACAGCTTACTCATCCTCGCTTTCGACTATCACAGTACAGCCAACTCGAGTCAAAGCAACGAACCACAGAATGGTCCCCGAAAGTGACAACGCCGTTGCGAGGACTCCGGCTGAAGCATATGGACCTTGGGGTCGTTCTTTTTCCCATTCATCGACCTTTCTGCCCGAACTCAGTGATCCAACTCACACAGGCCTTCTTCATCCGGTTGCGTCACTGGCCACGCAGGGAATACCATCCTCAAGGGCACTTCAAGCTGAATGGGGGTATTATTTAGCCGAAATATTCCGTCTGTTTATCTCACTTGCATATTCAAGTAAAACCTTAGAACTTCTCAAGTAGATTACCATAAGGTCGTGGACGATTTTCACATAGCACATCTAGAAGTCCTTCGGACAGGCATGACTCGAGTTGGACTCGAGCGAAGACAGTCGGTCTTGGCGGCAAGACCAACATCGTATTGAATTATTTGATCCTCTTGCATTTCGCATTTCTAATGCAAACGACTTGGACTACTGTATTTTAGGATTGATATTTCGTGACAAAACCAGCGGGTATTTTAAGAAGCCACAGAAGAAGCATTGGCAAAGGCACTAGCCTGGATGTTATACAGCTTCGCATACTCTCCGTTTTTTGCTATCAACTCTCCATGGGTACCAGCCTCAGCAACAGACCCATCTTTCATACACCTGCGAAGGAAAATCAATACCGTGCTCGATCTGCGAAATTAATACAGCCCACACAATAAGATCAGCATGCTTCGTTAGATGCCCGAACCGATGCGTAACAAAGACCATGGTCTTGCCACTCCGATGGTTTTGCAGATTTTCGAATAAGGCGGCTTCAGCCTCAGGATCCATTGCAGAACTAGGCTCGTCCACTGCAACGAACTTCAATGCTTCGGATTCAAAGCGCATGAATGTGCGGGATCTAGATGTGATTCCTCAGTAAAGGTTGCAGGCGCATCGGACATCACAAACTTACGCGACGATTCGCTGCCGCTCACCACCAGAGAGCTCTATACTTTTATCGAGCTTATCTAGCTCAATTCTCAACGGGTGATCGGCTTCGGGGGGAACGTGGGACGCATGGTGGCTTTGCAACAGCGTCAAGACTGTGTCCTTCCCTCTTTCCAGCTTCTCCAGACATGGTGTGGCTCCACCTAACTCGGCCGCCTTTAAAATCTTGGTGTCGTCGGATACATGCTCGACACAGCCGAGACCAATGTTCTCTCCAAGTGATATAGGAAAAATTGTATGATCCTGCGTAAGCATGGCCATCGCCTGTCGAAGGTCGGCCATGCGATAATGGGATATAGGTAAACCGTCGACAAGGATCGACTCTTCAGGGTGACGTCGGGTCATATATACGGGCGAGGACTTTTGAGGATCGTGGATTTCCCGCTACCGTTAGCACCTACGATAACAACCAATTGACCAGATTTGATAGTCAGGGATAGATTGCAGATCGCAGGTTTGACGCTCTGGCTACCCGGATATGAAAAAGATAAGTCACTGTCCTGTGGATCAGAAAGCGCTGTCAGGTTTGAGGGAATGCCTCTTACCGAATTTCGAAGGACATTCCCTTCGCCTTTTCCTCTTCTGAACGAGGATAGTTGACAGTACCTTCTTTGAGTTGATTTTTTATCTTCCCCGCCTCGTATAACTCCTTTAATGTCTGGCATTCGTCTGAAAAGTAACGAACGTTGAGTATGAGGTAGTCCATTGATCGTTCAAATGATTCTGATGTCTGCTGCATGATTGCTATCGAAGACATCGAAAATTGGGGGTCTAGGATCGCACAGAATGTGGAATATATCTGTAGACTGCCTGTTAGGATGGCGTGTCTTGCAATGGGCGTCACGTACGGTTGGAAAGAAACCTAACAGTTGATTAATGATGTCGCGAGGTGAAGTCAAGGTCACCCGTCTGTGATAATGAGCGGACAGAGACGTCTCCGAAGCCAAATCCCCAAGCACATCAAGGGATTTTTTATACTCTATTGAAGAATCTATTAGTAAAGCATCATAGAGCTCGTGTAAGCGTCTTACGAGCAATTATGTAGTTCGCTAAATCTCCTCCAACGATCTCAGATCGATAAGCTTCTGAGGACATGGTGCGCAACGCAAAGAGTCTCTTATAGGATTCATTCTCTGTGTAAGCGATGTGTGCTAAAGAGGTATATTTATCACCGAATCTTTAGGGCGAATGAACAAAAGGCCTACGTTCTCTGTGCCACATCGGTTCCGCGGCTAAGGTCTTGATGACTGGTTTGACGAAGCACAGCAGAGCGAAGACGCGTGAAGTCTTAGCACCAGAGGAAGAGGCAACAACGGCGAACTGGCTCCACGCTCTTACTATTAATGAACCAAATTGGATAGCGCCAACAAAAGTGTTCCAGCCATCCTCTGCGGCAACATACGAATGCGTTTCTAACAAATAATGTCAACAACCATGCAATATACGAGTCGAGAAAACCTTCATACCTTGAGAAGTAGCAACATCAGTGTATAATTGAGCTAAAGGCAAATTTTGAATTATTCAAGTAACAAAAGACCCAGGATAGATAAATTCTTGCCTTGCATCAGGTATAACTGGAAATGATTCTGTACCTGGGCCTGGAGCCTTGGGAAAGCCCGGTCGCTAATTTCGGTTAATCGCTACATAGGGAGAAGACAATGAACAACGCACATAGCTCGCGTCGAGATTGTAGAGGCGATATGAAAGATCAAGCGAACTGAGAGTGCTTTCAAAATGGCAAAAGTGTTAGGCCTTCCTTTGCGCAAGCCATCCTCGATCTGTTTTACGCGTCAGCCACTCGTCAAGAATAACATAGGGATAACAGATATACAATCTTCAAAAGACGGCTCGATAAATAAAGTGGAATTGCGGTCTCGATAGCAGAAAGCACTCTTCCCAACACGTATACGATGGTTAGCAACGGATCCAAAGCGTATACTTCGAGAATGAGTCGCTTCAACAATGGCATGGCTGCTATTACGTCCTTCCAGTTTTGCAGGACACTCTGCCGGCCGGTGGGGTTCCTGACCATACAAATCTTCCAGATTCCTCGCTCGAACCTCTCTACCTGTGGGGGCTTTTCTGTACTTTTCTTCATTCCGAGAATGCTAACTAAAGCGTGAAGAGGAGCCACAGAGTTCCAATCCACAGGCATCTTCAGGAAATCGGATTGTTGGACTGAAAAATAAAGCAATAATGAAGCGAAAAATTCGAAGGCGCAATGAGAAAATACCTAGATCAAGGCAAGATCAAGGTCAGAGTTGGGAGAAGTTAGGACCTCGGAGAACGAATTGCTTGGGCGCTAAATTGTGGACTCCGACTGAACAGTCAACCACAGGCCGTAATTATGGGCCATAATAAGGACATGTGTCGTGGAGTGATTGACCGGCGGCTATATCCATTGTTTTCGTCGACAAATGCGGAAGAGAAGAAGACATACCATGGCTGCAGGGTCAACCACGGCAACTCCGGTCCAAACACTGGACTACTGGATAGCACTTTTTTCTTCTCTTGTATCAAGGGGCAGAGAACATACGATGCGATGCGAGTGGTTCCTTGCAAATGGCCTGTCCCCAGAACTTTCAATGGTAGTAGATAGGAAAAGGTATTGGTATTGGTACCGGCACAAGGTCCCAATAAGGAACAGCCTACTGAATTTTCGTCACCATCACAATGGGTTTTCATCCTATTCATTATTGCCTATCCATTCTCGGGAGAGTTGCTGAGCATACCTTCAAAACGGGGAGGAAAGCAAATGGTAGGTCTAGATGAAGAGCAAACCAAGGGGGAGGCACCACTAATATCCGGCACATAAAGGAGGGGGGATGGGGGAAGCCTTAAACGCGACACTGACTTGCCTTATTGAGCCGCGGGATTTCTGATTGAAGTATATTTCAATAGTTTTGCATCAATATGATCCATTTGGGGTCTTCTTAGACATATTCCTGGCTAAAGTGCGGTGCAGGAGGCAAACCGGCAGCTATCGACAACAAACCGGCAGCTCCTCTCCAGGAGACGCTCGGGAGGTTAAACACTTTTTTAAAACCAGCTGCCGCCTTGGAGCAAGCTGAGGCCCGCCGTGACAAGCGAAGCAAACAATAAGGAATAGCTCGAGTAGCACAGAGTCTGGTAGTAAATGTCTTTTCGCATCGGAAGGAAGTTTATTATCCGATGGCTATCCTCAACAGAAACATGCTAGGGTCAATATGACAGCTCTTGAAAAGTTAACAGTCCAAATACGCTAGCTTACTATCAAAATGTTTTTGAGATGTCGGCATGCAGAAGCACTCCAGTTGCGGATAGTGCGAATGCTCGGGTCAACAACAAAACGAGGGGGAGTCATAGCACGACAATCTCTTGAATCCTTCCCTCCATCGTTGTAGCACGGTGACTTTTGAACGGAACGGGATGGAGAATGTCATAGCGCGAAAGCTTTTCGACAGCCCCCTTCGTTATAGCATGGTAACTTTTGATGGAACAGGATCATGACAATTGGCAGGAGCTTCATGGGGAAGTCCTAGAAGAAGCGCCACAATCCCTATTTCTACATGTGGGGCGTCATCCAGATATTTTATGTACCATCCATCGAAATAAGTGCGATGTACCCAGAGGAAATTACAGGATCGCCCAAAAAATCCTTTTCATTACTATCTGCGCTAATCTGCGCTGATGCATTACCTACTATCTATGATGGATGCGATTTACAAAACGAGTGATACACGACGTATGGTATAATGGTCCTAGAAGAATGTCCATATTGAAGGTAGGTTGTACACATGGGAGGAAACCGAGGGGAGGAAGATAATAATGTAACCTGCAATAAAAAACACTCATACCAACTGCTTACTCACATAAAATGCCCTCAACACCGCAAGGCGCTTCTGCTCCTCGTCGGCCCACCTCACCTGAACCTCTGATTTGTACTTTTGCCGTATCTCATGACGCACACTCTTGATGGTCATCTTGAAAGCAGACGAAACGGGTCGGTGGTCCGAAACGTTCGCCTCATACCTCCGATAATGTATCTGTTCTACTCTTGACGGGACCCTGGCGCGCCATAGAACCCGGTCGCACCATGCCGGTGACCGACGTTTCTCAGAAGAGTCGTATTCGTCTGACCGGCGATCATACTTGTATGTTGGAGGGAACGAAAGTGGTCCCTCCGAGAACCCACGGAGACGACAACCACGATTGTACTTGATCTCCTTCAACAGTTGATCATGAGGAAGCATGGATTCCCATTCATTGGCACGAACAGATGCGACGATGGCATCCCGCCGTTGGTCGATACGATAATTCATATCACCATTGATCTACAAGGGGCGTATCAATTGACAGGACAAGGTTCAGGCCTAGCTTGAACTTACAAAAACCATCTCATGATCTGTAACGGCTGATCCGTCACCGCCTCCAACGAAAGGTACCGATTCTGAAGACATTGGAAACATGGTTTTCTCTTCAAGGATACCAGCAATATCTGCATTGCGCGTTCGCACTTTATTCTGACCAGCACCCAGGTGGCAGTTAATGAAGCACATCGAAGAATCTTCGATGATGAAGCGGGCAACGATACCGCCCTGTAGGACAAAAGATAAACATCTATGACATCAAAAGAACAAAACAGACGGCATACCTTATTCCCATATCGGCCTCCCATACCTCTTTTGATCGTAGAGATAGCCATATCCCTCAAGGTCACCCTCTCCGTGTTCTTCACAAAAATGCACGTAAACAACCCTACCAAGCTCTCCGTATGCACAACCGTATACGGACACTCTGGTGGCATGGCCAGCCTCACTGCCAACAAAAGCTTATCAAACCACCTCCTATACGCCCCAGTCACCTTCTCAGAAAGCCCAGGTAGTACACCCTCCTCATGTTTTTTTCCGCCAGTCGCTGCCGTCAGCAGGACGTTCTTCGCCGCCATTTTCCTACTCTCCAAATCTATCACCTCCTGGAAGCCGAACGAGATGATGTCCGGACTATCAACACTCATCAAGACATCGTGCAAGAAGTTGATGTTCGCAGGGTCGCCAGTGAGAGAGTCTGGCTTGGCAGCGTCACAGTTCCATGACACGAGAAGAACGGTGAGATCACGGAACTGGCTGTACGATTGTTCATATTTCATCAATTCTTGATCTACAGGGTTGACGAAGATCAATAGGAATCAAAATCAAAGAAGGCGGAAGAACAGACCTATCCAATCATAAGAAAGCAAGCCATCCCACAGCCTCAATGCCTCGTCTCTACTCACACTCAGCACACAGAGCCTCCCCGTACACTCTAGTCCAAGTGGATCGACCTGCAGCTTCATCACAGGCATTCCCGGGTGCGGATTCCAGCAGTTTGTCACCACCCAGGGCCTCGGAACCACATCGTACGCCGAAATCGTCCCACTCCTGCTCCCCGCCCACAGCCTATTATTCACGCCTTCAAGGCACAGAATATCTGACATCGATACCTTCATAACCTCCACGCACTTGGGATATCGATCCTCCGTATTCAGAGCCCAAATGGTAATGTATCCCTCCTCGTGTCCAACATACGCACGTTCCGGATCCGATGGCAGAACAGCAGCAGATGTTACAGGCCCGACATGTTCAGTCGGTAATACCGTCCGTCCCACGCACCCAGGCGTAAAGATATCATAAACCCGTATTATAGGCGTCTTTGCAGGAGTTTTCGCTCCTGCCTTGTCCGACCTCGATGCCGTCCAAAGCATTCCTCCCAGCAACTTTGCAAAATCTACCTTTTCCGTTATTCTCACCACCCGCGGTTGAGTATGCGATAACCGGATGTCTTCGCCTTCAGAGTCCGGTGTAAATACCAAGACTTTGCCAGCTTCATCGATAGATACCATTGAACGTCCATACCGGAAGAGATGAATGACGCCGTAGAGGTGGGCGGAGAGCTTCGCGCCAGTAAATTGACCGCTTTTGATGTCGACCTCCAATATGTGCCCTTCTTTCGTTCCCACCCACGCATATCGTCCTTTGTCATGTCGCTCTTCCGCAGGTCGAAACTCGACGCTCGTGATCGTAACGCCTTTAACACCAACTTCCTTCGAATCAAGCACCCATAGAGGCGTATCTTGAACAGCAAGGTCGTATAGCCTTATCTTGTGGCTATGTCCAATAACAACGTGCGTCCCAGACATGCGTACATGGCCGGTATATAGCTCGACAGTGATTTTGTTATAGATGTTATACCCCTCGTGAACCTCATGTATGAAGGGAGGCCGCCTAGAGGACCGACTGCTGTCAGGAAGCATGTCCACCCCGGTGCCTTTCAGATCCTCATCCTCAGAATCATCGTCGGAAGAGTCCGAAGGAGCAGCACGGCGAGCAGGTGGCAGTTTATCGCCTAAAGCGATGGTTCGTGTAGGAGGGGGTAGAAGCTTGCTAGCACCCAATACTCGTCGTTCCGTGGGTGAAGGACATGGCGTGAACTCTGAATGTATGGTGGGGGCGGCTGGGACGGTGACATGAGCACGATTAGGAAGGCGTGGCGGAAGTGTCGGAGGATTGTCATCGACTGGCCCGGAGTGAATGGCTGTGTTGTGCCGTGAAGGTAAAGGGGGCGGCGTTTCCATTGTTGGAGTATAAGGCAGCGCAGAGGCTCTGTGCCTTGGTGGTGGTCGAGGGGGTGGCGGGTGACGGCGGCTGGCTTTGGGAAGAGGGGCAGAATGCTGACTTAGTTCGCTGTCAGGCGAGGAAAGGCTAGACGAGCTGGAGCAAGGACTCAGCTCGATGAGAGGATCTTCATTGCCGGTTGAGGGTGGATCTGGTTGTGAACGTATTTTATAAGGAACATAAGACTTTGGATGAGGTGCAATATGTGATTCTGAAGCTCTTGAAAAGTGGCCTTTGGAATCGTTATTCCTACGCAGGATGGACACAATAAGACAACGATCCATGAGTAAACGGTAAGGACGCACGAAAACTTGGAACGCAACGATGAAATGCTCGTAGCCGCCGGTGTCTTATCATTATTACCCTCCGCAGATTTCCCAGCGTCGACCAAAGATATAGATGGGATGCGGGGGTGCCCCGCGTTCGCTACGCTAATTGTCGGTGCAGGTGAAGAAGGTATAGGCACAGGGCGTAGCAGTGGCGATGGACTTGGTGACAACGCTTTAGGTCCTCTAAAAGGTGGTGGTGGAGGCGGTCGTTTCCTAAGGTCTGACGACGACGAAGAGGCTCGTAATTGTCGTGCCTCGTCCGGACCATCATGGGAATACGAACCGGACGTCGTCCTCTGCCTTGGGCCGACTGGTTCCAACAGCGAACCGTTCCCATTCCTACTTGGTGACCGCTTAATGCTATTCTGCGCGGTCGGCAACGTCTCGACGGCGAGCTGCTCGAATTTGGAGCGCAAGTTCTTCACCGCCGGCTGAGGTATCGTTTCTATTTCGCCATTCTGCATCCTTCGACTGTCGCCACAGCGGTGAACAGCGTCGATGTTGACCTCAGGTATCTCGGCGCCGTTGTGGATGAGGATTTAGGAATAAAAGGAGAAAATGCCGTAACGACGTGGTAGTTGATGGTCAAGAAAGAAATGGCCTGATTTGCGGTCTCGGTCTCTTGAATTCGAACGACCATCAACGTCGCCTCGATATTTTCCATTTCCTCGTTCTGTAACAAATTTCGCTCTTGTATCGTCGAGGTTGCCTCGAGGCTTCCGGCCGAAGATTCCTGGGCGATACAAAGGCGATCATTTCCGACATCTCGCAAATATCCTTGGCACTGGATTAGTAGCCGGCTTGTGGCAGCCGACAATGAGGATGTTTGCGGTTGCCCACAACAGCGATAATAGAGTATCTGGAGACGATACGGACAGTGCTCACTGGTGAACACTGGAGACGGCATCCAAGAGGCTACAGGTGCGTCACCCCTTACCGTTACGAGGATCTTGTCGGAATTTTTCTTACTAGGACGGCGACAAGCGCAATACTGTATGCTCGCCGGTAACATGCCTGTAGCATTACTGTAGGTGTTGGTTCAAATTTCAATCCGAGAGTGTCACCGTGTCAGTGGAACATGTGTGCTCAACGGCCGCGATACTGGCGTCCAACTGGTTCAATCTTCAGTAATCTTCCAGTATAAGCACCGTTCATCATCTACATTGTTCCGCGAGGATAGTGAGCGCATATGCCTGTCTCTCAGAGTGCATATATGCGGCACCCAGGTAACCCTCGCTACTACTATCTCTCTTGAAGGGCGCAGGACCGTCTGCAAGACGTCACGGTAGCAGGAACGCCATTTTTCTCATCGCACTCGAACATAGGTGAAAAGAGAGGCTGCTTACCAGCTCTTAAAAGAAAGTACTTGCGGTCAGCATACTTTTCGTCTGAATTCACTAACACGCTTTTGACTGTCACCTTTCGGGTCCTGCAGACTACTGGGAATGCTATCTTCCGGAGGCACACCTCGCGGACGTTGGAGGTAAAGTACTTGCCATGTCATCTGGTCACATCCTCTGCTCAACGATCACTGAATCCAGCAAAGCTTTGGCGGTCGACGACCATGGTATTGGCGTACAATTTATTTTTTAGTGTCTTAGCCACACGTTGAAGCCTTGTGCGTCATTCCAATGAATACTCCTGGTTAAATGTTAGCATATATGCAGTGTCATCAGAAGCCTCATTATTGCATTGTCTGGCTATGGGCATTGCAAGATCCCTTATTTGAGTCAACACCGCCCATGCTGCTATAGCTTTTTTTCGCATCGCATAATTCATTTGCAATCGTCCCTGCCACCGGCCATCGATGAGCTATACAGCATCGTCAACTGACCAAATACAAGGTACTAGTGGCGCGCTTAGTTGATATTATCTACGAGTGATGTTGTTCTGCCTGTGTTCTAGACCCTGGCTTTCGCCATGAGCAGGATGCTCTCCCCACGATGATTTTATGAAGGCAGTAGTTTCCTCTCAATTTCCTTGAGTCTTCTCAAGGAGCCTTCCAGGTGATCAACGAGCCGTAGAATTTCGACGTGCTCAGCTCATGGAGAGCGGCACAGATAACGTGGGGAGGCCAAGCCCCGCACTACCGGGGATCGGTGTCAGCGGCAGACGGGTATGGAGTGTTCTTCTCACAACTCCAGCGTTGGGCGGAAGGCAAACAAGGCTCGCTCATACGTTCCTCTGTTGATGGCACTGGTCTCTCAAATACAGGCCGCTCTTCTTTATACTCGGTTTTCCCACCGTCTGATTGCCGGAGGTTGCGATGCCTGAGGTGACTGTTGGTGGCAGCGCTGGGCACGTTCGGGTTTCTAGCAGAAAATCCTTTTCTACTTCATCTCCGGGATGTGCTTGCTTGAGTTGGTACGTAGAAATTACGCCTGTAGTATGGGTGCGCTGTCAGCTAATAGAACCTTTATCTTATTTGACTCATGTCGGCAGGTATAGCCTTGTTTCTCTGTATCTGCATATATGGTACCCTTATAAAGGCCAGCGCCCATCATCAATATTCATCTCGTGGATGTGTACCACATGGTATGCATGCAATACCAACCATGGTTTGTCGAGAAGCGGGGCCAGGGTATGTGTATTCTGGGTTTGCTGGCTATTTTATCCATCCTGTGGTGGCACTTCACTGATCGACGGGAGCACAACTAGCATGCCGCCTTACGTTTTCTTTGAGTATCTCCTCATCCGTGAGACGGGTCACGGAATTTCTATTTTCTACTGTTAGGCGCCTGGTGTGAATACGATTACGGAGGCTCCTGAAGATGGCACTGTCTTTGTTGCCTAATGTTTTCAGCCATACAGCATCCAAGCTTGATGGATTTCCGCTTAGATACGGGAACTGATGGTTATCAGTTCTCGTACCATTAAGGCGTCAATTTGACGTGTACCTACTATCCCTCCTTCTTCCAGATCTGTCTGACAATTGGTAGCTCTGACGATTCCTACTCACTTCTATCCTTTGTTTCCCAGTATCTCAACACCCCTTGGACATGCCAATATTTTGGGATTTCTTGGGAGTATTCCCCAATCTACGCTTTCACCCCTGGGCGTTCAAAGACTGGGTGGAGTCATTTGCTTCTTCGCATCTTTCATCGATAATCAGAAGAAAGAAATCCCAGCCGGGTTCAGTTCAAGTGGAGTCGATACAATTGGGAGTCTGGAAGGTGCTTCTGGCAAAAAAATCTGTGAACCTCCTGGATATCCCGGGGTGGTGGGATAGAGTCGCCTCGTCATTTCCTTTTCTTAAACGCTTTGCTGTTGACATATATACTCTCGACCCATGGTTGTCGGTCTTATACGTCCTGACCACGCTTTGGTGGGGTGTAGAATCGGCTGTGTCTCTGTACCTGTCAAGTCACCTCTTGAAATCGGTAGGTCTTGCACCCACGTGCATATTAATCAATTCTTACATCAAAATCAGATTGAGGCTAGTTTACGCGACGAGAAGCCGAACACCAGCGCTATACTAAATGCGTTGCTGGCTCGGGTGGTCGCTCTCATTGCAGCTTCCACGGTGAGATGGGCAATGTAAGCCTGGAACTCAGTCCACTTGGATTAATGCTGTCTCACTGATGCGTTCTTGGCCTTCCAGTGAACAAATTGTGCCGCGCCTGAAATCCAAGATCGAGAATTATTTCAAGTTGTACTTGATGCAAGGCAAGGAACTGAGTTGTGTGGCGTGTTGGATTGCATCTCATGCAATGATTTAGCACGACTCCGTACTGATGTGCCCACCTCACAAGGTAAGTTTCTCTCTCCCACTATAAGAGTCATTTTCTCATGATCTCATTACTAGAGCCAGGGCTGAATGTTTCAGCACATTCAGTCTGGCGAAGCTTTTCTGGGATCGTGGATTTTGCCTCACAAGTGACAAGTGTGGCGGGTAAATTAGTTGTCATCGTCGAATCGTCTCGGTATTCTGGCTCGCCGTTTTTTGCTGCTATGTGCATTGCGAAGCCTTTGATCCTTAGCTTTTCCTCAACGCCCTTCTACATGACACGTACGCCTCTTCTCTCAAAGTGCCGACCAAAAATTAATTATTTCAGCGCGTGTTGTGTATACGGACAATGAACATCGTCAACGTATGCAATCGTTGCATAGCATGTCATCGTCAAAATACCGATCCGAAATTATCAGTGGAAATCTAGTGAACCACATCATTAGCGGTGAGAGCCTGTTCATCCTCCACATATATATGAAATGTCATGCATCCGTAGAATATAAGAAGGCTATGTCCTGTATCGAATATGCTTCTGATGAAGAGGCCTCAATGCAGTATTATAGACGATTGTCTGCATCTCCGAAGTATGACATCTTCTACCAACTTTTGGGTGACTTTCCTCTCGTGCGTTCTTCCCAAGAATTTGAAGTAGACATCACACTCAAATTACTGACACATAGGTATTCTTCTCAATAGCAGCAATCTTGAATCCCACAAGATTCTCGATATCGTCCATCGCCATAATGCAACAGACGTCGCAAGATTTGGAATGGTCCATTGATAGTATCATCCATAACATCACCAATTTCCATGAGCAGTGCCAGAATTTGCGGAGTATATATGAGGCTGGCGAGGTCAAAAACCTACTTTGTGATGGCTCTGTGAGTTACCCTCAGCCAAACGAAGAAAAGGCTAAAGGCATGTCCTTCGAAATCAGGTAACGTTTCATTAATGTTTTCTCCCCACAAAATTAAGTATACGCAGAAACTTGTCCTTTTCATACCCAGGCAGCCAAAGTATCAAACCAGCAATCTCGAACCTCTCTCTATCCATCAAACCAGGCCAGTTCGTCGTCATCGTCGGGGGCAATGGCAGCGGAAAGTCTACCATTCTTAAACTCCTCACACGCTTGTACGACCCCACATCTCCTCCAGAATCCATTATTGTCGATGGATTGCCTTTGTCGCATTACCGCATGTCCGACCTTCGCCAGGCCATGGCGACGCTGACACAGGACCACACCATCTTCCCACTGTCCCTCGGAGAAAATATTGGGCTGGGATGTGTCCAGCATGTATCAAATGGCTCAATGATTGACTGTGCGGCGGAATTGGGTGGCGCGAAGGATCTTCTCGAGAAACTGGAAAAGGGAAAAGACACGGTGTTAGCCTCTAGACACGAGGCGTATGGCCGTCATCTTCCTGACGAGGAGGATCATCCTTTACACATTCTTCTGAAACAGCTGCAGAAACCCATCGAAATTTCTGGAGGTGAAAAACAACGAATTGTTGCGTACGCTCTTGGTTTTTCTTCCGACGGTTGTTCTGTTGATTTGCAAACTTTTTTTCCTTATTCAAATAGATCTCGGACTTTCATGCGATTCGAGTCAGAAACTTTGAAATTTGTCGCGGTCGACGAACCTAGCTCTGCATTGGATCCTGAGGGTGAAGCACTGCTTTTCAGGAATCTTTTACAAGCTCGAGAGGGAAAGACGATGATCTTTGTTACACACCGGTTCGGGCATTTAACTAAGCACGCGGATCTCATTGTGTGAGCACTAAACTTGTTGGGTAGTGATTGAACGTCTGACGAAGCTGGCATTTATAGATGTATGAAAGACGGAACCATCGCTGAGGCTGGCACTCACACAAACCTGATGGAATTAGATGGAGAATACGCAAAGTTGTACAATATCCAGGCGTGCGCTTTTGTGGATACCCGAACCGAATAATTACCAAGCGCATAGCAGATGAATCCCCCAGAATATCTCCATAAACCCGAGAGACCGTTAGCCCAGTTATCGCAGGAGCGCAGCTACGTCTTGGCAAGTCAATTCTCCGTTCCGCCGACAGAAAGATTCTTGGCCAACCTGGCCAAGGAAGTCGGAAGGACGCATCAACCATTACAGAGGTGAGCGAGCCGAGGAAGGACGTCGGTATGCTCTACTTATATCCTTTGCTCGCAAATGTGGCGAGATGAGACCAATTCACATATCACCAAAACCATCTTTCATTCACAAAGAGAGTACGCTGTCAGGTGTAGTTGGGTCTGTAATAAACCAGGGACGAGCACCTGTTTGATATGTAGGTAAATCCCCAAGTTACGCAGTAGCAAACAAAAGGCGGCACGAATAAAGCACGCGAACCATTTCCGCCTTCTAAAAGTCTTCGCCAAGCAAAACTGCGATACAGCTTCGAAAATTTTCACATCCATATTCCCCTGGATACCCGGACATATTACGGCCTAGGGTAATGTTAATCCATCTGATCACCAGAGAGGAGAAAAAAATACTTGCCAATTATGCCAAGATTATGGCTATCTTCGTCCTTTCCCCTTCACAAGTGTGAATCCATCTTCGTCAATTTCAGGTTCCTCCTTTTGCCGATGGTTAAGCAATTGTGGCACGGGTTCATCATCTATTTCCTCTTCTTCGCCTGATTCGTCACTACCATCATCATCCTCCCACTCCTCATCATCCCCAGAAGTCTGTGGAACATCCATTTTCTTCCCCTTTAATTTCTCCGCGGCATCCTCAAACTTCCGCACTAATACATCCTGGCCGGCGTGACATTGCTCCCACAACTGCACGACATCTACAGCAACCGGCTCGGCGCTTCCGTCTTCTATTTGTGTTTCGAATTCATCTGCCATAACCTGAAGTAGAATTTCCTCTATGTATTGGTCGTCGGGAGGTGGGGATTGTTCCTCGAAGGCATCAACGATGACAGACGCCAGCCAAGTCCGTTTTTCGGGACCATTGGGTCCACCCCAATTTTCCTGGACGGCCAGACGTAATATTGGCCATACCACAAGGCGCGCGATTACCCCGCGAGCAAACAAGACAGACGTCAGAGGGGGGGCCTTTGTCGCGTTCATTTTGAGATGAAGTCCGAAAGCAGAAAATTTCAGTTGTTACTTGTTTGTCTATTCGATCGGCGGAAGCGTTCATTTCCTTTCTTGGACAGTCGTTTTCTGCTACCGAACGGAATTTCTCGGAGAAACGTGCTGCGAGGAGTCGTGTATGGTCGACGCATGTACTCCTTCAATATCTGCCAAGCAATTGCCAAGACCTGATACTGTGGGAAGGATGGTTAACATGCTCGGCGCCCAGCTTGATGATGACAACGCGCGGCAGTAGCAGTTTCAGCAGCGCCGGTCGTCAATATCTAGCATTTCGCTCTTTAATTCTGACTCAATGAAGCTGATATTATACATCTTGGTGCTTTTTCATCTACAACAACATAGACCACGGTCTAAAATCTAGTATCCGGTACGCTCTCCCATGTAACGGCGGTCCCGAATCTGTCATAACCACGAAATAAGCTTTTAGATCTATGTCATTGGGTGATTTCTCCGGTAAGGGCCCTCCGGATAAATTAACTGGAAAATCCAGTTCCCATCACCGAACATATTTCTCTTCGAAGCGTTCACGTTGAATTCTCCCTTGGTCCCTGACCTAGTACTCAGCGACTAGACTCGCAGGGCCTCCACTTAGCAACGCTGATGCGTACTGTATACCTCCGCTCACGGTATAAAAGAGCAGGTCCACTCGCTTTATGACTCCAACACCCTTTCCTCACTCACCTAGCTTTCTTTTGCACATTCTCTTTCCCTTCCAGTCACTTCCTTGCGCCAGTCGTTCTTGAGATCATTCATCATGAAGTGGTTATACTCTGCTGTTGCTCTCTTCTCTGTTCAGGTCGCTCTTGTACGTGGTTATCACATTTCAGAGGTTCAAAACTTGACGTCTCGCTGCTCTCCAGGCTGCCCCCAAGCTCAAAAAGCGCACCAGCACCTCTGAGGCTTGCTCTGTTGGATACTGTACCTTGAACGGCGGGTGTGTGCTCTCGTCGTCTTCATTGTACCGTGTCATTCTGACGCATCCTTTTTAGCACTAGCGGTGGTGGAAGCGCCACTGCTGTCACAGTGTCTACCCTCGACGATCTTATTTCTGCTGTGGACGGTGACGATTCCAAGGTTGTCATCATCGATGGTGCGTTCATCAATGTACATGACATGTGCACGGGCTGAAAGATGCGCCGCAGGTACCATTACAGGCAGTGAGGCCGTCGATGTCGGTTCGAACACGTCCATCCTCGGAGCTGATGGTGCCAGTATGTTCTTCCATTATCATTACAATGATGCACAACGTTACATTTTGCTCTATAGCCCTTAGCGGTGTTGGTCTTCGCGTCAAGGATGTTTCGAACGTTATCATCCGTAACCTCAAAATCGAGAAGGTTTTGGCTGATGCTGGTGATGCTATTGGTGTCCAGGCTGCTTCCCAGGTATGGATCGATCACAACGATCTCTCTAGCGACCAGGACCACGACAAGGACTAGTGAGCAGTCCTTTCGTCCCCATCTGCCATTTAGCTAACTGGTGCAAAGCTACGATGGTCTCTTGGACATCACTCACGGATGCTATGGCGTTACGGTCAGCAACAACTACCTCCACGACCACTGGAAAGCCTCCCTCGTCGGTCACTCTGACAACAATGGAGACGAAGATGCTGCCCTCCGAGTGACCTACTACGGTAACTTCTTCGAGAACCTAAACTCCCGCGGTCCCTCATTCCGTTTCGGTAAACTTTCATCTTGAATTTTCTTTTCGTGTTTCCTGATCCTTTCAAACAGGTGAGGGCCACATCTTCAACAACTACTACAGCAGCATGAACGACGGCATCAACACTCGTGATGGCGCGCAGCTCTTGGTGGAGAACAATGTCTTCGTTGGTAAGTAATTTTGTTTGAAACCATACATCAACTTCTTATCTTTCGTTTTCACAGACTCTGACAAGGCCCTCTATTCCACCGATGAAGGCTACGCTGTCGCTTCCGGAAACGTGTGTATCTCCTGAAGGCTTTATGATGACTTGACACTGATTCCATCCCCTTCAGGACTTCGGCGACTCTGAGAACACTGCTGAGACTGGCACCATCACCGCTTCAGACCTTGGCTACGACTACGACTTGGTTGACACTGACAGTGTTGCGTCGTCTGTCCAGTCCGAAGCTGGCCAGACATTGTCCTTCTAAGCATAGGTTTACCAGTGATGGTCTACCGAGGCTGGCGGGCTGGCCTTGATCATCACTATCTATCTTTCATCGTAGGTATTGCCAGCCCAAGCCACCTTATTTCTGCTACGGTAGTCTGGGTTATTATCATCACGTATTTTGCTGCATGTTCGAGCTGCTTATAAAATACATTTTTTGGGATTGTGAAACTAAGCCATGGACTTCTCCTATTATTCCTTCGACATTATCCTGAAAGCTTCGCAGAACCTTTCGCCTACTCCGGAACATTCATCCCTTCATTCAAACGATGGGAATTCGATTTAGGCTTCGGGGTTCTTGTTATTGATTTGAATTTCATCTTGAAAAACAAGAAGATTTGCAGTTACGGTGGTGTTCTGGCAGCAAAGCAAAACTGATACAGACATTCAGTTGTGACTCTGACTATCTCTCAGACATCATCATCATATCAAATCACTTATCCTGTGAGCGAGTAGTAGATGACGCCTATCGACTCCTCCAGTATCAGTATGATGCGGCTTGCCAGTCCCTCCAACTCTGGCCAGGAATCAGCAATCCATATGGGATGTAAGCGATTCAGCACTGACTGACCCGACAAATTGAACCACTAGTCGTGTTTACTTTATCTAGCAACAGTGTCTATGCCTCCTACAGTGACATGGTCGCATTTAGTCCGTTTCACCTGTGGTGGTGTTACCGGCGCCAGGTCCCAATAAGGAACGGCCGGGTCCACAGCCCTGACATGGCGAACCATGCGCTGTGGCTGCGAAGGCTCATACCGTTGTAATCACACTATTGAGTGCGTCTCGCGGAGTAGAGACTCTTCGCAGGGTACACTGATTGGAATGAAAAGTGATGGGGATGAGACAGAACATAGATAAAGCACAATCGAGCACGTAGAACCAGCTCATGAGACATGCGCATCAGTAATGACGGTGAAAGAACATGTGAACAAATGTGAAATACGTAACGGGAGAGTGAGACATGGTGCACGGACCATGGGGTGTATGGAAAGTTACAGGTCAGCAGCAATGAGAAGATATCGAGCACAATGGGAGCGTACGATTCATCCACCAAGGAACAAAGAGCCACAAACTGTAGGAACGAAACGCAAGCATCAGGTGAGCACAACAAACAAGGTCCGCTATTTCGCAGAACAGCGTGCCTGCAGCGATGCTCGAGCCTTAGCCCATGAAAACGATGAAACGGGAACCAAGAACGACGAAACAGGCAAGCTCCTTCGAAAAAGAGACTGCCTTTGCGAACGAAACACCGAGTACCACCAGACTGGTGAGATCCTTCGCGAAGGACACCACCAGCGGACAACAACCGAGTACCACTGCACAGGTGAGATCCTTCGGAAAGGACCCCATCTGCAGGACGTAACCACTGCACAGGCGAGATCCTTCGCAAAGGACTCCTCCTGTGGACGTAACCACCTGCACAGGTGAGATCCTTCGTAAAGGACTCCATCTGCGGACGTAACAACGGAGCACCGGTGCACAGGTGGGATGTTTCGCAAAGTAGGAATGAGGGAAGAGTTATGGCCTAAGAAGCAAGGAGCGGAATCCGGACGCGCGACGGCGGAGGCAAAGAAGCATCTGGAAAGCGGACAAACGTGTCCGTACCAACGTATCCAGCACCGATGCAGCAGATTTTCTTGACTTGGACGGGAGCCATGATGAGAGAAGGACGGAAACAAGTAGGTGCAGAGTACATCGATGCCCTGCATGTATGCGCCATAGGATGCAGCTTTGAAGCGGTTAACGACCAGAACAGGTTGTCGAGATATTCCTGCTTTGGGGAGGGTAGCCATCATCGCTTACAGAGGGGGAGTTCGCGTTCTCGGTGTTCGGAGACCGACGAGTAGTCAGAGAAGAGACAGTAGACTTGGTTGTGGTAAGTTTCAAATAATGCCTCCCCCTCCTCTTTGGCTGTGCAGTATATATTACATGTATACATACTTTTTGCTGTATGTCACTGCATTCTGTCCCCCCCAGCTTCAAGTTGCTGATGGCAGATGCAGCATGCCACCCTTGCTTGGGAAGGACTCGTGAGCTTGAGGAGTCAGGACTGGTACTTCCATCATGGTCGCTTTTTAGTAGATATTGTACTTGTCGGCAATCAAACGCTGAATCCAAAACGAAACACTTATCTCGCAATCATTTTCAAATTGGAAGGAACGCGACCTTCGGAACGTGAAACGCCAGCCGGATATTTGCCGTATGAATATCCGGGCCGGCGGGGAACAAAAATCTCTCCTTGCTGTGTCGCTCCCATGGCACCCTAATCTATCGCTGCGTTTCTCTTCATTTAGCGTGCATCTCTTCCAAGTATCAAAGCTACAATGTCCACCACACAAAATCCCGCTTCAATCCCAGGTCCTTTCGGCCTGCCCCGCATTACAACATTGTTGGCCTCATTACTCGTTGCCCTGGGAGCGGGAACGAATTATGTACGTGTCTTTTGATACTCGTCGTATACCAGGCTGACAGCATCTACTAATACCAGGTTTACTCAGGTAAATTTCTTCGAATAGCTGATGAAATGTCCTTATGTCTCGGATTTGTAGCCTACGCCCCACAGCTGGGACACAGACTAAATCTCAGTCATACAGAACTCAACCTTATTGCGCTTGGAGGAAATGGTATTTTTTCTTTCCCCCCTGCGTTTCCAGGCTTATTCGACCCTCAGTCGGTGTATACAGTACCGGACCGGTGTGGGGAAAGATAGTCGACAGTCGGGGTCCACGTATACTGATGGCTGCGTCCTTCACACTGCTCCTACTGGGATATTCTGGCATTCGACACGTCTATGACGCCGGATTAAAAGCTGACCAGTCCACCATCACCACGTTGGCACTTTGCATGCTCGCGCTATTCGGCTTCATGACGGGCGCGGGTGGGAACTCGGCCTTATCTGGGGCCGTCAATTCAACAGCAAAAACCTTCCCAGAGAGACTTGTACGTGTCAACTGGGATACTTTGATGTTACACACTCACTTTTCTTTATATCTGTAGCGCGCATCTACGACGGGAATAGTCTTATCGGGTTTCGGATTGTCTGCCTTCCTATTTTCCTCTATAGCCCACTTTGCTTTCCCAGGCGATACATCTTCTTTCCTGTTGGTTTTATCCCTGGGAACTGCTCTGCCTGAGGTGGTGGGTTACTTTTTCGTTCGGCCTATTCCATTGCCCGCATCAGAACAGCGACATGTTCCCGAGGGGGACGCGGAGGCTGCCCCTTACCACGAGAACAGCAGCCGAACGCACTTATTGGGCATAGAAGATGAGATCTCTGTCATTTTACATCATGCAAGCCCGACTACACCTGCAGAAGATTATATTCCTGGAGCAGCCGATGCTTTGGAACTTAGCCCTTCCAGGAGCATGTCTCCGTCTCAGATCAATACTCCCAGACATCGCTCGAGGAGCAGTGGGAGAAGTTTCAGCCTTGCCGGACGTAGTCTCCTGCACGAAAAGCCCCCCAACATCCATGGCCGGAAACTGTGGTGCACTCCGGAGTTTTGGCTCATGTGTTCAATCCTCTCACTCTGTAAGCACCTCTTTCACTTCAACAACATCCATTCAATACTTTTACGCAGTGAGCGGAACCGGAATTATGTGTATGTAATTATTCTGCTTTAGAAGTGAAATGAAACTGAGCGGCTTGCCTTTCTAGACATCAACAATGTCGGTTCGATGTCTCAAGCGCTTTTCGCTCACGATAACCCTACATATGACGAAAATGACGCTATTCCATGGCAAGCCGCCCAGGTTTCCGCTATCAGCGTCATGAACTGTCTCGGCCGCGTCATTATAGGTTGGTGCCGTGTGGTCCTCTCGAATAACAACTGACCAGCACGCGTAGGATTCATTTCCGATTTTGCGAAACACCACTATGAGATGTCCAGGTGTTACAACCTGGTGTTGGTGTCCTTCCTTGTTCTACTTTCGCAGATCCTAGCGTCTCAAATCGACGACGTACGCCACTTGTGGCAAGTCAGCACGTTACTCGGCCTTGCGTATGGATCTATTTTCGGGATTTACCCTACTCTCTGTATAGAGTGGTTTGGCATGCGTATGTGGTTTTCCTGATTTCCATGACTGCCACCGGCTAAGATCGCATGATAGCTCATTTCTCAGAGAACTGGGGTTACATATCATTAGCGCCTATGGCGGGTGGTAACCTCTTTTCGCTGGCGTTCGGTAATAATTTGGACGCGCATGCGCCCAAAGACACACAGTCGGAGCCTACGGCGTTGAGGGGAGAGCGGCAATGTTTGGAAGGGAAAGCGTGTTATGTGGACACGATTTATTTGACTATTGCTGGCTGCTTCTTGGCGTTAGGCTTGAGCGTGTATGCGTGCTGGAGGGACCGTCAAAAGCATACATACGAGCCGTTAGATTGGGATGATGACGATGAAGAAGATTGAAGGCTAAAATGTTTTAGGTATTCTTATAGACTGTACTGTACACCATGCGTAATGGAACATCGCGTCTTCGTTGTTTGAGTTACTGCTATTCTACATTGCAAAGTGTTGAAAGAATCGGGGACCCGGTAACTACCGCTACTAGGTGTCTTACTGCTCGTTATCTTCTGCAACGTTCCTTTGTCACTTCAGAGCAGGGATAAAAATTTCGGTAACAAGTCAGCACGAAAGAATTCGGGCGAAATTTACTCTTAGATTCATAGGTAAGGACTTGGTACTTCATATTCCAGTATATAGCGTGGTGGCTGATGTTCTTCAGGTAACTTCGCGCCAGCCAGGACATATCCCTGAACGCAGAGAAATAGAACATACTCTTCCAGATCCCCAGATAGGCAACTATAGAGAAACCGACGTAGATAGCAACATGAGTAAATGATAGGAATTCCATTACGTTGGATGCAGGCACGATTTGAACGTGTTAGAATTTCGCTAAGTAATGAGTAGTCAACCAACGCCGAAGATACAGGAAGGAGTCGAGAATGTATGCACCTTCATCCATCACAGTTTCTTCCGTGTCTCTCCGGCCATTCCCCATCGCATTGGACGGTGCCGCCCAATCCAACTTCCCCATTAGGATCATCCCTTCCAAGCGAGCCCGGAATGTCCCCCTAAGCTTTCTGAAGGCATGGGCTCTCGGTATTGTCGAATAATATAGGTATAGGGTCGGTGGTGACATCAGTAGGAGGACGCGATGACACGTGGCGTTCGGACTGGCGATGAAAGACAAATCCAATGATATTTGCACCTGCCACGATTATCAGGCGCGTTGCTCCAGAGGTTCCGTCCTCTACGAAGAGGAATTGTAATGAAAGTGAGCAAGTATTTTAGATAAATGCACCTATCAGGTATCACTTCGTCAAGGCCTGTCTCTCAGTCAATCCTTGATGGAAAATACTTAATGACATTGCATTACATGCCAATTTTGAGTCGATCGAGGGAGACTACTTGGCCAAGAAGGACAAAGATGACGACGACGGTCGTGCCACTTGTGACGTCACTTGTCGTGGTCAATCTTTAACACGTGACATTCTGCATCGCGCGACAACTTAAACTTTTTTTTTTCTTTGCGGCACGTATCTCCTGTTATACACACCCTCCAGTGGTAGCCCATCTACCTTTCCAGAGGTAGTTCAACATAGCAACATGAAGAGTCGGGGGATGATAACCCCGTAGGGAAACTCTGCGCGATAGTACCAAGAGGGGATAACGACCATCCTCCTGCCAACTCGTCAAATTAGGGGCTAAATTTGTCATGATTTTTACGCAAAATGCGCGTCATAGGTCAGACTCCTTCCCATTCTCCTTCGTGGGGGGTAAAAGCTGCCTCGCAGCTGGAGGATAATTGAACGCTTACATATTATCTTATCTTATCTCTCACGTGATGTTTTGATCTTTCTGAACCTTATTTTTTTTTACCCCCCACTACGGAGACTGGCAACAAACCGGGTGGCGCATTGGTCGTGTTTGGCTGCTCCCTCCAGCTTGCCCCCTTCCACAAGTCTGAAAGCCTCAGTTTGTTCCTCAATTTCACCTTGTTCGTGGCATGTGTTGCTCCTCGCTGTATGTGTAAATGAGATATCTGTATTACCAACGCTATAATATTTTATCTGCTACTCCCACCTACACTTGCACCCTACTCCATCCTCCATGGTCTTCTGAGTTCATTTATCTTCGCCTTTGCCTGCATAGCGCTTCGCCTGGACTTCTTCAGCCTTTTCAGGCATGATGTGACATATGCGGCTCATAAAGGCAGCCTTCGATGGGTGTTGAGCATTCAGCAGGGGGGCAAGCTGGAGGGAGCAGCCAAACACGACCAATGCGCCACCCGGTTTGTTGCCAGTCTCCGTAGTGGGGGGTAAAAAAAAATAAGGTTCAGAAAGATCAAAACATCACGTGAGAGATAAGATAAGATAATATGTAAGCATTCAATTATCCTCCAGCTGCGAGGCAGCTTTTACCCCCCACGAAGGAGAATGGGAAGGAGTCTGGTCATAGGTGGGCTCATGAACGAAAATACTCCACTGATAAGATATAATGTGGGGCTCTCTCACCAACTCTCTCACGGTGAGTCCGAGCCGCATACTTTCTGGGACTGATGTTTGTCAGCATGCTCAGTTTCAGCTTTTCACTGTCGTCGGCGTCCACTCTCGCTTGCATAACTGTAGTCTTTTGACTTCAGAAACACATTTCCTGCTAACATTGTTTATATTATTGGAGTCAGAAAGAATCGGGGACCTGGCGCTTGCGCCGCTACCGACATGTGGGACTCGACATTTATGTAATACCCACTAAACCTCCGGTTTTACCCCGAGGCCAGAACCAGACGGACAACCGCTCAACCACCTGGTCCCCCATCGCGACAACTTTAAGTTGAATGACCATCAAGCAGCGTCGATATAGTGTGTCACAATCCATGCTGACGCCTCCACCATGTGCGATACTGAATTTCAGCTCAGATGTACGGCAATCCAAGGTTTCGGTAGAGTCCTCCCTTGTTTGAACGAACGTCTCTTCTAAGAATAACAGCTGTTATTTTCACTATTACTACGTGTTGAACTGACTGGAACTTTTTGTTAGGGTTTCCTCTAGCTTCCGAACTACGGAAGAATCGGTAGCATTTGTCTTTCATAACATCAAGCCGAACACTGTGAATGGACACAGCATCGTCGGCACTACCTTATCACTTCTATGTTTAACTTCATAACCGATGGAGGCCGTCGTGATTGTGCGGATTGATAATGATCAGTATCTGTACTGACAATGTATCAGGATCTTCTTGCAATACCCGCTGAAATACTCATGAACTTGTCGTTCTTACGAGATGTCTCGCGAAAGGATCCTAGATATAGAGGCTATTTTGCGACCTTTGGAAACATCAAAGGGACTACACGCACCCACCTGACGCTCCGAGGTAGGGTGACAGAAGCCATTGATATACTCGGTGTGCCTGGCGCCAACAGAGTTCGGAGATGGAGAAGACCAGTGCTATTTCTAGAACCAGGCTGTTTCCTGATTCCCGCCCTTGTCCACCAATTTCAAGCATCGTCATTTGCTGAGACTCTCAGTTCAAGCTAGCATTACTCAGATGCTTTGACGACATCTCCATCTCTTCTTTTGTTCTGACATTTATTTCTATCGTCTCTATTGATCCCCTCTTTCGACACATGCATTTGGGGAGGTGCCGCCTGTCCCCGACAAGTACTTGTCTGTCTGTATCAGTGCGCGTTATGATTATTTTTCCCAAAGATTTTTAATGGCATAAGGCACTCGCGCTGCGGCTTCTTCGTCTCTCAAATCTCATTATTGACGTCCTGGCTGCGTCTAAATCAGGTGCAAAGATGACTACTTGTTTGGATTCCCCTATCAGGTCCGAGTCAGCTGTCGCAACTTTATCTGGAACTCTGCTTTACAGAGGTCAAATACTTTCTCCAGGCTGTGTTACTCCGTCTATTTTAGGTCTATAGCTTGAGTGCTAGCATCAATGTTGAATGTAATGCACCTTGTAGCGCTTCATGAGGTATTCAACAGCTCGCAGCACCAATACGCTGTATGGGAGAAATTTGAATCACGATGTCAAATTCCGGCTGTGCTCTTATTCATGAAGTGACGTACTAGGCTACTAGGCTACAAATGGGCGGTTCGAGTCAATTGCAGACAAAGTTTGGTCGTAATTTTGTCGAAGTCACCGCAAACGCTAAACCATGCCAACAACTTGAACCAAACAACCAAACATCTCAAAGTACCCGAGTCATTGACTTAAAATAAATCTAGAATCACTGTTCGTCGTATACTTATACTCACAGCTGTGTATGACCGTCACACGAGCGAGCCTCATCTCTTGAATCTTGTCCACCATGTTTGATCAGCTCACCGTCTGGTCTGAAGTTGCAGCCTTCACCGTCGTCTTGGCACTCTTGAGCGCACTTTTCCTGCGCAATCCAGGTTTGCCACTTCCTCCTGGACCTCCACCGAAACTACTGTCCGGAAATATCCACCAAATGCCGAGGACTGCCCCTTGGGCAACGTTCGCTGAATGGTCCAGACGATATGGTATGATTTTACTATATTCACAGACCCTCGCACATCCTAAGACCACAGTAGGGAGCGCAATAATTCATTACAGATTCTTCCGTCGACATTTCATCGTATTGAACACTGTCGAGGCTGTCTTAGCGCTTCTCGAACATCGTTCCAATATCTACTCGGATCGGCCCACGGTGTGGATGCTCAATGAGCTAGCAGGGCGTGGAATGGCCGTCTTCACTATTTCTTCACAACATCCCAATCACAAGAACTATCGACGGCTACTTCAATCTGGCCTCAACGCGAGAGCCGTCCAAGTCTATACAGGCATTTTGGAGAGGGAACTACGAATACTGCTAGACGGGCTTGTGAGTACACCCAATAACTTCTCGAAGCACTTTCGACGGTGAGAACAACTTCGTTTCTAAGCTCAGGAAATCTCACGCCTCTATAGGAACTCTGGGGCTATAGTATTAGACATCGCATATGGATGGCCCGTTACCAGTGAGGATGACTACTTTGTATCACTGATGGAGGAGGCGTTTGTTCTTCATAGACAGTTGGTTCAACCTGGTCGGTGGCTAGTCGAAGTATTCCCCTTCCGTACGCATAAATTCTCTATCTCATCACTCCATATTCATCCTATTTTTCCACCTTTGGCTCAGTGCGATTCGTTCCTCCTTGGATGCCAGGTGCGCATTTCAAGAGGTTCGCATTCTCACTTCGGGATCGTATGAAGGAAATTGATCAAGAGCCACATAAATGGGCAAAAGAGCATATGGTAAGGGTTTTCGGGGAGCTGAATAAGTGACTTGGGTTCAACGTACCTTTCAGGCTACTGGAACTGCCAAGGAATCGTTCACGTCCCAACTCCTTCAGCCGCAAGATGGGCACCATGTCGACGGGGAAGAGGAACGAATGATCAGCTGGTGCTCGTCTGCTTTATACGCTGGAGGAGCGGATACTGTACGCCTCTTTTAATTCTAATAATTCCGCTATGTTCACACTTAAGCTATCATTTCCACAGACAGTTTCGATCATGCTTTCTTTCGTCGCTCTAATGATGCAATATCCTGACGTACAGAAGGCCGCTCAAAATGAAATCGACACTGTGCTGGGTAACCAGCGTCTTCCTAATCTCGGTGACCAGTCCTCCCTCCCTTATGTCTCAGCCCTCTTCAAGGAGGTATTACGATATTCACCTGCGGCCCGACTTGGTAAGCGTCTAATATGGATTGACCACCTGCCTCTCATTGCAGACAAGGTCTTCCTCATCGTGTCATTGAAGAAGACACCTATGACGGGTATAGGATTCCCAAAGATAGTACAGTGATAGCTAATATCTGGTAAGCACCAAGGCATACGTTGACGTGGGATAATCCTCTTATTTGATGAATTAACAGGGCAATATGCCGCGACCCTTCGGTGTATCATGACCCAGATACCTTCAACCCGGATCGTTTCCTCTCTAGGCATGAGATGGATCCTCGTAAGCTTGCATTCGGGTTTGGCAGACGTGTATGTCCTGGTTAGTGCAGTTATCCTTCTAACATGTAATACACCTTGAGCTTACACGTGCATTTGAAGGTGCTGTGCTTGCCGAAGCATCATTGTTCCTCAACATGGCCAACATTCTTGCTTGCTTCGATATTCTCAAACCTCTGGATACTAAAACAGGCAAAGAATATGTCCCAGAAATTACTTACACCGTTGGCGTAACAAGGTGCGTATTGTCCATGTGATCTTCGTCTTTCTAATGTTGGCAAATGTCAGTCATCCTTCCCCCTTCAAATGCCAGATTGTTCCGCGACCCAAGGCCAGCGTTCATCTATACGATGTTTGATATATCAGAGCACTTCACGAAATTTTCTATCTGTGTTTAGGATCCAATCAGTTCAGTAGTGGAGATAACAGAGATTGATTCGCCAATAGGAAAATGAATTCAGGAACTTGGATGTAGCAGCCATAGAACGCGCCGGGTTACAAATACACAAAGATAAAGTCCTTGATCTACCGATGCGTGACTCTAACAGGATTGTGCCACTTCGTTGACCTGTTGGAACTCCGGCAATGGTGATATCTGTATCCCAATACAACTATGATTCGTTCGACGGTTTGTTCTTGATTTGAGATACGACGTTCTGCGTGAATGCTATCACTATGTATACCCATGGAACATGGACGCTTTCGCAGCTTTCCGCATTTCATAAAGCTTTAATTATTTTGTTTACTTGTAGTCCTGTTCGAGAACCCTGTTAACGCAAATACGAGTGAATTGCATGTGTTCCTGCATACGTTCAAACTTCTCTTTCGCTGTCGTTGAAGGCGGGGTAGTCCCATTTGGAAATATATACTTTTGTGTGTCCACAAATTTCCAATGCGCGATTTTTTTCTGCTCACTAACAAGGCCTTGCCACTCTATTGCAATTGAAGAGGCTATCCATTTTCTGAAATAATCGATGATTACAATCAGGCAACCACTACTTATATTTTAGTATTTATGACACCAATCGTGTCACACAAATGCGTTAGCTTGTATGTTGTACAGCTTGGCATATTCTCCATTCATTTCTACCAACTCCTTGTGATTTCCCGTCTCGACGATACTTCCGTCCTTCATACATCTAAATAACAGCTCATCGATCAGCCAGTTTCGCAAACAAGAAACAAACATACACGATAAGATCGGCGCGTTTTGCTATGTACCCAAACCGATGGGTAACGAATATCATTGTCTTTCCGTCTCGCGCATCGATGAGGTTGTCGAAAAGTGATGCTTCTCCCTCAGGATCCAAAGCTGAACTCGGCTCATCCACAGCAACAAACTTCACCTTTCCAGACGCAAAACGCATGAATGTTCGGGATCTACAGACAAAGTATATATCAGGGCAACAAGGAAAAATGCGAATAAGACCTACGCCACGATTCTCTGTTTCTCACCACCCGAGAGCTGGATGTTCTTAGTGAACCTTTTCAGCTCAACCTGTAGCGGATGCGCCTCGTTCTCTGGAACGTCGAACTCATATGCTTCATTCATCGCCGCTAGCATCGTGTCTTTCCCCTCTGTCAATTTGGCCAAACAGTGCGCTGCTCCACCGAGCTCAGCAGCACGGTCAATCATCTCCATGTCTCTCACATGCTGAACGTACCCTACACCAATGTTCTCACCAAGTGAAACAGGGAAGAGCGAGTGGTCTTGCGTCAGCATGGCTGTCGCCTCTCGAAGTTCAGACATTCGGTACTGGGATATTGGTATGCCATCTACAATGAGCGAGTCGGGACCCGACGATGGATCATAAAGGCGCGCGAGAAGCTTGATAATTGTGGATTTACCGCTGCCGTTAGCACCGACAATTACAACAAGCTGTCCGGCTTTGATGGAGAGGTTGATATTCGACAGGGCGGGTTTGGTGGATTGCGACCCGGGGTAGGAGAAGGACAGATCACTGAGTTCGGAGAGTATTTAGGTACGGCGCCGCTCTAACTGAAAAAAGGGGCTTACCGAAGCTCGAAGGACATTCCTTGTGACTTCTCCGAGGGGTAGGACAAGCTTCCATCTACGAGTTTATTACTGATCTTATCTGCTTCGTAAATCATCCTCAGCTGATCGCATTGCTTCCGAAAATGGGCTACGTCGCGCAGGATTCCCTGCAATGACTGTTCCAAGGTTTCAGACGACTGAATCAGGATGGCGATGGAGGATATAGAGAATTTCGATGGTTTCATGATAACTGCCACTGAGTAGTAAATCTAGAGGGTATGAGGTCAGTATGGTCTAACCCATTTCTGAAAAGGATGCGACATCATACCATAGGAACATCCCCCAGGACGGCTTCAAATATTCTCATCAAAGGGTCAGTGCGTCGAGAGTATTGGAGTTCAGTCCAGTCATCAGATGTGAGTCCTAACGATGACGTCGCCTTCTGATACTCTATGCGAAAGCAAGTGTTAATATCATGCCAGACAGGCGAAAATACGTAGGCCAGATGTACCTGTGATAATATAACTGACAAGGTCGCTTCCCAAGACTTCCGACCTATATGCATCGGAAGCCATCTGAACTAAACTTTTCATCCTCTGGAAGAACTTGTTATCCGTGTAACCGATGTGGGCTGAAAATTGTAAGTAATCAGATGAAGTCATCAACTCAAAAGCATACCTTGGTTGAACAGTGTTCTCGTACCAAAACCGTGATACAGAGGTTTTGCTATGCACAAAACCGCGAATAGCGGGGATTCGGTTGCGCGACAAGACTGCACGATGAGAGCCAGCTCGCTCCCCGTGGTGACTATTTGCTGAAGGAAACACACCACGTCTTCGAATGCTCTCCATGCGTGTTGTGCAGAGGCATTGGATTTACTTTTAGTTTCTACGGCGGAGTAAGATAGTTGTTATCGTATTATTGGCGATCACAAAAATACCTTGGGAGGTTGGAACGTCGATGCGCAAGCGAGCTAAAATAAAGACATCTGTGAGATGATGTAGACACTTTCTAGGCAGGACCTGCCTTGCATGAGGTGCAGCTCAAAATGTGTCGTAACACGAGTTCTCAAAAGTGGACGAATACCGTCACTGGACATTATTCAGTACGCCATCATACCAAGAAGAAACATCCGGAAGCATACTTTGCCCATGACAGGATTGCGGCCAGGACGACGCAACATAGACGCATTGCCACGGCACCCAGGATTGCAAAAGAATCCAAAGTCCCAGAAACGAGTCCCACCTCGATCTGATAATTGGGATGAGCCACGCAGAATATAGAGTATGGAATGATACGTACGATCCGCAAAAGACGAATGGAAAGGTAGAGCAAAACAGCAGATTCTACGCCCGACCATATTTTTTCCAAGATAAAGAGAATCGATAACGTCGGCTCTAAGGTATAAACGTCGATAGCGAGTCTTCGAAAGAGGGGAAACGCCAGCAATAGGTTGTTCCATCTGCTTCGATAATCCCAGCGCGCATTGTTCAACAGGACAACTTTCCATACGCCAAGCTCGACTGTGCGCGTTTCTGGCGCTGCAGTCTTCATCGTGGTAATGAGGATACAGCAGAGAACACAATTTGGGGTCCTTTTTAAGACCTCGAGGTTCTCATGGCAGTCGCCGTTGGGTTCTCGTATGGATCTACTTACGTGTTTGCTTATTCCCGCGGGTATTGTATATAAACTTGAAGCTGTATATTTCGTAGTCAGCCATCATGTCGCGTTTGTCACAGATGGAACCCATTCTTGCCACTCACTTCGTTTGAGAACGGCCCCGTGATTCTAACCATCCTTTTTATCGGAGTATAAATGACCCGAGGGCCTCGGAAGCACCTTTTAAGTGGTAATTTTTTGAAGTCTTCCACTCCGCGCTGATGACCTCGGGGTCGATAACAACATTGATAGTAATAAGCACCGCCGGTGATATCCTCGCCAGGAGAGGGTAAAAGAATAGACAGATTAGCCTATAAGCAAAATATTTGTGGGCCTTCAGTCACGCCGTCGCCTTGAGAGTAGAACCGAGAAAACGTGGGCGCTTGACATTATAAAGGCGGCGTCAGTATCCAGGTACTATTGCATCTAGAGGATGAACGGTGTCCTGTGGTAAGCGGCCAAGTAGCGGTAGCCTCGAGACTCAATAGGTCAAGACAGGACCCGTCATCCCAGAATATATCGGTGAGAGCACTGACAAAACCTTGAGCGACGGGTCTATTCCGGATTTCATCCGAATGAAATCGATAAGATCATACCGGTATTTGCGTCGTTCTTGATCCAGATAGGCACGCCGCCAGGTGAGCGCTGTAATCTTCCGTTCTGAGGATAAATCATTTAGGCTAAACGTTATCATCACAGCATACCTTTCTCCTCTTGGGTGTCAATTGATGTATAGCATAGAATAGTGCCGGTTCATTTTTAAGGTATGATAAGAAGTTCATTCTCGTTGTCCACAAACTCATTGGGTTAGTAAAAAAAAATGTAGATCATTGCCTTCATGGCTGGGATTAACAACAGCCGAGGAGAAGTAAATGGAGACTCACGAGATAGCACATTTATGTCGAGAAGAGGAACGTGGTCACGTTGCTGTAAGTGCATCTGCAACAGACGTGCAGCTAACCATTGATATTTCGAACGTAGACAGCAGAAGAAGCGCGTTTTAACCCATGGTGGATTCAATAAGACTTTAAAAAGTTTTTTTATTATCTATTCTGAAAGGCTTGTCAATAAAACAGTATGTATGCAAACCTTGGAAGTTTTACCAGTGAGGTTTCAAGTTCGAACTTGAAGGGTTCGAGAATTCAGTAGCGGCAGTTGCCAGGTCCCCGATTCTTTCCCTTTGTACGAAGAACCGGCAGCTGGTTCGCAAGCTTGTCGGCTTTGGAACAACGCGCCCATCAGCACTACATTAGAGTCCAATGAAACGAGACACGTTAAAGTGCTAGTGCAAAAGGATGAAGATCAAAAACTACACATTTCGTGGTTCAAGATGCACAGGCTTACCGATAAAAATAAATAGCTCAAGTAGGTCTGGGGGACATTTGACAAAGACGTATTCAAAGACTGAAGTAGAAATGCACGGAAATTCAGTCTAGAACCAATAGGAAGATATTGGGACGATGAAGTGATACACCGTAAGTACTTCGGAAAGAATCGGGAATCAAAAGATTGATGCCGCACCGGCAAACCACGTGAGAGGACGCGTGGCGGAGCTTCAATTGACAACGCCCTGTTTCTTTTTTGGGTTCTTCACCATCTACCACCACTTACCAACGAGCCTCCCATTTCCTCATCATGCCTCTGCTTGCGCCATCATTTTCTCCTTCGAATCCCGATTTATCTGTACCTGTATCTGTACCTGCGTCTACTCCGCGACCGATAACAAATGCCCGCGGTGAAAACAGTCGAAGAGAGTGGCAAAGACACTGTCGTTGAAGAAAGCAAAATCCCATCGGTACAACTCGACATGGACTCAATAACGGATACTATTGCTGCAAGTATGGCCTGCAGTCTACTAGGCCATGTCCTTTTCCTGAAGAACCAGGTTCCTTTGTAAGTTGAGGGTGCTTGTAGAATCGATCGGTGACTGAAGGATGTTATAAGGCCTGTTCCGCAGCTGGCTCGGATAGCGATCACAGGAAATGTACGCAGCTTCTTTATGAATATGTCTTGAACTTACGGAATGCTAGGCCAACGCCCGCACCACGAAATTGCGGTCAGAGTTACTGGATTCTTTCGACACGTTGCTGTCGCATTTAGGGACGACGTTCACCGCCTTATCTACTGCTTTTGCTCGATGTTTCCCTCAGGAGCAACGATCTGAAAGCTATACATACAAGTAGAGCTTACATGGCGAATCTGATAGGACCTAGCATCGGGACCTGCAAAGTCAAAGGTCATGTTGGTAGTGGATGGTTTGGAGGCAAAGGTGTGGGGGACAGAGAGATGATTTACGTATTCGGAGGACTGAAGGTGGAACCAGTGAGAGCGATGGTACGATGAATGCGATAATGATGACGATCAAGAAAGCCAGAACAGTGACGACGATGCAGAGGGACCCGTCCGACTCGGACGAGAGTGACGCGGACGACTCAGATGAAGCAGAGTCAGACGACGACGAGAACGACCGGGCATCTTCGCCACCACCACCATCCGCCTTCGCCGAAGAGCAACGTATCCTTCGGACTGCCGACAGACTACTCTCGCGAGCGCTCGTATCGGCAGACTGCGATGGAGACGGATTGGCATCTGAGATAAGTAAGTCATTCCCTACGTTCTATCTGTTTTCATTTACGAAGACCACTGTAGGTCCTACGCAGACACATATATTGATTCGCGCCCCAAGACGATTTGTTCATCCCTCGTGGATACCTCGACAGAATGTCACGGCCTCTATGGATAACTTTCTGGAACAGTTTCTCGGGGCCGCAGGGCATGGACCGAGGACCAGCAAGAAAAAGACGAAGATCGAGGGTTTGTGGGTCGCGTGTCAAAAGCCGAGCACGGATCTGGGAACAGACGTGAAGAATGAGGAAGATGAGATGATATGGTGGAGTTGGGACGGTAAGCTTGTAGGCTTTTCTGGCTGGTAATGGTGTATATACTCATTGCGTTGATTTGTACGGACATCGAGCATCATTATACCTGTATACATATACCTTTTTGACACTATCTGGACAATTATTCATGATACAACGGCTCGATGATATATGAAGCGAACTTCATACACGTTATTATTGCTACAGGCTCCGTTGTTGCGAGTACAGTAAATTGCTGTGTCTTCGCTTATTCTCCGGCGCTGTCGAGTCTTACTACAAAACACGCTATATAAGATCCTGCTTCCTGGAATTGTAAGTGAACAAGAAACTATCGACTACGCCTCCAGCAGAACAACTTGTACATCTTTATCTCTAGGCATCATCAGCAACTCGCCGTCGAAGGCAATCTATACGTGACCCAGCACCGCCAGAGTAAGAGTTTGAGGAAAGGCTCAGAAATTAAAACTACCTTCTTCTGGCGCTTTGCCGCGCGCAACGTTCCGTTCAATGCTTCCACTTTGAAAGCAAAACATGCAGATAGTCTATTCGACTCCGAAAAATCAGACGTACGAGTGTTGGCGGTCTTATCGAAGAGTACGCCGTAGGAGACACTGCTCTTTCCATTGGTATTGAGAGTGCCATGCTCCTTTATGGCCTCTGAACATAACCGGCGCCCAATACTTCAGGGTTATCGACATAATTGTAAGGGAATATCTCACCTTTGAGGATTTCGATCTCCCCTGTAACATTAACTAGAGTACTATGGTTAACCTTTCGCTGGTCATCACTGGACTTGTTCCCTTACCCATGATTGTTGGAAGAAAGAAGGCAAGGAGGATTTTGACAAATCACGATCAGATCACGCTGAGATCGATGTGTATTTACTGCTTCTTTTCTTTTTGACTTGATAAGATTCTTTTATTTATTTCCCAGTGATTGACAAGTCTAACAACTATTTCTACCACGACGTGACTTTTAGAACGAAAGAGTCTGGCCGGCATTCGACTGGACGTACGACGCAACCTTGTTGGTGGCAAGGAGCGTGTAAGAATACCCGAGGCTTGAAGCAGAGATGGTTCCTGTTGGAGCGGTATTCGTGCCGTCGTCGCCAAGGTCTGTGTGATACGACTGTTTAGACAAGTGTCGTGAGAAATGAAGGATTAGCCTACCGTTTCCAGAAGCAACTGCGTAGCCGCTATCAGTGGAGTAGATAGCATCTTCAGTGCCTGTTGCATACTAAGCGCGAGTACTACTAATACTGGGAAACTGGATAGTTACCGGTGAAAACGTTGTTCTCGATAAGGAGTTGTGCCTCATCTCGGGTGTTGATGCCGTCATTCAGGTCAACATAGCTAAAAATGATGAGTTTACATCTCGAATCTCAGAAGAACTACTCACTAGTTGTTGAAGATGTGGCCCTGGCCTGTGAGAATCGATGAGCATTGTGCGAGATGAAAGGAGCAATCATTCATACCGAAACGGAAGGAAGGACCACGGGAGTTCAGGTTCTGCCACCAGTTAAGAGCAAAGGTGACTCTGAGAGCGACATCCTCGCTCCCGTTGCTGTCAGAGTGTCCGACGAGCGAAGCTTTCCAGTGGTTGTACAGCTTGCTGTTGGTCACAGTGATGCCATAGGAGCCGTGTGTAATGTCAAGGAGACCGTAGTAGCTGAAGAGAAACCAAGTCGGAATTTGTTTGGGGAAGGAGGAACAGAACTTACTAGTCCTGAGCAGATAAATGAGCAACTACCTTGTTTAGAACCTGGAAGAACATACCTTGTCGTGGTCCAAGTCGCTAGAAAGATCGACGTGGTCAACCCAGACATTGTGTGCTTCTTGGATACCGATGGCATCTCCAGCGTCCGCGAGTACCTTTTGAATCTTGACGTTGCGGATGATGACGTTCGACTCTTCGAGGACGCGAAGACCGACACCGCTGAGGACTATACGACGCGTCATTGAGACAGATTTACCCGTGAAAAACGAAGGAAAACATACGGGAGCCGGAGGCACCGAGCACTGAGGTGTTGGAGCCAACCTTTACGACAGTGTTGCCTGTAATGGTTCCTAAAGAGGGTGTCAGGGCTAGCAACCATGGCAACATTATTGCTGATATACCACTGATGATGACGATCTTGGCCGAGTCACCGGAAACGGCAGAAGTAAGGGCGGCGAGAGTGGTGACAGTGGTGGTAGTGCCGCCAGCTCCTCCGGTGGTGCTAAGCAAGAGTAAGGATGCTGTGATGAGCAGAACCTAGTGAGGACTTACCCTCCGTTCAAGGTAGCATAACCGACTGAGGCTGACTCGCTGGTGCTAGTCCGCTTGACGATTTCAGTCGCTGGGGCGGCCTAAAATGGCGCGTGAGTATGCTGGCGGTCCACCACAGGAGACGCAACGCGTACCAGGACAGAAATGAGCTGGAAAGCAATGACGGCGAAGAAAGGAGAGATCCACTTCATGCTGAACCGAGTATGGAAAGTAAAAGAGAGAAGGAAATGAAAACCAAGGACTGGTTGTCTGTCAATGTTTCTGTGACCCTCCTTTTATACGACAGTCTCGGGTATCTGTCGGGTTCTTCTGTATCGAGCACGACGAATAGACCATTCTACTTGCGAGTGCATAGGCTCTGGGCCCGGGTGGCCCGCAGGGAAAGAGAGGTCTTGCTCTTGGCACGCTAAGGGGAAAAGGTGATCCATGGAAAGTAAACATCTGTAAACATGCACACCCGCGACATTTCGGAAATCAGGGTCAATATGCGTATTATGGCGTATATGTAGGGCGTGAGAGTATCTGTCGGTTATAAACAAGACACCGGCGACGACGTCGATATTCTTTATGCCTGCTAAGAATACTTTCAGAACATTGTTCAGGTGCCGCTTTGCCTGACGCACCTCTTATCGGAGACCGGGTTCCCAGATGATGTGTTGCGAGGCAGCGGGTCGCTAGAAAACTGTACAGGCCCTGAAATGTATGATGAGAGAGGATCGATGTGAAAGAAGCGTCGAGAACTCGTAGGGTGCGATTCTAAATTTCCAGTGTTATCCCGCTATACACTGTTCGTCTATAATATCGGAGTATATTAGCTCACATGGACATGCAAATACTATGGCTCGTGAGCAACAGCCCTGAAAAAATGCGCTGGGAGAGCGGAATCAATAAGGCTTAAGTCTGATGGCGTTTAAATGTTGCAAAGATGCACCATGGTAGTTCGCTGCGGACAGCAACGACTGCCTCCATACGGTTGTATCGCAGATAATTGGGATGGAGCCAAGCCATTGATACAGTCAAGATGACGAAAACCAGTTTTATTGTGCCTCTATGGCGTGACAAGATACATAGACCGAGTAAATTCACCCTGGTTGAAGAATTAAGATGGGTGAAGCGAAGAATGGCAATGGTGCTCACGCTTCATTCTTTTTGTCCTTCATCATGGCTTGTACGCCTCCCATCCTATGTTCTCTAAGCGCTCAACTTTGCCTAGGACCTCCTTCTCTAGCCCCTTCAGATAGCTGTCCATCTCTTGAATTAGATGAGGCTGCCCAGCGAAGAGAATCCTGATGGCGAGTAAACCAGCGTTGGTGCTGTTGTTGATGGCAACAGTCGCTACCGGAATACCTCGCTGAGTGCGCATGAGGAAGAAGGTAATTATCTTCGACGGAGCGAAAACTTACAGGCATTTGAACGATACTATGGAGCGAGTCAACACCATCGAGCGAACTTCCCTTGACGGGTACACCGATGACGGGTAGAGCAGTCATGGCAGCAACCATCCCGGGGAGATGAGCAGCACCCCCTGCTCCTGCTATGATTGTGCGGAGACCGCGCGACGAAGCCGAGCGGGCATATTCCACGAGTCGGTCGGGAGTACGATGCGCTGATACTATAGTGAGTTCATAGGGGATGTTGAACTTATCCAGGATGCGCGCAGCGGGAAGCATAACTGAGAGATCTGAGTCGGAGCCCATGATGACCCCGACGAGGGGGTCCTTGTTGGAGTGGCCAGACCCGGGACTTGGAGGGACAGGAGTGTATTTTTCGAGCTCCTCGGGGGTGCTCCCTGGGGTGGCCTCAAGTAAGGGACGGAGTTTGGTACGGAGAGAGGCATCTGAGTCGGCGACGATGGTTATGTGACCCATTTTGCGGCCTTTCTGACATTTTGCCTTGCCGTAGAGGTGAGTAGAAGCGCCGGGAATTGTTAGGGCAACATCTGTGATGCAGGTGATACTGGACATGGAAGAGGAAGAACCGATCAGGTTTAACATCGCGGCAGAAGGGACTTTGAGGTCCGTGGAACCCAGCGGTAATGATAGAATACTCCGTAGATGGTTCTCGTATTGAGACGTCTCGCAGGCTTCTATAGTATAATGACCAGAATTGTGTGGCCGTGGAGCAATCTCATTGACGTATATATTACCTGCGAAATGAGATCGGGAACTTTCTGAAGAGTCAAACGAATGCTTACCATCTTCCATGAGGAACATCTCAACGCCAAAAACACCAGCGCCCTCAAAGGTCGCCACTGCAGCTTCGGCAACTTTTTGAGCTCTCGAAGAGAGATCAGGGTACCGGCTACGAAGAGGCGCGAAGACCAGGTGACAGACGTTCTCTTTGTGGACGGTTTCTACAGCAGGATACGACCTCACCGTCCCATCCGCCGATCGTACCACCATAACAGCAATTTCCTTGATGAACGGTACCCACTTCTCTGCATATAGTGGCCGTCCGCCTAGGGCGGCGAGAGCGTTTTCCGCGTCTGATATGTCGCGAAGTACGTAATTCCCCCGACCGTCGTAGGCTAGTGTTCGACTTTTCAACATGAGAGGGAGACCGAGCTCGGTTGATGCAGAAGTAATAGCATCAAGAGATGATTGAACCTCTCTGAAAGCAGACACCGGGACTCCATGCTCTCGGAGATGCTCCTTTTGGCGGAACTTGTCTTGTATTATCCGGATCGCTCGAGGGCTGGGATGGATAGCTAAGCGACCACTTGTGGCAGCAGCAAGATTCTCCAAGGCATCTACATCGACGTGTTCGATTTCTACGGTCAGGACATCCACTTTCGACGCCAGTTCGTGTATCTTTTGAGGATCGGTGAATGAACCATCGATATGCGAAAGATCGCCGCTGTGCGCGATGACTTGCTTGGCAGGTGCGGATTCTCCAACATCGAGAATAACTACAGGAATATTTAAAAGAGACGCCGATGCGGCTAGCATGCGACCCAGCTGGCCACCACCTGCGTGAAATAGATATTTAAGGTTATTCCGGGAATATCGCAGAGAAGTCTGTGGAATGTTAAGTAACCTGCTGACAGATTAATACTAGGACTTACTCCCACCAAGGATCCCGACGACTTCCTTCGGCATTGTTACAGAGATGAAGAGGAGGGCGGGGGATGGAGGGGGGAAAATACTTAATGATGTCCAAAAATAGCACCGACGGGAAATTTTGTATTTGGTACCAAAGGTGATGTCATAGGACCCAAACAAAGACCCTGTTACAGCCCTTTACAGCCTTGCTACTGCTCACCACTCTTTTTCGTATTTTCCGTTGAATGTTTCGAGCGTCTATATCCTGCTAGTGTGCTCATCTTTGGTGCAACATCTTGTCAATTCACGAATTTCATCGGTGTGTAGAAAGAATTGAACAGAAAGTAGTTGCCTGACCATTTTTCTTCTTCAGCCGCCCTTCGGCTCGACAATATTTCGCATATTCTATCCTCCCGGCCAATCTGCAAATTCATTGAGGTTAAGTCGTCCAATGTATCCTGTTGGCACTGCTGATACAACATTCTCATTCATAAAGTTCTCACCGCGTCCAAACGTCATTGATAGGTCCAAAGCTAACACTCGTGCCGAAATATGTTGCGTCTATGCCTGCTATGATTCGAGGATTTCCAACTTTTTGAATCCATAAGGGGCAACGGCGCAAGTCATTCATATCACGGAGCATTGAATAGAAAATTTCTGGTGACCATCAGCTAGCGCGACATCGCTTCTCACTGCAGAAACTTCGTAACGGCATATCTCTGGAAAATCTGGGGTCTTAACGCGTTATGCCAGGGCAGTCATTATCCACGACACTCAGTATTGTCCTCGTGGATGTACATAGCAGCGCTGCATTAACAGCGCCCACATGATTGTTCTATGTAGTTTGTTTAATGACTCAATCCGTTCATCTAGATTGGTCGCTTTCCGACAACTTACGTAATCCACTACCGCTCGGGCTTAACTTTGAACAGTTGGCTCAAGTCAACAAGCATTTGAACCAGTCGTATGACTTTTGACATATCAGATTCGAGAAGAAGTCGTAATCTCGGGCGGGGTGCTTCGTTTCCACAACTATGAACTCTACCGATGAAATTTTCTGATGGACGGTGCGACCTTCGACTCATTGAGGGCAGTGGCCAGTGAGATATGGGCGCTTATGGGCGCCTACGGACTGACGCCGGTACCATTACGTAGCACCAATATCATGATCAGCCATGTTGGACGAGTATCACTCTAGTCAACCCCCAAACCGAGACGGGGCGCTTGCAATCAATATAATCCCCGGCACTGTTGCATCGTTCTTGAAACTTCAGCGTTAGAGTTCAGTAAGGGAGACATGGAGGAAAGGGGGCAGATCTTGGAGCATCAGATCCTGTTGATGAACTCCAGATGCATTTATCAGAGGTATTGGTAGTATTGGGTCGCATTTTTGTGAAAGATGTTCAATGATGAAGTTGCGAAGGAAGGAAAGATAAAAATACGCTTGATTTGAAATGTTAATGATGGCGGCATCGGCGAGCTGGATCGAGTCTAGAATGACTACATATGGTAGAGCCATAATGCTCGGGGAAGTTCGGATGTCAAGTTCAAGGTTTTCGTACTTTTTCTCATGGAGTCCAGCAGGCACCTGAATCGATCTTATAACACAGATTCCCCATACACCCGAACGCGGTTTCTTAGTTTATGCGCAGAGAATCTGCCTATAGGCTTTTTGGTCAGTTTGACTGATCTGCCCACTCGGAATAGCGGTGGCTCAACATGCTGTAACCACATCCACGTGTTATCCTGCGATCTATTCTGCGCTCATAGAGAAGACTATTTTTCCGTGATCAATGGGACGGTAAGGAACTCTGACTGATTTCGTGCATCCAATACCTGGTACCCATCGTCATCGAGGACCCTCGTGGTGTTATAAGGGCATTAATTTCGTTCCAGGCTGTTTCTTAGCGACTTTCAAATGGCCGAATCTTCACTCAACGGTACTTTTGGTGCATACCTCATTGGTGTCATCGTGTCTGCATGGTTGAGTTAACTTCCCCAGATGCACTCATTTTAGTATTCTGATTTCCTTGGGACATAGCTTGTTTGGCGTCACCTGCACTCAAACCTGGTATTATTTCACTCGCTACTCTGACGTTACCATCCTCAAAGTGTGGGTAAGCGTACAAATTGCTCCCTAATCCGCCAGTTACTAACAAACTCGCAGGTGGCCGCTATATGGTTGGTATTAACGCTACCAGCCAACTACCCGACTCTTACAGGTTTGCACAGGATTTTGGAAGTTTTGCATGTAGCATTCCCTGGCCATGCCATTTACTATTATGTCATACTACATTACGGGGATCCAGCCGCTCTAGCTCAAGCAATTTGGTAAGTACCGTATTTGTTCGTGTGATATTAAGAATTCAATACATGCTAGGACGCTATGTGTGAGTATCCGACATGTCTGTCTGCATGAAATCTTAACTTATATGTTATGTAGGTCAACATCACTGTCACAGTACGTAACTTAATGCTACTCTTACCTTTAAGCTGTCTCTGACAAGAATAAACATAGGGCCTTATTGGTCTGCTTGTTGACCTATTTTATGCCCGACGGATATATTATTGTTGGAGCAATTCTTTTCATCCAATTGCTGCTTCCTAATGCGCTTTATTTAGTGTCGAATCACAACGTGCCCCTATTGGCTGCCACCGTAAGATTCCCATGCTTCCTCGGTGTTCGGCGATACTCATCTTGGAACCAGATCATTCTGCCAGTCTGTCGCTTCGGTGAGGAGTCTCTCATATTGTTTTCTTACCCTTCTCTGACGTAGTCTGTTCTAGGAACCAGCGTAGGTGCGTATTCAAGCTACCCATATGAAAGTTTTCAGTCGAAAGCCTGGTTTTATCGCCTTTTAGGTATCACCGCGTATAGGTCAGGACAGGTGGTGCTTCTTAGATGTCTCTGTCTCACTATCGCCGTTTTCAGCATACAACTTAAGGACTTCGCTCGCTTTGAAGTCCATAGTATGACTGTAAGCAATGAAGCATCCACAGAACTTGATTTTGATTCATATTTATCTCGGTCATGCAGAGTCTCGTTAAGGCTTCAGTGCCTATCCACGTAGTGACAGATATACTGGTCGCGGGGTCGCTTTGTTATTATCTCCATAGCAGTCGCACTGGGATCAAACGGTACGGCGGTCCTTGCTGTGGCTCATGTGGACCGACTGAAAGATAAACTCTATTATAGTACCGACACGATGATTAACAGACTCATGGTCTACGCGGTTCATAATGGTCTTATAATAGCGTAAAGACATGCCATACTTTTATGTTATCACTGTCTGGGTAACTAATCCATCCCCAGGGTTGCGGATGTCCTTGTCATTGCCTTTGTGTGTTACTCTATCACCCTCACATATCGTCACACGCTGATCTTGGAGCCTCTCAGAACACAGCATACCCTGGCAATCTTGTATATCTCGCAGTCTATCAAGTCGTGGCGAACTGTATGTGAAACTTATCTTTTCCTCCGCGTACTTGAAATAAATTCAAAATTTCCCAAGTGTATTCAAACTCCTTACTTGCTACGTTCGTTTCCTGATCCCCCGTGAAATCGTCCGTCCTTACAACCTCCCTTCTGTAGGTTGAACGCTCGCCGACCTTCTAAGCCTGGTCCATGATCACTTTACGACCGAAGCCGACATGTTGAGTCTCTCTATTGCAACTTCCAACCCGAACAATGTAATATGCCCCCTGCTTATTTTTCATTTCACGATTATTTATGACCCTTCCAGCGGCGTGTTGATATTAATATGACGTCCACTACTGATATCGCGGAAGATACGGACATAAACTCTTCCGTGAGTAATTCTACAGTGACTTGGTGCATTGACCTTGCTCAGTCGAAGCACAGACTAACCCTAGTTCTAAGGTCGGAAGCCTCTGAAGAAAGAGGGAAAACGGGAGTGTTATTCATGTGTTTCAAAATCTTCTGTTACTGTGCTCTGTACTATCGTCTTCACTTGTTTACATATATATTGCTGCTGCTAATTCTGCGGCGTGAACTCATCATGCGGGGGTTGATCATAAAATCCAATGAAATGACTGGGATGACGTGTCACAAGACTGGTAGATGCATTGGATTTGCATTCGTGCTGCCATGTTGCTGACGAGATAAGCCAGAGAAACACTGGCGAGTAATCAGACTATTTTCTCCTCAGGACTGACCGAGTTGACTATGCTGTATTCACAGCAGTCAAGGTGACAGATCATTCAGATCGTAGCAACATTATCTGACAGTGATACTTAGTGATATTTGGCGCCAACTGTACATATCACGAAATGTCAAAAATGAATTCTGATTGGACGAGATAAGAATAGTACAGAGTATAACCAACTCAGACGTAACAATTGTAGGCGGTCTAATCCAACATTGAATATAAAAATTTCGAGCCGAGTAACATTCAGCTACAGCCTGTGAAGTGGAATTGGAGTAGCTAGAATGACCCACAAATGCGTCCGCCATCTTTTTCGGCGCTTCTTGTAAAACCTGTTTACAATTAGCCTACTCGTCATGCGAATGATGATTCTTCCAGTGTCCCGGTCCTGGAACTCGAGTTATAGAAGCGAAAGTTCGTCCTTGACTGGCATCGACGATCGAGTCTTGAATTTCGCGCGACCTAAAGACGGTATGAGTGACTTCGTTGACGAGCAAAATCTTTATACACACATAAGATCGTTCCTGGTGCCATGGACAATATGAACCGATACAACGATTTAGATTTCAAAGTGCTGTGAACAAGGTTTTGGCATCTCTTCAATGCGTGGCATTTTTGTCCACCCATATGGCGCTCAAGGTGACTCCACCAGTCTTGTCGGGGTAGAACGCCGTCGGCAGCGGACGTAGACCATGATTCTGGAGAAACGATGAGTGGAGCTACTGGCCAAATCGACGGCCAGATACTCACTACGTAGATATCCAGGACCTCCGGATCCCAACTTTTCCAGGGAAAACAGTGACCAAGCCAAGCCTTAGCGGCCTCGCGGCTAGGCCAAATATCATGACGGTTGTTGATGGCAGCAAACGCCTTGGACACTGCAGTATGATGGGCCTCGGCGGACGGATGATGAATCGAGGGTCTCAACGAGGACAAGACTATCGAACATGATGTTACTGGGAGGATTGAAATACACCAACTGCCATCACGTTGTCAACAGGCCTACCATTTAGATAAAGTCATGGCTCAAGGTGATAGTCTTTACCAAGCCACAGTACCTGCAGAATAACCAATAAGAACGAATCTGTCCTTTCGACTATACTCCGGATTAGAATCTCCTAGAGGATCACGGAGAAGGATAACCAAGGCCTCAGCGTAGTCGTGGATAGCTTCCGCGATGATTAGTCGTGACAGAAGGATGCTTGTGAAAGGGCTCACACAGTACCCCTCGGTGTTCTACGAGAATCTTCTCATTGAGGATAGCCACTTCCCCATGATTCTGGCAGTCTACTGTCCAGGCTTCGCGAATAGTATTTTGAGTGTCAAGCTTGAACAGATGGCTTATAGTGGGCTCCTACTGTTCCTTGTCTGAATGATATTCATATTTGTCATATTGTGATCACCGCAAGCTGAACTATGTATTACTCACAGAATCCTACACCGTGTGCAAAAATAAGCACGCAACCTGATTGGGTCTTCTGCAGAGCCGGATTTGTCTTCTTGTAGCGTTTCAGAGTTGCCAGAGTGGAACCCCAGTCGTGTTTGTTTGAAGCCATTCTTTGTAGAAGCGCTTATATGGGGAGACTTCTGAGAGCCATCATCACACGCCAGTAAATCAAACCTCGAACAAGGGAACTACGAGTCACTGAGTTTGGTGGAAGAGGTGAGAATAGGCTGCTGATATACCGCTGATGATGACGATCTTGGCCGAGTCACCGGGAACGGCAGAAGTAAGGGCAGCGAGAGTGGTGACAGTGGTGGTCGTGCCGCCAGCTCCTCCGGTGGTGCTAAGCAAGAGTAAGGATGCTGTGATGAGCATAACCTAGTGAGGATTTACCCTCCGTTTAAGGTAGCATAACCGACTGAGGCGGACTCGCTGGTGCTAGTCCGCTTGACGATCTCAGTCGCTGGGGCGGCCTAAAATTGCGCGTGAGTATGTCAGCGGTCCACCACAGGGGGTCGCAACGCGTACCAGGACAGAAACGAGCTGGAAAGCAGCGACGGCGAAGAAAGGAGAGATTCACTTCATGCTGAACCGAGTATAGAAAGTAAAAGAGAGAAGGGAATGAAAACCAAGGACTGGTTGTCTGTCAATGTTTCTGTGACCCTCCTTTTATACAACAGTCTCGGGTATCTATCGGATTCTTCTGCATCGAGCGCGACGAATAGACCATTCTGCTTGCGAGTGCAAGGGCTCTGGGCCCGGGCGGCCCGCAGGGAAAGAGAGGTCTTGCTCTTGGCACGCTAAGGGAAAAAGGTGATCCATGGAAAGTAAAGATGCACACCCGCGACATTTCGGAAATCAGGGTCAATATGCGTATTATGGCCGTGTATATGTAGGGCGTGAGAGTATCTGTCGGTTATGAACAAGACGCCGGTGACGACGTCGATATTCTTTATGCCTGCTAAGAATACTTTCAGAACATTGTTCAGGTGCCGCTTTGCCTGACGCACCCCTATTGGAGACCGGGTCCCTAGATGATGTGTTGCGAGGCAGCAGGTCGCTAGAAAATTGTACAGGCCCTGAAATGGATGATGGGAGAGGATCAATGTGAGAGAAGCGTCGAGAACTCATAGGTGCGATTCTAAATTTCCAGTGTTATCCCGCTCTGCGTTTTTCGTCTATAATATCGGAGTATATTAGCTCACATGGGCATGCAAATACTATGGCTCGTGAGCAACAGCCCTGAAAAAATGCGCTGGGAGAGCGGAATCAATAAGGCTTAAGTCTGATGGCGTTTAAATGTTGCAAAGATGCACCATGGTAGTTCGCTGCGGACAGCAACGACTGCATCCATACGGTTGTATCGCGGATAATTGAGGTGAAGCCAAGCTTTTGATACAGTCAAGATGACGAAAACCAGTTTTATTGTGCCTCTATGGCGTGACAAGATACATAGATCGAGTAAATTCACCCTGGTTGAATAGTTAGGATGGGGGAAGCGAAGAATGGCAGTGGTGCTCACGCTTCATTCTCATTTCGTCTTTCATCATGGCTTGTACGCCTCCCACCCTATATTCTCTAAGCGCTCAACTTTACCTAGGACCTCCTTCTCCAATCCCTTCAGGTAGCTGTCCATCTCTTGGATTAGATGAGGTTGGCCAGCAGAGAGAGTCCTCACGGAGAGTAAACCAGCGTTAGTGCCGTTGTTGATGGCAACAGTCGCTACCGGAAGTGCCTGGCAAACTTCTTTTGTGATCCTCGTGTCTGACACGCGAGATTTTCTGTTACAAGGCTTCCTCCTGTTTTATCCCAATAGTCTCAGTGAATAGTGATCGCGGCCGGTGATCTGTGCCTCTGTCTGTCATTCCGAGTGTACAGACAGACTTCAGCAATTATTTCGATGAAATGATACGACGTTAGGCGATTCTTGCTCCGTGATGCTGGTCGTTCCGGAGAACTCAGAAGAAAAGGTTGGCATCACGTGCTCATTAATGACACGTGTGGCGAATCACGAGTCACGAGTCATATGATGTCCGAGTCATCACAATCGACAACGACGCCGACTACGACCTTGCAGTAACGATTCCGACACCGGACCTGGCAGCAACAACAACCACCAGAAGATGGCATTCTACTCTCTCCCTTTCTCTTAGAGCATGGCTCTGTATACGATTCCCAAGCAATGCCTCGTTCACGTAGTACTAGCAGATGGCGACCTCGGAAATTTGGGTACCAATACCACTTCCAACGCGTCACCAAGACTGTTGAAAATTTCAGGTATACCGAAACCAAAATGGGCACATTATCCTGCTCCACAACTCCTCTATGAGACGCTGTCTCTCGCTAGGCTTCTCTTGTTCTCAAACCACTACCGGTCTCGACTGTGTCTCTGCTTTCCTCAGCGTCCACGGAACTTCCGGGATATACCAACTGCATCCCAGGACACCATCAGACAAGACCTATGAGTGACTTCATTCCGGCTTCTACAGCCCAAGCTGCCGCAGCTGGTGGATTACGCAACAGCACCATCGCCCCTGAAAGTCAAGTCCGCATCGCTCGACGACACCAAGCAGCGGTCGAAGGATTGATAGACTCCGTTTGGAAAGAGTCCAGCATCCAACTCTCACCAAGTACGTCTCTTTTGATATCTTAACCGACGTCTGTCTGACTGGTCCTCGTATAGCTGAACTTGCCAAGACCAAAGCGCTGGTAGACCAAGACGCAGAGCGATGCACATCTCGACCGATACTTACCAGAACTCAGTCTAGGAAGGTACGTGAATTCATCTCCTGCAGTTACTTTTCTCTCATCTCGCTTAGGGAAGGAAATGGAGAAGAGATGAAACGCATGGGCCCGACAAAGTGTTCACCTGAAGCAAGGATCTTTCCTGTACCTTAGCCTTTGAACACTTGCTACATCGCTATTCGCTATCCCAAGTTTTTCCACCACAATTCCTGCTGTATCAATTCGATTTTATATCGCTCGTCTAATAGGCAGTCGTTTGCACAGCCTCTTTTCCAAGTCTCAGACCGATCAAGCCAGTCAACCAAAAATCAAAACCACGAAAGGCTGTAGCATATCCAGAAACTACGTAGGGACACGAAGCGTGGACACCCGTGGCCACACGTTCTTTCGCCATGCTTAGTATCGTATGAGCATGTCGTTGGTTCTACAGGGGCGGGGTGAGTATCCTGGCAAGACAGGTCAGGATCGACGGTCTCATGTGAGGCGTGGCAACGATGCTGTGAAAGGTTGAGCCATGTCGACCAGGTGGTGTCGTGGTGGGTGAACCCACCGGCTCTTCGGGTGTGCGCCTAGCTGGATTGGACATCCCCAGATTCTCGCCACGCCTGGCGCGCTCTGCTGATGAGATCACCATTTGGTGAGGAGGTACGATTTCGAGGGCGTTGGTTGAAGCCTGGTGTCGCCCGTCTTGTTGTATAATCTGGATAACAAACAAGTCTAATCCTCCTGATTGAGAGTCAAGCGCAGATACTAACATATCATTTTAGTGTTGCTCCTAACCAAGCTTCTTAGGTCTCGTCGTCTTGTATCGAACCGCGTCGGGATGTCGAATGAAATGAAGTGCTTTCATAGAACCTTAGCTGACCACACAGCTTTTCTCTGCCAAGCCGCTCTGTTCAGTTGCTGTTCAGCATTACTAATTCATCTAAAGATATCTGTTTATCGAACGGCATGTTCGCCTTGATAACGGACTACAATTGGGCAATCTTACAACGTGGATTTCGCTTCATCCATCTGCGTATTTTCCTTCTTTCTGCGTACCCACTCTTCCTGTGCTATTGCTCTTAACTGCACCTTGATTATCTTGCCAGAAGGCGTATGATCTGCCTACATTTTAGAACGTGCGCGTTTTAAATATATAAGGACTCACCAAACTCCCCATCCTTCAAAATAATCATGACCGGGACGGCGGACGGCGGTAACCTACTCATAGGCTGAGGAACTGCAACTCAATTTGGAGAATATCACTCACAGTTTCCTCGCAGTCTCCAAAAGTTTTTCCTCGCTGATCTTTCCGTGATACCCAGGTTTGAGGGTGACCAATGCGGTCACTAGCTGGCACAGCCTATCATCGGGTACCCTCACTGCAGCTGCTTCGAGAACAGCTGGTTCGGTGTACAGGGCGTTCTCCACGGAAATAGGGTCCTGCGTATGGTTGGCTCATTATAGCAAGATATAGCAGGCTACTCACAATGCTCTCCCCGGCACGAAAAATGATGTCTTCAATCCTGTCTTTAATGTAGACATACCCTTCTTCATCGACGCAGCCAAGATCACCCGTCATCAACCATCCATCTTTGGTGAGTACCTTGATCGGAAATGAGTCGCTGGAAAGATACTTGGGATACACATTTTGCATACCTTGTCCGTAGCGGCTGTGTAGCATCATGATCATCAGCGCAGGTCCTGCAACAAACAGAATATGGCAGAACCTTGATCTTCATAATACCCTTTCATCACGTTGGGACCACGAAGCCAGACCTCTCCCACCTCCCCCGGAGCAGCTCTGACATGGTCTTTCATTATTAAAATCTCGTTGACCGGAGATACAAAACCGCTGGAACGGATTAGCTTAATGATACAGGAAAGGCAGTATACTTGGACTGCACCAGCTATCTGGCTTGGCGATAAAATCCGGCCCATCTAGGACGTCATCAGATAATGCAACAAGATGCTTTGAAAGGATATTCCCACCGAATGATACCGATGTGGCATTACTCTCAGTGAGAGCGTACAAATGTCTTCTACGAAATAGCAAAATCAGTGACCAAGATAGAACAGATCGTACTAAGGAATCCACATTGTTGCAAGGGGGAAAGCCTCCTTCGTTCTCTGGAGAAGAGTCGGTGAGACTGGGGCACCTGCGACGCCAACATTCTCCAAGGTTAGACCTGATGACGGGCTATCGAGGAGATCAATTAGAAGTGATGGTGGACTGAGATGCTCATGATGGTCAGCAGGAGTCGCAAGAAACAAGGAAAAAAACGACAGACCCTCCTGTCATGACAATGTTCTCTTCTCTGCAAAGTCTGAAAGCATTAATTTGTAAAGCACCTTCCATGCACGGGACAGGATGCAAGTTACCTTATAGCTGGGAAAATAGATGTAACAAGGTCTATCCAGGTCAAAATAGAGCCAATCCTCACCTTCGTGTGCACTCCATTTCCGCATCAAAATAAGTTTGAGTCCGAAACAAGTACCAAGAAGCTAAGAATACATCAGCCCTTGCTCATGTTAGCAGTGAGAAGCTGCTTTACGCTCAGAGTGATTCCGCTGATGTAGAACAATGGCGATGAAATCAAAGCTCCCTTCTGAGGACCTGAAACAGGTAATGGAGGGAATGGTTCGCCTCGCCGAATATAGCCCCTTGCAGTCAAAGACATTGACTATATAAAATCCATGAGAACCACCTGAACCGCCCTGAGAATATACACCATACAGTCAACACGAGAGTCAGGAATGCACGCTGTGAGCTTAGAACACCCTCTACAAGAAAATGTAAATCAGGACTCCTTCGTGACCGGATGAATTAATGAAACCTACTTGGTAGGCCAGTAGTTCCCGACGTAAATATAATCGTTGCATTATCCTCCGGAACAATGTGAGGATTGTCACACAGTATTTCTCCTGGATCCTTATGGTACTGGAGGAATACTTTGCTCCAAACATCCATGCCTTCCCAGTGGCCTTTGCCTTCGTGATCCTCAAGGACCAGATATCCCTCAATGCCCGATGCGCCCTTAATGTCAGCAGCGATCGGTTCGATATTATCGGCTCGCTCGGGATCAAAGATGACCAGCCTGCATTTTGTGAGTATGATACAGCGTCTGAGGCGGTCTATAGATAGACACCTATTAGGTGGATCAGGACATGAAACATCGGAAGCACATTTGGACCTTACGCATTAACGAGAGCAGTTACAGCGCCGAGAAGGTCTGCGTTGCAGGATTCAGTATTTCAGTTTTGTTGAAGCATGGCTGCAAAACATACGACAAGCCCAGAACACGACGTAGTAACCTGGAAGATTTCGAGAGCAGATAACGACTCGATCACCTGTATTGGAGGTGGGTTGTAGCATTGACTCGGAAAAGGCGACTGGACGTTAACTTACCCTTCTTAACACCGTAAACATCTCTAAACATGGCCGCACATTTAACAGCCATTTCTAGCATTTCCTGGAAGGAGAAGCGCTGTTTCTCGTATACCACATAAGTTTTGTCAGCGTGCTCCTTGGTCCATTTCAAGAAGAATTCCCGTGTGGATGGCCAGAGATTTTTCCAGACTTTCAAGACTCTCCCATCGACGACCTATATCACATTCAAAGCAAGCCAGAATGCTGACATGCGGAACACTCACACGGCTCTCAATCTCGAATAGACTTCCCGATCTTGTGATTATTTTGTCCGCTATTACACATCAGCAAGCTGCTGCATTGGTAGGGTAGACATACCTTCGTCCACAGAGCAGCGTGGGGTCCAGGTTGCCGTGCTCGTCATGGTAGCTGCAATAGAAGGACGCCTGTAACACGTTGAACTATAAATACGGTTATCTAGAAGCCGGACTCAAGACTCTTCGGTAACATGTGACTAGGTTGTTCGGGCTTCGACATTACCTTGCTGGATAGCAAGGTCTACCCACGTCCGTTCACTTTGTCGCCGAAAGTTGTGATGGGCAAATACGTGTCAACATGCTCCGCCATACCTAATAAGTTGATACGGCAGGCAAGCGGCCCGAGCGGACTCTCGGCGGCGAGAAACCCTAACACAGGACTTCAAAGTTCAACTGGACGTTTACAACCACAAAATCTGATGCAAAATGCCAGACTTTCTGGTAGTGATTAGCAACACGTTATCTAATTTCCACATATTACGTGAAAGGTCCTGCACTGTCGGATATTCTTCAATTGCAAGTTCTTCAGTTCCTGTCAAAAACTTCTAAATAGTGAGTATCATTGGTTCTGCCTGTAAGGTAGGGCTCAGGTGGAAACGACTACATCACATGATATTCATGTGATATCTGTGACAAACTCCGTAAATCTCTATCAGAGACAGGACACACCTACCTTTGGGAAATCTGGCTCCGAGCAAAGCTCGAAAAGTAAATTCTGAAGCTTCCCTCGGAGCTGTTCTATTTTTTTTTGGACCTTGTATTGGGTTGATAGATTTTCTTTCTGACATATCCAAATTAGGATGAGTTTCAATATGCTATCTGAAGTATCCAAAATTGTTTGTAAGGATGTTCTACCCTATATAATGTGTGTTTATGATGAAAGGGAGCCCCAAGGCCTCCAGAAACACGTAGAACATGCAGCCGGACACGTCATAAATGAGGTTGTCACTCAATGTCACATTTCACGTGATGTAGTCGTTTCCACCTGAGCCCTACCTTGTTTTTAACCTGCAAATCCTGGTAAAACCAGCAAGGTCCTAGGCGCCGGAACGGCGACACTTGTGAAAAATGTATGGGGTGATTGATGTTATCGCCGAACACTCCACTTGAAATGTTTTTTCTCGTCTACCAGCGGTTCCTGTGCGGAAACATAATTATATAGAAATACATTCTTGACCCCAATTATTTCAGTTGGCCTATTCTTTCCTCGACCTCCTTGCCCACTCTCTCTGGGCTATGACCCTTAACGGCCACCCCAGAATTGGGCGATAACCCATTAAAACCTATGATTACACTTTGTTAGGGACCGAGCGGGTTCCAAAATTCTTTCCTCCCGGCCAATCTGCAAATTTATTGAGGTTAAGTCGTCCAATGTACCCGGTTGGCACTGCTGATACAAAATTCTCATTCGTAAAGTTCTCACCGTGTCCAAACGTCGTTGATAGGTCCAAAGCAGCACTTGTGCCGAAATATGTTGCGTCCATGCCTGTTATGATTCGAGGATTTCCAACTTTTTGAATCCATAAGGAGCAACGGCGCAAGTCATTCATATCACGGAGCATTGAATAGAAAATTTCTGGTGACCATCAGCTAGCGCGACATTGCTTCTCACTGCGGAAACTTGGTAACGGCATATCTCTGGAACATCTGGGGTCTGAACGCGTTATGTGATGAGAATGGATCAGCCAGGGTAGTCATTATCTACGACGCTCAGTATTGTCCTCGTAGATGTAGCAGCACTGCATTAACAGCGCCCACATGATTGTTCTGTGTAGTTTGTTTAATGACTTGATCCGTTCATCTAGATTGGTCGCTTTCCGATAAGTTATTAGTCAATCCACTATCGCTCGGGCTTAACTTTGAACAGGTGGTTCAAATCAACAAGCATTTGAGCCAGTCGTATGACTTTACATATCAGATTCGAGAAGAGGTCGTAATCTCGGGCGGGATGCTTCGTTTCCACAACTATGAACTCTACAGATGAAATTTTCTGATGCATGGTGTGACCTTCGACTTATTTTAGGGCGGTGGCCAGTGAGATATGGGCGCTTATGGGCGCCTACGGACTGACGCCCAGTACCATTATGCAGCACCAATATCATGATCAGCCACGTTGGACGAGTATCACTTTAGTCAACCCCCAAACCGAGATGGGGCCCTTGCAATCAATATAGTCCCCGGCACCATTGCATCGCTTCTTGAAACTTCAGCCTTAGCGTTCAACAAGAGAGACATGGAGGAAAGGGGGCAGACCCTGGAGCATCAGATCCTGTTGATGAACTCTAGATGCATCTACCAGAGATATTGGGTTGTATTTTTGACAAAGATGTTCAACGATGAGGATTACATATGGTAGTGCCACAATACTCGGGGTTCCGACGTCAAGTCCAAGATTTTCGTACTTGTTCTCATGGAGTCCAGCAGGCGCCTGAATCGATCTGATAACACAGGCTCCCATACCGGAACGCGCCTTCTTAGTTTATGCGCAGAGAATCTGCCTATAGGCTATTTGGTCGGTTTGACTGATCTGCTCATGAATAGCAGCGGCTCAATGATCATGCCGTAATCACATCCCTTCACATCCACGTGTTATCCTGCGATCTATTCTGCGCTCATAGAAAAGATTATTTTTTCTGTGATCAATGGGACGGGATGAGATATGAAACTGACTAATTTCGTGCATCCAATACCTGGTTCCCATCACCAACGAGGACCCTCGTGGTGTTATAAGGGCATTAATTTCGTTCCTGTTTCTTAGCGACTTTCAAATGGCCGAATCTTCACTCAACGGTACTTTTGGTGCATACCTCATTGGTGTCATCGTGTCTGCATGGTTGAGTTAACCCCAAATGCATTCATTTTTATATTCTGATTTCCTTGGGGACATAGCTTGTTTGGCGTCACCTGCACTCAAACCTGGTATTATTTCACTCGCTACTCTGACGTTACCACCCTCAAAGTGTGGGTAAGCATATAAATTGCTCCTCTAAACCGCCAGTTACTAACAAATTCGTAGGTGGCCGCTATATGGTTAGTATTAACGCTACCAGCCAAATACCCGACTCTTACAGGTTTGCACAGGATTTTGGAAGTTTTGCATGTAGCATTCCCTGGCCATGCCATTTACTATTATGCCATACTACATTACGGGGATCCAGCCGCTCTAGCTCAAGCAATTTGGTAAGTACCGTATTTGTTCGTGTGATATTAAGAATTCAATACATGCTAGGACGCTATGTGTGAGTATCCGACATGTCTGTCTGCATGAAATCTTAACTTATATGTTATGTAGGTCAACATCACTGTCACAGTACGTAACTTAATGCTACTCTTACCTTTAAGCTGTCTCTGACAAGAATAAACATAGGGCCTTATTGGTCTGCTTGTTGACCTATTTTATGCCCGACGGATATATTATTGTTGGAGCAATTCTTTTCATCCAATTGCTGCTTCCTAATGCGCTTTATTTAGTGTCGAATCACAACGTGCCCCTATTGGCTGCCACCGTAAGATTCCCATGCCTCCTCGGTGTTCAGCGACACTCATCTTGGAACCAGGTCGTTCTGCCAGTCTGTCGCTTGGGTGAGGAGTCTCATATTCTTTTCCTGCCCTTCCGTGACGTAGCCTTCTCTAGGAACCAGCATAGGTGCATATTCAAGCTACCTATATATGAAAGATTTTGAATTGGAAAACTGGCTTTGTCGCCTTTTAGGTATCACCGTTTATAGGTCAGGACTGGTAGTGCTTCTTAGATGTTTCTGTCTCACTATTGCCGTTTACAGTATACAACTTAAGGACTTCGTTCGTTTTAAACTCCACAGTAACACTGTAAGCAATGAAGCATCCACAGGAACTTGACTTTGATTCATATTTATCCCCGTTATGTAGAGTCTCGTCAGGGCTTCAGCGACTATCCACGTAGTGACAGATATACTGGTCGCGGGATCGCTTTGTTATTTTCTCCATAACAATCGCAATGGGATCAAACGGTACGACAGTCCTTGCTGTGGCTCATCTAGACTGACTGAAAGAGAAAATCCATTATAGTACCGACACGATGATTAACAGACTCATGGTCTACACGGTTCATACCGGTCTTATAACAGCGTAAAGACAAGCCATACTCTTATGTTATCATCTGGGTAACTAATCCATCCCCAGGGTTGCGGATATCCTTGTCATTGCCTTTGTGAGTCACTCTACCACCCTCACATATCATCGCACGCTGACCTTGGAGCCTCTCAGAACATAGCATACCCTGGCAATCTTGTATTTCTGGCAGTCTATCAAGTCATCGCGAACTGTATGTGAAACTTATCTATTCCTCCGCGTACTTGGACTAAATTCAAAATTGCCAAGTGTATTCAAACTCCTTACTTGCTACGTTCGCTTCCTGATTCCAGGCTGCGCAATCATTCGTCCTTATGACGTCTCTTCTGTAGGTTGAACGCTCGCAGACCTTCTAAGCCGGTCCATGATCACTTTACGACCGAAGCCGACATGTTGAGTCTCTCTATTGCAACTTCCAACCCGAACAAGGTAATATGCCACTCCTGCTTATTTTTCATTTCACGATTATTTATGACCCTTCCAGCGTCGTGTTGATATTAATATGACGTCCACTACTGATATCGCGGAAGATACGGACATAAACTCTTCCGTGAGTAATTCTACAGTGACTTGGTGCATTGACCTTGCTCAGTCGAAGCACAGACTAACCCTAGTTCTAAGGTCGGAAGCCTCTGAAGAAAGAGGGAAAACGGGAGTGTTATTCATGTGTTTCAAAATCTTCTGTTACTGTGCTCTGTACTATCGTCTTCACTTGTTTACATATATATTGCTGCTGCTAATTCTGCGGCGTGAACTCATCATGCGGGGGTTGATCATAAAATCCAATGAAATGACTGGGATGACGTGTCACAAGACTGGTAGATGCATTGGATTTGCATTCGTGCTGCCATGTTGCTGACGAGATAAGCCAGAGAAACACTGGCGAGTAATCAGACTATTTTCTCCTCAGGACTGACCGAGTTGACTATGCTGTATTCACAGCAGTCAAGGTGACAGATCATTCAGATCGTAGCAACATTATCTGACAGTGATACTTAGTGATATTTGGCGCCAACTGTACATATCACGAAATGTCAAAAATGAATTCTGATTGGACGAGATAAGAATAGTACAGAGTATAACCAACTCAGACGTAACAATTGTAGGCGGTCTAATCCAACATTGAATATAAAAATTTCGAGCCGAGTAACATTCAGCTACAGCCTGTGAAGTGGAATTGGAGTAGCTAGAATGACCCACAAATGCGTCCGCCATCTTTTTCAGCGCTTCTTGTAAAACCTGTTTACAATTAGCCTACTCGTCATGCGAATGATGATTCTTCCAGTGTCCCGGTCCTGGAACTCGAGTTATAGAAGCGAAAGTTCGTCCTTGACTGGCATCGACGATCGAGTCTTGAATTTCGCGCGACCTAAAGACGGTACGAGTGACTTCGTTGACGAGCAAAATCTTTATACACACATAAGATCGTTCCTGGTGCCATGGACAATATGAACCGGTACAACGCCGCAGAGTGTGTTTAGATTTCAAAGCGCTGTGAACAAGGTTTTGGCATCTTTTCAATACATTATATGCGGCATTTTTGTCCACCCATATGGCGCTCAAGGTGACTCCATCAGTCTTGTCGTGGTAGAACGCCGTCGGCAGCGGACGTAGACCGTGGTTCTGGAGAAATGATGAGTGGAGCTACAAGGCAAATCGATGGCCAGATACTCACTACGTAGATATCCAGTCCCTCCGGATCCCAACTTTTCCTGGGAAAATGCTTACCAAGCCAAGCCTTAGCAGCCTCACGGCTAGGCCAAATATCATGACGGTTGTTGATGGCAGCAAACGCCTTGGACACTGCAGTATGATGGGCCTCAGCGGATGGATGATGAATCGGGGTCTCAACGAGGACAAGACTATCGAACATGATATTGCCGGGAGGATTGAAATACGCCAATGCCATCACGTTGTCAACAGGCTACCATTTAGATAAAGTCATGGCTCAAGGTGATAGTCTTTACCAAGCCACAGTACCTGCAGAATAACCAATAAAAACGAATCTGTCCTTTCGACTATACTCCGGATTAGAATCTCCTAGAGGATCACGGAGAAGGATAACCAAGGCCTCAGCGTAGTTGAAAGGGCTCACACAATACCCCTCGGCGTTCTACGAGAATCTTCTCATTGAGGATAGCCACTTCCCCATGATTCTGGCAGTCTACTGTCCAGGCTTCGCGAATAGTATTTTGAGTGTCAAGCTTGAACAGATGGCTTATAGTGGGCTCCTACTGTTCCTTGTCTGAATGATATTCATATTTGTCATATTGTGATCACCGTAAGCTGAACTATGTATTACTCACAGAATCCTACACCGTGCGCAAAAATAAGCACGTAACCTGATTGGGTCTTCTGCAGAGCCGGATTTGTCTTCTTGTAGCGTTTCAGAATTGCCAGAGTGGAACCCCAGTCGTGTTTGTTTGAAGCCATTCTTTGTAGAAGCGCTTATATGGGGAAACTTCTGAGAGCCACCATCACGCGCCAGTAAATCAAACCTTGAACAAGGGAACTACGAGTCACTGAGTTTGGTGGAAGAGGTGAGAATAGGTGTCAGACGCGTAGAAACGGGAAATGCCCGGTTGAGTTCAAACTCAGCTATCGGTACTACATCATCGGGACTGGGAAATTTTGTATTTGGCGTCGAAGCTGATGGCATAGGAACCAAATAATGAACCCATCCTGCTGTACCACCCCCTCGACCACCATTCGCTTTCGTATTTCCTATTGGATGTCCCGAGGACCCATATTCTGCTAGTACACCTGTATTCGGTGTGAAATCTCGCGCTAATTTGCAAATTTCATGTGCGTCCGAAGTTAACAGAAAGCACCCGTCTGACCATTTTTCTTCTTCAGCCGCCCTTCGGCTCGACAATATTTCGCATATTCTACCAGGGTCTGGTACTCTGATAACATTCATTTCTCTCTTTATTATCCATTTTCTGCCATGCAACTCGAAACACGACGACCATCAGGTTCTGACACGTACGACTTGCGCGACCGAATCCATGCTGGCTGACAACGATCACATAGAGGCGCACGCTGAGGCGGCTAATTACATGGATGAAGAAGAACAGCACTCTGTGCTTGAAGACGACTCTGATGGCGAGGAACACTACGAAGACGACGACGTGTCGTCTGATCTGTCCATACCCAATGAAGCCATCGATTTCGATCTCGTATATGCATTCCACAGCTTCGCAGCGACGGTGGAAGGCCAGGCCAACGTCGTCAAGGGTGATAGCCTGTTTTTGATGGACGACAGCAACAGCTACTGGTGGCTGGTCCGTGTCTTGAAAACGCAAGAAGTGGGATACATTCCGGCGGAGAACATTGAGACGCCCTTTGAGAGGCTAGCAAGGCTCAACAAGCATCGTAATGTTGATGTGAGTATGATGAATTCTGCCTTCAGTACTCGTCTTACCAGTACCTTGTAGCTGGCTCAAGCAACCCCAGACGAAGAACTCGGCATGGCTCCCCAGGATCGTATCAATATTGAACCCCAGCAGGGTTCTAGCCAATCTCATTCACCTGTATTCAACACCACCCGTTCTCGCTCTCGTACTCGCAGTGTCTCTTTCCGTGCCGGCTATTATGTTCATCGCTACCCTCCTGCAGTCTGGCACGAAGAAGAGGAAGAGGAAGAGGATGTCGAGTGGGACGATACACCCTATGAAGGAGAAGATGCTGATCTAGCTGAGGAGGAGCATAGGAGAATGATGGGAGAGCATGCGGCGAGAGGAATTCGTATGCCGATGGAACCTGACGACGAAATGCAATGGGAGGATTCTGCCGCAGAGGAGATGAGAGCGCGACAGCTGGCGGCTCGCACAGATGCTCAAGCAGTAAGCCCCAGCGGTGTTGTCTCGACATCCTTGCAACCGGGAAATCTCCAGCAACAGTCTTCTCAACTGCAGCAGCTTCAAACACAGCAAGAACAAGCCACACGGACTCTCAGGTCACCGTCATCCCAGGAGCGTCTCGTTCAAAGTAGTCCTACCAGTTTGAAAAACCTTGATCCGGCCGAAGTCATCGAAACTCGAAAACTCACTGCTACACCTTCTATTGCCCGCGATTCCGATGAAACTTCAAAGCCCACCGGTGGACCAATGCTTCCTAGTGCCGTCATGCAGCAGAGGCAACAGGAGGAGGAAAGGAAGAGACTTCGGGAAGAAGAAGAAGAGGCCGCAAGGAAGAAACAGAAAGGTAAAGAAAGGATGGCACCGCCCATGAGCTCTGCGACTGTCTCCCAGGGGAAACCTTCACCGAATACCACATCTGGCGGCGGCAAATTGCGCAAAGAACGAACCGAGTCGGACGATGACGGGAAGGATAAGAAAAAGAAGGGCAGTATGTTCAGTATCTTTGGGAGGAAGAAGGACAAGAATGGCGGGAGCAGGGACAAGAATAGCCTGTCAAGGTTCAGTCGAAGGAGATGGACGGGCGTCTGAAGATTCAAGCAGATCTGGCCATCGACCCTCCGATTTGGCTGCTCCTCCCGCCACTAGTGCCATTCAGCAGCAGCAGCAGCAGCAGCAACAAGCAACAACAGCAACAGGCGCAACAACAGGCACAGGCGCAAGCAGCCAGGGATGCTGCTGAAACCAAGCGGCAACAACAGGAGCAACATTCGGCGGCAACCAGTTCTCCTCCTCAAGTATCACAGCTACGCCAACGCGATCAGCAGCAACAGGCGTTGTATCTGCAATATCTTAATCGCTCCCCATCTTCTCCGCCGGAAGCTCAGCCTTCTTACGGCCTCCAATCTGCCTCTGCTGTCATGCCACCCAGCTCGTACCACAGTCCCTCAGGGTCTGCTGGCTCTGCATCTGGTTTAGCTCCGCCAACGACGCGTCAACGACCCGGCTCTTTGATTCTTACGGCCTCGTCTATGGACGGTCAAGGCGTTCCCGACCTCAGCGTCATCCGCGTCTTCGCCGGCAAAAATCTCCAAACCGACGCCACTTTCAAAACCGTCCTGCTTAATTCATCCACTACTTCATCTGATCTGGTCAAACAGGCTATGCAGCGATTCAGATTACCTTCCGCTGAGAACGCGCAGGATTATTATCTGACCGTGAAGCAAATCGAAGGTTCGTCAGCGAAATTGCAGGATCAGGAGAAGCCTTTGGGTGTCTTTGAGACGCTCGTGGAGGCTGCGATGGAGATGCCAAAGGTCAAGAGGAGTAGTGTGGGGAGCATCAGCTCGATAACAAGCAATCTTTCGATGCACCCTGCAATCAAGAAACTTGCAATGAACGACTTTACGGATGATTCCGCCGTCAAATTCTATCTCAACAGGGCTGGTGGTGAGGAAGATAGCCTCGAGAACGAGGAAACTTTGCTGGCTGCCGACTCCTCGAACGATTCAGAAGTATTCTCCTCGCCTAAGCAGCAATATCTTACCGTGTCAACTGCTGGACCCAATGTCCCGCCGGAGAGGTTCAGCTCACCGTCGTACCGGTTCGCGTTGCAGCTTGTAATCTACCCTGACGACTTACCGGATGATATGGTGTTCGACCCTCAGACTGAGGCAATTGTGTTCAAGGAGACATTGAACCACCGTTCTCAGTCTGGCTCTGTGGTATCCCCTGGTATCACTCAACATCTGCGTCGCAAGGTCTTCGTGTTCCCGAAGAATGTCACTGTTGCAGAAGTCATTGAGCTTGGCTTGGAGAGGTTTGGTATCCTAGAGGGTGTAGTAGATGGTGGCGATGAGGTTGAGGATAAGTCGACCAAGAGAAGGAGTATTTCTCGTGTTCGCTATGGCCTTAGTGTCGATATTGGCAATCATGGTAAAGTTTCTCATTCGGTTTCATCAGATGGTGTTGAATTAATAATCTTCCAGAACGAGAATTGTCGCCGTCGAGCAGAATCATCGACGCATATCCCCGGCCGCCCAATTACCGTGCAGTGGAGCGCCGTTACCCAGATAACAAACGTCGCTCTATCGATTCGGCCCAGTTGTTGGGTAGCACAGATGACGTCGGAGAGGACGATCCTGTGTTCATCCTTCGCCGCGCGGTTTCCTATCGTACTTCCTCCTCTCGTCATCGGATGTCCGCGCCTCTTGATGAGATTGCACTACGCAATCTTCACCGCGAGTCTGCTTCCAGTGCTGGTTCTGAAGTCCCAACCACTGGCGCACCTTCGGAAGCAGTCAAACCGCTGCAACCTTCTCGTCAGGAGATCATCGAAGCTCAACGGCAAGCCAAACGCGCCAATCAAATGGCCATCGTTTCTGCGCAGACCAATTCCGTTAGGGGATTGGATCTTCTCTTGCCAGGAAACGCTGTCCTTCGTAGCTCTCGATATGATTCCAATGACAGGATGCGCTATTCGTATGTAGAGCCAGATGGTGAAACGTACGACATCAGCGATCTCGTAGAGGAGGAATTAAAGGGGAACGACCGAGCTCACCAGAACGATTTGTTGGAAGGTGTTCTGGACAACAGAGGCAACAAACTGGATCGTGTGTTGAACAAGATCAAGTCCGGAAAGTCTGGGCATCGACGCCAGCTTAGCAGCAGCAATAGCAGGACGCCATCTTTGCGATCGACATCGCCTTCCTCACAATATTCGTTGGACGATAACACTATTGAAGGCATTGCAACTCATTCGCGCTCAACGACGCCTGCTTCAGCGGGTCTAGTCTCGAGAACGCCGATTCCTGCTGTCAATCCATACGGACGTACGTCTCCTGAAGTACGTAGCAGGCCGGGGACAACGACACCCACTGCGAAGCCTACCTCTGCTCCAAATCGCCGGCAACCATCTATTGGTTCTGTAATGTCGGACCTCTCAGGCTACGTTACCGCACCTACTCCGCCTGCAATATACTCTAGATCACCCACTGATAGCGCCCATTCTGGTGGGACGGTACAGAAACCTCGTCCAATTCGTCGACCGTTCCTCCCAAAGGATGACTTTGGGGTGTCCAATATGCTGGCGGTAATAGAGTACAGAGCTTCCAAGTCGGCTGCTCCTCCCCTTCCGGCGTTGGATCCTGTCGACGAGATGCTTTTCGGGCGGCCCGTCGATGCTACTAGTTTACACCCAAAAATTCGGGAAATATATGCGAGTTCTTTCAAACAACTTGCGGAAATGGATAAGGTTCGTTTCTCGAGTATCTGGTGATTGCTGTTGCTCACGTATCCTGTTGTCTAGATTCTTGACGATCTTATGTCCCGGCATCATTGATCTTTTGCTTTCGGTTGTTATCTGTATAGAAGATACCCCTTACGTGTAGGCTATCTTGTGGAGTGTAATACCTATTATTCTTGGCTCTGGACTACTCAAGGTTTCTATATGAGTCGTGATGCACTCAGACGAAAATAGACGCGGCGTTGCGCTCCTGATTTGGTATTCCCGTCCTATGCCCGTTCTGTTTGTCCCATCTGAGGCACGATATCTGATGGTTACTAGGGAACGTGTTGGTACCGATCCTCCTGAACTCATCTTGATTCCGTATTGCCAAGTAAGGCACGGACATGGTCAGTTTGTCCGTCTTATGCGTATAAAAGGGGTACTCACTTATCCAACCTTCATCGATCATGCCTCAGACTATTGAAGCGCAAGCGTTTTTAGAACGTATTACCTCCGGGATCTCTCTTGATGAAGTCTTGAAGCCATCGCTCGACGATGAGGCAGAGCTTCGCCGTCTTTTCGCGACCGACAAAACCAACGAACGGCTCAACAACCCTTGCGTAGGACTCGTGAACGTATTCGATGCGCCGAAAGGCACCATTTCAGTAACGCGTGCAAGAGAAGTCAAGAACGCGGAGGATTTGACGGCAAAGTACATCATGCCACTCACCGAAGAGAATCGTCGACAGAGTGGTGATCCTTACATGGTCCCTGACATGGAGACGTTCAAGAAGAACTGGTCCATCTTTACCGAAGGCTCTCTCTCTCAGCTATTGGATTGGAGCAATGTCGTCGCAGCAGGTGGCTCTGTACTCGCTTCCTTAACACCCCTGCCAGAGTCTGCTACTGTATCCAAGTGTGCTACGAGGAAGTTCTACCATTCTAATGCAGTATCCGACTTCAGATGTGGATCTGTTTCTTTGGGGTGTGACACCCGAGGAGGCCTAAAGCAAAGATCATCAAGATTTATGAAGCAGTGCGGGACTCAGTTCCTTGGGATGTTACATGTATTCGGACGAAGCATACCAGTTTCCATCCATTGTACGTATGCAAGCATTCGTCTCCACCGTATCCTCCTGAATACACCCTCAGCCCAATACCCCTATCGTTCAGGTTCAAATTGTTCTTCGCTTATATAGCTCTCCCTCAGAAATCCTCACTGGATTTGATATTGATGCACCCTGTTGTGCTTATGATGGTAAGGTTTCCAGGTCAGCATTCTGACTTCCAGCTTAAACACCAGTAGGTGAACATGTTTGGGCCAACCCATGGGCAATCATTGCCATGATGTGACAGTGCAATACTGTGGATATGACTGTGACTGATCACCTTTGTATGAGGTTCGCTTGGCTAAATAGTCTAGTCATGATTTCGAGGTATATGTTCCCACTCTCAGGCATGAAGATATTGATCCAACAGTCAGTTTCTTAGTCTTTTACAATACATTTCTATCAGTATTGACAAACTTCCAGATTTTCGAACACTCAATCGCCCGAATACAGGGTCTCACTTGGCTATTGGTGCTTGAAAAGATAAAGGATGGCCAGACCCATGATTCATTCCTCCAATCTCGCCGTTCACTTTGTAGTCATCTGGACGCCAACCAGGGATACTACAGGAGAAAGCGCAAGTACAAGGAGGACCTCAAGAGCGTAGAGACTATTTCAGGACTGGAGAATGATTATGATGTTACCTCCCTGCATATTCCATATGGACCGGGATGGGATGCATGTTGAATTGACAAGCTCGCTTATCAGACAGATTTAGGCATGAACTGTGAGTGCGGAACCTCCACCATTATGAGATCTTACTCACTGGCACTTCAGCTACCTTTAATCCCAAAAATAAAGGAAGGCATCTCCATCGACATGCTGCTTTCTTTGGAACAGTCAATGAATGTCTCAATGACTGCTGTGAGGTGGGGCTCTTTCTGTCTCTGCTTCTACTGGAGTTCACAGTTCCTTAACAGTGCTGCCCCGATCCGATTGACGAGGATGAACGTGCTCTTCGGGAAGAAGAGGACAAGCAATACGTCCGAGGTCGTATTTCGTACGTTTTTTTATCGTTCCTCGCCTCATTACGCTTTATTCAGATTCATTCAGATTTATTGAAGAAGACCCAGGTCGTCAAAGCATGTCGGGAAGTTTTAATCCAATAGACGTAGGCGAATGGAGCGAACAAGTCTACATTGGACCCACTGACAAGTTCTTCGCCGCCATCGCCGCTGGTGACCGAGAAGCTGTTGCAAATCTACTCCAGGAACAAGGAATGGACGTCAACCGCCGAGATCATGTTGGACGCACAGCACTACATGTTGCAATCCTGTGCAAGGCAACTGATATCGCATGTGAACTCATCTCTGCTGGAGCAAGGATGTCCGCTCGATTAGTAGACGGGCGATCTGCTTTACATTTGGCCGCGCAGTACGACCTTCTTCCGGTATTAAAAAAACTGTTGGAATACAGCGCTAAAAATGAGACGGTGGTCAAGGAGGAGGAAGCTGACGAAGCTGTTGCTGCAGAAAGGCCGTCCTCTGAGGACGACTGGACCTCGGAAGACGACGGTGTAGTGTCGCTAGGCGACGAAGATGACGGCGGCGGCGAAGATAGTAATAGCGACAACGAAGACGGGGATAGCGGGGAGGAAGATGGCGACGAAATAGACGAACGTCAAAGTAGCAACCCCGTCAAAGAAGAACTCACGAATGCACTTGAAGAGGAGCAAAATACACCCGACGTCTTAGACGTCAATTCCCCTGACTGGGACTTGGATTTTACCCCTTTGGACTTTGCCATTCTCTTTGCTTCAGCAGATATGGTAGAAGCCCTCTTGGATGCTGGTGCCGACATCGCGAAATCGTCGAAAGCCCAATATCATGGCGCTCCTCCCTTGCATCCCCTCATCCTGACCATCTTGAGGGACGATGAAGACATAGCTTGCAACATTGCGGAGAGATTGCTAAAAGCAGGAGCCGTTTCTTCCACTGTAAATGACGGAATGCGCACCACATTCTATGAGGCCGTTGCTGCTGGAAGAACTAAACTAGTGTCGATCCTTCTTCAATTAGATCCCAAGGCCACCTCCGTCTTGAACTTCCCTTTCATTCAGTGGAATCAGGTTAAATTCCCGCTCTCAATTGTCCTTTCCCATAAAGACTATGCTACCTTGGCAGTTCTTCTTGCCCACGAAGCGAAGTTCAACTTCGCCGAAGAAGATATTTCTCAAGCGCAACTAGCGTTATCGTAAGTACTTTCTTTCTGAAAGCCAAGTAGATTCATTGGCTTACCATTAGTCTCAGACAAACAACTCGTCGACGAATATACAGCGCCGCCGAGACCTTCAAGAATGTCGTGGCACCAATCGAAATTGCACTGGCTGAGCGCGACGATATTCTTAAGTTTCTCATTGCCAGTTGGAGCTGAAGTGAACATTGGTACGAAACTGTTCTATCCAGCGTTACACGCAAGACAAGTACAGCCTGTTGGATTGGGTCCGTTTCGGGCAATCGTGGTTGAGCAAACAAATCCAAGCCATCGATGAATCAAATGAGGTGTCTGCTCAAGCTGAGACTCACAAAACTTGGTGCGGGTTCCGCGACCAACTGTTCGCGGACTTGAAACAGGCCGCTGTTGGATCCCATAGGAAGGATGGACGCGATGAAGAACGCTTTAACTACCTCAATGCCAAAGGTTATCTCGTTGACACGGAGTCCTTCTTGTTGTCTAGAGGTGCTAAGACCTGGAACGAGATATTTCCGAACAAGCCAATTACGAACAAAGACTCCGACTCAGATTCCTCGGAAAACTCAGCAGATAAAGAAAGATACTGCGAGTTATTAGCTACCTATTACCGACATGACTACATACCTGCAAGTTTGAATGCCTCGTATGATGATCTTTACGAGGCTTGCTTCAAAGGGGACAATGACAAAATACTGCAGCTCTGTCTACCCCCAGAAGGTTCTGAAATCACAAGCACGCTTCTTTCTATGTCTGTTTATGTCGTCAACCCAACGTCAAAATGGTCGGCTACTGGTGCACTTGACTAGCCTCTTTTTGTTTCTATCAGCTAACCAATAGCAGGATACACTCCCCTGTTTTCCGCCGTTATGGGACGCCATTGGGATACTGTTCAGCTAGTATACTCCATCGTTGGTGCCCAGTATCAGCCAAAAGAGAAAACGAAGAAGTTCAAGCCTCAAAGGATCGCCCTAGGTAACGTTCCTTTCTATGCTATTCTAGCTGATAACATCTAACGTTCAATTCCTTCAGAGGATGATGACTCTGATGTAGACTCTGATTATTCCGACGATACTGTTGATCAGGATGAGCCCATATTCATCGACGTCGCATCTCGACCCTCTGTTATCAAAAGCGAGATTTCACAAAAGGTGTTTTTAGAAACATCTGCAGAGCTTCCTCCAAACAGAGACGATAGCACATAATCAAATGGTCACAAAACACTCGTTGCATGGGCCATTGCAACAGACGACATGGAGGCTTTCACCCATTTCACGAAACTATACAGACTTGCGAAGGACGAGCCAATTGATGTCTATGACCGCATCCTGACCGAAATCGTCCAGTGTGATCAGTCCAGACATGCTCGATATGTGTATCCGTCGGAGTGGTCAAGGCATCTCTTTCGTTTCAGCTCATAGCGAGGAGGAGGAAGGATGTCATCGTATCGTAAACTGACAAGACTCGCGTCTACCTGGGCCTCAACGTTCATGGAAAGAAGAGGAAGGACCTTCGCTGAGGAAAGGCGATCCCAATGCTGTTGGACAAGAGGAAGACCTTATGCCCCTCCTTTGGTGGGCAGGCGTTGGCTGGCCACTGAAAGTGGTACAGTATCTAGGTAGCGATCGACCACTGGAAGCATACAAGTTTTATTCGATCAGTCATAACGATGAAAAGGCGATCAAGATCCGGCGCACACCGAACCTGGAGAATGTTCTTTACGAGTGGCTGGGATGGAAAACAAATGTGTTGGGCGAGTCACCGCTGACCGCTGCCATCCTCAGCAACAAGATTGAAATGATGAAGACGATGTTTGATTTGAAGTCCAAGCGTTTGGTAAAGTCTGTCGTTCAGGACAAGTAGGTATTTTTTCCGTTCAATAGCACAAAAAGACTGACAATCTTTCCATTTCTAGAATCAAGTTTACTGGATTCAATTTGTTGATGCTCGCTCTGGAAACGCGCTGTGGGGCAGATGTAGTTGATCTGTTGCTAGCCAGAGGGGTTGATCCTGTAGGCACTGATCAAATCCGGGCGTACGTGATCTTACCTTGAGCAATATGGATTGGCACCTTACGTCGACTTAAAGGTGGAACATATTCCATATTATGGCTTGAGCATCTCCTGAAGAAGCTGCCTCGCAACATTGTTGAGATGCTCTTGTGTCAGACGTCGAAGAAACGCGGAGACACGGTGAGTTTGTTCTATTTATGTAACGTCAGTCTTGACCACGATCACAGCCGCTCCATATAGCGATTAAGGGAGGATGCAAGAGAATCATTAAGCTTTTCGTCGACTATACAGCAGCTAACATTCTCCACCGTGACATTGACGGCATCAACCCACTCCACACCGTAGTGAAGGCTGGTTTTCCAGGAATTGCAAAACTAATCATCGAGGCGTCTCCTGACGAGGCCCTTTACACTGAAAACGGCGTTGGAGAGACTCCTCTTGAAATCGCTTCATTGGAATACCTCGCCTGGAAGATGACATATAATGGGAATCAATGTTCAGTCGCTAGTCCCGAACTAGGCGACAATGTAGACATGGTCCTGCGTCGCGTACCTGCCACACTTGCCGAGGACCTGCTTAAATTACGCTCGACGATGGCGGACCTTGTGCTAACAGGGAAGCTAACGCCCGGCACGTTATTGGCTGATGAACTCGACAAATTTGCCTCTCTCTTGGAGACGAAGCTGATGGAAGTTTCCAAGACTGCAAAAAAGACGGAAGACGACATTAACCAAGTCGAAGGCATTGATAGATATGCGACCTTTGAAAAGGTCATAGCGGCTGTGATAAAGCGGCCTGGAAAGCGCAAGCTCGTGCATCTCCTTGACGTTCAGAGGTCTGTGCAAAGTAGCCTTGCTAAATCCAGGAAACTGGATGAGGTTTCGCAATCGCTTCGTGGTGTAGACGAATTGGAACCTGAGGTAGATACAGCGCGAAACGAGCGGAAGAACAGCCTGGTCATGAGAGTGTTGGGATGGAATGTGGAGCAGCGGGACTGGGAAGATTAAGGTTTAGACATCAATGTTCTGACATTCTATTACTAAATACAACGGCTGTTCCATTTCCAGCAAAGAAGAAAAAATCGTTCCGGATTTTGCCTGTTCTATATCCCGACTTTTTCCAGTGGCGTGATGTCCTGACTGGGGAACTGACCCGAGCCTTCGCGTCTTTTTTTTCGGGAAATATGCCATCTAATAGGGAGAGTCCTGAGGCCAGCGCAGCAGCAGATGATAAAAACATTCATGAACAAGGTGCGCCAGCATTTTTCCCTTCTGCTGGCTGTGTCATCACTGTCATGTAAATATGGAATCCATAGGGATGGAGCCTAGGCAGGAAGAAAACGAGAGAACGAGTTTGAAGAGAGTAAGGACGAGAAACTCGACAACAAAGTCTCTCGACAAAGACGAGAAAAAGAAAAGGAAGACACGAAAAAGAGATTTGAGCCTTTTACCTATGATGCCACTCGACATTTTATTCACGGTAAGTCTAATCCTTCCTTGCCATCTCCAACTAACTTGAAATCTTCGCAGATCTGCAGTGTGCTTACTCCTCGCGACCTCATCAACTTATCGCGAGTTGACAGAAACTTTTGTCACACATTGACAGCTCACAATGTGTCATTCGTTTGGAAGGCGGTGAGGGAAGCTGAAAAAGGAATCGAACCGCCGCGTGGGGTTTCTGAATACCGATGGGTAGTTCTCTTGTTTGGGATTTCAGCGTGCGATGTATGTCATGGTTTTATTTCTTACACGGAGTCTCAACTGGTTCGCGCCCATCAGCTCTGCAACGCAAAGAATATACCTGTGGGCTGGAAGTATTGTCGTCGCATTTGCAGGTACTGCCTCAAGTCGCAGTTACTTTGTTCTCCTTCGTAGCCCACTATACACTGGCAGAGCTAATCAATTCTTAGCTCGATTTGCACGAGCAAGGTTGCCAAGAAATTTCCTGGTATCGATGCCGCCATTCTGGATATGGTTCCTGTCACCTATCGTAAAGTCATTGTCTATTCTCCACCTGATTAGTATTGAATTTAGTCTGATAGCGTCTTATGGCTCGCTCCCTTACTATTGGATCCCAGCTATCCAAGAGATTCAAGAGAAAATTCGAAACATTGAAGCAACTGGCAAACCTGGAGCCTCCGACCGTGTAGCTGAGTTTTGCAAAGAACGGAAGCAAGAGTTCGAAGATATGCTGGAGGTATGTGCCTGAGACTGAGTTTCTCCCTTATCTGACTTGCTCTTCTCCAGGACAACAGTCGATGTGAGAGTTGGGCTCGCCGTTATGTCCGAAAGCAAACTGAAGAATCGATGCAACTGAAAGAGAAGAGTTTTTTTTTGTATCCTAAGTCGTACTTTGTGTACCGTATCCTGCACGTAAACATATGTCCGGATATCCCATTCTTCTTTGTCCCTGCTTCGTATTTCCTTCTGCTTGAGTTGAACCTCAACTAGCGAACGTAATATCATTCCTTGCAGGTTTTACCTGCGTCCATCTGATCTCGGCTTGCGGGGATGGATGTTGGTCGCTTTTTCCCCTTTTTGTCATCATCCTCTTGTTCCTTTCCATCATGGTCTATCATCATCTGCTTAGGGCTTCGCACCGTACCGTATACGGTATACGGCCGTATAGCCACGGTACAGTGACGGGCGACGGCTGATCCGTAACCGTACCGTCAATGCTCTTAGAACTAGGTTGACGGTACGGTACGGGTATATAGACGGCCGTGCCGGTCATCAATACGGCCGTTGAATAATACATACCTGATATTTGGGGCTTCGGAGCAGCTCCAGGTCCTGCCATGGGCACATCGTCATCTGCATCGTGATAAAAATTGAATTTCGAGGGGGATTTCAAGTTTCCATTGGCATCGAGGGCACACTGATCTGTCATGATGCTCAGAATGTGGTTGTAAGTCTGCGAAAAAAGGACCATTATATACTCTTTCGTGAACTCCTCTGGCTTAAAATTCAGCAGTATTTGACAGGTGCACAGGCCAGCGAGGGGCAAATTATTGCGCAATATGTGTGGGTAGTCAAACTCAAAAGGATGAAACAGTAGTAGAATAGAGGCAGCAGAAGCAGGAAATAGAAGGTATTCTATGCTGGTAAGGGTTAGAGCTTGAGTAGAGCGAGTGAAAGAAGATCGGGTGGTAGCGCTGAAGAGCTTGCAGTGCCAGCACATCGTGGTACGATGTTAAGTGTATGGCAAACACGCGTACAGTGTGATCTGATGATGGTTATTTTTAGATACATACACGGCCGTCGATTACCGTATGACAGCCGTGTTTATACGGTTGCTAACGGTATACGGGATGTCCGTATACCGTCCGTCTCTGGGCAAGTTATTTTGGCAGATGGAACGGGCACGGTACCCGTATGATGGCACCCGTATAACCGTACTATACGGTGATGGTGCGAAGCCCTACATCCGCTATCTCTACCTCTGGGAACCTCCCGAATACTTGTTCGAATTGCCTTGTATCGTTGAGATAGTTAATGAGGTGTGGTAGGTTCGCCCTCTTTGTCAGGATGTGCCTTATTGACAGTCTTGTTGGTGAGACTCCGATTGCCCTTGCTAATGTTTCGCGCTGATTGCTGTAACCAGGGCATCACATTAAGTAGTGATGGACCGACTCGTTGGGGTATGAACATCTTGGGCATGCAGGAGAGTCGACGCGATGAATGTTGAATAGATGGCGGTGGAGTCCGATGTGTCCGGTACGCAGTTGCATCAATATACTGGTGATTTTTCGTGGTAGGGAGGTGGCCAGGCTCCTGTACCGACATGCAACTTGCTGGGCAGGCACTGGATTGATTTTCCGAAACCTGGAGTAGCGGAATGACTTCCTCCAGGCTCGGTCAGCTTTGACTTTCTGCCATGCATAGAATTCCCGGAGTATCGACGTTTTGTTGTGAGGTATCGGTTTGCGGAGTGGTGCTGGTAGATCTTTTGCTTCACTTCTGTTGCCTCGTGCCACCGCCTTCGCCTCTTCATCTGCCGCTTCGTTCCCTGCAATCCCTTGATGTCCAGGTACCCATTGAATCTTGAGCGTCATGTCTGGATGGCGCCGTAGGACTATATCGACTCGTTTATGGAATAGGTCAAGGATGTGGTGTGATGGTGCTGGTCTTGCTAGCTTGGTCGCCAAGATCGCCGCTGTGTTGTCGATGCTGATGCTTGTGCTGTTGACATTCCTCATGCTCCGTAGCGGTTCGAGGCATAGCGTAAGTGCTAATCCTTCTCCATCATACACCTCGTGTTCCTTTGCTGTTCCCACTTTCAGCCTCACCATCTTTTCTCTCTGCCCATTCCTATACACCACTGCTGCTGCTCCTATGCTGCCATTGATTCCCGAACCATCTCCATATGCCTGTACTTCGCTATCATCATTTCTGTCCATCGCCATTGCCTCTTGCATTGATTACGCCATTTCCACCTTTATTCTTGATTCCCAATTCGGTGGATATCGAACTGCCTGAATGGTCTCCATATTGTCTGGCTGTATGCCAAACTCCCTCATCAGCTCGTGAATTGGACTTCTGTGTCTTTTTGTCCTCCTTTTTGCTGCTCTGCATACCGTCTTGTGGAGCGGATGTCCCAGTGGTAAGCAGGCCATACATGCCAGTGCTCTGTGTCGATATACGTCGACCTGTCCCTGCATAGGTAGCAAGTTGGCATGTATATCTAGAGTGTCGCCTGCTGTTGTGCAAATAGCCCCCATGATCAAAATTGCCGCTTTCCTCTGGATCGTTGCCAAGCTGTTTACTGTCTTGATGCTGCTTTTGCCATCTTTCCTCTTCCTCGTTGCTTTTATCTGTGGGTTCAAGAATATGTCAGCAGCATATAGGATACGTGGGATCGCTATTGCGATATAGGTTAGCCTCATGCATTCTCTGGATACTCCTGAGCTAACTCTTGCAAGTCGCCGGAATTGCACAATCCAATCATCCCCTTTTTCGATCGCCACTGCTCCTTGCTCCTTCCATCGCAGTCCTGCATCAATGTGCACTCCTAGAAATTTTGCTGATGGTTGTGGGTGTATCAGATGTTGACCGATTTGTATTGGGCCTCCCATGTCTGGTTCACGCTGTCCGCCAGGTATCCCTGGTGTTGTGGTATTTCGGGTTTTTCTTGTGAAGTCAACTAGCTGAAACTTCGCTACTCCATATTCACAGTTGTGCTCCTTCGCCCAGTCGAGTACTCTGTCGTTTCATTCCATGATGTTCTTGATTGCCTGATGGGTCTCCTGAAACGTCTTGCCATATATGAGGATTGCTTTGTCATCTATAAATAGAAAGCATTGTTCGCTATCCTGGAGCCTTTGCAGGACGCTTGAGTTGTATATGATGTATAGCACCTGTGAGAGTGGGTCTCCCTGATCTAGCCCATTAGTCACATTGAAGATGGCTGACTTGAAGTCGTCAAAGCTCAGGACTGTTCTCCTTCCGGCTAGTCTCCATCGCAGCCATTCTGTGTATTGCGCTGGTATTCCCAGCATCAACATCTCGTGGAGAAGCATATCCACATCCACGCTGGGGAATGCCCCTTTGACATCGAGGAATAGAACGGATACTACTACGTTACCTTTCCTCCATTGGTCTTTGATATTGGATACCATTAGGTGAATGGAGTCAGTAGTGCATCTACCGGGGCGTCCTCCAAAGTGTCGGTCAGGTAGGATGCCCTTATATTCACACCATCCTACAAGGTCCTGGTTCATCGTTGCGTGAAGACCTCACCCCCACCCATTCAATAGTATGATGGGCCTATACGCATTGGGATCCTCAGTCTGGTTTTCCCGGTTTGCGCAAGATGATTGTGTTTGTTTCGCTGAACATGTCTGGGTATTCCTCCAATGTGAATGTTGCTCGATATACTGGTCCTATATGTGGAGCGAGTAGGTCAGCGCAATGGTTTAGTATGCAGTTAGGTACTGTTCCAGATTTTGTCGCCTTGAGCGGTTTCATACGGCGGAAGGCTCGTTCTATCTGCCCATCTGTGATGAGCTGGAATTCCCATGCTGGTGGAGGGTATTGAATGTTGCTTGGCACTGCCGACGTTGTAGGCTTGGGTGGGAAGAAGGCTGCTTGAAAGATGCTTCCCTTCTCCTTGTTATCTCGTATCCTCTTCGGGTGTTGTCCTGCTGCCTTTACCGTGAGATCTGGGACTCTCGTTCTTCCCCCATCTGATGTTGGTTGGGATATAAATTGACTGATCTCCCAGATGTTACCTGATCCCGCATTCTCCAGCCATGCCATCCAGCATGCTGTTTTTGCCACCTCAATGGCCATGGTATATTGATTGCGTAGCCTTCATCGTTCCTCATGAATTGGATGTTCTGGTACCGATCTGAATCCGTATGCTTTTTTCTGCACCCTGCGTAGCTGTTGGTGTAGTTCTGTGAGTTCTCCATTCCACCATCGTTTCATATATGGACTCGGTTTGGTCCATGGAATGCATGCGTCAATCACGTCTTGGACTGCATCATTGATGTTCTTGAGTGTGGTGTGCATTTGTTCGCTGTTCGTGATTTCGCATGGGATGGGGAGTGTATCGAGTTGATCTCGGAGGGTATTGTAGAATTTTTCCCAGTCTACCTTGCAGAAATTTCACCGTGGTTCAAAATCGTTGTGTAGTGGGGAGATGTCGATGATGGAGATGATTGGAAAATGGTCTGTTCGTGGTGGTTGAGCTGCGTGATCGACTGTGCATTTGATGAAACTTGACAGTAGCTTGTCTGAGCAGAAAACGTTATCGACCCAGGTATAGTTACCTGTCGAGAATGCTCGTAGTGTTGGTATATACACTGACTGACAAAAATAAAGAAACACGTGGTTTTTTTGATTGGAGTCGCAATAGCTCCTCAACGCTGCAATATTTTTTCAGACTTTCAGTGAGAGAAATGTAGCTTAATTGATGTAGTTTATTGTTAGAAAAAGAATGAGGTACATACATGAAAAAAATGATGAGATATAAATATGTTAGCCGAGAGTGTCATTTTTAGCAGTGTAAGTAAAATGAGAAAACAAGATAATTGACCTGACGAAAAGTCCAACAACCTAATATCTAGTATGCCTGCCCTTTGCCAATATCAAGGACCTCACCCGTGATGGGATACTATCATATAACGCATTGCAATACTCTTTTCCAAGTGCAGCCCACTCCTCCTGCAGAATGGCAAATAATGCGGCAGTCGTTGTCGGGTGACGTGGTCTGTTGTTCAGACGATGTTCAAGAGTAGCCCAAGCATTCTCTATGATGTTTTGGTTGGGGCTGTTTGGTGGCCAGTCCATTACAGAGATGTTTTGGTTGGTGAGCCACTTTTTCATAAGCCGAGCTGTGTGCTTGGGGTCATTATCCTGCTGAAAAAGGACATCGTCGACTGAGAGTTCATAGTCCTGGAGGGTGCCGAGAAGTCCTTCATTAAGTATCTGGCAGTACTGGACAGCATTCATAGTGCCTTCCACCAAAATCAGCCGTCCGAAGCCCAAACTCGTCATGCATCCCCAGACCATCACCCCCCCGCCTCCATGCTTCAACCGGGGCAACACGTTATGCACATCTAGTGCCTCACCAGGACCCCTACGACACCACTGCACTCCGTCTGACCCAAAGAAGTTGAATTTGGACTCATCTGAGTAGAGCACAGTATCCCATTTTTCTGCTCCCCATTCTGCATGTGCCTCTGCCCACACCCTTCGCTTTCTAACATGAGCCTTTGTGAGCATTGGTACCTTCCACCTCTTGTAACCCTTCAGGCCCTCATCTGAAAGCCTGCGCTGCACAGTGCGCTCCGAAAGATGGTCGAAATACCCCCGTTGAATGTCGACCGCTGTCCGGCAGTCGTGACTATGGATTTTTCGCACGGCAAATTTAATATCTGCATCATCCATCTTGCGTGGGCGGTCTCGCCCTTTGATGCGAGCATAGTAGTTCTCCTTCCCTTCATATTTGTGGCCAGTTTTGCAGATGGTAGAGCGTGAACATCCAATGACATTGCTGATTTCAGTGCAGGTGTGGCCTTCATTGAGGAGAGTGCAAATACAGGCTTCTTTCGTAGGGGTAATAGGCACATTTGGTTTGCAAGGAGGAGGTGAATACATGATAGGAATTTCAGTGCAATCGGCCCAGGTGGTGGTTCAGATTCAAGTTGGTTCCGACGTTGATGTGATGCCATTACATCATCAAAATTGGCATGTGGTTTCACAGCCCTCTTACTTTGCTCACTGACTGGTATTTTTGCCTCATTCTTTTCATAATATTAAACTACAGATATCAAGCTACATTACACTCACTGGAAGTCCAAAAAAATATCGCAGCATTGAGGAGCTATTGCGACTCCGATCAAAAAAACCATGTGTTTCTTTATTTTTGTCGGTCAGTGTATGCTGGTAATGCCATCTTCAGTTGGTGCTTTCCTACAATCATTAGTAGGTGTTCTGCTCTTTCGAGCGCTTGATCTGTAAATAGATGTGAGTTGCGTGGTTCATCCCAGAGTGGATGGTGTGCATTCCAGTCTCCTGCAGCATATGATGCGGTAGTGGTTTCCCCCGCATATCTCGTCGGCATGCTTTGTATGTGCACATGAGCTTGTCTATGAGATCCCATGCTGCCACAGAGCCACCATCACTGTATATATTGATGATTACCATGGTTTCTTCTGGTGATCTGTAATTCGATAGCAATAGCATCCTGAGTGTCCAGTGGGATGCTGGACCAGGCATTGGTGGTGATTGATCTGTTGACAAGGATGACTACTCTTGTCTTGGTCGGGTCGCAACTGTGGTTAGTTGGGTATACTGTTATCCATCCCTGGGTTGCTCTGGATTTCCCAGTGTTTGCCGATATATGGTTCTTGTATGAGGACAAGGTCAGTCCTTCTTGTCTACTTGATTGATGAGACAGGAGTGGGCCGACAGTGACTTGTTCACATTGAGCTGGTATATTCGTAGCTTTGCATCCATTCTGATATCTGTGGTGGTGTCAGTCATAGGTCTACCAGTGGGGAGCTGCCCAGTTGGGCTCTATTATCGTCATCCATAATTTCCTTCTCGAGGTTGGCCTCATCATCGCTTGCATAGGATCTTGCTTGCAATGGGGCTCTACTGGTTGTTTGCTGACTCGCCATCATGTATTGATGAAGGGATGCTTGCTGGTATCTGTTACTCTCTAGTGGTGTCTGGTTAGGGTTATACCTTTTGCTTTGGGCTTGTTTTGTGCTACTGCCGTTTCGTCGATCCCTAGTTGGATGAGATGAGACCATGACACTGCCAAGAGATGTGGTTGTGGCCCCACTCTGCGTGTTTGGCTTCCCCATGCTCTTTGTTACATTCTTTTGCGGCCTGGAGTCCTCAGTGCGCTGTTGTACATCATTGGAAGCCCATGTGCATGGGTTCTCAGTCACGAAGTATCTGTATCATGACTCAGGGTACCGGCTTCGTATTAGGTCTGTGGCTCTAATGAAAGATGGGCAGTTAATCCGGTCTATGGCCCCATGGCCATTCACTTTGCAGTTAACACAATGAAACTTTTTGCAGTCAGAGACTGTACAGTCTTTGGTAGCATGTCCTCCAGCACATTGCCCACATTTTGTTGTGTTTGGGCAGTCTCGTGCATCATGATTGCACGGTAACATAGAGCAGTTCACGCACCTGGTTGCATCTGGTAATTCCTTCCTAGCTTGGAGTTCCTTCCCTTCGATGAAGATGCCCCCACGGATGGCTATGTTGGCTTGTTCTCGTGAATCAAACCCTATCATGATGTGGGCTTCCCTCTGCCCTTCGTGATGATGCTCTGCTGGCTTAAGAAATCTTATGCCTCGATTAGTGCCTGCCTTGAGTCCCGAACTTTCTTTGATGCTTTGCCAAGTCACTGTGTCCCCGATATCAATTGTTGTTGGTGCAAATGGCACAATCATGTTGTGCAGCTGTAGGCTGGCCACTGTCTCCAGTCCAGCTGCCTGTTGAACAGCTTTGATGGTGTTGGGTTCACGTAGCCATGCTGCCGCTTTGTCGGTGTTGAAGGTATATGCAATGCCGCCGTTCACCAGCTTCTGTGCTCCCACCACCTTGTACTCTTCTGGTATACAGATTGGTGTTCCAGTTTCTCCTGCAGATGCTGTGAGTAATGCTTCATTCATCCGTTCCACCATCTCCTTCTCTGTTGTCTCCTTCATCCTGTTCCTCGCTACATCACTTGTCGGTTTGATTATGACACGCCGGTTTGCAATTCTGGCCTTCGCGATGGTGTCGGCATGCTTGGGATCCATTCTTGGGCCTTGTAGTCTGCCGGTGGCCTCAGCATATGAGAGTTGGTGAGGCTGGGTGTTCGTTGAGTTGTTACTAGGAGACATTGATTCCTTGCTATTGCGGATGTCGTTGATGGCTGCTTGTATGGTGGTCATGTCCCTTTTGATGTCTTGGATGCTCCCTGTAGTGTTTAGTTCATTCGATGTGTTTAGTTCAGCTGTTTTTCTTATTGCATTCACTGATTCTTGCAAGCTGCGAAAATTTTCGCTCATGAGGTGCGCAAGTGCTGTCGCATCTTGTATTGCCCTGTATTCCCCAATGTCCATCCATGCCTCCATCATATCTACTAAATTAACCATGGTGCAGTACTGCTTCTCGTTGACCGTCTTCTTTGGCCTCAGTTCTTCCACGACAATGTGTTGCAAGACAGCTGTGATGTCAGATATGGCACTCACCGACGTGCCATCTATTCGTACTGTTGTGGTTTTCCCATAGTCTTTGATTACTTTTTCCGCCGCTGTCTCGAACCTCTTTGTGTGTCCGCATTGAGCTTCTGTGTTGCGCATCGATGTTGGCATGTGGTTATGTGTGGTTCCGGGTGTTCCGGGTGGTTCCGCTGGTGCAGACATTGTTGATTTTGTTGATTTTTTTTTTCTTGCTGGCGATGATACAGAAAGTATATACGCGTATTCTATCCTTGCTAGCCCTTCCGATTCCCTTCGAGCGGTGTTAGTGAACCATGGGAAAAATCAGATGTGGTGGCAGTAACAGATCAAGAGGCGTCCAAGAGAAGAGATTTTCAAAGTAGGTTTACTCAATCGTGAAGATACTGTTCCTTTTAAAGCCCTCCAACATAGGATAAAAGAGCATCTTCTAGAGTTGGGCTATACCGAGCAAGACGTTAGAGGTATTAAATATAATCAATCTGCGGACCGAGACAATGAGCTCACCTCAAGAGGTATGCGCGTTTCTTGACACCTATAGCACCTGTTCTCAATGACGTTTCAATAGGTTGGAACATGATACGCTCAGGTCTCGAGGCAAAAATTCAGCAAAATTGCGTTCAGCAAGCCAAAGTGGAATGTAGAGCAACCCTATATAAGCGTGCTAACATTGTTAAAGGTCTCCTCAAAACATACAAGCAAAACTTTCTGCCTATAATTTGGCAGGATATGCCTCCATATATAGATGTTTGCATGTTCCCCATGTTCAAGGCGATCTTGAACCATCCCACGGAGGACAATGTCATGGAGGACAGTTTCGCTGATGCCATGAATGAGCTCCCAGATCTCATTGCTGATTGGCAGCAGCGCAGGGAGGCTGATTTATGGACAGCAGTCACGACACATTTTCAGCCTGCAGACGGCATTGATCCCTTGAAGCTAGCAATAGCAGTCTTCTCCTGCAAAAGCAAAGAGTGTCCCGGCCACTTCACGAACACAGATATCTGGCAGCACCAGTGTCCTTCTCATGGTTCATCGAATAATACATGGTATTCCAGTGTCTCAGAGATCCAGAACGCCAGTGATCTGTATAAGAATTTGGGGTACTGGGAACTCTCCTTTGATACTATGCGATCTGCCAAAGTTGCTGATGTAGTATGCCTTGCCTCCCGTGACCCAGCCACAACTACTGCGGAGGAGATGGATGTCTTGGATTTCCGATTCGTCACTCTAGACTGCCGTGTTCAAGAGTATGCTTCAGTCGGGGGAAATGTCACTTTGCATGGGCGTCCTGTCCTTTCATGGCGTGAATGCATGAGTGTCTATGCTTGATTTGGTTCTAAGGGTGCTGATCAGAGCTACTATTCAAGGCCTGGGGCCTGGGTGAAGTTCATTTACTCATGCCGGAGGACAAAGCCAAGAAGCAACATGTTCTCCGAAGACCGTGGAGGCAGAAATATAGTGTTTTTTGCTGTCAGCATTGTTCGGATAATCTCGACAATCCAAAGTCATATGAGGAGGTTACTGGGCATGCTCGAGACATGTACGTATCCTTTCAATCCTCATCTTTTCCATTCTACTCCTTACAGAATGTCTTAGGCATGGTATCGACACTCCCAAGATTAACCACGACTTGTTCCTGACTCCTGGTGCAGAGCTGCTCGAGGAGCTGCCATTGTACATACTGGAATTTGAAAAGCCAAGAACTTCTTGGCCATCGTACTTCAATTACTAATATTCAAAGTAGATGTTCCTGTGTAGATTTCAAGCAGTACTTTCCGTAGCTTGGAAGTTGAGATGAGATATAAGTGAGATATTTATACTAGTATGAATTTCGTAAAGCTGCGCGAAAGGCAACACCCAGTGCACCATTTTCTTTGTTGTCCCTTTTGTTATCCTACTTCCTCCGCTAATACAGCTTTGGAGTCTACGAGACTATTCCTTGTTCCTGAAGAGCATCTCAGCTGGCTTATCATTTCATATTTCATGGCCGAAGCGTCAACAAGAGAAAGGTCGTGATAGTCCAGAAAGAGAGCAAAGTAAATATTAAAATAATTGATGACTAATCATTGGTAATGTGACTTGTTTACTCATATGGGTCCAAACTTCTAAGTTCTTGATTTATCACTGAACCCCCCGGCACAGTCATTGGTCAGGACACATTTTTTCTTTGCCAAGGGGGTCCTAATAATGAATTAAAAGACAGTGGGTCGATTAAATAATTTCGTGCACCGACGATGGACCTACCTACCTTCACGTGACATTTATGATGTCATTATGCTAAATTTGGGTATCTTTCGACTCAATTTGGTGAATATTTTGCCTGAAATAGCCGTGATATTAATATTGAAAGTGTTTTGAACATAATCTGTACGCTATCAAGTCTAAATCATGGCTGTGCTCTAATGGGATGTCATAATGTCACCATGTCCAGTCAGCAGGGCCACTTTGCAATGGCATTGACTGAGTGTTGGTATCGCTAGGTATGATGCCCTAAGGTAAGTAGCACACTCAGTAGCATATATTGTATCATGTATGCTCTAAAATTTACCCTTGAAGTCCATTTTTAGACCCCCAAAGTGGTGGTCAACTTTTTTTTTTCGTGACATCCGGCTGGACCTACCTACCTACCCGGTGTGCCGGGCCGGAATTCCGGTACCCCCTTGTTCTTTGCACCCATCGATATCCAATGCGCATTCCACAAGAAAAGTATGCAAGATGCTACATGTATACTGTTGGAAAATGGGGTATCGGTTCGTTCCCAGTGTCACATGCATGGTAGCAAGCCAATAGTATTGCGCTTGGCTGAGCTCTGCAAATGCATGAGGATCTACCCTAAAGTACCTACTTTTATACTAAACGTACTTTTACTAGAATGTTCCATGCTTTTTCTATGACTTCTACCTTAATAAGCAAACTCCGCATGATGCCGGATTGCCAAATCCCAACATATACTTACCTCGTGGCTAAACACAAATCGCTAGGATGACCCCTATCTCTATCCATGCTGAAGCGTCCAATAAACATACTTCGGTCGGTCTTAATGGAGAAGTCTATGTTGACTTAACCTTTGCCTCAGAGCCACTTGGCCTGCCAGGTCAGGAAGGCTACGGCTGGCCTCAGCTTGACTTCGATGAAGCTATTGGCCCAGAAAACCGTTATGTTATTTGCAGAAAACTTGGCTGGGGCATGTCTTCAAGTACATGGCTTGCCCGAGACAAAATGTATGTGTTTAAAGTTACTAGCAGGCTGTAGGTTCCTCGATAAAAATTTGACATACATATTTCTATCCTCTAGGGATAACTCCTATGTTGCCCTCAAAATCCTTAATGGCTTTCACACCGAACTTGTCGAACGCGGCCGCGTTTGGGAACTTGAAGCTCTGCAGCGGATATCATCATCCCCGTTGATGCATTGTCTGCAGCTCATGTCGCACTTCACCCTTCCCGGAAAGGGCACTGCAGGACAACACCTCTGCCTAGTCACCAAAGTTCTCGGTGGGGATGTAAAGTCGCTGTTCGAAAAGCATGGTATCTTTCCTTTCCCTCTCGCTAAACGCATCATTCTACACTTGCTTCGCGGAATTGCCCATGCACACAGCCGCGGTGTCATGCACACCGATCTGAAGCACAACAACATTTTTTTCGATACTCCAATATCCATGGATGACTTTGACAAGCTTCTCATGTCTGACCCGCCTCGTCGACATGTACCCGAAGCTTCTCACGATGGATTGGTAGAGGCCACTGTCTCACAGCCGCTTCCTATCCCTACTCTGCAAGAGGCCATGCAGCGAACTTTTGTAGTTGCCGACTTTGGCCACGGTAAGTCCAAAAATACCTATGTCGCTTCCTAGTCATTTCTCAGTTATTCTTACAGCCCAGCTCATCGAAAACCACACTGAAAATAAAATTTCCCCTCCGCTGCTTTGTCCTCCTGAAATAATCATTGGAGGACCATGGGTAAGGCTTCGCACCATTACCGTATAGTACGGTTATACGGGTGCCGTTGTATGGGTACCATACCCGTTCCGTCTGGCGAAATAATTTGCCCAGAGACGGACGGTATACGGACATCCCGTATCCTGTTAGCAACTGTATAAACACGGCCATCATACGGTAATCGACGGCCATGTATGTATCTAAAAATAACCGTCATCAGATCACGCTGCACGCGTGGTTGCCATACACTTAACATTGTACCACGATGTGCTGGCACCGCAAGCTCTTCAATGCTACCACCCGATCTTTTTTCACTCGCTCTACTCAAGCTCTAATCCTTACCAGCATAGAATACTTTCTATTTCCTGCTTCTGCTGCTTCTATTCTACTCCCGTTTCATCCTCTGACTACAAGCACATGTTGTGCAATAATTTGGCCTCCGCTGGTCTGTGCACCTTTCAAATACGGCTGAATTTAAGCCAGAGAAGTTCACGAAAGACTATCTACTATATAATGGTCCTGTCCTTTTTTTCGCAGACTTACGACCACATTCTGGGCATCATGACAGATCAGTGCACCCTCGATGCCAACGGAAACTTGAAATCCTCCTCGAAAGTCAATGTTTATCACGATGCAGATGACGACGTGCCCATGGAAGGACCTGAAGCTGCTCCGAAGCCTGAAATATCAGGTATGTATTATTCAACGGCCGTATTGACGACCGGCACGGCCGTCTATATACCCGTACCGTACCATCAACCTAGTTCTAAGAGCCTTGACGGTACGGTATATGGACCAGCTGTCGCCCGTCACTGTACCGTGGCTATACGGCCGTATACCGTATACGGGACGGTGCGAAGCCCTAACCATGGGATGCCAAGGTAGACATATGGACATTTGGATGCTTGGTACGTGCTTTCATCCTCCGCTGTTTGTCATGTCGATGAACACATGTCAAAGATCTTTGAGCTCATCACCGGTCGTGCTCTCTTCAAGTATGAGCTTGATCCCAAACTCAACCTAGATGAGCCAAATCATATCCTATATCAGATGCTATGCTACACATGCAAAGACATTCGAGCACAACAGCTCATGGTCAGCGCTTTGGCTGACCAATTCTTTGATACAAACTGTAAGTGTGCACTCCCAGTGTTGTCCCTCATCCTTCACTCAATGCTACGCAGGTAATCTCAAAGCTATACCGAGACTCATGGATTACCCTTTCGAGATATCCATTAGGAGTTACAAAGTCATCGAGGAGGCGGATGTGCTTTCCACAGCTGCTCTGATGCTCAGGTGTTTGCGCCTAGATCCTGCACAACGTGCCAGTGCCGATGAGTTGCTTTCTGATCCGTGGTTCAATGGGGTTGAGTAGAGGTGAAACGACTTGCAGCGATTCATGCGAAGAAGTGTCTGGTGTATCTAGGAGCTATTTATCAAATGAGATGTTATCAGAATGGTGATTAGTCTGAAGGGAATAGCAAGACGCAGTGAAAGAAAGCCCGTCTTGATTCTAGTTCCTCCATACATCAACTCGGTTCCCTCGGGTCAGTATCAGGACGAACAAGCGAGGAAAGTGGCCCGCGCTATCGAACTAGGTACACATCGGAAGAAACATACTGTCCTGGGATCCTCTCAAGGACAGGACCGAACAACCAAGTTAAGTTTTCAAAGCGTTAAGAAATCCGGAAAGCTGCGAAAAGTATCTATGTTTCACAATATATACATAATAATGATGTTCAACATCGTAGCTCAAGATTAAGGCAAAATGTGGAATGAATCATCGTGGTATCAGGGTCAAATATCTGTTGATGTCACCATCGCAGTTCCAACAGGTCAAAGAAGTGACGGAGTCCTGCTAGAGCCACGCATAAGGACTCGGATCCCTCCAAAATTCCACGATATACAACGGCGGACATTGTGCCACTGGCATGTCCGCACCAGGAGTCAAGAACAAATCACGATCAATCAGGGGATCGCCAATGCCATGCCTGCATCAAATAAGCGCAAGTAGGGCAAAAAACAAGAACTACTCACACATCTTGGAGATGTTTAGTGACATGCTCATACCGCTGTGGATCAACATGGCTAGTGCAATGCTGACAGTGAAACAATGACGAGGTCCAGTTAAATACACTTCTAACAACTCGCATCTTCTTCACCTCATCCTCTGACGTAAGAAGACGAAAGTCTGAGCCTTGATTGTAAGTTAGAGAGGTGTTTCTTTGAACCTAACATAGTGGTCGGCCTGTGAACAAATGATAGGGTATCCGCACTCACACATTCCCTCCAAGAGAGGACGCGACGCCCCATGCACTTGCCTTCTCCGTTGGCGAGATCATACGTGCTAACTGGATCGTTCATACAAAGAAACTCGAGCTTTAGAATATCCATATCCTCCGCGGTCGTCGTAGCGGGATCACGAGAAGCAAGCCGTACTAGAGAAGCAGCCATGACGGATCGCGTCGTATCAAATGAGAGCTCCGTGTTCCCCGGGGCATTATACAGATCATCAACGTTTGCGACTTGGCGACCTATTGATCTGTATGTTTTACACTGATGCCACCAAACATCTGCATCTGTGATAATAGCACGACAATCGGATTGACAAGAAAACACCGTTGTTGCCAACTTCAAAGGATCAATTTGTCCAGTTTCCTGAGATGGGATTAAGGCTCGCAGCTTGGATACTCTTCGTTGTTGCCAGTCCGCGATCAGGTCTGGGAGCTCGTTCATGGCATCGGCAAAACTGGCTTCGTTGATTATTGTCTCGGTGGGCAGCTCCAAAACGTCCTTAAATGCAGGGAACATGCAGACATCTATGAGTGAGGGCATTTCTCGCCATACTATGGGCAAAAATTGCTGCTTGTACGTTTTGAGAATGTCCTCGACGATTGAAGCACGCTCGCGTAGGGCCAGGCTACGGGCAGCTTTGGCTTTCCGAACACGGTAGGCTTTGATCACCGCCTCGAGAGACGGACGCATCCTGGTCCAACCTTGAAAATGTTGAGCATTGTGTGGTGTATATGAGAAAGATTTGGATACTCTGTGACGTGAGTTCAGCGTCGCGTATAACCGACGATTCCCATCTCACGGCCTCGACGTCCTGCTCGGTATAACCCAAGTCAAGTAGTCGAGTCTTTATCCTAGATGGCTTTCAGACAAAAAATCGTCATTAAATCACGGCAGACTCACATAGAAAATCTTTCATCTTTCCGAAGATCCGATTCACGAGCGTTCTTCCGAGAGTTAGTGAGAGTCCATTCTTTACATTGTATCGCGCCCTTGAAATGAATACGTCAGACAAATGAAACACTACATGAACATTGTACCAACTTTAGTCATGTCTTCAACCAGCTTTTTCCGCTCCTTTCGAAAGTTGGCCAGACGTTCGGAGGACCCGGGGCCTACTTCCAGCTCCTTGATTTTAGCTTGGATGTCCGTAATATCAGAAATCCAATAGTATCCGTTGTATGCACACATTCCTCCCCGTCCAGCTGTGTAGATGGAGGTAATTAGTGAAATGCACGGGAAGAAAGGCTGAAGTTTTACTATTAGTGAGCGGAATTAGACTCAATGCATCAGCATTGACACCAGGAAAACGCCTTTTAACCCTTAATGCAGCGATCAAGCTTATAGGATGATAAGCTTGAGTACGGCAATCGGCAGGACTACATAGACGTACTTTGCCTTCAAGCAACGTGTACAGACACGTCGGCGAAGCGTCCAGTCGACAGAGGCATGATTTGCGTAGCAGAGCTAATACAGGAGGGTTAGATGAGCACATATATAGACTCGAGTCATGACCTACGTCGCAATATGACTTTCCAAATAACAGGTCTACCCACCGGTATTCAGGAATTCCTCGAGGAGATACGATCCCGCTTTCAGCTTCCCTCACCGCCTTCCAAACGAATGATACATTGTTCGCGGTCAGAGTACGACAGAAAGTTGCGTCGGTCCGCGATAGATTGATGAGATCTCGAGGAGAAAGCATTGTACAGATCTGTTGATGTTGGTCAATGGATAGGATAGCAAGGTAGGCGGGCTCACTGTGAACAGAATATCGAGTGGCATCGTCGGTAACAGACTCAGGTCTCGCCGTTTCTTCCCAGTTGACTTCCGTTTAGTTTCTGTGACCTTTGCCTTCATTTGCTTTGACATTGCTGCCGTATTCGAAATTACTCGTCTTCGCTTCACTGAGCTAGGTTGCTTCACTACTATTCATCTCAAAATTTAGAACATAGAATGCACCTAAGGGTGATCATCGAGTACCTTCGCTGCTACCATTGATTTCAACGCCTCCCTTCTCGGTGTCATTGTCCTCCGATTGCCACTTATCGGAATCTTCATCGGCAGAACCATTCCGTTTGGAGGATACTACAGTTGCTTTAGACCGTTTCGTCTGCATATTTGCTGCAGGAGAGTCGAAAGACTTAGACGACTGCAGACGACCGTGTTCAATGTCACGGTTGAGAGGTAGGTCAATGCTTACAAATCATTTGTAATCAGACCTGTGTATTCGTATGGGTCCCGGCTTCTTTACCTTCACCTTTACTCCCACTACTGGCAAGGCTATGACAGTCTGCCCGCTTTCCTCGTGCATTCTCTCTCGACATTTGCTCTATGATTTCTCGCCTCCTCGTCTGAAATGAGTCGCTGTTCAACAGACAGAACGACTCAAGAATAATCTACCCGATAGAGGCAGCATACCGACAAAGGTGCGTAACAACAGCTTCCTGGAGACTTGCCCCTCACAGGCGACTATAGTATTGTAGCCTAGCGTAGAGGAATGAATATGAAGGAGGGGCGCTGCGGTCTGAAACGCTGAAGGATAGGATTCGGCGAAACGAAGGCAGAAGAATGCTCAGAAAACGACGCCGAGAAGAGTCAATATGTTACGACAACGACGTGGAGGGCCTATATGGTCAGCCAATGACTCGTTTGTCGTCTTCTAGCTTGGCCCACGTGTCGGCGACGACGTTGCCGGCATTCTTTACATGCATTCGACGGACTACCACCCAGTTTAGCGGTATTATATCAGCAGCGAGAAAATCACATTCTGAGTTCCAGGTCGATACATGAAGGAGGAGTGCATAAGTGAATGAAGAATTGCTAAGGGGAGAGTCCAGTATTCTCAGAGTAGGTCTTACACATTGACTATATGCGCCGCAATTCCGTTGACCGACCCCCGTTTTCCTGTAGGTTAATCATCAGAGGACCTGGCAGTATTATACTTAGTCGATGCTATACCTGCGTGTGGCTGAGGGAAGAAACGAACTTCTAAAAGACGCCATTGAGGTTCCTGTTTTGCGACTGGAAGTAGCGACCCACCCTAAGCATTTCTTTGTGGATTAGATACGTCCTCAGCACCAGCATCCTCAAACAGTTCCCGAAACCCCAGTACGCTGGTTGATCCTTTTGCGTATCTGAAAGACTAACGAAATTTTGGCTACAGCTAATTTTGATAGTACCAGATGGAGAACAATTCTTCTTACGATGATACATCCCGTCTCTTTTTTGCACACCTTGAATTCTTGGGTCCCAACATCCCCGACATGCTCCAAAGGCAGCCTTTGCCGTATCGGGGCCGTTGTCTATTGTACGAGAACAAGGTTGGTCCATGATCACAAGAGTTTACCTGTCAAAGTCAGCGTGTCCTTGGGAGCATCGGACCGAATACGGGCCACAGACTCAGTTTGACGATTCCCCAAATGACCTCGCTTGTCCGAGTCAAACAGACACGGCTTCTGCTGGTTCCTGCCGTTGAGTTCGGTCGACTGTAGTTTCAGCTCTCGGATTGCCCCCTTGCGTTCCAGACGCATTTCCATCAGCTAGACTCAGTCACATGAAACTTGAAGAATGTCAAGAGGTACATTCGTTTGTATGCAAGAAGTGGGTGTCATCAAAATTTCGACGTGTTGGACGGTCCGGTCAGCTGCTGACTCAGTTTCGTATGCAGCGTAGTTCGTGGTCAGACCGTTTCTCCTCACCTAACGATGCTCATAACCATCCTCTATATCGCAGGTTCTCAATATGTACCACAGTTCAATGTTCACACTGATGTTCTCCACACGAGCTCGCCGAGACAAGGTAATTAAATGTTCTTGCAGTATCTATCTACTTTGCTCTATCTGATACAACGTCGTATAGGTCGTGATGGATGTCTCGGCACCCTGCACTCATAGACTGCTGAATGAAGTGAAGGTCCAACTTGAAGGCCGCTGTAATGAGAATCCACATTGACTTCCGTTATTTTAACCATAAGCCTACATCGCCTTCTTTAATGCCCGCTCAAAGATCCGAGGACGATGGCCGGAAGTGCGGTGGTATCCTTGATATGTTCCATTGCACGTGGAATGAGGACGGTCGAAGGTTTGACGCTTCGACCTTTGTTTGACCACTCCTCGACTCATGATTCTGTCTTCTGTTAGTTTTCGCAAGATTCTGTTGTCTTGTGACGACGGTTCAAGCGCCAGGTACGCCCACGCCGGCCATCATGCATCAGTGGGCGTCTGAGCATCGATGATGCAAAAGACGGAATTAAGATGACGATGATCGACAGCCACAACGTTTCCTACACGTGCTCGGTGGCATATTAACGCACAGCTATATAACTGCGTCTCTGACTCTTCTTCTTGTCGATAACTTATCTGGTTCCGGACCATCACTATCTCGCTGCGATGACTGAATACGACTACTCCCTAGAGGCTGTACAAGCCTACCATGCCAAGCTGCAGGGTGTACGGCGATGGGTGAACAGGACCAACGAAAGCCAGTTAACCAACCCATTCACCAGTGTGCCCACCGACGCTGGATCCGTCGCTGGCGACATCCCGCGGAGCCGTAGCAAGCATCGGAACAGGAAGACGTCGTCGAGACATCGTTCCAAGTCGAGGACGCCCGGCGTCCCAATCAAACCCGCTAACTACCCTTACGCCACTCACTATTACCACTCGCAGTACAGACTGCCGAATTACCCTGCTCACTACGTAGCAGAGATGCCACCTCCCCTACCCTTTACCCCGCCTTTCGTTTCGGCAGCACAGTACATTCCGAATCAGAGTTACTCCAGACCTGTCGTTCCTATAGTGTATGCCCAAGGACACGCTGTTCCTCCTCAGCGAGTGCGTACTGTTCCTTTCTGTGATGGACCCGTAATAACTGATCCGCTTCCTTAGTCTGCATCTCGTAAACAACACCAATACGCGCCGGCACCACCTCTGCCACCCCCACTACGAACTTCTCCAAAGACTCCGAGTCCCCCAGCAAGCTATGCTTTGACTCCCAAAAGGAGTGCCCTTTCTCGATTCTTGGACAAGATCACAGGTGGTGCGAGGAAGGCTTCGAGTCGACCCAACTCGCCTGCTCCGGACACCAAGAAGCGGCACCACCGTGAGAGGCGCAATAGCTTCTAGGGTCGCGGTTGTACGTTGGTCCAGGTTGCGAAAGTCGCAACTCTCGGCAGAAGGCCGCCTTTCCTAGACGCTTTCCGGGCCATTTCATTCTTCTACGTGCTATGATCTTTTCTTTTCGATGCACCCGCAATTGTATTACATCACTAGCTTTGCACGATCTACTCATATACGAAAACGTACATAGGTTCTCTCGATACGTCCCTACTAGATATCAGGAATTTGTGTAGTCATTAGCATGTCTTTGTGTGGCGTCATTATAGGTGGCGCCATATCCATGCACCGGGAAATGAATTCATTTGCATAGTACTGCGTACGTCTCTCGGTGCCAGAAAAATCTTCTGAATGCGGGGTATTATTTAATGGAAAGAAATGAATTGACAATTGTGCGTGCTCAAGGGGTCGAACGCTGCCTTCGGCGTGCACCGAAATTGTAACCCGGGGCCATTGTCGCCACTGACCTGCTCTTACTCTGATCTTACTCAGTGTACAGAAAAGAAGTTTAACATCTCCCCAAGAATTTTGATATAAAAAGGACAAACGTAAGACGTAGGTACATGGAATAGGGAATGGTGCAACTTATCTCCATCTCTCAGGATGCTTATCCCCGTTGATAAATCCCAATTCGATCCTTCTTTCCATGATTTCCTATCTAATTATTTGTATGGTGGTCTTTCAAAAAGAGTCGAGGAACTATTGCGCTCCAACGTCGGTCTCTACGACTTCGAGAAGCCGAGTCTTCAGGAGATACTTTCTAAAGGCGGAGATCATGCTCAACTGCCGCAGAAAAATATTGCGGCAGATAGGGCTCTCTTGGAATACCTAGAGAGTGAGAAAGAGAGGACGATTTCAGCTTTGGCCTCACCGCGGTCCTGGCCCGACATATACCTTTCTTTCATGCCCTAGAATTCCCACAATCAGCACTTGCAAGAACGAGCATCGAAATTATGGCTCGCTCTTGACAGATCGTGCAGTTGTGATTTACGTGTAACAGCCTGAGGCGACGATGATCTCTCAAGGGATCCAGTGTGGTTGATGCTGGTATCCACGGCGCCCAGATGGACGAAAGCTCATTTGGAGCTACCTTTCTCTACATTCGAATCACTCTCCAGCTCAGAGAGCTCATTCGACAGGCTCGTATCCTTAGACATATACATCGACCCTCCCGAAGAAGTCAACTTCTCGACTCTTGACGCCTTTTCCATCGCGCCCTGCCTGACTACGTTGAGATTGAACGCCCGAGATTCGAGGTTGTACGACATTCCCTATCACAGAATCACAGAATTCAGCGATAGAGAGACGAGTAATATCGACCAGGTCAGCTCACTCGCACTCATGTCCAATCTTGAGAAGATGGTTTTCCTCAGCATATATACAAATCGCCCTAAGCATCAGTCACTTTAAAAAATGTCGTCTACATCGACATAGGTGAAGCATCGGATCCCCATGGTCATGGAAGTACCGCCCAGTTGCTTACGCACTTATCGCTGCCTTCTTTGCAAGGGCTATCGATATCTTTCGGCCCCGAAATCCCCCCATCTTTCCCGACAACATATTCCAAGCGGAAACAGTCACCCTCTTGGCCGTTGATTTTCGGAGACCCAGTCCCTTGAAGCCTTTCTCTGAAGGTTTCCCAAAGTACATGGACTTAAGATAATGTCCGAAATTCTTACAGCAGCGTTTGCCGATAGACTCCCACTCTGGTATAAGTATTCAGTTCCTTGTGTCATGTTATTTTTTTTAGGCGGACGATCTATTGTCTATAGTCTTTGACCAGGCATTGCTATGCGTCCTCGAATTAGGGCCCCGCGAGTGTTGTGGGCGCTCTTGTTCGTTACACCGATTACATCTCTTCGGTCGCCCATTCTCTGGTCCCTTGGACGATCGTAAGAGCATTCTACAAAGACATTTGAGCCAACAGGGTGTAGTTTTGGACCACTGATGAGATTGTAATGGGAATATGAGGAAAGAAGGTCTAAAGGAAGGAACCACGATGACTCGTGTTGACCTTTTGTAGGCCTAAAAACTCTCGTAAAGATAGTTCTGCAGTATTCTATTTGCAAGAAGCAGACCGCGCCTAGAACGACCATTGATCAGTTGCTCAGCAGCGACGAACAAGTGGGTTGGCGCATTGAACTGGAATTCCTCTCAGCCCTCTTTCTCAGTATCGTCTTTGACTTCCCAATTATCCAGCCAATCATCAAGTGTCGGCTTCCGTTCACGCTCATAAAAGTCTTCACAGTGAGAACCTGATATCGTACTAATCAGACCTTAACGCTCGTAATCATAAAATAATACCCTTACCGGAATACAGTACATCATCTCGTGTCTTGTATTGAACGAACCGCACTTCCACATCCTCTCTCGCGTGCATACCTAGCGCATCTCTCAGATCTTCGGATCGGAGTAGCTTGGGCTGCATAGAGAGGGAGCCATTACGCGGTTTACCGCGGACCGTCACCCTGCAGAGTTGGTGGGCACGTTGTTCTATGATTGCACCTAAATGAGCCCAAGCATTACCAAGGGCAGAAAGCTCAACGGAAGAGAGGGATCTGGCCCTGAAGATATCAATAGACAGCTCGGTCAGTGCCAACCCAAATTCTGAATCACTCCTGGCTTCAAAGCTCTCCAGGAGCCAATTGAGCATGGTAGACTGTCGACCGAACTGATCGCAGATGTAGAATGTTTGCAAATTCGCGGGATTTATGTATTCATAGAGTGGGACTGATGGGTTAAAACAAGTCATTCTGGCAAAAGCTGCATCGGAATAGCAAAGACATACCGATGAGATGCGTGAAGAGCTGTAGATGTTGCAGACCTCGCGTTTTTTGAAGTAGTGAACGAATTGGCCCGATGAGGTGGTACTCCCGTGTCTTAGGCAATTTACACCAGAGCGAAAGACGAAGCAAAGAAGATAGGTCGACAGGAGAAGAGGGTGAAATGAACGTTTCAATGATCTGACTCAATGATTGCGGGTCGGTATGCACGGTGAGCTCTTTCAAGCTTGGCCTCGCTTTTTCTACAGTTTTCTGACCAGTCTCGCTATCTGTAGCGTCGTTGATTTTGACGTAGTCAATGATCAACACCTCCAGAGAGACACAGTTGTCAAGGAGGTTATTGAACTGAGATTGTGTCGCAAACGTTACGGGACCTATCTTGAGATAACGCAGCATTGAATAGCCCACGGCATGGCATAGGGACTGATGCATGAACGCCAGCTTCGCCCAGTCGTAATCCTCGGCAAACGATAGTGATATGCTCCCCAGATTTCTGAATCGACTGATGATCTCATTCGCACCAGTAAACGCACCGTCGGGTACCTTCTTCTCCCTAGTATAGAATAACTCGAAGGGCGGCATCTTGGGCATTCCGAGGTGAAGTTCATGTACGAAATCTGCGAGATGCGGCGCATCTTCCAGGTGTTTCTTGAGCTTCTCTATGCTACCATGCAGGATATACTGGGGTAATGGGTATCCTGAGTAGTCTTCCGAGCTGGGAGAGTCAATGATGGAGGGAACAGCTCGAACGAGCTCTGGAAAAATCGAAACGCAGGAGAAAAGACGTTTTTGAGCCGGGATGGTCCATAATTTAGATATGAGTGAAGATGAACGAAGGGCTTCTATATCTGGAAGACATTCGTCGGCGATGTGCTCGATGAGTTCTAGGGGTAAATTTTGGGCCATGATTATGGCTGCCTGCAAGTTGAAGGTAAGGATATATTCAGAAAAAATTGTAGCAAAACGCACGATTTGAGAAGTAAATAGTAACGTCAGCTACTTTCAGCTACCTGGTGGTCGTAGTAGCGGATGAAGCTTGCGCCCGAATTAGCCCCTATGTTTTGAAAATTTTCACGTTGGATCCAGGTGGGCCGTAATTATTTAAATAAATAATGATTTTCAGTTTCGTGATTATTTGCGGCATCGAGTAATTAATCGTTGACATTGAACACAAATACCTCTTGGAAGTTCTCCGCCAACGACAGAATACAACACCCACTTGGACGCAGACCATATCGAACGACAGTCTCAAGGCCTCCTGTGGACGAGGCTGATGCCAGTCGTATGAAGGGGAGGGACGACGTAGCCGGCGAGCTTCGAGGTGAACGATAACCCTTGCGCTATTTCGAAGCCACCACCGTAGCATGCCTTGCGTGCCCAATTGCCGCCACAATGACATCGTCGTCGTAGGTCGTCACTGTCTTGATGCATTAGATAAAGCCGTATCCGATACAGATATACATACGTTCCTTGGATGTCGTCAGCAGTGTGTAAGTAGGAAAGCATACAGCAGCATACGCACCTATTAAGGCCGCTCTTGACACAGTATTCCTCCGATTCCACCATCTGCGACGCGAGAAAAAGGCCCAGGGTGTGAGCGATACCTGGAATGTCATCCAGGGCACCGTTAGGGTCGTAGGGCGTCTTCATGATTGGCCCGACGGCACCTACAGCGGCGCCATTGCCTACAGGGCCGTCGAGGGGAGGAGAAACGAGCATCACGAAGCAGAAGATGCATGCCTTCGTCGACGTCCCCGGCTAGATGTATTTCTGCGCAAAAGATAAATTCGAGCTTCCCAAAATGCACATTTATCCTCAAACAATCCAAACATGGAGTTCGGCATTTTTCGGCATTGACCGCATTTTCTTGCCGAAGCTGGACCAAATCTCAGCAAGCAATTTAACCCGAAAATACTACTCTAATTAGTACTGATTCTGTTGAGATGATCACGGGCCGGCGAAACATCGCACCTTTGTTGGCAGTATTGATGGCCCGTAAGTTGCAACCATTCCTGCTCTTTGGGACGGGCTTCTATCACCCGGCAAGTCTTCGGCAGCGCTCTGCAGGCACGCGAACTTCGAAACGTTTGAGACTCGAATTTTAAAATTCCCAAGATTTCCGTTGTATTGGGCGCCGTTTGCAGCACTTAAGTTCTGTTAGGCTTCACATAAAGAATGAAAATGTCAATGAGTGTTTCAATACTGAAGCGCCTGCTGTTGCTTAGTGTACTGAACCTGGGCCTCGGAGGCTCGGAGTTACAGGGTTTCTACAAAATAATGAGAATCGGTTGAAAATTTTTTTCGCTGCCCAATATAGTAATTCCCCATCTTGGATTCCACCAAATGCATAAGCACTGCGAATTATATCTTCCTGACGTCCAACTGAGCTATACTCCCCCGAATTATCCATCAAAGTCTCTGATATCGCCGCCCAGCCCTTGGTTTGTGATCCTCATGAATCCGTTAATCTGTTACACCAAATCTCGAATCAGTGTTATTTTCTTCACCACTGCAGGCTCCATTGCGTGACTTGATGACACCAAAACATTGCGTACTGCTTCAGGAATCAATACTAAACTGTTTATTCTATCATTATCATTGCTCCTGGTGTCGAGCCGCTGTTGAAAGAAAACCGGTAACTACAAATTACTATATTGGGCAGCCGAAAAAAAGTTCGATCGATTCTCATTATTTTGTAGAAACCCTGTAAGTAACTTCTTGTAGATAGATGAGGTGTGCGGAATCAGCTTTTGTAATTCACCAATTCATTACATAAAATCTCAAGTCATATTTACCGTACAGACTTGTATTTAAATAAACGATGAACAAAACATATTGATATTTCTGCGGACTCGTAATAACGGTGCTTATGTTTGGATATCTCTCCTCCAATGTGAAGCCTGGTAAACGGTGGAAACACTCAGGAGACATTGACAATATTGAGAATCCGAAGAAATATCCTAATTCGAATTCTTCACGCGGCCTTTGACCGCATGCCGAAAGCTTGCCGGATGATAGAAGTCCGTCCCAAAGAAGCAGGAGTGGTTGGGCCGCCTACTACTTAACCGTAAACGTCGGACGCGATGATGGTTTGTTCTCCTACGACTTACTCTCAGTGTTACCTCTCACTGCAACATGGTACTGACCTACAAATTATCGACTACAGATATCTGCCTGTTTCTTTTGGCCGTCTTTGTTATTTACAAGATCTCGACAAATCGCAAGAACAGCGTCACCACTAAACTACGAGGTCCTCCGAATCAAGGCGGGCTTTTTGGTCTCATTCGCATCCTTCGCAATGCGGATGACCCGGGTCTCTTGTATGAGCAATGGGCATCAGAATACGGTTCTGTCTACAGTTTCTCTGGATTTCTCGGAGAGCAAAGACTGGTTCTTTACGACCCGAAGGCTCTGGTGAGCTTCTATGGAAAGATGGGCTTTGGGTACATCAGGACGCCCATCGGTCGCATGTTCATTGAGACTCTCGTTAGTTTTTTGCTCCTGGGAGGTAGGATAAGATTTCTGATGCTGTCTTGGCTCGCAGTTTGGGAAGAATTTATTATGGGCGGAGGGGGAACTTCATCAAAGGCGAGCGTCCTTCCTTATCACGTCGTACGACGGTATGCTGACCAAAAGACCTACAGACAACGCAAATTTCTCACACCGGCATTCAGTAACGCAGCCATACGAGATCTAACGCATGTTTTCTATGATTCGGCTCACAAGGTACCCAACAATTACTTGGTTTTATCGAATATTTTCCCAATTTTCATCTAGACGTCCTCTGCTTGGGATGCCATTCTTGAGGCAAGCGACGGGACATCCATAATCGACGTGCAAAAATGGTATGTTATCGGTGTGCTTGATAATAACTGACTGATAGCCATCTCCTAGGACGAACCGCATCTCGTGAGGCTATTATCCAACTGCGCATGTTACGTGGCTAATCAAATTGCCTGTCTAGAATGGATAGCATTGGTATCGCAGGATTCTCTCATGACTTTGGTGCTATCGACGGGAAACCGCAAATTTTCGACGACTTGGACTTGAGTAGTGGTGCCACCTTTTTCGCCTTCATGATCATTGCGAGTACCATGTTTCCTGCCATTCTTCGCTTGCCTTCCAAGAAGAAAGGAGCACTATCTGCTATGAACCGCGTGCTCTCCGACATCGCCGACCAACTCTTGGCCAAAGCCAACGAACCTGGGAACGATGAGGACAAATCAGTAATAAGTCTCCTACGTAAGTGATCGTCGCTAGTTCCAATGGGAAGCTGATCCCGTTTACGCAGTCAAGTCCGAGACAGATGGTGCCTACATTCACATGTCCCGGGAAGAGATCGTACCACAGGTATCGTGTCAATTTGAATCTTGCACGTATGGCCTTTTGCTAATGATGGCCTGTGTGGCAGATGGTACTTCATATGCTCAGCTTTCTCTTACCTTTCTTGCTCATGGCCTCTAACTCTAGAATATGTTGTTACACGCGGGTAAGCATCACACACATATTCCTTGGTTCTGAAGCTGAGCATTTCCGAACTCAGGCTATGAAACGACGAGTAGTGAGTTTAGATCGTATATAGAATCCTACTTATTGGTTACTGACGCACCGTCATTCAGTTAGTCTGACGGTACGTAAGCTCCTATTGACCACCCATCAGCTAGTTGAATTGATGAATCCGTAGTGGGCCCTCATTGAAATGTGCAAAAAAACCGATATCCAAAACAAGCTCCGCGCAGAGCTAGTGCAATTCGGCAACACTGATCCAACGTGGGAGCAGCTCAACTCGAGCCTTCCATACCTTGACGCTGTCGTACAAGAAACCCTACGTATGCACCCCCCGGTATTTGAATCTATGAGGGTGGTGCGTATCCCATCCTCCACCGGTTGAGTGCCCCTACCTTACTCCCTTACGTAGGCAACTGAAGACAATGTCCTTCCTCTCGCTACACCCGTGGTGACCAAGTCTGGCACGACAATTAACAGCCTTTTCGTCGCCAAAGGGACAGTTGTCTCCGCCCCAATTCGGGCGCTGAATAGATCGGAGGAGTTCTGGGGTCCCGACGCGAAGGAGTTCAAACCAGAGAGATGGCTGGAGGACAGTGCGCCGAGAGCGAAGGAGATACAAGGTCATCGACACCTCTTGACATTCCTAGATGGCCCAAGGACGTGTCTTGGAAAGACATTTGCCTTGACTGAATTCAAAGTGAGCCACCTTCTCGAGACGGAGTACATTCTTTCTGAGAAACTGGTTCTGTAGGCTGTGCTCTTTGTCATCGTTCGGAATTTTTCTTTCGAATTCCCTGGTGGAAGTGATCCTGTCATCGGTAAGTATACGGGGAGTATCTTGCCCAGACCGAAAGTCGCCGGCGAAGAGGGCGCGAAGGTTCCGTTAAGTGTGAGGAGAGTATGATATGGGCAGAGCTGGGATAGCTGTGTAATGATCGTGATGAATGTACTAAAATACTCCAAGAGCATAGGATGTCTGTGATTTCTTCCACCAGAAAGACTTCAGGCCCGATGAAGTTGAGGGCCCAAAGGCAGTTTTGGCCTTTATCTGTGATTTTTCCGAGCAGTTCTTTTCCGACACGGGGGCGAGGTGTCGCATCATGGACACCAATGAAACTCGAAGGCCAAGGTCCACAGAGCTTCGTACCCTGACAACGGAGTGATAAACGACAAGAAGTCGGGACCCATATAGATACACAACTCTGATTACAAATGATTCATAATCGCGACCTACCCCTATTCGCGCTTACTTCTCGACTACCATCATCTCGACGGTTTCTCTTCTTTCAGGATGCAGCCAAGGCGCTCTGCACGAACGGCCTTTTCTTCCAAACGGAAGAGCCTTGCTGAACCCGAAGACGAGGATAACGACCGAGGACATAACAAAGGTACGCGAGGGTCACCTTTTTCCTTTCTTGCCGCATTTCCTCTGCTTTTTACATTTGATATGGCGGGGCTAACGCAAAAATAAAGGTGCCTTTGAAATGGAAGAGCCTCGCTGAAGCAAGTTCCGGCGAGGACGAGGATAACGGTAGTGAAAGCAAACTTGAAGGACGTACTCACGGTGTGTTTTGTGTTCTTCTTTGTTGAGGTTGTCCTCTGATAGAGATGAAAGTGTTAAGACTGAAGCACGACCCATTAAGCCGAGTACGAGCGGGGGGAGAATGGCAAGGGGAACTTCTGAGGAACATGACTGTGGAAACGAATTGGAAGACCCTGGGCAAGGTAAGTGACCAGTCGTACGGAAGTTGTGTCCAACAATGTGTGCCAGAGTCCAATCATCGTCCAGCAAAATGAATGCGAAGAAGCTCAAGGACGGCAAGAGCGACTGAAACAACCTTCAAAGAAGGTTCTAGTCAAAGGAAAGATAAAGCCGAAGAAAAAGAAACAACGTGACTTGAGTCTCTTACCAACGTTGCCATTAGATATCCTATTTGCTGTATGTTGTCTTTTCATCTGCTATGCCGAGGGTATTGATTAGAACTTTAGATCTTCAACACGTTGATCTCTCGAGATCTTATCAAATTTTCACGGGTTGACGCTATGTTGCAATTGCAGTGGGGCCTATGCAGATCTCTGGCGGCATCACTGCTCGTGCTATGCCAATTTTTGCTACCTCAGCTTTCAGGATGTCGGCAAGCTATACGAGTGTAGAAGCAACAGCAATATCACCTTTGACTCTGAAAGGTCCGCTATAGCTTCCTCTTTGGTAGCCATGGTGTCACGCGACCTTTCCATCACTACCATAGAAGAAATGGACCCTTTCAAGGGCGCATTCCTGTACATATGTGCACTGCAAAATTTGCAGGTTGAGAATCCATGCTGGGTATTTATGGGACGCGCTTTACTGACATGGTGTCAATGTGTGAGCATCATCGCATCGTTCCGTGAACAGGCTTTTTTGAACACTGCTTTCATCTAGATCAATGACCATTCAGACCTATCACTACGAAGGCCAATCAAGACGACAGGAGAAAGACTTGCTATACGATGGTATCTTCCGGTGGTCTTGTCAGCATCGTTCTGAATATTTGGAGCGTTGGGAAAGCCATGAAATCGTGAGTCGGTATGCTCGGGTCATGTAAGCTGTGGTTCGGTTTCCCATTCAGATGGTCAGTTAACTTTTTATCTTCTAGTCATGGCGTTGATAATCCTGTGATCGAAGGAGACCTTTTTGTTGCACCTGGGTTTGCCCATGGCACGTACTATACACACGCGTTGAAGTTTGAGATGCACGCAGAATACGTATTCTTATCCCATCTTTGGTATGATGCAACTCTTTTGCTTTGGGCGCGCCCGATTCTTCGATGCACCGTCTTGTTTCTGTGTTCTAGGTGGCTAAGACATTTACATATTTTCCTGTTTGTGGTTCCCACCTGACTACATACGATGGAAAATCAGACGAGACGATGTCAAAACCACAGGATTCATCAAAATCTCTTTCTAAATGTCTATTCCTAAGGCGGTCTGGACTACCCTCGCAAATCACTCACGGGAGCCGTCGCGGGAACGTGGTCTCCGCGAATACCCCAGGTAACCCAAAACACGTTTGGCGTTCAATGATGTACGAAAATGTTCTCGAATGAATGTGTTCTCCAGGTCTTTTTCTATGTTTGCGTGAAACGGGAGGGGGAGTAGAGACGTTCCCGATGATATTTGTGTTACCATGAAGATTTTCAGGCTACAACTAGCCGCAGTATCTAACTAGTGAGAGAGGGCTCGTAGATTCGTCCGACTCGGGATGTATAGCCTCTAGGTGAAAAACACCATACCAATAGACAATGACGGGCGCAGATAAAAGCATTCTATACAAATAAATAGAAAACGTGCCCACCGCTGCAAATTCCACCTGTGTGAGAGGTCGGTCGGGCCCTGCAACGACAGAAACATGCCCATTAGCGGCTTCTGCGACAGCCGTTCTCGGTCACTAAAAACAACCTGAGTCTCCCTTGATGGTGTCCGCGTCGGTATGGTAGCGCTTTAGAAATACGTGGAAGATGCCGAAACTTTACTTTTCCCTGGAGCTTCAGGGATGATTGCCAAGAAGACACAGTAAAATCCGCAAGGAATAACTTCAACCGTACTGATAGGAAACCGCCAAGAACAAGTGCGGGTTTTAGACGTAAAAAAGGATCCCGTGCAAGGGGCCTTGGATAGATACCATGATAGAATAATGAAGTCCAAATCAAGTACGTCTGATGTAGTGCTACCTTTTACCAAATCGCTGGCCTCAACGGGAATTCCTGTATCAGTAGCTTCGGATCGGTACTCGTGCTTTGATGAGAAGCCTCAAAACAGTCCTCGGTATCTGTATAAGGTATTAATTCACGGTCCCACAACGAGCGATGCGAACCGTACACGCCTACATCCAGAATATACGGCGGGCCACCACAATGAGGCCGGAATAGAGCCTCGTATTCCTTAGCTTTTCGTTCTTCTTCCTGGGGATCCATATTCTCGTCTATTTCCTGGTTGCCGGGGAGTTCATATTCTGGAAATATTGGACAAACAGACAGAGGCCGAAGACGCGGGAGGGTTTGTACGGGATCTTCGACAGGTCCTTCTTTCAACTCCTTCTTGCTAGACTTGGCTGCGCGCACCTTTTTCTGGGTGTCAGATGTTCGTGACTTGGCCATAAAACGGGTCTTTCTGGGAGAGTAAGTGGTTGATGGATGGGGCTGCGAATCAGGACTACAACGGAGGTGTTAACAAGAACTGACAGCATAATTATTGCGGACACATACGGTGGCATGGGACAGAAATGGTGGTGCCCCCAGATAATGCGTGAGAGAACAGACCAAGGTGTCCCATATCGGTAAAAGAAGTGCCAATCACACTGATACCCCGCCTTGCTACATCGAAGGACAAGTTGCGTTGGAGATTTCTTTTGAACCTCAGAACTGGATAACCCGGTGTCTTCGCATTGAAGGGGTGCGATGGGTGCCTTGTCCAATAGTCGCATGTCGTCAAAATGGCCCATAACGCTAGTCATCGAAAGGTTTTGAGGCATCCAAGAGATAGAAAGTAGGGATCGAGGTGCTTGTTGCACTGATGACGGCTCTTTAGAGAGGCGCATGTCTGTGAAATGTCCCGTAACACTCGTCATGGAAAGGCTTTGAGGCTGACGAGAAATCGAGAGCAAGGAGCGGGGGTTCGGCAGTGCCACCTGCGGCTCTCCTTGGAGCTGCATCTCGGTTACATGTTCGGTGATATTCAACGTCGACATCTTTGAATTATCAAGAACAGAGGTGAGGCTCAAGGATATCAGTGTCGTTGGTGGCGGTTGTTAGGAAAGAAGGAGGACATTGTATAGTTGTCAATTTGAGGACCACGAGCAGCGAGCTTGAACCATGCACGATAGCATGTCGTGGACAATACTGCGAGAAACAAAGACTGGTGACTCCTGCCTTTTCGGTGCGGACACTGACAAGGTAAAGACAAAGACAATGCATCGCGCTGTAAACTTGTTTCGCGCGGCAATCTGCCTGGTGCCAGGGATGGCGTCGCAATTTACCGGCGAAACGCTGGAATTGAATGGGCGAAAATGGGAGGAACAACCTGCATATTGAATCATCTAGGCCTGCCCTCCTTCCGGCATTGCTAAGCAAAAAGTCCGCTGTTCTGTGACTGCGCATTTGTGATTATATCCTTGGAATTGTATATTTACCGTTACGTTGAGATTAGAGTTCGCAGTTGGCTAGCAAAGGCACCCGTCCAAATATAAACGCGAGCACAGCAAACAGGGGAGATTTGGAGCTGCGATCAATGGCGAGAAGAAACACTCGCTCTCTGTTAATCCAAAGCAGGGCGTTTCCACAGGATCACCGTGGACAACCCACATGCAGGCACAGATTCTGATTGTGGCGTCCAATGGAGGCCATGGCACCGATCGGGAAGGACAAATAACATAGGATAACATGCCTAGAAATATTTTGCGAGATAGGTCCCAACAGACATAAACAACCATAGGCGAAACAGTGGTCGCCCCCATTTCAACTGAATTCATTCCATTATATCGATAGACCGGGTGGAACGAGCTTTCAGCCGGACTATGTGCCTGATTGTCTGAAACAGGCGCCTCGCGGAAAGAGCAAGGTACCTGTATCCCTCGCGACGTGTGATAACTCATCCTTCGCGTAATGGGCGAATGTTAACATATCCAGTCTCGACTTGAAAATTCGCCCTTTTGCTGATGAGTTCGTTGACGGATAGGAAAGACGTTCCTCATGATCTACAAAGACGTGGTTAGTCCTGAAAGGAGATCTTCATCTTACCAGCGAGATATACGTTGATTCTGTCTTGTATAGCCTGTTTGAAGAAATTCTAAAGACATGTGCTCGAAGGAAAGAGAGAACCTGTAGGCTATTGTTCGGAATCTACCCGCACTCAGAGGGAGTCGGAAGGATATACAGAAACGACCATTATTTGTTCCGAGTGAAACGTCGCGTCCATAGATGACGCTTTTCGGAAGACAGCCTGAGGATACTCATCAGATTAACAGACAGAACATCGAATTTCAAAGTCAAACCAGGTACTAAAAATCACTATTACACTTATTTGAGTCCTTTACCAGGAAATGCTTCAATCTCTCGACGTCCTCTCGCTACCCAGGTTACCAGAATTTACAGCCTGCAAAAAGATAAAGGCACAGCAGCTCGGAGGCTGCCGCCTGCTGAGAAGTTACAGTCCAAAAAAAATTCGTCACCAGGGACAAGTCACGGCGATGTAGTGACCGGTACATGAGCCCAAGGAGCATTGAGGGCGGCCGTGAAATTGAAGAGTGGAAAGAAAGAGGCTGTGTCGTTGAGGAACGCGGCGTCCGGAAACGGCCAGACGGGCCGGTAACCCGGGTGTTATCGGCGACAACTTCGGGACTTCGACCGATTATCTATCCATCTATCCATCTGACGTCAAGATGAGCTCTACTATGGAAACAGAAAATGGTCTCCCGAAGCCCACGAAGTAGTCTCTCGAAGTAAGGATATTCAATTTCTTATGTTTTTGGACTCAGGCTGACGTATATTGCAAGATTTTGCCGCTGTTTTGCGCCTTGGTTCTTGAATAGTATTGAATCATTTATGTGCTGGCTCCAGGACGAATTTTGTTAGGACTTTCCAAGGGTATTTCTTGATGTCTCCCACTTGGGAATATTTTTCTGGTATAGTATGACTCCAGCTCATTTTTTTGTTTCAATACTCAACTTAGTAAGCTGCAGTCTTGACCTTAGAAAACCTCAAAGTCCACGCGTTAGGATCCCGCTGGTGGCGTCCTACTGGCAAGAATCGTAAACAGTAAGCATTCAGAATATTCACAAACAAACCGAAGTAATATACAATTACTCAATCCCGCAGGCTCGACACTCCTCAGTTGTGTGTAAGCTCTCTGAACTGGTTCTGGTGCTCTCTGCTCCGCGTTTACCAAAGAAGTCATGTCGGCAGCGATAAAAGCCGGACATGTCAACTCCCGGCAGAAACCGTCCATGGTGTCCTTCACTTGCAGTCTTGAGCGATTTCGTCACTTGTCTATAATTACTAGCGCATCCGCGTGTTCCTCAAGGAAACTGTTCTAAAAATGTCTGACATGGTTCTCTTCCTAGATCTAGTTTTGTGGCAGCTTCTATACATTGACGGGAGGCCGTTTAACTCGGCAATAGAACAAACGAAAACAAATCCAACTGTGACGAATGCTCCGGGCCACCTCCAAAGTGCGGAGGTAGTGAGGTTATCTGTCTAAACTCTAGTCAGGTACAAGCCCAAGTCTACCTATGGCTTAGAAGTACTAGGCGAGTGTTGAGCTTAGATTCCTAGGTTCAATGTGTGGCGCATTTGCTGTCGGCGTTCTGAGGCTCCTCCATGGCACCGACACACCTCCGAACAATCAAGCAAGGAAACTGTATGTTACTCCGCTCCCTCAAGCCCGAGTGCTATTCAAATTCTCGAATGTGGCGTATACAGCGGGCGGCCCCGAGATCCAGAGCGAAGGTATAGGAGCCTTGTGGATCTCGGAAGATTCTTAGAATGCCGCATCGATGTATACTGGGCTTAATTATGGGCTTAAGCACTCACCTCGAATGTCAGAATGATGGTGCCTACAAAATGCAGACCACTGCGGTCGGAACTAATGAGTTGCGAAGGCAAACAGACTGCCAGGGTCTCGAATTATGCGGTCCCTCGACCCACCAGTCTGTCGGTCTGTCGGTGAGAAACCGTAGCCTTCAGAACTCTATAGCTATTTCTAATTTCTGGTCAAGGTTGAATGCCAGGTTTCAGTCACAGGTTTCTTCTATTATCCTGTTTCAATGTCGAAGTTGTAATACAAGTTTTGAAACAAGCGCGCGCTCGCAGTTAAGTGTTTTTTTACGGTTTTCGAGGGTCAATATGATAAACAACGCTCATTCTTCGTCCTTACTTCCATCAAGATCAAAATGCTTCTCCATTCGTTGACATCAGAAGGTGGTCAATGGCACTAGCGTGAACTAGAATCTCAGGAGAATAAGTATCCTTTTAGGACAGATTTGCATGATGTGTCGAATCACGGGTGGCGTTTAGCCGATGGTAAACTCCAGTTCGAGTGCTTACTCTCTCGAACCCAGCTGCCTGGACATATGACAGTGACCGTATCATGCCCTCACAATGAAACCTCCATGATCTGTAATAATGAGACGAATGGAAACTATGAAACTAGGACCAGGACAAATTATGTGACCACTTTTGGGTGCACCCCGAATACTAGGAAACGCGAATGCTGACCGTGAAATTGTAAAGTACTTATGGTTGATAATTATGAAAGTCCGCTATCGCTTAACCGCCGGGAGTGTGACAGTGCTTATAAGTTCCCAACAATTGACTTTGATTGAGACTGACGGCATGCCAGCCGGTGGGAATATCCGAGTCGACCTTAAGCATTAGTTCCCCGCTACCGTGTCAATGATCATGTTTAAGTGAATAGCTTCCATGTTGTATTGCTTCTCCTCATTTGGAGTCTTATGGGATCCGATTCAACGAATGGGTGTAGGCCATGACATTGGTACATTACACCTGTCCGGCTGTCATCAACGACTGGGACCACATTGCTTGACTTATAATTAATCCCACCGTCTGATTCCGAGTTTTGAACGTAGTATCTCCATTGGATCTGTACTTTGAGCCCCTGGGATTCTTCACTTGAATACGTGTTGAACCCACACGTCATGGCAAAGACATGTACCATTGGCCATAATCAGTTTTGCTCATGCAAGTAATCCTGTCGAAGTGGCGGTATTTTCGGTCTAGCCGACTACATCGCTAATATTAAGCAATGGAGAAATGCGCCATCATATTTCTTATCGCTGCATCTTGGTTGAACCGTCGGATCCTTTGATCTCCCATCTCGAGGCTCCATACGACAAACCCACAACATGCTCAACATAGAGATCTAGAATTCGTAACGAAGTAGTATACGACCATTGAAACATCTAGTAGAATAGGCCTTATAGGATGGGGATGTACCAGTTAATGTCTACACTCTGTCTATCTTTATATGTTAATGTACAAATGGGCTATAAGCTAATTAATGAAATAAGTAAACCGCGTCAAGATACCTATAAACGGAAAGATAAATAGAAGTATTCACTGAATTGCGAAGAAGGACAGTAGACCGTTGGGTTGATCTAAGCCAGCTTCCCGATTCGACAAATCGTCGAACTCAACCTCTAAGGCCTGGCACGAACGAACAACCATCAACTCCCCCCACAGACGCACAGGAATATCATGGCTCTGCCGTAAGAAGAACCGTATGCGTTCCAGCCACTCCTTCAAGAGTGGATATCTCTTTCCGGACCGGGACGTATCCGCCACCCACTCCGGACCACCCTCGTCAATAGCAACCAGCAGGACCTGCACTAACCAATAATAAGGCAGCGGATTCTGAATCAGCGGAGATTCCTGGCCCAGCCTAGCCGGTACGGGGGTCTGGATCCACAGCTGGAACCAATTATGGAGTGAGTACAGGGTGCGATCGCTGGGGGCGCATCGTGAAAGCACGTCCCGTAAAATGACATGGATTAGGATAGATAAGGAAAATGAATTCAGCGGGGACGGGCATGGGTCATCGATGGAGAATGGTATACGTGGAGCCTCGGTAAGGTGCGTCAGGGCCTGCTGGAAACCGGTCCCCCGCAGCATCGTTGAGTCTACGCCGCATAGCGAGGCGGCTTGAAGCACTGAGAGCCATTCGACAGGGTTCTGTGCATTCCACAATTCCTCATCGCATGGCAGATGAATATCAAACTCAGTTGTACGGAAGGAGGATTGTTTTGAAAAATATATCGAGTAGCAGCAGTCGTGAAGATATGAAAGCAGCAGTGCCCTGTGGCGAATTATGTGAGCCTGAGATTGTAACCATGTAGAGAAAGAAAAATATGTCCTACCTCTTGGCAGTCTCGTGCGAGGCCCATTCCATCCACGACTGCTCTAAGGAGAGGTCATCTTCAATATTAGGTACGACCCAAGAGCGTTCCTGAGCGATCAATCCCGACTGGTGGATCATCTAAAAGGCAGGTGTCCGGTTAGACGATGACGCCTTCAGAAAGCCAAACAAGCGCACCATCACCAACATCCCGTGGTAAACGCTACTTGCAACGCGTGTCTCCGGCCGCTGGTGAAACAGGCCAAGAGTTTGCAATAAAACAACCGCAAGTATCACAAAGACCCGATCTTTCGGGCTGCATGAAGCCTTTGCTTGGGACATCAGTAAGCTAAATCTCAAACGCCCGTGTACACTCACAAATTCTTGTAAAAGCAAATTGCGCGAATCTAAAGTTTCTTCGATAAACTCTGCAGCTTGTCGTGTTTTGACAAAGAGAGCCCCGCATGCTTGCATGGCGCGAACGAGGACAGGAGGTTTTCCTTCTATGTTCCATGTCGCTTGATGCATAAGGGGAAACTGTTTACAAAAGTCGGTGAAAAACAGACAAACTGGAGAAATGATAAGAATCGTTACGGCACGTTCTTGTAAAATGTAAAACTTACGGTATCTCCGTTTGTCAACATCAAGGTCGACAGATGTAGGATCGGCAATCGGCGGGGGTCCGAGAAAGAGTGTGGAATCAGTGTTATCGTACTCGAAACTTGTTGGTACAAAGTTCAACAAAAAATCCAAATCAGAGTAGTCGTTTCTGAGTGCAATCGCACAGGAAGAGTCATAAGAGGGAGAGTATAACTTGTCAAGAAAGGCTTCCCATCCGCATTCATTGTTGGTTTCCTCATTTTGAGATATAGGCAACCCTAGGATGTCGTCCAGATCCCAATCTGGAGGCGTATCAAGCGAAGATGGTGAACTCGCGTTAGACGTATCTTCAGAGACTGAAAAGAAGGGCGAGCAAGCTGGGGGGGAGGAGGATGACGATGACAGTGTTCCTGAGCTATCAAATGCGTGCGTGATGTCGTTTTCTCGTCCTCCGGTAGTATCGCTGATGAAGATGCATTTTTTGCCGCGGGTAATACATCTTGAACAGGGATCTTGGAGATGCCGGTCGCACTTTACTCGAGACTGGACGCAGGACTGAATAGAGCGACATCGTTGAGAATCGGTATCTCGGTCAATAGATAATTCATCGACGTACCTGACAGGCCTTTCTCTTTGAGCGATTGGCTGCGAGCCTGATATTGTGAACGATGATCAGCTTCGTGGGTTCGCAACAAATCAGTAAACACTTACGAGCCCCCGCACGTCTTCATATGCCTGTTCAATACATCACGCCTAACAAACTGGGAGTCACACATCTACGAGAGAGGTTATTAGGCGAAACACTTTGAAGCGTATATCTGAAGACTCACCGTGCACTTATGAACGCGTTTGTGAGTGTCTGGCAATGGTTTCGCGTGTATCAGTGAAGGGGGTTCACATAGAGTCGATGTTGGCACTTACGAGAACGGATATGTCTATGCAGATGGGTTGGTCTGCTATACTTGGCGGGACAGTAAGGACAGGATTGGTTCTGAGGTAACATCCGTCCATTCGCCTTGGGATCCACTGAAGGAGAGAGAGCGAAAAGTTGGAACGACACATGGTCATAGGCCTGAGGTGACGACGCGTCCATGGTCAGAGTGGAAGAGGAAAAACTAGAAATCCAAGTCGTAAAACTATGTTCCTGGCTTTATGTATGAGAATTTCAGACCCCGCATAAACCTCAGACTTCTTTGCGCGCATCAAAAGAACCATTCGTCGATCAAATGGCAAATGGGACTGCCTCTATCATTGTATCATGTTTGCGCGGCGACATCGGACAGGCGAAATTATATCGGGGGCGAACCGTAATAATAGACCGTGATCTGGTGGTGCAAACGATACTGCTTAATTCTGATTCCGTCGAATTGGCAATTATGTTATCCTTGGAGTGGCAAATGAGGGTGAGAAAATATGAACGACCATTGCATTTCTTCTCACCTCCATCTAGATTAGTTTTTTTTTCCTTAGCAGGGGGCAAGTAACTCCATATTCGGGGAAATTTGCCGCCGTGCGATCGTCAGTTATCGGCCTGATGATTGGATGATGGATAGATTCTGTCTGCCTGCCCGAATCTCAGTAGAACATCCTTACCAAGGAATTTGCCTTCGCTGAATCCAATAAAATGCTATGACCAATCACTCTGATCCAACCGGGGCCCGTCGAGATCAGTGGCGCGCACGCTAACAGGTTATGCGTGCTTTGCTTCCGCTCCTCCCGATGCAGGAAGCAAAGAGGGCGGCGCCGACTCAAAGCCGGACTACCCCAGACCGACAGTACTGAATGCAGCCAATCAGCGGGATGTCCAGGAGACTTAGGGGAAAAACATGGCCGAGCATTGCCGAAAATGAACGACCGGTATTCTGTTTAAACAATCAGACAATCTAGCAGTCAAAAACAAACATATGTTGACCAGGAACCATGAAAGTCTTGCTCCAAATTGCCGTGGCGAGAAGACTCCGCTTGCGATCCGTTGAGGACGAACGGACCTCCGCTTTCCACTGTATACAATTTTTTGCAAAAAGCTCAGCGCCCTCTTAAGCTCGAGCGCGCTCATTTCATTGGTATGTCGGTCGCTCCAGTGAATGATAACCGTCTGCAGTCGGTACACGTGTGGATGATACGTATCCTTGCTTGCTACCGTGCAGAGCGGATAGCCGCTGAGTTGAATCGTTGTCACGGTACCGCGAACAAAGGTGAGTTCGGGTGGACAAAACGTTCAGATATGTTATATGACGACAAAAAGGTGATGTGGGTACCTTGGAATCGCGTGGCACTCTCTGATTGACTTTCATAAAAGTATCCGGCAGCTTCGTATTGTCCTGCATACCCTGTTTCAATGTCACATCGTTCGGTTTTGTGTATCTTGAAAAACACAGCCTACCAAACGTAATTTGTTCGAGTGAGACCCTGAATGAATCATTATTCAGAGAGACTTCCGAGGCTGATCAACAGGCTTTGGTTATGATGGTAGACTCGGAGGTAGTAGTACTCGGTTAATTCTGTTAGATCTAAGAGTCAGTGCTTGACGGTACTTTCTGGCACCGTGGCTACTTCGACATGGATAGCTCCCGAGGCCAAGGGGCTTATTTCCGAACTTTCTCCCCAGAAATGAAAGTACCAGCTGTCTGGGTATACGTTGACATTCAGAGTCAACTGTCCTGGACTTGGAGTACTGAATTGCTAACACTTACTAAGAGAATGCGACAGGTTATAGTAATGGGGGATAGGAAGTATTGAGTCGAGATGTCAAACCATTTGTTTGCAGCGGCAAAGCATGAAGAAAGCGAGCGGAGGGCTTGCTCCTGCCATTCTGGTACAGTGGCAGTGTATTAAAGTTTGTTTCTATTACATTCCAAAGGCTATGACCTCATGGCAACGTGTTCGAATTCAACCAACTTCGGTGTTTCCCTTTCTTTTGCTGCGACCACGTTATACCTTCATTTCATTGACGATGCGCTGGCTAGCGGTCTCGTCGCTAGCATTTTTTTTTTCTAATGTCTATGCTGATGGCGGTCTGTACCCTCCTGGTCTCCTACCACTCATTAACCGAGAAAATTCACTGTTATCCACCGGCCAATTCAATGAAGCGGCAAAGATATATTCAGAGGCAATAGGTGCGTTACTGGACGTGTCGTGTGCAATAATAAACCTAATACCTATTGTAGAACAGTCTCCCGCTGATTATCTGTTATATTACAAGAGAGCGACAGCGTATTTCTCTCTTAGCCGCCACGGATCGGCGCTGGACGACTTTGACAAAGTCCTTTCGCTGACATCCGACACATTCGACAATGCCTATTTCATGAAGGCTCGAATACACGTTAAAGATGGCCATTTTTCTCAAGCCAGGGAGTCGCTACAGCGCTTCATATCCAAGAACAAAGGGGATACTGCAGCCGTAGAATTGATGAAAGAACTCCAGGAGGGAGAGACGATCGCCAAGAAGGTCGAGCAGGAACGAAAGGCCCATCTTTGGAATGCGTGTGTAGAAAGTGCCAGTGCTGCACTGAAAACTGCAAGTCATTCGGTTGAACTTCGTCAAACAAGGGCGGAATGTTCTCTAGCTGCGGGGGATTTCGAGGGAGCCGTGGGCGACCTTACGTGGGTATCTGAACAGGTCTTTCCCATGCCTAGATGCTGACGCGTCATTTCAGCCGTTTGACACATCTCCTTCCACCTTCAACGTCCCTCCAGACACGAATATTCCGGCTTGATTATTTCTTCTTACCATCTTCACCTGCTGGCATAAACGCACTTAAACAATGTCTGCATTACGACCCCGATAACAAAACGTGTCTTTCTCTACACCGGATCGCGAAAAGCCTTGATAAAGGAATAGCCAAGCTTGGCGAACTCTTATCCAATGAAGATTGGCGCGGCATCATCACGCTTCTAACAGGTAGTGGCAAGGCCAATGACCTGATGAAGCGATTTGATGATGCTATGAATGATAACACTGCTCGTGAGCAGCTCCTACCACCACCGTCCTCGCCTAAGGATATGCCAATACCGCTTCCCAACCCTGCCAAGTTCTCGCCCCGGAGGCAGACCTTGGTTCGGTCCCTTTGTAAAGCCTACGTCAAGTCGAACACACGGAAGGCAGAGCAATGGTGCGAGCTGTTACTTACGATGGACGGTTGCAGTGACGACGTCGACGGGCTGGTTGGACGTGGAGAGGCACTACTTCGAAGTGAAGAATGGGAAGAAGCAGTTAGAGCATTTGAGCGTGCGTTTGAAGCAAGTGGTCGAAGCGACCGGGATGTAAGTACCCTTTTTTACCTTCAAAAGAAAGTATGGCATCTGACGTCTTTCTAGATACATTCACGCGTGCAGAAGGCCCAGCGGCTACTGAAACAAAGCAAGCAGAAGGATTACTACAAGGTCTTAGATGTAGATCGCAGCGCGGACCAGAAGACTATCAAGAAGGCATTGTAAGTGTTCGAATTCTTAGAATCGACAGGGTAATCAATACTTCTTTTCATAGCCGGAAAGCAGCCTTGAAGGCACACCCCGATAAGGGTGGCTCCGAAGCCAAAATGGCTGCCGTCAATGAAGCATACGAAGTGTTGTCAGACCCTGAGCTGCGGGCTCGCTTCGACAACGGTGAGGATCCCAATGACCCTATGGCTCAGCAGGGAGGACACCCCTTCGCCAATGGACAACATCCTTTCGCACAATTCTTCCAACAGAGCGGTGGAGGATTCGCAAGTAGCGGCCATCATGGTGGATTCCAGTTCCATTTTGGACATTGATAGATATGGTATTTTCGTTGTGCTGGACGGAACATTGTAGTATATAGTGCAGTAATGTAAGTTGCATCAGAGAGCTTAAGAGTTAGTATGCCTGCGGCGCTGGCGGCATGGGTGATTAGTCAGCGATCGAGGCTTGATCGTGTAATGAACTGATCGACGCATCTTGACTTTGTACCACCATCATCCACGACATCCTGTCGAGAGGAGTCTGCTAATGGCTTCAGTATCGACGCAGTCACTTGAGGAAGCGGCAAATATTGCCACAGAGTTCATATACAGTTTGTTTCAAATTCTTTCCTTCCGTTCGGATCCTAATCCCGATTCCAGGTCTCGATAACCTCCCAAACGAAATAAGATTCATATGCGACGAAATCAAGATCAAGGATCAGAAAGCCCAAGGTAAGAACAATATTCCATGCAATGTACACCTCTATCTGACGCCGTCATTCCAGAGATTCAAACCGCAATTGAAACGGAATGTGCTCGGCATGTCCAGCTTTGCCAAAGCGGGGCACCGTTTCCCCCAAACTACAAACCGCCCATGCAGGCGAAGATCTCCGAAGCGTACGGTAGAGTGCACAGGCTTCACATGGAGAAAATTGAGCTTGCGACCAAGATGGTTGACCTCATCGAGCGCACGCGGACTCGTCTGGGCGTCGATATCAACCGGGTGAAGAAATTGCAGGGAGAGCCACTGATGCTTGATGCTCCTCAGACGCGGAGTAGCTCTGCGCTTGCGGACGTTGGGGGCGCTTATGCGTTTTCTGGTAGGGATCCCGCTGCTCAGATCAGCGAGAGCTTGAGGAGCGTCATGATCCCGAGCAGTACAACCCCCGTGCAGGAACTGAGACAGTCTCCGGCGGTAGTGTCGCTGACGACAGCAACAGCTCCATCTGGTGCAGCAACGAAAAGTTAGTCATAACTCGCTTTTATTTTTATTATCCCTTTATCTCGTCCTCTTTCCTTTTTGCATGTACTGTCATTTCCTATTTCTGATACTCATCGCTCTCTTGAAACAAACTAGAACGCCGATTAACTGCAGCGCCTTCAATCAAATTACCGGCGAGGTCCCAGTCACCTGCGCCACCACCCAAGGCAGCTCAGGCACCTACGCACAGACAATCGAGACTTTCGCGGCAGGTGCACCCACCTGTGCCCGGACCCGAGGAAGATGCCGAAGGGGAGGAAGAGGATGCAGAGGGTGAAGAAGACGACGAAGGCGAAGATGACAAGCTGTATTGTTTCTGTCAAAAGAAGAGTTTTGGCGATGTAGGCGTTTCTTCTCAGGGACCTTTTTGTGGTTAGCTGATGATCTCTCGTTTTCAGATGATTGCATGCGACAGTGGCTTCTGTCCGTACGAATGGGTAAGCTCCAGTTGATATACCTCTTTGTTCACCATTTCTGATGTTCTTTTTTTAGTTCCATATCTCGTGTGTGGGGTTGAAAGCCGCACCGGTGGATAAGTGGTATTGCGATGCTTGTAAGCCGAAGGTCATGGCTCGCAAGGCCAGGAAGAAGTAATGAGGGTACGGAGTGTCTTTCTTTTTAGTATTCTCTTCTCCTTGCTATCGACGCGCGCTGTGCATGTAACTGTCTTGTGATACAGAAACGATCGATTTTCCTAGGAAACTTGCGTTATTAACTGGTTGGATGAATCATCATCGCCAAGTAGTAGTAAGCACTTGCTGACTTTGCCATGTCTAAGCAACAGATATGACCGTATATAATCCAAGAATCGATGTCGGCTTCTCATCGCACTCAACGGCATGTCGTCTTTGCCATACAAATCTTTCGCAATCTTCGGTGCAGCTGGGAGCATTGGAAGATATGTCTTCGATGCTCTGCACGAAAGGAATGCTTCGATTGTGGCCATCACTCGTAGTTCCTCTTCGTCGACAAGCGCGCTGCCTAGCGCTCCCAATGTGAAGATCACCAAGGTCGAGGGTTATAAGAATGTCGAAGAGGTCGCCGCCGTTCTGAGGGCCAACCGGATCGAGGTCGTCATCTGTACGCTGTCCTGGAAGAGTGACGAGGCCATGTACGGGGAAGAGACGGCGCTTGCAGGTGCTGCGCGCGCAGCAGGAGTCGGTCTGTTCGTGCCGTCTGAATACGGCATGCCCACGGATGGCGGGCCGGCTGGCCTTTGGGAGACTAAAGATAACGTCGCTAGTGAATGGTGGTAGTGGCACCTCCGGAAGTCGTCTGATATAAGTACCAACAGAGCATATGAAGGAGATCGGGTTACCATCTGCGAGGTTTTTCGTGAGCGTCAGCTTCTTGTCAAGGCAAAGCATGGGCTTAACTTGGAAATTCGCGCCTAGACTGGGCTACTCTTCAGTTGGATCTCCGGTCTTTCCGGATACCCATCTACCGGTAAGATCAACGTTGTCGGTACGGGCAAGACACCAGCCTCTTGGACTGCTACTGAGGACATCGGTGGTACGTGTTCCGAGGGACGATCTCAGCGCTGAGCTCACTCAAGTTTAGGTTTCATCGCACACGTCCTCACCACTCTTCCACCATCCGAGCTAAACGATAGGATCTTCCGCATTGAAGGCGAGAGGCTCTCTTGGGAGGACATGGCCAAGAGGACTGGCGTCCCGATAACCAAGGCAGAGAAGGTACCTGCAGATAGCGAGGGCCTCTCGCAGTTTTGCACGATTTTGCAAAGAATGATTGAGGAAGGACCGGGGAGCACGGGTTGGGATTATGCTGCCAAGAAAGAGGGAGCGGAGAGGGCTGGAAGCTCTAATTCCCTTTGGGCGGGGCATGTCTGGAAGAAGGTCCCGGGAGATATTTTGACTTCCACTGACTGAGTTTTCAGTTGAAACGCGATCACAAAAATCTATAACATTCAAGTTGTGTGGCGAAACTGGTCCTTTGGAAGTTACGTGAAGAAATTACAACGAAACGAAACAGACTGTGTTACTCTTACTTGCCAAGTGACCGTTCCAAGTTTCGACTGACGTTTCACAGGTAAGTGGCTACTACCCATAAATACCTATACATCTGTGTCTGAAACTTATACTGCACATAAGTCAAGGTAACTGCCAGGCTCTCCCATCACAACGTGATGATTCCCAGGGCTGCTTCGTATCTAGGGATGTCTTAGATGGATATTGGTTTCGAGAGCGTGTTCACGAGCCAGGTTCGTGACGATTGTCGGGCTCCGACCCCGACGGAGAAATCGTACACATATGTTTCAGTTTTCAGGTAATTTTAAGTCGAGGGTTGCAGTATAAACTTTAGGTGACAAGAATGACCCTGGCATCAACAAAGTTCATTCCTGGAGGCCTGTCAGTGCTTGAGCCTTGAACAGCTCATCGTGTTTCGATGTGCTGCGCATGACCAGATCACTACTCACAGGCATTTGTAGTTCCCATCCCACAAAAAAGGGCCATAAGGTGGGAAATGTTATGATGACTGTTATCCCCTAGCTTGACTGACCTTGAAGATGGTGGCGCTGACTATCCTAACATAGAAAACACATCTCGAGTTATGGGAACAGCGGCGAAATTAAAAGGATAATACAGTGTGAATTTTAGCGAGCGAAGATAGACCATTTACTCTGGGCAGATGCTTAGCGTGAGATGGGTGTAAAGACAGGAAGCGGCAGTCAATAGGGATCTAATTTGTAAGGAATTCAGTAAAATGCAGTAGAACAAGCTGTTGACCAACATCTTATTTTATAGTGGCACATAGGACTCGTCCTTGCAATAGAATGCAAATGCTGTTTACTATTAAGCGCGCGCCAACTTAAAAGTTGAACCATGATATTATAAAAGGCACCTTGAAACGGCAAATGCCGGACTCCCTTACAGCTTGCTAACAGCCTTGTGTTGCGCGCTTGGTGACTTTGCCATTGGCCAAGACACGTTATCTGCTAAAGGACCTCACGGTGAGGATTTTATACTAGCAAACATATACTAGTCAAAACAGAACTTCTTTCTTTCTTTCTTATCCCTAGCTATAAGACTAGTAGTGCTGCTTACCTTTATCAGTACGTGATGGTACTGCATCGTTCACTGCTACTATCTGAGTACCTGTGTTTTTCCCAAGAATAAAGGACCGTGTACTGCCGCGGAGATTCGAGAAACAACACCTTCCTTCATAGCACCAACGCACGAATAAATGTCCCGCGGAGCCTCAGACAGGCTGCATCAATCCCCATCCCTCACTGCTACAGGTCGCTTCATAAGAATGGACTACCTAGTACTGATCCTCACGCTATTCCATATCGCCGTTATCGCCAAACCTATCGCAAAAGGTGGCGGAAAAAGTAACAGTGGAAAAAGCAGTGGAAAAAGTAGCGAAAAAAGTAGCGCAACACCAAGCGTTGCCGTCGATTCTAACACCCCCAGTCCGACGACAACTAAAATCTACTATGGGAGCAAAAGTCGCTGTTATCGAGAGTGAGTCGGAGTGCCACGCAAAACAAATTCACGGGGAACTCATGTATAATATCTAGTTATCTCCTTACCATCGAGATACCGTGTCCACGCCGTAGGCTGTCGACGGGGGCCACAGCAGGGATAGCTGGGGGGTCTATCCTAGCAGGTTAGCCAATTCACGTTGCAATCGGCATGCTTATCGATAGAACCTCCCCATAGTCCTGTTGATCTTGCTTGCGTATTACTTCAGAGAGAAGATCATGGACTTCATCAAGCGGAAGAGAAGAGCGACCGCTTCCGAGGATCCTGCGATGCAACCATTGACCAAGACAGATTCCTAGGTATTTCCGGTACAGTTTTAGACGATGTTCTTTGTTTGACGAATCCATATTAGCTATTTTGTATGTACATTAGGAAAGAAAATCACACCCACCTTTATTTGCTCGGTGCCGATGAGGGGATGGAGGCGGCGGTGGGGTATCAGTGGGTCTAGATCAAAAAGAGCCTGCGCCTTCGTCTAGTTCCCAGGAAACATGACAGGAGGAGCGAGAACCACGTTCGACGAACTATTCTTCCCGCAGCTCCCCACGGCCAAGAAGAGTACAGCACCCGCATCGCATGTGTATGCGTAGAACGTTCTTCAAGTACAACCAAGCCGTACCGGTCCAACTTACTAGCAAGCTAATACCCGACACAGTGCTGGAATCCACCGGGTTACGGTCCGTAAGCTGGGTAGATAACGCGCCCAGATCTTTTGACCGGAGTATATCATTCTAGCATTATTGTGGCGAGAACTCGGTTGCCTGACGGGGAATGAGGCCTGAAGTCCGTCCATGTCGGTATTTCGCGTATACCTAGTACCTTGCTCCGGCGTCTTGAACGAGAACGCTTCCTGACCGGTGATAAAAACTTGGCAGAATGACCACACCAGCAAAAATAGCAAGGGCCTCTGGTATATTATTGTACATTTACAGTTTGTGCGGTTCATGTCATATTGGGCCTTTCTCCCGGCCGACTGTTGTTCAATAGCGTCTCAAGCTGTCAAAGGTGAAGGTCAGCTGTAGATCATATTGAATACACAATTGCAAGATCCACCTGCTCCAGAACCTCCGAACTACCTCCAACATTCGTGTCATTCGAGGCCAAGTTCGCGTTACCGTCACCGAGACTCGCTCTCTATAAGCCACTCAATATAACTATCAATCGCGAAAAGGCAGCTACCACTAACCTGTTCCTGCTTGATATTCTCCGTTCCCCCCGCCTTCCTCACAACACTCCCAGTAGGGAACGGAAGTTCCTCCCGTGGTACAATATCAATCAAAAAATCAAACTGGTCCGACTTGCTCAAAGCCTTGGCGATGTCTGACCTGGACAGCGTCCGGCGTTTATTGGAATCCGCAATAATAAAGGCCCGAGCAGTAATTTCTGCAATGAATACTAAATGCAAGTCAATTGGAGAACCCCTCAATACATTCGGTCACGTACTTTCACACGCTTTGCAAAACAAGATGGGCGCTAGTGAGGGGGGAGGAGTTGATAAACAGAAGCCCCGAATTTAAGAAAATAAGCTGTACCATCAGCAGCAATCATCTTTTACACTGGAATTTTGAATGTGGGAAGAGCGACGAGGTCTGGGTACGCTTACTTTGACGTCTGGATCACTTTTCATGACTTTTTTGATTCGAGCAAGGGGGAGGGCCGGGTGTCGGAAATCAGGCGTTTCTTGTTCTGCAGAATCAACCTGTCGCTGCCAGAAGGAACGAAGGAATTCGTTAAGGGGATCGCCTGCCTGGACAAAGGGCTGCGGATTAGAGGAGGTCATCGTGGTAACTGTTCAAGTCGGGGTGTGAAGTTTAACCCTAACCCTAGGAATCGGTATTTCCGTCCCGCGTTTCTTCGCGTAGAAAGACGACACTAGAAAATGTTCGGACGTTTCAATTGAACTTCTAATTACCAGAAATGTGTTCAATAAAATAAGCTGAAAGATGAGATAGTACTGTTTTAGGTTAAGCAAAATTTGAACCAGAAAACGGAATGAAAAAGGTGTTTCGTGGTTACTGGCAGGACAAAGGGAACGTTTCCTTCGCAGAAAAGTAGTTATTAGCATGTGAAAGGAACATGAAGTAAAACAAGTATTTCATTCTGTTTTCCGTATCACATTTGCGGTACACAAAGAGAGAAAAAAAAAGAGGTAACATATTCAGAACCAGTACCTTGAGTCTCCATCCTAAAAAGGAACCGGTCCTAGCGGTGTCTGGAGCCTATGCATTGGTATATCGACGGCAAAGGCCTAATGAATAAAGTGCAGACGCATGTGCACAGTCAACACGGAGCAAGCAAGATACACGTTGTTATATAGATACACTGCAAAGCAATTCGTAATAGCAAGATATACAAATAAATAATAGCCGAAGAATCCATCATACGGTAATTGTAGCTGTACCGCTAGGCAAGCGAAGTCCCCAACCATGGGAACAAATCACAGGTTGTGCTGTGCGATATGGCGCATGATTGTTAGCGAAGTCATCAGCTCTGATGAAAAAGATGTGTCAATAACGGTAACAGAACCAAAGGGCTGTAGAACTTCTCACCAACTGCCATATGGACGAATGCTTCGTATATCGTCAACGTGTGTCCCGACACACCATATACACGGACATCCGGTTTCTTCAGGTCATAATGGGCAACCAGGTAATTTTCAGCGCCTGTCGTGCACTGGAAAATTGGCTCGAAAAAGATGGTTTGGATAAAGAACCAGGAACTCACTGTCCACTCCTGTCCATCAACCGAACGATAACTCCATCTGTACTCTCGTCCATCAGAGCCCGTAAATTTTCGTGACAGCGATCTAAGGCGAGATCAGAAAGCTGCTGAGGAGGTCTTCAGATGAGTTGCCGGATGACTCACGATGCGAACAAGGAGGTTTTCCTGAGATATTTAGACATGGCTTGGGATATTCGACCGGCGGGACGAATGAACGACACAGTTCCGAGCGACTCGTCATGCAGGAAATCGAGAACGACAATAGGGTCTTGCGTAAACGGCAACGAATCCCGGTGACGTGACGCTCGTCGATGCATGTTGTAGATCATAGTCGCCGTTTGAGATGGTGAACGGGCCACACGGAAGAAAAGTCGGTCGTAGATGTCGTCAAAGTCAGAGCCGGTATTAGCACCGGTCCTGTCCTCTAGGATATAGGGCAGAGGTCCTCGTTGCATGGTACGTGGCAAAGTGAGGGGTCAGAGCAGTGGAGTGGGAGGGGGAGGGAGGTATGGAGCCTGCGAGAACAAGCGGTCGCCTTTTATACCTGGTGTAAGAAAAGGTGAAAAATCCTAATAGGTAAAGATTCGAGGGCGCAGCGTATTTATAACAAAGACCCTCACCAGGCATCATTGACCCAAGAAGCAGATCAAGATTTGTTTTGCGTCAATGGGCTGTAGCGGACTAGTTCATTTCGGGAAGGGAATTCAGTAACACCTTTACGGCACCAACCGGCACTGCCTCGTGTAGGCTTCCTTAAGAAGAAAACTATCGGGTCGTCGTCAGTTCGGTCACAGGGAAATCGAGAGAAAATCCAGACGCACAAAGACAAGCAGATAAGGGACTGAAGGCGGAATAGAACAGCCCGGCCTTTCGACATCACGTCGTACGACGAAATCGCCTATAACAAAGGTACACCACCCGGCATCCACTTGCTGATTCCAATCGAACGTGAAGTGAGAAATGGAAGGCTTCCGGAATCCGGCCAATAGATAAGACTGTAAGATAGCCCTTACCGATGACACAGACAAATCCGCATAAACGTCCAGCTGTCGATCGACTAGTATCCCAAGCAGACTAACCAATTCTCGATGGTCGAATGCGATGTACTCGCTAAGCTATAGGAGAAAATCAGGAGTGGCATGTGTGGCGATCATGAAACGACATACCGGAACGACATCCGGCCAGCTCCCCAATATCCGGGAACCTAATCGAAAAGAACCGCAAATAATGACAGTCGGGGTACGTAGATATTAATATGAAGTGGCGCCTCGCAGCATCCAAGGCGCAATATTGCACACATGATAACATTGAGCACCATTCTTTCGTCGGCGCGAGGACCCGTTCGGTGACTTGTAGAACTGTTCCGAGTGGCGAGTAACTGAACAGTATTCGAAAAACCCGCGCGGTCATAGATCACCTGGACGGACATTCGGTTGGCTTGGGACGAGCTCAACTGTCAAACGAGGCCCCCTGGGCCAAGCCCTGACCAGCGCCAACGCCGAAACTGAATGGAGAACAAAGTCAGCCGCGTTTCTTACTTCTCCGAGAATAGTTGCAACAGCAACGCGACGAACACATGACATTCATGCGAGTTTATTTAGACTGGGGAAGCCTAGACCAGGACCAAATTTTAGGGACGAATTCGCAATCAATGGAGAAGAACGAACCGTCTGCTTCTAGTCGTACGACACGCAAATGACCAAATCTTGGGACGTGCATACATATGTCGTGATCTTGCCCCACCCTTGGACATTTGCATCCTCAGCTGACAGTATTCACCAAAGCTATGACGCGACCGCCGGCCCCAAAGCCACAAACGGTCCTGTGATCATCATCTCTCCGACTCTGTTTCTCGGGCCAAGGAGGAGACGCGTTGCCACGGAACACTGGAAGTGACCGTGATCAGGTCCCGGCGATTACGCGAAGGAGAATAACGCGTTCTTACCCACTTTGAGGATATTTGTAGAAGACTGTTGCCGTTCTCAAGATGAGATGTGAAAATCAATGGAAGCTAATTTTAAGGATCAGTAAATGAAATGGGGGGGGCCTCCTCGATCGATCAACATCATACGAATCGAGGAAAAGAAGGGAGTGCGTTCAAAGCACAACTGGGCTGTCGTTTCGGTCGATATGCCATCGGTCAGACAAGGACGCTGTCATACCAACGACTTGCACATCACCATCCGAAGAGGGTGGACAACGCGGTGATGAACACCTGCCGGGTGTTTTCCAGAGGTTTCATTTCGGATATAACCCTTCATTTGTGATGCCGGTTCGCAGCAACATATACCGTGCAACCGGAAATGAGGGTCTGGACAAAAACATCTCTTCAAAACTTGGACTGACGTAGAGAAAGCAGTATTAGATTTACCTGAATACCAATCGTATAAACACACGGCATGAGGAGTCGAGGCGCTGATACGCTAGACTACGTCGAACATGCTCGCAGTCATCCATCGGATGTACTAGCAAGATGAAAATGGGTTTGTGAGAACGAATGTCAAGTAATTGAAAAGAAAAGTTATCGATCGCTCATACCGATGACACGCATGAAAGGACTTGAGAACTTGTTGGTTCCTTCTACTCCTGCATTAATTGATAGGCTCGCTCGGAGGCCCGTTCGGAGGTCTAGATCGGAAGATACCATTTTGCAGGCTCGGAGGAGGGTTGAAAATGGCCTTATAAGGGTTCTGCGACGCCACAGGGCATCAGACGTGCATGAATCGAAGTATGGTTTCGAGGCTCATGCATTCTGGAGAACTTGTCACGGAGATTCGCGGTTCTTCACAGCTGTGGGAGAAACCTGACATGACCAATAATGGTATATACAAGTTACCGAATCCTGTAATTTGCAAGCGTTCTGAAATAACGCCTCAGCGATAAATCATCGACAAACAAAAACAGAAGGTACCTTGGGTTTGCAGCGCGTGTAATGCCGATATGTTTGTATAGGAATAGCGAAGATAAGACGTATCGGTAAAACCGAACTTCAAAACATCGATATCTCCTAAGTACAGGCAATCACACTCATCGGACGATAGACAGGGTACGACGAGCTTAAAAATATGGTTAGCGTTTGAAAGACGTATCAAGAGAATAGACCAACTATAACCTTGATCTACACCGATCACCATGCTCTTATCGCGTATCGCGGAAGACCTTCGGCTGAGAGTTATCGGCACGAATTCGATACGGCTCGTAGGGAATTTCGCACCAAAACATAGAACATTCTTCATGGCTGATAGAAGTGCGAGTGGGAAGTCACTTCAAAGACATGTATCTGGTCCGGCGCTCATTAATATCAACTACATGAGGATGAGAAATGAAACCATGATCACAGATAAAGCGTGTTGTCCGTGCCTGAAAGATAAGGACAACTCTATGACGTGCTGCCACGGTCTTGACTCTTCTAGGGCTTCTTTGTGTGTCCTGTTCTTCGCAGGCGTCTTCCAGCTTGGTCAAAGCCACAAGTAGTCATCTGGAAATGAATAAATTAGTAGTTACACACAGTCATCGATAGGGAAAAGGAACAGGAACAGACAATCTGATGAATTGATGAATGTACGAAGATAGCATTCTTATCCAGGCTAACAGCAGTAGAGCTGACGGAAGTGGTATTGTGATGATTACCGATGCTGCAAAGCTAGATTCTAGCCATAAATAAGCTCGCCATTCGACGCAAAACGCAAACCGACAATTATATGGTCAATCAACAAAATGACATACCTGCTCACGCTCTATGGGGAGGACGTTGTGACAGAAGAGCAGATATGAAGAAGATTCCAATAATAGAGACCGTCCTATGACGTTTAATCTTTGTGTGAATCCCGTGAGTAGATTCCTGCGACACATATCTGAAAGATGATCACTAGTATGAATCACTTGCTGAATGAATGGAAAAAAACAGTCACAAAGCCAAATGACGAGTCGCAGGTTTAACCTCTCCGAATAGGCGGATTAGAGTTCAGGATTCCTAACAAGTATACGGTCTCGATCATTGCAACCGGTTTCTGTTGAGATTGTTATCGACTGCACAGGTGGAGAGTACGAAGACCTCATGTTTTCATGCGGGTCCTATACATGCTTGTCGCACCGAAAAGACAGTAACGAGTTGAAACAACGGAGCCCTTCCCGGAAATTTTTTCATCGTCCTATGACCCTACACATCAGCAGGTACCTCCCGTAGCCTACTCCAGAAAGCGTTACTGCATGGAACATCGATGAACCATTGGTACGCACCTGCTATCCTTGTGCCATTTGACCAGTAGTTTCGCGGGATTCATGAAAAAAATGGAAGTACAAGTCTTGGGACCATGCTTCTCTTCGTTCTTTAGGTAGACGGCGCCCCGTTGGGAAACGAACCAGGCCGAAGATCGGTATGCTCCTTGTACACACCTAAGGAAGCTTAATCTGAGAAATAAGTGAGTAAATATGATGAATTGGTTCTTTATACACTCACCTGTGATCCAGAAAGTTCAACAATACCACCGCCAAAAAAGCCCTTCCGAGTTCAAAGCGAAGGTGGGTATTTGGCCTAGTTCTCCTCAGGATTTCGAATCACGGGAGGTGATACTAACGCTTCTCTCCTCGACATGATGGTGGTCGTAGTTAAGGTTGAGCGCGTACCCGACGCGTCGGATTGAGACCAAAACATCGTTATTGCCGAGATGCCGGGAATATCTTTTACTCACGCTTATTAATTTTTTCGTGATCCTTTCTAAATGTCAATGGATGAATTCCTCCTGCCGATCCTTAGTCTTCTATTCCAGAGCTTTACAGACACAGGAATCCTTTCGTTCTCTTCCGGAACCTTGTGCACTTTTCCAAGGCTACTAGTCACCCAGTTTGCATCCTGCAAGTCGCGTTCCACCCCTCACTACTCGTACCGCACTCCGCTGTTTGGTGGAATCCATGGAGGATCAGAACCGCAGAATCGCAGCCAGAGAATCTGCTGTCTTGTATCTGTTAATCTCAGAGCCAGCGAACTTCCAGACTTGCCGAGTCCTTAATATTGTCTTCACGCTTGTACTGGTGCTCTTATTTCTATTCCCGCAAGTATATATCTCCCACGAGTATGTCAAGTGACAATATTGTCGTTACTTCGTGATACAGACATCAGTCTACGGATATAATTCTGTAAAATATCGTTCTCAAGTATTGGCCGCCATACTCATTATCTTACCCACTCGGAACAACTGCATCAGTGTGGTATCCAACAATGTGCTCATAAATGCCTCATCCCCAGGACCAAGTCCCGGAAATTTTCCTGTAGTTACCTACGACTATCTCTCTTCCTTGGGAGAATACCCCCGATTTTTCCGCGATGGATACAGGGTTGTCGCTCGAAATATAAAGATCTCAAGGTCAAGGAGGAAGCCTCGTCGTTCCTTTGCAGATAGGCTAAAATGCTATTATGAAATCTCTATCTGCCGCTTTCGCTTTGGCATCTGTTGTATCGGTGTCGGCGCATTCCATTTTCCAGGTTCGCGGTCTAGTTTCGCCGTGTAATTTTCTGTATTCTGACCACAATCTACAGGAACTCTACGTTAACGGCGTCTCTGCAGGTCACCTGGAAGGTATACGTGTACCTGACTACGACGGCGTATGTAGCTCTGCAACTCGAGCGCGGTCCTCGAGCTAAACGATTGAGCTAGCCAATAACCGACGTCACTTCTGATGGTAATTAATTCACCGCTCTTGTTTTTGGTCCCGAGTACACATCTATTCAATTTCTTCAAGACATAATCTGTAATGGTGGTATCAACCCGTACCACACGCCTATGTCAACGACCGTCATCACTGTTCCCGTCGGCTCGACCGTCACCGCCGAATGGCACCACACCCTTGATGGCGCTAATTCTGCTGATTCTTCTGACCCTATTGACTCTAGCCACAAGGGTCCCGTCATGTCATACCTGTAAGACGCTTTCTCTCATGTCAGCTCTCCTGCTAAGGGTCGAATTAGCGCCAAGGTCGACAACGCCACGCAAACTGACGTTACAGGTTTGGCGTGGTTCAAGATTTACGAGGATGGATATGACGCCTCGTCAAGTACATGGGCTGTTGACACATTGATCGCCAACGAAGGCAAAGTTTCTTTCACCATCCCCGATTGCATCAAGCCGGGTCAATACCTCCTTCGTCACGAGCTGATTGGTGAGTAATTCGGTGCGTTTGTTGGTTCCGAAATTAAATGTCCTTTGGCTCTTCACGCCGCTAGCTCTTACCCGGGTGCGCAGTTTTATGTGAGCTGGTCCCAGCGCTCCGTCGGAACATCCCACACATTAAATGCTAATTGAATGTAGATGGAATGTGCTCAGCTTGAAATCACAGGTGGAGGCAGTACCTCCCCTTCTACCGTCAGTTTTCCTGGGGCTTACGCAGGTATGTTACCCACTACTCCCTCTCATAGCGCATTGACTCTTTATTCCTCTCTGCCAAGGTTCTGACCCTGGTATTACTATCAACATCTACCAAACGCTTAGCGGCTATACCATTCCTGGTCGGTACCCAATTTCTGACGGTTCACTCAGCCCGAAAATTGACTGGAACGATTCTATAGGACCCGAAGTGTTCAATTGCTAGAGTCAGCATAGAGCTTCGGGTACATAAATCATATGTCATTACGATTCATTAGCATATGAATCATCCACGCGTTATCAGGAAGTTTAGTAATTTAAGCAAGGATCCGGCATCCCGTTTGTGCAGCAAAAGAAGACATCAAAATACACTGGGCTCAGTGACAGAGGAGCTAGCAAGATCACAATGTGAGCATTTATGACCGGTATAAGGATGATACGGTGGCGGAGGGGTGATCCAGGAATCGCGTTGAGGGTTATAGCCGTCGTGATCTATTCGGCTTTTCGCACCGAAGGAAACTGCTTTGTCTGCTTTGCTATCAGGTGGCCAATTGGGTTCCATGATCAAAGGTAGCGCCGAAGTTGGTGTCGGTGGTGCCAGCAGGTCCGGGCGAGTAGGAGCCACTAGTACGGTGGGATTACTGGTAGAAGCCTTCTTGCGTCTTGACTGTATCTTCTTTATGCAGCATAAAATAAATACGATGAGGAATATCACTGTATAACCAGAAGATCAGTAAAGAGCACCTGCGCGATGCTTAGAAACCACTGACTGCCAACTATTATGGATCTCGTGTCTTTTCCGGTCTGCACATGAGTCAACACATGCCTACTCTCGGCCTTCTCGGCCTTGACCTCGGCTTACTGGTATTTTCTATCATTTTCTCTTACTTTCTCTTACTTTCTCCTTCCTTCTTGCGAATACTAGAATAATAATGACTCGATTCCTTACTAGTGGTATATAAGTATTGTACTTGCCATTGTATTGGAATCTCAAGCTAATTTTACTCATCTTCGAAGTCCACTTAATTGTGTGAACTAAGCATCTCTGATCGGTTACGCCAAGCGCTTGCCAATCAATTGCTTTCCGACTATGCCTAGCGCTTTTCGGAGACCCAGTCAGTTACGCCTAGCGCTTGCTGACGCCCTCGTTAACTACGCCTAGCGCTTGTTAGCACCCCTACGGATCCCTCTTGGTGGTTGGAACTCGGCTTTTGGACATCCTCGCTCTCAACTTAGGTTTTACTCGAGTATTCAGTAACTCGTGTATTAGCCAAAATACCCTGATTCTTAACACCAACCATGGAGCCGATGACGATGCCAAAGATAGCTCCCTGGGATAACTTCGATTTCGGACAGGAAATTTCGTTCTTGTGCGCTTCACTACGGATCTCGAAGTAAGGGAAACGCGGAACTGTGGCGTAATAAACTGGACGTACTCTGAATAACAGTGCTTCCTACCGCCGATATTATAAACGTAAGTCGGCGTTCCCGAAGAGCTTGCATGAGAGGTGCTGCCACTACTGCCGCGACTACCACCGCCACTACTGTGGCTAGCGCTGCCGCCTCCTCCCTTGGGTGTTGGAGCTGCCGAGATGGTGGCGCACGCGATCAGAATCAGAGAGAAAAGCTGCCATGAAGCATTAGAGAGAGATGTCATTGGGGGAGTCGGCTATCGTGCTGTCGCTTCTTCGAAGTTAGAGAAACTACAAACCAGGTAAAGTAATCTGAGGCTTAAGTAGCGCCTGCTTGAGCAGTGCCTTCGATTTGAACGGGCTAATCTATGGGTGGCAGACGATCCCACAGCAATGGCAAAGAAATAGCTATTAAAGATGTAGTTCCAGTTCTTCACTGCCATTCGTTATTGTTCTTTTGTTGGTGACCACCAAGTGAAACTCGGATGAGAATTTTTTTTGTTATGGTAACGTGGAACAAACAGCTGTGTTGAAGCGACGAATTTCCCAGGCATCGGTTTCTCCGAGGATGCTCGATAACAGGTAGAGAGTATCAAAACGAGTACAAGGATACAAGGAAAACTGCGTAATAGGACCTGGAATAGAAACTCAGTGCGGCCCGAGCGTTAACGTTGATGGGAGATACTTAGTTCCGGTGGTGTCCTTGCAGGTATCGCTAGTTCGCTATATATATATATCCATAATTTAATCGCCCAACTAGTTTGGATTAAGCTTTAGCATGTTGAAGCTGATTCCTTAGCGGTAATAATATCGCGCCGGCATGAACGGTGAAGAGAAGCCATCAAGCGTTGCAGATGGAACACGTACCTGCAGGGTGAGGATGATTGGATGATAAGCGCTGAACAATTACAGAGGATAGTGTAGACTCAGCTATGTTAGGCCCTGATTCGTCCCGATATGGTGTTAAAAATTCCAGGTCAAATCTGAGCGCTACTGCGAGGATCTGTTACAGAATTTTGATACCCCACATACTGGATTGTTTCGTAATGTGGGCGGTGGCGAAGATTGTATACGCGGATCTGATTACTCTGAAGTAGTGGCGCGCGCCTCGAATTGCGGCCACAAGGCTAAACTCTTTGGAGCATCTTTTGTGGTGTGCGCTATATGATACACCGACTGAGTTGTCCTACTATAGAAACCTGAAGGGCGGATCTGCACCACAAGAGCCGAAATAGGAATGTGGGCAAGTCCCCCCATACGAGTAGTCTGATGCTTACAGCCCATGGGCATCCGTCGAACAGCACCTAGTGTTATTGAGATACAACACCATGAATAGACATGTACATGGAACTGGCGCTTTGAAATAGTGTTCATGAGGTAAATTGACTCAAGACCGCGATGACGGGCAGATAACTCACTTCAAAAGACCAATCCCTCCGCCCAGCTATGTCCATAGATCATATTAAGTACCGGATAATGTAAGGAAACAGATTATTCGGTATCATGAAAGCATAAAATGTCGTCAACTCGTTATCATGCCACTGTCTCGGAGCTTGTCCAGAGTTCGAAGGAAATTGCCAACGGCAAACCAGTAACCTGATTGGATGCTTGTATCCGCTAACAAATGATTAGAAATTATTGAAGAATTAGCAACAGATTTGTACCATGTTGGCCCTCAGGAAAGGTTTGGAATACATCCTCCAGTGGAGTGTCATCCTTAACCCCTGAGCTTGAACGTCGATGGGCGAGGGCCCATAGTTCGCGCATGTGCTTCTGGGGAACAACTTCATCTCGATCACCACTGAGCATTAGTATCGGAGTCGTTCTAGGGATGGAGGATATCTTGGATGCCGAATCCCATTTCTGGTGCACGAAGAAGGTAAAGTATCGAATGAAAGGAATATCACGAGCAACAGTCGGTATAGAAAGAAAGGTATTTTCTATGATGAGCGCTTGCACCTATCACGGAAATTTGTAGTCAGCTTGAGGGTAAGTGTTCAATGCTGACCTTCGTCGGGTTTCGACTGACAAGATCAACAGCTACAGCACCGCCTAAGGAGTGACCATGGAGAACCTTTTGAAATACAGTCAAAAGTGAGATAAACTGAATGCCAAAGAAATATAGACGCGTACTATTGGCACCGAAGATAACTGGGAATCAGCCAGAACGAAGTCTAGAGCGGCTTGTGCGTCTCGGCGTAGACCTGAGACCTTTCATATTACCGAACATTTATATAGGATGGCGATGTTTGTCATACCTCGCTCCGTGGGTACACCTTTAGAACTTCCGTATCTGCAAGAGAACAGTAAGCTAGAGGACGAGTAGCTAATGTTAGACGCACCCTCGATACGACACCATCAGAACGTTACATTTCAGCCTATGGAATTGCTGGGAACAGTGCAAGTGATGCCAAACATGATACCCGTTTCCGTGAAACAATATAACAGTGGCTCTAGGCGACTAGAAGCAATTAAGTTAGTCAAAGCATACGGAATGAAGCCGTCAGAATCTTACCGGACTATGAGCAGCTCGTATCAAATAACATTTCAATACCACATTGTCGGAGGTAACCACATCCACTTCCGAACCAAAGAGCGGGGTAGAAAATCCGGCATCTGTGAGCAAGAACATTAGGTATAGACAAATATCATATCTGGTGCCTACACCGTTCTTCCTGAGAATCGAAAGCAGCTGGATAGATACAAAAATATTGTCCGTGACAAATAAGCTTGAAATTCCGATTCATTTCAGCAAATGAATTCGATAAAAACACGAAAAATTGTCATACATTTCTCCAGAAGGAAGGCATTTGGAGATCCTCGACCCCGCATGCGGTCCTTGGAGTCAGAAAGCGCCCAGATGCAAACTGCAGGTGGTGGAACAATGCCAACAAAGGTGCGACGCGATGTTCGCCGGTCCGTGATCACCTCGACGAATTAGCAGTATTTTCGGATCAAATTGCATTGATGAGTTTTGGCCCAGCTTCGGCAAGCAAATCCGGCGAAATCTGAAAAATGCCGACAGTGCCGTATTCCAAGTCTGGAATTTTTGAGGATGAATGCGCTTTTTTGGAGCTCGAATGTATTTTTTTGCGCGGAAATACATCTAGCCGGGGACGTCGACGAAGGCATGCATCTTGTGCTTCGTGATGCTCGTTTCTCCTCCCCTCGACGGCCCTGTAGGCAATGGCGTCGCTGTGGGTGCCGTCGGGCCAATCATGAAGACACCCTACGACCCTAACGATGCACTGGATGATATTCCAGGTATCGCTCACACCCTGGACCTTTTTCTCGCGTCGCAGATGGTGGAATCGGAGGAATACTGCGCTAAGAGCGACCCCGACAGGTGCGTATGCTGCCATGTGCTTCCCTACACGCTGCTGACGATGCCCAGGGAACGTATGTATTTCTGTATTGGATACGGACTTATCCAATGCATCAAGGCAGTAATGTCCTACGATGACGACGACATTGTGGCGGCAATTGGGCACGCAAGGCATGCTACGGCGGTGGCTTCGAAGTACCGCAAAGTGTCGTCGTTTACTTCGAAGCTCGCTGGCTACGTCGTTCCCTCTCTTCATACGACTGGCGTCAGCCTCATCCAGAGTATGACCCCAGTCGAGCGTCACGCCGAACTCATCTACGCAGAGAGTATCTTCGAGAAGTCCATGCTGGCGGTCATCTACTCGGGGGATTGGCTCGCATTTGTTAAGGAGGCGTGGGTGCCAGTCAATCCCACCTTGAAATCCGACGTTAACGTTCATTTGTTACAGAATCAATATGCGTGCCTCCCTCAACATTTACCGGCTGCTATACAAGTACATAAAAACCATGGATGATGCCTCCCCAAATGGTTACGACAATGCTATCGACGAGCACTTTCGCACGGGTGTCTACCTCGGTGCTGGAGTCAGCATACTCGTTCTCAGTCTTCTGCCTTCCAGAATCATCGCCATCGTTGAGATTTTTGGATATCATGGAGACCGCCATGAAGCTCTTGCGATTCTAGGCAAAGCTAGCGGCTGGACGTCAGAATCAGACGAGCCAGCTATCCCCGCGTCCACAGAAGGCCTTCGTCGGCCCCTCTGTGACATGACTCTCATTGTCTTTCACCTTGTTCTCTCCAGCTTCACTTTTGAGGGCGTTGATATTCATATGGCGGACAAGATCATTCGCTGGTATGCGAAACGGTACCCAGACGGGGTTTTCTTCCTCTTTGGTTCCGGTAGGCTGGCACTGGTGCATTCACAGCCTCAAGAAGCTATCAAATATTATACACGAGCCATTGAGGTGCAATCACAGTACCGCACGCTACACCACATAAGCTTCTGGGAGATGGCCATAGCCAATCTTGCGTTGTGGGACATCAGGGCCAGTTTGGCGTGCTGGACGGACTTGGAAAGGGAGGCGACATGGTCCAAAGCGATATACGCGTACGGTATGGCGGTATGTCTTCTGGAGACAGGCGGGGATGCGAGACCACTCATGGAAAGAGTCCCGAAACTACGGCAGAAGATTGCAGGAAAGAGTATTCCACTCGAGAAGCTCGTTGCAAGGAAGGCGCGCAAGTTTCTATTACAGGGACATCTCGCCCTTCCAGCGCTGGAGATGGCGTATCAATTTCTTGCTATCGCGCATGCGCCGAGAGAGATCGTCGTTACCAAGATGCTGGTCGAGGTCAAGGCTTGCTTACAGAGCCTTCGAAGCAAAAACAAGAAGAGGACGCCGGGATATTGGGATGATTTCTGTCTGGCAAAATTTCTGGAAGGGGTTTGCCTGAGATATGTTGCATATCCAGTTGGTCTCCCTTTTCATATCGGCATATTTTGTGACTGACTTCCCCCTTGTGATAGGATCCTGATGCTATTCTTCCACCAAACGCTCCTTCAATCGATGATCTTGCGGGAATGTCTCAAGACGAAGCTACCGTCGCTTCGATATTGGCCTTCGAGGCTGTTTTTGACGCTGGTCCGAATATTGAACTAGACCATCATATTGTTTACCATGCTCGTACGTCCATGCATCGAAGTTTATCGCAACCCAGACTGATTCTTGTCCAGATTATGAGCTCGGTCGCTTGTTGGCTTGTCAGGGCAAAGAAGAAGATGCTCGGAGACAGTTTAATCTTATTCTTTCGGGTGCGTAGTCTATTGTCTTTCCTTGGCGAGGGACTGATAGACTTTTGTATAGGCAAGCATCTTGAGGTTGCGCCGTCGGGGAGGAAGGGGAAGTATAGCATGGAGGTTAGTCTTTTGTCTTCATTCAGACATACGTCGTAACTCATGTTGTCTCAGAATGCTTTGCATATGCGGGCGCATGCTGCCCTGGAGGCGTTGGGTAACAGCGCGCTGTAACATCATTTGCATATATGATTAGATTATCCCAAGGATTATGTGGGTTATCTAGATAAATCTTATTGTGTTAATTAATAGGGACAGGCTCTTGGGAGTCAATCATGATTCGTATATTGCTTCGAGAGGACTTGGGGGAAAGGTCACTCGGTAGAGCTAGCTACAATGACGTGATGACCGGCTCTGAACACACGCCAAAAATCCAGCAACAAGTCACCTGGGTCACGCTCGCGTTGATAAGGTTTGGATAACCTAGTTGATATCGCCAAGGAATGCAATGTTATACGCGCCGGTTTACGAAAGTTCTAGCATTACTGATGAAACTGACCACTGGGAGTAGTACTGGCCTGATAACATTACTGAGTCCTCAACGATGTCCTCGTTTCCGTTCATCAAGGTGAATCATGGGACAATTGTACGTTCATTTCGTAATTCTCCATCAACCAGCCTGACGTTGCAATACAGTTATCTTAAAGATTTCGTTCTTGGTCGAAGCTTACATGCGGCGACCGGACTTGGATTAGAAGCCCCTCGAGTTTCCCGTTTCATGTATTAAAACCCGATACGGTCTGCATCCAAACGGGTGTTGTATTTGACCAGAAGTCTGTCATTGATCAAAGAACTTCTAAGGCTGGTACTTATGTTCAATGTCATAGATTACTCAACACTGCGAACAAAATTGAGAATCATTTAATCACGGTCTAACATTCATTTTTTGTCATCATTCGCCAGTCATACTATCTGAACGTCGTGAATAGTCCAAACATAGGGGTTAATCCAGGCACGTGCATTCCTCCCACGCGACCTCGACGGTGGCGCGTCAAGCTTCAAGCTTCATCCAGCTACTACGACCGCCAGGTAGCTGAAAGTAGCTGACGTTGCTGTTTGCCTCTCAAATCGTGTGTTTTTCCAAAAAAAAATTTGAATATATCCTTACCTTCAACTTGCAGGCAACCACAATCATGGCCCAAAATCTACCCCTAGAGCTCATTGAGCATGTCACCGACGAATGTCTTCCAGACATTGAAGCCCTTCGTTCATCTTCGCTCATATCTAAATTATGGACCATCCCGGCTCAAAAGCGTCTTTTCTCCTGCGTTTCTATTTTTCCAGAGCTTGTTCGAGCTGTCCCCTCCATTCCACCCAACTCGGAAGATTACTCAGGATACCCATCCCCCCAGTATATCCTGGATGGTAGCATAGACAAGTTCAAGGAACACCTGGAAGATGCGCCGCATCTCGCAGATTTTGTACAGGAGCTTCACCTCGGAATGCCCAAGATGCCGCCCTTGGAGTTATTCTATGCGAGGGAGAAGAAGGTGCCCGACGGCGCGTTTACTGGTGCGAACGAGATCATCAGTCGATTCAGAAATATGGGGAGTGTATCGCTGTCGTTTGCCGAGGATTACGACTGGGCGAAGCTGGCGTTCATGCATCAGTCCCTATGCCACGCGTTGAGCTCTTCAATGCTGTGTTATCTCAAGATAGGTCCCGTAACGTTTGCGACACAATCTCAGTTCAATAATCTCCTCGACAGCTGTGTCTCTCTGGAGGTGTTGATCATTAACAACGTCAAAATCAAGGAGGCTACTGAGAACGAGACTGGTCAGAAAACTGTAGAAAAACTGCGGCCGAGCTTGAAAGAGCTCACCGTGCATACCGATCTGCCGTCATTGATCCAGATCATTGAAGCATTCGTTTCACCCTCATCTTCTGTTGATGTATCTTGTTTACTTCGTCTTTCACTCTGGTGTAAATACTCCAATGCACAAAGGCACCATCCCATGGGGCCAGTCTGCTCGCTACTTCGCAAAGCGCGATGTCTGCAACATCTACAGCTTTTTGCGTGTCTCACCGGTACGTCTTTGCTGTTGCGACGCAGCTTTTGACATGAACCTATTTCAACTCCTCAGGTCCGCTCTATCAATACGTAAATCCCGCGAGTTTGCAAACATTCTACGTCTGCGATCAGCTCGGTCAACCGTCTACCACGCTGACCTGGCTAGTGAAGAGCTTCGAAGCCGAAAGTGACTCAGAATCTGGGTTGGCACTGACCGAGCTGTCTATTGATATCTGCCAGTCCAATGCCTATTCTTCCGAGAACCTTTCTGCCGATAGTACTGCTTGGGCTCATCTAGGTGCAACCATAGAACAACATGCCCGCCAATTCCGCAGCGTGACGGTCCGCGGTAAGGGATATCGCCCCTTTTATATGATGGACAGGTCAATAGAGGGCGTGCTCCAATCAGAAGATTTGAGAGATGCGTTAGGTATGCGCATGAGAGAGGATGTGGTAGTGCGGTTCGTTCAATACTTGACGCAGGATGACGTGCTGTATTCCGGTAAGGGTTTCATTTTATGATTACGAGTTGTCAAGGTCTGATTACGATATCAGGTTCTCACTGTGAAGACTTCTATGAGCGTGAATGGGAGCCGACACTTGATGATTGGCTGAGTGATTGGGAAGTCAAAGACGATACTGAGAAAGAAGACTGAGAGGAATTCCGGTTCAGTGCACCAACCCACTTGTTCGTCGCTGCGGCCCAACTAATTAATGGTTGTTCTAGGCGCGGTCTACCTCTTGCAAACAGAGTATTGCAGAACCGTCTTTACTAGAGTTTTCAGGTCTTACGAGCATTTCTTCTCTTAGACCTTCTTTCATCGTAATCCCATCACAAATTCATCATAGTGGTCTCAAATAACACCCTATTGGTTCAAATGTCTTTGTAGAATGCTCTTTCGGCCGTCGAAGAGACTACCGGAGAACGGTTGACCTAAGGGATGAAATCATTCTAGCGAACAAGAGCGCCCATAACACTCGTAAGACCCTAATTCGAGGACATATAGCAATGCCTGGTCTAAAGACCATAGACCATAGATCGTCCGCCTTTCCAAAAAAAAGATACGACGCGAGGAACTGGATCTGTCAAACACAGAACTATATAAGTAAAGCATTGACGTACAGTGAACACGCAAGTCCCACCATGATCACCCTGTAAAAATGCCTCTCCGACAGAGGGGAGGCAGCTATATCAAATAAATGTAAGAAGCCTCTAGACCGAAGCAAAGAACTGGTCAAGACTCGGGAAATACGCCAATCAAAAGTACCAAGGTACCTGGAAAGCAATAAAAACACGTCCATGTATCATTTATACAAGTATATAATAATGTCATTCAAGGAGAATGGTGGTAGTACAAAATGAAGAGCAATGGCTGTCAGACAGAGTTCCATGAGAATAAGATACAACCGAAGAACTCTGGTAGTCGGGAGTCATTGTTAGCAAAGATCCCGATAGGTCAATCAATGAGTCGTGCTAAGGGTATCAAAGAACACTTTTGAAGCGCACGACATACAAAGGCGGGCGTTGTTTCACAGGCATGATTGCACCAGGAGTCAGGAATAAATCACGATCCATTTGGGGATCGTCAACACCATGCCTGCGCCGGATAAGCAAACGTAGAATCACAAACAGGACTACTCACACATCTTTAACATGCCTTGTGACCTCCACATATGTCTCGGGATAGTCAATATGGCCAGAACAATGCTGGCAATGGAAAAGTGCCTCGCTCCGGTCATATTGATATCCAGATGCTGGGGCAACTCGTCTCTTTTTGGCTTCATCCGCCGGCGTAAGAAGACGAAAGACAGAGTCTTGACTGCGCACAGTATCCCTTTGCACCTAACATGCCGGTCAGCTGTGGGCAGAGGATAGGGAATCTGCACTTACGCATTCACGCCAGGACAGGACAGAACGCCCGCTCCACCTTTTTGTTCCGGTAGGGAGAGCATATGAGCTAACGGGATCATTCATACAAAGAAACTCAAGATTCAGAGCATCCATCTCATCTGCGGTCGTGGTAGCGGGATCACGAGAAGCGAGCTGCACTAAAGAAGCAGCCACAGCTGATCGCGTCGTATCAATGGAGAGCTCCGTGCTCCCGAGCTCCTCATTCAGATCATCGATTCTTGTCAGAACTCGGATACTACAGTAAATTCTCGTTGACCTATCGCTGCCACACCGATGGCGCCAAACATCTGCATCCGTGATGATAGCACGACACCGGCGTTTACAAGAAAATACTGTTGTTGCCAATTTCAATGGATCGATCTGCCCTGCTGGTGGAGTTGTGACTAGTACTTGCAGCTCAGCTTTCCTTCGCTGTTTCCAGTCCGTAATCAGACTTGGAAGCTCGTTCATAGCATCGGACAAAGCTGGCCTCGGTGACTATGTCCTCAGTGGGCAGCTCCAAAATGTCCCTAAATGCTGGGAACATGCAAACGTCCGTGAATGAAGGCATTTCTCGCCACACTACAGGCAAAAATTGCTTCTTGTATGTTTTGAGAATGTCATCAATGATTGCAGAGCGCCTGTGTAGCGCCACACTACGAGCCGCTTCGGCTTGTCGGGCATGATTGGCTCTGATCGCCGCCTCAAGACTTGGACGTATCTGACCCCAGCCTTGGCAATGTTAAGCGTACGCGATGCAGATGGCAAGGACTTGCATACCCTGTGGTGTGAGTTCGGCGTCGCATGCAACTGATGGTTCCCATCTGATGCAACTGACGTCCCGCTCGGTATAGCCCATTTCCAGAAGGCGGGTCTTTATCCTAGAAGGTACTTAAAAACACCGCGGCCATGGAAGAGCAGCAGACCTACATAAATAGCCTCTTACCCCTCCGAAGTTGTGATTCAAGGGCGGCCTTTCGAGCGATAGCGCGAGTCCATTCTTCACCTCGTTTCACGTCCTGTTGATAGATCAGATCAGATGTGTGAGACTGCGCGGTGTCTGTACTGACTTTGTTCATGCCTTCAACCATCTTCTTCCGCTCTGTTCGAAAGTCGGCTAGACGCTCGGAGGTCTCATGGCCTACTTCCATCTGTTTCATCTTTGCTTGGACATTTGTGATATCAGAAATCCAGTAGTAGCCACCGCGCACACACATGATGCCAGGTCCAGCTGTTTCAGAAGGAGTTGATTAGTGGAATGTCTGCAGAAGAGAGACTCTGGTTTTACCATTTATGCGCGGAATCAGATTCAAAATGTCGTCATTGACGTCAGGGTAAACTCTTCTAACCCTTGAGGCACATATTAAGCTGACATGGATGATAAGCACGAGTGCAGAACTGGTCAGGAATGAATAGATGTACTTTTCCTTTAAACATAATTTGCAGACGCGTCGGCAAAGCCTCCAGTAAACATAAGCATCTGTTCCATGGCAGAGCTGATTGCGGTTAGATGGGTCATATGGGTGCATATAATCGGAGCAACGACTTACGTCGCAAGCTGAAATCCCAAATAATAGGTCGACCCATCGGCTTTCAGGAATCCCACGAGGTGGATTGATTCCTTCTGCAGCTTCCCTCACTGCCTTCCAAACGAAAGATACATTATTCGCAGTCAGAGTGCGACAGAAATTTGCGTCGACCCGCGATAGATTGATAAGGTCTTGAGGAGAAAGTATGTCGCAGATCTGTCGGTGTTACTATAGGTTAGCCGTTATTGACTCAGGAGGACATCGTCAATCTCACAATGAAAAGAATATCCAATGGCATCGTCGGTAACAAACTCAAATTCATCCGTTTGGGCTTTGTACTATTGGCTTTCGTTGCCCTCACTTGATTTGTCGCTGCTTCCGTCTTCGAGATTGTTCGCGCTCGCTTTGCACGACTAAGCTTCGACGCTAGTCAATTCGGCATTCAGAATGTCAAATGTACGAAAAAGGTGACCATCGCGCACCTTTGTTGTGTCCTCGGTCATCATCCTCGTCTTCAGGTTCAGCAAGGCTCTTCCGTTTGGAAGAAACGGTAGTTCGTGCAGAGCGCCTTGGTTGCATTCTGAAAGAAAGAAATCGTCGAGATGATGGTGGTCAAGAAGCAAGCGCGAATAGGGGTAGGCCGCGATTATGAATCATTTGTAATCAGAGTTGTGTATTCATATGGGTCCCGACTTCTTATCACCATCATATTATACGACGCGATCCGCTGTAGAGACGGCCGCAGGGTGCAGTATAAATAACCAGCTAGGAAATCTATATACTACACTACCCAACACACCGCAGGCGACGAGCTCGTCGTATTTAAGACTGTAAGTAGATCGCAAGGGCCAAGCATTGTAAGAGGTTCAAGAGACAATCCACAGGAATGCCAGTGCACTACGATCCGCCGAGTCGACGAGAGAACTGTGTGGACGGTAAATGCCAATGGGGGTATAGCCGAAAATCCGCAGAATCTACCAAACGAACTTGGCAACTAAATGAACGGACAGGTAAAGATCACCTCTTTGAGAATCCTCCGCGCACTTCCTGGAGCGATGTGTGAGAGAGGAAGGTTCGGAGATAGTGCGTCCCAGAACTTCTCTCGCAGTGGTCGGAAAGGATCAGCCGCGTTACAGCAACTCTGCTTTATTGCTTCGTTTGCAGGGTATGAAGCTCCGTGGAACCTGGCCGTTAAGTTTCATTGGTGTCCACGACAAGGCACCTCGCTTTTGCGTCGGAAAAGAACTGCTAAACAACCTTCGGCCCATTAACATCGTGGCTGAAGTCTTTCTGGTGGAAGAAATCAGTCAAACATCCAATGCTCTTGAAGCATTTTATTTGCCAGAAATACATTCATCGCCTCGTTGATCATTACACAGTTATCCCAGCTCTGCTCAGATCATACTCTCCTCACCCTTAACGGAATCTTGGCACCCTCTTCGCCGACGACTTTCGGTCTAGGCAAGATACTCCCCGTATACTTTCCGATAGCAGCATCACTTCCACCAGGGAACTCGAAAGAAAAATTCCGAACGATGACAAAGAGCACAGCCTACAGAACCAGTTTTCAGGAAACAAAGCATTCCGTCCTGAGAGGGTGACTCACTTTGAACTCAGTCAGGGCAAACGTCTTCCCAAGACACGTCCTCGGACCATCTATGAATGTCAAGAGGTGTCGATGACCCTGTATCTCCTTCGCTCTCGGCGCACTGTCCTCCAGCCATCTCTCTGGTTTGAACTCCTTCGCGTCGGGACCCCAGAATTCTTCCGATCTATTCAGCGCCCGAATTGGGGCGGAGACAACTGTCCCTTTGGCGACGAAAAGGCTGTTAATTGTCTTTCCAGACTTGGTCACCACGGGTGTAGCGAGAGGAAGGACGCCGTCTTCTGTTGCCTACGTGAGGAAGTAAGGTAGGGGCACTGAAGCGGTGGAGGACAGGATACGCACCACCCTCACAGATTCAAATACCGGGGGGTGCATACGTAGAGTTTCGTGTACGACCGCGTCAAGGTATGGAAGACCAGAGTTGAGCTGCTCCCACGTTGGATCAGTGTTGCCGAATTGCACTAGCTCTGTGCGGAGCTTATTTTGGATATCGATGTTCTTGCACAGTTCAATGAGGGCCCACTGCGGATTCATCAATCCAACTAGCTGATGGATGGTCAATAGAAGCTTACGTACCGTCAGACTAACTGAATGACCGTGCATCAGTAACCGATAAGTAGAATCCTATATGCAATCTAAACTCACTACTCGTCGTTTCATACCCTGAGTTCGGAAATGCTCAGCTTCAAAACCAAGAAGTATGTGTGTGATGCTTACCCGCGAGTAAGAACAAATTCTAGAGTTAGAGACCATGAGCAATAAAGGCAAGAGCAAGCTGAGCATATGAAGTACCATCTGCCACGCAGACTATTATTAGAAAAAGGCCATACGTGCAAGATTCAAATTGACACGATACCTGTGCTATGATCTCTTCCCGGGACATGTGAATGTCGGCATCATCTGTCTCAGACTTGACTACATATAAACGGGATCAGCTTCCCATCGGAACTAGCAACAATCACTTACGTAGGAGACCCATTACTGATTTGTCCTCGTCGTTCCCATGTTCGCTGGCCTTGGCCAAGAGCTGGTCGGCGATGTCGGAGAACACACGGTTCATAGCAGATAGTGCCTTCTTTCTTCTTGGAAGGCAAGCGAAGAATGGCAGGAAACATGGTACTCGCAATGATCATGAAGGCGAAAAAGGCTGTACCACTGCTCAAGTCCAAGTCGTCGAAAATTTGAGGTTTCCCGTCGATAGCACCAAAGTCATGAGAGAACCCTGCGATACCAATGCTATCCATTCTAGACGGGTAATTTGATTGGCTACGTAGCATGCGCAGTTGAATAATAGCCTCACGAGATGCGGTTCATCCTGGGAGATGACTATCAGTCAGTTGCTATCGAGCAAACAAATAACATACCATTTTTGCACGTCGATTATGGATGTCCCATCGCTTGCCTCAAGAATGGCATCCCACGCAGAGGACGTCTAGATAAAAATGAGAAAATATTCGATAAGCACAAGCAATGGTTACGTACCTTGTGAGCCGAGTCATAGAAAACATGTGTCAGATCCCGTATGGCTGCGTTACTGAATGCCGGTGTGAGAAATTTGCGTTGCCTGTATGTCTTTTGGTCAGCATACCGTCGTACGACGTGATAAGGAAGGACCCTCGCCTTCGATGAAGTTCCCCCTCTGCCCATAATAAATTCTTCCCAAACTGCGAGCCAAGACAGCGTCAGAAATCTTATCCTACCTCCCAGAAGCACCAAACAAACGAGAGTCTCAATGAACATGCGGGAAATGGGCGTCTTGATGTACCCGAAGCCCTCCTTTCCATAGAAGTTCGCCACGGCCTTCGGATCGTAAAGAACCAGTCTTTGCTCTCCGAGAAATCCAGGGAAACTGTAGACAGAACCGTATTCTGATGCCCATTGCTCATACAAGAGACCCGGGTCATCCGCATTACGAAGGACGCGAATGAGACCAAAAAGCCAGCTTTGATTCGGAGGACCTCGTAGTTTGGTGGTAACGCTGTTCTTGCGATTTGTCGAGATCTTGTAAATAAGAAAGATGGCGACAAGAAACAGGAAGATGTCTGTGGTCGATAATTGGTAGGATGGTGCCATGTTACAGTAAGAGTAAGTCGCGGGACCCGAGAGAACTTGAAATCATCATCACCTTTCGATTGCCCTTTTATGCCAGAAAAGCTTGCGGCAAGGAGATGATCCGTCGGGCGGAGGATGACAAAACTTGATTATACAAGTTCCCGTCGGCATATCCGCGGCCAATTGGAAAAGCAGTATATATATCTTCGCCCGAATTTCTCATGGGCAACTTGTGGGCAACTGCGTTGACAGCAATGCGCGTGCTAGGTTGCATGATACGAATTTGCCTGCGGTGAACGGTTAGGGTTACGATAAATGCAATAGTACAAATACCTTTGTCTTTTTTGTTCATTATGCACGTTAGTTTTCTGGACCAATATTTGAGGTGAACACACCAGAACGGTGGAATGGTAGTAAATGGGCAGTGCAGTAAAGAGAAGCAAAAGTGTAGCGCTACGAATTCTTAGTGGCACGAGCACATGACTACCACGGTCCAATCAATCAGCGAACGCGAGCTACAAGCTTGTTATTCCAAACGGAAATGCTGTTACGTGCAAATGAGTATTTGTAGCAAATATCAGGTAAGGATTTACTCCTGTATGATATTGTGTGATATTATGTATGCGCCGCCTCAAACTTGAATCACCCATATGCAAATTGCATTGAAAGTATACAATACTATACATACAGAGTGTTACAAATGTCCCTTGTCACCCAGCCTGTTGGAAGAAAGAAACCACGTCAGACTTAGTAGTTGTAGTGGGCGTTCCAGCAAGAAGTATCGTAGTACTTGTGGCGATCCTTGCAGGTCTTTGTCGTCCTTGCGGTTTTTGTTGTCCTTGCGATCCTTCTTTCCATCCTTGTCATCCTTCTTGTCATCCATCTTTCTGTCCTTGCGGTCCTTTTCATCTTTGCGGTCCTTTCCATCCTTGCGGTCCTTGTCATCATCACAGTCATCCTCCCAGGTCAGGATATCGATAATCTCCTCAAACAGCTCGCAGATGAATTTTTCCTCCGATTCTTCCTTCGAGTAAACTAGAAGGAGCGTCATAAAACGGAAGGGGCCCGAGAAGATATCAGACATACCTTGGCAAGAGTTACATTTGTCGTCCTTCTCGCAAAAGTCCTTGCACTCTGAGGAGTAAAAGTGAGTAAGCATATAAAAATGAAAGAAGTGCGCTTACCGATCTCATAGGTGTCCTTCTTGACATCCTTGTGGTCGTAGGGAGTGTACTTGCTCTTGTTCCACCCTCTGAAGTCCTTCTTGTGTTCAAACACAGGCTCCCAGGTGCAGTCCTTGCGCCCGTGGTCCTTGTTGCCGTAGTTGTAGTCCTTGCTGCCGCCGTCGTTACGGTGGTTGTCCTTGCCCTTGTGATCGACATCGCGGTCCGATCCGTCCCTAGCTTGAACGGAGGTCGAGAGGGCAGGGACCGCGAGAGCGGCGAGAGGGATGAGAGTAGCAAGAGAGAAACGCATCGTGATGAACGAGCTGAAGTAGGTAGACGGAGATAGTTTGTCTGGAGAGTGTAAGCAATTTCGTAGTCCCTTTTATATTTTTTCGGCTACCCTTCCGACGTAAGTGAATCTCTCAGCAGTAGTGAACTCGAAGGACGTCATACTCGAACCCAACCCAATATGTCGCAGACCTGCCAAGCCGCAAACGATCTTGCCTCAAGTTATAATAACCAAATATGGTGCAAGCGGGAGCGTCGGTCTAAGATGTAGTAGGAAAACGAGGAGATATGGTTTGATTTTGCTGGTGCTGGGAGGCAGGCATGCCAAAGGTTAACTCTGAACGTTCGACATAAATAATTCGACAGTCGGAATTCGAAGGTGCAGATAAAGAAAGGATGTTTTTGATATGGGTATGACTGTGATTGTGAAAAGAAGGGTAGGTGAGTATTTGGGACGCCCACATTCGAAGCATCCTGAGCCATTGAGAGTACCAGGCAAAAAGACAACCGGAACTCAGAACGCAAACAGCCGAGGGTAGCCGGACCGAGTCTCGGTCGCTCACCCGTCACGTCCAAGTCCTAGTCAGAGCCCCTCCTCTCATCTTACTCGAACGACAAAATTTCTACTGCTGCTTAGCGAACTTATATATCCAGCACCTCATTGGCAACACTTCGACATTCAGGATCTTTACTAGGCATTTCTTTGGAGGACTATTGTATCACTGGCATTCAATGAATACTGAGTCACTAACGACCCGCTTAGCTGGCGTCGCAGTGGCTGCCGAGCCACAATCTACAGCGGGCCAGTATTACTTGTTTCCTTTGGGAACGATCCACATTTCTTGCCAGGCTATGAACTTGGCGTGATCGCCTTGATTCTTGAAATGAATTTACTTGACTGCTTTCTAAGATGAATCCACTCGACGCCCTTGGCCTGTCTGAAATGTTTTTCCCTTCGAGTATCAACTCTCTTGCTTGTGATGAAACTAAGCTTGGCCGCTCTCTAAATTTCCTCGTTCCCTCTGAGACCGACGTTCTTGCTTGCTCCGTATCTAGTGAGAGGACCCTTGCGGTTTAGCAAGTCTTGGAATAGACTATGCTTGGCCCCAAACCTCTCATCTTTTGTTCCATGTTGTTTCAACCTGTCCTCAAGTTCTCTACTGGGAGATTCACTTACGTCGGAAGGGTAGCCGAAAAAATATAAAAGGGCTACGAAATTGCTTACACTCTCCAGACAAACTATCTCCGTCTACCTACTTCAGCTCGTTCATCACGATGCGTTTCTCTCTTGCTACTCTCATCCCTCTCGCCGCTCTCGCGGTCCCTGCCCTCTCGACCTCCGTTCAAGCTAGGGACGGATCGGACCGCGATGTCGATCACAAGGGCAAGGACAACCACCGTAACGACGGCGGCAGCAAGGACTACAACTACGGCAACAAGGACCACGGGCGCAAGGACTGCACCTGGGAGCCTGTGTTTGAACACAAGAAGGACTTCAGAGGGTGGAACAAGGGCAAGTACACTCCCTACGACCACAAGGATGTCAAGAAGGACACCTATGAGATCGGTAAGCGCACTTCTTTCATTTTTATATGCTTACTCACTTTTACTCCTCAGAGTGCAAGGACTTTTGCGAGAAGGACGACAAATGTAACTCTTGCCAAGGTATGTCTGATATCTTCTCGGGCCCCTTCCGTTTTATGACGCTCCTTCTAGTTTACTCGAAGGAAGAATCGGAGGAAAAATTCATCTGCGAGCTGTTTGAGGAGATTATCGATATCCTGACCTGGGAGGATGACTGTGATGATGACAAGGACCGCAAGGATGGAAAGGACCGCAAAGATGAAAAGGACCGCAAGGACAGAAAGATGGATGACAAGAAGGATGACAAGGATGGAAAGAAGGATCGCAAGGACAACACAAACCGCAAGGATGACAAAGACTGCAAGGATCGCCACAAGTACTACGATACTTCTTGCTGGAACGCCCACTACAACTACTAAGTCTGATAACCCCCATTTATACTATCAAATGTATTAATGTATCATGGTTATATGAATTCATGGGACTTTGTATGTATGCTATCGTTCTTTCCGAGATTTGCAATTCATTTTGAAGCTGCCCCGGTAATTTCCCGTGTTCCTTTGAGCTTGTCAAATCTACCCCTGTAAATTCCTATTCCTATCAGCAATCTCTCATTCACGAGCTCGCACTTTCTGTTTCATATCTGTGAGAATCTCAGCTGGAGTCTTCGTCGACTTCGTGATAGCCACCCCCGCCGGACGCACCCCATTGATACAACCGTGATCAACCTAAGCGGCTCAGTCTCTTCAATCCCGCTATGAAAGAGTCAGTTTTTCAGAATCCTCTGATCTCTGTCGCTCTTCTTCCAAGTTTCCAGAATCGGGAGAGTCATAGGCAATAAACACCGTCACTCAATATATACAACATCCCAATCGACATAACGGTGATAGCCACTATTACTTCCCGCGTAATTGGAAAAAAAATAGCCGGTAGCTAGTACGTAGTCCGTGAATTTCCAAGTCGTCCACTTATCTCCTAATTATATACGAGTATACAGGTCCATGTAGTTGCTGTCCCTGCAAGGCTGGGGTCACCTCATACTCGCCTCATCCTCAACGGAACTCTCGCGCCTTCCTCTCCGACAACTTTTGGTCTAGCCAAAACGCCTCCCAAATGCTTGCCAATAACAGTGTCCTTTCCACCAGGGAATTCGAATGTAAAGTTCTTGATAATGACATAGAGCACGGCCTAGAGAACCAAATCTTCAGCAAAGCATGCCCTATTCCTGGAGAAGTTGACTTACCTTGAACTCAGTCAAGGCGAACACCTTCCCAAGACACATTCGAGGTCCATTTGCGAACGTCAGGAGGTGGCGATGGCCCTTTATCTCCTTTGCTCTCGGCGCACTGTCCTCCAGCCATCTCTCTGGATTGAACTCCTTCGCGTCGGGGCCCCAAAGCTCCTCGGATCTATTCAGCATCCCAATGGAGGCGGTAACGTGCGTTCCTTTGGCAACGAAGATACTGTTAATCGTCTCGCCAGATTTGGTTACTATGGGTGTAGCGAGAGGGAGAATGTCATCTTCTGCCGTCTTCGTGAAGGAGTAAGGTGAGCGACACTCAGTCAATAGAGAATAATCGAATACGCACCACCCTGGCGGTCTCTAAAACGGGCGGGTGTGTTCGTAGGATTTCATGTACGACCGCGTCAAGGTATGGAAGGCTCGATTGGAGTTGCTCCCACGTTGGATCTGTGTTACCGAATTGTACTAGTTCTGCGCGAAGCCTGCTTTGTATGTCGACGTTCTTGCACAATTCGATCAGGGACCACTATGGGGTCTGTCAATCCTATTGATGAAAGAGCAGTGGGAATTGACGCACGGTAAGACTAACTGGATGGAAGCGCTTTAGCAATCAAGAGGCTGGGTCTTATAAAGGATCGCAACTCACTGCTCGTCGTTTCATAACCTAAAATGTTCAGCTTTCAGGACCAATAAATATGTTTATGACACTCACCCGCTAGCAACAATAAGTTCTAGAATTATTTTAAGACTGTGAGATAGTAAAAACAAGGGCAAGAATTTCTGAAGTACCATCTGCCGTGGACCACTGTCAGCAGATGATCGCAAGCGCAGGATTGACGAGGAATACCTGTGCTATGACTTCGTCTCGAGACATGTGAACGTCGGCTTCATCGGTCTCGGATTTGACTGTATTCAAAATAAATCGACTTCCTGTCAGAACCAAGATTGACCATACTCACGTAGTAGACCCAATACAGATTTATCTTCTTCGTTCCCGTGCTCTTTGGCCTTGGCCAGGAGCTTATCAGCTATGCTGGTGAACATACGTTTCATAGCGGTGAGATCGTCTTTCCTCTTCGAAGGTAGACGGAGAACAGCAGGAAATACAGACCCCACGATGGTCATCAAGGCGAAAACGGCAGCACCACTAGTCAAGTCTACGCTGTCGAAAATTTGGGGCTTCCCGTCGATAGCCCCAAAGTCGTGAGAGAATCCTGCTATACCAATACTATCCATCCTAAGTGGGAAATTGAATCGACTATTGAGGGTTATAAAATGAGACGGTTGCCTCACGAGATGCGATTCATCCTAGGAGATGGGAGTCAGTCGGTTTTTACCATCACCACGCTCAACATACCAGTTTTGCACATCGATCGTGGAGGTACCATCGCTTCCTTCTAGAATAGCGTCCCAAGCGGACGAGGTCTAGGTAAAGTTTGGGAAAATATCCAATGAACGCAAGGATTATGTATGTACCCTGTGAGCCGAATCAAAGAAAACATGGGTAAGATCACGTATAGCTGCGTTGCTGAATGCTGGTATGAGGAATTTGCGCTGTCTATATGGTTTCTAGTCAGTATTCGATCACAAAACTAGAAAGGAAGCGATTACTGTCGATGTAGGTCCCCCTCCACCCATACCAGATTCTTTCCGACCTGTGAACCAAGAGACATCAAAAAGCATGCTTATATTCCTAAGAGCAAAATGCATACCATAATTTCGATGAACATGCGCGTCATGGGCGTCTTGACGTATCCAACCGCCTCTCTCGAGTAGAAATGCGCCGCCGCCTTCGGGTCGCAAATAACTAGTTTCTGATGTCCCAAGAATCCAGGGACACTGAAGACTGAACCATACTCGGCCGACCATTTCTCGTACAAGAGAGCTACGTCCTCGGAATAATGGATAACTTTAGTGAAACCAAACAGCCAGCTTCGACTCGGAGGTCCTCGCAGGTTGGTAGTAACGCTATTTCGATTTGTCGAAATTTTGTAGATAAGAAAGAGGGCAATCAGAAATAAGCAGACATCTGTAACCAGCGCCATGTCGCAATGAGAATCGTGGTTTTAAGAAGCGAGCCATAGCACCCTCTTTTATGTTGAGAAGATTCCGGAGATGATCCGTCTAACGGGCGGAGATGACAAGGTTTGGCTTAGTAATGTGTCATCCCTCAGCTAATTCGAGGTTACAAAGCTCGCATTCGCACCAGTTCGCACCTCTGCTTGCGGGTATAAGCAATGTCACCATCATCCTAATGATAGCGGGCGGAATTGAGTAATCCTTGTTCTTTACGCTTTAAGACGAAGAAAACCAAAAGGAGATGATACATTGAGGAATTGGGCGTACCCAAAGCAGAAGAGCGGCCCCACATCAAATATGGTAATAAAATACGCATCAAGGAGGCTTCTCAAACTCTAGTGCACGCAAAGCCATGTGACACCTTTTATGGGTAAAGCCAGGCCCAACGAACATGTCTCTCTCGACTACAGACTCGTCGATACCCTGGCTAAAAGTTAAAGAGCTAACTGTTCAGACAGTCAAATGCGGAGCATTACTTACACATGTTGAACGTGCCAACTCATAGTGCCATGGGTTGACCAGCGCTCCAAGAATTCAGAACATTGCTGACAAGACCACGTCGGAGAGACTTCAAGGTCTAGTTCTACTTGATGTAGCTTTGTTTGCTCTTCCGTCGTGAGGGGCCTAATCTTGGATTGGGTGGGTCCGTTGTGTAAATAGACGTTGACCTACGAAAACAGTGTCATAGCAGAAAGACCAGCAGTGGAAATCTGGTAGAACACAGACGTCTGGCCATACAATGCCACCGATCACGACAATTGCAGTGATGATGCCGGTAGCGGGGGTTCTTACGCCTGACTTCGATTTCAAAGCAGAGCGAGAAAAAGAGCCAGTAGCAGGGTACACACCAAAGCAACAGCCCACAATGTTCGTAACTCCTATGGCGATAGGTTCTTGATTGGGGTTGGTTTTGTAACCGTTCAAGCGTCCGAAGGCTTCAGGCTAATATTGCATGATATCTTGAATTACGTATAGTGGGACGTACTTGCAATGGCGACGTGCTCCAGTAATAGAATGATAACTGCAATAGGAAGCTTGGTAGTTAGAGCAGAAACAAGGTCTGGGTCGATGTCAGGCTGACCGGCGTGTCTAACGATCTTTAAGATCTTGATCGGGTAGCTCCCCTTCACGTTACGTTGGCGTCTCGTGTATAGCCATGCAGTGAATCGTCAGAATAAGGACAACCAAGGCATTCCTGAAAATGGAGATGAAGAAGAGTCGGCCTCTGCAAGGGAAACGCTTTGCGAGCTGATGGCATACCATACGGATGGAGTATAATACGACCAGTCCGGTCAGTCCCCAGGCGGCATCGAGCTTGGTATTCAGCAGTCCCTTCAAGGTGTTTATAATAACTTTGTAAGTGGCCGCGTGCGTACTAGAATTTGAGATATAGCTTTGATAATAAATCAGAACTCAGGATGCGTACTCGGAACGGTGATACCCATCAATCCAGGCTTGACCAGCTATAATACTAATCGCGGAACTAGTCATAAATCCGCTGACAGGGCTATCCACTCAAGCCCGATGCCCAAGACGATAAAACAGGCAATTAACGCGACAGTGATGGCAATCTGAGGACCTCCCCACTGGTCAGGATGTTCCGATATACTTGATAATCTCGGAGACAGTCGAGGACATGACGGCAACGTTACCAACGGACACGTCTTTCGAAGTTGCAAAGAACTGATAGCAGATATTATCAAGTTTAGGTCACGGCAAAATAGGACATACACTGTATATCAATACACCAACGAAAGAAGAATATAGTCCATATTCAGGATCGAGGGTCGCAATCTATGATCCATCAGACGCATTTTCCGAAGAATCAAAACGCTACTCACCTGAGCGTGGGACATGCTCTGAGGAACAATAACCATCCCAATAGTAAGACTGGTGATAAGGTCACCGGTAAGCCATTCAAGATCTGGGAGCTGTTCAGTCGCTGGTTTTCCAACAAAGGGCACTGCGAAACTCACCATATCTAGTGATCCATTCAAGTATAGGGAACAAGCTGACAAGGTGATCCACCGCTTATAATCAAATAAATGAATATGATTCAACATCAATACATACCCGTTTACCAGAGTCCTTAGTGTACTGAAGTACATAGTCTTTCGAAGAGACAACTGGGACAATCTCCTCTAGATATCCGATGATACGTTTACCGAGTCATTTAGCGGTGCTGGTCATGATGCCGACTTGACCTCGGGGAAGACGTTTCCAAGGCTGCTGCATCTCTGAGCTAGCGCTAGAGAAATTACAGCATTATAGTTAGCTTCGGTATGCTCTGAATGGATAAAATGTGACGTACAGACTTCTCATGTAAAAAGAAGATTCAGATACACAGACGCGTCGAAATGGAAGTCAATAGCGACAAGTGAATGGGCAAGCCATTTTTCAGGTCCTGCTCAATAATCGCGACACTAGGTGATCACTCCGCCCAAGGATTGTGCAAGGCGGAGCCTGAATGACACCACGCGAGAATTCGAAAATTCAATTGATGCGTCGACGCGATTGGGCCCTGGTATGTCGCTTTGTCGCTGGCAGGCCAAGAAAGGCCAGGAAATCGGCTGATTGACGTTCAACGATATGGACTGTGAAAGGCTCGAGTGCATGTGGGCCCCTTCATTTAGAAAAAAGGTTTTCAAATAAGGTAATAGCCGTGAAGCCCATCACGTCGGCGATGCGAATAAATGGCAAGTTGCCCCCTCGTTCAAGCACGCGCCATGGTACTAAACATCTACCTATCATGCTATTCAGTCGTGCTCATAGATGAAAGATTTACTAATGTGGGCATACCATTTTGGTGGATGAGGTCCCTTCTGATGGTGATAAATAAGAAAGGGAAAGAACTTTGCAGTGTGCACAGCAAGAGCTTGACAGAAAGCAGAGCATGATTCAAAGGGGCAAAGGAAGAGTGTAGATCAAGAAACTACTGACGTGGAAAGTAGGATAATGAGCATACATGCTGGCACAGGACGCCGAGAGAGAACAGAAAAAAGTGTGCCGGTGAAAAAGATAATTAGACGATCAAGTGAACCGGTTAACGCCGACGGATGCCATGCCGAAGGCAGAAACCCAACGAACACAGATGACGTCGACACGGATAGATCTCGGACTTAACCAAAATGTACCGTCACCCCTTCTGACATATTGCTCAAGTGGTCAAGTCATCGCTATCGATGGCTCTCTTGTTTTCCATTGGCTCTCAAATCTCTGTGTGGAGTTTTTGTGGCAGTAAATACATTCTTCATCGGACCAGAGCCCCGACATATCTGGATTCAACTCAAAGATTTGGAGCTCAAGCATATCACAGTATTTCTTCCATTAAATCTACACTAGTCATATCCAAATCCTGAATATGCCTTTATGCAGACAGAACACTGCACTGACGGAGAGAGGTGTAAGGAATTCCTCCGCTTTGACTGTCCCGAACTAGGTCCTGTCAATTACTTACAATGGACTGTCAGGACTTTGCACCGTTTACACGCAGTGCGACCATGCTTACTCAGATTACCGTTCGGAAAATCGTAATAAATGATCAATGCGCTATGGTCCAAAGCTGTGCAACGCACACGCCCCATAGCATGCCTAATAATACCAAGGTGGCCAAGTATTTTCTGCGTAACACCGAGAGCGCAGGAAAAATCCTGCAGTTAGGGTGGCTACTGGTTCCTTCCAGGCTGACGAACAGAACTCGACCAGACTCGTCTTCTTTACGCTGGAAAGACGAACGTAGTTGCATTGTCAGTCCTTTTCGCGCGTCTATTACTGGAGTACTTCAATGTGACGCGATCCCATGCTCAAGGATAGCCGGTTTATGTTTATGCCTGTCATAAGCCTGGATCTCGGATTCGCATTGATTGTCTTCGGACTCGCATTAGAGCGAATCCGAGGTATTGCTCGATGGCTCCTTGCCACAGTGCACCTCAACTATGGGCGCACTATACTTCTCCGCTGGTAGAGAAAATTCTGCCGATTCTTTATTTTTGAATATATATATTCTTCCGGGTCGACTGGTCGACTGGTATAACTTCCAGAGTATGACTTACTTCGTTCACCGACCTTTATTTTTCTTCCTTCCTGCTCTGCTGGTCTCCACGGCATCATCGTCTGTAGAGGTGTCCTTACCTCTCTCTGCACCGTCAACCGCACCGGAAATCTCTGCCAGTCTCCTGTCATTTTCCATTGAAGGGGATGGATGGATGAACTGGACTGGGACGACTTCAAAGAATCAATTTCTTTACAACGCCTTAGATAACCTGAAAGCTCTGACAGGGGCACCGCCTAACATTAGAATCGGAGGCAATAGCGAGGATCATACGAATTTCAATCCTAGCGTTGAGGTAAGAATATCGCTGGATAATTTATGAACCTATACTCAAGTTTCTCAGTTGTCAGAAGCAATATTTCCTGACTTCACTACGCTTGTTCCCTATCCGGAAACTACAAATCTTACTGTTGGTGATGGCTACTACCAAACGGCCCGCTTCCTTCCATCTGGTACGACTTCAATCTTGTCAATATGCTGGATATCGTTAATCAGACATTTTGTAGGAACGCATATAACATGGGGCGTCAATTTTGGACAGAAGAATCTTACTGCGGCATTCCTGGCAGCACGTTCGATTGCAAGCGCATTTTCATCTCCTGCTATGAAAGACGCCGGAGTGACTCTCGACTATGTGGAGATTGGTAATGAAGCAGACTGGTATATCAACAACGGTGCACGTCCGTCCAACTGGACTTCCGCTGACTATACCCAGGAGTAAGCGTCTCGTATAGTTACCATAGTTATTTGTATACTAATGATTGCATAACTACAGGTGGACTGAGTTCGCCAAGAACATTTCCAAAACTGTTGGAATTTCATCGACGTCTCATACAAAATTCTTTGTTGGTAGTTTTACCCATTCAACCACCGCCGGCTTTTCACCCCAAGCTATCTACGCTGAGGGGATACTCGACTCTGAACCAGGCGCCTCCATTGCGATGTAGGTTCTTTTCTCTTGAAATTATTGCGCGCTACACACAATATCAAGTTTTTCGCAGCACAAATATACAGGTGCCTTCCGCGAGGGCATGGATGGCCTACTACAGGACCTGATGACAAAGGCAAATATCCGTGGAAACCTTTCGGTCTTGATCCCAGACATTGAGGAAACGCACAATCGAGGCCTGGGTTATGTCCTTGGAGAGACCAATAGCTTTGCCAATCATGTATGTTTGGACTCTCTTTTCTTCACTGGTCGGTCTGTTGATTTTACTTGATTTTGAAGGGTGCAATAAACGTTAGTAACACAGCTGGAGCTGCATTATGGTCGTTGGATTACACTCTATTCGCGTAAGTGTCACCTTAAGTTATTTGAATGATTGATTAACTTGTTCATAGGCAACAGTTGGGAATATCTCGCGTCTTTTTCCACGAAGGTGTAGGATACAAATATAACTTTGTACGAACAACTCTTTCGACTTGCTGATAGTGACTTACATCTCCCTATCAGATCCAACCCGTCGAATTAACCAGATCGATCCTCGATGGATCTGAGCTCCCGGAACCTGTAGCTCCTCATGTTCAACCTCTTTACTATGCCGCGATCGTCATCGGAGAGGCCATAGGCAACTCTGGCCATACTCAAGCAGCGGAGTTGTCAATCGACAACCCTCGTATCTCCGGTTACGCCTTCTACGAAGACGGTGTTCTCGCCCGTGCTGTTCTCATCAATTCTCAAGCATATATGAAAGATCAATCTACCTCCCGTTCGAGTATCCACCTCGACCTCGATTTTTCGGGAGAGGGACAGCTACCCACGAGTGTGCGGGTCAAAAGGCTCGCCATTGGGTGCGTTGTTAGTGCTATTTCTGTGTTGATGTCTGATTGACGACTCCAGTCATGCTGACGACGATTCGGGTTTAACCTGGGGAGGCCAGACGTATGAGACGGACGATGCGCGCGCGCAAGGGGAGCTGGAGATTGAAACTATTCAGGTTGCATCCGGATTGGATATGGTGGAAACGGAAGCCATCCTTCTCTCCTTTGAATTTTGAGGTTGTACGGACTTCATAGTCAAGCGTAGATATTATTGATAAATGAATTTCGGCCACGATAAAGCGCCGCGACTATACATCCGAGTTGCCTCCCATGCAAGAGGGTAGCGCTACATTGACTGCATCCTTCTAGGGATCCGCTTTCCCCAAACACGCAACTTCAAAGGGGTGTAGCACGGTGAGACTTCATCTCTCGGAGTTCTTCTGCCGCATTCTATCGATCCCGGGCGCTATCACATGACCACCGAAGAAATTGAGTTATCTTGGTAGGAGAAGATTCTTGCAAATAACCCCACTTCCGTAAAAAAAAAAAAACTATCCGAAAAATCAGTCCAACGATCATATTGGTCCCAGGACCTCCCCTCCTCCTCCGGATCGTATGGAAGTGATTGACTACTCGATATGAACTCTTTTCTTGCATACGTATTGACAAATCGAAGTCGAATATGGCGTATAAGTACCTACAGAAGTATCATACTATTGCGACGACTAACACTCGATGCTAACAAACTCAGCTCAAGGGTGTTAGCTGCAGCGCCGACTTTGCGCCATACCTAATAGCTGTCCAATACACTTTAGATTCGTCCTGAAAGTGCTGATATTGAATATGCCAGCCATTGCCTAGAGTCCGTGCGGGTCTCAAAAAAACGGTCACCAGTCAGCTGTGGAACTAAACGAATACTATGACGGGTTTTCGGAACCAGATGTAGCCCTGAACTTTCGTAGCCCCTTCCGTATCGAGAAACCGTGGTGTGGTCCATTAGAACTCTTCTTCCCATCGGTGCTCTTCTTGCCTGACTTGTGTCGACCAGCCATACTAGGAAATTCGGTCAGGTTGCGACTACTCGACCTCCTCTCCGACAAATGACTCTGCATCCTGCTTATAGCCACTCCTCCTTCCTCGGTAGCAAAGTCAAATCCACGATGCACCGACCGTATGCCGGTCGACATATCTGTCCGACTGGCAGACCGAATGTCCACGGCCGAATGTAATCCAAGCCTCGACGGTCCAGCAACCATGGAGGCGTAAGACGCCCGTCTTGAAAGCACATCATCTCCATAAACCGGTCTCTTCATGGCTTGTAGGCCAATACCCTCTTCATGATGCGTACTGCGTAAGTCTCGGTCAGGGTGGACCTTTCGTATGTACCGCAGGATGTCAACATCATCAGGCGCAAAGCCGAACTTCCATGCTTTGGCGACGTATCTCGGCGCCAACGAAACGCACACAGTAATTGGAAGGGAAAGCCAAAAGAGTGCGGATCTGAACAGATATATGCTGTTAACGAACCAATCTGGGGAGATGGCGTCATGGGTGATCTGTAAGCAGGTAAGCAAGGGGTTTCCATACAAGTAAGAGTATCCGCGTACCGTGTATAACCATACGAGAATAATACCGATGAAGACAGCGAAGAATACCCAGCCGTTCCAGACATGGGTATTCATACCGTTGAAAAGGTTAACAACAATGACGCCAGAGAATACCATTGTCTGAAAAGTAGTCAGCCTGACAAGCCATAAAGATCATACGAATGGTGACTTACAGTTGAGAATTCTAGGAGATATTGTTCGTAGCCATCAGCTCTTGAAGTGGGAGAAAAGTAGCCATAGAGAATGAAGAAAAATATGATAGCAGACTTGAGATGTATTAACGATATGGATAAGCAAAAGTAGTAGGTAACTTACCTGATATACACCGTCGAGCACATAGACGGTGAACCATTTGAGGCCAAACCATTTGCCTTCACGGCCAGAACGATACAACTCGGGTATAGCCATCAAAACGTCCGCGTCTATGAGCTTGCATTAGAAAGACTGATCTGGAATATGGGAGCAACCATATACCTAGTAATCTATCAAAAAGACCGATGACAATGACAGGCGCAAAAGTCCAGAAGGCATTCCAGAATAGGAGATATGTATATTCAAATACGCTAAATCATCTGGTTAGTATCACGCTTCGATAAAGGAAGAAAGAACCTTACTAGTAGGAACTCCAACCACAGTAAATTTGGAACCACCCAAGAATGCCTGCACAAACAATGTTCTTGTAGAAGAAATTCAGAATCCTTTAACGGGCAGTCAGAGGATGAGCATGATTAGAGATATGCATCAGTGTACGTACATATTTCCATTGCGAGCGTATGACCAATGCCCATGAACAAAAAGCAGTCGTTTGAGGAATCGGAACTGTCGACTGATTAGCATGTGCGTTGGTCGTAATGATATTATACTGAGCTTGAACATGCCTGTGCTATAGCATAGTCCGAAGAAGTTCACTGCCTGCAAGTCCTTCTTCACCAGAAATCCCGACACCGACGTCAGCGGCCTTTGAAAGAGGAGATCAGTCAACGAAGTACAAATGATTACGAGTAGGTACGAACCTGGATCATGCTAACGTCGTTTGCCCCATCCCCAATAGCCAAAGTCATAGCACCAAGGCCATCCTTGACTAGCCTGACGACCAAGGCTTTTTGCAAAGGGGATACACGACAGCAGATCACACCTTCACAAAACATTGTGAGCTTCAGCAATAAGCTTTTGTGCGCTTCATCACCCAAAGCCTAAGACAAAGATTAGTAAGGATACACAGATAGAAAGAACGTCGAAACTTGCATAGTCCAACGCCGTGCCGTCAATGACTAGAACGAATCCACCGGGTCGATCACCATTGTTTGGTCCTACAATCGAAGAGATTCCCGTCTCGATCCTCCGCAATGCATTATCGTCCCCAGAAGAGACGGATGCCAACTTGTGCTCTTTCAGCAAGCGCTGGTCGTCAAGAATCCCACTTTCGGGGAAGAACTCCTCGACTGCATGAAGCATCTGCTGATAAACTGATCGCGAACGATTATTTCCACCCCTAACAACGATGATGTTGGACTCTCGACCGATCAGGTTGGTACTATGTCCGATAGCTAATTTTAATTTAAAAAAATCAGCAGAAGCAAAGGGCCGAGGCAGCTGAAACTTACCAATAGCCGTTTCCAACTTGTCGCCAGTCGCTACCCACACCTTGATACCGGCACGCTTAAGATCGGCAATAATTTCCTGGTACCCCGTCCTGCAGACTATCTTCGATAGCTGTGGCACCCAATAATCGTAAATCATGTTCCAGCTCGTCAGAAACGCTTTCTATGCGTGATTCCCGATTATCGAGCGCCACGGTGGCTTCATGGTAATGTTCGCTCCAAGCAGCATACTCGTCCTCTGTAATATATATTAGTAGACTGATACGCCTTAGGGTAATATCACGCACCGTTGATGACTTTATATGCGAGAACCAATGTCCTCAATCCTCCGTTGGCGAATTCACTCAGATGCATCTCGGTTAACTCCCGCAATCCTTCATCTCCGCTTTTCCGTAGTCGCTCAAAAACAACATTGTCTGCTCCCTTCGTCAGCAAGAACAGTCTGCCATCTGCATCGTCCAGCTTCCGCAGAACCACACTCATCCTCTTCCGGGCACTAGTGAACTCCAAGATGTTGAGGATCTCATAGCGTTCGACATCCTCGGGGCCGGTGGACAAGGGTGTTTGCAAGGTCAGAACCTCCCTGTCGCGACCACGGAAAACATATCCTACTTCCGCCGCCGCACGTACCAGTGCCGCTTCATCCGGACTTTGGGCCTTGTATTCGATCTTTCCAGTGTCGCGATCGATGGAGGTAAGAACGGTATGACACAAGGCCAGGACCAAGAAAAAGCCATTCAAAGCCTGTGCATGAGCAGTATTCTCCGACGCCGAGCTCGACTGCAGGGCAGCAGCAATGTCCTTCTCGAGTGGTTCGCAGTGGAAGTGGGTTTCTACGGCCTTCGCGGGCGCGGGCACCGGCTCAGTAGCAGTCGCTGAGGGTCCGTCACCGCTAGCAGCATGATCATCTGCCGAGATGGCGGCCGGAGGTGCTTCCTCGCCAACGTACATTTTACCGCCGATCGAACACTGTCGAAATATCATAGCGTTCTGAAAGTATCATAAGAAGCGGAAGGGTGGTATTATACAGAGAACGACGTACCTGAGTCAAAGTACCTGTCTTATCCGAAAATATGTACTCAATTTGTCCAAGATCGTCAGATAAGTTCCACGACCGAGCAAGAGTGGCTTGGTCTGTCTTTGGGTACCAGATCTCGTAGTCGAAATATATGAAGGCGGCTTGCCATGTCCTAACGAATTCGATGGAAATGTACAGTGCAATGGGTATGACGTTGTGGAACGTGATGAGAGCGAAGGCCCAAGTGACGAGACCGTTGATAGTAGGGTTATCGTCACTCTGGTTGTCACCATAGAGCCATGGTGCGCCTTGAGGATACTGTTGTTGCTCCAAGACAGAATCAGCGACGGCACATGCAACTGCCATACATACAAGGATTACTAAAATAAGAAATCTTTCAACAGCTGTGAGTGCACCTGATGCGAGGAAATTTCTGGCCCACTTACACTTGAAGGTTCATTTGTCTTTCTACCCTGCTCCTCTTGCTAGGCGCTCGGCCCGAGTTCTGCACGATTTTGGTGTCCTCGCCTGTAAATAGAACGAGGCCGATAACCCAGCCAGTATTCCTCAGTACCGCTCCTCTCAACAGCGTCATCTGAATATCCGCTGGAGCCTGTTCGCCATTTGCCTTGATCGTGGCATTTAAACGGAACATATTGTTGTCCGGACGGTCCAAATCGACGGTAAACTTGCTCTCCGAGCACGCTTTGGCGTTCACCAAATGTGTCAATGAAGGAACGGCGTTTCGCGATTTGAGATTGGTTTCTCCATCCAAATTCTTCGTCTCGACAAATGCGAAATTCTCGTCCTCGGACGTTGCGCATATGAGAATGTCGGCGGGTAAAGACTCGTTGTCTAAGATTTTCACAAAGTCACCAACGCAAACATCCTCCCAAAGCGCCTTCTTCCAATGAGGACTAGGGTGAGAGTGGTGACCGAAGAGGTGGTGGTGATGGTGGTGGTGAGGGTGATCGGCGCCGTCATCGAACTCAATATCAGGAAGCAGCGACAGTGGATCTGATTCGAGACCTTCCTTCCCTTCTACCTTTTCCGCAAGTAGAGTAGGCGGTTTCGTTTTTCTGAACCTCGCAGGGATAAGGTAGCGGTTTACGTGGTGCATGAGGTCATGACTTTTGTCGCCAGTGACGTTGGTATTAATCCGATTGCCTCCAGTGAGAATGCGGACAGTGCCATGGTTGACTCGGCGATCAGATTGATGGCGTTTAATGTCCTCATAACCATCTTTAGAGCAGTGATCCCGAGAACGAAAAGAAGAGGAAGAATAACAAGACCAGGGGAAACGGTGGAGAACTGGGGGAGAAGTTGTAGGATAGCGATGCCAAGGAAGAAACTGAAGACCGGTTGGTGAATTTGAAGAAGCTGAAGGAAATTGAACGTACACATTCGCCACCCGTCTGAACTGCTCAAGTAGATTCCGCGGTAGAAAAGTAATGATGTTATACTTGGAAGTGATGACCTGGTTCGACGCATAAACATGGTCCTTCTTTATTCGCCCCTTCTTGTCATAATAGTCTTCCGGTAGACTCTCGTTGACAAAGACCGTCCGCCTTGGTCCAGGCGACCTTTCCTTTACGAAGAGGGACTCAATGCTGAATGCTGCAATTTTGTCGAACCAAGTCGCAAGGCCGCTAAACCTGCCGCGGTTGGACATTGGGCCTTTAGGATAGTGTTGGGTAGGTCGTAACTGTGGTCGTGGTTGAAGAAAGGTGTAAATGACCGTGAAGACGGTAGTCAGACGACAGATACAGACGATGGACTGGAAACCTAATATCAAGCGCGAACTTTACCGGCCGTGCTGATGCTTTCTGCCCACGTAACAAGGCCATCATCGGCCGGCCTAAAGTACAAGGCCAAGCACTTCCAAGTGCGAATGCGAGCTCTTCAAGTTTGCGATGAACGGAAGACTGTCCAAAAGAGGGAAAGGGTGCGAGGGATGTGCTAGGAGTCGCCTGCCTCTTTTGTGTACTTCCGTCTGACCTTTAGCATGTTGCTCATTTCATTGGTAGTGCTTCCGCGCTAGTCGAACTTATTCGCATTGTCCTGGGAAACTGGCAACCTCTCCTGACCATTTGAATGCTCCGGTGTGATTGGTCGACGACCCTTTGGGTTGCCTTCGCACTTGGAACTCCAAACCGAGTATCTATATCATGCCCCACGATGACCAAGGAAATCGACCCGTCTTGGATGTGGAAGTGCTGAGAAGGTTGATCAGTTCATTGATAAAGGGATCGACGGTCCGGAATGACGGTGGCTTAGATTGGCGATGCGTCGAACGAGAGTTTCCAATTTGAGGGTAGAAGATGACTGGGTCCCTGGGATGGAGAATTTAGCAGCGAGATCGGAGAGAGGGAGGAGGTATATAGTCGGTCACGAGACAGATATTTCGGAAAGTATTAATTTATTAAATAAACAAGACTGACATGGACCACCGTGTGCGTCCGGTTATCGAGATTACCGGCAACTTTGTACCATGTCCGGTACTCTTCTTCTCGATAGTTGAAAGTTCTGACTCCTCCAGTCATTGCCATCAATCTTCAGCGAATATTAGAGTGAGAAAGAAAGATAAGAGATAAGGATGGACCCAATCACGGTCTGACGCTCTGCTTTGCCAAACTCAGTTGAAGCTCCGGTCAACGGCCCGCATGCAACACCAATATCTCACATCCCAAGAATACTTTTGCCGTCAAGATTCCATTCATTGGACATTTGCGTCGCTCACTCGTCCCGACTGTATGTGTTCCCAGAGGGTCAGCTACAGCCTACAAGCAACCTTAGGAGAAATGGATCCTACAACCGAAATCATCGGTATGGTTTTGAGTCGTGAACGGTATGGCCCTCTCATCAGATCTTCTAGGTAAGCGCAATTTGCAACTGTGAATTTCTACAAAGTTGTCCGTTTATCTCCTAGTTGTATTATATACGAGTACACAGGTACATGCTATAGTTGCTGTCGCTGCGAGACTGAGGTCACCTCATACTCGCCTCATCCTCAACGGAACTCTCGCGCCTTCCTCTCCGACAACTTTTGGTCTAGCCAAAACGCCTCCCAAATGCTTGCCAATAACAGTGTCCTTTCCACCAGGGAATTCGAACGCAAAATTCTTAATAATGACAAAGAGCGCCGCCTAGAGAACCAGATCTTCAGCAAAGGTGTGCCCTATTCATGGAGAAGTTGACTTACCTTGAACTCAGTCAAGGCGAACACCTTCCCAAGACACATTCGAGGTCCATTTGCGAACGTCAGGAGGTGGCGATGGCCCTTTATCTCCTTCGCTCTCGGTGCACTGTCCTCCAGCCATCTCTCCGGTTTGAACTCCTTCGCGTCGGGACCCCAAAGCTCCTCGGATCTATTCAGCATCCCAATGGAGGCGGTAACGTGCGTTCCTTTGGCAACGAAAATGCTGTTAATCGTCTCGCCAGACTTGGTTACTACAGGTGTAGCGAGAGGTAGAATGTCATCTTCCTGCCGCCTTCGTGAATGAGTAAGGTAAGCGACATCCAGTCACTGTAGGATAAAATACGCACCATCCTAGGGGGTCTCTAAAACGGCCGGGTGCGTTCGTAGTGTTTCATGTACGACCGCGTCAAGGTATGGAAGGCTCGATTGAAGTTGCTCCCACGTTGGGTCGGTGTTACCGAATTGTACTAGCTCTGCAGCGAAGCTTTCTTTGAATGTCGACGTTCTTGCACAATTCGATCAGGGCCCACTATGGGGTCTGTCAATTCTATTCGACGAAGGAGCAGTGGGACTTTACGCACCGTAAGACTAACTGGACGAGAGCGCTTTAGTAACCAAGAGACTAGATCTTAGAAAGCATCGCAACTCACTGCTCGTCGTTTCATAACCTGAAAGGTTCAGCTTTCAGGGACCAATAAATAGGTTGGCGATACTCACCCGCTAGTAACAATAAGTTCTAGAATTATTTTAAGACTGTGAGATTAGTAAAAACAGGGCAAGAATTTCTGAAGTACCATCTGCCGTGGACCACTGTCAGCAGATGATCGCAAGCGCAGGATTGACAAGGAATACCTGTGCTATGACTTCGTCTCGAGACATGTGAACGTCGGCTTCATCGGTCTCGGATTTGACTGTATTCAAAATAAATCAGCTTCCTGTCAAAACCAGCAAAGACCATACTCACGCAGTAGACCCAATACAGATTTATCTCCTTCGTTCCCGTGCCCTTTGGCCCTGGCCAGGAGCTTATCAGCTATACTAGTGAACACCTGGTTCATAGCGGCGAGATCGTCTTCCTCTTGGAAGGTAGACGAAGAACAGCAGGGAACACAGAACCCACGATGGTCATCAAGGCGAAAACGGCGACACCACCACTCAAGTCTATGCTATCGAAAATTTGAGGCTTCCCGTCGATAGCCCCAAAGTCGTGAGAGAATCCCGCTATACCGATACTATCCATCCTAAGTAATGGGAAGTTGGATCGGCTATTGAGGGTTATAAAATGAGACGTTGCCTCACGAGATGCGATTCATCCTAGGAGATGAGGATCAGTAGGTCTTTATTATCACCACGCTCAACATACCAATTTTGCACATCGATCGTGGCGGTCCCATCGCTCCCTTCCAGTATGGCGTCCCAAGCGGACGAGGTCTAGATGAAATTTAGGAAAGTATCCAATGAACGTAGGGAGTATGTATGTACCCTGTGAGCCGAATCATAGAAGACATGGGTAAGATCGCGTATAGCCGCGTTGCTGAATGCTGGTATGAGGAATTTGCGCTGTCTATATAGTTTCTAGTCAGCATCCAAATCGCAAAACGGGGTAAGGGAGCGATTACTGTCGATGTAGGTCTCCCTCCACCCATACCAAACCCTTTCCGAACTGTGAGCCAAGATACATCAGCAAACGCGCTCATCTTTCCTAGAGCAAAAAGCAAACCATAATTTCGATGAACCTGCGCACCTGGGGCGTCTTGACGTATCCAACCGCCTCTTTTGAATAGAAATGCGCCGCAGCCTTCGGGTCGCAAATAACTAGTTTCTGCTGTCCCAGGAATCCAGGAACGCTGTAGACAGAACCATACTCGGTTGACCATTGCTCGTACAAGAGACCGGCGTCCTCAGAATTTTGGATAACTTTAGCGAGACCAAACAGCCAGCTTCGACTCGAAGGTCCTCGCAGGTTGGTAGTAACGCTTTTTTCGATTTGTCGAAATTTTGTAGATAAGAAAGAGGGCAGCCAGAAATAAGCAGACATCTGTAACCAGCGCCATGTCGCGATGAGAATTGTGGTACCAAGAAACGAGCAATAGCACCCTCTTTTATGTTGAGAAGATTCCGGAGAAGATCCGGATAACGGGCGGAGATGACAAGGTTTGGCTTAGTAACGTGTCATCCCGCAGTTAATTCGAAGTTCAATACAAAGCTCGCATTCGCACCAGTTCGCATCTCTGCTTGCCGGTATAAGCAATGTCACCGTCATCCTAACGATAGCGGAGCGGAATTGAGTAATCCTTGTTCTTTACGCTTTAAGACAAAGAAAACCAAAAGGAGATGATACATTGAGGAATTGGGCGTACCCAAAGCAGAAGGGCGGCCCCACATCAAATATGGTAATAAAATACGCATCCAGGAGGCTTCTCAAACTCTAGTACGCGCAAAGCCATGTGATACCTTTTATAGGTAAAGCCAGGTCCAACGAACATGTCTCTCTCGATTACAGGCTCATCGATACCATGGCTAAAAATTCAAGAATTAACTGACTATCTGAACAGATGTAGAACACTACTTACACATGTTGAACATGCCAACTCACTGTGCCATGGGTTGACCAGCGCTCCAGGTATTCAGAACAGTGCTGACAAGACCACGTCGGGGAGATATCAAGGTCTACTAGCTCTACTTCATGTAGCCTCGATTGCTCTTCCGTCGTGAGCGGCCTAATCTTGGGCTGTGTGGGTCCGGTGTGTAGATGGACGTTGATCTATGAAAACAGTGACACAAATGCCTGACAAAGCGATGCGATACTCACACATTGACGCCATGTCAGTAAAGGGCGGCCGTATATAATATCCCCACCATGGATACCATGGATTCTAAACTTGTAAACAGGGCAGTCCATGCACAGGAAAGCAGTCCTCCAAAGAATCCATTTCTTCTACAGGTAGTGATGGAGGGATCGCGGGACACCATAGTAACCAAAGAGGAAGCCATAGCGGATCGCTTGAGTGTCGAAAACTAATATCACCGTTGCCTCTACACTCGTAGAATTTCTCGACATTCTGAAAGCTGAAGTCCCAGTAAATATAGGAACGGCGCGGAGGACAGCGGTGCCGCCATAGATCGGCATAGGTCCCACTGTAATTATGACATTTGTTGGAACACCCAAAAACACAGATGGCCAATGTTGTCGCGTCGACAGTGGTATCAACTTGCCCAGCTAGCCCGGCAGCAGCTAAATTTCGTACATGGGTCGTTCTATCCTGATGCCACGCTGCAATCAGGTTCGGCAGTTCCCCCATCGCATGCGAAAAACTCGATTCTGTGATCTGGTCCTTTGTCGGACTCTCCAACAAGTTTTTGAATGCAGAGAACATGCAAACATCCATGAGCGGTGGCATTTGCCTCCAAACAGAAGGGTTAAAGTCACGCTGATAGGACGTATACAACGACCTCAAGATGTCTATGCGCTGTTGTAAAGCTCGACTGTACTCGGCTTTTGCAATCTGGTCCCTATGATGGGCGATCGTGTCTTTGAGACCAGGAAGCATCTTCTTCCAACCTGATGGTTCTATGAGAAGGTGATCATGGTGGGGTAGGAAAGACTCACCAGAAGAAGTAAGCTTCGCGTTCTTCCGTACTGAATTGCACCATCTGATAGCGGCCATATCATCTTCAGTATACCCTAATTCGAGCAGGACGATCTTTGATCCTATGACTGACAATGAGACTTATTTGAACCGCGATACAAAAAGGAGACTCGCTCTTGATATCTCTCCGCCATCAATTGCTCCATTTCATCGGCCTTAGCATTTTCAGTACTGAGCCCTCCAATCCAGACATCTCTCAGCATGCTAGGTCAAGAGGTGAGTACAACGAAACGCATGCTAATGAGGGCTGACCTTGAGAGTTTCTGTCACGAAATCCTTTCGCTCCTCTATGAACCTGGATAGACGCTCAGAGGAACCAGGGCTGCGGTCAGATTTCAAATGATCTAGTTTATCCATAATCTCGTCGATGTCGGGACTCCAGTAAAAGCGGCTTCCGCTACTGGAAGTTGTAATTCCGCCTTGATAAAACAATTCGAATGAATCAGATGCGTGAGATATATAAAACTTACTGTTCGTGTGAGGAATGAGACTAAGAACCTCAGCGTCTGCACCTGGGAACAACTTTGCTACCCTAGGCCCGTAGATGAGGCTGGAGTGAGTTCACGTCAGTACTTCGGTTCCTCATGAATGATGATCTACAGACTTGGGCTTTAAGCATCGTTTGCAGATGCGCCGGCGAAGCATCCAGTCGACGCGAACATGCCTTGCATCGCACACCTATTCCATGCCACAAATTAAGACAAGTACGCAAAGCCGGAATACCTTACGTACATCACAAGCTGATACCCCGAACAAAAGGTCGACCCATCGATACTCGGGAATATCTCGTGGAGGCTCGATTCCGCCTTCACCCTCTCTGACGGCCTTCCACACGAATGAAACGTTATTTGCGATCAAGGTGCGACAGAAATTTGCATCGACTCGGGATAAATTGATAAGATCTCGAGAGGTCAACATACTGCAGATCTAAAATTCTAATCAATACCCTCAGCAAAGCAGATAAAGAGATAACGTACAGTAAATAGGACATCTAATGGCATTGTTGGTAAGAGACTCAAGTCACGTTGGCGCCTTTTCTTCTGCTTTGCCTTTCCTTTGTCTGGAGCTTCCTTAGAAGGCTTTATCACCCTCGCTGTCCTTGAGTTTCGTCGCATTCGCTTGGCTGGGATACACTTGAGCTCTAGTGCACATCGTTAGACGCAACTTCAGCACGATTGGTCCCTTACTCTGCGGAGAGTCTTCGAAATTTCCGCCGTCGTCTTCTTCAGATTCCCCTTTCCATTCTTCATCCGCTCGCCCTGGTATTGGGCTGAGCTTTGACCCTGATTCTTCTCTATCAGAGGGCAGCCTCAAGGGAGAAGAATACAAAGCACACTTTGTGAAAGTCCTTCAAATTCACTTTCACTGCCACTACCCTGGTCCTCGGATTGCCATTCTTCTGCTTGAAAACTTGATTCAGCGAGACTCTTCCGTTTGGAAGGCACTTTTATTCTTGAAGAGCGACGTATTGGTTCAGTCATTTCAGATGGACAATGGAGCGAAAGAGCAGTAGGAAGGGACAAGTGAACACGGAAGCGAGATAGTGGTGGTCCAAGTTAAAGGGACGAATGACTCATGGCATACCGTTCACGATAAGCTTTCCTTTTTCGGGTTGTATAATCATGTAGGTCCACAATTCCGAGGCACAAGTTCATCCTTCTTCGCTCAGAATAAATGCTCTAGTAACAGATAGACTATGTAATTTCGCTAGGGCAGCTGTATAGGCGCTCGCCACATCGAAATACACCATGATTCTAATGTCGTCATCCGCGGAGGTAGAAATCAAAGTCAGTCCTGTGACTGAGTCCTGCGGCAACATTGAGGTGCATATAACGCAAGACAATATGTTTTCCTTCATAATCTATCCTTCTAGGTTGTCTGTCGAAGGTCGGATATATAACCAGCGCTTCAATAGAGGTCGTCTCGCTAACTTCCATAGCTCACATCCGATGAGGAAGATGATGGTCATTCCGAAGACGATTCCCCATTCCCAGCCGATACCTCGCTGGTAAAATACCGAAGAATTAAATCCGGGAATATAGATAGCTGTTTACGCTCACAGTTAGCAGAATTAAATCTAAGAAGGATGTGCTACTCACGCAAAACGACAGTGATCATTCCGCCAACAACAGAAATCAAAAGCACCTTGTTGGCCCAAAGGTCTTTGTAAAATGCTCTTCCGGGCGTCAAAGAGAACAAGGAACGGTCGACTTGATAAAGGAAATCAGTCTGGCGAATGAAAGCGTGCATGAAACACTCACAGGACTTCAATTCGAGGGCATATAGCAGTATCTGGAAGATCAAAGTAGCGAAAACCGTAGATCGTGCTCGGAACACGAGATTGCACCCTTCAGACGCTGCATGATTACACTCTCTATACAAATCATCATCGCCCTTTCCATAGACCACGATAACGAACTGAATATGTGATAACACTTTAGTAAGAGTCCAAAATTATAAAAGCAAAGTAATGACGTACACTGAGCAAGCAAGTAGCACCCATGATCACCCCATAAACCACGGTATCAATGATGATAGGCCATGTAAAAACACCGTCTTTGACAGAGTGAGGCGGCCGCTGCATCAAATCAGGATAAGCAGCCTCTAACCCTAGACCAAAGGCAGGCGGAGAATTAGTCAACTATGGTGCGCTTCCATCAGAGCTACGCAATCGATAATCGAAAGATGCCTACCATGTTCACCCAAAGCACAGCAAGCGGGCTGAGCGGAAATACACTACGCCCATCTTCATCGATAAAACATAGCCCTACAATAAGGAGCACAACTTCGGCAACGTTGGTGGTCAGAAGATGAAGAACGAAGCGCTGAATGTTCGTAAAGATCCTCCGTCCTTCCGTAATGGCTGCACGAATCGAATCAAAATTACTTTTAGGAAGTTAATCAATTACGAAAGCCGCAAGTTTTCTACAGGTTGACTTACTCATCGGTCAAGACAAGGTCGGCAGCATCTTTGGCAACATCAGAGCCAGCCATGCCCATCGCAATGCCAACGGGGGCGAGTTTCAATGCTGGGGAGTCGTTGACACCATCACCAGTCATGGACATATGCTTGCCCCTCCTCTTCCCGGCTTGAATCATCCGCACTGCAAAGATAGTCAGCACTCGAACGGCAACACGACTGAACACGGTACCTTTAGTCTCTGGCGCACATCGCGCAATCACCAACGGAAGTTCAGGAAGAGCATCAATTTCATCATCCGTGAGTCTATCAAACTCAGTTGCCTAAAATCCAGTGTCAGGTCCCCGTAGACCAAAAAAAGCAGAGAATCGAGACTAACCGTCATAACAGCATTCTTAGGCGCATCCGGTGTTATAATCTCGACGGATTCAGCAATGGCCTTGGCAGTCGTAATATGATCGCCTGTCAACCTAAGTATGGAGGATATCAGGTGCGCACTAAAACAAAACTTGGCGTGGCTCACATATGAACTACAATTCCCGCGGCCCTGCACGCCCTGACTGCTCCAGCAGATTCCGGTCTTGGCGGGTCAAAGATACCGGCAAGCGCCATGAACGTCAGGTCCTTCTCTGTGTCTTCACGGGAGATATTCTGGACATCTGCGCAGTCTATCGTTCGTTGAGCAAGAGCGATCACTCGAAGACCCTCGGATGCGAGTTCCTCTGCCTTGATAAGGAATGTGCGTTTGATGTCTTCAGTCAATGGCAAGGTATCCCTCGGTTTGGTGATCGGAGACGGAACATATGTCACACAGGAATCCAAAATTCTCTCAACCTACAACAAGAGAGTGAGAAAAGTCGCGGTCATGAAAGAACACACGTACCGCTCCTTTGCACATCACAACAGTAGCCTGCTGCTCCGTGTCATTATAAATGGTGGACATCCGTTTGACTGAGCTCGAAAATGGGAACTCGACCAGAAACTTGAACCGCTTGTTCAGCTTTGCCTCGTCATCAGCAAACCGGATTTTTTTGGCATGATCAGCATCGCTTCGCTCAACGATACTTTTGCTGCTGGAAACTGAACTCCCTGCGGTCAGTGAAGGCTGTCCCAGACCCAGTTTGGTGGCGAAAACTTGGAGAGCGACTTCCGTTGGGTCACCAGTGGACTTCCATTCGCCTTTCAAGTTCATATGGATACTATACTCCGAACGTTAGTAGGATATAATAATAAGTATTCGAAGGCTTACGAGGAAACGTTGCAGAGAGCAGCAGCGCGAACAGTTTGCGCGAATCCTTCATCGAGTTTCCCGGGTTCCACTATAGAACTCTTCTCGTCATTGCCTTGTCGTACAGTACCAACAGGCTCGATGGCATTATGACCTGCCTCTGCGGAATAGGTCACAGAGTCAGATCCAAGCCCACCTAACCAGAAAGTGTGCACGGACATCTGGCCTACAAAGATAAGTAAGTTTCGGAACACAATACCGAAAGGATGAACTCACCCAATGTGAGGGTCCCTGTCTTGTCGCTGCAAATATCGGTAACGCCACCAAGATTCTCAAGGGCATCGAGCTTGCGAACGATGACGTTCTCCGAAGCCATCTTTCTCGTTCCTACCGCCATAGTGAGCGTCAAGACGGCGACAGAGTGACTCGGGATGATGGCGATCGCAGTGGCAATAGCGTACAGGACGACTTCATTGTTGATGTCAAACTTGGCAGCGCCAAAAACGATGATAGCCAAGATTATCGCACACCCAAATAGGATGAACGCCAATTTGGAGAGCTTCATCTGAAGAGGCGTTCCGCCGCGAATACCACTGTAGAGAAAGTTGATATGAAAGCATCGAATATAAGGAGGAACGAAGCTTACAGGAAGTGTAAAATGTTATCCCAAATCCGAGAGGCCAAAGGTGCAGTAGCATCTCGCTTGCCTGACGGGCTTTGGTTCATCGCCTCAGCAATGCCGTCCAATCTAAGGACGATAATCAGTTATCGGGATTCCTTCGAGGGATGACAATCGTCCCGTACCTGGGTGTTCATACCAGTTCCGATGGTAATCCCAACGCCACGACCTTTCGTGACCACGGTAGACGAGTAGCATAAATTCAGTCGATCGCCGATTGGCATTTCCAGCTGAGGATCCTCGATGTCCTCGATATCCTTAGCAACTAAGTCGAGAGTTAGCATAAGTGCGCCTCAATATGCTTATAGACCGACCTGGTACTGACTCCCCGGTCAGGAGCTGCTCAGATACTTCAAGATTGGAAATGCTGATTAGACGGATCTGTAAATAGCAATAGCAAGTTAGAAAAGGTTAGCGCAAGAAATGGGGTACATACATCTGATGGTACTACATCTCCGTCCTTAATCATCACCACATCTCCTGGAACTACAGTCTTGGCAGGAACATGCAAACTTTCACCATTCCGGATGACCAGTGCCGTGGGACTGGAAAGTTGGCGAAGTGACTCCATTGTCTTCTCCGCCCGATATTCTTGGAAGAACCCGACCCTGATAATTTGTTCGTTCAGGTGAATGCAGTAACAGAAGAAACACAAACGTACGTTGTATTTAGTGCTATGACGGCTGCTATAACAGCGCCTTCGATGAAATCTTGAACACCAAAACTTAGAGCGAGTGCGGCCAGAAGCACAAGTGTCAAGGCGTTGGCTAAAATAATATAGATAAGAGAATGTTGTGGGTTGATAAGAGACATAAATCGTACCAAGTTGGCCTACCAAGACGCGCCAAGCAGAAACACCCGTCCGACCCTTTAACAAATTCTCTCCATATCTCTCGAGTCGTCTGTGAGCTTCGTTTTTCGAGAGCCCGTCCGTTCGCGACGTCCCTATCTCGGACACAAGTTCTTCAATCGTGTACGTATGCGCCGAAGAAGCCAAATTGATAAAGTTCGGATTGGTAGGGTGAACAGTGACAGAATAGTTAGTGTTGGTGCGACTGTTTAGTTTGAGTCTGTCGGAATTGGCGTCGCTAAAAAATCTAGAGATACCCATGATATATCGCAAGTGGGTCGTTTATCGAGAGGCTGGTCATTTTCAGCGCTATTTATATAGCGAAGGAGCTCCTCGATCAGCAGCCAAGACAGGAGCCCCTTGATCCCAAGAGAATATAAACCCGAACGAATCCGCCTTATGACTCATTCAAGTCCATACCAAGACATCCTGACTTTCCATTTAGTCCTGCAGCACTCCAAGGCGGCTGGGCAAACTAAAAAAATGGAATCAAGATGATCCGCATTTGATACGAGGAAAGAACTGTTCCGGATTCTGAAATGGAGAGGCCCTAATCGCTAGTTGCCAAGAATGAATTCGACGACGCGTTGCGGTTGGATCTGGGCGGTTGTTGACATTTAGTGTGGGACCAAGACATTGGCCTTCGAGCCAAGCACAGCCAAATGGCCCGTTTAGGAAAATGCCAAGACATTGAATCCGGTCCTTCGGCATACCCCACTTTGGTCCCCACATTCAGACTTTTCATGTGAAAAATGTCTATATTCGTTATCTGGAATAATTATGCACTGGTGGGCTTCGATTTTTATATTCTTCTGCCCATATTTGACGCAATGAGAAGGAATGCCTGCTTTTCGACCGTTATCTTGGATGAGGACTCGAAGTGCCGAGGCCACTACCAAGGCGCCGGTGGACTCGGAATATCCAGCCTTTCTGCCTCGTCTTATCTTCGCTATATCGACGATGCATATTTTACCTACCTGTCGGTTTGCAGCGCCTACTATCACTTCCACTTTGGCAGCACCTGAAATCTCTAGTAAATTGTGATGGGCTTTTCTGCGGCCTTTCTTTTTGGATGAATCGGCTACCGTGAATGCTATGCTGTAATGCTGTTGTTGAACTGCGAGCGAAGGTTTTCTACGGGTTTGATTCGGGATATATCATAACATAATTGGAGGGGTCCGCAGAAGACTGTGACCACAATTTACCTCTAGACATTTTATGTCTGTTACAGTCTCGAGCTTTTGATGCGGTTTATATCGAACGTTACGTGTTCCGCCATGATTCTGTCTAAAGTGCTGGGCGAGCACCATATCCGCAAAGGGGAGGCAATATCAACTTTAGGCATGTGGGAGGATTTGTAGCTGGGCATTATAGACCTGGGAGTGTTTTAGATGGCTTTTTACAGAATGCTAGTGACGTACAATTGGCAAACCAGCGAAGGCAAATTTTTAATGAGGGGAAAAGTTGGTGTTCCTAGCACCTGTTATGCCCAGTAGGCTGTAGATATAACAGCTGTTAATTCTGTCAGGTAACGGCTATAACAAGTGGAGAGGACGATAAAACTTACTGCACTCGAATAACTATTGAATAAAGTCTGGCCGTATCCATAATTATCAAGTCCCTGGCATGTTTTATCAGCAACGTTATTGCGTGCACGCGTACCTGCCGCTTCTGCATCCCGATAAGTTTCCACCAGCTTGTCGACGTCGTCCCGATGTCCGATCACCAATCCTGTCCTGTGCTCGCTGTGTCCTGCAACGATATGTACAGATAGTGTCAAAATACAGCCTCCTTCATCAGACCGAGCCTTTGCTCTCACCAGATGGTTCTCAATATACTGAACATTGGACCAACTGCTGACTGTGATGTGATCAGCGTCACCCGAGACCGGCTACTTGGGCCAACCGATGCAGACCAATGTCCACTTCGACGAGCGATTCTATCCGTTGAGATGCACCTTTAGCACCGGGTTTTTTGAGATTGCATATATTCAAGTATATCTATAACATGTGTGAATATCAAGACAAAATACCAAGAGAATGATTAAAAGTCTGATTAAAGTCTGATCACTTCCGAAGCCAAGGGTCTTACTAGCAGACTTCGACTTACTATTACCTGGTATTCTGTATGTCTGTCTACCTTCCTCCCATATACGTGAGTTCATAGAATCTGTTAGCTTGATAACATAGTCAGTCATGTAGTGTATGTCCAACCAATGGATAGAAGGACTGTCCATGGATAAGTACTTGAAGAAAATAGCATAACATCCAAGATTCAAGATTCAATGTTCATGCATATGTACACGGGATCACTACTCACGATGTCGACTGTTCTGAAATTACTGTATTAGACTCTTTTGAGTACAGATGAGACACAGGCTTGCCATTGGTGCAGGACACAGTGAGCACAGGACGGGATTGGTGATCGGACATCGGGACGACGTCGACAAGCCGGTGGAAACTTATCGGGATGCAGAAGCGGCAGGTACATGTGCATGCAATAATGTTGCTGACAAAACATGCCAGGGACTTGATAATTACGGATACGGCCAGACTTTATTCAATAGTTATTCGAGTGCAGTAAGTTTTATCGTCCTCTCCACTTGTTATAGCCGTTACCTGACAGAATTAACAGCTGTTATATCTACAGCCTACTGGGCTTAACAGGTGGTTCCTAGCCCTCGGTAGTATTCTATCAAGGCAGAAAGGAAAGAGGTGCACTTTGTTTCCTTGCCAAACAAAGCGCGTAGTGGGACCGTGCGCATGCGGGTGTCAGATGACACCTCAAGTATTGCCGCGGTATTTGCCGGCACTTCTACTCTCCCTTGATCTCCCCAATCTCTCCCCAAATGAAGTCTGGACGAGTAGCACACGTTGAACCTACCCTCCACTTCTTTTCGAGTGCCTTGTAAAGACATTGGCTCTGGAGAATACTCACTGCAAGGCGGCCTGGTGTGTGAACAATTCTGCTGGTCATATTTTATCCGCTGACCATACTCATAGTACACAGTCGTCTAGATACCACGACCTCCTTGGAAGCAGTCGAGACACGGCGCCATCATGAGATATACGCGTGGCCTTTCTTCAACAGGTGCGCCTATTTATTCCAATGCTTGACAGGACTTTACCTGACCAATAGAACCGTTGAAAGCTCTTCATCGCGTAGCTGCACATGAATACAACACGATTTTCCGTCAACTTCGTATTGCTGGGAAACGGAAGCTAAGGGTCGGAGCTGTTGGTGGTACGTTATGCGTCACGGATGGATTGATCATACTGTCAGCACGAGGTTTCCCTTATGCGTCACTTTTGTCTATTCTGTCACTTTTGGCGGCCACTTGCTCATAGACTCGCAGCTGTGATCGTAGTTTAAATTCATCTTCAGTCTCAACGCCCGCCTGTACTTTCGTCGAAAATGTTACGGGTTGACCAAGCATTGAAATATTGACTGGTTACGCGGCACGAGGCAAAGGAGTTATTTGACTGTCGTGTTGAACCAGTGTCCGGTGACCGGTAACAGTGCGTGTTATTTAGTTTTCGTTGTGTTCGATTCACCAACCCTTTATAGTCATGAAACAGTAGCGTCGATAGCAGTCAAGAACCGTGGTCTTTCTTTCCCGTACCCTACTCAATATCATCCTCAAATGTTCGCTATATCTAATATTGTGACCATCCGTGACCAGCGGCTTTGGATTTCTCAGCCTTTAACCTGATCCACTCCCTCCCCGCACAGGACACCCGCTCTATGTCATCTCGTTCACTGCGTGCGCTTGACGTCATTGTGCAGCGCAGGAGTACTACCATGTTTCATATCGTGGGATGCTTGTCTCAACGGACAACATGAATCATCAGCTTAGTCAGTGCCACTGCACCCACGTGGCTAGCTCTTTCAACATGACTAATTGGGGGTTCACAACTGCAGACTCGGGCCCTTATAAACATGCCATGATGCAGGATATCTAAGGGAGACAGGATGTGAACATAGTTGCATATATGCTATTCCCCCGACAACTTCTACATTAACTGCGCCTAGCGTCAGCCATCAGGGATAACGTCCACTCTCTCTCTCACTAGTATTTTTGTCTTCTCCTCTGCCAGACGAACAACAGCTCGTACCCAGTCGCCACCAGCAATCGTTTCAGAACCACTGTGTTTACGTTCAGGGTGGACGAGAAGGGAGGACAAAATCTTGCTGGTGGCGTTATCAATTTTGTTGCTGCTCGATTTGCACTTGTGGGGGATCTAATCTAACGGATGGGAGAGCTAGGTATGCGCTGTTTTGTTCATTCCGTTACTTTCACTCTACAGACATCGATCAACAGCGTCAGTCATGGTCTAAATCCAGTCTTGCTAGGAATGCTCAACGTCAACCTTGATTTGATGTCTCCTTTGTCGCGCTTACCAAATAGGTGGCGGACAGGTCCCAGGGCAGAGGGGTTAAAAGAACCACGGTCCTTCTGTCTGTATCCTATCACAACATCGATACTGGCCTCAGACCAGCAATTTTGACTTTGAATCAATCCAATCCCTCCCTGCCCAGGGTTCTCCTCACATCTCAGCTCATCGATCTCTCCACACTACTTCAACTTCCTTCGATCTGCCCCGACCATGCTGTGATTGCCATATAGACACAATCTGACTACATTCCTCATTCTGCCCTGCCCTCTTCCAAGTTAGCATACGTGGAGCAACGACTGGATACCAATTCAAGCATTCAGATTGAATATACGGGGAGGAGAATCCTGCAATTCATGATGGTTCATCCTCGTTCTTCACACTCCAGCGAGTACTGTGTCTGCCCGGCTCTCTAGAAGGCAGGACATGGACGCTCGCATGGTCTTGGCCGCCCAACTTTGATGGCCACTTGACGTACACCGTTGTCTTCTTTGCGCCGGTGAATTACGTTGTCGTCTGTTGGCTGAGACTTTTTTTTTACGTTGATTGTGCTGGTACCTATGGTCGGGTTTGCTATCCCATGTCCTGGCGTCTGCAGAACGTGTTAATAAACTTCTTTTCGCCAAACGATAGACGAAGAACGATGCATTCAGCACCAACTTTCCCTCGGAATAGAAGCCACGGGTTATACCATCCTTCCTCCCTCCCGCTTCCTGCCTCAGAACCATACCTTTCTTGCCTTCTCGATGACTACTTCACGACTTTAGCAGCCATCTCTGCCTGGGATGGTACTGGGCATGGGCTCACAGGTCACTCCAACAAAAAGGCGGGCGATATGTTTACGAATATTAATCATTCCTGTCCTCGTGACGTGCCAGAAATCTTCTAATCTAATATCTCGTAGTGGCCTTGGAGCACCTTGGATGGCTTGCCCAAGCTCTTCTCCATAAATCAGGATTGACGCTTTGCGGCAGGGTCTCTTGTCTCCACCTTTGTGTTATCGTTTTCTCATATTTCCTCTTTTCCAGCTCTGACTCTTTCATTCACTCATTCTTGGCTGCTTGGATCATAGCTCTCGCTCGAGATGATAAACATTTGTCTCTCAATACTGAACAGTTACCTCGACAAAAGAAGAGTAGACTAACTGTTTTGCAGCAGGACTCCGAGTCAGTATTGGTGCACACCCACAATTCCGGATGTCGCCTGTGTTATCAATGCTACGAACTTGTCGTTACCATCGCTCATTCTCAGCAAAGCTACTGCCGACGGGTACCTGAAGTGAACTAATTCACTCCTCTGCAAGTAGATTCTCATACGTATGGACGGCGTCCAATTTATGTCCCCGAGATACTGTTAAGGATTAGGGTATTTCGAGCTAATACACGAAGTAATGAGTACTCGACTAAAACCCAAGTCATAAGCGAGGATGTCCGAAAGCCGAGTTCCAACCACCAAGAGGGATCCGTAAGGGTGCTAACAAGCGCTAGGCGTAACTGACAGGGTCTCCGAAAAGCGCTAGGCGTAGTCGGAAAGCAATTGATTGGCAAGCGCTTGGCGTAACCGATCGAGGTTGCTTAGTTCACACAGTTAAGTGGACGTTTGAAGGGTAGTAAAATTAGCTTAATTCCTAATACAATGCCAAGTACAATACTTATATACCACTGGTAAGGAATTGAGTCATTATTATTCCAGTATTGTAAAGAAAAAGAGAGAAAATACCAGTAAGCCGAGGTCAAGGCCGAGAAGGCCGAGAGTAGGCATGTGTTGACTCATGTACAGACCGGAAAAGGCATGAAATCCATGACAGATACGGAGTACCTAGTCGCGATTCCCATCTTCAGCTCCCATAGCGAGACGAAATCATCGACGCTGGTCCATATTGGGTACACCGAGGAAAATGACCACTGGGCTGTCATTGATGGACCTCCCGCGGTATACTATTTGGGACCGGTCATTTCATTGGGGCAACACTCGAAGTGTTTGTTTGTTCGTTTTGTGGATTCGATAATTATACCGATTTTTCACTCTAGTTGATGGTCAAGGGCTTGATTTCCAAATTCTTAGATGCCGCGGGGTTTTTAGCTTTTTGCTGATTTAACAAGTCTTTATTATGCCTGGTGGAAGTGAAGGTGAGGCTTGAGACGGCGATCTTGGGGCTTGCAGGGATGGGATTTACATGTATTGCATGTATAGTCTGCTATCCTACATGTGATTTATGCTGGATATGGTGCAACGGTTGATGCCGCCGTGTTATTCAGTACGGCAACGAAGTTCTTAGGAGGGTTCGCTTCCCACTATCTGAATATACTCGTTCGTGGTCATTCATGATAACTTTTTTGTGTAGACGTTGGTCACGGTTGGTGCTCCTGGAGCCTGCAAGTCTGGATCGGTTCTTAGTCTTGCGTGTTGGCGGCCGTATTAGTGAAGGATTGGCGTCCCATATATTATACAAACAACTTCGCGGTGATTAGCAGCCATCTGTTTTGGGCCTAGGCCCCGAGGTCCATCCATAAATCTAGTCGTGAAATTAGAAGAGAACGAAATAATACATTTAAGGATGAGAGAAGCCCAAATTGAACTACTGCACAGTGCATACGAAGACATGTGGGACGCAACGCGAGTGTTTGGCTCTATTTAAAATTATTTTCAAATCGCTTTCTTTATTCCCGAGTTCCAACCACCTTGAGGTGCCCTTCTCGGACACAAAGGAGCGGATACAGCATTCCACATTGCTTTGCAACAATGCCAAAAGGACGTCAAACAGGCCACGGCTCGAGGACAAGGCCAGTATTCATTGTATAATTCCTTTGCTTTTACCGATAGGACTTATATCTAGGTCTGGGCCGGTTGTGGTAACACGGCCCCGAAAGGATCTGATAGCCTTATTACCTCAAGAGGTGGTCAATCTCATTATAGACAACCTGAAGCATAACTACCGACCCCTCATTTCATGTTCCCTCGTCTGTCGGGCTTTTGCATCGCGTACCCGGGAGATCCTCTTTCGGCGTATCTTCCTCAGCTTCGGAGGGTCCTGTAACAGGCACCTTCGTCTCCCAAGAACCACGCTCGCATGCGTCAAGTCGCTTCAGATGATCCACGGTATCTTGGGCGGTACTCGTATCATGAATCAACCTTCGTTCCCCCAACTTATGGCACGGCTTGGGCCCTTGCGGCTTACGCTTGGTCACCTATCATGGTCCGATCTGAACGACGAGGCACGGCGAGCATTGTCGATTCATGATTTTCGCAATATCAAATTTGAATGGAGCGCGTTTCCGAGCATCGTTGATCTGGGCGATCTTCTCAGCGGCTCAGCAGAGCTTGAGACGCTGATCCTTGGGCGCCTGGAAATAGAAGATGCCTCTATTCCGCTACACCCTCGCCATCAAAGGGGACCATCGGTGGAGCGCCTCAGGCTGCACGCCCTAAATGCAGAGTCGAGTATCTTTACGACCATCGTCGACTCACGCGTATCCCCCGTATCGTTTGACAAACTACGCGCTCTCGACGTGACTATCTCGAATGCCGAAGAATTAATAGCTCTGCAGAATGTGCTGAAAACATCGAACACTCTCGAGACACTCACGGTATCTCATATTCATTATAGTAAGCATATTTCCCGGTACAAAGACAAAGTCTGATGTATAATTTTGATTAGACTCCCATAGCAGACCGCTTCCACGTCCACGTCTGAATCTCAAAAACCTGCTCCACCTAAATCTAGAATTGCATGATTTTCACAATCACATGTACCCGATAGTCCATACAGACCTCTTCGAGTGGTGGTGCACAGTCTGGACAAAGGCCAAGGTTATATCCATGAAGGAACTCTCTATTAAAACGTCCTTCAAATCGGATTGGAACGAGGACTACGATGTCACCGTCTGGGCCAAGATAGCCGTTGCTCTATCACGTCCTGTCTGGGTGCTCCTGCCGAAGTTATTTATCACGATCGACGCCAGTAATCAAGAGATTGGACAGGAACTCTATCGGTATAAGGACGCCGTCCAGCGTGCTATGGATGGTAGTTCTGTGGACGTTTGGATTGAAGTGTAAGCTTCTTCTATGTTACCTGTTGTCATTCTGTTGATGATATCGTTGATCAGGGATTACCCCCAGGATTATTATGAGCCAGATGAAGCGATGTACCCAGGATCTGAAGAGGAGCAGGAGGAAGAGGACGTTGGATATAGTGACTTGGATGACTGGTGAAGTGGTGCATTCATTTGATTGTAATCTATGCTTGTTGCGACACCAGAAAACCTTGTGGGATTTTTGTGGATTCCCTGGACTTTCGAGTCTATGTCTCAGTAATTCTTGTAACCTAAATATAAGAGAATCGGCTTCCCGTAGCTTGAATTGCATTGGAATTCATTTGATGAGGATAAGGATGCGGTACGACAACTGTTCGATAATTAGCATCCCGGGTTCTCACATCATTACGCATCAATAGACGAACCCAAGTATCCTGCTTCACGCAATGTCGAAGCAATCTTTAGAATAAGTGTACATCATTGTCAATTCCAAAAATAATCCGCATGTAAGCCATGATCATGAATGAATACACGTATACTATGCACGACTAAAGATACAAAAGTACGATACGCTTATACAGAAATACCAACGATGAAGCACGAAAACAAAAATGCAAGAGAGCAAGACACAGCAAACTATGATTTTGAATGCCCCTTCACCCCGCCCTTCCCCACACCCATTCTCTGCCGCACCGACATCTCCGCGAGAGAGTCCGAGCTTAGCTTTTCCATATCCTGACACTCTGCAGGATGCGTCTCCTCGTAATGCCGATGCAGGTCTGCCCACGGCGCACTCAGCGGGAACCTCCGAGGCGGCGGTCGAGGTGTTTGCGTCGAGTTCCTGAAAGGAAGCATGAGCAAAGAGAAGCGAAAACAAGAACAAAAAAAATTATAAAGAGCTCTTACATGCACATCCGACATATCATCTGGTCATCCCTTGTCTCGTATAAGAGATCGAGGTGCTTAATACCGAGTTTCTTCTTCGTCGGGGGCGGCGCAGCATTAGAGCTCGACGAGGCTTTGAACGGCGCTCGTCCTTGGGGTGGGGGCGGTGGTGGTGGTGCAGGCGCCGGTGCCGAGGGACCAGGTTCGGGATCAGGAGGTCTTTGTTCCTTATCGCTGTCTCCACTACCGTTCGCTTGAGGTTCCGGCGGCTCAGGCTTGACGGAAGGCTCCCTTGGTGCAGTCTGATGAGCCGTCTTGGTCACCTTTGCATCTGGAGGAGAGGACGTAGGCACCTCGGCGGCATGGTCGCTTTCATACGCCGTCCGACTACGTTTGAATGGACGGAATGGGACGACTTGGGGCATCTGGTTCGTAGGCGATGTTTGGGTAGGTGGAGGTGGAAGTGGAGGTTGCGGTTGTGGCGGCATATGAGTACGCGACTGATGTTGTTGAGGAGGTGACATCTGAGGAGCTTGGTGAGGAGGAGAGGCGTGATCCGATCCACTTGGACGACGCTGATGTTGTTGCATCATCGGAGTACGACTCTGATGTTGGTTTGACGGACCAGCGTGAGGACGTATTTGATGCTGGGGTGGTGATGAATGATTCGGCGGTTGATTTGTACCAGGATGATGAGGCGAAGTCTGGTTCGGTGGTGGGGGCAGGTGACTCTTGGATGGAGGTCCATGTTCACGGTCCCTTTCCCGTTCCCGTTCAGGCGCAGGTGACTGCTGTGACAATGGATGGTACGACGGCGGAAGGGGAGGAGCACTTTTAAACGGCGGCGCTATTGGACTAGAGGTATCCGTACGATACTGGGCCGATATTTGATTAGACGTACCCGGACGCGACATCTGATTAGATGAACGAGGACGATCGTGAGGCGACAGTTGGCTGGGAGGCTGGAGCTGGGGAAGAGCATGGTTATTATTAGGAGGATGAGGAGGTTGACTCTTGAACTGAAAGGGTCCTCCCTGATGAGGTGACGGCAGCGGCTGATTGTTCTTGAACGGCGCTCGCTCCGGTGCAGGCGAATGCGCTTTGATAGCCGGCAAGTCGAGCTGGGAGAACCTAGGGAGGTACGTAGCCGGAGAGGCCGCGCCCTTGTTGTCCAGGTCTTTAGTATCCATATCCGAGCTCGACCGTCGGGCATGCTTTGGCTGCTCCATGGATCGAGGTAGGATGGGGGATTTCGCTCGTCTTCTCCCTGCCGGGTCCTCTATCGTTGCGACAGATGGTGACGAGAAGCGGATCATCGTCGGCGCAGAGAACGCCGTAGGCTTGGAATCCTCGGCTGGGGTAAGCGGCTTCCGCACATCGAACGGTGAAGGATGCGTCGACCTTTGCTCCTCTTTTACCCGAACCTGAGGCTCGTATCTCGGTGGTCCCGGCCCCTTGGTTCGCTGAGCGTGGTCGAGCTGGACCATTAACCTTTCGTTTTCCATAGCTATGCTATGAGCGGTATCGCGTGCATCATCCCTCTCTTTCCTTAGCCTGCTGATCGTCTCCTGAGCGCGTTCGAGGTCCTTGTACATTTTTGTCAGTTCGCCTTGGAACGCGCCCACGTTAGCGGTCCAGGCATCCTCGAACTTTGACTGGATAGCCCCGAGGGCACTTGCAGCAAGATCTCTGATAAAAGGTGGAGCTGTAGCTGGACCGAGGGCAGAAAAGGGACTAGTTAAGGTTGGAGAGGGCCCGACAGCGGAGGAAGGCGTGGTAGACGAAGCGGAGGCCATGCTCTGGTCCGACTGCCTCCTCTGAGCTGAGGGTATCTCCGGTGGCGCACTGGGGTCACCGTTATGTCGGCGCTGCGGCGCTGGAGCGAGCTGAGCCTGAGATTGCGGATGCCGGAACAAAGGAAGATCGTATTGAAAGTTCAAGGGCGTGTTCGGTACGTTTTGACGCTATAGGAAGAGGTAAGAACACGTCACAGCCACGTAGAAAGACATGCCGTAGAGTTTTGTCTCGGTTCTACGGGCGACGAACGCATGGACGTCGATGGACTTGGTACGGGTGGTCCGTGCTCATACTGAAAGTTCAAGGGCGGGTTGGGCCCTTGACGCTAACAAGAAATGTTAGGACACGTAATGGCGCGCTGAAAAGGTATGTAACATACCGGTAGAAGGTCACGTCTCGTTTCCACGGGTGACGGATGCACAGACGTTGATGGGCTCGGTACGGGATCCGACCTTGTCCTTGAGGGCGCTCGTGATGTTCCGTTACTCTCTGATTTTGTTGATGTTTTTGCCGTAGGCTTCTGGGGAGGCTGCACGCGGGGGGCCATCACAGATGTAGGAATCATAGGTCGTGACTGGTGATCAGAAAGCTCTTTCAAAAAAAATTATAGGCGATCAGAAAAATTACGACGGACCTGTCCCCCCTGAGGCCCACCCGACTGGTCTACGAAACGAATTGCAGGATAATATGGTTGGCTAGACGCTCCCCCGTACGGTTGTACCTGTGGTCCTGTTGAAATAGGATACCCCCCCGGCTGATTTATCCGATTCGCGGTGTCATTTTCAGAGCGCGAGGGGGGCCTTGTTCCTGCAGAATTAGATTGTGGTGGTTCATCCCCCAGTGGCCGTGAATTCGTCCTTTGTGGTGTCGCGGGAGTACTGCTACTGTTTCCTTTCAGATCGAGAATCCCCAGACCCGGACCAGTATCCCGCCTCTGCTGCATGAACAAATAGAAGAGAAGCAGACAGAGATTATTTCCTCCACAGAATCGCGAACACGTAGACCTGAAAAGGGCGTCGATTGGGCGTAGGAAGAAGTTGGGAGTAAAATTCGGCTCTTATATACCGGTTTATTTAATCATTTCCCACGGTCCCTCTATTGATGCCGATCGCGCGCTTAAAACGGCTAGTGCCCTAAAATCAGTAGATACTATAAGGAGCATAACACTGCCTTGACGGAGACTTCTGTGTCCTTACCAGGCTTTTCGGCGCTCAATCTTGTTGGAAATATCTGTTGCTCTTACTTTATCTATCTTTTCTGAGCCACCTTATGTCCCCCCGGGAAGAAATCTGATCGTTCGATTGCATCGTGACCGGTCGCGCGATCGAAAAATAGTCCTCTTGCAGCAATAATCTGTGATACCGGCGTTGGACACTGCTCCCTCTGTATTGCATGGATCATTTTTCGGTGTGTTGAGGTCCGCATGCATATCACACTCCACGCTATTTCCACTTTCACATATCCCGGTATGGTATGTCTTTAAATATCGTCTCACCTCATGGTGTCCACGCTCCCACAACCGCGCGTGTTTTATGACTTGCGGTGATCATCGGTGATGGAGACATTAATACAGCCAGTGGAACTGGTAATCTTGACGCCTTGACGGATCTTCCGCGATCGCAATGTAATTCTTTCTTTAAACAGCTCTGTGGGCAAAATAAACGAATCTGGCGAGTGGCTGCTGCTATCGATTATACAAATTTCGCTCTCTAGTCGTCTCCCTTCAGCAGACTTTTTTTATCATAAACCAATTGGGGTCGGAAAAGGTACGGTACGTTGACTACATGTTAATGGAATTCTTGTAATCTGACACTCCTTCAGCCTCATGTCCGATCCATCGCACTTCCCCAAAGAATCCGTTCAGCTATCTCGACACATACTATTCAGCGAAGGGACACACAAACGCCCTTATCGAGGTCTTCTGGACGTTCCTCTCCGTCCAAGCAGCGGCGGCACCGTAAAGCAAATGAACCTGCCGGTAACTGACTCTCAAGCGACGCGTATCTCAGCGACTCGGCACAGAAAACGAGTTCCTTGTTGCCAGGCTGGCTTTCAAAAAATATGAAAAGGTAATGTTTTCCGAGAAGGTCACGGAATTGATCCAGTCCAGAACCATTGCGCCTCAATGCTTGAGAGTAACGATATGAGACTTGATTTTTGGAGAACGTTAAAAGTTGGAGAGCGTTTAGAACATCCATGGTTAAAAATTAATTGAATGAGGCGATATATTGTCGGATCAAGTTTAAGAAGGCACAGGGAGACAGTGACAAGAGAGATTGAGCAGACCAAGTGGCACTCATGCTAGATAATTGTAGTTTCTCTTTCATGTCTTCTGACATCTATTTTTGAGCCGAACAGATGTTTCCAGTTTGGACGCGGATTCAATTGAATAGTTCAGACCATCATCATCTGCTCAAGCTCTATTCAATACTCAAGCTCAGAGTTCACTCGAAAAAAACTGACGGAATGCACGGGTCACGAGCCAAAGATTGAAACCCTCCCGGGAAATGAGGAGGCCGGGAGGAACAGAGCACAATGGCCAGAGAGTCTGACGATGATGGGGAGGGTGATAAGTGCAGTCCCCTACCGGTAGAATAATTACCACTCACAGTTCCTCTTTATCGAGCTTCCTGGCGCTTTTTACATTACTCACACGGTATGCTGTTGAATTAAATTGGAGATCGTGGAGAAGTTGATGGAAAAGTATTTAAGGCGGACCAATCCGCGACCCACGGGAAGGAATCTAATGGATGAGGACGTTAGAACGCTTGATTGTTTGTTGATCATATGAATATATTCCCAGGCTGTTCTTCGAGCAGGGTGTCGCTGTCTAAACAGCAGAAGATGGATTGTTACTAAAATAAAAGTTCGTATCACAAGGAGCGCTCATATTTTGACACTGCTTTGACGATCATCTTTGATCATATCTTCTGTCGATCGACGGTGCCGACAACAGCCGACGACGCGCCCAAAGAAGGTACCATTCCGATATATCCCGAATTGGCCATTGTCGTCGCGTTGTGTGTCCTTGTTTATTACAGGCGTCTTTCTCTTCGACTACGACGGCGAGGAAGAGTGACGACAGCAACAATATTACAGCCTTTTCTCTTTGTTCTACTTGATTATTACCTTTATCGCTCTGTCCTGTTCTCCAGTTGTGGCTAGGCTGCGCGATACAAATGCAGCGCTAGGGAATGACGCCCATTCGGGATCCTAGGACAATTATATGCTTTGCATACCTGACAGGCACGATAGCAGCTGCACGCTTCTGACTCTATATGTGCATATCTCGATCTTTCTCACAATAATGAAGTCCCATCGAACGCCTGGCAGGATCCGACCTTCCTATTCGAGATTCCTTCCTATGCGAATGACAATGTCAACGCCGTACGTACTTTTGGCTTTTAATTGTTTTCTTGCATTCGCTATAACGTCAAATATGCAGGGAACCCCCCAGGCTTTTTGTCTTGGGAACCGGGGAATCTGATGGGAGCTGAACGCTTATTGTCTTATTGTTCGGTCGGCCGGAGTAGATCATTGCGACCGAATCCAGCAAGGGTACTAAAGCTAAAGCAATTTGCTTCCGTTGGGCGCGATTTCTGCTTCCGTTTGCTGACTGGTCCGCGTAGAGGAGAGAATACTCAACCCCTAGTTTATGGATAGCGGTGCTGTCCTTGATACGATACAGACTAGTGTGTGTTCGTTCATTCGTTGCTCTACCGTCACACTATACTCATGCATATCCCGACGAAAGCCCTACAGAAATCCACAAAGTACGATCGCAAGCCCCTTGCCTGCTCATCGTGCGTCTTGAACCCAATAATGACAGTCAGATACTCTGAACAGGTTTGTGTTTTATTATTCATCTTAAAATCATTTTTAATCATTTTTAGGTCCTTCCAGGATGTGTACGCTTCTATGACGACTCCCTTAACCCTCAGATCGACTCGTTCGACTACGTTTACGCCGAGTCCTCAAAGTCTAAGTTTTCCCAACGACTACCCAATAGTCGCGTCCAACCGCAACGTCGCCTCAGCGCTGACGTGGACATGTGCGACTATCGTCCGCCATTACTTCCTCGAAGGCCGACGTACAACCTGGATCGTCCACGAATTGAAGTACGCCGACCAGTCGTAATCCTACCCAGCCCTGATGCATCCTTGCCAATTTCTCTACCGTCATCCTCACACCAGTCACTACCGCCTCTTTACCTTTTGGAAAGTAAGCCTCCATCGCCTATAGCGCCTCTTTATGGACCCCGCCCACTTACTGCCGAGAATTTGGCTCGATTTAATATGCAAGAGCATCTCCAGCCGGTGCCATCACATCTTTCGGGTCAGCACGCCCTTATCCCACACGCGCAACCTCCTCCCAGACGTATACATGCTCTACCGTCCGTCCCTCCCTCTGTCTGGCAGCGACGGCAGCCGCAGCATATTCCCATCTCCCTCGTGTCCAATCCCTGGATTCGCTCTATTATTACGACCTTCCGCTCCTCGTGCGCTCAGCTTCTCGTTCGTGAGCGCCAGGAGAAGGAAGAGCTCCGGAAGGAATTGCATGAGTTGAGAAAGAGCGTCAAGCGGCCATTGAGGGAAGGAAGAAGTCCGTATTCGCGTGAGAGCAGCAGCTCACAGGCAAGTGACGAGCTACAGTATCCAGCCTCGACTCCGAAGCGAAGGCGCTTATCAGTTTCGTCTGAAGATGGTGTTAAACCCGTCCCGCAGTTGTTCGAGCCTGTGCTGCGGGATCATGTTGCGGTCATGGTGCCGCTGGTTGAGGATGTGATAGAGCCGCGGGTGAAGGAAGAGGTAGTAGAGGTGTGCATCGCTGAGATGAAGGTAGCGAAGGCGATCAAGGAGGAGGAAGCTTCGGCTCCGCCTGCTCCTTCATACCTTTCGGATCCCATGACACTGCCGGCGATCGTACCATGGGCCCAACATGACGTTGATGATGGGATGGGCGAGTGCGATATGGATCTGGAGAGTGATGGCGAGCCAGATTTGGAGGAGGGGGAAATATATGAAGATCGCTCCCTTGTGTCCCCGTCGCCATCGATAAGCACAGATTCATCAGCGGCTACGTTGGTCGACGCGGTGGAGAACAAGTGGTTGAACATGGTTATAATAAAATAGCTGCTTTATGGTATGATTATACTTACCTTATTCTACCTTATCCCATCTTTGTCCTGTTGATTTTTTCATTGGTATTCATTTCGTGTAGTATAATGCTTTTGTACGTCGTAAGTACTCCGTGCACAGAAACGTTCTTGGTGTCAAAGTAAAGCATTTTGCCAACACGTCGTAATTGATGGTAATAACCAAAGAGGTACGTGATGCACAGTATAAATTTAAAAATAAACAAAATGGGAGTCCAGGCATTGCGCAACTTTAAAGTTTGAAAATTAACCAGCACGAATGATTACAAGTCACGAATGGTGATTCTGCTGAAGAGTCGTCACTTGTGAGGAGTCAAGCCCAGTGGAAAGCCCGTGGATTGGGGGCGATTGCTATACATTATTTGTGATCGTATTCGAAATAATCTATGCTTGTCCAAATACACGAAATTTTACCATTGTCATCCATTATACGCCATTAGAGCCAGAAGCTTAATCGTGCTGCTTCGATCCGTATCAATCATGGTCCGTTGTGGTCATTTCGGGTCAATTGCTATGTATTCAAGAATACAGTACATTTCGCTTGCAGCATTCACTACAATATATCGCCACAGCCCCACTTTGCTATGACATTGACAGCCCCGAGAAATCTACAGCCGCCGAGTAACACTGGATGGCGCGGTCACTATACGGAAAATTAGATGGACCACTTCGAGGGAGGTGAAATCCTCACATTAAAGATATAGGGGAGTTCCGGTATGAAGGCCTTACGCATGGCGATTACGAGTTGCCCAAAGGTGGTTCCGCGGAATGAACTGTAACAATGCGCGCGCGTGCACTGCCAAGAGATATGTCATTAAGTATGAACCAATAAATTATACGCACCGAATGCCAAGAGTTCCTCCTCGTCTCACCACCTCTACGCTGTCAAAGAAGACGCATATATGTCATGTTATCAGACCAAGGAGTTACTTCTTCTGCCAAGTGAGATAGCTTTAGCGATGGTGAGGATCCTGGACGCCTTGGGAAACAGTATCGCCTAGAAGACAGCCCAGAGCCTAGGTTAGCTGCAGAATGAGGAAGTAGAAGAGATAGAGTCTAGCAAGGTGACGAGGCGCCTTCCTGTAGAGAGTCTAGAGACTATGCATTGGCAGCAACGGCGGCGCACGAGAAACGACGTGGTGGTACGGAAGAAAGGGCGGACGTGACATAGTGTGACAGTGTGGAGCGGCGAGCCGGAAAAGTGTAGCTCGCCCATCCTGGTACAGCGTCGACTTAGGTAAATAGATGAAACAAACAGAAACCGATGCTGGGAGCTTCAAGTTGTACAAATTGAAGAGATAGATTCATGTAGAGAGGAGTGCGCACAAAGATACAAGTTCGACTACTTAATTTGGCAAGTTACAGCCACTTTTGATCTTCCAAGCGAGCTCAAGCTGCGTTTATAAACGACAGGAACCTACCGCACCAGATATCAATCTCCCCCAATTCACTGGCTTTCCACTGGGAGTCAAGACTTACACGTCAAAAGATAAAACTAATAAATCTTTCGGATACGGGGAATCGAACCCCGAGCTGCCGCGAACACATGAGAGGCGGCAATGCTAGCCGTTACACCATATCCGACAACGGAAAAATTCTACCTATATCACCTATATTCTTGTAACGGTTTCTAGTGAAACAGACAATCTTCTCCTTTGAAACCTCTTTGATCCCCAGATTGCTAACCGTATTGCCTTCTGACTAAAAGATGAGGCTGAATATCTCCTTATACTCGACGTCAGTACGGGGCGAGTCACTTATGCGTAAGTATAACATAGCAAGCTGCCTTGCGTGTCCGACACGTCGCCAACCTGCATCGAAAATGTCAAATGGGCCAGCGCATGAAATAAACACAGGGCGTACTGTCGTGTTAGGTAGGATGTTGAAAAGATATAAAACCGTGTCTTCGTTGGTTTCCTGGAAGAGCATCATTTAACAGGCGCTACCTGAAAACTGGTATTACACACAACATAACCAGTATCGGGTTCTTTTTGCGTCTCGTATCCGATTCCTTCGAGGTCATTGATACGAGTTTCGTTGTCACCCTGCCACTTCCACCATATCTACAACGTACGATTCAGCTGAAGTGGAAATGAGTAAACACCATATTATACGCACGTAATCCACGTATCCATGGTGCATCCAAAAGATTGGATCATTAGGCGACGTCATGACATTGGCCATCTATCAAGAGACAGAGATGAACTTCGCTAACGTAGACAGGGAAGGTACGTACCTCCCCTCCAACGCCCTTATGCCCAGCTACATGAAGGCCATGATAAATCGTATCCTTAAACTTCGCCATGGTGTCCAGCGCAAGTACATAGTCCACGTATATCTGTCCCGCCTGGAGCGACCACGTCCCATCCACCTGCCGTGTAAGCATATGGTTCGTATTAGTCGACCCAGGTCCAAGATACCGCGTCAGGTTACCGAAAGGTCCATCAACAACGACCCAGTCGCTGTCCCAAGTACCTTCCCCACCAAAGTCAAGCACGACGGGGGAGGTGAGGAATGAACCGGCGTCGACGACTTCATTCCAGTAGGGGAGCTGAAGTTCGGGAATAGAAGGGTGATGATTAATCGATAGTTGGCGAGGCAAAAAAACTCCTGCACTTACTGGACCAGTATATCCACACTCAGAACGCAAGAGTGTTTCGTGGGCGTGAATAAAGTAACGATGAGCCTATAAGAACAAGTTAAAGGAGCCAACCATGAAAAAATGGGCATTCGTACATGTAAGAATCTGCGAAAAAGATCAAAGTTCAGGCAGATAAGCGAAGATTATGACCGTTGATTGACTGACTGTCCGGTTACATGCCAGTAATCGTTGCCGCCTATTACATCGCTTTGCTCGGAATGGGCGCCCACCTATCACAGTGAAGTTGTGTTAGAACATCACTAAAGCACACGAGCTACGACTGACCAGGTCATCGTAGCGCGAAACGATGTCTGGAATGTTAGTTTGAGCAGGAGCAGTAAGCAGACAAAGTTCGGCCGCGAAATAGGCCTTTTTCTCTTCTTGCGTTAAAGTGTTCCTGTATGAAGGGTTGAGAGCGTACTAGTGGCAAGAAAGCGAAAATTACCATTCCACGCGAGTAGACGGTTCTGTACAGCCAGACCGCCGATTTGAAGTTCCTGGGTGTGTTGGTAGACAGCCACAGAACCGGGTGGCAGTGGAGATCAACACGAAGAGTCGGAAAAAGGCCGTATGCATACTAGCTCCAGAAAAAGGTGACAAGGAAGCCACAAAGAGGAGGTCAAACTCGTCTGTAAAAATTTCGTTTGAGAATGGTTGCTTTTATAATCCCGGACATTCGGTTCTGTAAATTTGTCACCAGGCAGGTGTCGTCGGTTCGCTAGTTACAACGTCATGACTGTCGCGAACGGTGCACGTAAATTGTTAAGTTCAAGCCTACTTGGCAGGGAAATCGAAGTCGGAGAAATGATTCTATGGCTTATCATGGGGACATGTTGAGTCTTTTTCGCCACAATGATTGGCTACTGATTCAACTTTCTTCGACAGCAGCGTTTGGGCTACTAGTGACGAGATAGCGAAGGTTCCTGTCCATATGTAAAATCTGAAGGACGCAAAATGATAGAGAAATTGGGCGGTTAATACCGTTAATTCCATAGTCATGCTATGTGATTCGCAGAGTGAAGGATGCTCCTGAGCTACGCGTGTTACGGATAGTGGATGTGTAGCTGATGGGGCAGCTGGCTTCTCGATAGAGGCTCTAAAGCGGCGATGGCGAGAAGACGAAAGTCGGATGGAAGCTCTCGGGATGGGCAGAGCTAAGATATGTTGCTCGCGCCGCGTGGCAGGTTTACTTCACCCGCCACAGTGCGCGAAACTTCACAAAGCTTCTACTTAACGTGAGGTTGATATTTGCAAGTTGGCAAGTAACAAGGTCGTGAATCTGCATTCGTCCCCCGACGCTGGGATCTGCACAGCAAGATCGACGGATACAAAATGGCTCGTCCACATCTCAAAACACCTCCTTCGTCCGCACCAAGACCAGACTGCACATGGGAGGAACGAAATACAGATGACTAGACACGCTGTGTTTGAGACAGAAAGGTAGATGAATAAAGGATCCCGGATGCAGAAAGTGAGGGCTGATGTGCCGACGATCGGAAATCAGTATAGCCGCCCGAGAGGCGGCCTTTTAAATTTGTAGGAGGGCAATGGTGTAGACGCTACATTGACAAGGCGTCGTCCGACCGTTGACGACAACACTGCTGGGAATACGTTTGCGCAACGATAAACAGGAGGGAAGCGAGATGTAATTTTAGAGGTTTGCCGCCTGTAAACTAAAGTCTGGAGAGGGAACCGCGATGGAAGAGGAGAGTCGCAGGGAGATGAATCTTTGATTTTGAAGGTAACGAGAGAAAGTTGAGAAAAGGAAGCCCAGTGCAATGGAAAAAGTGATTCCTTGTGTCAGAAACAAAGACGACGACGTGTTGGATAACGTAGGGTGGTGTGCTGTGATACTTTCTTCTGCAAAGGTAGGTCTAGAACAGCGACCCAAGATATCTCGCTAGACTGTCCGCATATCCACGGCAAAGAGAGGTTGCTTCCAGGCTGAGGATAACACAAAATACACTTTTGGGATATTTTCATCCTTCCGTGAACATTCATTTCTCCACTCCAGCCGCGTTGCACTGCCGTTACCATCTCCCTCTTTACGTGCGCACAGTTCGTTGCACCAGTCATCAGGGCGGAGATGGATGTTAAAGTTCATTGAGAAGATGGGAAAGCCACGGCTCTTCCGGCGTATGACGAGGAAGGGTCGGCTGTTAAGATAGGGGACGGTCCTTTCCGGCACCTTATGTAATCATGACAAATCACATCACGTGCGGACAAAATCGGTGGGGTCATCGCATCGTAGTGCTCCAACCCTTTACTTTTCCTTTAGGAGTCGAGGCAAAATAAAGGGAAAGGGTTCGCAAAACCTTTGCAAACGATTTATAAACCCTTTGAAAGGGTTAAGTCACGTGGTATGTTGTCGCGGCCATGGCTGGCAGGAGCCTCTTCAGACGTGTAGGACTAGTAATAATGACACAACTTATAAGAATTTTTGTATACATACATAACAACTAGTTGAAGAAAAAGAGACCATCCTTTATCCATACTTTTGTAAGCATAGCCGTCATTATGGTGTCTGCTTTGAGAGATGAGCGGATTTCTGTGCAGAGTTGCCGAGACTTTGAAAACAGACGCTCTACCGAAACGCTTGTTCCAGGGATGGCTAGAAAATCACGCGTCATCCGTGCAATGATAGGGAATTTTGATTCGTTCTTCTGTAAGAAAGGCATTAATAACGAAGATTGATCAAAAAGGCACAGTTGCACTCACCTTCTACCAAGCGAGTGGATCGTTCTCATCTCCCTGGTCGATAGTCTTGTAAGCGATGTAGAATCGATCACACTCGCTGGCTAGACTGGCAGAAGCTATGGGATCCGTCTCAGAATCTGATGATACATCGTTCATCATCACATCGCTAAGGAAACTTGATATCTTCTTCCGTGGTGGGACCAAATTCTGAACTGAGGCCCGATCCTCCTTGTTGGCCGCATCTTTATATTCCTTATAAACAGCTTCGAAGAGGATTTTGGCGCGTGTCGCACGATCAGGATCATTCAGACGTCGGAACCAGCGAAGTCCAAGGTGTGGGTGAAGCACTAAAAAGATGGTGGGCACATTAAACAGGGAGTGTCAATAGAATTACAACTACGCACTGGTTGCTATGACATTGTATTGGTTGAACTTTGCCTTGAAATAGTATTTGTCGAGTTTCATCAAGCCAACAAGTGCTGCTGTTCGTATTTGTGGCAGCTGAGTCAGATCATCATTGGTCGTTGACAAATGTCGGCGCATCATCTCATACATTGGAAGAACCCACGGGAGCGTTGGAGTTGTTGATCGCGACATCTGTAAGGTAACCTGGGTGAAAACCTGCCATGTAAGTCAGAGTGATTGTCAATAAACTTGAAAAATAAGAGATAGACTCACTTCAAGAACTTTGCCGAGCCTCTCTAGCATATTCCACTGCGACAATGTAAGATAGAGTGGTTGGAGCACCGTACTGGTGAGAACCCAACGATCAATTGCCTTTGTGTCACTAGTATGAGCGCACTGTGATCCTTGAGGATGTGGAGGGACATACCTTTTGAAGCAGGAGAGCCCGCTTGATCATAGCATGCGTATAGTTCCACCGTGTTATTATATCACGTATTGCCATCAAAAAGGCAAGCTTGTGTCCTGATGGAGCTCGCTGATCCTTGTATACGTCTTTGGCAATCATTCGAAACTTGCGGCGCCGTTGAGGTGATGAACAAATCTTTGTAACGATCAAACGAAGCTAAAAAAAAAAGGTCAGCACACTAAAAGCCGATCACAAAATGGCTTGCCTTCTTGACGGGACTCCAGGTGTCGACATCGTGAAGGATTTGAGCCATAATGCTGTCGTCATCTTCGTACTCGGTGTTACCATCAGTGCGGAGTGTCTCATATTGATCCATGTCCTTCTCGCATTCTTGCTCAAATGCCTTGAGGGCCTCGTCGTCATCTTCATCGTAGTGGGTCGGGTACTGCTTGTTTCCACTGAAGTAGTCATTTTTGTCAGGATCTTCTGCTTCATCCAAGCTATTCATGATAGCCTGGGTGACCAGGCTGACGACGTGGTCAAGACAATGGATATACGCATTTTCAGGAACAAAGTTGAGCTTATAGTGCTTCAGTATGAGTTCGCTGAGTGTCGTTGCAAAGACCTCATTGACAGACGCATTATCCATGGAGACTGTTAAGAGGTAATGGATAGAAATAAGTCAAATGTTTGAGCAAAAAGCGAAGGTAACTTATCTTTTCGAGGACCCCAAGCTGAGAGGTGGACTTTGCAAAGGCCATAGCAGCATATACCCCTTCATGTTCCCTTTCTTCAATAGGATGGAAGTCAATTACACGTTCAATTAACTTCCAGTCTTCTGTAATCCAGTTAGCGACTGTTCCTGAGAATGAGAACATCATTGATCTCGTGGTCCAGGTATCTGTGGACGTCGCGATCTTTGATTTGACGTTCTACAGCTGACTTATGAGCATGGATTCACATTTGAATGGTAAACGTACCTGTATCTCATGTTGAACATGCTCTCGCATATCTGCATGAATCCGTTCAAGCTTCTTGCGAACGGTTGTATCTGAAGGGAGCGAAAACTTTGATTTGATGTATCGAAAGGTCCGCTCAGCGTCTGAGGATTCTGCAAAAGAGAATGGGAGATTCATCTCAAGAGCCCATGCGGTTATAACCTTATTGAAGCCCTCTTGAGTCGGGTTATGCGTTGGATGTACCTCACCGTCTCGAAGAAACCTTTCCATAACCCCATTGCTGTCTATAGATCCAGCTGTTCCCTTGTTGTTCTCGGTAGGTTTTGATATAGGAGCTGGGAGGTCACGGTGGGCGTTCCGGACATGAGTCGACAAGTTGCCAAGAAATGGCTTTTTAGGCTCGTCTTGGTCAAATTGAATGTTATCCCCTTTGACAGTTCGCTTCACTGTAGTTCGACTGAATATTCACAACTTGAGTATAAGCGATACATAAAGAAAAAATAATTGCGTACTGTTTACATCCAGGGTGCCTACATCTGAATGACCACCGCATTTCTCCATTCACAATGACCGCCTTTGGCTCTGAGAAATGGTCACGAGATGCACTTTTGGGGCCTCGAGTAGGTCGACACCGGTCTTCATCATCTGAATCGTCGCTGATTTCGACAGGCTGTATACCTGAGGTCTGAGTTGTGCCAGATGTATGAGTGTTCGAAGTTTCCTGTGTAAACATGAGATCACTGTCATAAATAAGAAATAATAGCGCACTTTCAATCTCGTTTGTGTCTTTTTGGCCCCAGATTTAGTCTTTGAGTATTTACGAGGCTGTCAGTATACATCAGTGCGACTTACATGACAAAGAAAGACAATCATACTGGCTTGAAGACTGTATACATGGCCTCGTCGTTCTTAGAACCTTTATTGGTATCATCCTCTGAGCCTGAAACAAGGATTACTCGCTTGCGTTTCGAACCCAAGGGGTTGGAATGATCGTCGTCGAGCTCAGAGACCTCTTCTAAGCCATCCTCTGCAAGTGAGTATGCTCGGACGGGAGACTCAGAAGCATTTCGGCGACGGAGAACATAGTCTGGATCATTCTCATCCTCACTACTGAATGCTTCTGTAACAGTAAATATTCGTTAATGCATGGGCGACAGGTGAAAAGATGACATACGACCATCAAATAGCTTCAGCAGCATATTATCACCCTTTTTCTTCGTTTTCACTGGCTCCGCCTTTCCTTTTCCCTTCTTATTCTTCTTTGGCTTAGATGATGGGAGCTCGGATTCTGCGGGAGTATCATCGACCGGACTACTGGGGGAAATGACCATAACTGCTTCAGATTGAGTCTGAGATTCAGTAGCGGTATGTTCTCGTGGTGCGGGATCAATGGTAGGGGGTTGCTGGCGCCTCGATACAGACTGTGTTGATGGTCCTGCTGCTGCCAAGTAATGGGATACATTGCCGGAAACTGGCTGAAAACCGGTCTGTTCCTTGCTTTTGAGATCTTGAATATGCATCGATCTACCAGAACCCAATGGTAAGCATACTATAATCCCACTATAGAGCACATAAATCAAGGAACGTACACGATATAGACGACCTCATTGACGAGCCGTAGTAACTTTGGCTCAACAATGGCAAGAGGCATTTGAGACCATGGAATGTTCTGCAGATATGAGATGACTGAATCCAATCCATATTGCCCACGACGGATGTTTGGAAGCCGTCCATTTTCGTCACGCAAATGCTCTGCGTAGAGAATATCAAACCTTTGGTTGAAGGTGGAAAATGGGTCTTCCGAGGTAACCTTGGTCATAACATGGTAAATGTTGTCATCAGGGTCAGCCTCCAGTACAACTTTGGGTGGAAGTCGAGAGCAGATTGCTGCCAACTTCTGTACTAGAGCGCGTATTGAGGAAAGTGTTGGAGCCATGGTGGGTGAAGCCTGAGGGATACATACACGCTGGTTAAATAGGAAGAAATGCATATATTGGCAACAATAGCTGCTGCGCAACCCAAGGACAAAGCCATTGCAAAGGCAGCACCAGCGTGGAGTCAGACAAAGACCATGAATATTCAATGGCAAAGGCAACGCTCGATTGCCTGATTGAGATCTCATTTATCCTTTGTTTGTCCTTTGTTTACCATTTGCCCCCGGACCCAAATCTAAACGCAAAATAAATGGTTTTAAACCCTTTATAAACCGTTTTAAAGGGAAAGGGTTGGAGCACTATCGCATCGAACTTCGCATTGGTGAGTTGGAGGAGGATGGGAGGTGAAGGGGGTATTCATAAACTAGTCCCAGACTGTATATATAAACAGGATAGCTAGAGAGTCACCCATTTAGCTAAATGAAAACAGCCCCAACAAGATAGTGGAAAAATCTGATCTTCATCACCTAAAATAGGTACGCGTTTGATCACGTGTATCATGTGATAGATTCACGTGATGGACAAAATCGCTCAGCTCAATTTTTGAAAAATCTACGGAACAGCGAGAAAATCACTTTTAGACATTCAGAAAACCTGGCCAAAATATTTTCACTATACTTGCATCTACTCTCTCAATATATAGAATATTATAATTCTGGCTTCGGAGAGGTGTACCCAAGGGATGTTCCTAACACCCTCTGAAGCAATTTCAGTGCACTTGCTTTATGTGATGGAGGAGAAGCCGCTCGAAGTCGGGGGCGGTATTGCTTACATAAGGGGGTGCCGGAAAGGGCCATCCCCTATCTTATAACGCATTGGTCTGGAAAATTGTGCCGATCTCGGTGAGGGAACAAAGTCAAGGTGCACGTCGGTTGGTGAGAATATCTGCAAATTGCTAGCTCGTTAAACGCAGCAAGAGGACAAGGTACCAAAACTAACCATGATACTAAGTTCCGCTACAGATCAACGTAAAAGAAACACCCCAAGACGACAACCCTTATTGAATTGTATCTGCGCATTACCACCGTTCATCACCTCGGAAGCGGCGAAAGAAGATAACGGAGTACAGCGAGCGGCCATCAAGGTTCGGAGCCTAAAACTATCGCGAGCATGCCAAGTCCTATAGCCACCTTGGGGTCATCGTACAGCTGAGCACTGACTTGTTAATACGGTGCTCGCTCGAACATGAAGAGCGAGGATGAATCTCATCATATTCGATATTGTGGATTTCTCCACATCCACAGAACCCCATTCCGAGCAGCTCTCACCCTTCCTGCGTCACAACCAATGAGGAATGGTGCTGCGGAGAGATAGTGCGCTTGAGCAGTGGCTGGCTCGGAGCTCCAGCAGATCGAAGGAAGTTGAGGTTGATAGCGCTAGCACGGAGAGGTCAGTGAGCCAAGACGCAGTGGATATCCTGTGTAAGGAGAGATTGGATTGACCCAAATCCAAAGCCGCTGGTAACGAATGCCGACGCTACGTCTGAGAAAGTGCTGGAGGGTACAAGCAAAAGGACCGCCGTTCTTTGTTTCTGAAAACCTCCGCGAGATTATCTGCCTCATACCTTGGCCAGGTTGACATTGGGCATTCCTAGCAAGATAAATCTGGACCATGATTATACTGCTAGACGAGTCTGTGAGTGAAGGTGCCGAAATGAAAGAAGGTACATACGTAGATGCCTCGCGCTCTCCCATCAGTTAGGTTACATTTCCCGCCTGTGCAAATCGAGCGGCCTCAGTTAGACAATCTCGACAATGCCGTCAACGAGGTTTTGACCTCCTTGTGTTCACCCTGCGCGTAATCCTAAAACGACCCGCTGGAAAAGCCTGGCTTGGATGGATTCGTCGTGGTATTACGCGTCCCTGTAGATGAAGCTGGAGACGAGGATTTTCAGCATGCAATACGCGCTGTAGCGCTGTACTTTATCTGGTCAAGGAAGGCGGAGACTGGCGAGCAGGGGTGGACGTGAATCATGATGCATGATGGCCAATATCGCTGGGGCTGGTTAAACGCAGAAGACGTCGTTAGAATAGAGCGTATACCCAGTTGTGCTCGTATCTTGTCTCCTCGTTTCGATGTCTTCCATGACAGCTTGTTTGTAAGGTCCGGATCTGCAGTCGTTATCCCACGACTGATGATGTTGGAAGATTCAGGTTGGTGTCCCTGTGGGTGTGGCTGCACGACTAAACTGACGATTCGCATTGGTCGGTGAGACAAGCATCCCGTGACATAGTCAGTAGTAATCATGTTGCACGAAACGACGCTGGGAGTACAATCCTTAGCTTCAATTTCGAAGCGGTATGAACTCGATGAAGTCTTATTGTATTCATGAGCAGCCACACATTCAAGAGCTATAGAGTATTTCCATAAGTAAGGTAAAGTCCTGTCAAGCAGTGCAGTGCAGTGCAGACGCACCTGTTGAAGAAACACCACGCCAAGACCACACGCTGACGGTGGACAATTTCCAAGGCAAATTCTCTGTGGGAATTCGGTAAGCAGATGAAATATGATCAACAGAATTGCTTTACATACTAGGTCGTCTTTCGATGAGAATTCTCCAGGACGAAAAGGTCCTTGTAAAGTGTTTGAAAAGGCACACACTAGGACGTGTTCAATGTGTGTTACTTGTCTCAACGTTGTTTCCTGTAGGCATAACTAGATGATGCGCACAGATTGGAGGAGAGCAGAAGACCCTGTTAATGGTGCTATGATGACGGCAAACGTGCCGCGGCACGGCTTATCCGGCTAGTGCCGACCCTCAGCATTAGCCTGCCACGGCAACAACTGTTTTTTTTTTGGTGGCATAGTTTCCCTTTCCAGGGAATCGCAAAACGTGGAGTCCGCCATTGTCGTCTCCCAGTCTGCTCCATAACTCGTGTAGGGCCCGTTTCTGGAGGGAAATACTTGATCCACCTCATCACTCCCAATCTTCGCCGGTGTTCTTCCACTATATGGTTCGTTCATACCAATATTTGTAATCGAATCAGTTGGATTTCTAATTACATGGGTTGGATTTCTAACCGCATAGGCTGGATTTATAAGGAGCATTCCTCCATTACTGATCATGCATTCATGCCCAAAGCCCGTAAAAGAAGGCCAGCATCTTCTGCCCTCGTCCCTCACAACTAGCCCCACCCCCGACAATGTCTCTTGATTTCAAGAGCAGCCTGAATATCACACATATTGGCACCGTCACTGCCATTTTCGAAATCGACGGGGTCAATCTACTCACAGACCCGTTTTTCTCCCCCGCCGGCACTGAGTGGGATGTAAGTGTCGTGGTCATAAAAAACTCCGACACCCCAGCTCTCGGGCTGCATGACCTCCCGCCAATCGAAGGTGTGTTCCTCAGCCATGAAGACCACCCGGACAATCTCGACGAGCTGGGCCGCCGCCTACTCGACGGCCGCAAGGTCATCACAACCATGGATGGCACCAAGCAGCTGCACCCGCGGCCCGGCGTCCGCGGCATCCGTCCCTGGGAAACAGTGCTGCTCGAAGTAGGCGGGAAGTGCTTCAAGGTGACCGGAACACCCTGTCAGCACCTACCAGGGGGGAGTGCACAGGGTTTATTCTGACGGCACCCGAGTTCGGGAGCACGGACGGGTTGCCGAATGCCATCTATTTCTCCGGAGACACCGTCTACATCGAGGAGCTGGCCGAGATGTGCAACAAGTTCCACATCGTCGTCGCCGTGCTTAACCTCGGTGCCGCCAAGGCGCCGCTCCCGGATGGCCCGCTGCAGATCACCATGGACGGCAAGCAGGCTGCTCGGCTGTTTCGCGAGATAAAGGCAGATATCTTGGTGCCCATGCACTATGAGTCATGGAACCATTTCACGCAGTTTGGGAAGGAGCTAGCTAAGGTCTTTGAGGAGGAGGGTATCCAGGACAAGGTTTGCTGGCTCACGCCCGGTGTGTCGAAGAAAGTCATATGATTTCAGGCTGGTCGTTTCAGTCATTTTCCGAAATTCAATTGGGAAGATGAAGTTCCAAGGATAATTAAATTTCTTGTAGTCAGTTTCGATGGATTTATAAACTATCGCCTTGCTCAATATACCTCGACACGCCTTATGCTGAGACGTAGTAGAGCCCCCAAATATGTTGATAAACGAATCTTCATTCTCGAGCCGATCTACGCATCCTCTGACTTCATTTCTCATTGATTCGCTCGTTTGCAACTTCCTCAGTTTTGGTGAGCACGGCAAACTCTTACTTTTATGTGCATAACTGAGTAAACTATTTTCACCTCGTTATGGGAGCTGAAGATGGGAACCGCGACCATGAAGTACAGAACTGGTTGTAGCCGCCCTTAATACTGGCGATCCCTACAAGTTAGACGCCGTCTATACGTATAAGAAACTACAGAGGGTGAATTAGTTCACACTAGTCTCTGGAGCTGCGCTATCGTCCGGTTGCATGTCGATGGTAGCTTTTCCGAGAATGCGGTGGCAACGACAAGCTCGTATGTAGCACATCACCGATAACACAGGTGTGCTCTGAGGCCGACTCGGAGTCCCACTGAAAAACAGCTGATCTATGTTCCTACGGGTGCATCAAGCACGGTTCAGCATTGAGAGACCTCCCAAGCGAGAGGTATGATCCAAGCAGCCAAGAAAGAGTGAATGAAAGAGTCAGGTAAATGGAAAAGATTCGGTAACTGTGAAGAAAAGGACTTGTGAGAAAACGAAATCAAAAAGGTGGAGACAAGAGACCCACCACAAAGCGTCAATCTTGATTTATGAGGAAGGGCTTGTGCAAACCAAGGCGCTCTAAGGCCACTACCGCAGGCAACGAGATATTGGACTAGAAGGGCTCTGGTACGTCACAAGGACAGGTGAAATTATAATTCATAAACATATCGCCCGCCTTTAGGTTGGAGTGACCTCTGAGCCTACGCCCAATCCATACCAGGCAGAGATGGCTGCTAAAGTCTTGATGCTGTCATTGAGAAGGCAGGAAAGGTATGGTTCTGAAGCAAGAGATGGGAGGGAGGAAGGATGATATAACCTGTGGTTTCCGTTCCCAGGGTGAATGCATCATTCTTCGTCTACCATTTGGCGAAAAGAAGTATATTAACATCTTTGTAACAGGCAGGACATGGGATAGCAAACCCAACCATAGGTAAGTACCAGCACAATCAGTGTAAAAGAAAAATACGTCTCAGCCAACAGACGACAACGTAATTCACCGGCACGAAGACAACAGCATACGTCAAGCGGCTATCAAAGTTGGGCGCCTAAAACTATGCGAGCGTCCATATCCGCCTTCTAGAGAGACGGGCAGACATGGCACTCGCTGGAATGTGAAGAACGAGGATAAACCATCACGAATAGAAGGATTCTCCTTCCCGCATATTCAATCCGAATGCTCGAATTGGTACTCCACGTACGACAACTTGAAAAAGAGAGCGGGCAGAATGAGGAATGTGGCTAGATTGTGTCCATGCGGCAATCACACATGGTCGGGGCAGATCGAAGGAAGTTGAAGTACTGCGGAGAGACCGATGTGCTGAGATGCGAGGAGAAGCCTGAGCAGGGAGGGATCGGATTGATCCAAAGTCAAAATTGCTGGTCTGAGGCTGGTATCAATGTTCTTGTAGGATACAGGCAAAAGGACCGCAGTTCTTCAACCTCCTCTCCCCAGGACCATCCGCCTCGTATTTGGTAAGCACGACAAAAGAGACATCACATCAAGGTTACGCGGACGTTGCGTTGAACATTCCTAGCAAGATGGATTTAGACTACAATGATCGAGTCTGTGAGTGAAAGTAACGGAATGAACAAAACGCGCGTACCTAGCCCTCCCATCCGTTAGGTTAGATTCCCCACCAGTGCAAATCGAGCAGCGACAATCTTGGATAACGCTATCAGCGAGATTTCGTCTTCCTTTCTCATCCGCCCTGAACGTAAATGCAGTGGTTTTGGAACGACCGCTGTTGGTGACTGGCTTTGAAGAACAAGTGGTTTTCGTTGGCGCGACTCGATACGTGCTATAGTTCGTCTGGCTGAGGAGGAGACAAAGGTGGATATCGAATATTGAAGGCTAGCGAGCCGGAATGGACGCTATGCCCGATAGCCGACGCCAGGCGCGGTTGATGTAGAAGTCGTCGAAGGGATAGCATATATCCAGCTGCGTTCACGTCTTCTACTTCCTCTCTTCGGTCACCGGTGTTCTCCGTCATGACATGTTTGTGAGGATCCAAACCCGCAATCGTTATCGATTTATCCCCCAACTAATGATGTTGAAAGAGCCAGGCCGACGTCCCTGTAGGCATAACAGCACGACTAAGCCGATGATCGATGTTCAAGCATCCCCCCGATATGGAACGTGGTAGTGCTTCTGTGATGCACAACAACATCAAGCGCGCGTGCAGTGAATGAGACGAGACGCGATGGATGTCCTGTGCGGGGAGGGAGTAGATCGGTTAAAGACGAAGCTGATCGTTGCGGATGCATTGAATAGATATGGCGAGAATTTGAGGATAGTGTTGAGTTACAATGAGTAGGACATGAAAAAGAAAGGCCATGGTTCTTGACTGCCATTGACGCTGCTGTTTCATGACTATAAAGAGTCAGCGAGTCGAATACAAAGTCAAGACACAATACGCATGGTCAATACTTGGTCAATCCGTAACGAAGAAACACGGAGATTGACGCTGAAGACGAGTTTCAACGGCTGCTGGACAGTGTCTGTAAGCAAAAGCAACGGAATAGACAAAGAGACTCGCAAGTAAGTCAACAAGCCCCGACGACTTCATCCTTGGCTTCGATTTCCCAAAAGTGCGTGGTTAGAGATTGAGGTAGAGGAGAAGAGGTGCGAGTGATGCCGGGGCACGGCTTATCCGGCTAGCGCTGGCACTCTGCCGCGGCAAATCAGGGTCACAGCCACATCCGAAGTTCAGCGCTAGGAACAGGAGGAAAGGATGAATCCGAGCCTTGGAGTCCTGGACCTACAAAATCATACAATCTGAAAACGGAAAACTTATCGTGAGCACCCACCTGTCCCTTTAACTCGGACCACCACTATCTCGCTTCCATGTTCACTCGTCTATTCCCGCTCTCTTTTCACGGTGTACTAATCGTGCAGGTCTATAATTCCAAGGCACGGGTTCCGATGGTGACAGCGGGTGCCACGGCATGCTGATGCTGAACCTCGCTGGACAAGTTCTGCCGCAATACCAATAGCACCATTAGATTGAACATGATCTTCTGCTCTCCCCAATTTCTAACCCACCGTCTAGGATCTCAAACCCTCTTTTTCTTTTCAAAAGTTTTGTCTGCATGTTTTAGCCTTGCAAAATTCCCACTGGAAGGCGACCTGGTGCGTAAGCTTATATATATTCCTGCAAGGTCGCATAGTATGTGATGGCACGCGAACCCTCCTTGGAAATAGTCAAGACACGATACTAGCGTGTGATCTGCGCGTAGCGTTTCTTCAATAGGTGCGTCTCTCCACTGTATTAACAGGATTTTACTGATCTATAGAACCTCTGAAGCTCTCGATCATGTGGCTACCCATCAATACAACACGGTTCCACCAACTTTGTACTTCTAGGAAATTGAAGCTAAGGATTGGAGCTATTGATGGTGCGGAGGGATAACCGACTATCTGAGTACAAGTTAGCCGTCCGCAGTGTCACGGATGGGTTTCCACGCGAGGCTTCGGTGTGCGTACTGTTGTCGGTGTGCTCAGTGATAATAATAATAATGGGTTGATATCCATCTTCTAGGATGAACCGCATCTCGTGAGGCTTATCATTCAACTTTGTAACGTTTAGTACCCAACTCAGTCCAACTGCCCATATAGCATGAATAGTATCGGCATCGCAGGATTCTCTCATGACTTTGGTGCTTTCTCCGGGAAACCTCAAATTTCGATGACCTGGCCTTGAGCAGTGGTGCTAAGTCACGATCCTCTTTAAAACCCTACTTTCCTGGCTACTGAAACGCTCTTGCCCAGTTAGCCTCACGGTTGCATGAGGTTTTACTGATCACTGGCACCCCTCAAATGGAATTGATAGGCCCCGCTCTCAGCGGGCCCTCATCGAAATGTACAAGAACGTCGGCATCCAAAACAAACTCCGCACAAGTAGAATTCGGCGACATCGATCCAACGTGGGAGCAGCTCAATTCGAGCCTTCCATCCTCGACGCAGTCGTACACGAATCCCTACGAATGCACCCACCCGTTCAAGAGATCAGGAGAGTGGTGCGTATTCTACCATTCAGCGATTCAGCAACCGAGAGTGGCCCTCAGCTTACATCTTTCGTGGGGGCAGCAGAAGATGTCATCCTTCCTCTCGCTACACCCGTAGTAACCAAGTCTGGGGAGATGACTAACAGTATCTTCGTTGCCAAAGGAACTCTCCTTACCGCCCCCATTCAGACGCTGGACGTATCCGAGAAGATTTGGGGCCCCGACGCGAAGGAGTTCAAACTGTAGAGACACCTGGAGGACAGTGCTCTAAGAGCAAAGGAGATAAAGGGTCATCGCCACCTCCTGACATCCAAATGGAACTCGGATGTGTCTTGGGAAGGCGTTCGCCTTGGCTGAGTTCAAGATAAGTCAATTTCCTCAGGAATCTTGCTGAAGATCTGGTTCTCTAGGCTGCGCTCTCTGTTCTTATAAAGAACTTTCAAAACAGCCACAGACGGATGAGAACGGCCCGTGCCCATCCCCTCCTAGAACCGGAGTATGCGTAACTAGATAACTTCTCTAAGGTGGGCTTTTTCTCGTATGGCGGAGTGGAAGCTATGAGGTGCGGTATTTTGCTGGAGGATAATCCAATCGAGAATACGCCTCACGGGCCGGAAATGCTCGACGAGCCGCTGATTGTCTCCAGATATATTGATAATAGGACATATTCAAACCAAGCTCAGATCACTCGAACTACTGTTATACATGATTACGACTACCACAGCGTATGGTAATCACCTTAATACCAAAGGCGTTTATTCATTCGTCTCCCGGAAACGAGCAGAAATGAAAATGGAAGTGATGCAATTTGCTGCGAGGTCGACGAAAGTGACCGACTCATAAGATTGACGAGATCAGCATACGTCATTTCCTTCTTCCAGTCAGTCGACCTCAAAACACGAAGGAGTGTCTCGGTAAAGACCCCGCGGCATCCCTTTGTTCCCTTCACCTCGTAAGAAAAACCTGCTGCCAGAATTACACAAGAATACATATCTGGCCGCCAATCCTTTGACAATACTGATCGATAGCCAGAGAAATATTTCCATCTTTCATCCGCAGCGTGTAACATGCTCTTGAGGGAAGCTTTAGATATGCTGGGTATTTCTTGTTGCTGGCGTCTGCTTACGCCACCGCTGTAGTCGGAGTCTACAATGAATGTGATCTTAGGCCCCTTGGCACGACATATCAGTGCAAAAAGACTGTTGAGCTCTCGGTCGCTAATGCCGGATATCCGTTGTCCGCTGGCGTCCTGGGTACCGTGATCGATGGGGAACAGAACTTCGGTAGGGCAGAAACTGCTGGGGCATTTCCCTGTGTCAGGATGCTCTAAGCAGCGGTAGTGGCCGCCTACCCCAGCGAAGTAGACGATAATACTATCGCCTCGCTCAATTTCGGGGTTGTTAGCGAGACTGTAGAGCATATCTACAATATTAGCGTGGGAAGGTGTAGACTTGGGATCGTCAGAGTTTGTATATTTGGAGCCAAGTAGACACTGGATACGGTTTTCTGGCACGCCAAGGTCGTCGGTTAAGAAGCGCTTCATTAATAAAGCGTCTGATACGCAACCACGCAAGAGATAGTCCGGGTACGCATCGATGCCGATGAGGACAGCCCAAAATCGAGGCGAAGCTCGATAAAAAATGGGCTCAGACTTCCGTGTCCCGTGAACATCCGGGGTCTGGTAAGGATGAGGCCGACTCAAAAGCTGGATTCGGAGATCATCATACGACATTCCCTCCTTGCAATCAGTCGACCCCAAAATACGAACAAGTTTGCTGGTAAACACCCCACCGAATCCGTTCATTCCCTCCATCTCCCTTGCAACCTGGCCACTCTGACACGCTGCCAGAATTACATGAGAATCCATATCTGGCCGCCAATCTTTTGATAACACTGATCGATAGCCAGGGAAATGTTTCCATCTTTCATCTGCAGCATGTAACATGTCCTCGAGGGAAGCATTATATGTCAAGGCGGTGCTGCGTATTCCTGGTTGCTGGTCCCTGCTCATGCCACCGCTGTGGCAGCAGTCTGCAATGAATGTGATGTTTTGCCCCTTGGCATGGCATATCAGTGTAAAAAGACTGTTGAGCTCTCGGTCGCTGATGTCGGGTATCCATTTCCCTCTGGCATCCTCAGTATAGCGATCGATAGGGCACAGTGCTTCGATGGGACAAGAAATGTCGCAGCTCTTGTCCCATTCAGATTCGAGATCATGTTTTGCACAGTAGTAGCTGGAGCCATGTCCAGCATAGTAGATAATGATATTGTCGCCTCGCTCAATTCGAGGGTTGTTGGCGAGACTGTAGAGCGTATCTACAATATTGGTGCGGGAAGGTGTAGACTTGGGATCAGCAGAGTTTGGATATTCGGGGCCAAGGAGACACTGGATACGGTTTTCTGGCACGCCAAGGTCGTCGGTTAAGAAGCGCTTCATTAATAAAGCGTCTGATACGCAACCGCGCAAGGGATTGTGCATGTATGCATCGATGCCGATAAGAACAGCCCAAAATCGGTACAGGCCAACGCCGTACCGGACCTACGACAGTTGGGATGAGTGTAATGGAGGATGACTAGGGATATGCACTTACACCTTGGGTCAAGGAGTGGGATCCATGCGGACCAAGCCTTTTCAACTCTGCATCGATTTTGTTGAACGCTTCTCGAAGGGAGGCAACACTAGGGATGCGATAACCAACTGAACGCTCCCCTAATGACCTAGAACGCCTTTCCGCTTCTTGAAGGACCGCCATAGAGTCGGTGTCTTCAGCAAAGCCTATCTCATATTCCTGTGCGAGCCACCGCACCAGACGCTTCAAACGATATGCTTCCTCCAGCACATCTTGACGATCTACAAGTTTCGCCTATGCAGCAAGTCTAACCAGAGGGCTACAATGTCCACAAAACAAAATCTTACCAGAGCGCAGATGACAGCGTCAAAGGTCGTTAATTTTCTAACGCCCATGGTTTTCTGCCACAGAGAATGATGGTAGAATGGCAAGAAGCATACGATGAGGGCGTGGCAATGACACCAGCAGGATGCAGCGTGTCCTCATCCACATCACGGATGTCGGAGATCCTGCCATACATAGACAAATTCTTCAATTTGTGATCGACGCAGGGTAGACAACTCCGAGTCGGAGTATTCCGCCGAATGGTCAAGTCACAGGAAAAAATCGCCCGTTCAAGGGCATGGCAGGTCGCTTTCGTATTGGAACCTGTACGATACGTGTGTGAGAGCTAGGTGATATACAAGGCAGTATGCAGGAGTCAAAGTCTAATATGAAGTCCATTTCGTATCCATAAGCAAAACAGCGATCCGTGAATGTCCAGTCCCGATAGAATTGGTCCAGGGAGTGTGCGAAACACATAAAGCTCTGTTGACATCGACGAGAGTGAAAAATGAAATGCTCAATTGACTAAGAGATATGTGGAAAACATATCTGGCAGTTCAACGAGAGCGATAATTTCCTCCTCAAAGCGAAAATCGCCTAGCTTTCTCTGTCCGTCAAAGAGTGTCACTCCCACGTTCCGGAGGTCCACTTTCGGGATAGGCCCACCCTTCTGTAGACACATCGGGATACCATCACCACACCCGTGCTTGTTATCGCATCACTTGGTGCGCCGATTTCGCCTTGGATGGGGTTCCAGTTATTGTACGGAGATGGTGGACTTCATCGAGGAGGCAGGAGATGCATGGCTGTATGACGCTTCGGGTCCGACTGTTATAACGCGCTGGGTTGGAGCTTCGTGTGGGGTAAGATCAATTTACGGTCCAAGAAGTTTGTTCGTTTTATCTGTAAATGATCTGGTTAGACGCAGCAAGTAAGATGACGAGATAGTAAAACCGATTAACAGATCAGCGTAACAACACAGTGCATAGAAGATGGAATCGTGGACATACGGCGTGGTCGGAAGGGGTCCAGAGCATCATCGGAAGTAGCATGCGCCGCAGTGAGGCTTCATCCTTGATATCGGTGTCGAGCATCTCTAAGAGATACACCAAGTTAGCATGGAAGAGAAAGAGGAACGGATGACGACGTACAAAGGATCTGCCTGACGAGCTCGATACCACATACCACCTTCGAATCTCTCAGGTCACCTTCCGAGAAAAACGACGTCAAGATTGTCCTAATGAACGAGACGTTAGCGAAGGGTTAGACTTGCGTAACGGCTTGAAGACGCACTCACAAACTGCTGGTCTCTCGCAACAACGCACAACGCACGAATGGGGTGTGATAGCTCGGAATAGTGGATAACTGCTATCTATGCGAAGGAGAATTTGACGCCGAGCACGTCAGAGCAGCGTCTGGTTCCGGTAAAAAAGTCGGTAACACTAACTCGTGAGCTTGAGACTATTGCTTGTTTAAGTTATGGAGGAAGATTGGGATAAGATGCGATGGTTACGGATCCATTGATAGGTATGGCGAGCAAAACATCTGGGGCCTGCGGACGGTATCGATGCATGCATGGATTGCGGCAGAATACAGGCAAAAAGATCATGATTCTCAACTGCTAGGCCAACTACTCAGATACTTCATGACTGTAAAGGGTCTGCAAGTCAGACGTAAATTCAAGACGAAAACTAAACAACACGCACCATCAACCTCGCAACTAGACTCGCCACCGTCGAAAAATTCCTTTGCACTATCCGCATCGTGTCATGCTCAGCACGTAGCGCCTTATATGAAAGAGATATCGAGGTTGACGAGCGGTCCCAGGACGCAGAAAAATGGATTTGAGCCATAATCACGGCTGTTGGACGGGGTCTGAGTGAAAGCAACGGAAACGAACACAAGTTATGTACCTTTAATGCCCACATTGACGATATGGCGGGTCCATATGTTAGATTAGATTTCCTAGCAGTAAAAAGTTGATGGACTTCGTGGGTGACTCAAGCTTGGAGAGAACCCACAGGTTAGGTAAAGTCCTTTCAAGCGATGGAGAGGATAGATGCACCTATTCCCGCTTGCCAGATGGACTGCGGCTAGATAAACACAAGATACACCAAAAATTAAAGAACTCTGACTCGATGACTGCTTCCAGGGTGCTGGTGAGTTCACAGGTCGTGGTATCCTGGGCGACTTTGGAGGGATACAGCTATGAGTGCCGGTGACCGGTGACCAGTAAAATTGTTGAGACGCCGGACCATCTGCTGATGAGAAATTCTCCTAACACGCCCTTTGTTTGTGTTACGTTGACCAGTCGCAAGAATTTGAAGACCAAGTGCGTTCGAGAATGGTGGCTGGAGAAGTGGTATTTGACATTTGATTTTTTTACATAATACAATTTTGATTTTAATGTCACGGTAACTACCTCCTCGCCTCACTCATCGACCTCGCTCGCAGATTACACCTACTTCAAGCAGTGGCCATCGCAAAGGCCTTCGGAATGTACAATGGCGGCAACCATCAAGGCAGGTATCGATAGGAAAAGGAATTGAGGGGACGGGGTTTCATGAGGGACTAGTTTCGTTTTGGGTGCGTCTACTGTGGTTTAGCCTTGTAATTTGAATACTGACATCTTTTTCCGACTGTAGTATCCGTGACGGCCAGAGACGAACCATGCCTCGCCTATCGCCTGAACCTTGTACCTTGTACGTATTTTCTACCTTTCATTCTTGTGTCGCTGACCGTTCGAAAGATTCGATTCAACTGTTTCACGAGAGGAGTCAAATTCAACGAGAAACAAGGAATGGCCGAGGTTTATCGACTTCGGCATCCGTATTTCACAAAATCGTCAAGTTGGCCTTCGATGGGGCTGAGGATTGAGAGAACGAGTGTTGAATTTGGTGCGTGTACTACTTAGACCCTGTAAACTGAATCCTGAGCCCTTTCATCGACACTAGCACCCATAGCAGCCAGAGACGAACGACAGCTGCTTGCTCTCTCGATACTCTGATTTTGGTCTGAAACGACGTATAGTTGCCCGGCGAGCAGCACTATCGAGGCTGGAAGGCAGGGTGGAACTGAGAGGGGAGGGATTGAGAGTACATGCGCAAGGTATGTGCTTGCACTCCTTGATAGTATTCTAGGTACTTACTCTCCCAAACCCTAGTTCGATCCCTCTGATCAGCGACATGCTCGAGGACTTGGAATCCTGTTCCTTCTTCGACATATAGGGTGTAGACGACATCAACATATCAAGGTGACCATGGGCTGGGGCCGCAACAGGGAGGGTGCTTCCACGACGCGAAGAGTTAATAAGGGGAGGGAAGGATGGTGAACAGGCCCCAAAATCGGTCTACGACAGCGACAGGTAAGTTCTCCCTCCAATCTATGTAGAGAGAATACTCAACGTAAACAGGGAAACATGCTTATCGGCTGGCAGTATGAATGACCCTTGAGATCAGCTACACGTACCTTCGAATGGTTAGGACCGACATCCAGAAGAGAGGCCGAGAGGCTGAGGTCGTACAGGGCGGTACGGGGACCGCCAAACGATACGACAGCATCCAACCACGATGTGACACAGCTGTGTGTGTTCCAGAATGAAGACGGCTCGTACGTCTGCAGTGCTTTGTGTCGAGATGCCCTTCAACGCGCAGGACATTTTGTATCGTCGTCTTCTTCCTTTGCCTACTTTCTTTCCCATTTCAAGCACTCCTACTCGACTAGTGAGTTCATTCTTCCCTCACGTTCATCACACAGCTACTGACGAATGTTTTCAGTGACTCTTGTGCCCTTCCTACCATCAACCGCCACATCGCTGCGGTCACGAAGCCCAGCTCACAGCAGGAAACCTCCTCGACGAAGACGGTGTACGATGGATTGTTCCAGCACGTGGTCGACTATTCCAAGGAGTATCATACCATGCAGTCCCTCACAATCGATTCTAGTCATATGGAAGGATGTGCACAAGTTCGCCTTGGCCGGTCGTCGCCTGTTGGTTGCCAATGGTGAACCAATCGCTATCAGGACGTCATCCCCGCAACTCGTCTCTGGTGTACGCGTTTTGAGCTTGAAGGAGCGAACACGGCGGATTGGAAAAGGAAGCATTATGACTTGGCTTATTCCTTCGTCCGTCAAGCTCATAATCTGCAACTACAGCGTGCGAGGACGCTACGTTGTCAACTCCCTCCAATGGCACCTGAACACCTTCGTTCGACGCCCGGCCACGGACAAGAGTGAACGAGGTGCCAGCGATGCCGTTGAACTTGACGATTGTTGTTTTCATCAGTGTGTGTGATTGAACGACTTTGATGCTGACCGGAGTATCAGTTTCGTCCCTCAGGACAGTGAATTTGAGTTGATGAGGTATGTGTGCGAGTTCTCTGTGATATATAGTTCTAACTTGGTTCACAGATATCGGGCGACTTCGAATGTCAAGTTACCTTTACGAATTTACGGCCATGACGAGCTCGTTGACGATGGTAAGCTCAATTTGGTTCCTTGGTATGTTATTCTCTTCTGACATCGTTGTTGTGTAGCCTGGGTTGCATCAACACAGCTTTCAATCATCAAGAGGACGGCAACGACGGTATAGGCCCTACAACCTTGGCTGGTGCGTTTGGGGTAACATTTGAATGAGAGGTGCGTTAACCTCGATTCTTTCTCTCTCATTTCCTACTGACACATCGTTCTTTGCTGTAGGGAGCTTGACTAACGTACAGCGAGACAATGAGATCAATAGTAACCACTATCGACTCTGCTATGTGAGCAAGATTCGGGAGAATGGGAATGGGATGGCTGTGCTTTGAAAAGGATACGAGGGAGGCTGGTAGGTGCCGACAATTGATCGTCTCAACGGTTACTGAACTTTTTGCCCCAGCCACCAAGCATGAGTGGAGGATGGCGAGCGTTGCTTCCCTGACAATCTCGGCAGAATTCCGAGGCTTCAGGGAGGACAGGAATGTGCCTTTCTGCTGTTGCTGAATTGACGAGTACCACGACTCCATCAAGTATGGACTCGGCCGCCTACCGATGGTGAGAGTAATGCTATGATCGCCTTACACGTCCACAGTTATACAGTTAGTTTCCTAAACAAGAAGACAAGCAACAGGTGAGCTCTTTGTCTTTCTCACTTGGAATACGCTCAATATGTAGCTATAGACAAGGGCTCGCGAGAGGAGTGTTTCCTGGGCTATTTCTTTGAATTCGACCAGTAGCACCGCTCCCGCATCGATCTTGATCTACACTAGACCAGACATTACATCCATCAACAAAGTTTATAATTGCCCGCCAGTAGAATACAAGGCAGGGCCCGTGATGGAATCTTATGCAATACTTACGGCGAACTGTAGCTTTGAATCCGTAACGAACCGGCTATGCAGTTCTATGGGGCGCCTAACGGCGGCCTGCCGATTGCTGGAGTTGGCAAGTCAACCAGTCACGATGGCACAAGCGCCTATTCCACGAGACATGAAGAAGAAAGCCGCTATCCTTTCGTTGCCTACCATCACCAGAACATGGACATCGACGCACTACCAGCCCCCATAACCACTGCCGATGCTCCCTTCGATGACCTCGCCGACAATGCTGATCTGGTGATCCGTACAGATGACAATGTCGACTTCTTCGTCCTCAGCGCGCTGCTATCGCTGGGATCCCCATCATCGTTCTTTCATCAGGTTCTGCAAGGCAACAAGCATACAGAGGAGAGAGATGGCCTTCCTGTCCTCAGAGTGGAGGAGGACAGCGACACGTTCCGAGATATCCTCCTTTTCTGCTATCCATACGCCACCCCCAAGATTGGAAGCATCGAGCAATTCATGGAAGTGGGAATGGCACTGAACAAGTACTGTATGGATCTTGCAACGGAGAGGTTCATCCAAACGGTGCTCGTGTCATCTGTGATTAGCGAGCAACCTTTTCGGGTATTCGCTCTAGCAGTCGCCAATGGATGGAAGGAAATAGGAGAAGCTGCTGCCCGGAATACTCTTTCCATGCCTCTCAACCAGGTGGTATCGGATATTGAAGAGCTGGGTGTAATTAGTGCCCGCCATCGGTATCGTCTTCAAGATTATCATGTACGATGCGGGAAGGCTGCTCAGATCCGGGCAGGGATGGGAGTGTCGCTTCCTTGGCTTGACCAAAAGACTTCCGGTCTTACGTTCTTGCGCCGTGACAGTGTGTGTCCATGGTGCTGTAGCGGGATTCGTTTCGTGGCATATGGAGACTCAGGAGAGCGTTTATACAGCCATGGGTGGCTGGTTGATACCTACTTTCAGCTGGTGAATGCAAAGCTGCTCTTGGAACCCTGGCCGCAAGTTGCTCTGGACGATCACATCATCGATCAAACCATTGTCGCTAGCAACAAGCAATGCGGAGCTCACTGGAACAGTATCGCTGGTAGCCAGATTCTCCGCCTTGGAAAGATAGTGGCGGAGGAAATCGATAGGCGAATTTCAAAGGTGAGTGATAACCGCTAACTGCCGAGCATCTAGGACATGGGTCGCTGACACGTGATTCTCTTGCTTCACTACCACCTCAGAGCTCACCTCAGTGTCGCGTTGAATAGCGGTGCTTAGGATTTCCTTCTATTCGAGGTGTCGATGCACAGCTGCATAAAGTATAGGCATCTTGGCGTCAAAGACTTGGTCACCAAACGCTATCATCAACGGTCTGGCTCTGAGGAGAGTATAACGCTATCAGAAGGAGGATATCTAGTGAGTAGAAATTTATTCGCTTCATGGCAGTCTTGAGAATCATTCGTGAATACTAAAACTCACTAGGACAGCTCCTTGTCAGAGCCCGAGCAGGATAGGCGATACACTTGCCCTCTTCAAGCTGATTGCTTGAGTCCTGTAACTTGCCGACAAGCACCTTCTACCATGACTCTCGATAGCGCCAATTTGGGATGCTCTGATCCGCCCAAAAATCTTCAGCATTCTCCCGCTTTCCATCCACCTCTCCGCTGGCCAGGCTTCTATCAGCAACCCGTCGAAAATCGTATCATAGATGGCACAGACTGGATCGGTTCTTTATGGGCAGTCTTACACCGTACAAATCCTCCTTCGTACCGTGCTTCCAAGTGCTTTGAATCGACGTCTACGAAAGTAGGCCAGCATCTCAAATTGCATCACATGTGCAATTTGGGCTTCATCCAGTTGTGAGCCCAATATCCAGCCTCCTTCCTTTGCTTGGCTGATGTGCTTGAAGTCTTACCAAATCGCACGTCCAAATAAAAACACTCTATGTTATTTACGACATCCTCGAATACTGGGGATACCTTGAAAGTACCTGGCCTGGGCTTATCAACGACATTCTTCAAGAAATCAAGGACAGATGCTCGGACACAGTGGAATACAGTGCTAATCTTCGCCGTCGATGCAAGACCGCTGGACCGGAATTGGAACACAAGATGTCGATGCTGCAAGCGGTAGTTATCAGACAATACAAAGTTGGTCCAGAGCTTTTCCTTCAGCCACACGAAACTCATCCTTCGCCATCACTCAGGATTCCAACCCTAAGAACATCGTCAAAACTATCACTTACGTCTTCAACGGAGGGTGTACGATAGGTGCCTTGGTCCTTGCTCTGCTTTACCTCTGGAAACCCGACGAGTCTTTATATGCTTCCTGTTTACAATGGATTGGGATAATTTGCGCCCACACAGTTATTATAAGTAAGTATCTTTCCGATACCAACGGTGACCGACTACTGCTCATCTCGCTCAGCAATCCATATACATCCGTGCGCGCGCGATTTTGCCCAAGACGTCAACAACTTGAACATCAACGCCTTCCAACTGATTTGGGCTGTGAGAGACCTGGCAGGGCTACTGACCTGCATATCCGAGTCTGAGAATCCATCGTTACTTGATATGTTGCGTGCCGAGCGGTTCCTAAAAGCTTTCCAAGCATCGGTGTGTCATGTTTCTGTCCTTTCTATCGTTCATTTCAGCAACTACCCTATCAAGTTCCTAGGAGGACGTGAAGAATTATCAAGGCTTCGGTCGTATTTGCAGGAGTTGCCCAGCTGGACCGACAAAAACTTTTGCGCACACCATTGGAACGACCCTGACAATGTTCTGCTCCAAGGCCACTGTATCGCTTATTAGGCACCATCGACGCGTGCTCAAGGCGTCTTTCCTCACATTTCTCGACTCTCCAGTGTAGCAGCGACGAGCATCTGCATGAAGGTTTCGAGAATGATCTCTCGTGGTGACGACGGGAACATCCAGACGGACCTATCTCGGCAGAAGCTTCGACATCTCTCCATTGTGAAACCGGAAGCCAGCACTGCTGCACCTATTCCTGTCTCTACTGCTTCAGGAGATGGCCTCTCAACGACGAATTCCAGCCAATTCCTGTCTGTCACACAGATCGCGGAGGATTCTGCACGAGAAATGGATGCTCGGTGACTGGTTCGGTGTATGACTTGCTGCTATTCTTCCTCGAACGTAATTTTGCCTCTACTAGCGTGGTGTCCTTTTCTCTTTCTCTTCCTACGACGCGTTGAACTACATAGGCTTGAAATTGATATGTATGGCTCAAACGAAATGTATTATCAATTTTTTTCGACTGGCAAGTAAGACATCTACCAAGTCGTTTTTCATGACTAGGCAAGCAGTTTACGTATCTCCTCGGAGATGAATCGAACGTAAGCGAATCCATATGAGAACCCACCAATCGTTTACTCAACTTCCGACGGAAGAAGCTCAATATGTGGTCGTTATTCGTATCTTCTTCCTTCAGTACCCTGACGCCCAATTCCATCAGGATCGTATATTACGAGGATTCTCGGACATTCGCACACAGGTAGAATGTTTTGGGAAAATCGTAAGGTAGCTCTGCTGGTGTATGTTTGCTTGAAGAACGCTCACCTCACAACTGTAAGGACTGCTCTCGCCTTGGTCTATCACCACAAGGAATACCCATCTATGAGTGATTAAAACCGAGTTACGACACTTCACGTTTACTTGGTTTTTATAGATTGTGCACTCCCGCTGGGCCGACTTCTATCGTTTACCAACCCACAACACTCGCGGCCGGCGTCCGACTGCGCAATTGGATGACTTGTTATGACCATTCCTTCCAATCCTTATCTCGCTGACAAGTCGATTCCATCTCTGGCTACCGAATTCATCGACATCTTCAGAAGGACCTCATATGAAAACACCCTTCTCAGGCAGTGCGTGTATCGTCGAAAATCCTTTACTTCTGTTCTGACCTTGCAAGCAAGAATTTTCAATCATTCGGATGCCATGAGTATCTTGCAAGTCATCTACGGCATTCTTCGATTCAACCAGTACCTGGTCGATGCTTGCGAGCTGCTGGGGACGTTGACACCAGCTCTATTGCATACGAGTCGTCAGTACCATCTAACAAGGTCCAGGGCATCGGCGTTAACTGGCGCGTATGCGAAAACGTCGGGTTTGCCCTTCCGCAATGGCAAAAAAAGACGCGTCCCTGGACAGCGCCTCAGAAATGAAAACGGTGCTTCTGTCTTCTCCTGCCGACGCCGGAACGGAGAAGGCCTCTGCACCATAATTCTGCATACAAAGAGCGTGCAGCGCGTGCTGGGATCAACCTTGTGGTCGAGACGTCGGAGGAGAAACGGTGTACCGCTATAATCAGCTGCACCGGAGAACTCTGAACGAAGAGCGGAAGGCGCTGTTGTACGAAGAGAAGATTTGGGCGGCTAATCAAGCTGTAGGAAGCACAATGTAATGTTCAGTCAGGTGAAGATTCTGGGGAAGTCGCCTCAGCGACTGACGGGAGTTTGGAAGAGAGAAGTTACCTTTGCGGTGGTCGTTCACTTGAAATCTCCCTACACAAATATCCACATTTCAGTTTATCGAGAGCCTGAGAATAGCGACCTGAGGACTCGTAACAGACTCTCTCATCGCCCTTGGATCACTAGTCTAAGCCACCTACTGGTTTATGATTTTTTTATTGGTTCAAGGAGCCTCGGCATTTGCCGGTTGTGCCCAAATATGTTGCGCCACACGATCACGTGCATTACTTTGCGGTCATAAATTTATTGTTCTGCGCGACCTGAACATCCTTTCTTGCCTTCGTGCTCTCCCTCCACCTCGCTCGATTATCCTAACGCTACCATGTCCCACGATGCGAGCATGGATTCGAGTCATCGCTCTGCTGCACAGTCCGCCACAGGGAACAAAACACTGCCACAGGAGTCTCTATCCGACCAGTCGTGCTCTTCTGTGCACAACACTTTGCTCAGCAACAATGAGTCTGACACCCCACAGGTTCATCCCAAATCCAATCCAGTTCATCCTATGGCAAGATATGATCCATACATTCGAGCCGATATCAGCAGCCGCGTGTTCATGCCTGCAGATGATTTTTTCACCCAAATTCTCCATCTTCCTCACGACTGGCACACTAATAACGAGATTCAATCTCTTATTGCGACCATCAAAAATGATGCTACATTCAGAACACACGTCAAGACCTACGTCGAACAATGCAATCCCAAGTCTGGGGATAAGACTTCTCATCCTGACGGGCTGATGTTTGATTGTGCGTTCGATGTTCTAGGTGTCACTGAAAAGGACTGTGGACTGGGCCTTGATGCGAAACCGGTCGACAGTGGCTCTCAAGATATCCCTGATAGCTGGAGCGTTCTTCGTTCGATGCTTAGTTCAGGAAACTTGTTTGATGCTATCCAGGATAATGGACCTGGGAATAAAGTGTCGTGGGTTCAAAGTATGCGTTGTCAGGAATTCAAGCCCGATGAGTGTTATCTTGACGAAAGGATCTGATGCTATCTATCGCGTTCTTATGCCTAGTAAGCCTCATTTATTCTTTCTGACGTTCATTTAAAATAAATCTCTGTATCCAGACGACAAGGGTCCCCGAGTAAAAGTGCGACGTAAACCTATCTTGCATCGAGACCCTAGGGGTTATCTTGTGCTCCTACTCCTCCGGCTCTAGCTCAGGATCAGACGGCGACGACCTTTCTCGTGTCCGTTCCAAACTTCCCCACACTGGCGTGGCTCGTGACGTCGTGGCCACCAGGAAGGCAGCAGCACTTTCGGAAGAGGAAGAAGCGCAACGGGAAGAAATAGCAAAGGCCCGCCGAAACATACAACTCCAGTGTGGTCGTTACGCCCTCGAAATTCTGTCTGGTGCCGACATTCGAACACACTGTATTGGTGCACTGGTTGCGGGCGGACGCATTCAATCACTCTACTATGATGGCGGACTATGATCGCTCCGCCATCATTGTGTGCAAACCGGTTGTTATCTCTGAACAGGAGGGTACTGACGTTACGGACGCGTTCGTGGCAATGCTCATCGGATTGGGTCGCCTTTCTCTCAAGCAGCGAGGCATCCAAGAACAATTTTACAACGACAAGGTGCTCATCGAGAATTACATGAATAGATGTGGTGATCCCGACGCCGTCTTTGTTGGAGTAACGCTCAGGTTGGTTAAAGGGGATGAAAAAGGTTGAGGTCACCCTTGGCTGGATTATATTGCGCCATCCTAGCATCGTCGGTCGGGACACTTGCGTAGTCAAGGCCACATCGGAGCATGAGGAGTGGAAGGGTAAACAACTGATTGTCAAGATCAGTTAGCCGGACATCCACCGAACATCTGAAGCAGATTTCATTGGGAAAGCTCAAGAGAAGGCTCGAAATATGACGCAAGGCAAAAGGCCAGACTGGGCCCTAGATCACTTGCCGGACATTCTCCTCTCTCAAGACTTTGGCTACGACGCGAAGTCTCCTCAGGCGAACCTGGCGGATTTCTTTGCAAAGACCATGTTTGCAGACAAGAAATTTGAGTACGAGGGACGTGTGTGTCGAATCGCTGTCGAGGAGAGACTGTATTCCTTCGATGAACTGCAGACTGCCTCAAGAGTATGCTCAGGTCTTCTTCGACATTTTGCACAGTGCGTACATTATTCCTCTTTTCTGAGTGATTTCTGACTGCCGTTGAAATTCACAAATGGCTCTATGATCACCCGGGAATTATTCACAGGGATATTAGCAAAGGCAACATTATGTGGCGCCGGACCATCGATGGCCATCTACGCGGGGTCCTTAACGATTTCGATTTCTCCTCCTTCCGAGACGACACCACTTCCTTGCTTCAGCGTGTCGGCACTCGACCTTACACGGCGTATGAACTCTTCGATAAGAAGTATGTCGAGGATCCACCGCCTACTAAACACCTTTATCGTCACGATGTGGAATCCATTTTCTACGTCATCTTTGTTGTCGTTACCAGCTCGACACTACACAGGAATCTTCCGAATGTGCGATTCCAGTACGCACAAAGGTCTCTTCCAAATTCGACGAATGGTTTGAACCTGATCCTCATAACATGTTGGGGATAACGAAATTTGGTGTTTTCGGGATATTGAATGCCCGCGTTAGTCCAACAGTAAATAGCGGCTTCGCCGATTTTCAGCCTTGGATGATCCGATCACTGGTCTTCACCTTCAGTTCAGGCGGGGGTTTCTTTTCGCGATGCGACATGATTTACGCCAAGAAGATCGAGAAGAGGAAGGATTAGCTAGGGAGCCCTTTGACGATGAAACTCTACAAGACCGTGTTTCTTAGTCCTCGTCGATATCTGTAGTAAATTTGCCGGTTCCACTCTTGTAGTACACAATGACCAGCTCGAAGCTAGTGCCTAGTGCTAAGTAGTATTTGCTCTCAACTCATGCTTGTAGCCTTTATCTTTTATTTTTGCGATTTCGGTGATGGAAAATGAAAATAACCCTACTTGGCACGTGACTAGACTTTGCACCACCGTTAACAAATTGAAACTTGTCTTTCTCCAAGATTCCGCCAAGTCTCTGTTAACGAATCCGAGTCCAGAGCTTCTCCTTTCTCTCCGATGTTGCGGGTAGCACCCTTGGCTTTGGTACCTCATTTGGCCGACTTCTATCAGCTACCAGTCGAGAACAATATCATATCCGACACTTTTTGAATCGACTTTTTGTGGACAACCCTCTATTGCAAACCTGCCTTTCTGTATCACGTTGCAATGACTCTACCGAGTTGATTGACCCCATCCTGTATTCCTATAGTTCGGCCACGCTCACCGCGATGTAACTAGAAACTTGGAACCACTCTTTTTATCCTCTTGTAACGTCTATGCAGCCTCACCAGCCCACATGTCGTGAGAATTCTCTTCACTGTCGACACTATCCTCGAATGCAGGTGGGATCTCGGCAATACTTGCTACGGTCATTGTCGACATCTCTCGAGAAATTGACTCGGATAGTATGGTTTTCAGTATCAGCCTTCGGAATCAGTGCAAGGCGTCCAGTTTGAAAATTGAGCGCGAGATGCAGAGGCTGGAGAGCGTAGTGCCAACATCACAACGTTAGTGGGAACATCGTATTTGTTCATTTGGCTTATCCGTCTTTGTATAGGACTTCAATCCGACAATCCTTCAAGTTCTTGTCGTTTATGAACGTATCACCTATCACTTTGTGCACAGCGGCATTACGTCTTTCGCTTATCTTTTTGGTGCTGTTGATCTTGATTATCTTTTCTGCCTCTCAGGGACTCTGGGCTGCTTCTTTCGCTCTCATCATGGGCTTTCTGGCATACTAGGGTAAGTTCCGTCTTTATTCAAGTTGCCGATCCTTAGGCTTGAGCCTGATCCCTCGTGTGCTTCCATACCCGCTACGATTATTTCAACATGTTCATGAACTTCACATGCTCTGCTTTGGCGCCCTTTTGTTTATCTGGGCTTGGCAGGATGCGGATAGATTGCTCACCCTCATAGCCGAGTCGAGAGATTCACAGTTGTCTGATATGTTACGCGCCAGGAGATTCTTGGAGTTCATCAAAGCTTCGGTATTATCGTCCCTATTCAGTCAAATTTCCGCTGAATGAATTTTGGTTTAGTTGATTGACGGACATGTCGAGCTATGGAAGTCGTGATCGCGGATCGAGACCATGCCAAATTCTGCTGACAAAGTGTATGCGATAAAAGATCAAGATGCGTATGACGATGGGACCTCATCGATAGAACACCGTTGGTGTCATACCAGTGCTCGGGAAGCAGTTCTGGCTATTTCGCGACTCTATCATCGAGACGGATTCTGTGTGACCGAAGGTCCTCTACGGGCATACTGAAAGATAGATACCATAATATCAACGACATGGGAGGAAGAGAAGAAAGATGGCGGTAATTAGACACACAATTCTATGCATTCTCTGAAGCATCATCATCATTCCTATGGTCAACTTCTAGGGTCTTCTCAACGACATCACCCTTGCATCTATTCAAAGCGGAATCGCTGTCTTCGTTCGTATTGATCGATGTGTATGGATCAGCGAATTGAATCCTCTTCGAATGACCGGGCATCTCAATAGCCTCGGACCTCGAAGAAAAGATAGTCGAGGCAGTGTCTGCAGACCAAGCCTGGCCCCGTGCAACTCGGAAAATTATCATCAATGTGGAAACGATCTGGAGAGCGAAGCAAAGATGATGAAATCAACACGGGAGAAACACAATTAAGCACTTGCCTGTGCCTCTGAGAAGACCTGGATGAATACATTCTGAATCGGATGGTTCAAAGAGAAAGGAATGATGCACAGCATCGAGAATGTGGAATAAAGCGCAGCAGACTCTATGAGCATAGTCGCCACATTGGTATATTGGCTTCCGTATCTCTTCCCCATGATTCTCGAGATCCTCCATCGGTACATCAATAGGCGCAACACGATGGCTAGTGTCATGACAATGTTCAGGGCCAAAGATACATAGAGGAAAGGTATTGTAAAATTAACGTTCTTGAACACCCAGGGTGAATAGTTCGGGTTGCAGACTTGAATGAGCCACATGAGACTGATCGCTAGGGCTTATATAAAAGTCCAAGTTCGGCGATGAAGGGGAATCAACATACTGAAAGATGCGAGATAAGCCAGAACAGGGAGAACCAATATCGCCCATTGTGGATATCCACAGTCTGCGTATACGATGACGCATCGCCATACCTAACAACGAACTCGTACTGTAAGACTTTTGCATAGATATTCGGAGAGGTTGTAAAGACATACTACAACGGCGTCCGAAAGCCAGTTGGCGATAATGAAAAACGTATTACCCATGGCGTTCACGGGTAACCAGAAATAGTCATACTCAAATGCCGCTGGAATATTAAATTCAGAAAGTAGTCGAACATAGAGGGAATGGGATTAGCTTACAGGGACCGCCAGGATATAGACGGTAATCTATGAATGCTAATTCGTTGATTTTAGCACCAGCAGCCGCGTACAGCGTAGCACAGATGAATAGCAGAGAGACATAGAAGATCCAAAACATTTTAATCTTGTAGTTGCTAGGGTTGATGGAACGAATGAGCAAACTGAGGCATTGCACGGAAAGTGTGAGCGCCACTCCGTAAGCTACTGCGGTGATGAAGATCCCTGCGAACCAGGATCGTTCACTGAGAAGGACGCGAGGAGACTCGTTTGGAGTCCAGCTGGGGTTAAGAGAAAGCATGATGCAGATCTCAAGGTACAGATACTTGCACAGACATACTTATACATGAAAGTATCACGATGGGAAACATGTGAAGCATGACTTTGGTGGTGGGCAGCAACTGAAGATTGCCAAGCTAAATAAATGTACGGCCATCATTATCTTCCCGTTCGGCCCGCTGGACACAAGATAGCTGGACTGGATTGGTACACGAAAAAGTAGCTACCAGTGGCGGCAGTGAATGATTCATAGAAACATGCTGTGTCACGATGTGATTACCCCGGTCTGATGAGTTCGAATCGAACACCGAAGCGCCGTAATACCTGAAATGGTGCCCGATATTTATTATTAATGCCATTCGTTAATTGGACTTAGCTTCACGGCCGTGCTTAATATCTGGCTCTTTTCACCAGTTTATGTGTCTTATCGGTAATGATCTTCCATTGCGCGCGGTGCTTGAGAAGCTCGGACTGATTGTGGAACAGTGAACCCCAACGCCACCTCAAGTTCCGACCGTCGCCTTAGGGAACTGTTCGCAGCAGATGTTTGAATTGCTGTATTGACCGGTCCCTTTGTTTAAAGACGAGGTACGGTAACGCAGCACCCAGTATAGGATAAATCGCCAGTACAATATACTTCAAGGAGTCGGACGCCTGCCAGTGAAGCTTGAAGGGTGATAGCAAGTTATCGGACATCATGCATTATTCCTCACGCCGTTCGCCGATGTATCCTGAGGAGGCCGCTCTTCTTTGGGAAACAGTATCACGATTGGCTAAAGAACACTATCGCTCAATTTCGTTGAAAATTTGAGGCTATTTTGATCCTCTAGTTTAGTACAGTTCCTCTCCGCTGTCTAGAGACCTTTGTGTAAGCACATAGGGCTGTACATACAATGGTAATTCAGTAATTCAATGACTATATATTGTAACGGTGCAGTGGGATAGGCTAGCCGGTACCTATATATTTTATTTTAGACACACAATTGCGATAACTTGAGCTCCTAGCGCCTACGTACGCTATTAAAAAACCAGTTCGCCTTCTTGCCATGTGCACATGTGAACACTGACAAAGCTCGCTGAATAGCTTCTGCAAAGTTGTGATATCACTGGTGACCGCCCACTCAACTGTATCATCCAAATCATGGTGCTTTGTTCCCCTTGATTTCAATGACGTTTAAATTCCACTACGCCAGTTCATCATGAGAACAAGATCCACGCGATATGCACACCTTCTGGCTTACTTGTCCTATTCCTAACGACAGTCGAACTGCAGCCATTGCAGATTCATTGGCTTTCATAGGGCAAAGTGTCGTAAACAACATCTGTTCTGGATCCTAACCCAGATGAACGCTTTGTACCCCGATTCACTAGGTTTATAAGTCAAAGCGCTATATATTTATCGAAGACGTCGGTGATAGTAGTTCTTTGAATCAGTATTCTATCATTCAGTATGGAAGAGAATAGAGACTCGGGTCTGTGAACGTAAGGTCAGTAATATCAAAGAAACCAAGACACACCTAGATACACGTTTAAAGATTCACTCTATAAACGCATAGTAATTTATAATTAACCAGCCTCCACCTTCGAGAGCACAGCCATCAGACGGGTTATGTTGACTGAGCCAGATCCATCATCAAAGTGTCAGCAAAGTATTCAACAATATAAATAGTAGCGGGAGAAGTCAAAGCTTTCGGAATAATAGATGGATCACCGCCGACTAAGTAGCACGCTCGAAACCTCGTCGGAAGGTGGATCTTGAGCCTGTTTTTCTCCGGAAGGAGCAGTGCTGAATCATGACAGAGAAGATGAGAATGGCTACATTCGTTTCTGAACCAAGAATTAGGTTTGCGTTACGATCCTCCGCCAGGAAGACATTCAGTTTAGTGCACGGGTAGCTGAATATACCGCCCTTTCTATCAGGCCATCAATCTCTGTACCGTCCACGGAGTCACGAATGGGTGCGATCGATAAACGTAAAATGTTGTGAGCCTATGGGCAGCTTAAACCGGGGTGTCACAAGTTCGACTCTCCCTGTCGCTGTAGCCAGCACGAGACGGCGGAGACAAGGGATTGCGTCACAACCTAGACCTTTTCGTACGGTCCAAAGTGAAGCTAAAGCAGCGCGAAAGAAGGACCGTTATTTGCACAAATAACAGAGATAACACTTCATTTTAACCAGCCAAGATACAGAGTCGTTGAAACAGACTCTAGAATAAAAAGAAATATAGTAAATAAAAGTTGGACAGCCAGATTCCGAGTGAAGAAATACATACAAAAATGATGCTGAAGTGTTCGATGTCGAGTATGTAGAGTCCACCATGGTCTTGCTCGAGAATGATGCGAGGAGGGGGTATAGGGATCTACTGGATGACAAAGAGGTCCCAAGTGACAATATCGTCGTGACGAGCACCCTAGAGCCAAGGTCCCGGACATACACAGCCCTGGACCAACGGGGGTCACAAAGGGAAGCAGTTCAAGTTAATACACCTATAGCTACAAGAGAACAGTTGTGAAGTTCCCGTATCTAGACTAACAAGAAATGATCATTCACTGCGATAAGCGGCATCGCCAGACTCACTCAGACTCAGAGGCCATTCACGTGAGAGGGGTCTGAAAACCGCACCCGCGAGAATCGATGATGTATATGGTGGAAGAAGAAGAATCCTCATCCTCAACGCCTCCTGGAAATTCCATACCGTTCTTGCGCCAAGGGATTGTACAGTGCCGGTTCGGAGTCGAGGACATCTCGGCGAGAGCGAATGACAACCTTAATCGTGTGGTGATGTCACGCTTGTGCGAGGAATTACACTAGCGTTAGTTGGCTTTCGATACCGTGACGAGGTGCTAGTGCAGCTTGAAGCATTATGTGCAGTGACCATTGCAGCGGGAGCGCAGAACGAAAGAGAACGAAGCCAAGTATGACTTTAGTAGCCGGCCGGCAACTAAACCATTGGACGGAAACGCCGGTTCGGTCAACCAACTTGGTCTACAGTTGCAATGACTCCCTCTCTCAATCTGCCGTGTCTACTGGCCCATATTCTGATTCCTCCGGCAGCCTACGAACCTGAATATTCCAGCTTCTCGGATACATGAAAGGGAAGAAGATTTGGGCGGAGTAAGGTCTTTTGAGAGCGGGATCGTAACACGGACAGGACGGCTACTTGTTCACTGGTCCTGCCCGACGCTCGTACGTGACGAATAACAAGGAGCGCGACGACTGCCTTGGTATGTTCAGGCAAATGTAACCCTGCACAACGCGAGTTTGTTCCACATTCCGCTTCAAGTTTCCTTTCGTCGTCTGGTTCTCGGAACAGAACTGTTCATGCGCATCAGTCGTACGAAAGATTGGCGTGACTTCGCGATACAAGGCATTTAGGCGGACCGTTGTTCTTCCCGCCTTCATCCATTAATGCGGAGTGATACCACTAAGACTGTTTGGCTAGCATAGGCCCATCTCGCTTCTCATGTATCATATTTTTTACCCAGTTGTATCCCAAATCCGTTCGCGTCAACCATTGTATCCTCTCCTCGTTTACTTCAGGCTCATCGACCTCGAGACAACTCAGAAGTATCCTCCAGATCACTGGATGGCCAGCTACAGCAGTTTTCTCGACATCTTTCCTAACTCGCGACATCATGCCCCCGAAATGTTCGGCGAGTCTTATCTCCATTCGAGCTGGACATTTGGAGGTTTGGCTCTAGTCCTAAAGAAATCTACTTCGAGAATCCTCTTTTCTTGAATGCGTTTCGCAAAAGGATGATGCTATGTTGGCCTAGCTGATTTGTGTCCGTGCGAACCCTCCTGCGTTTCAGCTAATTCTGCTATCGAATAAGATTGAAAATCAGTGATGTTATGGACTACTTTTTATCAAACCAAGGGTATCCGGTGTGTCTAATGAATAATACTATCATTGGCCCTTCGCCAGCCATGAAACCAATATCCGTACAAGGGTGAGTTGCTCTATTTTACTCTTATATTTAACTTCGGCTTGTATTTATGACCATTTCCCGCAGGTTACACCCGCGTTCGCGGCAAACAGTACGTCCGCAAATATGCAGCCCACATTCAGAGCCAAAATGGCGTCTTGCCGTGCTGACAGAATATCCCATTTTAGATAATATGGTCTTTGAGAATAGCATGGCAACGCCCGCTAAACTTCTTTATCTTTATTGGCGGCTATGATACTATCTTTGCAACTGGCCCCTCGAATTAGAAGGCTGGATGGTCCGTCCTTTCCCCGTTACCGGGTGCTGCTCTGCGTTTTCTGATTGTCTATTCTCTTTAGGTGCTCACGTACCTCTAGATTTACGAGCATGTTCGTGTCTGGAATAACTTCCTGCTTGTTGCATGTCTACTGGTGTGAATACATCTTGATACCGTGTCCGAATTGTAGATATTGAGTCTCCTCACAACAGAGCCAGCCCATGCTCCGTATATGATACAAACTAAGGTTGTCGATTTCTGGGGAACAATCTGCACGATCGTGAAAAGAGTCAGTAGGTTGATAAAGGATCATCATATTTTTATCATGCCACTCCTGAACAGATTGCGAACATCTTATGCTATGGCTTATATTCCATCAATCAATCGAGCGGTCCCAGTTTCCCAAGCCGCAGTCATCATATCAGTTGCAATAGACCAACATCCTGTGCTGAAAAAGAAGACTTCTCGTCGAAGTGGGTACAAAAGCATAGTTCAGGTATCTCGCCCCTTGAAGTAATCCCCCCTTCTAGTGTCCTCGGCATCATGCAGAAGAAAAGCCGCCTGACTCTTGTCATTCTTCTCCTTTTTGCAAGCGTTGCTATCAAAGCTATTGCCGTGATGAATTTTTATCACGCGATATCTAAGTTCTTAGCAGCAGAATATCCTCACTTCGGCAAGTGATGCAAGACTATCGTTTCTCCTCAGTGATTGACGTATCTTTAGCATTTGTTGGGGGAAGCATGCCTCAAGAGCTCCCCGGAACATATAACGTAGTGACCATGGAGATAAAGGACACGGACATCTATTATCCCCTGAACGATAATGATGCCTGGAAATCCATGTTACCTCCAAAAGAGGGATATGTTCGGCTTGGTCCAAAGGGCAAACCCTTCGCCCTGTCGATGTACCATCAGCTTCATTGCTTGAACGCTCTCAGATACGCGCATGTCATCGCACGACTTGGCCTAGTCGCTCATCCCGAAGACCGAGACATGTATCATGACAATCACTGTCTGAAATACATACGACAGGGTCTGCTCTGTCGGGCAGATATTTCCGTGATACCTATCAACTCCTCGGCCACTACTCAATCCCGGTGCCGGGACTGGACAAAAGTTAGAAGCTTTGTGGAGCAAAATTACGCTGAGTGGGAAGATATTCCTCTGACTCATGCTTGGGAGGAGCCGGACTGATACTTGTTGCGGATTGTGAGGTCCACGCTCGATTTCTAATGGAGTTTTCGCTGACGTTCTGATCCCTTGTTCAGGCGCCCACGGATGCCAAGATAGAGTCCTATATACACTTCATCTCGATGTTCATATTAAGTCCTTTTCCTGTATCTGGTTTGAGACAAAAATATCTATGGTTGATGAACCAACTCGATGGAAGGTGCAAGTTTTGCGATATTAACAGCGCGCGCAGCCTCAACAACGTAGCAACACCTTCACATGTCCCCACCGCAAGCACAATACACGCTCCTGGGTTCTGCCGATGAAGGAGGGTCAACTGGACAAAATACACCCACCTACGAGCCCAAGCGTCTTGCTCTTCTCTTCGCTCTCCTCGTGCTAGATGCCTTATTGAGCATCTTCATCGTTGCATGCTGCTGGAAAGCGTCCAATCTCCTTCAAGGTTGCCAGCACAGGGATATATCCGAGCTCCATCGACCAGATCCTTTCATTGGATTGTTTGATGCATGACTAAGTACGATTACACTCGCTGTACAATGCTCTACATGCTAACGACAGTACTTTGAAGAGATATAAACACAGTTGGAGACTGTCGCTCGCTATAAAGTGCGTACCAATAATTGTTGAGATAACAGCCTGCCAAATGCAAAAGTAGATTAATAGGTTCAAGTGATGTATATAACGTCGGATTTTCATGTCGCCTCGAGTTCTACCATTTACAATATTGCATATCCATAGTCGTACTAAGTACCAGAGTTACGCTGCCATTATCCGACTTCTACTCTAAGTGCCGGTGTCTGAACAATGCATAATATTTATGTTAGCCCTCTGTGAAACTCTGACGGAAAGTTCTAAACCGTACCAAGACTATTGGACAGCGGGATTTCTATATGGCGAATTCTTGTCCAATCATAGCACCTATGGTATTCTCCAAGGCCGGTTGCGTCCTGTAGAAATACATCATCTAGATCATACACCCGAACACTGGGTTCCAATGTCGTATCTGCATTACAAAGGATAATCTGCCTCAAATAACCGAAACACCACTGCGCCTCCTTCAGAAGCAAAGGTGTCTCCGAAGTGTTTGACTGTCGCGCATATAAAATCAAGTGTGCCCTGCGTATCGTGTCAAGACAGGCGAGTTGTCGATACATCGAGACATGGTAGTCATTGCCGTTGGAAGGAAAAATCGACTCCCAATCATGGTCAGATGTAATATCATAGTTGTGGTCATCAAACCGTAGCGCCACATGATCGGAGGAAGGCTCGAGGCTGTAAGCTTCCTTGCCATGGGCGGCGGGTTTTGGCATGTCTAACGTATTGGCAGTTAGCTGGAGGAAATGCAGAGGCATATAGAGACGAAGACTTGCCATAATACGAGACAAAATTCAGCCGGGAAAGATCAATAACATTGAAAATTGATAAACCATCCAGTAAAATAACTATGATGGCAAGAATGAGAAGGAGTGGGAAGACTTGGGCTGATTCCTTGAGTGTAGTCTATGCAGGAATGAGTGTAAGCGGCGCAGCAGTGAGGTAGAAGGACAACACACGTTCATATCAAGAAACAGACTGAGGATAGCAAGGCTCCTGTTAGTTGACCATATTCGAGAGGATGTAGGAATATATATTTATTATACAGGTGCTGCTCGGAAATTCAGCGACGACCATGATGATCAGTGCCACTAACAGCCTGAATAGGCCATAACCCGCAAAGATTACTGAAACAACTTGCAATTCATTGCAGCGACCGCTTCCTTGAGTCACTAAGCCAGACTCGGCCTTAATTCAATCGCTGAATGGCGAAAGCCCATAGCACCGAGTACCTAAAGTGATCTTGAAAGCCTGGCCGAAGAACTCATTGAAAAGTGGTGGCATACCATGTATGATGAGACGGTTTAAATTTATTGATTATGATCAAATCAGATCAGAACCAGATCGATGGGACAAATAATCTGGTGTACATACTGTGGCGAGCCAAGACGCGCGTCGCAGGCTGCCCGCCAACGCGTGACATGAGCGTCACATTTCCGGCTACTAGTACATTACCCGAGAGTTCAACCCGAACTGTACGTACTTGATGGACGCGTAACGCTGGGGTCGTTTCGTTGGTCAGGCAGGCATCATTTCCTAAAACCATAAGTGTAACGCGTAATGGGTTTCTGGTTTCATTCATACAAGTACATACAATACAACAATTTTAAACCAAGGATCAGTGGACCACCGTGGCTATGTTTACTAGGCCAATTCAATGTGATTTGTATATATCAAGGTGAACTTCGACTAGTCCTAAACGGTGACTGTTGTGACATTTGGGTGATACTATCAGCATGTCTCGGCATGCTTAGTAAATGGGGAGAAAGTAGATTAAGTAGAAAACAGTATAAATACACAGCACAGGCAGAGGAAGCTTTGTCTACCTAGTGACTAACAGCCTAACAGCTGGAGTGCAAGTGCATTCAAATCACACTAGTGACTATACCTACTCAAGAATGACTTTACTTCCCTACTATAAGCTCCTGTGGACTATGATAATTTTTGCTGCGCCTATCACATCGATGGCACTTGTACTTCATGGTATGTTCATGTACATCTCTATTCTGACACCTAACTTTTGAGCTGTATCAAAAGATGCCTCTAAAACTTCTGCTTTGAAGTCTATGCCATCTCAGCGAATTGTGCCCCGCATCTGTACGTGTAATTGTTGTATCGTTTTGTTGATTGTTGAGCTTTATGACAGTCCGAGCCGGCGGAGGCGCCGATGTGGAACCTACTGGTAAACTACCCGAGATTTGAATATGGAATGCACTTCTCCCTGTTCTGGCTTATCTCGCATCTTTCAGTACGTTGATTCCCCTTCATCACCGAACTTGGACTTATATATAGATCTAGCGCTCAGTCTCATGTGGCTCATCCAAGTCTGAACCCGAACTATTCACAGTTCACAACAGCCGTTTTTTCCATGTCTATAGAATGTGTAGTTACCGCAAAGGCGCCCTAGGGATAGGCTACTAGCCGGTACTTGCATATACAATACTAAATAGACACATGAATGCGCAAGGGGTTTCCTGGTGACCACGTACGATATTAGAAATCACCGCTGCCTCGCCTTGCATGTGAATACTGACAGAGCGCGCAGAGTATCTTCTGTTCGTAAAGTTGTGATATCACACTTGTGACTGGCCGCCATAAGCTGTGTTGTCCGTATCGCCTTTGGTCTTCTGTTCCTCTTGATTTCAATGATATTCCACTACGCCGGTTCATCACGGGAACAAGATCCACACAATATGCGCAACTTCACACAAAAGATCCAAAGTTGTTCTATTCTTAGTAACGACTTGCCTTAGTGGTAAATGCTCACATCCCTTATATATATCCAATATCGGGATCCGGGAACGCTATTGTGATACCCTTCACTGACCAGGATAACTCCATCCATTGTCCATTATGCTCCTCGAAACTACTGGCACAGCAGCTTTCAAAGTAGGCAATGAAACCTACCAGACGTGGTACAAAGTTATCGGCGACCTGGAATCTGGCAAGCCGCCTCTCGTCACTCTTCATGGAGGACCTGGTTTTACACACGAATAGTAAGTTCTTGTATCGCTTCCACGGTTATTGCTGAAATTAAATATGGCCACAACAGTATGCTGTAGGCTTAATCACTCCGACCGAATATCCTGGTACTATCTGACAACACCGACATCTACAGCGTCCATAAGGCCTTAACGGAATCTGCAGGGTGCGTATTCTTCGTGCTAATCACTACTGCACTGTGGCTGAGTCAACGCTCCAGAATACCTATCGTGGCGTACGATCAGATTGGGAACGGACACTCAACACATTTGCGTGATGCCCCCAAGGAGTTCTGGACGCCAGAATTTTTCATGGACGAGCTCGATAACCTCCTCGACCATTTAGGCATCTCTGAGTGCTTCGACCTAGTCGGCCAATCATGGGGAGGTGTGTCAGATATCGAAACTCATGCCCGTGTCGAAAACTCACCCGAGTTAGGAATGCTGGCCGGACAATATGCAGCTACTCGTTCACCCAAGGGCTTGCGCCGCTTGGTGATTCTCAACTCGCCGGCGTCAATGGAACTCTACGAAGTAGGGACTAATGCCCTTTTGGAAAAGTTCCCTGCGGATTTTGTTTCCATGTTGCGGAAGCATGAACGAGAGGGTACGACTAGCTCAAAGGAATATGGGGACGGAATGATGGTGTTCATGAAGAAACACGTCTGTACGCTGGATCCGTGGCCTGAGGATGTCATGGCGTCGTTTGAGTCGTTTGGAAAGAATCCTACCGTTTACCACACAATGTGAGCACTCCTTCAATTGACGCTTCAGGCTCAATGAAAGCTCTCAAGGCTGGGACCGTCGGAATTTAATGTGACCGGAACTCTTAAGACCTGGTCCATCGTCGACATCCTTCACAAGATCACCTATCCCACGCTGATTGTCAGTGCGCCCAATGATGAAGTACAGGATGTCGCGGTCATGCCGTGGTTCTTGAGGGTCCCAAAAATCAAGTGGCTTGAGCTTTCCAACAGTACACACCTGGGGCTATACGAGGAAAAAGACAGGTATAGAGTCGTTTAAGGTGCCGTGGATCACAAAAACTAATCGGTTTATACTAGATACCTTCATGTCCTTGAGGAATTCCTTGAATCGGCCGTTTAAAGTTTTACTGTAAATTGATCTTCTGCACCGATATGTACCTTTGAAATACCTGAAGTTTCTCAGCCGTCTGAAATCCTATGTATCGAATTAGGGAAACAGTACGATTATTGGGCATGATAATGGCATGAAACACATGTGACCGCTAAGATCGACTGACAGTAGAGCGCGTCCAAACCCTATGTATTTCTCGATGAGCACCATTGTTGCAATTGAAAATCGACCACTTGCCGTGGTGTGTTCCAAACACAAGAGATCTGATCTGTTAACGTTCCAGAATATCCGTTTCCAAGTGATATCTGAGAGAGGCCTAGTCACTGTTACCGTCGTTATGTATTTATGGCACCTCAAGCACTTGGCAACACCAGAAGACCGTGAACGGAGAGGCTTCCTCACGTCCAGGAGGCCGACAAGAAGCTTCCGGCTGGAGCGACTTGCGTTTGTGGCTGTTTAACTGTAGTACCTTTCGCCCGGAGAGTCGAAGGGACAAAAGTAGTATAGTATGTTTGTCCTGAGTAACTGGATCAGCTAGTAAAGATAACCGTCGTAAGAAAAGCACACCAGATAATCTTCTTCTCGTCCCAATAAGAAAGAGGCGACTTAGAACTACAACAACTACAACTCAGTTTCGCGGAAGTTACCTGCATTTCGAATCAGGTCCGCCTATCTATCCGGTGTGAAGGACATCGGATGCAGAACCTTGGGCTATGTGGAGGCGCACGATTGGAGGTTGGAGATCGGCCATGGCCGGTTTCAGAAAATTTCTCTTTGTACGACTTTTACAAGGTAGAGGAGGGCCCGGTCAGTCACTAGCCAATGTCTTGTCGCCGCCACTGGAGCCAAATGTTGGGTCCCGCCAAAAGAATGTAGGGTCAGATTTGAAAGCGTTGTTCCGGAGCGTTTACGCAGATTTGCATATGCTAGGCGGGGAAGGGCATTCGGTAACCAACGGCGTGAGTGTTGACGACGTCGACATATAAAATTGACAATGTACATAACTGTATAGGTGGAGGCAATAAGTACCTCCACCTGCGTCAAGATATCTGCCAAAGACCGAGTCTTCAGGTCCCAAAGCTGGTTAGTGATGCAGGATGTCACCGTAAGAATCGGGCAACGAAGAAAGAAACATCGGGAAACGGGAGATATTCGTCGTCGTAAAGCAAGCGAAGTACCGGGAAATTAGTTTCTCCACCCCCTCCAGCATATTGGAAAGTTCATGCGGAAACAGCGTAGTAGCCAGAGCCTATGCAGCGTAGTCCTCGCTTTCTGTAGATGCTCCGACTGCCATCAATTTACGGAAGAGTTTGCCCATATTTGCAGCTGATGATACCTGAGAAACGACATGAGAAAAGAGGGGAAACATACTAAAGCTAACAGTTCTTTGACTGAGAAAATCCGGTTCCGTCGCGCTGATAATGGCATCTCGCAACACTCCAGACGCCCGAGACGACGTGAAACGGGTCCACAAATGAACGAAGTTGTACTAGCCTTATCTTCATCGTCCGTCCATGGAGCGGGCGTCGAACTTGGTTAGAAAACGAGATACAAGTAATGGGCCTCCAAGTAGGCTTCAAGTTACGTCTACTACAATGGCAAGCTCATCAACTTGAATGTACAAAGTCGCGGACACCAAGCGCAACTTGAATACAAGGTTGCTGGTTCGGGGTCGAGGTTGAGCTATGCAAAGGCCGTCCCATCCTGGGCCAAAACTGTCTTGAGGATCAGGGAAAGGGCCTTCGGAGATGGCACAGTGCTAGTCTTGCGCCGGTGAGGTATCTTGAGACTTAACAGTGGCTATTGGCAAGAGGAAAAGCACGTTTGCTAAGTAGGCTAAGTTGATGCCAGTCGGAACACTGATATGGGCGTAATACTGTCCGGAAAATCGAGTCCATCCATCTCTATTTCAAACACAAGTCTGCGGAATGAATAGCCTACACAAGTTACCCATGTACTGCCAATTCATGCAAGTTTGAGATGGGGAATGAATGCATGCACAAGTCATGATCCTCGGAAGTAGCACAAGTGCAGGTGAATACTTTATCCGATCACACAAGTAAAACAGCTGTGTGGAGCATGCACAAGTGTTGGAAGTACAGAGGAGAGTATGTGAGAGAGAGAATTAATTAGCCTCTCGAGGGAGAGGCATCGTACTTAAATACAAGTTGTACTACTTCTAGAATTTACTACGGATTACTATATGTGTCTACTATTGCGGTTAAATGTTCATGCTGCTTAGTCATGCCGAAGCTTCGAGTGCATTCTAGCACTAACTCGGGATTGCTATCCCAACAACAAGTTGGACAGGTGCTGATTTTCAGCATTGTCAAGTGCCATATGCCGGGGTAAGCCATATTCTCGGCAAATCGGCAATATCCAGCAGATCACTCGTGGTCGCGTTCACTTCAGTGTTCGCCAAACACCTGAATGAATCGAAGAAGGATGAATGGAAGTATTTATAAATGATATTCCATGTATCCTCATATATATAAGCATCCCAGCTTGGAGCCTTCTCAATGAATAAAGACTTATATTATCCATAGAAGATATAACTTAAAAACAGGTTTATCATTGCATACTTCGAGCCAGTCTAAATCATTCAGAGACTGAGTGATCTAAACAATCATTTGCTCTTTGTGTTAGAATTGCGGCACTGTTCTCAAATGAAGCGAGTGGCAAAAAGTGTTCACATCTGTGGCAAACACGACATGGGGACTAACTAAAAAATATACCAGCTTATATACTATGAAATCCGGGATCCCAACGGGAATAAGCAACATGTAAGTACATCGCTATGAGAACTCAGACGGCGACTGACTGTCTTGCCATGAGAAGCATGAATGAAATCAGGGAGGAAGGCGGGAAGAACTTAGAGGAAGTTCCAAAACAGGCTCTCTTTATACACCCCCCTGGACCAAATAATGAGAAATATGGTTTTAAAAAGCAACAGGATATACTCAACTTGTTTGGATCGCAATGAGAGGATAAAACTTGCGCGAGATTGACCAGACCCTGACTTGTGATGAAATTCAGCTGCAGATCAATCTTGCGTGATCATGATGACTTGAGAGAGGTAAGTTCCAAGTTGGAGCTACATGTGAGCATGGTATGTGTCAAGATGACACTTGTGTATTGCAGAGGATCATGACGCACTTCAACTTGTGCATGACTCCTTCCAATGACCGACTTGTGTGTGCACTTACTCCCTCTCGATTTTCCGGACACTATTACGCCCATACACTGAAATAGTCGCCAGCTCGCACGTGATTCTCTTCAACTTAATACCTATCACTGGCCGTCGAGCCGCGTCAACCAGCGGCAATTGGGGACTTTCTATCCGAGGTGCTACAACACAAGAGAAGCACATAGGCATTTTCACTATCAATTTGGTTCAGGAGAGTGCAGCGCGATTCTAGAACGAGATACTTGGTGCGTGAAATCATGGTCGCTGCATGTTGTTCTTGAGAGTCTGATTTGCGTATGATAGCTCAGTACATGCGCCAAACATCTTCAAGCTGATCACCTCTGTTTCCGTATTTTCCAATTCGACCTCGTTTGCTATGACTCTCGACGTCGCCAAGCCAGAAAGCTCAAAACATTCTCTTCCCAAAAATCTCCAGAATGCTCCTTTTGGTACACCTCCCCACTGGGCAGACTTTTATCAATTACCTGTTGAGAACGATATCATAGCCGGCACAGAGTGGATCTATAGCCTATGGGCAGTCCTTCACCGCGCAGTTCCTCCTTCGTATCATGCTTTCAGAGAGCTGGATAAGACGTCTAGGGAGTTGTGTAATCTCCTCATGCAGTCCCGTCCCGAAGACGAGTACCTCCCCTTCAAATTGTGAGTGCGGGAGTATGTCTCTTTTCTTTACCTGACTCGGATGCAGTATCATCAAGGCGCATACTCGAACAAAAACACTTCATGCCATTTACGAGATCCTTGAATGCCAAGGGTACCTTCAAAGCGTCTGCCCTACGCTCATCAATGATATTTTTCAGGAAATCCAGGCCTGCGACTCGGACAGTGTAACATTCAGTGCCGATCTTCGTTATCGATGCAAAATTTCAGGGCCCATCTTGGAGCACAAGATGCGGTCATTGCAAAAGGTGGTCATTAGACAGCACCGGATCAGCCGAACCGTCTTTACTTCAATCATGCGACGCTCATCTTTTCTCATTCCTTTAGAATCTCAACTTCAAGAATCACGCTAGATTTGTCGACCATCTCTTCCGGGGCTTGTTGACACTGGCTCTTGTGTGCGCACTTTCGGGATTCGTCTGGTCCCTTTTCGGTATAGCTTCTGATTTTAAAATCATTAACTTGATGTATCTTGTTCTTCCATTCTGCCCTTTGCTGGCGATGATAAGTACGTGTCTTCAAACGCAAATAGTCACGTCGCAGCTCAATTTCGCCTAGCAAGCAATGCAAGTTCGTATGCGAGCAACATTGTCTCCCGGGTTGACACCATGAATATGGACGCATTCAAGCTGATTTGGGCTGTGAGAGACATGGTAGGGCTGCTGGCCCTCATAGCTCAGTCCGACGCTTCACCACTGACCAATGTGTCGCATGCGAAACGGTTCATGGAGGCTTTTCGAACTTCGGTATGTTATATTTCCTTCCATTGGTTTTGATTGAACTAATGATCTGCCAGTTTTTGGGAGGACGTTCATCACTAACAGATCTTCGGCGTTTCCTGCAGGGGTTGCCCGATTGGCCCGATGAAAACTTCGTAGCGCGCGATTGGGATGATCGTGACTGTCGATGATGACGACGACAACGTACCTTTCATCGACCATGACGTGTCGCTAACTCGCGCTTAGATCATCTTTCCGCGTATTTCTCGACTCTACTATTGTGGTGACTAGCATTCACACGATGGGCTTTTAGAAGGATTTGCGGTAATAGTGGCCTCACAATTACATTGAACTCCCGTTCATTTAGGTTTCCTTGGACATCGATTGGGAAAATTTCACCCCGATGGGGTGTATTGTGTTTTGAGCACAGATTATTTATTTTAGCAGATTATCTCTTGTTCTACTACAGATCGTAGGTCTGTTACTAAAGCCAACGTATCCGCACAGGTCCGAGTCCTGTGTTGTTTTTGACAATTCAAACTGGTCGACAGTTGTATGTTTCAGTCAATCTCATGCATGATGAGGCTCTGGTCGATGAAACTGAATTAAAAAAATCAGAGTAGGATGATTAGGGATGATGAAGTGGATTGATGCTATCTTCAGAATGTCTTGACGAACTCCATACACTGCAGTGGCTGGTGTGTTTTTGATGGTGTAAAACAGGATTCTAAAAGGTTTCGATTTCGGCTTCAGTTTTTACGCCCTCGTTTTGAGTACTGTAAAATGAAACGTTATCTCAATTCCTTTGTTCTATAGGGGGAAATATTTTTCATACCGTTTTACAGACGGCCTTTTCGGGACTGATAAAGGCTTCGCTAAAACAAAACCTTTTAAGGTTTTGTTTTTTACGATCTAAAATGAATCGGCCTCTGCTGTGATACTCAGAATTCAGAAAATTTCCCGTATTATCGATGAGAGCGCAAACGGCAGGGAGGTCGGATCGGAGTGAGCCGAAATACGCCATGCCACGGCAAATCTGCCCCAACTGCGGCACCGTTCTCTCGAGCTCCATGAATCTCGGACCCTCTATTGCATCATCTCTAGCCAAAACCACAAACACCGACGCCCAGAGGAGTACCGCAGCTCGAACGTGCCTGCATGACCTCTATTGCTTTTTAAATGCTTTGTCTTGTGACATAGATTGGATTGGAAAGGGCTTTCTGATCCTTCTGCTTTCTTAGCGGAAGACGGTCTGCCATGTAAACCATTCTGCTGGTCATATCCTCCTGCTTGCCATATTCCTGAAAAGTGGCTTAGGTTGACCTGCGGCTTTGCCTTGGTATATTCGATACATGGTACCAGTAGACGGCCCCCTTGAATATGAGTATCTGCATGTGGTGTTTCTTCAATAGGTGCGTCTCTCCACTACGCTGCGGCAAGACTTTGCCTGACTTATAGAACTCTGAAAGTTCCTGATCGTGTGGTTACCCATGATAGCCAAATTTAGAACATCAAATCGAGCAAGTCTGTTCGACTTTAAATTTTAATTCAGAGGTACGGTTTACTCAGAAGGAGGGTTTGAGTATTTATAAAATACTAAAATATATCTTCGGAGGTACATGCAAATTATCCAATGTTAGCTATGTGGCCCCCCAGCGCACTGAAATTTGAATGAAATTCAGAATTAAAACCTGATCATGTGATCAAGGTCTGACTCCGTACATCAAGAAGAAATATTTGGTGAAATCATATCCGGGATTTCGGTACCAAGGTCAAGGTACTGAACGGCATCTCAGAAATCAACTTGAAACAGGAAGTAGCACAAAGAACACTTACTGGTTTAATTGTGATGTAGCTAGAAGACGAGATGCTTCTGAAAATGCACGAAGGACTGGAAAAGAATTTGATCAGACGGGAATAAGGCTGGAGAATACATGTACTTACTCCATAATTCTGTTTCGCCATCCAGACCTGCGCTGCAGCAGCCTCAATGTAGCGCAGATCGATTTCTCCGCAGTGAGCTGCTCGGAGCTTCCACCACGTGTGGTGTGTGAGGGTGGGAGAAGGTTTGAATCGTTTGCTTTCGCATCTTGCCATCTTCCCTAACCATCCGCAGAGTCTTTCGCCGTTCCTCGCTCTTGGAAGGCCCATCGCATCATGAAAGGGCGGTAAAACACGTTCGCACACCTTCCTCGGAGTCATAGGTAGGAAGATAGCTTGAACGAGTCAGTAGAGACGGGAGAGACCGGTCAATCCGTACATCTGACTCCTGCTTCATGGATTCATGGATCCGAACTGCAGGCGGTGGGGATATTGCTTTCTGAACTAGCAGATAAGAAACTTTGGAGAGGGCTGCGAGGATGCAGCGAAAATGGGCTCTGGTGAAGTCGGGCGTAAAGTTTGACAGTGCTAATGATAGAAACATTGATCAGATACCCATGAAAAAACGATAACCAACATACTCAGAAGTCCAAAATGCCATCGATCGGTCATTGTCTCCGCCGACAACGCTATGCTCCTTGGTCCTGCCATTTTAAACCACATGCAAGATGCCCCATGCCATGATCCCGCCATTTTCTTCACCCAGCAAAGCGAGGTTGATCTGGATGATCGCACGAGAACATCGTTCTTATTGAGAGCGAACGACCAGTTCAGATAGTGCTATTCCTCCAAGGACAAGTTGGCTCGATCCCGATGAATGGTAGCTGACACGAAGAAGGGAACAACCCGCTCCAGCTCCACAAAATGTTGACGAGGATAAGACCTGACAACGTAAACACAAGGACTTGGAAGTCAACGTCACGAAGTTCTTGATTCCGCGCGCGCTATAGTAAGAAGACAGGCCAAAGAGGATTATTAATGTAAAGTGAAGATGTTTAGGACCTTCCCTTCATACGATGGGGTCATTGCAACAGAACAGAAGTTGGCAGATACTTGGAACACGTTTGATGAAAGAGTCTTACAGACATCTTCTAACCCAAACTCCTCAAAGCTTCATCACCCACGGTACTACCTCCCATTCTGACACTCTGCCAAGTCATTTTTGCCATTCAGTACCAAAGGGAACCTAAACGATGGTGTCAAACGGGAGTTGCGTAGATACTACGTATCACCCACCTTTGAAATTCGCCTGTTGATTTCCTCCGCCAATATCTTTCAGAGAAGGCGAATCTGACTGTCAACGAGTTCTGTCCATTGATCTCGACTGCATTGTTTGGTGCCATCTGTGGTCAGGGCTCCAACAGAACTTTCGTGTTTACTAGCTGGAAATAGGTATTGTATTCTTCAAGCATGCATAGCCAAAAAAATGCGAGCAATTTCTTCTCGGTACCACCGCGAGGGCACCCGAGACGATGGGAATCTGTGAATGGTATCTCGTTAGACGCGGTAAGAGGACGGGATAACAAAGCCGACCATAATTTCCAAAGTAAAGAAACGTCCTAATAGATCCACGGTGAGCCTTCTCAGACGCAGTGTACAACGGCGTACGTCAAGCGACCATCAAAGTTGGATACCTAAAATTATGCAAGCGTCCATATCCGCCTTCTAGAGAGCCAAGCAGATACCTGTGAACATGACGCTCACTCGAATATGAAGAACGAAGACGAACCCTCACAAATTGAAAGCACTCATTATGCCCATATTCACTCCGAACAGCATCGAGCTATAGAATGCAATGCAAGTACATTCTTCGAATTGATGTCTAGTCGTACGACGACTCGAAACAGAGGGCGCGGAAAGAGGAATCGCGTTTGTGCAGTGATTGCACATGGTCTGAAAGTTCATTAAGCAGGGTTCCAGAGCATGCGCTGCAAAGAGACTTCTTCATGGAGATCCTTGTACTAGTGTCGAGTATCTATAGGAGGTGCATCAAGTCAAGCATGGGAGAGAAAGACGAACGGGACAGGACACACGAAGGGTATGCTTTGACGAGCTCCGATACCACATAACACCTCCCTCCTCAGTTCACATTCCCGGGAAACCGTCCTAATGAACGAGACATTAGGGACAAGTTAGATTCGCAGAATGAATCAAAGACGCACTCGCAATGACCCGTGAATTGGGTGTTATAAGCTCGTAGCGTTGGATGGCCTCGATAGAGTAAATAGAACACTATTTTGGCTGAACTCCATGACGAGACATTGGTGCTGCGGAAAGATAGTATGCTCGGGCCGTAGCAGATCGAAGCAAGTTGACATTGACAACATTAGCGCAGGGAGATCGATGAGATGGATCAAGATGTGATGAATATCATAAGCAGGGAGATTAAAGCCAAAGCTGCTGGTCCCGGATGATCGCTGACGTGGAGGCTGTGGTAGGTCCGTAGCAGTTCTTTACTTCTGAAAACCTCCTTGGGCCCGGGACTATCCGCTTCGTACTCTTGGTCAGGTTGACGTTGAGCATTCCCAGCAAGACGAAATTGGACAATGGACCATGAATACACTATCGGACGACTGTGAGTGAAAGTGATGGAACAGACAAAACGAACGTACGTAGATACCTTGCGATTCCCCTATCTGTTAAGTTAGATTTCCCACGAGTGCGAATCGGACAGCTCAGTTTGACGATTTAACAACGCCACCAGCGAGATTTTATCGTCCACCTGGGGGTATAAACACAGTGGTTCTGGAATGACTGCTGTTGGCGGTGACTGGTTTCGATGAACGAGGGGTTTTCGTTGGCGCCACTGGATACGAAGCTTTGTCTGATCGAACAGGAGATGAAGATGGAGATGAGCGAGCCCAAGGTGGACGTTAATCTTGATGGCCAATCTCACTGCAGATGCCGTCCAGGGAATAGAGCATACACCCAGTTGCGCTCACATCTTTTGTCCAATCCCTTCATGTTGGCTCATTTTTAAGGTCCTGACCTGCAGTCATTATCCCCCCGATCAGTAATGTTGGAGGAGTCAGGTTGGCATATAGCGGCATGACCCAGTTGATGATTTGCACTAGTCGCTGAGACGTGCATCCCGCCATATGGCACTAGTACTAGTAGTCATGCGGTACGAGACAACGTTGGGAGCACATGCAAATGAGATGGGATGGGATGGAGATCCTGTGCCGGGGGGTGGATCAGAATGCAGGTCCGAGCAGGGAGAGAAGATCTCAGTGGGGAGATAAAGCCAAGGCGCACGAGAGGACGGGCTATCTCGTTAGCAAGGGGACGGGACAGCGAAACTGACTGGTCCTGGCCGGCTGCTGGGAAGAATTCGCGTTCCTTGGCGAGCGGTGCCTAGCTAATCAATTGGGGAAACGCGACCCGAGTTTGGGGAAGACCACGCTTCTTGATTGGCCTCCTGTTACATGACTATGAAAGGATCGGTGAGTCGAACACAAAGTAAAGACAAAACTGAATAATAGGTAAGGTAAAGTCCTGTCAAGCATTGGAGTGAATAGGTGCACTTGTTGAAGAAAGATCAAGCATATATCTCATGATGGCGCCGCGTCTCGACTGCTTCCAAGGAGGCCGTGGTATCCTAGGCGACTGTGTACTATGAGTACGATCCACAGAGAAAATATGACCAGAAGGATTGCTTACACACCAGGTCGCCTTCCAGTGAGTATTCTCCAAAGGAAGTGGAGGGCATGTTCGACATGTCGTTTGGGGAGATCAAGGGAGCAGAAATGCCGTCAAATGCCATGGCACGTCGACGTTCGGCATCTGCCTGCCGCGGCAACACTTGAGGCACCACACGCGCACGGGCCCGCTACGCGCTTTGTTTGGCGAGGAAACAAAGCACGCTTCTTTCCTTTTTGCCTTCACGACCAAGCCTGCACTGATGTCCGTGCTCTATCAAATACTACCAACCAGTTTATGAGCCGCACTAATCGCAGTATGCAGCCTTTGTGGAGAGAAGTTTATAACAGCGGACTCTCCAGCACAAAGGGACTTTGACCGTAACATTCCTGGTTTTTTTCTGCCTTTCAGTCGCTGAGCGCTGACAAGTTATGCATAGATAAATACCAAGGGCTTTGAACACGAACTTTTCTCCTCATTAAAAATCTGTTCTCGCCGGCTTGCCCATTGTACGTCACCAGCATTCTGTACTAAAACGTTCTCAGGTCTATAATGTCCAGCTACGGATCCTCCTACACCCCTAAAGTCGATATTGCCTCCCTTTTGCGGATATGGTGCTCGCCCCGCTCTTTCGACGAAATCACGATGGAACACGTAATACTCGATGTAAACCGCATCAACAGCTCCATCCAACCCAAACTGGACCGCATCCACTAGCTCGAATCAGAAATCACCCGCCTCCACACACAAGTCGACACTTCAGACTCGGCGCCTACTCGAGAAAAATACTACTCTTTGCACGCGCTGATCCGCCGGCTCCCACCAGAACTGCTCCTGTTGATATTCCATGAATCGGAATTAGATGACTTGTCATTCAAAAACAGGACACCGCTGGTTCTCATGAATGTCTGTGCGACATGGTGTCAACTGGTTGTCGGTACCTCGACGTTGTGATCTATGATCAGCATAGGCTGTTTGTATGGCTGGGATTTACATCGGTGTATACCTGGAAGTCTAGACGTGTCACACACGTCATCCCTGCTCGCTTTATCGCTCCAGTATTCAAAGATTGCACCCTTGGATATCTCTCTGCACTCTAGCGGAGAGCTCCCATGTCGAATGCCTAACTAATCTACTGAAGTAGCATTCCTCGAGATGGCGCTCTCTTAACACTGATGATGGCAGGTTTATCCCAGCGAACTTGCCTGCGCTGGAGAATCTCGTCTTACGGGACTTCTCGACACTACTTTCCCTCTTCCACGCACTTTGCTTACATACCCTTCGTATCGGCACACTCTACGAGATCCCTCATATCTCATTCCCTTCCCTCCGCCAACTAGAATGCACCATTGCTGACCCCACCCTTCTCATCACCCTTCTCAAACACGCTAACCAGCTCACCTCTCTTCAAGTCTGCTGTCGACAATCTTTTGTTAACGACAAGCTACCCAATACGAGCATAACCAGCAACCTCCACCTTACCCAAATATTCGAGACCCTCGCGTGTATTGTCTTCCCTAAGCTTCGCACCCTCAAACTCGGTTCTGGATTGCATGACCGTCACTCCGCCAAGCGACGTCAGTATCCTCAATCACCTCCACTGCCCACGTCTGGGGACGCTGGTCTTCCGTGCATCACACCTTTCGCCAGACTCCTCTCGTGCCCCATTGCTCGGTTAGGTCTAGTCGTAAATGACGAAAGCGTGTACGTGAACTGCTAAGTAATACATATCACTAGAACTACCATGGTGTACGATAACCATCCCAATTCATACGCTTTTCACTAGGGCTGAGTATACCAAAGGCGCTCATGCCTCCGGCTCCCAGCAACAACCGGGGTCTGGAAAACTGACTGATTCATAAGATTGACGAGATCAATATACGTCATTTCCTTCTTCCAGTCAGTCGACCTCAAAACACGAAGGAGTGTCTTGGTAAAGACTCCGCCGAATCCGTTCGTTCCCTTTACCTCCCTCGCACTCTGGAAATCCTGACACGCTGCTAGAACCACATGGGAATCCATATCTGGCTCTCAATCTTTTGATAGTATAGATTGATAGTGAGGTAAATCTTTCCACCTTTCATCGGCAGCTCGTAACATATCGTCGGGAGAAGCATGAGAGGTTAGGTGTATACTGCGAATTCCTGGGTCTACCAGGTCCTGGTGGCTAAAACTGTGAGAGAAAGAGCAGTCTATAATGAATGTAATCTTATGTCCCTTGGCGAGACATATCTGCGTGAAAAGACTGTCCAGCTCTCGGTCGCTGATATCGGGTATCCATTCTCCGTCTTCATCCTGGGTACCGCGATCGATGGGACACAGTGCTTCGATGAGACAAAAACTGTCGCATCGAGATTTGAGATCATGCTTTGCACAGCAGTAGCTGGAGCCATGCCCAGCATAGTAGATGATGATATTGTCGCCTCGCTCAATTTTAAGGCTGTTAACGAGACTGTAGAGCGTATATACAATGTTTGAGCGGGAAGGCGTAGACTTGGGATCAGCATCGTTTGGATATTCGGGGCCAAGGAGACACTGGATATGGTTTTCTGGCATGCCAAGGTCGTTGATTAAGAATCTCTTAATTGATAAAGCATCCGATACGCAACCGTGCAAGGGATATCGAGGGTACGCATCGATGCCGATGAGGACAGCCCAAAATTGATGCGATGCTCGATTAAAAACGGGCTTAAACATCCGTGTCCCAGCAACGAGCGGTGTCTGGTAAGGCAACTGATTCAGAAGCCGGATGATATCATCATACGTCGTTTCCTCCTTGCAATCAGTCGACCCCAAAACACGAACAAGTTCCTTAGTAAATGCCCCACCGAATCCCTCCCTTCCCTTCACCTCCATCGCAGCCTGGTCACTCTGACATGCTGCCAGAATTACATGAGAATCCATATCTGGCTCCCAATCCTTTGATAATACTGATCGATAGCCGGGGAAATCTTTCCATCTTTCATCCGCAGCGTGTAACATGTCCTCGAGGGAAGCATTATAGGTCGAGGCTGTCCTGCGTATTCTTGATTGCCGGCCCACAGCGGTAACGTGAAGGCCCCTGCTCATGCCACCACTGTGGCAACAGTCTGCAATGAATGTGATATTTTGCCCCTTCGCGCAACATATTAGCATAAAAAGACTGTTGAGTTCTCGGTCGCTGATGTCGGGTATCCAGTTTCCGTCGGAGTCCTGGCAATCGCGATCGATGGGGCACAGTGCTTCGATGGCACAAGAACTGTCGCATCGAGATTTGAGATCATGCTTTGCACAGCAGTAGCTGGAGCCATGCCCAGCATAGTAAATGATGATATTGTCGCCTCGTTCGATTTCAGGGTTGTTAACGAGACTGTAGAGCGTATCTATAATGTTGGTGCGGGAAGGCGTAGACTTGGTATCAACAGAGTTTGGATATCCGGGGCCAAGGAGACACTGGATACGTTTTTCTGGCACGCCAAGGTCATTGGTTAAGAAGCGCTTTATTAATAAAGCGTCCGATACGCAACCGCGCAAGGGAACTCCCGCATACGCATCGATGCCGATGAGAATAGCCCAAAATCGGTACAGGCCGAGACGGGACCGGACCTACAACAGTTGGGATGAGCGTAATAGAAGATGGCTAGGGATATGCACTTACACCTTGGGCCAAGGAGGGGGATTCATGCGAGATAGACTGATGAGTGATGGACGCTGCAGAACCAAGGTAACCAGGCGTTTTCAACTCCTCTGCATCGATTTTGGGGGATTTACGCGTGATAGAATGCCGAGTGATGGACACTGCAAAACCACGGCGACGAGGCCTTTTCAATTCTTCTGCATTGATTTTGTTGAACACTGATGCGAGCGCTTCTCGAAAGGAGGCAAAACTAAAGATGCGACGACTTGAACGCTTCCCTGATGATTTAGCACGTCTTTCCACTTCTCTTTCCACTTCTTGAAGGACCGCCGTAGGATCGGAGCCTTCAGCAACGTCTATTCCATATTTCTGTGCGAACTGCCACACCTGCCGCTTCAAACGACTTTCCTCCAGCAGATCCTGATGATCTACAGGTTGCGCCTATGCAACAAGTCTAATCAGAGGGCTATAATGTCCGCACAACAAATCTTACCGGAGGAGAGATGACTTCGTCAAGGGCCGTTGCTCTTAAGTCTGCTTGCGGCTGGTGGTCTGGAATGTGTTGCGTCTAGTAAAATTTGACATGAGAGGCTGGACAGACGATGAAAAGACACCTACGGTATCAGGGTACAAGTTGGACTGACTCGGAATTACTCCACTGAAACCCATGGTTTTCTGCTACAGAGAGTGATAATAGAATGGCAAGAGGCATATGATGAGGGCGTGCCAACGACACCAGCAGGATGCAGCGTGTCCTCAACCATCATTACGGATGTCGGAGATCCTGGGATAGCTAAACTTTTCAATTTATGTAATTTACCATTTACGGTCTTTAGCGGTCTTATCAAACTGATCGATGCAGAGTTGACAACTCCGAGTCGTAGTCAGCCGATCGGCAAAGTCACAAGAAAAAATCGCCCGTTTAAGGGCACAAGTTGCTTTCATTTTGGAACCGCTACGATGCGTGTGTGAAAGCTAGGTGAGATACAAGGCAGTCAAAGACAACGATACGTGAATGTCCAGAGTCCCAATAGAATGCTCGTAATACTGTCCAGGGAGTGTGCGAAACACATAAAGCTCTGTTGGGATCGATGAGGGCGAAAAATGAGATACTCAATAGGCTGGGAGATACATAGAAAACATATCCGACAGTTCAATGAGAGCGATAATTTCCTCCTCAAAGCGAAAATCGCTTAGCTTTCTCCGTCCGGCAAAGAGATGTTGCTCCCACGTTCTGGAGGTCCACTTTCAGGATGAGCTCATCCTTCCGTGCACGCCGTAACCACACCCCCTCCTGTTATCGCATATCTTGGTCCATGCACGCAGCTCGCCTTGGATGATACCCCAGTCGTTGTGCGGAGATGGCTCCTGTCTGCAGTCGCAATGTACACAGGAGAGGCATGACTGTATGGCGTTCCGGGTCCAAGTAGTGAGGGAAGATGTTATAACGTGCTAGTCTGGGGTGTTGTGTGGAGCGGTGAGAAGAATTTGGTTTGTTTTTATCTGTATATGATCTGGTTAGATGCAACAAGCAAGAGGACGAGATAGTAAAACCGACCAACAGATCAGCGTAACAAAACATCCTGTGTGAGTGAATCCACAATTGAAGCGAATCTACGCATTACCACAATTAGCCTTCTCAGAAGCTGTGCAAAGAAGATAATGGCGTACATCAAGCAGCGATCAAAGTTGGGTGCCTGCGAGCGCCCTTCAGAACTGGGAAGATACTCGTGAATATTATGTTCGCTGAATATGAGGAACAAGGACAAACCCTCATTGAAGCTTGAAGGCTTCTCTTCCCCTCATTACGCCCATATTCATGCTGAACAGCTCTGGGAATGTGAGTACGTTCTTTGAATCGTTCCCCTATCAAGTGCCGACTTGAAAGAGAGCGCGCAGAAGATAGAATCCTGGCTATACGGAGTGGTCGAAGAGGGGAGCATCAACGTAAGTAGCATGTGCCACAGTGAGGCACCGTCTCCGATATCAGCGTCGAGCATCTCTAAGAGATATACCAAGTTAGCGTGGAAGAGAAAGAGGAATGAGTGAGTACGTACGAAGGATCTGCCTGACGAGATTGATACCCCCCTGTCTCATGCACGTTCCCTGTAAAACGGTATCAAGATTCAAGATTGCACTGATAAACGAGATCTAAGCGAAGAGTTAGACTTGCGTAATGGTTTGAACTTGACACACTCACAGTCTTTTGGTTTCTCGCAAGCCCACACTGCACGAATCGGGTATTGTAGCTCCTTGCATTGGATGGCTGCTATGATGGAGCAAACGAACATGATTTTATTTGGCTATACTCGATGTAGTGGATAACTTGGTGCTGAGTGTGCTGGTGCAGCGTCTGGTTCTGGCAACTAAGGTTGGCAAGGCTAACTCGAAGAGATCGGTGGACTTGGGAGTATTGCTTGTTATGGGGAAGATTGGGATAAGATGCGGTAGATATCCCGGACGGCGGGACATTGGAGCCAAATGCACTAAATTTGATAGGTGACAGCAGGTATAGCGAGCCATAGCGTCGATGCATGTATGGATTATGGTAGTGGACAAAAGCATCACGGGTCTTGACGGCTATTGATGATATTGTTCCACGACTATAAACGGTCGATGTGTCGGACACAAGTCAAGACGAATGTTAAACAACACGCACCATCAACCTTGGCGAAAAACCCCTTCGCACTATCTGCCTCTTGTCATGTTCAGTACCTAGCGTCTTTGACGAAAGAGATATCGAGGTTGAGTGGTCCTAGCAAGACGAATTTAAGCCGTAATCACGGCTGCTGGACGGGTTCCGTGAGTAAAAGCAACGGAACGAACACAAATTACTTACCTTTGACGATATAATGAGTCCATCGGTTAAGTCAGATCTCCCAGTAGCGATAATTTTGACGCCTCGCGTTGACGATATGATGTGTCCATTAGTTAGGTCAGATTTTCCAATAGCGAAAGATTGATGAACTTGGTAGGTGGCTAAAGCTCAGAGAGAATCCACAGGTCAGGTAAAGTCCTTTCAAGCGATGGAGAGGATAGACGCACCCATTTCCCCTCGCCAGACGGACTCTGGCTGAAAAAAAACACAAGATACACCAGACATTCAAGAGCTGACTAGTTGACCGCTTCCAAGGTGTCGCAGATCATAGTATCCCAGGCGATTTTGGAGGGACACAGTAAGTGGGCGAAATTATGAATGCATGACCGGTGACAAGCAGAATTGTGGGCCACCTGCCGATAAGAAGTTCTCCGAACACGTCCTTTGCTTGTGTTGACCAGGTCGAAAGAATTTGGAGACCAAATATGTTCGAAAATGGTGGCTGGTGCTAGAGAAATGGTATTATCGGCATTTGATTTTTTTTACATAATATAAATTTTAATTTTAATTTTAGTCTCTACAATTAATCCCGGCCTATGTCGGGGATTGTACCAGGACACCCCACAGCAACGGTCAAACAAGAAGGCACCCGTTTCTAGAGTTCGACTGGCGCAGTTTTCGTCATCGAGGGTGATCCAAAAGGAGGCATGAGTCTCGATCCCCTTGAGCGTGGCAAAGGAAGCGAGCGCATGGAGGCTTCGCGCGGGTTGGAGAACCATGGTATCTCGTTGGGATAAGAGGTACGTTTGTTTCGTTTTGTTCTCTCGTTCTCTACTAACGTGTCGTTCTCGGCTGTAGAGGGCTTGGCTTGACTAATGTACGGCGAGACGACGACATCAATAGCAATTACTATTGAGGGCCGCCTGATTCGGGGAATAGGGCTGTAAACAGAGAAGGATGCGAAGGAGACTGAATGGGAGCTCTATGTTGGATGGATACATGTACTTGGTACGTTAATTTACTATTTACTTTTTCTTACTTGGTAATGTCTTCCCCCAGTCCTGCTACTCTTCCCTCCGACGACGCGTCAGTCTCGCTCGAACATCGAGTACAAGTACAAGCCCCCCACCACCCCTCACGCTAGCCAATTCATTGCGATTGCCGTTTGTAGCTTCACCTCGCTCAAATCAAGCACAGAAGTGCGAGAGGATGATGTTGATGTTGTTTGCAGGGGAACACAGGAAGGAGGGTGTAGTTCTGTTGGAGCAAGGTACGGGAGCGGGTTGCATATAAAAGGTACGTACCTCTTCTTTTGATCCTTACTCGGTGGCTAAGCGTCTGGGTTAGAATATTGGATGGGGACCGGTTGTTGGAGTACACGGTGCTAACCTTCTCGGCTGTAGGGAGCATCACGAACATAGGGTGAGACGATGACAACGACGGTAACCATTGCCATTTTGCTTTGCGAATACGATCTGGGGGGAACGAGGAAGGGATGACCGTGATTAGGGATGGATGCGAGAGGAGGAGGAAGGATGGCTCTGTTAGATGGACTGACAGGTACAAGGCACATCTATTTACTCTCTATTCTTTCTTACTTGCTAACTTGCCCCTCAGCTTTGCTACTACTCTTCCTTCCAACGACGCCTCTTTGTTTACCCTCCCGAGTACCCGTCACTCCGCACGTCCCCAGCCATCGTCATTTGTGGGCTTCGTCTCACTCAAATCGAGCACGGGAGTGGCAGTGGAGGATGTGCACGACTTTGCAGGGGATGTGGGAAGGAGGCTTGTCGAGTGGTACGCGCGGATGACCGAGTGCGGATGCAACGCGGAGGGGGTGGTGTATGCGGCTCTCTATGGCTGTGTGGGATGGTCGTCGTCTCTGAGAGTGACGCGTTGACGGCGAGTCGACATGAGCGAGTTTCGGAGGAGGTATCGGAGCTCGGATGCGGGCTTTGAGATGACGAGAAGAGCAAAGAACACGCGCGCAGTCGACGATGATATAGCAGATTCGTACCGCTGCAACCCTCTTACCTAGAATCGGACCCCGCTCCCCGAGGTTCCAAATAGACGAGCCCGTCACACTCACGACGTACCTCTTCAAGTTCAGATTCCGTGAGTTTCTTCACACTCATCTTCTCCAATCCAGTTTCTCATCTCTTTCCGCATGTAGTGTTCCCACCATTCTGGGTCATGGGCGCGTTCATCCTGTTTTCGCCCCTCCATGAGCCGTCGTTGTCGCCCTCGAACGCGTGACTTCCAGACAAGAAAGAGATGATTATCTCGAGGCTTAGGAAGGCGGAGGTCAAATGGGCGCAACGCAGCCTTGTCGCGTTCGTTTTGTTGTTGGTCGTTGGTGCTGGTGTTGGGTTGGGCGTGCGGGCCGTTACGAAGGACTAGACAAGTCCTATCCATTCTCCATTATGTCTGTCCCATCATTCGTCTCGGCATTGCATCGACCATTCTCCTTCGTTCTTCTGCATGGACACACATTCATTGTACCATCATGAACCCGCCACGCTCGCTATGACTTTTTTTTGCACATGATGTATCTCTTGTTTTCACTATGCTTTATTTGTAACATTGCCTGCCAGAGTGCCGTACAGGGAAACGAGATGGTGCGCCTGATAAAGGAGAGGGAGGTCCTTCAATAATCGAGAATGGGCCCAATGGGTAGCGTGCGCTTGTTCGCTGATGACATTGTTGGTTGTTGCTCATTACCTTTGGGCTGTACTTTGAATGCTCGATGATACGATGCAACGGTAAGCTGGTGGTCTCATTTCACCATACAGCTTCTGAGAATCAAGTCACGGAGCGACTACTACATACATATCGACTGCGGGAGGCATATCATTTCTACCTCATATGCTCAAGCCCAGAACTCAGGAAGCCGAACGAACGTCTGTTATCACCATGTTGTTATCCAACACGAGACAGTATGCGCGTCCATGCTTCTTCACAGCCTGTTGATCAAGACCTGAAGCTACTTGACTGTGGCACTAGCCGCAACGTGTTTTGAACCCTTTCCAAGTTGCTACAGTTTCCATCTGCCGCCTTGATCCCAGCTGACGAACCCTCAAGATATGGAGACGACAGTTTTTCAATGTTGCCTGAAGGTCTCAGTGCCTGTCCGACGGGCTTGCCATCTTTGGTGAACTCTTCAATGCAAAAAAGGCATCGAGCTTAAAGTATACACAGCTAAATAGAGGTATAATCAATGCGGACAGGCTGGGAAAAAATCAGAGAACATACATACCAATCCTTGGTGCCATACCGTCGAGCACACCCGTGCATCAACTCACAGCCTCCAGTACTTCAGTCTGCAAGCCAGTGAGGCCGAATATATCTCGCTCATGATGTAACGAAGCTCGCCGGACGTTTTGGCAAAGGAGGGACGGGGATGGGATATATCCAGTAAGAGAGCCGGGCAGACACGGTACTGGCTGGAATGTGAAGAACGAGGACGAACCCTCAGGAATTAAAGGATTATCCTCCTCGCATATTCAATCTGAACGCTCGAATTGGTACTCTGTCGTTGCTCCACGTACGCTAACTTGGAAGGAGGCAGGCAGAATGAGGAATGAGGCCAGATCGTGTCTGTACGGCGCAATCACGCATGGTCGGGGCAGATCGAAGGAAGTTGGAAGTAGTGCGGAGAGATCGATGAGCTGAGATGCGGGGAGAACCCTGGGCAGGCAGGGATCAGATTGATTCAATGTCAAAATTGCTGGTCTAATGCCGGTATCGATGTTGCATCCGCCTCGTATTTGGTAAGTGGGACAGAAGAGACATTACAGCAAGTTGGCGCGGACGTCGAGCGTTCCTAGCAAGACGGATTTAGACCATGATGACGCTGCTGATCGAGTCTGTGAGTGAAAGTAACAGAATGAACAAAACCCGCGAGCAGCGACAAATTTGATAACACCACCAGCGAAATTTTGTCCTCCTTTCTTGTCCACCCTGAACGTAAATGCAGTGGTTCTGAAACGACTGCTGGTGGCGACTGGATACAAGCTATAGTTTGTCTGGCTGAGGAGAAGACGAAAATACTAGCGAGCAAGAGTGGACATTATTCCCGATGGCTGACGCCAGGCGCAGTTGATGCAGAAGTCGTTGGTGAAATAGCGTATATCCAGCTACGTTCACGGTCCGTCTCCCTTAAATGTCCTGCATCGTAGCATGTTTATAAGGGTCCAAGTCTGCGGTCGTGAGCCCCCCCAATTAGTCATGTTGGAAGAGCTAGGCCAATGTTCATGTCCCCGTAGGTGCAGCGGCACGACTAAGCCGATGATTCATGTTGTCCTTTGAGACAAGCATCCCGCAATATGAAACGCGGTAGTACTCCTGCGCTGCACAATGACGTCAAGCGAGCGCAGTAAATGAAATGACATAGAACGGGTGTCCTGTGCGGGGAGGGAATGGATCGGTCAAAGGCTGAGAAAGCCAAAGCCGCTGGTCACGGATGGTCACAATAGATATAGCGAGCATTTGAGGATCTTATTGAGTAGGATACGGGAAAGAAAGACTACGGTCCTTGACTGCTATTGACGCTACTGTTTCATGACTATAGAGGGTTGGTGAATCGAACACAATGAAAATTGAATAACACGCACTGTTACCGGTCCCGGCCAACGATTCAACATGACAGTCAAATAGCTCCTGTACCTCGTGACGCGTAACCAGTCAATATTTCAATGCTTGGTCAACCCATAACATCTTCGACGAAAGAAACGTAGAGGTTGACGTTGAAGACGAATTTCAACCATGATCACGGCTATTAGACAGAGTCTGTGAGCGAAAGTGACAGAATGGACCGAAAGCCTCGCGCTGAAATCCATCCGTGACACTGCGCGTGGCTGATTTTTACTGAGACTGTTAGCCACCCCTCAGCTTCAATTTCCAGAAGTGCGTGAGCAGAGAGTGGAGGAGAGCAGAAGAGGTGCGATTAGTGCCGCGGCATGGCTTATCCGGCGCTCTGCCGCGGCAAATCAGGGCGGCAGTTGAAAGCGCTAGCAGTCGGACCAGGAGGAAAGCATGAACCCGTGCCTTGGAATCTTGGATCTACAAGATCATACAATCCGAAAGCGGAAAGTTTACGGTGAGCACGGACCACCACCATCTCGCTTCCGTGTTCACGAGTCGTCCATTCCCGCTCTCTTTTCACGGTAATCGTGTAGGTCCATAATTCCGGGCTCATAGTACTTCATACCAGTTCCGATGGCCTTGGAAATAGTCGAGATCCGACGCTAGCATGTGATCTGTGCGTGGCGTTTCTTCAATAGGTGTGTCTCTCCTTTGCATTGCTTGACAGGATTTTACTGTATAGAACCTTTGAAGCTCTTGATCGCGTGGCTATCCACAAATACAACACGGCTCCGTTAACTTTGTACTTCTAGGAAGTTGAAGCTAAGGATTGGAGTTACTGATGGACGGAGGGATAACTGACTATCTGAGTACAAATCAACCGCCCGCAGTGTCACGGATGGGTTTCCATGCGAGGCTTTGGTGTGCGTACTGTTATCGGTGTTCTCAGTGATAATAATAATAGCGGGCTGATATAGATATCCGTCTTCTAGGATGAACTGCATCTCGTGAGGCTTATCATTCAACTTCGTAACGTTCAGTACCTAACTCAGTCCAATTGCCCATATAGAATGGATAGTATCGGCACCACAGGAATCTCTCATGACTTTGGTGCTATCACCGGGAAACCTCAATTTTTCGACGACCTGGCCTTGAGCAGTGGTGCTAAGCCACGATCCTCTTTAAGACCCTACTTTCCTGGTTACTGAAATGCTCTCGCCCAGTTAGTCTCATGGTGCGTGAGGTTTTCAATACTGATCATCGGCACCCCTCAAACGGAATTGATAGGCCCTGCCCTCAGTGGGCCCTCGTCAAAATGTGCAAGAACATCAGCATCCAAAACAAACTTCGCACAAGTAGAATTCGGCAATACTGATCCAACGTGGGAGCAGCTCAATTCGAGCCTTGCATATCTCGACGAAGTCGTACACGAATCCCTACGAATACACCCACCCGTTCCAGAGACCAGGAGAGTAGTGCGTATTCTACCCCTCAGCTTACTCCTCGTGAAGGCAGTAGAAGATAACATCCTTCCTCTTGCTACTCCCGTAGTGACCAAGTCTGGGGAGACGATTAACAGTATCTTCGTTGCCAAAGGAGAACTCTTTACCGCCCCCATTCAGATGCTGAGAGCAGAGGAGATAAAGGGCCATCGCTTCCTCCTGACATTCATAAATGGAACTCTTGGGGAGGTATTCGCCTTAGCTGAGTTCAAGTCAGTTTCTTCAGAAATCTTGCTGAAGATCTGGTTCTAAGCTGCGTTCTCTGTTCTTGTCAAGAACTTTCAAAGCAGCCACAGACGGATGAGAACGACATGTGCCCGTCCCCTCCTAGAAGCGGAGTATGCGTAGTTATATGACCTCTCTTTACGGCAGAAAGGTGGGCTTTTCCTCTTATGGCGGAGGGGGGAAGCTATGACGTGCGATATTTCACTGGAGGATAATCCAATCGAGAATACGTCTCACGGACCGGAAATGCTCGACGAGCTGCTGATTGTCTCCATATTTATTGATAATAGAATATATTCAAACCAAGCTACTGTTATACATGATTACGACTACCACAGTGTATGGTAATCACCCTAATACCAAAGGCGCTCCTTCATTCGTTTCCCGGAAACGCGCGGAAATGGAACTAATGAAAATCGTGCCGAAAGTGACTGACTCATAAGATTGACGAGATCATCATACGTCATTTCCTTCTTCCAGCCAGTCGACCTCAAAACACGAAGGAGTATCTCGGTAAAGATCCTGCTGTATCCATTCCTTCCGTACATCTCTAAAGACCGACATGCTGCCAGAATTACGTGAGAGTCCGTATCTGGCCGCCAATCCTTCGATAATACTGATTGATAGCCAAGGAAATGTTTCCATCTTTCATCTGCAGCATGTAATATGCTCTCGAGGAAAGCATTAGATGTCAACTTGAAGGTCGTGCTGCATATTCTTGGTTGCTGTCCCCTGTTCATGGCACCGCTGTAACCGGAGTCTACAATGAATGTGATTTTATGCCCCTTAGCACGACATATCCATGCAAAAAGACTGTTGAGCTCTCGGTCGCTGATGTCAGGTATCCAGTTTCCGTCAGCATCCCGGGTATTGCGATCGATGGGCCACAGAACTTCGGTGGGGCAGAAACCGCTGGGGCATTTCACTGTATAAAGATGCTCTGAGCAGCGATAGTAACAACCTGCCCCAGAGAAGTAGACGATAATACTGTCGCCTCGCTTAATTTCAGGGTTGTTAGCAAGACCGTAGAGCGTATCTAAAATGTTGGCGCGGGAAGGCATCGACTTGGGATCATCAGGGTCTGGATATGTGGAGCCGAGGAGACATTGGATACGGTTTTCTGGCACGCCAAGGTCGTTGGTTAAGTAGCTCTTTATTAATAGAGCGTCGGATACGCGTCCTCGTAAAGGATTGCGCTTGTACGCGTCGATGCCGATGAGGACAGCCCAAAATCGAGATGATGCTCGATTAAAAATGGGCTTAGACCTCCGTGTCCCGTCAGCGAGCGGCATCTGGTAAGGCAACTGATTTAGAAGCCGGATGAGATCATCATACGTCGTTTCCTCCTTGCAATCAGTCGACCCCAAAACACGAACAAGTTCCTTAGTAAATGCCCCACCGAATCCCTCCCTTCCCTTCACCTCCATCACAACCTCATCACTCTGACACGCGGCCAGAATTACATGAGAATCCATATCTGGCTCCCAATCCTTCGATGATACTGATCGATAGCCAGGGAAATCTTTCCATCGTTCATCTGCAGTGTGTAACATGTCCTCGAGGGAAGCATTATAGGTCAAGGCTGTCCTGCGTATTCTTGATTGCCGGCCCACAGCGGTAGCATGAAGGCCCCTGCTCATGCCACCACTGTGGGCCTGTGGCAGCAGTCTGCAATGAATGTGATATTTGGCCCCTTTGCATGACTTATTAGCGTGAAAAGGCTGTTGAGCTCTCGGTCGCTGATGTCAGGTATCCAATTTCCGTTGGAGTCCTGGTAATCGCGATCAATGGGGCACAGTGCTTCGATGGGACAAGAAATGTCGCATTGAGACTCGAGATCATGCTTTTCACAGTAGTAGCTGGTGCCATGCCCAGCATAGTAGATGATGATATTGTCGTTTCGCTCAATTTCAGGGTTGTTAACGAGACTGTAGAGCGTATCCACAATGTTGGTGCGGGAAGGCGTAGACTTGGGATCCCGGATCATCAGAGTTTGGATATTTGGGGCCGAGGAGACACTGGATACAGTTTTCTGGCATGCCAAGGTCGTTGGTTAAGAAGCGCTTTATTAATAAAGCGTCAGATACGCAACCGCGCAAGGGAACTTGCGCGTACGCATCAACACCGATGAGAACAGCCCAAAATCGGTACAGGCCGAGGCCGGACCGGACCTACAACAGTTGGCATGAGCATAGTAGAGGATGACTAGGGATATGCACTTACGGCTTGGATCAAGGAGGGGGATTCACGCAGAATAGACTGCTGAGTAACGGACGCTGCGAAATCACGGCGACCAGGGATGACTTCATCAAAGGCTGTTGTTCTTATGTCTGCTTGTGGCTGGTGGTCTGGAATGTGTTGCATCTAGTAAAGTTTGATATAAGAGGCTGGACAGATGATGAACGGACACCTACAGTATCAGAGGACAAGTTGGACTGACTTGGAATTTCCTCGCAAGACATGGTTTTCTGCCACTGAGAGTGATGTTAGAATGGCAAGAGGCATGATGAGGACGTTAGGGCTGCGTGCTGTAACTGTATTGTACGGTTACACATCCAGTAGCGGCAGTTGCCGGGTCCCCGATTCTTTCCTTTGGGCGAAGAAACGGCATGTACATGTACTGTACTACTGTACCATTTCGACCAAGTGTTCATAAATTTGGAAAATTTTGGTCGAAAAAAATACAAAAGAGATCGGGGAGATCGAAAGAAATTTATTGGCACCAACTGTTTTTTTGGAGCGTTACGCGTTACTGAACACTTCGTCGAAATTGTACAGTATTTCATTCAATTCGAACATCACGCGTCACAGCAAAAAAATCGGAGAACGGAAATAATTTTTTCTCGATTATTCCGATTTCTTTTGGATTTTTTTGGGCCCAAAATTCTTGGGTCGCGTTCAAATTGAACGAAATAGTACAGTATATCCGCTTGTTCAAGCTGCTCAATAAAGTGGTAGTGCAAAAAGCTCGCTCGGTGGCTGCACCGCCAGCTCGCATTTTGCACACTCTAAATCTAATCACCTGAGCCTGAGTATGCTCCGTTCGACGACCTATACTAAGATTGCAAAGAACGATAAAATTTCTGGCATTAAAATCGAACTCATTGATGAGTTGTCATTTCACACTAGAGGCCCCAAGGAAGGTGAACATAACTTAGTCTGCCATCTAGTATGTGAGAGATCACAAGTTGGTGGGCATCTGAACAGCATCTTATAATTACATGCCCTACGCACCTGGCACCATCTCAAGAAAGAAAATATTATCTCTAATACTGCACACCTCATGCCATCACAAGGTCGATTAGTCCACAATGAACACATCACAACGTTCATCAAACTGTCACATGGCAGTAAAAATCTGACCATGAATGGGTATGCACTTCCCGAAAACCAGACACAACAATCAGCACACATTACTTGCTGTAGCAAGATGTTCTGATTTGCAGGTTCACATCAACACTGAATTCTCTCACTATATCAAATCTACATGATGTAACAGGAAACTCCATTGAAGATAAGCGGATCCATAATACCACAACGCGTTACCAGAGCGATAGCACTGAGGCAGATTTTTATTAACCCACTGAGTGGGGCTGTAGAACAGACAGTAGTTGACTCTTGAGGGCATCTGCAGTCACAGAGCAGAAAAAGGACAATGAAGGCAGGAATCACTTGTGACGTGCAAACAAAAAAGGTGATAGTAGGTGAGAGGCAATGAAGAGGAAATTGATGTCGACAGTTTTCCGACCAGCCCACAAACCAATAGGAAGTGTTCAGAAAGAAAGGCTTCTCAGCCACAGCGGCAACCGCTCGGCAAATAAGCCGTTGCGTGCCAGATGATCGCCTATCACCAAAAATTACTAAGCTGACCCCGAGTATAGCCCCTGTCCAGACAGTTTGGCACTGCTCAAGACAGTTACGCCCCGATAATAACCCTCTATCGTTTCCTCATTCTTCGGAAAGAATCGGGAAGCTAAGTCGACCGGCTCTTGACGCACAAAACGTGGCTCCTACTGCGGATTTTCCTCACTGAGGTTCCACATAGAATTCCATGACCACACCTCGATTTTGGGTCTGCTTTGTACTGGAAGTTGACTGGAAGCGAAATTCCGAGGTTTGTAGAGTTCTTTTCTATTTTGCTAAAACATTCTTGTCTATTCATTGATTATTATATATATTCCGAGGTTGTTACTTGTTGGAAGTACAGAGGAGAATGTGTAAGAGAGAGAATTAATTAGCCTCTCGAGGGAGAGGCGTCGTACTTAAATACAAGTTGTACTACTTCTAGAATTTACTACGGATTACTATATGTGTCTACTATTGTGGTTAAATGTTCATGCCGCTTAGTCATGCCAAAGCTTCGAGTGCATTCTAGCACTAACTCGGGATTGCTATCCCAACACTCCCCCTCAATTCCGAGTCCCTAGAATACCTGCAGATAAATATTCATGTAATGGTCTTGGTAGTCCTTTAGTGAATATATCTGCTAAGTTCTCCTCTGAGGCGCAGTGCTGAACTTTGACTTCATTTGAAGCCATGCGCTCATGAACAAAATGATGGCGGATATCAATGTGTTTTGATCGCGCGTGGAATATTGGGTTCTCAGCGAATTTGATCGCTGATTGATTGTCAACCATAATAGTAGTTGCACCATCAGGTGGCAACCCTAATTCGGTTAGAAGCGCTCGCAACCATATTACTTCTCTAGTTGTGTGCGCAAGGGCCATATACTCTGCTTCCATAGTGGATAGGGCTACGGTGGGCTGTTTCTTTGAACTCCAAGTAACAGCTCCCCCTGCATAGGTACAGACATAACCAGATGTTGATCTTCTATCTGTTCTGTCTTCTCCCCAGTCTGAATCTGAATAAGGTATCAGTTCATCTGTAGTCCCTCCATATGTAATTCCTAAGTCTAGAGTCCCCTTCAAGTAACGGAAAACTCGTTTGAGGGCTGTGACATGCTCAGCAGCTGGATTCTGCACATATTTGCTTAATTCTGTGACAGCGTGTGCAATATCGGGCCGGGATCCATTTGCCGCATACATCAGAGATCCGACACCAGTGTGGTAATACTGTCTGGTGGCTGTGTCAGTGCCTCAGGAATCACCTTCGGGGATTTTCTCTAGCCATACATTCGGGTCCATAGGCATTTTGACCGGTTTACAGTCTTTCATGCCCATTCTCTCGAGTACCTTGAGAATATATGCCTTCTGGGATAAGGTAATAGTGCCCTTCTCCCAATTTCTGTCTATCTTCATGCCCAATATATGTTGAATCTCCCCCATGTCTGTAACATTTAACTTCTTCTTAAGTTCTTCTTTCATGTTAGACATGGTTTCATCATCCTGGGCAAGCAGTGTCATGTCATCTACATGCACAGCTATAATTATGGGGCCTGATTTCGCTTGTCTGATGTATACACATTGATCACTGATCAATCTTGTGTATCCAAGTCCCAAAAATGTAGCGTTTAATTTTTCGTTCCAAACTCGGCCAGATTGCTTGAGTCCATATAATGTCAATTTGAGGTGTGCTGCCTTGCCGCTTCCATCAGAATATTCTGGCGGTTGAGCCATGTAAATAGATTCATTGAGCTTTCCATTTAGGTAAGCTCCGACGACATCCATTCCATGTATAATCAAGTTTCTTTGTGTGGCAATGGCCATAAGTAGGCGGAATGTGTCCAGCCTGACAACAGGTGCATATGTCTCAAAGAAATCAATGCCGGGAACCTGCGAAAATCCTTTTGCAACAAGTCTGGCCTTGTATCTGGTGATTTTCCCATCACCATCCCTTTTTAATCTATAAGTCCACTTGCAATTTACAAGTGATCTGTCCTGGGGTAATTCCTCTAACTGCCATGTACCCAGAGAAGTCAATAGATTATATTCTTCATCCATTGCTTTCTTCCAATGATGCCAATCTGGCCTTGTTTTGGCTTCTTCAAGGCTTAATGGCTCATCACTGAGGTTATCTGCAGTCTCCCCCAGACATGCATAGTCTGCTGCTATATTTGCAGTTTCCAAAGGTTCCTGTGACATTTCACGCTGCAATTCCGGCGGTTTCGTGCCTCTTGCAGCTGGATTATTGAGCAACCGGTAACTTGGTTGATTGATTGATGCGATCTGGACCGATTTGGTACGTGGCTCGATCACCTTCCCACGCCAAATGGGAAGCTTTGATTTGGTTGCCGGGGCATCAAGGGGCATTTCCCCTTTTGATTCGGCAATTTCGGCAGCCGCGGAATCATCGGAAATGTCATCATTTCCACCTGGAGTCTGCTCGACATTGTTCCCTAACTCCCCCTCGAGCGATGAAGGGTGGGATACAATATAGTCATTGTCTGTAGGCTCTTTAGTGTTGTCATCAAGGAATATGACATTTCTTGAGGTCTGAATCTGTCTGGTCTGAGAATTATAATATCTCCAGGCCCTAGATTCATCTGTAAGACCTGTAAAAATGAATTCCCTTGATTTCGGGTCGAGTTTTGACCTTTTGTTATCTTGCTGCAACACCCAGCACTTTGCTCCGAACTCCTGGAGTGTTGAAATGTCTGGTTTCGTGCCCCAAAACACTTCTTCGGGGGTTAGATCATTCTTGATGGCCTTAGTCGGTGATCGGTTCTTCAGGTATGTGGCGTATGCCACGGCCTCGGGCCATAGGAATTTCGGCAAGTGATGTTCTTCTAGCATGGCACGTGCATGCTCCACAAGGGTCCGATTGACTCTCTCCGCAATTCCGTTTTGGGGTGGAGAATATGCGGCAGTCAGTTCCAACTGAATGCCATTGCCATGGAGGTATTCCTTCACCACCTCATTAATGTATTCCTTCCCATTATCAATCCTCATAAACTTCAGGTCCTCCCCTTTGTGGACTTTGATGTATTTCTGGTACTGTTGGATTTTCTTTTTGATCTCCATACCTTCTTTTGACTTGAGAAAATACAACATTGTCCTCCGGGATTTGCCATCTGTGAAGCTTATGTAATATCTTTCTCCATGGATACCGTGAGTTCGGGCTGGCCCCCATAGGTCCAAAAATGTCATTTCACCTATTCTTGTGTATTCCCTTTGAGCTTCTTGTGGAAATGGCTCAACATGGTGCTTGGCCTTTATGCAGGCTTTGCAATCCTTCTGGGGCTCAGCTAACTCATCCACATCCATACCCTTGACCATCTTCTTTCTAAATAGTCTCTTTACTGATCCCATATTTAAGTGGCCCATCACTCGGTGCCACATCTGCCATGATCGGGCTGGTTTTATCGCGTGGGCTTGAGTTATTTCTGGCGCAATGATGTCAAGGCTATACAGCTTCGAAATCTTATCTCCATGACCAATTGTCTTGTCATGCAGCGAGATAATATCCATCTGGGATCCTTTGAATTTGAGTTCAAACCCGGCATCCGTGATGCACCCTAGCGAAATAAGATTGAATGGTGCCTTGGGACAGTGAATACAATCCTTCAGTGTAACTGATGTAGTCTTGTCCCCTTCAACCATTTTAATCTTTACTGTTCCTCTTCCCAAGCCTTTTGACTTTCCTACACCAATAACTTCATGTCCTGGGGTCTCAACATAGTCAGAAAAATGCAATCTGTTCTTGACTATATGTTTAGTTGTTCCTGAGTCCCCCAGCCATGATGACCCTGCAAGCGTAACAAGTGCAGTGTCTGTAGTGCAAAACGCGTAATCTTCTTCATCTGAATCCGATTTGGCAACATGTGCCTGGGTCTGGCCCTTCCCTTTCCCCTTCCATGACTTTCCAGAATTCTTCTTTCCATTTGGGCAGTTTGCCCTGATGTGCCCGGCTTCTCCACATCCGTAACATGTGATTTTTGAGTTAGACTTCTTGCCATGTGCTGCAAGTGTTGTGGTCGGATCAGAAGTCTTTTCTCGTAATCGGATGTCTTCCTGGAGAATTCGGGAGATCAATTTGTAGGAATCTTTCAAATCAGCAGTGTCCACTGATGAAATGAATGAATTCCATGATTCCGGGAGTGATGTAAGCAGTGTAATAGAGAAGTCCTCCTCCTCAACTTTCTGCTTGAGGGATGCCAGCTCCTCTTGATAGGACCTCATAGTCCTAATATGTTCCTCTATGTTTCCCCCTTCTTCACACTGAGCTCTAAAGAATCTCCTTCTAACAAGGACAATTCCCATGGGTCCCCTGGACTCATACATGTCTTTTAGAGCATTCCATGCTTCTTCTGAAGTCTTCAAACCAGCAATATACACCAGCGGGCCATCCGAAACCCGCAACCTTATTGTCGAAAGTGCCTTCCTATCGCTCTTCTTCCAATCTGCCACCAGTGCCGCTTCTGCTGGGGCCGGAGTGCTTCCGTCTGCATAATCAATTAGACCTAAATCGGTTAGGATGTTGATCATCTTGATCTTCCACGTTGGGTAATTTTCCGGGCCCTTAAGGGGGTCAATTCTGTAAACGGACTAGCTTTCCATGTGGTTCTGTATGTGTACATAATGTACAAAAGTGCGAAGTAGGTAATGAGGTAAGTAGTTCAGTTAGGGCCGGGGCCCATAACCTGTTGGAAGTACAGAGGAGAATGTGTAAGAGAGAGAATTAATTAGCCTCTCAAGGGAGAGGCGTCGTACTTAAATACAAGTTGTACTACTTCTAGAATTTACTACGGATTACTATATGTGTCTACTATTGCGGTTAAATGTTCATGCTGCTTAGTCATGCCGAAGCTTCGAGTGCATTCTAGCACTAACTCGGGATTGCTATCCCAACATTACTGCATTGGCATAGGCTTATATTATCCATATAAGCTCAAGGCTTGATGTGAATGCACCATCAGCGGCAGGTTCAGCGTCTCGGCAATGCCCGGATCTTTGCTGACCCAACACAGACGTTCTCAAAAAGTACTTGCGAACAGCATGCTACAGTACAGCAACAAGTACTAGTAGATGCAGGTACACTTATATAGTATAAGGATGTATGGAAGTACCTGGAGATGGAGAAACTACTAGGTGTGTGTCAAACAGGTACCTGTTTTAGCTAACCTCCTGTAGTACTAGCAGGTGAGGGCCATCCCATACATGTGGCAATTCCGAGTCCTATGTTTGTCAGATAGATCAATCACCTTACCCGGTGCATCGTTTGTATATGAATGCATCCGGAGTTTTGCCGTTTGGATCAAGGGGCATATCAGTGATGTCAATTCCACCTTCTCGTATTGCACGTCTCCCTTGAATCATACCATCATTGAACCATATAACACGGTCGGGATCGACATACCTGGCTGTAAAATGACTGTTTCCGAAATATACGATACCCACTAGTTGATAACATGCATTTCCATTGACTGTGGATGTGGGATCGGGATATGCGCGAACGGAAGGTCGCATCACTGAGGATCGCGAGAGTCAAGGGAGAAGGGCAATGGAACACATCAAGGCACAAAGGTCAATTGAGCCTTCACCCCCGGGGGTAAATACCATGATGACAAGCGAACGTCCAAAAGAATTGAAGGGGACTGCACAACACATGGAGAATATGCTGATTGTCATAGAATCAAAAGAAGCAAAAAAAAATATAATGAAAAGAACATATGTAACACAGCAAATTAATAATGACATACATGAAACAAACGAATCGAAGCACACGGATGAGCGTATGGGCAACCCAGCATGGTAATAGAGACAACAGAAACATGAAAAAGGCTGTCACAACATATGAATAGAGTCGAGGGAAGCAGGTAAAACCAAGGATCAGATAGCACCGTAGGAGATGAACACGAGGTACGACAGGAGATACGATGGACAAAAGAAACGAAAACCTGACGAGAGTCAAGCCAGAAGACAACCATCAGTGCTATCGGACACAAACATTGTGACAGAGGTAGATGTCAGTAGACAACGGGGCGATAAGTAATAGAAGGATAAGAAATATAGAGTGGCGAATGGGTACCAAATCCACAACCAGTTTGTTGTGAAAGGATCGATCGATTCTATGACAGAGACAAAGCAAGTAAGTAACAATTGAAACAGACTGGAGAAAATGACTAATGTAGGCATGCACAGGCGACACGATCGAAGCACTCATAAACGAGAGGACGGCAAAAGACAAACTGCACCTGTCACGGGTTATGAAGGTAAGAATCGATTATGGCAAGGTAGAATCATACTGAAGAGACATACTAGGAACACAGCGTTATCAAATCGGCAAGCATCAAGAGAGACGAGGATGCAGGTATGTGGAGGATCGTCCGAAAGACTGCAGGAGAGGGTGCAATAGAAGAAGTGGTATTCACGATGACCGGTGCAATATACGCGATGGATCTACCACCCGTCACAAAGGAAACAAGGTGAGCGGACGATACAGTCCAAACGAATGCAGTGTACTCACGAAAGTCATGGTCAGGATGCAAAAAGAGAAAGCGAGATTCCTAAGCCAAATGGTACGACTCGTAGGTCTCAGGAGCAAGGGGTATGATGAGGCTGTATCTGCTATAAAGAGTCTGCAAATGATGGGAGAGAGTTCAGGGAGGGCGAGATGGAAGAATGGAAGCCAACGAAGGTAAAGGATCTGGACGTGGTGGAGCTGTCAAACCGATACTTCAGACCTCGGAACAACTCGAACGAGGAGGACATACCCTTTTCGCCTGACGTTGACCTGATGGGAATCCTAGTCAAGATAGCACAATGAAAATGGGTGCACACTGAGGACAACGAGATGGGATACTTCAGGGGTCTGATAGACAAAGCAGGCAAGAAAAGGTAAGCGAGATCAACACGTATGTGCTAAGAACGGAGCCGACCATACCTTGTGAATGCGTATGTGACGGTGAAGCCTCAAATGTTCAGAATAGGTGATATTGTGGAAGCCCAGTGCGCTATGGTGTTCATGAAGACCAATGACGGTGTCACAAAGACCACATTGATATTGAGAGCCATATCGCTCGTAAACTCAGACCATTCATCGGTGAGCACTTCAACATGTACATCAAACGTCGCTGAAAAAGTCACAGAAGGCGAATGCAGAAAGAAGGAACATGGCCAATACACCACCACAGTCGGTGGTGAAAACGAAGAGGAAGATAGGTTTTGAAGATGAGGAGGACGATATACAGACCGCGGCAAAAAGGTTTAATAGGACAGAAACGGAGGAGGAGGAAGAGATCATGATGTCGACGTGATACACAGATATATGTACGAATGAGAAACATGAATTCTGAATTAAGAAAAGTGCACGATGAAGAGACCGGGAGTGAAACGAGACAAGCAAGAAGGTGAAGGCCGGACATAAGATCGATCAAGACAGACACATCAATTAAAGAGAATACAGAATATAAATGATGGAAAACAAAACGTGAACAGGAAGCAGGCTAGAGAAATGCGATGTGGCACGAGGGCAAACCGCGGAGCATGAAAAAAAAACGGGAATAGCCGTCCACGAATAGAATTATTCCCACGAGAGACCCACAGAGGAAACGGGGATGGGACGGCAAACGCCGCCATCACTGATTCCACGAATAGAATTTCCCACGGGGTTTCACGACACCATAATAACCGATATCCTATATTCATAGGACTCGGAACCTGTATGCAGATAATTTTTGTAGACTATAACCACGATACTGCACACACTGTGGGGTACCGGAAACGGTGACCCACTTCCTCCTAATCTCGCCACTACGCTGATGCATGCCAAGCGCTTCAACGCCGCACCAAATTATCCAATCTTCAACTACGACACCTACTATCCATCCCATCCAAACATGCTTTCGCCACACTATCCTATGTCCAGCGCACCAAGCGCTTCCCTGACTACGTCGCCTTGTCACGGTCCATAGGCATCAACTTCACTTCCACTCAAATTCAAGTCCGCTGCCAAGGCGTACAACACAAGACACGGTTCCTGGATACCGTTCTTCGATATCACACACAAGGGCATCTGGACTGTAATGTAAACAAGTGCTGAAGGCTCAGGCGAATCAAGTCGATGAGACGAGGAAGAGAGGATGGTTGGTCTCCACAGGAGCTATGGCGCGCGCAAGAGGGAACATCACCACCAGTTTATTCCTCGGCTGGGAAGCACACTTTGAGGGTGCTGTCAGTCCGGTGAAAGGGTTTGGCTAGCAGTATCCATGTATCCCACGTGTGTACGTACTACTTATTGACTCTGGTTTGATCACTGACCGTGTATTTGTGGGTAGACCATCGTCGATGGCGGCATCTTGACCGACTTTTATATCGGACATTGTCTTAACGGCACTGAGTGGGAACAGGACAAGCGTCTTAGGTTGTCTCCAGGAAATATAGTACAAGTACCTGTGCGTTCTTCTTATCATTGGCATTGTGGATGACCTGTCCTGACCTGCTTCATAGTGTTCCTGCACCTTGTGAAGCAACCTCGTTCGACTCACAATGCCATGATCAACCTACCACTGGCTGCGAAGGTGTGCTCTTTCCTTCTGTATGTTTTGTTTGTGGTTTATGACCTGTTTGTCGTTTTAGGATCTGGAGGTGAATTTGGTCTATGGGAGAGACAAAACACAATCACTACTCTGTTCTATTCTTTAACTTTATCGTGTTGTCATTGCGTCGAATATGAACCTTGTGCCATGCTCACGCAGAGCAGCCCACCCCAACTTCAGGGCTCGGATACTCTCGTACGACGCTTGGGGGAAGCCGACACCCGGGAATCGATTGCGACGCGACCAGCTGGAAAGAATGCCAACTTCAACTACACCTAGGTATGGCGTGGTTGATTATTGCCTGCTTGACGCCCCCTTCCCAGATCAGGCCTTGCTTCGTGAAGTATAGAGATTCTGTCGCCATTTATTCTGTGGCTACGCTACAACAGCTCTACGAAATGATGGCTGCTACGAATGATTCAAGTTTGGAAGTACCGAATATCGTTACCACTGAGGTTGAAAACAAACACGTTAGCCTCATATCTCAAGCAGTACCATTTCCACGCACTCGGCAACCATGGTTCAACAGCTTGCTAACCATATCCACACCCCAGTCCGTGGATCCACCTGACTCTCCGATATTCATCTCATCTCAAACGCCCCTCACAGCCGCATCCACTCCAAAATCCGAAGCAAGACCACTCTGGGGCTCGAACACGCGCGCTGGAGAGCAAAGTAGATCCTCTGGATCCGATAACAAGGCATTGCAAGGCAGAAGATGGAAGCAGAGTAGGGAAATTAACGGACATCGCGACGGGCAAGCCGTGGAATCGAGATGGTGGGAGGACATCGGGAAGACGACGCCAAGCGTAAAGGCCGCGTTAGCACCGGTAACCGGCCCGATACATTCCGATCCGACTGATAACCGGTCGGCAACTAAACGCCTATTGTCGAAGTTGTCGAAAACAATGCATGCGGTGAAGAGGGAATCAAGATTACTTTCGGGATTCCCATCTTTGGTAAACTCGTCGATGGACCCCAAGACTGATTAATTATGTAAAGACATTATAGTAATGATATAGTGGTGTAGTACATGCGATCAGCAATTTGGACAAGCTAAAGCTGCAGAGAGCTCCATCTCATGCCTTAGTTGGCCACAAATTTCGACGGGGGCATCCTTGGACGTATATACTCGAAGGCCGAGGAAAATTGAGTTAGTTTCAGACATCATGTCTTGGATGTCCACAGTCTCGTCATCGTCATCGTCGGAGACAGCATCAGTCTTGTCAACGTCAGCCTTTTTGTCGTTATCTGCTTGGATGACTTTGACGACACCGTCCTCACCTGCTTTCTTTCTCTCCCCTCTCCCCTCGTCTTTATCTTCACAAGTTTTCTCAGCCATCTTTTCATTTTCTTGGCCAGCAATATTCTTCACGGCTTCTCTGTCAGTGGTGTTTTCAGTCTTCCTTCCGGCTTCTTCCTCAACTATCTTCTTCTCTTCGGCGGCGTTCTTTTCCCCTTCCGCTTTCCTGACCGCCAATGCCTTCCGCTCTAAGTCGAACAAGTCCTGTCCAGCCAATATATCTAAAGGAATAGGCAGATTCTGAGCCTGCGAGCTATTATCAGTGTTCATAAACCGTCGAATAATGCGAATTAAGTGAAAATATTACCTCGTATTGAAATATACAAGAAGAGGATAATCAGTTAGATACGCAAGGCAGGTGCCATTTTAGTGACTCACTCATAGTAATGGATTGACTCTTGGCATGCTCAGTGAGCACCCTCGAAAGGGAGCGGTAATTCGAAATGTGGATGCCTTCTTGAGGGTATGCCTGGCAGTTACCCTTTTAGAAGCAAGCATTGCAGGAAGATAGGTTTCCCCTTACCGGTGAGGAATACACAAAGCGGTCCAGACGAACCTGCGTCCAAATCAGAATGACGTTCCTGCTAGAAAACTCAGTACTACATACATGTAAAACATATGAGCCCGCCTCCAAGTCCAGCTCAACATTTACGCTCCGTGCAAAGACCCTAGACGCTGAAGATCGGGCAATGATATCTTTTTCTCCTTTTTTAAAGACTGCGAAATCAAAGGTCCAGTACACGAACCCTGATATCGGCTTGAAGTAACGGTTATTTATCTGGGACAGGACAATCACTGCTTTGGTAGCAGCAGGCAATGTAATAGTGACTGTAGCAGCGACTCAGCACGATATAACAAAGCTCGAGATAGAACGTACATGATACATCCCCATACGTCCAAGCTGATGGGAGCGGAGGTGCTGTCACATGAAGCCACTGAGAGGACATGACCCATTGCGTGTCAAATAAAATGGTTTTGTCGATCTCCTGCCAGCATTCCAAGAAATCCGTGTCTGCAAGGTCGCGGGATGAGCGAAACCTAAGGAAGTAACGCAAACAGAGAACGAACACTCCATGACAAATTGACCATTGTCTCCGAAGGAATGTCCAAGCTGGGGGAGTATCTCGAGCCATTCCGGTGTCCACTGTTTCGAACCATCTGACCATGGGCCAGTCCATCCGGAATGTCTCAGAGGATTTCTGATAACAACGAAGCGTTTGCCTTTGCATTCAACCGCTCTGAGAACGGAGTATGCATGCCCGCCCATCAAACCACTGACTGTGATAGAAGTCTCCCCGCTACGACTAGAATCAAGGTAATTGAACGCGACTCCAAAGAGACAATCATTATTGGCCTTGAGCAACTCCTCTGTCCAAAACAGATCTGGATCAAGGATGTCCTGGAGATAGCGTTAGCCATGGCCATACAGAAGAAACTATCAGCATCACACATTTGTGGGAATGAAGCACGCTACACCACTGTCTCTAAATTAGCGCATGGTTGATTAAGGCAAACGGGTCATGGAACATACCCCGTGAGGTCTTCAACGGCTTCGCACACCCAACCACGGCTCAAGGCGCCATAACTCCCGTGGAGTTTCGCGTACGCCTTTTCGACCAATGGCACCCACGTCTCTCCGTCAGAGCTAGACCTGGCAAAATAAAGGGTAGCGCCCCCTTTGCGGGAGGATTTGTTATAGAGTGCCTTGTTGTTGTGTTATAGTTGCTTTTCTTGACCGCTCAACTCCTCAAATTTTGGGATGGACGTATAGAGCAGGCTACGAAGAATGAGACCACTGCAAGACAGATAGGGATCCACTTACTCGTCAATGACCACATCAACCCATCTATTGTCCCGGAAGAAGATGAATCCGTACACCCCAACCTTTTCGTCTCTCTGAATACCCAAATAAGATACATATCAAATCGGTCAAGAACATACGCACCGCGACACAGAATTTTTCTACTAGTCCTGAGGACGTGCACACCGTTGCCAATGCGGAAACAAACCAGCAATCACTAATAGCACCCTGGACTATATCATTCGACGATGCGCCATCCACGAAAAACTGAGGATTGTCGAAGATCTGTGTTACGCGGAGTACATCAGAAGGGTTGTATCCTTCCTCGCTTGCAAGTCCATGAAGGCATCGGAATCTGTCATTCTGCAGATCAAACTCGTGATCTCTGTGAAAGTTTTGAGGCGGACTAGATTGCGAAGAATTGATAACTAACCTGAACTTTCGATTCTTCGCCTTGCATTCCTTGGCAATATGTTCAACCTTTGCCTTGCAATTGGCTCGTGTCTTTTCTAGTTCGGCGGTGACTAGAAGTCCGGCATGGTCTCGTTCTTGAAGAAACGATGCCGTGGTCCTCTCAACAGTCGGTTTCCCTTTGAAAAGATTGAAGAGAGGCATTGGTACTGACTGGGCAGAGGATCAACTCATTGGTCTGATTAAATGAGGGGCTCGGTAAGCCTTCGACATCAGTTCGACATATTGAGGGCGGGTTTGGATTTGACTTTGGCGCTTATATGCGCACTGCATGAAGGGGTATCCGCAATTTGCTGTAAATTTTTGATATACGTGATCGACAAACTCTGATGATACAAAATCTCCAGTAACGTGTCGATGAGTATATGGTGCAGTACTTTCAAGGATGCATAAAACTTACTGTTTAGCCTCGTGGATATATTGTACAACAAACGGCAAGCAAGAACTTGACAATAGACGTATCTGGAATGGAAAGTCTCTAGACGCTTGTTTGGCGCTTAGACTTATCATCATCGTCACGGTACAGCTTCGTCATGATCATAGTTCCGTGTTCGTGTTGTTTCAGCCATAGCGCCTGTCCAGACGAACCACGGTACTGATTAATATCTCCTCCCTCGATTGAGTTCTGGGCCAGAAGCGATGAAAAAGTTGGGCATCAACACCTAACAAGTCACAAATGATAACGTCCCACGCCTGCCCGCTGACCAAGCCGCCCCCCACACCTTCATACCCGAAAAACGCTGAACTTTTGGATAACGAAAGTTCCGGATGGATCGTGGTGTCCCGATAATGCTGGGAATGCTCGAAGGGAGAACAGCAGGTCCAAGTATAGCCAGCTTCGTGGTATGAGCGCCTATGGAAGAGGAATCTAGATGGGATAGCGAATGGCCCGGATATAGTATAGAACCAGCTTGCATGATCCAATCGCATCCAAGGAGGACCGAGAAGTGAAGACGGGTCATTTCCTCTGCAGAACTTGTGTATACTTCCTCGACCATTTTTCTCCTGAAGTGTTGGCCTGAAGATGACCACATTCCAGCTGGCAACGATGGAACAGAATGTTTGAAGTATTCTGCTGCAATCATACGTCTATTCCTAGACATAAATGATCATATCCAGTATTTTTGAAAGGATGTATGTTTGTACTAGAGGAAAGCCGCCATAGTCGGGCAAGGTATTGACAGACGCTCTAAAATTATACCTAGCTTAGCGTATGGTGGTTGATCTGCTACAAATCAAACTTTACTTAACTCAATACAAGCGGCCTCTGGAACTCGCCGTGACCCTAAATCCACATCAACAACAGGACTGAGGGGTAACATAGTCTCTAATTCTTCCTCCGTCTCAAGGGATGTTTCTATACAAGTTGCGGGGATCAACATTCTCGCCATCTAGCGGCTCTACAAGTGGCAGGGTTCATCTTCCTTGTCCTGGATGTCTACATCACTGCCCTCCTTCCATTCCTCCGCCATCAATACCACTTGGAGTGATTCCTGGTCCCAATCTAGTACGTCCCTCTCACGTACATTATATGCGATGCATAATATTGAAAACGACGGTGGCAGGTGGCGATCGGGTTTCCCATGCGAAATACCATGACTCGTCGTCAGCTGGAGAGACGTTACACTGCCTAGACGGCGATGCGGGTGCTGAGATATTATTCCAGAGGCTTTCTGCTGGCAGACAAGGATGATGAAAGGCAAGTGGAGAGACGCATTCAAGTGTGAGTTAGTTGGGCCGAAGATAGCCGGAAGGCGATACCCCGGGCCGAGAACATTGAATACAGTGCGCAGTCTTTCTCATTCCTAGAGAGACGGGTTAGTTGACATATTGTCTATAGCTTATGCCTAATTATCTACCTACTATCTATTCCTTACGTTCCTGGCGACCACGCCTAAACTATCTTGGAGACAGCTTTTTCTTCATCTTTCCGAGTTTCATGTCCCATAAAGTTTCTCGCTGTGACGCGTGTACCTCTTTGCTTGGCGCTGAACGGAGGCAATCGCTAAAGGAACAAGTATTTGATAGAGAACCAGTGCGTTAGCGCTCTCTACATGTGAATTATCGAAACCCATGTATGGAGGAACTAGTGAGTGTGAGCATTGATTGTTTGCGACTTATGGGATGATCCCCACGCTTCGTCCGCAGTTCTGCTAGTTTGACCCTTGCACTGCATGGACTCATACCAGCGATCGGTCAAGAAGGATCAATGGAGTATTCTCACTCATTGCTGTGGACGAAGCCGTCATCGTCTTGTCGTAACCATGGCTCCTTTTGATCCCGTCTGTTTCTTTTGCGTATGCGCCACAATTCCAAAAGCGAAAGCACCAGTATTGAGAGAAGGAACGATTGAAGCGAGGATTTCTGGATACGGTCTGGTACGCAAGAAAGGTCGTTTATTAGTTTTGATATCAGAGAAGGGGTATGAAGACGACTCACGGCTATTTTATTTCTTGGCCATTTTAAAGAGGAGCAAAGGGAAATGCCCTAAAACGCCCCCGTGTGACGACCATACCGTACGGGAGGAGTATAGTCCAACGCCTACATCATTCAAACATTCGATCCCATTATGAATCTTAATGAGAACCGCTCCAAGGAAACGATCCCGCCTGTTCGTGCATTCTCCGTTCGCAGTTCCAGTACCAAACGCTCAAATACACACGAATGAAGGCATTGGCATTGGCAAGAGAGGAAGCTTTCTGAGCAAAGGTAGGCTTCTACTGTGACCCTCTGCAAGGCTCGCTCAACTGTCTGTGCCGATCGGCAAAGAGAGGTCACTTCTGGTCACTCCCAGCTTCAGGGAGGTCTGAGGCCTCACTTTCGATGGGTTCATCCCTCCGAGGACATTTACCAGATTGCTCTACGCGCTACGATGCTGTCACCACATCCGTGCTTGTGATCGCATCCCTTGGTCTGTGCGCATAGTTCGCCTTGGATGGTAACCCCAGTCATTGTGCGGGTGTAGCTGCTGTCTGCGGTTATGACGCACTTCATCGGGAAGGTGGGAGAGGCATGGCTGTCTGACGTTCTGAGTCGGAGGTACGAGGGAGGAGGGCGTTATAACGCGCTGGTTGGAACTTTGTGTCGACCTTAGTGAGGGATAAAGTCGATTTAGGGCCGATCGCGTAACGGTGGGCGAAGACGTAGCAAGAGGGCGAGATAGCAAGACCGACCACAAGTTCCAAACATCCCAGCATATGTGCAACCGAACAGACGGCAACCTAGGTTGTAGCGTATCTGCGCGTTGCCGCCATTAACCTTCTCGGAAGCTGTGCAAGGATAACGGCGATCAAAGTTGGGCGCATGCTACGAGCGTTCTTCCAGAGCTGGGACTGGGTAGATTACTTGTGAATACGGTGCTCGCTTGAGTATGAGGAACGTGCAAATGCATGCCAGTGTCCTGTTGTACGAAGCCGATAAAAGGTGGAATCGCGTCTGTTCAGTCATCGCACAAGGTCGGAGAGCCTATGAAGCAGGGTTCAGAGTATCGGAAGTAGCATGCGCCGCGAAGCTTCCTTTGTAACAGCGTCGAGTATCTATAGGAGATACATCAGATCAGCGTAGCAGAGAAAGAGGAACGGGTCAGGACGTACAAATGATCTGTATGGCGAGCTCGACTGCAACCCGGCCCTCTTCAGATCACATTCCCAGCAAAGGGAATCGACCAGACCCGATGCGGTGGTGCTGAGAAAAAACAACCATCCCCCACAAGGAGATCAGTGGGTGCATTGATATGTGACAACAAGAGCTGGATTGATAAAGTTTCGACGCGTCTACAATCTTCTTCAGACCACCAATCCCGGTCAAGGTCGGTACCCGGTCCACCCCTCGAGTGAACGCTGCTATTACTGGTAACCCACTCTTCCTCCATTGATCAAAAAGATCCACCCTGCGGGGGCATATGGCCAATTGCCAGGCTTCATTTTATCCAGACCATGATACTCCACAGCATTCCTTGCATGCATACTCAGGGGGGCGGTGTCTGTCGGCGAAGGATTCAGCATGTGTTGGCATACGAGTGCATGGTACGTACGCTATAACTTTACACGCTCTCACACTTGTACCAGTTCCTCGCACTTGATCCAACGGCGGCCGTGCCCATATTGCGCACGTTGATGGGCAGTGACATAACTGGGCGGGAAAGTATTGGTAGCTTTGGGATGTTCAATGTCGACACGATGAGGCGAGTGCACCATCGTTATTTCACCGACCCGGACTAGACATTATTAGAATGAATATCGCGGTGAGTGTCGAAGATGCGCCAGCCGCATCCGGCAATCCGGCAATCGGACTATAGTTGAAGCCACGCGAGAATCTTCGCGTCTCTTCTCCTCGAGTCGTTCGTTCGTCTGCTCACTCAGCAATGAGTCAGACATGGACACTGGTAGGTAGTAGTATGTTCTGGAAGCACTTACCTTGTAGTATATATACCAGGGATCTCAACCCCCAATACACATTGCTTTAACTACTTCCTAACACAATCTCTCTCAAACGGTCGAGTCTCTCGGTTTACCACTGCGTTTATCACCTTCATTACACTTTATTTTACAACAGTGAGGAACTGTAAACCTTACCGAAAAAATTGTATATTCCCTGACATGCTTCCGAGCCAAGCCATCAACGTAACGCTCAAGAGACTCCCGCTTTTCGCTGAAAACAAGGTGATCGAGCACGAAGAGCGCTTGACATCATGAACAGACGTATCGACACCGAACAAGGGAGTAGCAGTTGGAATGGACGGTCTTCTGGCGCTGAACAAACATTTATCTGTTGATTCCAATGTCCAAGCCCACGTAGGACGACATGGTTGGCTGTGGGTGGTTTGGAAGCAGCGTTATCGTCAAATGTGCCTTTGGGTATATTCTTCCTGACCGTTACTGTCGTCGTCGTCCTACCCTCCATGCATTGACCTCTACCCCCTAGCACGGCCCCCCTTTGTCACCACCACCCTCCTCGTCATCGAGCTGCTAAAGTGTTCCAATTTCGGTCATGCTGTGTTCTCGCTACAGACAAAGATCGACGATCTTTGATCTTTAGACAGATTCAAAGTTACGAAATCCCGTGTGTAACATCGATTAGGCCGATAGATTTGTATCGGAGTGGTGCTGTGGCGAAGTACAATAATCGAATTGGTGATAGTAGTAGACAGGCACGACAGCTGTCATTGGGTTGATGAATATTAGCACGAACAGGAGACACGCTGGGTCTGATCGACAGGCATGGAAGTAGTTCGGAGAAGAGAGCATATACTCAGGTTCAATCGCATCCTCTGTCTCCTCCCTTTGATATCCTCCATCAAGACTCGTTTGTAATAGTCCGAACCCATAGTCGTTATCCCGCCATTTAGTGATGTCGGAAGCAGTTGTATTCATGTGATACGAAACATCAGGCACACGCGTAGTAAATGAGATGGATATCTTGTGAAGGAAGGAAGCGGATTGGGACATAGCCATTGCCAAAGCCGCTGGTCACGGTTGTATTGAATAGTATAGCGAGCATGGACGGTATTGGGCAGGGCGTGGGAAAGAGAGACCGCGGTTCTTGACCGTTATTGACATTCCTGTTTCATGTCTATATAAAGGGTCGCGAGTTGGACACAAAGTCAAGACGAAAATAAACAATACGCACGATCGATAGCTCAACGTGACGATAGATCTCGAAACTCCTTTGACGCGTGCCGCGTAACAGGGTAACGTTTAGTGAACTCGTAACATCTCGCCGTTGATATTGAAGACGAATGTGAACCACGATCATGGCTGCTGGTCAGAGTCTGTGAGCAAAAGTAATGGAACGATCAAAAATGACGCACATGGGAGGCCTCACGCCGACGGTATGATCAATCCATTCTTGACTCGATAGGCGGCCGACTTTTACTCAGACAACCGGACATCTCTCCTTGCCGTCAACAACTCCAATCTCTAGCTTCAACTTCCCAGCAGTGCGATCAAGAGCTGTAGACGTTCCATAGGTCAGGTAATGTCCTGTCGAACGTTGAAGTAGATAGATGCACTTGTTGACGAAACACCACGCGCAATTACACGCTCGCACCGTATCTCGACCACTTCCAAGGAGAAATCGCTGGCCTTGGTATCCTAGACGACTTTGCAGGAATACAAAATATGACAAGCAGAGATGTTGACATGCCAGGCCGTCTTCCAATGAGAGTTCCTCAGGATCTGAACGTCCGGGTAAAGCGTTCGAAAGGAGATAGATGGCGTCCGAGGTGCGATACTCGTCGATGTCGTCCGGAGATGAGATTGGAGACGAAGATCGAGCAGGAGGACTGATTGGTGCCGCATTTCGGCAAATGTGCCGCGGCACAAATCTGGTTATCACTAGTCATAAATTAGCCGGCCGCGGCAACACTTCGTTCACAATCAACGTCAGTAAGGAGGATTTCCGATTTCGCTGCTGTGGATGACATGACCTTTTCATCATATCTACTTCATAGGCACCATTTACAGATCCCGAACTTCAGGAAACATGTCCCTTGAAGGATCTCTAGAAGCGGGTTTGGGATGGCCTTTGCCGAACGTATCGACTCTGTAGCGGTGCTGCTGCTGCGGTCTTCCAAGGAGCCGGAAAGTGTGCTAGACTACCATGGGGACAGTTCCACGGCACCATCCTGACTTTTCTTCGAAAAGTTGACGCATCATGGTCAAAGGATTTTTATAGACTCTATCACCTCCACCCCTAATATGTGTCGAATCCTTGCCAGTTTCCGTATGTTCCTCGTGAATCACCCGCCCTGGCCCAAGTCATAAGCAAATATCCCTAACCATCTACCTTCGTACTCATCCTCATTGTCATAGGGCCCATACCACATCGACGCATCTCGCGTTTGGGCCATTCTCATCGGGATCGATGCATACGAGTCTAATCCCTTATACAGCTGTGTATTGGACGCATTTTCGATGAAGAAACTCCCTCTCGCATGCCAGAGCCAGAGCATCGTATCCTCAGCGCCCGAAACCCCTCCGCCGACGATCCATTAACTCCTTCCCAAACCAACATTGTCAACAAGTCTCATGAAATTGAGCGGAGAGACGATATCCTTCCGAGCACGGTTAGAGCTACCACTGTTTACTTTTCCTACACCAGAACCCAGTGGTGTCTGTCCCATTCTGGCTCTGTGCCCTATCGATCACGACCAAATTCTCTTTTACAGAGATATCTCGTGTCGGAGGACAGGCAATCACATTCAGCATAGACTGCTGTCACGCAAGTGGTATCAGATCCTGAAATAGGACTACGCGAATCTCCTCACTCCGATGTTAATGATGTCTTACGCACCGCAGATAAAAAAACTACCTCACCAGCGATCTGCGTTTTCCAAGAATTGGAACCCAGATATGGGTTCTCACGTAGTTCTCGCAGCATGCAGCCTGTAGGTGTAATCAATATGCGAAAGAGACTTTGGCAAAATCGTACGGCAGGGTTTCGATTTACCAAGGCACTTATCAGTGTTATGCGCAATCCGCTGCCATTCGACATTGGGGTCTCTGGTTTTTCCCGCATCTCTGGTAACACTGCCTATAGCCCGGCATCGTACTCCATATTCTTCGGTTGCTGGGGAAACGCCATCGCTTCAACAGTCCTATTCAAGTTGTCGAAGAATACGAACATGACATTTTTGAGCGTCCCCCATCGGTGAAACTATGTGTGCCCCCAAACACGATCTCATCGGAAACAGCTTCCACTACTCTGTCCACCAACATGGTGAGCTTTTACTCTTTCTTCCAAATCCACCGTATTCTCACTCATCCTCCCTCTTCAGATTCGTGAAGTCGGAGAGAGCGTACGTTTGCTGTTAGATTGGTGCTCTGCTTTACACGTGATACTTATCCACTTCCGTTCGACTACACCTATGAAGTGGTGGATCATCGCAGGGCGTGGCATATCCAAGCCCTGAAATTGGGTTGGGCTGCTCTGCGTGGGCGTGGCACAAGGTTCATATTCCCCGCAATGACAAGACGATAAAATTAAACAATAGAACAGTAGTGATTGTATGCCGTCTCTCCCAGAGACTAAATTCACCCCCAGATCCTAAAACGGCAAACAGGTCATAAACGACAAACAAAACATACAGAAGGAAAGACACACTTTCGCAGTTCAATGCTCAAAAGAGAACGCGTAGCAAGTGTGCCGTGTGACATTACCGTGGGCGACTACGGCATACACGGCGGTTAGCATAGACCGAATCCTGTATACACAGGACTCGGAGCCTTCGGTGTGGAAAGCCCGCTTGCTAAGCAAGTTTTCAAGCCTGATGATGCCTTACAGCTGACTCCTTCACTACTCTGTCGGAATTGAACCTCCACGAGGTGGAATATAAAATCCAGCTTACTGGAATGAACTTTTTACAGGTCGAGTTCTGTCTACCTTTCGAGTCTTAATTGCTTCTTGGTTATCATCTCTTTGAGCTACCATGCGCTCTATCTTGTCTAAGCTATCGATGTTGATTCTGGCTGCTGTCCAGCTGCCTCGCGCATTGGCAGCACCTGGCACCAGTCGACGGTCCACCTGCACAGAGCCAACTATTCGTGTGGAATGGTGACTATTCATCTCACAGCATCGATGTATTTCTAACACCCCTTGTAGGAATACATTGACAGAAGACGAGAAGGCGGCATACTTCGCGGCGGAGCTCTGTCTCCTTGAGGCACCTGCTCAAACCGACATTCCAGACGTCGTGTCATGCTACGATGACTTCGTCAGTTTCCATTCATAATATCACTCTAATCGTTTTCATGTATTTCTATTTGATAGGTTGGTACACATCAGCAGCAAAGTGATTTAACAGACGGCAATGATTTCTGGCATGTAACTGGACAGTCAGTACTAGTCTTTTATTCATCGTCGTATACTATGCTTACCTAGGCTCTCTATGCTCTATTGTCCAGGTTCTTACATGTATGAACTATCATTTTCATCCTTGAGTTCGGGGCATATGGTCTAAACTCATATTTCAGGTCCACCGTTATTTCGTCTATGCCCACGAAACAATCCTCCGTAACGAATGCGGATACACTGGTGCTGTACGTCTGCCTACGTTTCACTCTAGTTGTCAAACGAATAATATTTTCAGTTACCGTACTGGAATGAAGCTGTTGACGCTGGTGCATTTTCGACCTCTCCCGTGTTACTAGACTTTGGAGGGAACGGTAGTGAGGAAAATGACTGGGCTGTCATTGACGGGCCTTTCGCTAATCTCACACGGTACCTGGGCACTGGGACAACGAATACGGAGCACCTCCTGACGCGTGAAGTGGACGAGAACATCTCACTCGTAGCCGGACAGACATACGTTGATGCTTTGCTTGCCCTTGACACGTTTGCGGAGTTCAAAAAAGCTTTGGGTGTTTTAAGCACAGAGCTCGGGATCCATGTCGCAGGGCATGGTGGTGTCGGAGGGGATGTGCGTGCTTTTCCATATATGACTCGGATGCCTTTTTTATCTCGGTATCTTTTGTCAGATGGTTGACGTTTCAACTTCGCCTAATGATCCAATATTCTGGATGCATCACGGATATATTGATTATGTATGTTCAGTTTAGATTCGTTCATGTGTTCTTCATGGGCTGATTTTCGAGTCGTGTGTCTGTTAAAGGTTTGGTGGAAGTGGCAGGGCGACAACGAGACTCGTATCAATGATTTGAATAACATCGGGTATGAGTCGGAGAAAGAGCCTGCGACCGATTATGTTGTACGTGCTATCGTGTTTCTGTGACAAGATGTACTAAACGACATATCAGGAGACCACCGGAGCTACCGTGTTGTATATGTTCGACATTCTTCCTAATGCAACGGTATGTGTTGGACTTCTGTAACAACGCGACTTCTGTTGATCCTTCTGACTGCAATGTAGGTTGCCGACGTGTTAAGCACGGAAGATGGTTTCTTGTGCTACACTTTTGCGGTTTGAAAGACGGATTAAACTTGAGCTTTTCCCTATAACCTCACTCCAAGGGATCCTGTTTCTGGTGACAATTTATCTATGGACTTTTTAACTTTTGTGTTCGAACGGACAATGATACAGATTTAATCCCTGAGGCCACGGGAACGCCTACGCGTTCCAAGTTCTTAGCCTTCCGTGTGATCCGTTCTCCCGTTTCTTGCGTTTGTCCCATGTCGACAATTCGACGACCCCTGGCTGTGTGCCTGATCCCTGGCCACTATGTTAACCAGGATGTCTTCACCGCATGAAGGGGTATCCACGATTTGCTGTAAAGTTTTGATATACATGATTGACAAACTGAATCTCCAGTAACGCGTCGATGAGTATATGATGCAACGCTTTCAAGGATGCATAAAACTTACTGTTTAGCCTCATGGATATATTGTACAACAAACTGCAAGCAAGAACTTGATATTAAACGTATCTGGGATGGAAGTCTCTAGGCATTGGTTTGGCGCTTAGACTTATCATCATCGTCACGATACAGCTTGGTCATGATCGTAGTTCTGTGTTCGTGTTGATTCAGCCATAGCGCCTGTCCAGACAAACCACGGTACTGATTAATATCCCCTCCCTTGATTGAGTTCTGGGCCAGAAGCGATGAAAAAGTTGGGCATCAACACCTAACAAATCGCAAATGATAACGTCCCATGCCTGCCTGCCGACCAAGCCGCCCCCACACCCGCAAAACGCTGAACTTTTGGATAACGAAAGTTCCGGATGGATCGTGGTGTCCCGATAATGTCGGGAATGCTCGAAGGGAGAACAGCAGGTCCAAGTATAGCCAGCTTCATGGTATGAGCGTCTATGGAAGAGAAATCTAGATGGGATAGTGAATGGCCTGGGTACAGTATAGAACCAGCTTGCATGATCGAATCGCATCCAAGGAGGACCGAGAAGTGAAGCACTGCACTGGCTGGTGCGTTTTTGATGGCGTAAAACGGGATTCTAAAGAGTTTTGATTTCAGCTTCAGTTTTTATGCCCCCGTTTTGAGTGCTGAAAAACGAGAAGTTATCTCAATTTCATTGTTCTATAAGGGGAAAGGTTTTTCATACCGTTTTACAGACGGCCTTTTCAGGACTGACAAAGGCTTCGTTCAAACAAAACCTTTTAAGGTTTCGTTATTCACGATCTAAAATGACCCGGCCCCTGCTGTGAAGACGGGTCATTTCCTCTGCAAAACCTTGTGTGTAATTCCTCGTCCATTTTTCTCCTGAAGCGTTAGCCTGAAGACGCCCATAGTCCAGCTGGCAACGATGAAAAGACCTGTTTAGCGTATTCTGCTGCAATCATACATCTATTCCTAGGCATAAATGATCGTAGCCAGAATTTTAAAAGGACGTATGCTTGTACTAGAGGCAAGCCGCCATAGTCGGGTAAGGTCTTAACAGGCGCTCTAAAAATTTTATACCTAGCTTAGTGTATGGTGGTTGATCTGCTACAAATCAAACTTTACTTACCTGAATACAGCGGCCCCTGGAACTTGCCGTGACCCTAAATCTGCATCAATAACGGGACTGAGGGGTAACATGTCGCGTCCGATTTGTTGAGCAAGGCGAGCGTTGACCGCAAGCCTCGGACTATAATTAGATTACCGGTACATACCTTTTTAGTCTATTTTTTTCGTCGCGACATCCGAGTGTTCAACCAACGTCTTCACACTGAGATATATATTAATACTTACATATATTCTATAGAGTCGTGTTTTCTCTCGCAACCGTGCCTCCCCTTCGCGTACACCCCGGTCCACTGCCCAAGACGATTTTTCCTCCGTCTCAAGGAATGTTTCTATACAAGTTGCGGAGATCAACATTCTCGCCATCTAGCGGCTCTGCAAGTGGCAGCCTTCATCTTCCTTGTCCTGGATGTCTACATCACTGCCCTCCTTCCATTCCTCCGTCATAAATGCCACTCTGAGCGATTCCCGGTCCAAATCCATTACGTCCCTCTCATGTACATTGCACGAGATTGAAAACGACCGTGGCAGGTGGTGATCGGGTTTCCAATGCGGAGCGCAATGACGAGTCATCGGCTAGAAGGACGTTATACAAACCGGATGGCAACGATGTAAATTCTAGAGGCTTTCCGCTTGAAAATTAAGCAGACGATGATGATGAAAGATAAGTGGAGAGACGCATTCAAGTGTGAATTAGGGCCTAACATAGCCGGAAGATACCCCGGACCGGGCAGTCCTGAACATCGAATACAGTGTGCAGTCTTTTTCATTCCTACAGATACTGGTTAGTTGATACATTGTAGCTTATGTCTAATTACCTGCCTTCTATCTGTTCCTTTCGTTCCTGGTGACCACGCCTAAACTATCTTGGAGACAGCTTTTTCTCCGTCTTCCCGAGTTTTATGTGTGGTAGAGTTTCTCGCCGTGACGCGTCTACCGCTTTGCTTGGCACTGAACGTCGACAATCACCAAAGGAACGAGTATCTGATGGAGAACCAGTGCGTTAGCACTCTCTACTTGAATTATTGAAATCCATGTATGGAGGAGCTAGCGAGTGTGGGCATTGATTATTTAGGACCTGTGGAATGATCTCCACGCTTCGTCTGCAGTTCTGCTGGTTTGGCCCTTCGCACTGCGTGGCATCATATCAGCGATCGGTCAAGAAGGATCAATGGTGAATTCTCAATCATTGCTGTGGACAGAATCGCCATCGTCTCGTCGTCACCGTGGCTCCTTTTTGATCCCGGCTGTTTCTTTTGCGTATGCGCCATAATTCCAAAAGTGAAAGCACCATCATCGAGAGAGATTGAACGGTTGAAGCGAGTATTCCTGGATACGGTGTGGTACGTAAGAAAGACCGTTTGTTAGTTTTTTGATATCCGAGAAGGGTATGGGAACGACTCACGGCCACTTCATTACTTGACCATTTTAAAGAGGAGCGGAGGAAATTTTCCTAAAAAATCCGCGTGCCCCGTACGGGAGGAATAGAGTTCGACGCCTGTATCATTCCAACGTTCGATCACATTATCGATCTTAATATGAGAGTCGTCGCAAGGAAACGCCCCGGCATGGTTATGCATTCTCCATTCCAAATTCCGGTGGATCTCAATTGGCATAAGAAATCATGCGTTGTCAAACGCATGAACGGAGACTTTAGCTTGGGCGAGAAAATACGATAGAGCCTTAGTTTCCGGTTTTACTGAAATATGAAAGGGCGGTGTGCTGTGACGTTTCCTTCGCAAAGGTTTGCCTTTACACAACGGTAGCACAACAACCGGATGCTCGATTTGACCAGGGGTACATATCTGTTGGAGGGCCGCAAAAGGTATCCCTGCCTAACCCGCTACAAAGCTCGCTAAACTGTCCGTGCCCGGCCTCCAAGCTAAAATCGCTTAGCTGTCTCCGTCCGACAAAGAGAGGTCACTCCCAGGTTCAGGGAGGAGTCGAGATCCGCTTGAGGGATGGGCCAGTTCTTCCGTGGATGTTTACCGGATTAATGTACGCGTCACGAAACCGTGCGCTTGTTATCACTTCTCTTGGTCCGCGCGCGCGGTTCGCCTTGGATGATGCCCCAGTCACCATTGTGCAGAGATAGCTGCTGTCTGCTGTCGTGATGCGCTTCATCGAGAAGGCAGGAGATCTGGGACCTGTGGCATATCAAGTCCGAGCCGCGAGGAAGGATGTTATAACGTGTTGATTTGGAGCTTTAAGTCGATCTCAGTGAGGGATAAAGTCGATTTACAGCCGGTCACACGACGGTCGGTGAAAAGGTTTTTTTTTTTTTTTTTTTTTTTTTTCATTTGCAAATGCTATCTCGTTAGACGTAGTAAGAGGACGGGATAATAAGAACTGACTGTAAGTATCAACGTAAAAGAAATACCTCAGCATCGAACAGAAGACAAACGTATCTGGGCATTGCCACCATTTAACTTTCTCGAAGCTGTGCAAAGAAGATAACAGCATACAAGAGGCGATCAAAATTGGGCTCTTAAAACTACGCTGCGAGCGTTCCTCCAGAGCTGTGTAGTATACTTGTGTATACTTGTTCTCTTGAATGAAGAACAACCACATCGTACGGGAGGATGGTAGTCCGACGCCTGTATCATTCTAACATTCGATCCCATTATCAATCTTGATGAGAGTTGCCCCAAGGAAATGGCCTCTTCTGGTTATGCACTTTCCGCTCGTAATTCCGATGCCAAGCGCTGAAATAAGGACTTTGGCTTCGGAAAGAAAGGACGGATAGAGCCTTAGTTTCCGGATTGACTGAAAATGGAAGGGCGGTATGCTGTGACGCTTTCTTCGCAAAGGTGTGCCTTTATACGACGGTACTAACGACCGGACGCTCGCTTTAACCAGGAAATAGGTGTTTCGGGAGTAATAGTCGCCTAAGGTATCTCTGCGTGACCTTCTGCAAGGCTCGCTAAACTGTCCGTGCCAAGCCTCCAAGGCAAAATCGCCTAGCTTTCTTCGTTCGGCAAAGAGAGGTCACTCCTAGGCTCAGGGAGAAGTCGAGTCCACTTTCAGGACGGGTTCAACCATCCATGGCCTTGCTGTAGGTACCGTGATGCCGTGACCCCACTCGTGCTTGTGATCGCATCCTTGGTCCGTGCGCGTGGTTCGCCTTGGATAAGGCCCCAGTCACCATTGTGCGGAGATGGTCGCGAAAATCGTGATACACTTTCATCGAGAAGGTAGGAGAGGCAAGGCTTTCCAGGGTGTACGATGTTCCAAGTCGGAGTTGCGAGGGAAGATGTTATAACGTGCTGGTTTTGGAGCTTTGAGTCGACCTCAGTGAGAGATAAAGTCGGTTTACAGCCAGTCGCGTACCTCGTCAGACGCAACAAGAAGACGAGATAGCAAAACCGACCGCAAGTTCCGAACATCCCAGCATGTGTGCAACCGAACAGTTAACTGAATTTTAGCGTATCTGCGCATTACCACCATTAACCTTCTCGGAAGCTGTGCAAAGGTGACGACGAACGAAGTTGAGCGCGAGAGTCCTTCCAGAACTGCGTAGATGCCTGTGAATACGGTGTTCACTTGAATATGAGGTATGGGAACGAACCTTCATTGCAATCAGATTCATTCTGAACAGCTCTGAGCCGTAGGATCCAAGGTAAGTGCATGATGCCCTGTCGCAATTGAAACAAAGCGGACAGGAGGTGGAATCACATCTGTAAAGGTCGGAGACGAGCTTATGAAGCGGGATCCAGAGCATTAGAAGTAGCATGCGTCGCAAAAACAGTATCGAGTATCTATAGGAGATACATCAGATCAGAAAGAGGAGCGGATCAGGACGTAAGTACGAACGATGTGCTTGGCGAGCTCGACTGCTCCCTCTTCAGATCATATTCCCAGGCATCGACAGCAAAATACCTTTCTTTCGCGAGTGTCACCACCAAGGAACCGACGTATCCTTCTTGCTCGATATGGGTCTTTTCTTCCACTTGTCGGTGCCTCACTGCTCCCGACCCACACGATCTTCATCCTCCTATTTCCCGCAGTCCTCGTCACGGTTCTTTGGAGGATTGATGTAGACGGCCGCGGATGGTTTGGTATCCGTGCCTTTGGGTATATTGTTCCCGGCGGTTACTGTCGTCGTCGACTGTCCTGCTCTCCATGCATTGACCTCTACCCCCTAGCACGACCCTCCGTTGGTCACCATCCTCCTCCTCGTCTTCATGTTTCCAAATTGTCGCATTTCGGTCGTGCTGCAGACAAAGATCGACGATCTTTGATCCTTAGGCAGATTCGAAGTGACGAAATCCCGTGCGTAACATTGGTTGATGCCGATAGATTTGTGGTGTAGCGACAGTGCATCGCCGAGTACGCAAGTCGAGTTGGTGATAAGGCACGAAGAGAGATTAGCCCAGGATTGGCAGAAACTGTGCGAACGTGTGACCCGAGGAGGAGATGAAGGAGGGTAGCTACTAATCCTGACTCGGATGGCCGATCTTCAGTGGATGCAGAAGTAGTCCGGAGAATAGAGCATATACCCAGGTGCGTTCGCGTCCTCGGTCTCCTCCCTTTGTGCCTCGTTTGCACTAGTCCGAACCCATAGTCGTTGTCCCACCAATTAGTGATGTTGGAAGAGTTAGGGATCGATAGACTTTTAGGTGTAGGGCCACGACCAAGCTGATGATTCGTGTTGGTCACTGTGCGACGTGACAACATCAAGCACATGCGCAATGGACGAGATGGGATGCGAAGAATGTCTTGTGCGGGGAGGAGAGCGAATTAGAAGCTGCTGGTCACAGTTGCATTGAACAGTATAGCGAGCATGGATCGATCATTGATGGTATTGGGTAGGACACGGGAAAGAGAAATCGTGGTTCTTGACTGCTCCTGTTTCACATCTATATAAAGAGTCGCGAGTTGGATACAAAGTCGAGACGAAAACTAAACAATACGCGCGATCGATAGCTCAGTCTGACGGTAGATCCCGAAAACCCCTTTGACGCGTGCCGCGTAACGTTTGGTGAACCCAGAACATCTTCAACTTGCCGTTGATGTCGAAGATGAATGCGAACCACGATCATGGCTGCTAGTCGGAGTCTGTGAGCAAGAGTAACGGAATAATCATAAAATGACGCACATCAAGGCCTCTGCCGGAACGCCCGACTTTTACTCAGACAGCCAGTCATCTCTCCGTACAACCAATACTTCCAACCCTTAGCTTCAGCCTCCCAGCAGATGTCATAGCCAGCATCGCGATCAAGAGCTGTAGACGTTCAATAGGTCAAGTAATGTCCGTCAAGCGTTGAAATAGATAGACGCACCTGTTGAAGAGATATCAAGCACAGATCGCACGCAGTCGTCGTAATTCCAAGGCGAATTCGCAAGTCTTGGCATCCTAGACAAATACGAAATATGACCAGGCCGCCTTCCAATGAGAATTCCCCAGGTCCTGAACGTCCTGGTAAAGCATTTGAAAAGATATATGTCCTGACCAACGAGGCATTAGCAAGAAGGTGGATTTTCACAATGAATTGAAGACGCACTCGCACACGACGATGATAGTGCAGTAGCTCATAGCACCGGATGGCGGATGTGAGGAAGAAAAAGAACATGACTCCAGTTGGCCAGACCCAGTGTGGTATGCGGTGGTGCTGGGGAAAGACAGTCATCGTCGCCGCAGGGACTGGTTCCGGCAAGTCGGTAACACGAGGAGATCAGTGGAGATGCGTTGATGATGTGGACTGATGAGGCCTAGGTTTCGACGCGTCTTCACGGTCAAGGTCGGTACCCGGTTGAAGAGGCCGTGGGCAACCCATCCCTCCTCCACTGGTCACCGGTCAAATTTCAAAGGTCGCTTCGTTGTATCCAGGCTACGACGTTCTTTCGTGCTCAGGGGGATCCCTGTCTGTCGGTAAGAGACTCGGCATGTGGCTGGCATACTAGTGCATGGCGTCTCCTTTTCTTGAAGCGTGCGATGTGGTCGTCGAGCGTAGTTCGGGATGAATGGCGCATGCGCTATGACTTTACATGCTCCCACACTTGCACCAGTTCCTCGCACTTGATCCAACGGTCATATTGTACAGGTTTATGGGCCGGGACACAACTGGGCAGGGAAGCACCGGCAGCCCTGGGATATTCGATGTCGACGCGAAGAGGTGAGCACTTTTGAGTGCGCTGACTGATGCGGACTAAACATTATTAGATGAATATCACGGTGAGGAACTGTAAGCCTTACCGAAAATTGTACACTCCCAGGCATGCTCCCGAGTCAAACCATCAACGAAACACCCAGAGAACTTTCGCTTCTCGCTGCAGACAAGGTGATTGAGTACGAAGAGCGCTTGACATCGTAAACGGACGTACTGACAGCCAGAGCTCCCTATACCGACACCGAAGAAGGGAGTAGCAGCGATTTCATTTGAAGGGGGTCGGAATGGACTGGAACTAACAGGTATTCATCTGTGCATTCCAACGCGGTAGGAGGGCCGAAGGTGATTTGGTAGCCGTGCTTGTGGGTACATTGTTCCCGGCGATTACTGTCGTCGTCGTCGTTGTCATCGACTGTCCTACCCTCCATGGATCAGCGCAGCGCTCAGCCCCGCTACCTCCTAACACGGCCTTCCATTGGTTACTATCTCCTCCCCGTCTTCAAGTTTCCACATCGTCGTATCAGATCGACGTTAACAACGTTGATCTTTGATCCTTAGGCAGAATCAAAGTTACGGTATCCCGTGCAGTGTGACATCGATTAGCGCCGATGGATTTGTGGTGGTGCGACGCCGAGGACGAAATCGCGTGACGGTAAGTGGTAGACAAGTTATCGTTCGGCGTTGTAACCTTGACATTAGCATGAAGAGACCCCGGAAGGGGTAACGACTATTTTGCACGGATTGGCAGATACTATGGGCGTGTGACCCTAGTCTAGGAGTTGAGCGAGGGGGGGATGAGCGGTACTTGAAAATCGTGATGGCCGGTTTCCGGCATTGTGGGCGCGTGCGTCCAAACTTGGAATTCACTCTCACCACGACACCGCGTCGTCTCTCCATTACTCTACGCGCTCGCGTTGCTCTTTTAGACTTACGCTTACGACTTGTGACTATATTATGGACCCACAACCCGTAGATGACGTGTCCATGCATAGATTATCACCCGTAGTTGACCATGAATATTAGGAACATCAGGACCTCTTTGGCAGCACTGAACGTCGTCCGGATGTGTCTCGCGACGATGTTTGCCATCGTTGAGTTGAATCGCATGCTTGAGCTGGAATTCTCGAAGTGAAGGGACATGACACTTCTCCTTAAGAACTTGCTCGAGCCATTCAGAGGAATTAACAGGAGGGTTGTTGTGGGTATTAGGGAGAGTGGTAGGTATATAATGAGCATCAGAGGGCATGGATAACAAAGTAATGTGAAATGAGGGAGAATTAAGTGCTTTAAGTCATTCAGAAAAGAAAGAGAGGAGATAGTCGCAGTCTATTTTGGGATGCTGTCATGACGCACGTGCGCAATGCCGGTTCGGCAATCACATATTTTCAAGTAGCCCCCCCTCCCCCTCCGCCCCTCGATCAAATTGCAGACTCTACATCCATTGAACGACTTATCTTCATACGGATCGTTGAGTCTGGTTTACGACTAGTGTGACCCGTGACGAGGTTTACTCGCCGCGTGGGCTCCAGGCCTACCGGTCCGAACTACGCCTGGACTTTGACCTACTCAACACAAACATCACTACCAAGGCAAGAGCGACCAAACTCTCTGTCCTTCTCGTATCTACGTCGACGCGCCGGAAAGGATGAGTCCTAGCATCAAGGACTGATAACCCATTAGTACTTAGTATGGGCAAAGCCTAGGATCACATCAGCATACAACGCGTGTTACGATCCCTGTCTTCCTGCTAAGTGCGTTGTGTGTCCTGCCGCATCTTGGTCTAACTGCAAGTTTCTCATGCTTCCATTACAAGATAATCATTCAACTTACTTACAGGGATGGTTTGGGTCGCGACGTCCATTCCTACCGCCTTGCCAAAAAATTACTAGTACTATTGGCGTGCCGGAAGGAAGAGGAATCGCATGTCGCTTCTTCACTATCGACTCCGATGTCGGAGGAAGGGCAGACCAGCTGTTTTCGCTGATTGAATAGCCTGTGCATACTCCTTCATTCTTCTTTTCCTATAGTGTTGGCCTGGCCAGATCTAGACTTCCTAGCACCAGAATTAGCGAGGACGAGGCATATTGCAACTCTCTGGACGTTCTCATGGATCAGACGATCATCTAGATCGCCCTACGCCTCCTGGTGGTAGTGGGGTGCATGCGGCTTCTACTGCAGGATGATCTCACCACGTTGGCGCTCTCTTCGCTACGTTTGGAGCCGTAACAAGAAGTACTTCGACACGCAACCTTACGAAGGCTCGCTACCAAAAAGCAGCCACGCTCAGATACGAGGGTGCTTTCCATATACTGTAATCCGCTCATCGAATCAGCGCCACTCATAGATCCCGAGCTTCAGGAAATACATCCTTTGACGGAGTATCGCACACAGAAGTTTGGGATGAACTCTCCAGAAGACATCCTCGGGCAGTGCCGGTGATGGTGCAAAGGAATCTATCACTTCTGTCTCAAAGACGCGTCGAATCCTCACCAGTTGCCGTCTGCTCCATGTGAATCACTCACCCGGACCCGAGGCGTCCACCATCGACCCTCGTGCTCATTCTCGTTGTCGTAGGCCCATACCACATCGACGCATGTCGTTTTTGGGCCGCTCTCATCGGCATAGACGCATACGAGTCTATGCAATCCTTTCTAGGGCTGTGTACCAGACACATTCTCAACAAAGACACTCCTGATTGATCTTTCCCTATGTCACGGCTATTTCGTTTCGCATACTATTACTACTAACTAGGACTTCTGCCACAATACACAACAGCACACTGATCTCGAGGAAGAATCCATTCTGACGCGTCTAAGCCTCCTCACCCTAGAACCTCCCACAAGATAGCACAATATCTCGGCGCTCAAAATTCCTCCCGTGAACACCTTCCCGTGCCAACGTCGTCGACCTGCTTCCCAGTCTTATTATATAACAACCTTGATGCCACACAAGTTTGACGTGAGGTACGAACGGCTCAAACTCTGTGTCTGGCCAAGTAAAACGTAGCGAACAGAGATCTCTTATCCCAATGATTTCGTCACTTTGCCCCAGTTGCTTGGCTCAGCAAAGTGCGCCAAACTTGCGCTATTCCGTGCAAGAGTATTTTCACTTCGTTCTCTCTCGTTCTCTTCGTCTCAGTAGCTCCGTTACCCCTTCGCTCTCGTTTGACCCGCCCACCTACTCCCTTATTTATTTGTTTGGGTAGCACCTGGTCGGACGCTGCAGCTACGTCCTTTCAGCTGCTCAGATTTCAGGTTTCCCCGAACAACTGAGTTCTCGGCTTCCACTGTTGCGAGTTTGAGCTTTCGACATCTCTTCATCCCTGTATTCACCCTGGGACTGGTTTCATTGCCAGTCTCCTCCCTGCTCAACTCCGAGTTCTCTCCCCCCAAACCCAAGAAATCAAGGATTTCTTGTCTCGTACCTCAAGTTACATCCCGAAATCATCTATACTATACTCGCTACATCACTACTCTAATCTCACTTCCGCAGCTTCACTTGGTCTCTGCCGCAAAGAGAGAACACACACCTCTGCTCCCAGGTTCAACACCGTGATCGGCCGTATCCATCAGAATGGAGAAGAAACACGATAGTCGCGAGTCTTATTCGTACCATTCTTTGATTCGAAAGATTGGACGTAACCCCTGCGTTGCATCAGGCTTCGGATGTATAATGGAATCCAGAACTGTCTTGCTTCAATCCTTCCAATTCTCTCCCGACAATATCGCTTTGAATTTTGCACCTGTTAAGCCCGCTAAAGCACAGATGTAATAGCTGTTAAAAATGGTTTTTAACGGCTATAACAACTACAAGGGAGAGGGATATCTACGGTACTTGAATAATTATTGAATAAAGTTGTCCTGCGTGCTCGTAATTATCAAGTCCTCTGGCACGTTTTATCAGCAGGTACGCATGACATAACTGAGCATGCGGACATCATTCCCCCCGAGCATGCGCTCACCGAATTACCTCCGTCATCAGCCGCCCATCAAATTTGCTGTGCCGAGCCTTCTGTTCATCACCCCGCACGATGAGCTCAACCATATAGTGTATATACCTCAAATTTCACCCCAAAATAATAGAAAAATGCGCAATATATAGATTAATTTTGTCCATTATGTTTTTTGACCTAAATAACATCAAGTGGCCTCATGAGATAGGGAAAACTATCAGAAATACGTGGTAAAAAGAGTAATAGGGGGATAGAGGAGACATACCTGGTATTTTACATTTCTAGTGGTTGGGGCGGGTACTCCTGTTAAATAACAGATGATATACATTGTATAATCATGTGTACAAAACTCCATGGCTATCCGAAATTTATTGAAGGAGATATGAGCAGATCATTCTGCAAAACAGGAGGAGCACATCCCCAATTTCGATGTTCCAGTCATCCTATGGTCCTGGGATTATCAGAATCGATTCCTTGACCCAAAAAACACTAGGAACACCTATCATAACCTTCCTAGCCAGGTTCGCGAGCCATTCAAAATCAATTCAATCTTCGGTCGATCAGTGCCTAGGTAGGCTGCTTCTGGGCATTCTTGGTCAACCATTGATCCCATTTCCTAACATGGGTTTATCTTCTTGTACCACTGGCAACCTGTCCCATGGCACTGTAGTCATTCACTGAGACCTGGGAATTACCTGAGGGGAGGTGCATAACCCGGATGGTGCTGTTTCCTTGCGACTCAGTTCGATCATGATGGAAGTGCAACGAGCAACATAGACCCATATGACCTACCAGAGTTCGACAATCAAAAACACTTATACACCCATCTTCCCTTGCACCAACCCACCCAGAGAAAAGAATATGACATTCCTCAGAGAGAAATTAAGTCCGATCAACGCTCGTCTGTCCTCCCTACTCAATTTTCTCCGCATCATTCTCTAAAATCTCACATTGATGGTGCATTATGCTGTTAATAGGGAGACAATTGCGACAAGTAAGTTTATCTTTGATATTTAAGTAGCTGTTCCTTAAATTTCTATTCTCTTGCAAGATTCTCCAGGTTGAACACCTACATGATGCAGCTGTTTGTGCATAAGGAATTGTTTCTCGTGCTCGTTTATTTTACATGCTTCAAGCATGTTGTCTGATGACTTTGGGACATATTTTTAGTTTGTAGAGGAGGATAAAGTATCTAACTGTCATATGTGATCCTATCTTCATTATACCATTGACTAATGTAATAATTTCCCCTCCGCTAATGTCGCAACTTGCAAATCCAAATTTGACCACTTAGGCTCCTTGATCGCCATCTGTAATACATCGAGCCCTAGGTACGTCTATTAATGTTCGGTCTGCTTTAGCTTCGACTTGGACTGAACATTTTAGAAAATTATTTTTGAACAATCCTGCTACTACAGGATACTTAGCAATCCATGGCAAGATACATAAGAATGGCTTCGTAATATATCTGGGACCTGACGCTTTGTTTGCGTTAGGAAAAAAATCGAGTATTTTATACACGGAATCTTGTATATTACTGTCAAAGTTTGGCACGGAATGATCTAACAAATTGTATCTGAGAAACTCAGGTGAGTCAGACCTTTTGAAAAAGTAAACTATGAGGATGTTAACACACTTAACGAAGTCTTTTTTCCTATGTAACTTTCCCACCATACCCCCCCTTCCTTAATGTAAGAGACCTAACTGCCATACATGATATGACTAATTTGCATGATTGGCTCACAAAATTAGCTGGCCACCTGGTTGTTTCTGGGCCCCTTTCTCACTTCAACTGGAATACACCGCATCTAATAATCTCATCTTGCTTCTGAATTCATTATAGATTCAGGGAAATGAAGAGTCCAAACAAGTGCTAGGAAGGGACGTGCGCCATATAGGTACCGGAAACGAGAAGTTGAAACTTGAAAGAGATAAGGCTTGTACAACAACCGCACAAGACCTTGCAGCAGATTCATTATGCACCATCAATGTCTCCCTCCAGAATACTCCGCTGCCTGTCATGGACGAAAAGCCCTTCATCCTGAATACGATGCATTCAATCCGGACTGTATGTAGTCTTTTTGTCTACTGTTTGTTTCTTGTGATTGAATTTTCTAAACATGCCAGATTCTGGGCTGTTGGTCATTCCATACATCCTCCCCACGAGAAGTCACCAGGCCGAAAGATGACGTACCTCTGGTATGGGTTTGTTCTGTGTATGCTATGTCCTTCTCATCAAATCTGCAACGTAGGCACCAACTCTACATGAAATAGGTTCGCAGGAGGCGACAAGGTCGGTTACTGGGATGGCCTCTCCTGAAAGCACAAATTCAGTGCCAGTCTCGCGAGAAGTAGGAAGGCACAGTAAACCACTATGGAGACATCTCCACAACATCTTCCTAGATTTATTCCAAAAGGGAAATGTCTCACAGTCAAATACTGATGATGTAGAGCAGCCTCATAAATGGTTCAGCCTTCGTCAGAAGGACTCTCGCCTAGGTGTTCGCAGTCATCGATGGTCCCTCGTACCACCTATATTGCTTTCCTTGATTCAAGGAGTAAGTGTATATGCCCAGTTACTGACCCCTCAACGTCGTAGATCCCACATCGCGTTGACGCATCTCGATTTTGGGCGGTTCTCATCGGCATTGACGCATATCCATCTAATCTGTTGCATGGTGCTGTATCTGACGCATTATCAATGAGAGGATTTCTTGTCAATGACCTTGGCATCCCAGAACGTTGTATCCAATGTCTCCTTGGCCCCCATGATTCCACCCCAGGCGATCCTTCAGCACCGTCTCGTATGAACATCATAAACATGCTCCACAGTCTCATTTCCAATGAGGAAATTCAGCGAGGTGACAATATCATCATCTACTATGCTGGGCATGGATCATGCTACAACTGTTCAGACCATTTTAGCACAGCGGAATCTAGACATGGCAAGGACCTCTGTTCCATTGAGGCACTGTGCCCCATCGATTGTGACTCCATAGATGCCAATGGGCTTCCAATACCTGACATCAGCGACCGGGAACTCAATGTTCTTTTCAGTCAAATATCTCATGTTAAGGGACATAAAATTACATTCATCGTAGACTGCTGCCACATGCGCAGTTTTGACCGCAGGGCCTCCGGCTCAGGAATACGTACCATCCCTACTACAATTCGCGCTTTGCTGGAGGATATGTTACGTGCTGCAGATGAAAAGCTCAAAGATTTGCCAGGCTATCTCTCTGTTTCATTGGAGGATTGGATGCCATTTATGGGCTCTCATGTAGTCTTGGCAGCATGTAGGGACTACCAATTGGTGAAGGAGGCTGCAGGAAAGGATGGATATGGCGGGGTATTTACCAACACAATCGTTGGTGTTCTAAGGTCCGGTGCCTGGAAGAAGGAAACAACATATATTGGCCTCTCCGAGCTTCTGAATCAGTCTTATTCTCAGACTCCAGTCGTTGCTGGGGACCATAAATATGAGCACCTGTGGTATCAGGTGTAAGGGCCAAGGAGCTCCGAGCTTACCGCTTAACCTTTGAACACTCATGCTTAATACAATCATGATTCGCTATGCGTTTATGCAGGTGTTCCATGCAAGATTCTGAGCCGCCTGTTACCATGCAGAGCGCTCTGTTACACCGGGTTGGTTTGTTGCCTTTGAGACCACTTGGAAATTTTGTATGAATTTTTTTTTCCGGCACTCCTGGAGGTATATTGGTATTGAGTCGATGTATTTCCATCAAATGGAAAGACCTCACCTCCACCCCATGATTGATATTCCATGCCCAGGAAGAGCATAGGAATTATAGTAGGGCAATGGGACTAACAGTGTTCTGAGTCCTGTGTATACAGGTCTCGGTCTTCTTGGTCTTATTGCAGTCAGGCTTCAGTGGCGGTGCATTCTCTTACCTCCGAGGTTTTCCTGGTGATACACTGTCTACGCGTTCACACCTAGATTTTGCGATTTTATAACAATACTGTTGCAGGTCTATCCTATACTAGTCGTATATCAAGGGCTATAGTTGAGACTTTGGACTGATAGTCAAGTTAGCATGCTACTAGTTGAGTCAGGACTTAGGAATGATACCACTAGTGGGTCAGCCCTACCAGCTGACCGGACTAGCACCTCCAAAGCTAGTATGACTTAGTAAAATATGGTCACTAGTAAAGAATACAGCTGCTAGCACCCAAACAAGAAGTAAGAACCCACACAGATCTCGACTATTCAGTCGCTAGTGGACCGGTCTGGGCATGAATGCCTAAGTCAGGATGACTAGTCATGCGAGCACTTCTGAAAGGACTTAGAAATGAACCAGTAAAGGCATAACCCTTAGCCCAGATCCGGCTAGTGTGATACAGATCTCATACGATTGGCACTAGTATAGCTGGGCTGCGCCCCGATCACGATCGAGCAGTTGCTACAGGCATGGTTACCCGACTATTCGTATAGCCGTGTCACTAGTGGAGCACCACTGGGCAAAGGGTGTGGAAACGACCCAATAGCAGAGTCCCTCGACCTGCTATCCGACAGAAAGAACAGGCTAGGCCGACTATTGCATGATTATTCACCATAATTCATGACTAGCCAAGATATCCTTACCAATATTACCCCTAAAGAATCTATTTATATTTATTCTGTACCTGTCTCTGTAGTATATAAGTAGTAGAAGGGGCAGCCTCGCAGGAGGCAAGCCATCCCCACGATTGTGACCTACTAGTCCGTATTCTAGTGCCCCAATTAAAGGCTTTTGTGCTTAACCTCGACGAAGTGTCTACTAGTTGCTTAGTCACCTATAGTATTGAACAAATTGAAGTGTCTTAAAGTTACTATTCCGTCTTGGAGTGACTCAGAGCGTTTCGAAGTTAGTTAAAGTATTTTCTCGGAGTTAAAGTATTTGTTCTTAGGCCAAGAGTGCCACTAGTCGAGCCTAGGGTGCTGCTAGTCAAGTGTAGACCACTTGTGAGACCCAGTATTTGGCCCAGAGTGCCACTAGTTTCGAAGTATCAGAGTTAGACCGAGCGCAGTTGCTCAACCCAAGTCACTATTCATCCAATCGTGTCTTAAAACCCCGCTAGCGCGAGTATTACATCTTGTGTAGCTCACTAGTACCAAATATACATCTTTAAACAACCTTTCCCTGATTTGTTGAAGTCTGCAGAGTGCTTCTATCATACTCGAAACACCCGAACTCAATAATATTGGTGATTAGTGTAGAGTAGTAGAGGGTTTTGGTGTTGTGGTGTTCATATCCATTCACTAGCCTTTTGTCACTCGCCATTACCGAGCACATCACCAGTTCTCATTTCGGCAACTCAGCAAGATCCAGCATTGATCAGTGTTTGGGCACCAATGCTCTTTTGGTTTCTGCCGCCTTTTTCCCAAATTCTTGATTCTTGTATCAGACAATGGTTGTTCATATCAACGTATTTTAATGACAGTAATGACAACCACTTCGACTCTCAGCACCCTGCTTTGCACCTCAAGATTTTGTTACTGCCGGATTCTTTTTCACTTCATCTTTCTCACTGTTTGTCTTTCTCGTTCAGATTCTTATTGTGCATCGTTTGCTCTCTTTCCTGTTATCCTGTTAGTATGTCCACATCATCTTTTTGACAGACAGATGCCTAGTCTGCGAATGCTGTATCTTGATAGTTTTTCTGCATGGCCAGCACATTATTTTTGTGGCCTTACACATGTTTCCTTCTGTCACAAATCCACCGACGTTTCGCAGTGCCCTTCCACTTTGGAGTTCCTTGACTTCTTAGAAGGGTGACTGTTGCTGGAGGACTTGATCCTTTTTGATGCTGGTCCCATGTGCAGGGGAAATGATGATGACTGAGAGCTTCGCAAGGATCACATAGGACATCTTGATGGTCTTCGCGCCTTTCAATGGGCTCGCTTCAAATTGATTTGTACCTCATATCACGTGATTGATTTCACATCTGATGTTGTCTTCTCACACTGCAATTTATCTCTGGGGCATACAGATAAAACCTGTGATATATCCAACCTTGTATCAGCCTTTGCAGTCAGCATTACAAGGGTTACAGAATGGCAGCTTTCCTTCTCGAAGACCGATAGTAGGAGCTCAGAGTATATCATCGCCCTTGTTGATGGGCTGCTGTATACCTCTGGGATCATGTATGGCCTTTAGCTCAACTGTATAGCTGTTCTCGACTGACACAGGGATGTCTGGATATTATGTATCGACATATCATGATGGGAGCATCCGAGTTGGTATGTGAATTCTTGGATAATTTTCTTATATTCGAGTGCTCAAGGGTCAGCTAGATGTTTTGGCATGCTGCTACATGAAGTTTATATCATACAGAGTAAAATATCCATCGATACTAATTTCTAATAGATGCTCGAGAGTCGAAACGTCATTCTGAATTAATGCTTTAATGCTTTCCTAGCATCGTCATCGCGCCACGTACCCCAGTCGATAGGATGCATTATGACAACTTATGAGTGGACTGCAGTGGCAAACAATGGAAGGATATAGAGAAAGCGTCGAGTCACTCTGGACGGTCACATAGAATTGCAAGTGTGTATGGACATTGGAGATTGGCGATCGCCAGTGGAATGAATGCTTCATTCTATAAAGGCAAACTAGTATGAGTGGTAGTGTTGGCGATGAGGTATCCTGGGAATATCGAGTTCTTCAAAGATTTGAAGGGAATGAAGATGTCATTTTGTTGACCAGTCAAATCATTATACTGAATGCGTTTTTACAGCGTCCATCAACACAAGTAAAGCATAACAGAAGATTCATATACAATAACAATGTGGTAGATTAGGAAAAAGGAACTAGTCTTACTTCACCCACTGGATGGACACAGATCTGAAATCCACTCATAATGCCAAGTGACCAAGATGTGACCATCATCAAGACTTATAAGTTTCTCGAATGCAGATAGGAGGCTGAGACGGTCAAGACCATTAGTCCCATAACCAGGGTAGAGGTGGCCGACAGTGGCGTCTACAAACTTTCCTTTATCTGTGAGCGTTCTATTATTCTGATAAATGAACAATGGCAATGGACCTACAGTAAATCCAAACTCGCCTCCCACAACTCATGCCTTTGTCCCGATCTGATGAATGATGATACAGATGGCTCTCATCTTTCTGCTGTCTTTTTTTGGCCTCTGAATGTAATTTGCCTAACGTGCATCCAATGATTCAGAGGCGCCATAAGGGTGCACCCCTCCTGTCAATTTTCATCTATAATTGTGATTATTCTCATTTATTCCAAGATCAGTGGAAAATCCACTCCAACCTTTCCTACAGTCAACATGTCATTTGCAATAGCATTTCCCTCCATTCACACAGGACTCGGATATGCCACGCCTCGCGATGGCCCATCACTTCATCCGAGCCTTCAGCAAAGACCGTTTCTTGCACGGCTACTACTGGTAGCTTTTCTTTACTGAGTGACAGTGTGTGGATTGGATACCGCATGTTCTGCCATAGGAAGTATATCGATCGGTCAGTCAGCCTGAGACAAAAAAGGTCGAGTGTATGTACCTAAAAAAATCCAGAGGATGTACTGCCATGCACAGTCAACACCTACAATGCCAACTCGCTGCGGGAGCTTGAGAAGATGGTTGGATATGCTTTTATGCTGGAAATCATTCTGAGTCCTATGTATAAGTATAGGATACTCAGTTATTATGCTGTCCTGAACAAATCATGTGAAAATCTATTTTCGTTAACAGCCATTGCCAAACCTGCAGCTGCGCTCTGCATGGGAACTTTTCTATTTGTGTTCCGTTTGATAATCTCTTCCACTTTTGCTCGATCCTGTTTATGATCCTGCTCCCAATTCTCCCTATCCAGTGCCACTGATCTATTGTTGTTCTGGTCATTTTCATTCTAACTGATGATCTCTCCAGCCAACCATTTTCTATGCCAGATGTGCTGACATGGCAAGATTATCTGACCAAGGTCTGTATTAGGGCTTCGCACCATCACCGTATAGTATGGTTATATGGGTGCCATCATATGAGTACCATACCCATTCCATTGAAGAGGCTCTGTGTGTGCCAAGCTAGAAATGCACTAGTGTATATAACACTAACACACCCACACTCACACTCTCACACACACAAACCCTCAGTAGTTCAGGGGTGATGTGCAATACAAGCACACAATAGCAGTAGTATTGAAAGAATCCTTGCACATTACAATATAATATAGCGTGCTTAGCAATATAATAATCTTCTAAATCCAAATGCTTTTGGAACAGGAGGTGAGCGACAGAATCGCTCGGCCTCAAGGCAAAAGTATTATTTTGCAAGCCCCCAAATGTTCTACAAGAATGTATAACCCTCAAAATACATCACGCACAACACAAAGTGTCCGCAACGTT